AATCATGCAACACAAGCCATTGAGTCGTTGCCCGTGGATGGGAACTTTGATCTAGCTTGACACAGACAGAGCTCCCTTAGTCTGGCGGATTGCTGAGCCCCGCGGCTTCCTTTGGCTGCCTTACTTATATACCGTGCACCTTTCACTACGTCAATGGCTGAACTTTACATAGATATGCATATCTACACCGCTGAGCTTCATTTATTGCCATATGTATTGTGGAACGTACTTATGGTACATATGCGAACTGATGCGCGGTCGAATGGAACAAGCAAGGAGGGATCCAAAAAACCAGGGAGCCTGATTTCAAGGATAAGATGGATGTTAGGAAAATAATAAGATTTCTGAATGTTTTCGTCTTCTGGTACTTTTGTCTCCTTGCTAATGCTCATTTGCTTTTCCTCTTCCCCTGCCAAAACATCAGCCAACTATCACATGTCGTCTCCAGCTACTTTCCTTGCCTAAGTTTTTTGCTGAAGCTGATCCTTGAATAATACTATTTATTCCCCCTGGTTTAGTATATTTACCCCTGCTATAGAGATAATTATAGTCCCTATTTTCGTCGTTCCATCATCCATCCGCTACTTCCTGCATATCTCCACTCCACCTCTTCCAAACCCAAAGCTCTTCACATGCAATTGACGACCAAAATACCTAGCCCATGTCCCACAGAGCAACACATGCAACACAATAACTCTTTTAATTCAACAGATACAGCAGCCTTGCCCGCTAGGCAACTGTCTTCCTAAATATCCCGAGGTCTCTGGAGCCCAGCTAGCTGGATCTTCACCTCACCCATCATTATCTCACATCACCTCACATCAACTTGCCGCCAGAGTCAAGATCACACAACCCCCCATCGAGATCATCCTTACCATCACCATCTCCCCCACAGGTATCATAGGCACCCAAGGAATCAGTGACAACACCTTCCACCCACGATGAATCTGCGATCAACCAGGCCATGAAGGAGGGTGTATTCCTTGCAAAATTGGCTAGAGTTACCAGCCTATGCCATTTCACCAGACTGACACCCCGCTGGCCCTACTTATTCTGTCCTTGCTTGTACTGATTCAGACAATGCCAACGATTGACCTTGACCTGTCGCCGTCAATTCACATCAGAACCTTTGTTTGACTGCGAACTGTACCGCAACGTCTATTTACGAGTGATTGTCATGTTACAAAAAGCCATCATCAAGTTTATCGCTATTCGGCGTGACACGGCCTCAAAGCCTCTTCGTCAGACATTTGTTTATACAGCTCGTGTTCTCGAGAATACCCAGGAGACCTCGGAAAAACCAGGCCGATATCCTCTTGGAAGACAGGCGGTGTTATTCCGTGCCCACTCGAAGAAAAAAAAAACATCGTCGGAGATACTGACACTCGCATCTCTACTAGAGCTCTGTAGAGCGTCCAGCATGGAATGAGTTGCTTGAATACCTTGCTCCCAGATGACTGCATTTCCGGGCACTGTATCTGTGACTTGTGGAGCTTGCCACCATTTGAACCTACTTATGGTAAATCAAGTTCATCATGGACACTACCGGAGCTGGCGTCCCTGGTTATATCTGGCATGAGGCCGTTCGCTGTGTCACCTACATCGTGGGTCGTCGAAGCCCTGCAGACACCGAATCACCAGAAGTGGTGTGACCTGCTTGATCACCTCGCTCAGGGTCCTGCAGTGGCTACGTTCCTTAGAATCTGGTATACAAATGCTGTCCACATCTCAGCAGAGAAACGAGTCAAGTCGGCCGGGATGGCCTCTTGGATACGAGGAAGAGAATGGTCACTTCTAAAGAATTTATGATCCAAAGACCACCGAAGTATCACTGGCGCCGAGATTTTATCTTCTGCGGGAATGCCGCAGATGCATCACCGTCTTAGACGTGATTGAAGAACTATTATTCTGGGTATGAGGCCATGGGAAACGGTTTGAAGAAACTACAAATAAAGGTAGATAGACCCCATAGGAGGGGGAAGGACTACTAAGAATTATTCGGCTCACTCCGGATATCTCTCCATGCTATTGGATTTACGACTACGGAGGCTACCCACCAGGATCAAAAGAATAGTTTGCTCTTTAACCCATATCTAGCGAGAATCCAACGCCACATGGCACAGATACGTATCAGAAAGAAGAGAAGAGAGGAAACAAGCCAGATCGGGGATCGGTACGAGGCCCTCATTGTAGTCCTGATAAGGAACTGATTTAAAAAATGGAAGATTCTCTGTCCGGGTGTATGTGTTTGGGGGGGGGGGGGGGGGGGAGTTTGGAGAGTGCGCGCAAAGGGGACTCTTTAGGGGTAGTTGAGAGGCACGTAGACAAATAAACAAGGAGAATGACAGAAAAACGAAAAGGGGCGGGACACGCTCTCCCCGGGCGCAGAGAAACGGCACCGATAGTCGGCGCAAGCAAAAAGGTCGAAGCAATGAAAGAGCTCAGAGCATTGGAACAAAAATTTCGTCATTCTCTACCATCCTTAGGCCGTGAGGCCCCCAGACGGTGATAACGAGGATTCGGAGCAATGCGCCTTACAGTCCTTGTGCCTCAACATCCGCTCGCACACCTGGCACAGGGGGGAACCCGTTGCGCAACTCTCGGCTGTTTCCCATCTACCCAGAGGACGTGGGTCCATCATCAAGATCTTTTTAAAAATTCTCTCTTTACTGCTCAGCGGGCTTGTCAGCCTCGGCAGGAGTGGCCTCATCCTTCTTCTCGGCGGGGGCGCTGCCCTCGGCGGAGGGCTCGGCCTCAGACGAGGTCCAGAGGGTCTGAAAACAAGGAAAAGCGGTTAGACGGGCAAGTCATAGATAAGATACAGGGATTGACGTACCAGGTTGTCCCGGAGGAGCTGCATGATCAGGGTGGAGTCCTTGTAGCTCTCCTCGCTCAGGGTGTCAAGCTCTGTATTCTCAGTTAGTTCGTGTTCGCAAGACAAAACGGAACAGGCGTAAACTGACCAGCAATGGCATCGTCAAAGGCAAGCTTGGCCAGGTGGCAGGCCTGGTCGGGGGAGTTCAAGATTTCGTAGTAGAAGACCGAGAAGTTCAGGGCCAGGCCGAGACGGATGGGGTGGGTGGGCGCAAGCTCGGTGGAGGCAACCTCAGTGGCGGCCTTGTAGGCCTCGAGGGAGGCATCGGCGGCACCCTTGCGGCGGTCGCCAATGGCGAACTCGGCGAGGTAACGGTGGTAGTCACCCTTCATCTTGTGGTAGAAGACCTTGGACTCGCCGCTCTGGGCAGACTTGATGAGGTGCTGGTCGAGGACCTCCAGGATATCGTCACAGATCTTGGCGAGCTCGGCCTCGATCTTTTGGCGGTACTCCTTAATCAGGGTAACCTGACCCTCGTTGCCCTTGGACTCTTCCTTCTGCTCGATCGAGGTGACGATTCTCCAGGACGCACGGCGGGCACCAATGACGTTCTTGTAGGCGACAGAGAGAAGATTCCGCTCCTCAACGGTGAGTTCAACGTCGGCCGAGGCGACGACCTTCATGTTCTCGACCATCTCTGCGATTTCTGTGTCAACAGCTGAACTTGATCAGGAGGGACAATGAGATCTAGGGCGAACCTTCATAGCGCTCAGCCTGCTCAGCGAGCTTGGCGAGGTAGACGGCGTCTTCGTGACCCATGGTGAAAGTTTCTAAAATTCATCAATTTCTGTCAGCTTTACACTTGCTCGAACGGATGATTCTGGAGATGGGTTTGAAGGTGAGGGTGAGGGTGAGGGTGAGGGTGGAGATCACGCCATCGACATCATCGCCAGCGACCGGGGAGGGGTAGACACGGCCGTCATCATCACCACCCAAAGGATTCCCATTTGTGTCCCGAGAGGTTACAACACCAAGGATCCTCGATCTGATCTGTCCTCTGTAGTGAAGATCATGATGATCATTGTTGCTGACGACGGTCGCCGCCCTCCCGTGGCTGAGCGTGTTTCGGGGGAAGGAGGGAAGGATCACAGCGTAGCGGTCGCGGGTCCCGCCAAAGTAAACAAGGGAACAATGGCTAGTAGTTTTAACCACGAGGCGAGGCGATGTTCAAGATGGAAAAGAGTTTTTTTTTTAACTTCCCCTCAAAACTCCCCCAAGTTCAACCCCATTGTGGATGTGTGTTGTGTGCAGGTAGTTGCAGGGGCAAGGGTCGTAGGAGAAAGGGGAGGGACAAATTGAACAGGAAGCGACAAAACTCACCTAAATTTGAGAAAGAGGGAGGTGTGAAGGAAGAGAAAGCGATGGGAACAGGATGTGGAGAGAAGGGGGAAGTTGAGAGAGAGAAGGAGAGAGGAGAAGGAGGGGGGAAACACAGAAGGCGGTGTTGTTGGGATTTACCGCACCTGAACAAACCCTTCTCTGATCTACACTTTCTATTTTTCTTTTCTTATGCATTTAATATGCTCTACTGTCTGTTCCTTTATTCATTCCCTTTGTATCGTCGTCTCATCTGTCTGTTCTCATCTCTATCTTCCCCTCTCCCTCATCTTCTGTGTGGTTCGGTGGGCCTCCCATCGTCATCCCCCATCCCGCACCCGCCAATCGCCCAACTTGCGCCTCATTCTTTCCCTCACCTTTGACCTGTCCAAGGCAGACTACCCGGCTCGTTACCTGTGCCAAAGCCCTATCCACAGTGGTCACACAGTCCAAGCCCTGGGCCTGACCCCCGAGAGGCTGTGCTCACCACTCCATTGAGGTTGACCACATGGCCCGTAAATTGTATAATATAGTCATCGTAGAAAGCGAGTGATCCAAAGCCCCTCATGATCTGCCACTCGAGTCGAATAAGAGCGCGTCGACTTATCGCAGAGATTTCCCTGATTCCTCAGGCCGGAATCACATTATATAAGCAGCACATGATCCATCCCAGACCCGGATCCAGGACCACATGACTTGTCTTGGCACGTGTCGTCATGCCATGCCCTGTCAGTTTCCCGGAGCTTCCAGGGTTCCTCTTCTGACTCCCTTCTCGTAACCAATCCCTTCATTACAATCTTCATCCAAAATGCTTCGCCAATCCATCGCTCGCCCTCTCCTGTCCGCTAACCGGGTCTTGTCCCAGCGGGCATTCTCCGTTGCCGTCCCCCGCATGGGTGAGGGTGATACCGGCGCTCCTCGCTCTGGATCTGGTGGTTCTTCTGGGTGCGTGACCCCTCCCCTCCCCCCCTGTGTCGCCTTCTGCTCTCCAAGCCGTATCGTGCCCACAGTCACGACAGCACAGCAGAACTACATTGCCCCAACTCCATGACATCATCAATTGCTGACCAGGCCGCAGCGATTCCTTTACGAAGCGCGAAGCTGCCCAGGAAGCTCTTTACATCCGTGAAAAGGAACTGGAGAAGTGAGTCATTGATTATCTATAAGTGGAACTAGCAACTAATGTGGGTTGGACAGGCTGCACCAGCTCAAGAAGAAGATCACCGCTCAGCGCGAACACCTCGATGACCTGGAGGCGCACATGTATGTTCCAACACCGTGACCTTCAATGGGAATAGGAATACTAATTTCTTCCAGTAACACCTTGACCAAGGAGCAAGGGAAGCAGTAAGCCTTGTGCGCGTCTTTTTCCTTCACGCCCTGAGAGCTTCGAATGGCTTTGTACCAATACCTCTCCCCTCTCAAACCTTGCTTTAGAAGGTCAATATCACGAGCAACTTGTGTCTAGATAAGACAGACATCAATAGCATACCAGCAGTCTTACGGTCCAATTTCCATACCATGGGCATCGTCTCGGGCAGTCGATAGGGTAGCTAGTGTTGGGGAAGCCCGCATCAATCACAGAAAAGGTAAACGTAGAAGATTCATCAAGGGAATATCGACCAGTTGAATCAAATGTACAGTAGTGCAAGTCTATTGGACCGGTTCTTGTAACCGACAGAGCTTCGTTCAACATATGTCACTGCTCGAAACAACACCAAGGACGACTGAAAACTCTACTATTTTTGAAATTTCGCCTTTCTCCTAGCCTGGGGAGCCAAATCAAACCAATGCCGGAGATGTACATAAAACACAGCGCTGTTCCAGGATGCCATACATCCAAAAGGGCTGGGCCCTAGACCGGCGAATACGCAGTAACCGCAGTTCTAACCAGAAGAAACAATCCTTTCCCATTGAGTGACTTGGCAGTTGAGTACCGCCAATTAAGTTCATTAAACGTCCATCCATGTCCCCATTTACCGACGGCCCATGTACGAACGGTAGAAATCATCCGCGGCGTTTCCTCCGCCCATGCTAGGGCTATTGTATCCATATCCGATACGAGAAGAAATCGACTGGCCGTGCTTTTGGGCGGCGGCAACCTTGGCTTGCAGCTCGGAGGTGCCCTGGTCGATGACCTGCAGTTGGGACAGGTGCGAGTTGAGAATGCGGACAATCTGGGAGATCTTTTGGAAATGTGAGTATAGGGCTAAGTCGATAGTATGGGATAGAAGTTTGCTTACTGGTTCGTCTGCGCGGTTGGTCTTGCTCAGGGTTGCTGAAGCACCGTTTACCTCCTCGATCATGCTGGTAAGATCCTTGCCCATCTCGTCCAGACGCTCTGAGAGCTTCTCGGCCAGTTTGTATCTGCCAAGCGAGTTAGTCTATCAGCGAGTGTTCGAGTGAGTTAGAGTGATAACTTACGTTCTCTCGCGCTCCTGGTCCGGTCCCTGAAGGGTCTCGCCAGGGCCCAATTGCTTGGATACCATCTCGTCGACCTCCCGCTCATAACGGTCGAGCCACGAGCTCAGTTCCTCCTGCTGACCCTCGACCGAGGTCAATTGGCGCTCAACCTCCTGAGTGGCACGCTCGGCATCGACGGTGCTGCCATATAGCTTCTGAACCTTGGTTCCATTTTCCACCAGCATACGATCCCATTCAGCAACCTTTTCTGCTTGTTCGCGGAAGTCCTTCTGGTACTTGGTCAGATCAGTAGCCCATCGGGTGATGATCTCATCCATCGTCTTGTTCTTCAGACGAGATTGGGCCGGGGGCGCGGGGCCGGTTGTCGATTGCCCAAGAGCCGAAGGAGCCGCACCACCACCGGCGCTGGCAGTGGCAGTTGTGGCCGGGGCAGCTGTAGTAGTGGTTGTGCCGGCCGTGGAAGGAGCAGTGCCAGATTGAGTCGAAGGTGTAGAAGTAGCCGGCTTGTTAAACAAGCTCAGCCCGGAAGCTGCAGGCTGGGTGGCCGGCGGAGCTGCAGAGGTAGCCGCAGTTCCCGGGGTGCTGCTCGCAGTGGTTTTAGCACCACCCAGGCTTGGGAACAGACCGCCAGCCGGAGCCGCTCCCGGAGTAGTCGACGGGGCAGTCGAGAATGTGGCACCTTGGGAAGGGAAAAGAGACTTCTGAGGAGTAGCAGTCGAGGCTGCAGGAGCCGTCAAAGGAGACTGGGGGGTTGTAGGGGTGGTGGAAGAAGCACCGAGAGAGGGGAATGCAGGCTTCGTGGCGGCATCGCCGCCAGCAGAAGGGGCTTTGAAAAGAGAGGAGCCAGCCTGTGGCGGTTGACCACCAGCGGCGGCTCCGAAGAGCGGCTTAGGAGCGCTGCTCGCAGTTGTGGTCGGGTTGGTGGGTTCAGCCGGCTTGTTTGCGCCACCGAAAAGGCCGCCAGCGCCCCCAGTAGCGGGTGTCGTAGACTGGGGTGCTCCGAAAAGAGGCTTTGAGGCACCAGATGAAGCGCCGGAACCGAATAGGCCCCCGGAGGGTTGCGGTTGAGTGGTAGATGTTGTAGTAGATGATGGAGCTGCGGAGGAGGTCGGTGTGGTAGAAGAACCGGCATTCATCCCGCCAAAGAGGCTACCGGCCGGCTTAGATGCAGGAGGAGGGCCAGCGGGGGTGGTTGAGGTGTTACCAAACAGAGATCCACCCGCGGGGCCTGGGGTAGTTGACGGAGCTGCACCGAACAAGCTGCCGCCGGCAGGCTTGCTAGCGGCTCCTCCGAACATTCCACCGGCAGTGGGCTGAGCAGGCGTGGTCGATCCGGAGGTCTGCATGCTGCCAAACGAAGGATTAGACTGGGCGCCACTGCCAGCCTGGCCACCAAAGCTGAAGCCAGAGTTGCCGCCGCTGGGGGCATTGGCACCGCCGGCATTACCAAACATCGAGCCGCCTTGGCCAGCCTGGCTAGCCTGGCCGCCGGCAGAGCTGGCACCGAAAAGCGAAGGAGACGCAGCTCCGCTGGTGGACGAAGCTCCTACATTTCCGAACAAGCCACCGCCGGACCCAGTATTCGAGTTGTTCTGGTTGGAGCCGAAGGCAGCGCCGGATGTGCCAAAAAGACTTCCACTGGATGTTCCGCTGGAAGCGGGAGTGCCGAAAGAGAACGACATGACGGTGTGTCGCGATCGAGGGAATCGGCGAGCTTGGGTGAAAAAGAAGACGGAGAGACGGCCAGCGAACGATGCAAGGACGGGAGATCCTGCAGAAGGGATCACGGGATCCGACTGGGTAACGCGACCTCAAAATGAATCGAATTGAGCTCCCGAGATCGAAAGGTGAGGGAAAGAGCTCGTGGAAGGTGAAGCAACAATAATCGGCAGGAGTTTCAGCAAGTTACGCGCTTTTGGCAGCCTGACCCTTCGGGCACAGTATTCACGCCTGAGGCATTCAGGCACGCGCGGTCTGGACTCGAGTCGATCGCAGCCAACGACGTCGTCGCTCGCACTACACACGGCCTGCATGATATATTTCCTTCTTCCTCCTCGTCCTTCCCCCTTTCTCCCATGTTCCAGCCTTGAATACACCAACCAACATGTCGGAGGCGACTCCCGATGCGTCCACCCATCTTGAACCCCCCAGCAAGACCACTGAGAAAGAGGACCCAGGAGCTGAGGACACGGGTATGCCTTTGAAACCTCACCGTGAGAACTGTTTACTTCAAATACTAAGCAATTTATTCTGCTCGTATAGCTTCCAACAGCGATGATGAGCACTTCTCAGACGCCAGCGAAGGCCATCTCAATGCACAATCAAACCTCCAAACCGGCGGCACGTCCCCTGTCCCACGAACTCGAGTAGAACGGGTCGACAGCAGCCCACAACACGGCGAAGTGCCCGGCACTGCTGCATATGAAATGAGAGGGCAGGATGCAGTCCCCGACGAGATCGAAGTCCTCCCAGAAAGTGCTGAGGATGCACAGACCAAGGACACTTCGTCCGCGGGGTCGCAGGACCGACCCTTGACCCCGGGCGATTCGTCAATTCCACGGACAGTGGTCGAAAAAGTCAATCCAGAGTCTCCCAGCCATGGTGAGGTTCCAGGAACAGGGGCATATGAGAAGCGTCAAGCAGATGCCGTGCCTGACCTCGTCAGGACGGCCGGTGACCTTGATGACGCTCAACCTCCTTCATTTGTGGATGATGGATCTCCAGAAACCAACATACCAGACCAGGAGATTCCAGAAACAAAAGTTTCCCAAATAGAAACTATGCCCACTGAGGAAGAGCTGCCACCACATCCAAAAGCTCATCAAAGCTCGCCGAGCGATGCAATGCCCGATACTCTGGAAACAGTACCGGACGTTTCAACACCTGAGGAGTCCTTGTCGCAAGACACTGCGGAAGAAGACGACGATGACCAAGAGGCTGGAGATGAATTTGATGAATTTGTCGAAGAGCAAGATGATATGGGAGATGACGATTTTGGGGATTTTGATGATGGCTTCCAAGAGCCTGGCGACGACCTTGCTGAGGAAGCTTCCATGGGTGACAGCATGACACCTCAGCAACCTCTTGCACCACCCTCTGTTGTGAGTGCCTCTATTTACTACATCTTTTTCACAGCTGCTAACACTGCTAGCCTCCTCTTACCAACTTCGACGACTTCAAATCCACCTCCGAACTTCTCACAGCCCTCCAGGACACCCTCGACATCCTTCTTCCCGCCTCTCAAGACCTCGACTCCCTCCCACCAGTCGAGCCAATCCCGGACTCATCTGCAATCTTCAGCACGGAGCGCTCGCTCTCCCTCTGGTCTCAGCTCGTCGCCCCACCCCCCCTCCAACCACAGAACTGGGTCAAGTCCCGCATTCGCCGACTGTTCCTCGTCTCCCTCGGCGTCCCAGTCGACCTCGACGAGATTCTCCCGGCATCCAAGCAAAAGAAGCTCATTCTCCCGTCAATCGACATCGACGGAACAACAACACCAAACCGCAATCGTGCCCCAAAAGAAGGCGAGGGCGAGAGCGAAAACACCCAAAACACAACCACGGCAGGGCTGGCCCCTACACGCACCAAGACCACTCGCCGCGGTGCACCCCCACCCCCAGAACTGGACCTTTCAGCCGTCCGCCGCTTGTGCGCAACCACAGACGCTGCGCTCAGCGGCTTGACAGACACAGAGCTGAAAGAACATGTCCAAGAGGTGGAACAGGTCACGCTGCGTGCCAGTGAACTGTTGGAGTACTGGCTTAAGCGGCGTGATGGATTGGTTAGCGAAAAGGAGGCCTTTGAAGGGGTTATTGAGAACCTTGTCAGTCATGTCCGTCGGGTGAGAAAGTAAGCCTTTCCCTGCGGTACCATCATCTTATATACCATACTATACCTGTATTATCTAATGTCGAAGGTGGAGACGACCTCCACTGAATGAGCATGATGTTTTTGCTTGGAAATTTGTGTCGAAGATCGCGCTTGTTTAAGAGTTTTAAATAGAGCCGGATTAGACGGAAGTTACTCAAATAAGAACTATTTTTCATTATGAACTGGTCTCTCCTGGAGAAAGATAGATGAAGATGTTCAAGAGAAGGAAACGCCGACGCTTTTCTGGCTATGAATATCCGCATTGAATGAACGAAGAGAACTGGGTATCTTTATTTTGCAATGCGCGCAAATAAAATCAGGTGTACAAGGTAAGAGGTAGAAGAGCAAGCTCGAAGTTAATCTTGTAATGAAGCAGCAAAGATGGAAGGCTGGCTGGGAGGTAGCTTTAGTCCAGCTCAATCACAACTGGCTCGACGGACTGCGAGGCAGTTCTTCTGGCGGGAGAACTTGCGAGAGAACATCCATCGTGCTTGGTACGTGTTGCATCCGATCCCGCCTCCGCGTCGGCTGCTTTGCGCTTGCCCGTTGCAGGGAGTGAAGACCTGTCCGCCCTCGGGCTGCGTGTGGCAGTAGGCGAATTTTCACGCACGGCCTGGACAGTCCAGGTACCGTCTGCTTTGACTTGGATGGCCTGTGCGCCTTCCAGTTCGTTGGTGGCAACAAGATAGTCGCGTACCGCGGTGAAATACTTGTCCACGCGCAGCAGCTGAGGGCGTGCGTCGGCGTTGCAGATTGGGCATCGCCAATTGTCGTTCATCGGTGCTGGACCAGAGTCATTCTTGCGAGTCTTGATGAAGGTCTCATGGTCGAAACACTCTAAATGGTCGCAGTGCTCGGAACGAACGGGAGATTTGAAGATTTGTGCCATGAAAGGATCGATGAGACTGATTTTCAGGCTGTCGGTCACGATAGCCAGGTCATCGCTGTCCGCTGACGGGACGAGACGTTTCTGAATACTCATGCGGGTCTCTTCTGCCGACCTGATGCCTACAAGATCTCGCACTTGCTCGAACTTGCCGACCTCCATTGCCTCGATAGCAACAGCATACTTGAAACCCTTACACTCATCCGGCCCAAGCAGAAAGTGGATCATTATGGTGTTATTGCCCGGTCGAAGGTGCTTGGAGATATCCAAGGGGATGTCTTTTCCGTTGTGAGCTCTTCGGCGGACGTACATTTCCGTTCCGTTGACAAAGATGTAAAGCACACTGGGCCAAACACCATTTTTCGTCGGCCAGAAACGCCCCAGGTTTTCTTGTTCGGGAGGAGGGAAGGCATTGCACCGCAAGCGAATTACATTGCAACCCGGTTGAATTGTTTGAATGGAACGTCTTCCGTCACTTCGTTCCTGCAGACACGGAAGCCTCTGACACTCTGTTTCTGAGAGAGAGAACTGCAAGTCGTAGCGGAGCTCTTTCGGGTCAATGAGTTGCGGCGGCAGCACGAAACCACCAAGGTGTTGGAACAATTCTAGCTCAACCCACTCCCCGTTCGGCCTAAACTCGCCTAGTTTCTTGATTGGATCGCGAAGATCAGCTTGATGCAACGCCATATGCGTTGGATTTGGGTGCACCACATGCGGAAGCCGATAGTCAAGAGAAGGAAAGAAGGGCACACTAAGCTGAGATCGAGAGCTTGGATTTTGTGGGTTCCCTGTGGCTGAAGAGGAGACTTGCTGTGGTGGGATGGTCCGTTGTCCTCCTAAGTGAGTACGAGGGCTTTGCGTCGACGAGCCCTGACGTGGATCATTACCAGGAGGCCCGGGAGGGAGCTGCTGATAAGGTTGAGTTGGCATCTGGCCGTTCCAAGGAGAGTGGGCGGGTGGCGGTGGTTGCGGCGATGATTGCGATGAATGTGAAGTGAGGGAGGGAGAGTTGGAAGGCACCGATGCTTGAGCAGGCTGCTGCATCTGCGCCTGAGGAGAACTTTGCACCAGACCCTGGTGAGCCGTTCTCATAGGACCGTAATATCCCGGTTGACCCTGGCTTTGAGGTGGGTGCTGTATCTGCATGGGATTGTACTGCACCCACCGCCCTGGATACCAAACACGGGGTGAGTTCTGGCCAGATTGTGGATTCGAGTGAATGGAGCCCACAGGGCTGCCTACAGCAGATTGCGTACCGCTCCTAGGCAACCCGGCAACACGATTGGGTACATCCGGGGACATGGAAGACGATGGAGCAGAAAAGGTCGGCTGTGAGATGGGAACTGTCAACGGCACTGATCGTGGTCTTAACAGGATCTTCTTGTATGCTTGCATCACGGTCGATTCCCGGCCCTGCAAACTTGCGTGAAGATCTTGCCGAAATAACGGAATCAGCATTTCCACTGTATCAGGATCATAAAGATGTCGGCATGTGGACACAAAGATGACAGTCATGAGTACGGGCGAAGTCGTGTTTAAAAAACTTCTTAACTCGCTCACCATCAGTGGGTAGCCACGGCGATAGGCCACCTCGTCAAGACGGGTCTTGAGGTCGGCGAAATGCGTTGCCATCCGCGAGAGGCAGAGACAAATTGCCTGAATGGTCGAACGATACCACGCCTGGTGCTTCAAATCTTCGAAATTCTGTGGAAATCTAGCAAATTTCCGGACCATTGGCTCGGACATGTTCGTGTTGGGTTCTATAAGCTCTTGTAGCCGTACCATGCCTTCCTGGCAGATTTTTTCACTAAGCTCAGGGAATTCAGACGGGGACCTGTTGTCGAGAGACTGTCGACAGTATACCTGGTGGAGGACCAGATAGAGGATATCTTTATATTTGCACGCATCCTCTAAAAGATCGAATCTGGGTCCAGTGAGTGGCGAGGGACATCCTCGCGGTTCTTTTTTGAGATGCGCCAAGCTCGCGGACCATTGTGCCCAGGTTTTATCGCCTGCTATGGTTAGGCCTGAAGGCTGGGAACCGGGTTGTGACGGTTGAGGCCGTGGGAGCGCATTTTCAGGTGCATTTCCTTGTCCAACCGTGGGGATCGATGGACTTTGACCAGGTGTTTGTTCCGTCACCGGAGACTGAACCGGGAGGCCACTTGTGAGGGGTGGAAGCGGTAACCTTGGATCCGCATTTTGTTCACACGGAGGCGTGGCCGTTGTTATCAACATGTCTTGGTGAGGTACTGTCGCTGGCTGACTTGGGGGCACCGCATTTTGGCCGCTAGGTCCGCTTTGTCCGCTTTGCCTGTTTGGGGGCACAGCAACGGGTGGTCCGTCCGGCGCCGGGAAATCGACGTCGCAGGGGCGATTATGCGCCACGACGTGGCTCGGGTGGGAGTTGGTACTGGGTACCGGTGAAGGAAGAGCCGTTGGTGTATCGGGTTTGTTGGCCAAAGAAGCAGAGGGTTGTAAAGTCGGCCCCGATGTTAAAGTCACCCCCGGTGTCACGGGGGAAACCAACGCGGCTTCCTGTGGGCCTGGGTTGGACAATGATGTATTCCGCGGCCTTGAATCAGCGAGAGGAACCTCAGCGACAGCGAGCACGGGCTGAGCATCGCGGATTTGAGGGCAATCGGGCCCTGGAAGGCTGGCGCCGGGCATCCAGGCCCTCCTCGCACCACCGAGGAACAGGCTCGCGGTGGAATTGGATTCTTCAATGTGATCGACGCTCGGGCGTGATCTCCGAGATCTGGGAGAGACCATCGCAAACCCACATCTCTGGCGCTTGGTGTCCGCGAAGGTTCAGAATTTTAAACAAGTGGCGATGTTTGCTCGGACAAAGAAAAGCTTCATATCCCCGCGATAAAGTACAAGTGGCCCCATCAACCCGTCTTCGCGCGTCCTATAAGATAAATGGAAAGGTCCCGATTCTGCTACAGGTCCTTTTGGGAGTTTGTCTGTTTCGAAATGAAAGCATCATCAAGACGGGTACATGCCCAATGGCGCATGCATTGGCGCCGCTGCAGGTACCTGGTACAAGACACGTCTGCACCGCTTGATTTGCTGCTGCAGACGCTTAGAAAGTCTACTTCGGTGAGCAGTCGAGATCGTCGACATCTTATTGACTGTATTTTGGACCGGTGTAGATGGCAGGATCACACTGCAGTAAACAAAAGTACCGAAATACCATATGATTGTCCTAGTTACAGTTACAGGTACGCTGGACATCGTCCCATGAATGTATCTTACCACCGGCCGCATTCATCCTTCGGATGCAGAAACGTGCTACATCCATAACGTCCACAAACGGATCAATAATAACCAAATAACCCACTAGCCACAACTATATTCCTCCCCGTTGATTCTACGATTCTATCCCCTGTATACGACTTCCAGTGGTGCAACCCTCAGCCGCTCGACATTGCAATTTCCCAGACGAACCGTGGGTACGCAGTGTCCAGATCCCTTGGGAGAATTTTGAGAACCTGACGGCGGCACACGTCACTTCCTCGCTGTCCCGACTCACATTTGCAACTTCTTTTCGGAGTTGGGTATTTCTTGTCGTACCGGCCCATCGCCTTGGATCGCCCTATCTACTAGCGCGAGACTTCATCTTTGTGCGCACACACCCTACTCTGTTTGTGGTGAAACGTATCTTTCGCTCATTCCACGCCCGGATTCCGTGCTTCTTTTTTTTTTCCATCCCAGGGGCATGGTTGATCGAGCCACGCCCTGACGATCGAGAGCGTGTTCACTTCGTTTTCCCCGTTTCCCCTCCCCTTGGGAAGCTTCGGCCCTTTTCCAGGTTAGCGCACCGCGAACCCCGCGAGCTAAAGGACCTGAGCCTTGACTGGCCGCGCCAGATTCCTTGACCTTCCCTCGGCCTTCTGCATTCCCTCCCCTTTGAGCAATCTCACATTGCTTCGAGGTTCCCAACGGTGTCTCATATCCGTTGCTTTTCTCTTCCCGAAAGGGCTCTCGGCCCTATGTCCTGCGACTGATTTTCCCTCGCTTCGACCTGTTCCCACCACTGCTATAACTGCGATCGGAGGATTTGGGCCCAACCCGTTGCGAAATGGCCGACCAGTCGCAGGTGTCGCCTGCGCCGCCGCAGAATGTCCAACGTGGTGACTATCTCGTCGTTCTCCGTAAGTGACGCCGATACCGTGTGTGCCTGCGCGATCGCGCGCCAATCCGGTCCCCCTCGTCTTGGACGATGCGCCTAACCCAATATAGACCCTCATGAAACAAATGGAGAGGACGAATTGAAGATGAGGCGTGGCGACATTATCCTCCTCAAAGAGATGGATGAAGATTTCTTGGATGGATGGTGGCTTGGGCAGCATCCGGCTTCCGGCCAAAAGGGACTCTTCCCTGCAGGTACGTTCGCAACGAAACAGACGAAGGAAAATCATCTTGGGGGTAGCTTCTTACATATGCGACAGGCTTTACCAGGAAGGCGCATGCCCACGAGCGCTTGAAGGTCCGTCAAATGACCCCTTCCTCCCAAGAACCGATCGAAATCGAAAAGACCGAGTCGCCGATTCAGATGGAGCCGACGACACCGGTCGATTCGGCTTTCCCCACGGCGGGCAGTGGACAAACGACACCTCAAGCGTCACGCCACGCCAGCACCTCGGATGTGCAAGCGCAGATGGGTTCTCCAGCCCAGCAGCGATCTGCCTCGTCTCCGCTGCCGCGCCCGAGTCTCGCGGCCGATATCCAGCAAGCCTTCCGCAGACCCCTCGATGGCCATGGGAATGGCGAGGACAGTCCGGTGATGAACGAGACTTTAAGCGTCATCGACGAACACATTACCGATATGAACACTCCTCGCCACAGCGTGTCGACCCAGGATGCAAAAACGATGAATGACTCCGGTAGCGAATACAGCAGCCATATGAGCCATCGCATATCCTATATTAATGGAAATGAGACGGATGAGGAAGAAGGAACACATCTGACTGAAGCGCAAGTACGCCGTTGGAGTCAGGTTGAAGCCGCCCGGCAGATGCGTGCCCTCGGCGTTGATTCGAAACATTGTGAGATTTTTGAAGAGCAGGAGATTACCGGTGATGTTCTTCTTGATATGGACCAAGATTTCATTTTCATGAAGGAGTTTGATTTTGGAGTAATGGGCAAGCGCCTCAAGACCTGGCACAAAGTGAAGGCCTTCCAAGAGGAGGTGAAAGGCATCAAGCAGCCGCAGGCTGCACGTGGATCCGTCTCGGGCTTTGCCGGTGGCACCGAAGAACGATCATTGTCTCGCGCCGGCCACACTGGGCCCTTCCTGCCGCGTATTCCTACGGTGTCGGAGAAGACTGGGGCAGGCTATCGGGCATCTGCTGGGCCTACACAACATCCTCGGCTTGCGAGCAACAACAGCTCTCCTATGACTCCGAATACTCCACCATTCGGCCAGGACTCGCCAAGAAGAATATCCGCTGCTTCTATTCGAGATCTCAATCATTTGAGACGGCATTCTTCCATCGACGCGACTCATCATGGCCCGCCTACTTCGTCTATGAATGGCGGTCATCAAAAGAAGTCTTCGTTTGACCGGGGTTGGACTCTCAGCGGTGGTGCTCAAACATTGCCAACTCGTCCAGGAACTTCGATGGGCACGACGTCAGCTTTCCGTGGACCGCAGGGCGCCGAATCAGAGCCCAACACGCCTGATCATGTCGACGATCTAGATCGGGGCTACTTCTCCGGCACGGAAGTGGATTCACGCCGGGCTCGCCGCGTTCTGCAGAAACGGGCTTCGGCAGCTGGCAGCATGAGCCATTCTCGCAAGTCGAGCTATGCGGATGACCCATACAGGGTCAAAACTGCTGGCAAGCGTCAGTCTCGTATTGGCAGTGTTGACTCTATACGTGACGCTGCTAATGGCAGACACGTCTCTACTGCTGCCCAAGCGTATCACGGCGATGCGCCTCAGAAGAGTCGTTTCAGAAGCCTGAGTACTCGTGTGTCTCAGCGAAGCGGCAATGATTCGCAGTCGTCCAATGCCGATGGCAAGGATGGCAAACCTGGTTTCTTCGCGAGCTTTGGACCTTTGATGCGAAAGGGAGATTCAGAAGGCTCGACACGTTCGCCCTTGAACTTCCAGTTGCCTGGTGCTGGCAAGATCCGTCGCGCTGTCGGCCTCCGCACTGCCTCTGATGGTGTCGCTAAGAGCACTGATATCTCTTCTCCTGTTTCGCCGCGGGAGTACGATCCAATGTCTGGTCGTACCGGGTCGACTACTCCATCGGCGACGTCAAAGAGCTCAGAGCGCCACAGCACTGATGGGTCTGGTAAGGCTGCCGAGGGTGCCGGATTCATGGTCCGTCCTCGGACGGTCAAGTCTAAGAAAGATACCAGTGCTTATACCCGTGGTCTCGAGAAGAAGTCGCCCCTGGAACAGATGGTAGGTTGTGAGTACAGTGGATGGATGAAGAAGAGGTCATCAAATATGATGACAACATGGAAGCCTCGGCTGTTTGTCCTGCGTGGCCGCCGCTTGTCCTACTACTATTCCGAAGATGATACTGAAGAGCGTGGTCTAATTGATATCACTGCTCATCGCGTGCTGCGTGCGGACAACGACCCCATCATCGCGCTGCATGCCACTGTTACCGGTGCCACCGCATTGCCCGCCAATGCCAGCACCAGCGAGAACGGAAGCGGCATGAAGCTCACAACCCCGGCTGTCATCGCGTCTCTCACCAACAGGGACGGCAACGGACCTTTCTTCTTCAAACTGGTGCCTCCCAAGATGGGTAACTCACGCACGGTCCAGTTCACCAAACCCACCACCCACTACTTCCAGGTCGACAATGTCAAAGAGGGCCGCTTGTGGATGGCCGCTCTGATGAAGGCGACTATTGAACGCGACCTGTCACAAGCCGTCGAGAGCACCAATAAACAGAAGACAATCAGTCTGAAGCAGGCTCGATTGATGAACCAGCGGCCGCCCGCTCTGATGACTGCCGGTGTTGAACAGGACCCGGTCATCGAGGAAGAAGAGGAAGACAGTGGGCTCCGAATTGATGGCTTGAACCTGGACAAAGCACCTTCCACGGAAAGCGGCTCTTTCGTCGATGCAAAGGTTGAACTCGACTCCCAACGCCAAAACACCGATCGACCTCAATCAAATCCTCCGATGTCGAACCCCCTTGGTGAAATCGACACCGGACGCACATCTCTCCTCCCTTCTCCTTTAGCCAAGATCGATTCGCAGTGATCTCAGTCTCGCTTTTCTATTTTTGGCGGGATTTTGCTACAATTCTTCTCCGGTGGACGTTGGACCAGATACCTTGGTATCTCCTGCCATCTCCTGCCATCTCTTGCCATTTATCTTTGATCTTTGATCTACTTGCCTAGCTATTTATAACCCACCCCCTTGTTTTGGCGTTCAATGTGATATACCCCTCGCCCCGACTTCTTTTCCATTCGTTTCTGGCTTCGGCCGATATGTGTTTCAGTTACGTGGATATGAAGGATTGACGTGGGCTGTGTGTATGATGACGATTTTCTAGCTTATGAGGCTGCGGAAGTTGTTCCTGGCTTTGATTCGGATATTTTCTATGAACGAGTGATTTGTCCTGGTGCCCGGGTGTTTGTAGAGGGTTTTAATCGACTGGCTTCTCGTTATGGACTATACAACATTCAGATTCAATCCATGGATGTTGCTTTCTCTTTTTTCCAAGGTTCACCTGACCTAGTTGTATATCCCGTATATTTTCTTCTACCTAGGTAGAGAGAGATTCCAGCTCCTCTTCCAGAGTTGTCTAGGCCATTGGGCCTAGATGCGCTTTCGTGTTTGTTGCCGGGGTTGGTGCTTCACGCACTTGGTCAGCGTTATTTTGGTATGGTAATTCACCATTCCCGGATGTAAGAGCATATGAGACGGATTTTTTTCCATCCGTATATTAAATAATTGGATCATAAATATTAAATTTTGAGGTGTTGATTTCCTGCGAGGCTGAAGTGAGACCACGATATAGATCCGATATAAACGATCACGTAGTGAGAACGTCACCAATATCCGGGCTCAACAAAAGAAAGACCCAAAAAATAAAAGAAAATCAAGATCAACTTTGATTGAATAAGATCGAAGAATCAAAGAATACGTGCTTTGTCCCCCCAAGGCGACGGCTGAAATGGCACCTCCAATAACCTTGCAAGGCACATGTGGGTTCTAAAGGTTGTCGCGGGCGCTTTTTTGATTCTTTGATTCCGCTGTTTGTTTTCCCCCTGGAGCCTTCGACCTACGCTCCCCCACCATCCATTCCTTTTTATATATTCCATTCATCATGCTGTATATTATTCATCTTTAATGTTTCTAATACCCCTACCATGCGACTCCTCAAGTCCCTCCACTCGTTGCTCAACGGCGCTGCCACAAGATGGCTCCTCCCGCTCAGCGTCACGGGTTTCGTCTACCTATACCTCTACCCAGTCTTCAAGGGCTGCGCATTCCCCTTGGCTCATGGCCAATCCCCATGGGAAATCAATTCACGATTCATAGGGAAGCTGCAACAGAATGCCTTTGCCAATACCGTACTTCAACACCTCGGAGTCCCGAACTTCGCGCCGGACGACCCGCCCGCCATCTTCAGGCTCCTAGTCCTCGCAGACCCTCAATTGGAAGGCGATACCTCTCTCCCGCTTCCAGAATGGAAGCTGATACCGCGCATACGCAAGCACTGGCGCGCCGTCCGCGAGACCTCGGATTCCTCGCGGTTCCCGTACCCGCTCTCTCTCCTGAACCGTGAGCTCTTCACCGGAGTGAAGACCATCGCAGTCGAAGACATACCGCGCTCTCTGCGGGCAGTGCAGAAGCAAATCGACCTGCTTGGCAACGACTGGTACCTAGCGCATATCTACCGCACCCTATTTTGGTGGACTCGACCGACGCATACAACCGTGCTGGGAGATCTTCTGGGCAGTCAATGGATTGACGATGGCGAATTCGCATCGCGCAGCTGGCGTTACTGGAAGCGCGTATTCCGTGGCGGCCTGCCCGTGGACGACCACATCACACGCACGGGAGAAATTGGGAGCACTGGCAACGTCAACAAGGATCCAGAGCTTAAACAATACAGCGAGCCTCTAGGAGAGGACGCCGACCCGGCCTGGCCCAGGCGGGTGATCAATGTTGCCGGTAACCACGACATCGGCTATGCAGGCGACGTAAGCGAGGCACGAATGGAGCGTTTCGAGCGCGAATTCGGCCGTGCGAACTGGGATATCCGGTTCCAGCACCCGCCTGTCGTGCTTCCCAATACTACCCACGGGGACACACGTGTTGAACCTACACTACATATCATCAATTTGAATACGCTTACTCTCGATACGCCTGCGCTGTCCAAGAGTGTCCAGGACCACACCTATGCATACCTCAATGACCTCATTGGCAGGCTGCACCCTGTCGAGGACAACTCAACATTTACTTTGCTCCTCACGCATCTACCTCTACACAAGGAGGAAGGTGTCTGTACAGATGAACCCTATTTCTCATTCCACGATGATGATGACAAGGACGGACCGGACGGAGTTCCGCGCTTCAAGTCCGGTGGCTTGAAAGAGCAGAATCACCTGAGCGAGTTCGCCAGTGCCAACGGCATCTTGCAAGGCATTTTTGGAATGAGTGGCGACAAGAAAGCTCCTGTTGGTGGGCACGGCCGGGAGGGACTAATTCTCACTGGTCATGACCATACTGGTTGCGATGCGGTGCATTACGTTTCGCAAAACCAAAGCGAGAAGAGCTGGCAGTGGGCCGCGAGACGGTATAATGGCTCTAATATCAAAGAGGAAGAAACCCCGTCCATCCGTGAGGTGACGCTTCGCTCGATGATGGGTGAATTCGGTGGTAATGCTGGCCTACTCTCCATCTGGTTTGATGCCAACCTTGGTGGATGGGAATACGCAATTACCATGTGCCCTGCTGGTGTGCAGCATATATGGTGGGCGGTGCATGTGATCATTCTGGTGCATTTCAGTGTCGAGTTCGCTCGGTTTGTGGTCTGGTTGGCTTTGCGTGCCCAGGAGATAAGAGTGTCGAAGACGACCTTGGTGGGCAAGAAAATCGAAATCACAGCTGTCCCCCGTGCGGCATGTCAATTTCCCACACGGAAGGCCAAGAGAAGAAAAGGGAAAGGGGAAAGGGAAGTAAGAAGGGAAGGTGATATGTAGGATATAGGAGAAATTGGGCATGTATATTGGCGTAAGTTTACCTTGTTATTTAGACATATGGACATTGCATAGCAAGTACACACTGCCGTTCAGGAAAAAGAAACACCCACTCCATACTCTTGTCATTGTAATGTGATGACAGCGGAGGCATACATGATAACTTGTAGACTACGATTTCTAAAATAGACCGATACAAATACAAGGTCTAAGATGGTATTCAAGCACAGATCATCAGTTTCATGAATCTGCTCGAGTCTAGAGGTCGAGGCCGAGGGCAACAAGCCGAGAAACACAATAATGTGGAACTCGATACCGAATAAACCTCTTACATGCACAGGGAAAGTCATGAAAAAAGGATGATTTTTTCCCGAATACTTCCGAGTCGCCAGATCCGACGAGAAAAACACGAATGGGAGGAAAACGGCTCGAAATAACACAAGTGGATTCGTCAATTAGACCTCCTCGCTTCCACAAAATGCCTCATGCAGCCCACACGTTTTCCCAGGTCCCAAGGAAAGTCAGGCTTGGTATCGTTGAATTTTTGGTTGTTTTAATTCGCGTATCTCTCTCTTTACATGACGACCCCGGAGTTGGAGGCGATACGGGGCCAGAGCTCAGCAGCCTCCTTACCGACAGGGCCGGTAATGGCGGATCCCTTCATCTCACCCTTGGCGTTGACGATCTAGATGACGGGTTAGCAGTTTGGTCGTATGGTAGGGGGTCTGGAGATTGCGCAGTATATGAAGAGGCACGACGTGAAACCAATGGGTTCAAACGTATGCTTCGACATATCTGCACATCCCAGGAAAAGTGTGTACTTACAACACCAGCGTTGTCCTCGAAGTACAGGTAGATACCGTCAGCCCGGCGCCAGGGCTTGCTCTGGCGGACAACGACGGCGGGCATGACCTTCTTGCGCAGCTCGGGCTTACCCTTCTTGACGGTGGCCATGACCATGTCTCCGACACCGGCAGCGGGGAGACGGTTGAGGCGGGCACCGATACCGCAGACGGCGATGATGTACAGGTTGCGGGCACCGGAGTTGTCGCAGCAGTTCATCACGGCGCCACTATTCGAAGAGGACCGTTAGTATTCCGTTGTTGTTTCCTATTCAATTTCCGAGCCGTAAGCCCCGCCAATGATTTCGATGTCAACGTTCCGCTCCATGCCGCATGTCGTGGTCGTCCCGAAGTTTTCAGTTGCGTGCTTTGTCGAGTGCTTTCGAGGATTTGACGAAGAGGAAGCGGCGTGCTGGCAATGGGCGTTGTGTTGTTCGAACGTTCATTGGACGAGGGTACGGTGGTGGGTGATAATTTCTTTAAACGTACGTAGGCAGACCGAGAGTCATCTTCAGCTTGTTGCCGGCGGCACCGCCACGACTGTAAAGTCAAACGTTAGCTATTCCGTTCGTATCTCTCATATCGCACCCGGATTGTGCGTGTCGTTCATCCATTCTCCCCCACTCAAAAAGTATTGAATGTTGAATGTTGAATGTTGAATGTATTGCGGCCGTCGAGGTCCTCCAATTTTCGATGCAAATGTGTGGTGCTGTATTTCCGGAGGGAGACAGATCAGACTTACCCTCTCTTAGACATGATGGCTGGGTTGTTGGGGGTTGTCGGTAGTCGAAAAGGGTTGGCGACAGAAGGTCAGGTCGGGAGTCGAAGAATCGTCCACAGTGGTTTCTCGCTTAGTGCGCAGAGTGTGGAAAATCTTGGCGCCGCAGCGGTGGGTCGGGGTTGCCCTAGCGCTAGGCCTGTTTGGGACATCGAATCGCATTAGTCACCGTTTCTTGCACGTGATATACCATCTATAACTCCAAGTTGGAAGGCCGCGTTTTCTACTTCTAGGTAAATTTCAAAAGTCAAGTCTAATAGATTGAGGTGAATTTTTCTGCATTTGCTGTTCAACATTCAAATCATGAAAAAATAGAGTTAACCAAAAAAAGACTGAAATGACCAAGGCAAACCCAGATTGCCTTCCAGCCTGAAAAATCTAGATGAGACCGGAAGTAACCTCCAAGATCTGCCTAGGCACGTTGATTCCAGAGACGTGGGGATAAAAATACTCTCAACTTATAAAACAACCAGTCTCGGCGTTCCACCATGAAGAGAGACAGGACACCCCCATTTTCGAACAGATGCAAGCATGCTGAGAAACCGAATAACACCTTTCTGCCCATTGTCCGTTGCGCCAAATCCGATATTGCTGTCTTGTGATAGTGCAGATTACTCCTCCTTCTTGGGTTCTTCGGTAGTCTCGGTCGTTGCCGCCTTAGCCGCCTCCAAATCGCCAGCAGGAGTAGCCTTCTGTGTTGAAGCCTCAGCTCCGGTCTCCGCAGGTGTGGATGACTCCTTGGGAGGCGACCGAACTGGAGGGGACAGAGGTGCCTTGGATGCGTCGTCTGCAGCAGGCGAATTTTCGGGCTTCTTCTCCTGCGCCTCATCCATAGGCTCGGACTGCTCCGGAGCAGATGTCGGCGCTCCAGAATCTTCCATGGCTGTGTCCTCATCGTGCGGGGGAGGCGACGGCTGCTGAGAAGCCGCAGCAGAGACGCCCTTGTCTTCGCTATCTACAGCCATTCGGTCGGTATCAGTGGCGGGGGTGTCCTGTCCTAGCGAAGTTGCACCAGCAGCCGCATCAGGGTCAGTTCGCGGAGCATCAGTCATCTTGGTATCCATGGCGCTGTCAATATCACCGTCGCCGATAGATGAAGCCTCCTGTGGGGTTGCCATGCCACTATCCAGGCCAGAGTCACCGGGGTCAAGATTGCGGTAATTCGTGATGTTCCGGCGACGAAGAACGCCCGGCTGACGACGCACACCATTGGCAGCGTTCTCTTCCTCATCCTCACTTTCGCTCAGCTCGCCGGGCTTCTCCACGTACTGGTCGAAACGGCGTTGGGTAAATCGCTTGTCCTTGTTCTCATCTTCGTCCAAATCATCAAGAACGTCATCAGCATCGTCATCCATGCCTTCCAGGAGCGGATTGCGAGGCACGTCAGTCATCTGGACTGAGGGCGCGAATGCTGTGCGCTTAAGATTCTCGACCACCTGGCTGCGGATCTTGTCCAGGTAGTCCTTCGTATTCGCATTGTCCATGTTCGAAGGTCGGACATCAAGCTCGTAGTCAGGAGCGAAATACTATCAATAGTCGTCAACAGGCGGTTCTCTGGAAAGGAAGATAAACTCACCTCATAGTAATCGTTGTAGGGCAGCTCGGATTCCAGGTTGTCGCCAACAAGGATACCGGTTTCGTAGGCCCAGGTACGTGCGACATTGCGCATGGTGTAACCGCCGCCACCTAGGATCAGAGTTGGCAGATCGAAGCTCTTGATGAAGTTAACGCAGTTGGCGTGACCGCGCATACTCAGGTTGAAGCAGCCCAGGCGATCACCAGACAGACTGTCACCACCGCACTGCAGGACCACAGCCTCTGGGCGATACCACTCCATAACGCTTTTGATCACGGGCTCAAAGATGCTCTTGTAGGAAACATCGTTGATACCATCGCGCAGGGGGAAATTGACGGCATAATACTTGCCGGAGCCGACACCTATGTCGCGAAGTTCACCAGTACCAGGGAAGTACTCGCCGTACTTGTGGAAGGAGACGGTCATGACGCGATCAGTGGTGTAAAAGGCCTCCTCAACACCGTCACCGTGATGGACATCAATATCGACATAAAGGACTCGTTGCTTGAATCGCAGAAGCTCAAGAATGCCGAGGACAATGTCTAGGAAGCATTAGTTTTGCGATACTCCCATCCAGGCAAAGAGATCGCATCTTACCATTCACGTAGCAGAAGCCACTAGCCTCGCTTTTCTTTGCGTGATGCAAACCACCAGCCCAGTTCACAGCAACATCGCACTTGTTGCGATTCAATCGTGCTGCGCCCTCCATACTGCCACCTGCACTGATTCCGCAGAATTCAAACAGGCCGTCGAACACCGGGCAGTCATCACCCACGTTGTATCGACTTTGCTCTTTCGAGAAATGGTCCATGTTGTCGGGAGTAACCTTGGACAGGAAGTCGATATACTCGTCGGTGTGGAATTGGGTCATTTCGTATTTTGAGGCCGGTTTCGCGCGCTGTCCATATGCGCGTTAGTATGAAAGTTTTGGATCGAAGAGCAGAACCAAAGGACAGGAAACTTACGTAGATTTCCATCTTCTTGTACAGACCATAGTTCATGACCAGGCTGTGGGTCATACGTATGCGATGCGGCTTCATGGGGTGACCCGAGACATAGGCATAGTTGCCCACATCCGAGTCGTAGAAGTAGGCGACTTTCTTCTTGCTGTCGCCGGCACTAACACCATTGGAGAGTGGCTCGGCAGCCATGGCGCTTGTCATTTCGGAAAGAGCTCGGTCGAGTATGGTGAAGAGGCTTGGGGAAGTAGATCAGGAAGAAGTTGAGGAGTGGAAGGAAGTATGCGGGTTAGGGGAGTCAATGGGAAGCAGACGTCTCGTGACCCGGTTGATATATAACCACCAGGGTACCAAGTACCACCGAAAGAAGGCGAATCAGTAATCAAGCACAACAGCAGGCCAGAAACGACTTGCTCATGGTGTTGTGAACTTGGACGGGAGAGGCTTGAGAGAATCGATCGCCGCGTGGGAAGGAGCCATAACCGGCAGAATTATACACCGCCTCCGTCAGTTGAGCTTCCCGGGCCCCGACTCTCGCTGAGCAACACGCCAATCTTCCACCTCTACTATACAGCTTATCAGAGCATCTCCTTCACTTTCCGGTGACTTTTGTCTCGAATCAGCTTGCATAAAAGGCTGGGAGAATATCTCCTCAGGAGAGACAAGTCGATCCATCGGAAGCTTCCACCCAGGAAGCTATCACTATTATCCTTGCCGCGTCACAGTTCATTTGATTGCATCCAGCAGCCATGGACCGTCTCAACCGGATGCTGCAGGCCGCCCAGGGCATGGGTATGGGTGGAAACTCTGGCCCCGGTGGTGTAAGTATCTCTGTGGAGTTCCCAGTCTCGCCACTTGTCTCTTCAAGCTGCTGTGCTTGCATTTATAAGCTGGACATTGGCATCACAATGATCATATTATGGAGACTAATAGCGCATTTTGTAGGACACTGCAAACTTGATTGATAACTCCGAAACCGTCCACATTTCCTCCCTGGCTCTGTTGAAGATGTTGCGACACGGCCGTGCAGGTGTGCCGATGGAGGTCATGGGCCTGATGTTGGGTGAATTTGTCGACGAGTACACAGTTCGTGTGACGGATGTCTTCGCCATGCCTCAGAGTGGTACCGGTGTCAGTGTCGAGGCTGTGGACCCTGTGTTCCAGACCAAGATGATGGAGATGCTTCGGCAAACGGGACGGTAAGCTATCAGCTCTGATATAAGGTCATCTGGAGGTTCTAGGCTAACCATATTATTTGCACTGGTGTGTAGGCCAGAGACTGTTGTCGGCTGGTACCACTCTCACCCTGGTTTCGGCTGCTGGCTGTCTTCCGTCGATATCAACACCCAGCAGTCCTTCGAGCAGCTCACCCCCCGTGCCGTCGCTGTTGTCGTCGACCCGATCCAGTCAGTGAAGGGCAAGGTCGTCATTGACGCTTTCCGTCTTATTCAGCCCCAGACTGTTGTCATGGGCCAGGAACCCCGTCAAACAACATCCAACTTGGGCCACCTGAACAAGCCCTCTATCCAGGCTCTGATCCATGGTCTGAACCGTCACTACTACAGCATTGGAATTGCCTATCGAAAGACAGGACTGGAGGAGAACATGCTGATGAATCTGCACAAGCAAGTGTGGACCGAGGCCCTGCAGATGAACGACTTCCACGAGGAGGGCCGGCACAATGTGGACCAAATGAAGCAGCTGGTCACCCTTGCAGAGGGCTACGAGAAGCGGGTGAAGGAGGAGACCGAGCTGAGCAAGGACCAGCTGAAGACACGATACGTGGGCAAGGTGGACCCGAAGAAGCGTACATATTATTCCTACCGATTGACTTGCAATCAATATGCTAACGCAACCATACAGACATCGAGGACGTCAGCCAGCAATTGATCGAGGACAACATCGTCGCTGTTTCGAGACAGATGATTGACAAGGAGGCTTCGGTAGCCCGGCAGTCGTCGTCCAAGGAGGGACCTAATGGTGCCTCCATGGAGGTCGATGAGGAGCTTTAAACTAGAAGGCGCATGAAACCCAGAAACGCTCTAATCACGAAATCTTGTTTGTTCTCGACCTAAATATAGTCGATCAATCAAATCACCTAGGTGTTAGATGAGAGGCAATATCAAGCCTACTGTTCTTATGCCCACTGCAAGTACTTCAATCGAGCCTTTAACGTAGATTTGATAAGCAATACACCGTTACACCTGCGCAATAGATGTCTAAGTTTGAAGTTTGACCATGGAAGATATACAATGAATGCACCAACAATACTTTCAAGTTCTCAATTCTAGGTCTATAGTGCTTTCGTATATCCAAAACAGGCAACGCCGCGCAATGTATGTTCAAAATCATACCACATCTTACATCGAATGCGTCGTGATTTCCGGTAAGTCTAATGTTTCCAGCCGAACGGTCTGAAGCGAGTCGGCCAACGTATCAACGGAGGTATCCACCGAGTCCGGACGTCGAGAACGTAGTGCATCAATAGCAGCATCTGCAGGATCCTCATATGGAACGTAATCGTCCTCCTGGCTGTCTGTCCATCCTCGCTCTGGTCCCCAAAGGACCTTCTTCTTTGCTTCCCTGGTTTCTTGCAGCAGCCGGGTCATCAGTGACCCGCCCTTCCGCACGGAGGGGTAAGCGTCGAACTCGACTTGAACAAGGCCCGGAAGTCGTTCTAGAACTTGCTTCAACAGTTGTCCTGCGAATTCGGTATAATAATCCTTGGAGATGCGGAAGCCCTCGAATATAGGCTGTGATGGATCACATTCCACAAAGATCCTGAGTGTGCGCATGAGCACCATATCATGTAGTCCCAAGCCCTGATTCACGGTCCAGGTCTTTGGTGGCGCCGTCCAGCTATTCCCCAGGATCAACTCAATGGTCATCACGGAGGATCGGTGACGGCGGGGTAGTGCGCGGACGGTCGGCATGCGCTGGAAATCCTGAACGGGGAAGAGCCGAAATATCTGAGTCGAGTAGAAAAAGTGACTGGCTTCATCGTGAATACGATGACAGGCCAGGAACAGCGCTACACGATGGGATGTTGGCGCCACTGGCTTTTTCTTCTTCGCTGAGGAGCCCACAGAGCCGGCTTTGTTTTGCAATGCGCTTTTCCTTGTCGGAGTGAAAAGAACGAAATGATAGACGCGTAGTCGAATCTCGGACGGTAAATCGAGGAAACGAAAGGGTTTTCGCTTAGGCTGGGGTTCGGGCTCAGAGACGTAGTCTTCCTCGTCGTAGAACTCGGAGACAGGCCCTTTTTTCTTGCCTTTGGCCATGGTTGGGTAAAGAATGGCGTTTTATAATGGAGACACTAGGGTCTAAGAACAAGTTTCATAATTGCATTAGAGGGCGAGCATGGTTGATTCCGTGCTTGGTCGCGCTGTCAAATCTAGAGAAAAAAAGAAAGAAATGTGTCCCACAAACGGAGCCGCAGCATCAATGGAAGCCTTCGCAGCGGCTCTTGGAAGTGGAAACAGAAGTAAACTTCTCTGGTCTCCCCAGCTAATACAACCCGGCAAACATTTAGAGGCCTGTCGGGTCAAATTGTTGTCTGGGTGGCAACTTTCATAACTGAAGAGAAAAAGAAGAGGAAGGCTCGATTACCTGCGTTTATAAATGTAATGGGTCACGTGCGTGGCCCTGTTCACGCGCTCCGACTTTTTTGCGGGAAACTCGGGCAAAGTGGACTTCAGCTACACGGAGTGCACGTTTCCCCTCCTACACTTCACCCTTCCGTCATGCTGAGCCGTGCCGTCCTGCCTCTTACGAGGCCTAACGTCCTCGCCTCCGCTGTCCGCGTGGGCTCCCTGTCCACCCAGCGACCCCGGTGGTACGCCAAGGGCAAGGATAATGCCCCGTATAAGCTTCCCGAACACTTGCAGCCCAAGAAGGCCGCCGAAGAGCCCAAACAGAACCAACACGCATCGGAACAGCCCGAGTTCGATACCCAGGCCAAGCCGGAGACTGAAGCTTCCGAGTCTGCTGTGAGATACATCTGCCATCTAGTATACTAAATGTCTCGTCTGACCATCTTTTTAGCCTGAGCCGGAACAGATCCCCAACAAACCTCTCCCCGATCTCACTCAGGGTATCCCGTCGACACTGGCTGCCGAACTCGAGGGCCGTACGAAGCAGGGCGGAGGAAAGCTGAACCTCACAGAGGACCCTGCCCAATCCGATGAGTACAGCGAAGCTGGCGGCCGTGGTGACATCCCCAAGGGAGGATATGAAACATCTTCGGATCGCCGCAAGGCCCGCCTGTTCAACATCACGTATGCCGTGATGCTGGCCGCCGGTGTTGCCGGTGTTGGTTACCTAGGTCGCAACTGGGAGACAGAAGAGGAGGAACGTGTTCACCCGGAGCAGCCCTCTGGCTGGGGTCTGGGTCTCTGGTACGCCCGAATTAAAGCCCGCATGGGTGATCTCACCAGCTACTACAAGGATCCTGCTTTCCCCAAGCTGCTTCCCGACGAGGACCCCAACATCCGCCAGCCCTACACCCTAGTGCTCAGTCTGGAGGACCTTCTTGTCCACAGCGAGTGGACCCGTGAGCATGGATGGCGTGTGGCCAAGCGACCCGGTGTCGACTACTTCCTTCGCTATCTTAACCAGTACTATGAACTTGTTCTCTTCACCAGCGTGCCCAGCATGATGGCCGACCAGGTTCTCCGCAAGCTCGATCCTTACCGTATCATTCGCTGGCCCTTGTTCCGCGAGGCTACTCGCTACAAAGATGGAGAGTACATCAAGGTATGTTTCATCCGAGACTTGGGATTCAATTGCATAAACCTGACCAATATTACAAGGATCTGGCCTACCTGAACCGTGACCTGTCCAAGGTTATCCTCATTGACACCAAGGAAGAGCATGCCCGCCTGCAGCCTGAGAACGCCGTCATCCTGGACAAGTGGACCGGCGATCCCAAGGACAAGACGCTAGTCGCCCTCATTCCCTTCCTGGAGTACATGGCCGGCATGGGCGTCGAGGACGTTCGTCCCGTGCTGAAGTCCTTCGAGGGTACTGCGATCCCCGTCGAATTCGCTAAGCGTGAGAAGGCGATGCGCGAGCGCTTCGAGAAGGAGCTCGCCGAGGAGAAGAAAAAGAAGCCCTCTGTCTCCATGGGTAGCTTGGCCAGCGCTCTGGGCTTGAAATCGGGCAGCTCTATGAGCGGTGAGATGTCGTCTTCCGAGGGCCTGGCCCAAGGCAAGATGCTCTGGGATCAGATCCGCGAGCGTGGCCAGAAGAACTACGAGCTGATCGAGCGGGAGATCCGCGAGAACGGTGAGAAGTGGCTTGCTGAGATGGCCGCCGAGGAGGAGAAGGCCCGCCAGGAGCAGATGGCGAACATGAAGGGCTCGTTCACCGGCATGTTCGGTGCTGGCGGCAAGCAGCAGTAAATTGGCTTCGCCAGGGCCTGATTTCTGCAAGGTAGAGGATCTTTTTTTCGATCTTGCTTTGAAAATCCTCCCTACTCATCATTCCTGGGGTTTATTTTTTGTCATTTATGGGCAAGGGGCGAGACATTAGATGGTTTATTATTCCCCGGGTTCGTTCTGAGCATTTCTGGGACGACTGTAAAATTGCGTTTGGTGTCCGACTTTCTCGTGGTTTCTTGATTCTCAATGTACAAAATTTGATCAGATGCTTTAATATGAGACTCGAAGGTTGAATTATCTGCATGGTTGGTCTCGCTGGAGACCCTGGGTATATACATTGCTGGGCTACCTCTTAACGTACACGACTCCCCCCGTACACCCCCACCGAAGAGAGGAAGAACATAAAGAACCAATATTAGTTGAATAATCGGGAACTCTTAGGTCAGGTTGACGTCTTGGAAAACAGAGACATCCCAGATACCCGTCATGTCGAATGGGAAGCCGTCCATCGTGCCAAATGTATTAGAAATGGACATCATGTCATCGACAATGTCGTTGTTGGTTTGCGTCTCCGGTAGCGAAATTGCGGCTGGGTTGACCAGTCCGTTGTCCGCCAATGCGGCAGACAATGTCTGATCTATTGCGGCGCCGGTACCGGGAAGTCGGTGCATGATTCGTTCGCAGTGATCTAGACACATGTCGGCGACGTCCCAATCTTCCTCCTCGCGTACTCGGCGCAGTACCGTGCGCAGGGTCTCGACATTGGAAAGACAGGACCGGGCGACTTCCGTGTCATCGGTTTCAAGAGCGGAGCGCACCAGAAGAGTTGCCGTTGAAGTGAGATGGAACGCGCTGTCTGCGGAAATGGTTAGAAGTGAGACGACCAGCAAGGAAGCTCGTTAACATACAGGGTAACCAGAATTCCTTGAAATGCTCTTTGCGCAGAGAAGAAATGAATCGAACAATCTCCTCCGCGGATCTGCGGCACTCTGTCTGGAAGTAACGACGCGCTTCGGGGTTGTCTGTCTCCGCATTGTTCACCTCCTGCGGTTTGCTTATTAGCGAACAATCCGTGTATGGTATCCTTGAGCAAGAGACGCTTACATTCAACTCCACGCGGCTGACTAGCATCTTGACGGCTAGGAAAGCGAGCTGCAAGCTGCTTGATGCATACACTTGCTCACCGCGGTGGGGGACTGGTGATCTCAACCAATCCGGAAGGGAATCCTCCCACATGTCCAGATCCGTTCGAATCTGCCTCAGCTTCTTGGAGCTCTCGCGTGCAGGCTTCGCTTGCAAACCATAGACCAATGGTAGCAATTCACCCAAAATCTCGGTCAACTTGCACAGGAAGATATGGCAATGAGCTGCTCGCACACGCTCGGTAGTGCGAATGTTCGAAGGAACCAGTCCGTCGACTGTAGGGAGGGGGACGTCGTATTGGGTTTTCGCGATCTGAGGTGGTACACCGTGACCGAAGCTTCCCCTGTGGAATGTGTTAGAAGATTATGCATGACTTGATGAAGATGAAAGTGTCTTACCAGCGATCGTGAATTACTACACCCCACCAAAGCCGGATTCGTTGGTCCTTTTCTTGTTGTGAAAGCTTCCACAGGCTCGGGTCGCGATTCAAACCAAGGCAGTTGGCCAAAGATAGCATCCGGCCACAGCTGACCGCATTTCCTGTCATGGAGAAGATGGGCCGTCCGGTCAGATCGATGAGCGCAGCACTGATCGTCGACAGGCCCGGCGCAGAGAATTCTTCGTGCAATGCAGCCACGGTCATATTGACCGCATATCGAACATCGGGCTTCGGATGACAGGCAAGTTTCTCAGCGTGTTTCCAATACACCAGTGACATTGAATAAACCTGACACAACAGCGAGGCGGGAGGATCCTCCAACGATTCGGAGATATAAGATTCCCAAAACTGCTCGCCATCGAAGATAGGGAATGCGACATTGAACCGGTCGATAAAGAGTCGGACCAAATCGTGTTTGAATGGGCCCAGGATTTGCTCCAGAATCTCCTTCTGGTTCTCACCAGGCGGGACGCCCTGGCGCATGCCTTTCCTCCGCCGAGAGATGGTGGTGTAGAGAACGGGCTTCCTGGGATCGCTTGAGTAGATGTTGTACGGGTGGCTGTTGGGCTCTTCGGAAAAACTGGATCGCTCCGGAGGCATGTGCTTCTCAATGACCTGCGCATCCTCCGCAACCATCGGCCCGACAATGAGCACTGACTCATTGTGAGGATCGTCGTATTCTTTGCGCCGAGAGTCACTTCCTCGCCGACCAGACGAGGATATTGTTCCCTGCGGACTGGGTCCATTTGTTGACGGGCGGGAGTCGGGACTACGCTTGCGCTTATGCCCCGATGCCGGCTCGGGCTTCACCGGCTGCGCTCCCGCCCATGGCTGAGATTCAGTTGTGCTCAAGGCCGAGGCGTCGACGTTTCCTTCCTCTTGGTAGTGGCAGTCGGCTCCCTGCACGCGACACAGGAGGCAGGATTGACCGGGGATGTCGACCGTGCATCGAGATTTGCGCTTGCGACAGAGATCGCACGCGCGAACTTTGTGGGATCGATAGGGTCGCGCACCGGCGTTGAACCCGGGCGAGGGCAACTTGGAGGTCGAATTGACTTGAAGAGTTGCAGGCGACATGATGCGCAACCCGAATGAAAGTGCCGGCAGGAAGTTGGGCTGGGGAAACAGTCTGGGGAAAAGTCCCCGGAAACTTTTTCGGAGTCGGCCGATCTGAGTTGGGGCGAATGAGGGGTACGACCCGGCCGAATGCCACAGGCGAGGGCGATCGTGGAGAAGTGGCACAACCGTGGGTCAGGGGGTCGGGGCCATCGTTGTTCCCAGATCAACCCGTATAGTTCATCATGAGTCGAAAGTCGAGAGTCGACCGTCATGAGAATCTTTCAATTCGCGATAAGAACCGAGGATCGAAGACCAGGCTAAACTTCATGTGGGGGATGAGTCAGCCGCATGTCTGCTATTTATAGGTATTGATCGATCGACGCGAGCGTCATGAAGGAGGTTGGCATAGCCACTCTACGGCATCAACTGTGGTGCCCGCGTCAATTCATGTCGGGTATCGCTGGTGATCATGGAGGAGGATGCCTCTACCCAGGCGCCTGCCTTCACGCGGCTGCCCCCCAATGTCATCGAGCTGTGAGTTTCCTTTTGTGGCCCAGGTGGCACTTTCAAGCTTCGCGTTCTAACCCCCGCCACAGCATTCTTTATGCCGTCGATGCCAACGCCTTTGCGTCACTGGCCCTGCTGAATAGGCAATGGAGGCGTGTATCAGAGTCCCCGTCGCTCTACGCTCATCATTTGTCCCGTTGTCCAACCTTCACTTGGACGATAGGGGCTCTCCCTAGCCCCGGTGATGCTGACAGCCTTCCTGGGTTTAAGCGCCAATTTCTTGCAAAGGCCAGGCGGAATGCATTTGACGTGTTTCTCCGGCCTCGCCGGACTCTGGTACGGCTGATCTCGAGCTCAATGAGCTCATCTACCGCGTTCCCACAGGGAGAAGTATTTCGCTTTGCCTTCTCGACAAATGGCCAGCTGGTACTTTGTATCAGTTCTTCCCGGATTGTCGTGCTGGACGTCGCCGCGGACCCGGTAGCTGTAAAGCATGAATTTCAGACCCGCCGGCGGCCTATGGGTGCTACCATCCAGGACGATGGCTCCCTTCTGGCGGTCCTGTCTTCGACGCATCGGGTCAATGTCTACCGACTTGATAATGATGAGGCCAAGCATATACAGATGATTACCTTGAATGATGCCCCACGCGACTTGACATTCTCTCCCACTGGGGGCGTGCTAGCTCTATCCTTTGAGGACTGTATTGAAGTCCATGCGATCGGAGAAGATACCCTATCGACAGAACGTCGAGCAGCGCGTTGCCCACGTGTCGATGTACTCTCTTTCTCGTCAGATGGATCGATACTGCTTGGGTCACCGGTTGATTATGCGGAGGACGGCACCGTTGCCATTACTGCCCCCTTTTACACCGAATCTGGGACTGACGCTTCGCCCCAGGAGGTCCAGAGGCGTATGTGGACAACGCAGATTCTGTTTCCCGAAATAGCCCAAGGATTTACTCACGCCTGCTTGATCGAGAATCATGACGAAGCGGACGATAATTGGATCATAGGGTATGACATCCAGTTGGCCGCATTCAGAGCAATCAAAATCAACAATATCAATGCGGGCAGCGTCTATTTTGCCAGCCCGTTTCTGCCAGAGGAGACCCGCGAAATGTTGCCCATCATGGTTCCCACCACTGACGAAACTGGAGAACTTGTTGCTTTCGGATTCCAAGACTCGGAAGTTTGGGTCTACGGAGTGCCGGAACGTCTGGATTTAACTCAGTCAAATCCCAACCTTGGACCACAAGGGATTAACAGCACCCGATTTGGCGATGATCACCATTACAACGGACAGGCAGGTCTTCGGGATAACCTGGCCCAGCTCGATAAAATTGTTCAGCAACCGAAAATTCTCGTGCGCGGGCATCGAGTCACCGACATGCATGGAATCACCTCCATTCGCTGGGTTCGACCACTCCAAACACCCAATGCCAGGCGGCGACTGGTTGTAGTGGCCCCTGGTGGCGTGCGTTCTCCGGCATTTGGCGAAGAAGATGTACCCGTTGATGGCGGGAGACTGTTGCTTTTGGACTTTGAAAGATCAGTTGCCCACGGGGAGGACAAAGAGCTTGATATTGAAGTTGGGGAGACAGCGCCAAAAATACTCATGGAGCCAGATTCCTCCTTAGACACAGAAGTCGAGTTGGAGAGAAGAAGGACGCGCCTGCGGCGTCCAGATACCGACTCGGCACTTGCCCATCGGCCATCGATGCCCCCTCTGAGAGGGACCCAACGATCCACGAGCCAGACACAGCTACCAATCCGTCGTCACAATACCCTTGCGGTCCCCACGTCTGGCGAGTCGACAAGCGGCAACGTTGTTGATGTTCCGTATGACAATACACAGCCTCGTTCACATGAGACGCTCCATCGGGCTGCCACAGCTACAGCATCAACACGAGGACGGTATGACCCCCGATACCGCAACACTGCTAGCCGCCGCCAAATCCCCCATGAGAGCGACGCAGATCACTGGGTACCGCCGCCACCCCCCTACTCAAAGGAACCGGACAGGCCGTTGCCAGAACATCTGCAACAGACCCTTCTCCCCGGCATGCTTGTAGCTCTTCAAAACAGCAGCAATACAGCAGCTTCTACATCAGTCCAAAGAGCACAGACTACCGTAGCCCGACAAACCCCACAAGATCGCCTCCGGCCTCAATCAGCCATTCTCCAAAGACTGGGTACCATTACTGGTGCCAGACTCACTGGAAGAAGCAGAGGAAACTCTACAGCTTCACCTGGAGAACCGAACCAGGATCAAGTCAACGTCCTAACAGCAAGCGTCTCCCCTGTTCTCGATGTTCCTCAGCAAGCTCTCGCGACCAATGAATCCGCACCACTGCACCAATGGCCTCAACGTTCACACGCAGCCGCAACACCAATTGTCCCCGTCGCCACTGGTCATGTCCCATCAGTCCAACCGCTTCCTACTCTAGCCGTCCACCCAGCCGAAGAACGAACCCAACGCCCCGTGATGGAAATGCCATCCCTGGGGGCAACCATGTTCGGCGAAGCCTACCTACCCTACTCGGTCTCATCTCCAAATCTCCTTCACATCCCGCAGCCATACGGCGATGCTTTGGATATTACCGACAACGATGACGCCGACATCCTCGCAAGACAAAGGTCTTTCCGTCGGCGGGTCTCGACGGAGCCTACCAGCTTACCGCCGCCAGAAAGTGAGGAATGGCGGAGGCGCATCGAGGATTGGAATGAACATACCATCCAAGAACGAACTCGGAGACGACGAAACAAATGCATTGTCATGTAGCGTTCACACGCATTGTCATCCTTGGACAAGTATACCCTCGTTCAAATTAGATCTTTGAACTATCTAGATTGATAGATTCATCTATGAGAAAATGCCTTTAATGAAGTGTCCTATTCCAATATCATCGTATTTAATTCGAGTCCTGGAGCTGGTCTGAAAAGGAACTCACGTCGGGATTTCTTGCTTTTACAGGGCAAGATAGGTGTTTTGAGTGCAAAGCAGGCTGCTAGGGCAGCCAAGATAACTCTAATCCAGCCTAAAGGGTGGACGTCTTCTGATCAACTCAGGAAGCCTATCACCCCAATTAGGATATGGGAACTTTCAATATCTCGGCTTGCTCGCCCGCCCCTACTGCCCCGGCATAAATACCTCTCTCTTTCTTTCTCTTCCTTTCCTCTCTTCTTCGGCTTCCCACCAGCCTCCGACCAGTCGACTTCCGGTACCGCATACAAGAGGTCGTACGGTCACCGTCACTTCCCAACGCGATACATAGTAGCTGGGCACCGAGGGCTTTGTTGGCTTGTAGTTTCCGGCTTCTTGGGCACGCCCGATGATGAAAAGTACCCGTGCAACATCTTGAGGCTTGGATATTGGCTTGATATTCAAAGCTAATAGCCCCATGATTTGAATATGAACAGAGAAACTGAGAGCCCCCGTCACACGTTATCTGTCCTGGTTCAGTGAATACTATTATTTACGCCTAAATACATCGACCGGAACCAGACAGCATGGCGTGAACTAGAAGTAACTGCAACGTGAATATCAAGCATAGGGAAAGAATGAGAGAGGTATAGAGAGAGTTGTAGGGAGGGAGGTGGCCGTGTATGACCCCAGAAGCATTTGTCACAAATACGAGATTCTATTTGGTTCTCATAATTAAAAGGTATTGCTATAGGTATCATGATCTATATGAACAGGCTAAAACAGAAAGATAAGAAGTATCGATAAGCAAGCGCTAAGACAGGTAAAAGCAGAGAGATTTAAGCCACGACAACAGGTGTAGAAGAAATGTCTCGTCGCTGGTAGAATCCTCGGCTCACTGGAAAATCAGCAACCACCGCCTAGAAGAAATAGTTAGTAACAGTATTGAAGATAGGGAGGAAAGTCTTACCACCTCCACCTCCGCAACCACCGCCGCCCCCACCACCACCACCACAAACTCCACCTCCACCTCCTCCACATCCTCCGCCTCCACCTCCACATCCTCCGCCTCCGCCTCCTCCGCCTCCGCCTATAACAAAGTCAGTCACAGCCAAAAAGGACGAAGTGAACTGTACTTACCACAAGATGCGCCCGTCCCGCCAGCACAAGCAACAGAACCCATACCACCGCAAGAGCCAGCTGCCACACCTCCACCACAAGTCCCAGAGCAGCAATTTCCAACACCCCCAGAGCTAACATTCATACAGGCTGGATTGCAAGCATAGGAGCCCCCGCTAATTCCCGGATCACACATATACGGGCCGTAGAACGGGACGACCATAGGGTAACCCCAGACGTATGGCGCGTAGTACATCGGCTCATATCCGCCATTCCTGGTGGTCTTGGCATCACCGCGGACACGTCCGCGTTTCTCAGCCCGGCGAACAGCTTTCTCGTAGTTCTGATGAAGGCGGATCCTCTGCAGATAGCCCACGCGGGGATCTTCGGTGGCCCGGGTAGTCGGCCGGACTGCGTTGTGGGCAGAGATATGCGGGTTTCGTTCCGGGTCGGAGGAGATATCTGGGCGATCGTGTAGGGAGTCTGCGTTATCGCGGGCGCGAGATGACGAGCCGATGCTGAACATGCGGCCGTATAGGTCTGGTGCGCGCGTAGCTTCACAGTACCAGCAGGTGCATTCGCTGTAGATGCCGCCGTTGGTTGCGCGGCGGTACATCTTGCTAGTCCATTCGAAGCCCTCGGAAAGTTTGTTCTCGTCGACTTTGTCATCGTGGTCGATGAACTGGCGGTGTCCGTGGTATGTTGCCGTGGTGGTGTAGTTGTAGTAGTTTCTTGGTTGGAGCTGGTGGGTGTGCCAGGCCAGATCAACATCCAGAGTTGGGACAGCCATCTTCGTTGGATTCTGAAGCATGATTTCTATGAAGACCTTGTACTTTTTGATGAGACGTTCGCTCGTTTCCATAACGGTTGGCGAGTGTAGCCAGTCGATGTTGTCCATCTTCTGGACGAAGGTTCCTTGGCGAATCACGGCACCAACCAGGTCGAGGGAGAAGGGGCCGACGTTGTCCCAGTAGTGCGACATCATCCGTCGGAAATGCACTCTTTCGCCACGGAGGAGACCTCTGAATCTGCCGTGTGTCGCTGTGAGAACCTTTCTGTCGCGAAGCTTGATTTCCATTTCGGAACGGAGGTCATCGATGCTGGTGCACCGGTCCAGACGGCTGTCGGTGAATGCCAGTATATCTCTATCAATGGCCCTCAGTAGTCGATTCGGGAAAGTCATATTATTCCACTCTAGCGGATTCCGAGAAGTTTTCGGGCTTTCGGGAATGCCATTAAGGTTGTAAATCGATCCTGGCATAGGCTGGTTCGATGACACGAGGTTGACTAGGTCTTGACGGAATTTGGCCACCTTGAGTCGCTCGTGATTAATACAAACCTTACAATGTTGGCAATTCACTGCAAATGAGGCATCGGCATAACCGGTATTCTCCTGGAAGGCTCCCTCCAGCGATTCCCCAATCCCTCCGTCAGTCCACAGCACAGTCTTGGGCTTTTTGCAGCGGGGACATTCGATTTCCTTGCCAGGGGGATCGAGCAAATTGTCCCACTTAAGCTTGACTCGTTGTTCGAAAATTTGCTGACCTGATTCGGGGGTCTTATACTCCAGCGTCCGGTCATCAATGCAATTATTTACTACCTCGAATGGGAACCCTGTCCTCCAGGTGCTCATTCGGCCATAGCGGATACAATCTTCGAGGAAGTCTCGAGGGTTCAGCATATGAGAGTGCCATACCATCAGAATGTCTAGAAATCAATCAGCTTCGCTTATCATCGGACAGAGCGTTCAACTTACCAAGTGGGGGCACATTATCCGCAGACCACACGACCTGCGTGGAGGAGTCGACAATAGATTCGTATTCGCGACTCTCCAGATCAGTCATCGTAATGTGTGGCCGCGACATAGGCAGGCAGCTAAACCACCACTGAGTATACCGGTCGACTGCACGCGCCGTATACACAGCCCAACGCTTCTCGCGAATACGAGCGTGAGCCTCGTTGGATGAAGAGGGGAACCTTTCGGCCTCGGAATCGAAGAGACCAAACAGGCCATCGTTATTTGAGACGGAGTCTCGCAAATCCGCCAAAACGGCCAGGAACTTAAGATGCGCGACACACTGATCTGGAGAGACGCCGTGGTGGAGAGAGGGGGTGTCTCCGAGATTCAGCTTCGGCAGAGCGAGCGCAACCTCATCTACCTGGTTATACGAAGGCGGCCGCTCGGTAGTTTTCTCATCGGCACCGTTGGTGGATACCTCTTTGGACTTTTGGTCCGTGGATACACCCATGGTTGAGTGTTGAGTTTGATGAAAGCCAAGTTCAAGTAGAGGGTGTATTAGGAATGAGGGGTGGATGGAGTTGACAAAACTAGATGACCCTGGGGCATCGGGGGTGCTTTATATCTGACGTCGATAAAGATAGTGCTGAGGTGGTTAGAAATGGCCCCCAACCACGGTCCCTTGAGATCGGCAGATTGAATGAGACCCTGAACGGAGTCGAGTGCCCTGGCGGGCGCGGATAAGCCAGTCGCAAGCTCTGAGTGGCGAGCCAGGTTGCCCTGAATGAACCGGAGTGGAAACACGAAGTGCGCCTGGCTAAGCCCTGCGAGTGGATCAAGCTTCCAGTGACGATGTTCGATGTTCGATGTTTCGATACCCCCGTTTTCTAGAAGGCCGCTAAGCAGAGCAAGTCCCCGCGAATGGCCAGGATCCGGGGATCCGAGCACGGGCATTCTGATCGCACAAGATCGGTTGCCACCGGGCGCAAGCAAGTCCCCGAGTGAGCACTGCCTCGGTGTATAGCCTCGCCCCCAACTTGCGGGCCTTTTCCGATCGCTGATTGGTGTGTCGGACTATGACCTCATCGCATGGATTTCACTCCTAGTTTCACGGGCTATTGTGCAATACAAGAGCAAAGTTCTCCGCGTAGGAGAGTTCTCTACAGACGTTCGCACGCTGATATCCAGACGCGTGCTGCCCAAATGGTATTCATAATGGTCATAACCTTGAAACTAAGAAGGTCTTGCCAAGGCACTATCAACTAATTGTACTTGTCTCGTCATTTTGTCGCCTTTCAAAGTTGATATTTAACAGACTACTTCAATTATCTCATAAGCACTGTTCACGTCCTGGAAAAAGCCAACCTCAATGGTGGTTCGGCCGTGCCCATGACTTTCTGCTACCGCATTCCAGGCCTCACGGACTTTTTTTGTGGGGTGGGATTCCCCGGAACTGCTGATCCAAGAGTTCTGAAACATAGTAAAGCGATGAGAAGACCTGATTTCTACACCTCTCTGGCCACGCTAGTTATGCAATAATGGATTCCATGTGGAAAGTCTAGGTAGCCACTCTCTTATATGCTCCGCACAGTTGGTCAGATAAGACGTCGGGAAACAATTGCAAGCGAGAACTTTAGAACCTGTCCCGACTTCGATGCGTTCATTGATTCCCCGCTAATCAATTGGAGTTACCCACCTGCTACTGTGGATCACCAACGCAGCAAAAGCACGCTGCGTGAGCTTCTGCAGCAAACAATTCCTGACTGGCTAGAATGCAATTTCGAGATATAGAATACATGAAAGTCATCTTCTTCATGCTGTTAGCGCTTTCCTAAAAGAATATCAGTGCAAACGAGGGCAAAATGGACGGAAGTCGGTTAAAAAGTCTGCGCCGGGGAGCAAAGTACCAATTCCGGGAGCCTACCCCGACACCTTAGACCTTAGGAATCCCGCGGCTGCCGTGGTCAATAATCTACTCGGCTGCATGCCCACGTACAGTACAGTACAGGAAAGTAAAGCGGGATACAATCTCTCCATGAGTAATTTAGCTGAACGCCGAGGGTCTTATTGAAGCACTTGCATGTAGGTGGTGCAAGGCTAAGATCATGAAAAAGTCCGGCGGTTACATCGCTTGCGCCGAGTCACCTGATGCTCCCCGTGGCAGTTCCCCCACCTGGAGACGCTGAGTCATGAGCAAGCCGCGCAACCATTGGAACTGAACCTGGGAAGTCCTGCAAACTCAACGGCTTGCAGAGCACGAACGGATTGATTCGTCCGGGAAGAAAGCGTCTATTGCGCCTGGCCGCCTACTAGTGGATATCGCCCGCTGCATTCCTCCCCGCAGTTAGAATTTTCAGCCCTCCAGAAACTCGATTTCGCCTGCATCAACGTCATCAGCCTGGCGTCTCTCGGACGACCTAACGGAATTGGAGGGTCTCAAACTCCAGCTCTAGCACCAAACGTGAAGGACGATAATGCTCCTGTCGCCATCAGTCCCGTAATGGCGGGGATCAATCATGCGTCTGTCTCCACGTCCGTTTCTGACGGCGTGCAGAGTCGCAAACGCAATGTGACCATTGCGGGCATGGACAGCTCTCCGGGGAGTATAGAGGATATGGACGATAACGATTCGCGCGATGATAAGAGAAGACAGCCCGTGAAGCGCGCTTGCAATGAGTGTCGGCAGCAGAAGGTGAGTGCGATCTCGTCGCTTGCGCATGCGATGCCCGCAAGTGGCGACAATAGCGGTGCCATCCTATACTGTGATCCACGCCCATTACTAACTCAACTCCTTTGTTCCAGCTTCGATGTGATGTTGTTCAGGACCCCTGGTCCGACTGTTCCCGTTGCCGGCGATTACAACTTGATTGCAAGATCGAGTCCAATTTCAAACGGGTTGGGAAGCGCAGCCGCAATGCGGAAATGGAACGAGAGATTATTGAATTGAGAAAGCAGATCGCCACGGCCAGCACCGGTCCAGCAGTACACCAGCAACAGCAACATTTGCCGTCGGGGCAGTTGACACCCAAGCAAGAATCGAGCCAGGTCAGCCCGGCGGGCATTTATCAAGCCCAGACCCCATCTGCCATGTCTGCAGATCAATATATGGGCTCGCAGGAAGCGGTTGCATCTCTACTGGACCTTCGTTCAGGATTCGACAGCTCCAACTTCATGAGAAATGGAGGTCACCAGATCAAACGCATCGAAGATGTTATGGTCGTTCCGGAGAAGGTCGCAGAGTTGTTTAACATGTAAGACCCCAGCTTTCGCAACGATCTCTCGCAGTCGGTCTGACAATTACAACAGGTTTTTCACATACTATCACCCATTTCTTCCATTCCTCGATCGGACACAATCCCCAGACGATTATTACAACACCTCGTCCTTACTGTTCTGGACCATCATCAGCGTTGGTGCTAGACGCTACCAAAGTGACACTAGTCTGCTCAACTCGCTTGCGGGTCCAGTCACTCGCCTCGTCTGGAGCACGCTAGCCGATATTCCTCAAAGCTACCATGTCGTTAAAGCGCTGTGTCTGTTGTGCTCTTGGCCATTCCCTACTAGCAGCACCTCCACCGACCCAACATTTATGCTCTGCGGAATGATGATGCAGGTTGCTATGCAGCTTGGCCTTCACCGACCCTCTCACAGCCAGGACTTTAGCAAATTCCGCGTAGAGCTCATTGAAGAGGAACTGAGGGACAAGGTGCGAACCTGGGCCATTTGTAATATCGTTGCCCAACGGTACGTTTCCATTCTTTACATGCGAAGAGCTTGTTTAACGATCGTTAGCGTTTCCACTGGTTATGGTCAACCACCTTCTAGCCTTTATGACTGGACTCTGTCCGGGGATTCGTTAGATGCCAACTTCAAGCTACCTGGGGACATCAGACCCCGGCTAGAGATTGAGAAATTCTGCGACAAGATCACCAAAGCCCTCTATAGCAACCGGAGGGATCCTGTAGGGCTGAGCAGTGATCAAGAGAGGTCGACAATGATCTCATTTCTTTCACGAGACTTTGACGATCTCGAAGAGCAGTTCAAATCTCAAAATGATTGTATGATCGCAGGTCTCGGTTTTCTCCTTACTTGGTACTAACGATATGCCAGGCATCACTGATTTGTACCTCCGCGCTGCGAATCTTCATTTGCATCTGTCGGCATTCTTCGATGATCCTTTGGCCAAAGACTACCGCGGACGTCTTCTGTCCCTATATGTAGCGACTACATCGTTCCTCGAGGTGACCATGAACCTCGAAACCGAAGTTGGCCCCGTTCTATCCTATACGCCCTACTATGTCTACCAGATGATGGTTGCAGCGGGTTGTACTCTTCTCAAATTGAGCAAGAGTTTCTTCAGCAACCACATTGACATGGACTATACCAAAACTTTGTTCAATCGGACCATCTGGGCCATTCGTGGGGTATCCGTCTCGAGCAATGATCTACCTGAACGTCTGGCCGAGGTCCTAGCACAGATGTGGAGACTGGGAGTCACCTCCCAGCGGCCAGCTATGAGCAATTCTGACGTGGATGACTCGCTGAGGCTGAAGGTTCGTTGCCGGATGAGCATGTCTCTTCTCTTCGACTCGGTCTGGCGATGGCGAGAGGACGCGCGAACGAAGGGACGAAACATTGAAGGTCAGTCCAGCATACCTGCACTTATTCTGTCTCTCATACTAACCTTGAATAGCCTACCTCAAGAACCCGACCAATCCAGATTCAGCAGCCGACTCATCTGCTGCCTCATCCGTAGGCCCTCCACGGGCATCCTCCTCCACGCCCGGCATTACTGGTGGTGATCCAAGTCTAGCACCAGCGCCAATGCTCCCACAAGCAAATCTTGGAGTTGGAGCACCGACCAATGGAGCTGGCGGGCTCCCGAGTGGATTCATGGAGCCCAACTACGAGGTCTTCGATCCGCTTAACTGGCTCCTTGACGGTCTGGTAGACCTACCATATTCTTATTCAACCATGGGCGGAGTGGAGACACAGATTGTATAGGTCACCCACCGGTCACCCACCGGCTCTTCGATTTTTAAGCGTTTTTCTTTTGTCCACGGGCGTAAATTGCGGGACGTCTCTGCTTGTACGATTATACCACACGGTTCTCAATCGCTGATACCTTTCTGGGGGATATTCTTTTCTTTCTGGTCTAGCTCTGTTTTTCTTTATCTTGACGAGGTCCCTTATACGAAATTCACATTTTTCAATGTCGTGGCCAAACATGACTTTGTTTTACTTTTTTTCATTACTTGTCCGATCGACCATGTAAGCCGCATGCGCTACCAGGATCGGGGCGCCCCAACCGCTGCACTCAATATCACTCAGTTCATTCACGGAGAGAGCCACAAACGCCATTGTATTTCATTCTTCGGGCCCGCGAGTCGGCCGCAAGCACCGAGTGTACCTTGGGCCCCTGTGGCTCGATACGGCCCCGCCTTATAATAGCTTTCTGTCCTCCAATCTGACCGTCAGACATTGTCTCCAACCTTCAAACGTGTAGATGTGCACATGATCTACAATCGTGATCTCAGTTTCCTTGCTTTCTTCTCTTTGATCTACACTGGATCCAGATTTCGACGTGCAGAATGATTTCGGAACCCATCTATTGGCCAGGCGGCCTTGATTTCCGAGTGGGATCGATTGCAATCTTTCTAGCTGGGTCTTTGATATTTGCTCTGGTGACTGCATTGGCGTTAATCATTACATCCAAGCACCTGGCCAATGTAGGTTCGCCCGGAGCTGTTGATTCCACCTGGATCTGATTCAGACAAGACCCGACCGACCCCGAGATAACACTTTGCTGATGCTTGAACTAGAACCGCGTCCCTCTTGCAGCAGGGAATAGCCCGATTTCAATCCTATGCCAGCACTATCGATTTGTCGCTGATGGACCCGGCCTGATCAAGAAGGGATATACCCGCTTCTCAGATGGGTTATTCGAAATCCCACGCACGTTTCGCTTCGGGCAGATCATTCTCTGTAAGCCGGAGCTGATCGAGGAGCTAAAGAATACTTCCAGTGCGATTGTGTCCCCCGAGCCATGGATTGACCAGGTGAATTTGCTCTATTTGATGATTAAGGAGGAGCTGACTGGATCAATAGTTACTACAGATATCCCATGTCATGCCGGGTTATTTTCGCAAAGGAGGGGGCTGGCCTGCCATTGCCAAAACCACACCGGGTGTCATTCGAGGGACGGTGTACAAGCATTTGGATCAGTATGTGCCCTCCATGAACGATGCTATTCTTTCACAGATGCGTACCCTTGAGTTTAAGGATGGTGGTAAGTCTGATATTAGGGCGCATATCGGGTATGTTGTTGACAATTGCAGAATGCACTGTTGGCTGCTTCGATTTCGCATACTCGGTGGTAGCACGCAGCGGCAGCTTTGCCATGGTTGGCTCACGGCTTTCACAAGACGAAGAGTACCTAGAGGCCGTCAAAGATCACATCCTCGGAATGATTGTGACCTCTCGAGTTCAGTTTTTGATCCCAGACTGTCTGAAAAGGTACATCAGGCCATATCTCCTTTGGTATTTTCACTCATGGATCTCCTTGAGTAGGTACCTCGGTGGCTTCATTAGTCGACTGGCTACGTTGGGCACTCGATGGAACATGCACGCCTCACGCAAAATTCTGCTCAGGCATTTTGACGCACGAGCAGGAGAATATCGCGATGAAATGGCCAGTGGTAACAATATGGACCAGGCCAATCCCGAGCATGCGGACAAGCCGGTACGTTTTAATTTTTACCCCCTCCGTTATAGCAATTGATAACCCCGCGAGATTGAGTGTCAGGCTGATACATACCATGCAGGTCGAGATCTTCCGCTGGCTATACGAAAGCTCAGTCCTCCGCCAGCGATGGACATATGCCGAAGTGATCGGAGAGATGCTATTACTCCAATTTGCATTCATCTACACGACCGCCTATGTATGTCCCCATTTCCACGGAATGGGAGACGTGCAGCTCACGTATAAGCAGGGGCTCTACGGCGCACTGGCCGAGCTAGCACAGCGCCCGCAGTACATTCAGCCTCTCCGCGAAGAAATCGAAAGCGTCTTGACCGAATGGGGAGTCTCCGTCGCCGGATGTGAACGAATGATCCTACTAGACTCTTTCCTTAAAGAGTGTCAGCGCTTGCATCCCCCTGCAGCTGGTATGTCTATCTGACCAGCGCCCCGGGGTTCGGTCTCATCACTAACTTGGTTGCAGTGTCTGCTCACCGAGTCTGCGTGTCAGCACTGAAGCTTTCTAACGGTATCCTCGATTCACACCGCAACCTTACCCCCCAGCTGACACGGCAACAGGCGTCGTCCTTAAACCAGGAACCCACGTCGGGGTTCCAAGCGGCTGGATCCAGCGCTCCAGTTCCAGTTACTCACACCCCGAAGCCTTTGACGGCTTCCGATTTGCAAAACGTGCTGCAGCCGGGGTTCCTAACACGCGGCTCGTCGATCTGAGCCCCGATTATCTCGTCTTCGGGATGGGCGTGCATGCCTGGTGAGTTGAGTTTCAATCTTTCAAAATCAACCGCATCATCGGCTGACTGGTTTGCTTGCACAGTCCTGGTCGATGGATGGCAAGTGCGCTGATGAAGCTCGTTTTTGCTCATCTCTTGCTGCATTTTGATGTCCTGTCTGGCTCGGCGGGACCTCTGACAGGGTCTCTTTCGTTTGAGGAGTTTTATGTACCTAATTTCGGGCTAAAGATTTGTTTGCGACGGAGATAGAAGCTGAACCTGTGACTTTGAAGTACTTGGTCACAAAAAGTTGAGGTGAATCCCATGAATACAGTTCGGATGGACCCGTCGGGGCTAATAGTGGGCCTGATAAGCGATAAGACTCTTCATGTTCCAACATCATCTCGGATTCTGCCTGGCCTTAACGCATCCCAATGTCCTCTCGTCATCTTCTCATCCCTGAAAAACGTGCACTCCTGCCTCCTAGCACAAGGTCCAGTCGCAAAGTGAACAAAGTACTTAATCCGAGCGCGGCCCCAGCTGAAACACGCATGAGGCAACCCGCCGCAAACGCCTCCGGACGCGAAGACGAAGATGAACAAGAAATTAAATACAAGCGCACGGAGTTTGCATTCGCGATGCACCCACAGCCTTTTCTCGATCCTCCCGCTTGGGAGGCAATGTTAAAACGAAAAGAACAGGCGGTATCAAGGCCGGGTGAGGGTGTCGAGGACGGAGGCGCACCAAGTGAGACAGCCGATCAACGGAGGCGGCGGCTTGAGCGGGAGACCGAGTACGGGTCGATGGCTATTCGAGGCAGATCGAGTATCCGTGGGAGAGCGAGGGGAAGGGGCAGGAATTATTGATTCTCTGCATAGACAATGCATATACGAGGCTACGAACTTACGACTTGGCGTCTACTTCAGGCCGCCGGACACCCCCGTCTATGTAGTCAGATCTGAAAGTATATGCGATTCACGTGGAAAGCAGGGCAGGAAAACTCATGTTTATGGTACATCTCGAGGTCACCAAGAAAAGGCGTTTAACATAAGTCATCGAATCGTCATTGTGCTTCGTTAATATCGTAGATGTCGTATCGGGAGAGACAAACCCATGTACGGGTAAAACGACGAGAAAAACAACCAAAGCAAAAAGTAAAAAGAAGGGGCAACGAGGCCCGGACGCGTCGTAAAAGGCACCTGGTCATGTGAAACATGTCCAGGCAGGATATAGGGCATAACGTGGCATGAAAATGGGTATCACCGCACAACCTCATTGGTGGCGCTGGACGCCACGTAGACGGGGATGCCGATGCTCTGCTTGAGATTATCGCGGCGTGCGGCTCGCTTTCTCTCGTCGCGTCGCTGGTGCATGCGGCGCAGACGGGCACGCATGTTGCGCAACGACATCGATCGAAAACGCTGTCCCCATCGGGAGAGGGAAAGCACTTGGTAGCGGGTTTGGTACAATGAGGATCCGTTGCGAACCAGACTGGCGTGACTGGCATTGAACAATCGTCTTATCTCAGGACTGCGTCGCGCGAGGGCGGGAGGACCTTCGATGATGAGTCGCTGCTGGGGGAGGCCGAGTGAGTTGTTGACCACAATTGACTCGTCCTGTTTCTCGGGGCTTTGACGACCTGAACGGTCTTTGATTGGAGACACTGGGATATCATCCCAGAACCCACGCGGGCGCCAGAAAGGATGAAGACGACTGTCCATCTCCATTCCCGCTGTCCTGTTCTTCGCTGATCGCATCGAAAGGGATCGCACAACGGTATTGAAGGAATCTGATCGAGGTCGCGCAGCCCACGTTCGGCGAACAGAGCCCCATCGACTGGGAACACGCCCATCGCCATCTTGGCGAGCATCCACGTTTTCGTCCTGTGCTGGAACCGGCGGAAGAGGTTTGGAGATAGGAGGCTTGGGCGGAGGGCGGGGATTCTTCAACGGAGAGTCTACCTGCAAAAGTGCTGCATCGATGGGTGCATCTGGCGTCCGGGGAATGTCTCCACGATCTGGGACCCCGTTCTGGAATACTTGAACCAGTTGCGATTCACCCGGCACTCGCTGATCAACCAAAAGGAGCGATCGATTGTTATGCGGAAACAGGCTAACGGCCTTGGCCTCCCGAATCTCCACGGGTCCGGGCGAAGAAGACGGTATTGACCACTGGGTATAGGGTAAAGACGGAGGCCGCAGGGTCGCCATATCCTCCGATGAGCTGACCACCAGCCCCGGCAAGTTGGGAGGCTCCAGGAGTTTCATGGCATTGCCTCCCAAAACATTGTGGCGTGGAGGGGAGACAGGCTGTTGATCGCGACGCTTCTGCATCTGAAGGTCCATGGCTAATGTATGACTTCGCAGACTTTCCGATGTGAGAGACGTGGTGCGAGAGTTGGTTCGGCTCGTGGGTGCAGAGAGCGACGAACTACGAGGCGGAATGACGGGTCGACCAAAGGGACGACCCCTCGAGTCCGAGTCTCGGGAACATGCAGGCAAGGAGTCAGACATGGTTCGCTTCTTTCGCTGTGGGGCATCTGCAGAGCTGCTGGAGGTCACAGGAGGACGCCGGTTAGACCGCTGAGAGCCATGTCTGGAGGATACTTGGCTATTGGGTCCTGATCGCAAGGAGGATTTTCTTTCCGGCACAACCACCACGGGAATCCTGTCAACGAAGGGTTGAGGTGCACTGCTGGCTGTTCGGACCGAGAAAGAGACATCTGATGAGATGCTGCGGCGATCATGTTCAGAGATACGAGCAGCCTTGTGGGTCAGGCGATGCTGCGAATCGGCATTAGAGATGGTCGACGTACGCTCAGACTTCGTGATTGGGGAGCTTGCTGAGCGCAGTGAGTTTCTCTTCTCCGTGTGTCGCAGGAACCGCTGTGCTTGTTTCGGGGAGTCAATAATCATGGCTTCGACGGTGGATGTCGAAGATATGCCTGACAATCGGCGAGATTCCGGATCTTGATCCATCTTTGATGGCCCCTCGTAGGATGGCCAGCCAATATCTTCACGAAACCGTTCCATCGATGGAGTGGCAGTCAGGTCGTGAGTATGTTGGACCCGGTTCCGTAGAGTCTTTTCACGCATCAACGAGGCATCCAGATGTTGCACGTCCAGCGTGTCCTTATCCGCAGCCTGTTGCTGACCAGCTCGATTACGCGTCTCCAAGCCTTTCCGCTTTTCAGCCAGTGGTGTTGGAGATCCGTCGGTCTGCGTGGACGTCCATTCTCCGTCGAACGATTCGAAGCCTGTTTCATATTCCGTTTCGCTGTGGGGCTGGGAGGTAGTATGCGGCGATTCTTTGGCATATGTCAGTTTCGCGCGAATTCCATTCGACACATTTCGCCGGGTCGAAGGCACCCTTTGTCTGATCTTTTGAGACGCGATCGAGGATGAACGACCCGGAGTTTCCATGCCACCATCTGACGAGATACTCTCGCAGGCCGTCTGGAAGGACTCGGCGCGAGATGAAGAGGACAGGTGTACTAAGTTGTTGAGGGTCGGTCGCTTGGCAGATTTCGTGCGAGGTGGTGTGACATCGGGCGTTGGAGGTTTCGAGGGCCGTCGAGGCGTCAACATGCCCGCAGTGTGGCTCTCAGAGATGGAGTCGGTCTTGCGCAGCGAGCGGTCGTCCTCCATATCTTCTTCCTGGTTCGCACCGGGCGGAGTCAACGGAGGGGCCGGTGCCGCAGTGACAGTGCCATTCTGGTCCGGGGAGACCGGTTGGGCAAGATCACCGTTGGGGATCGTGATACCCCTCCGCGGCAGCGCCTTGTGGGACCTCAAGAGCGGCTGCCGTGTTGAATCCACCGATGCGCCCATCACTTCCACTCCGGGCATAATGACAGGTACCGGATCGTGATGAAGATAGTCCAGCACGATACTGGGAAAGATACGCCTATAGAATAATGGACGTGTTCATGACAAAATTGGTTAGATGGCGACGGTCGAGGGTCGCATGTGTCGCATCGCGGAAAGACGTGTTCTCAAGGGTAGATAAGGCGTCGAAGATCTCAGGATCTCCAGTAGGATGCAAGGGGATCGGGTCGAGGCCGAGTCAACGATAAGGTGCAGAGCAAAAGCACAGTCAGGCGGCCCGTCGGAGGTGTAAGGGCGTGGCTGGGGAGCACTTCCACACTGGCTAACGCAGGCGAGCGAAACACAGGACACAGAACGCACACCTCGAACATGCAGAATGCAAAACGCAAAATGCAGGGGAAGAGAAAATACAGCTATGGAAAAAGGCAGAATGACAAAGAGAGGCGCAAGCGTTTCAAGTGCACAATGGCATGAAGCAGGACGTGACCCCTCTTGGCCCCTGCGTTGCGATCTGACATTTCCCTCGTTCATCTACATCCACAGCTACTACAAACTACCCTTCTACGCTTCCACACATCCACACTTCCACACTTCCACCTGCAGGGTATACAGACTGCCCGAGTAGGAGATCTCCCCACTCGCGTCCCTGGATCCTAAAACTCTGCTGCTGACTCAATGTTTCAGCTTTATTTCCCTCCTTGCATCTCCAACCGTGGCATGTTTGGCCCTTGATGCAGCTCGCTTTACAATCAACCACGTCCCCAGTTCACATTCCAGTCGCACTGGTGCGTCTCAGACTGCCGCTTAATCTCGCGTTCCGAAGAGCCGTACAAATAGGACCCGGAGAGCCCCGCATCCGGACGGGGAAAATGTGGCGAAGATGACGATGTCCGAACTCCACACATCCCAAGGTAAGGTCTTGATATCATCCTGGCAAGCAGGACTCCAGTCACGGAAACGGGCTTTGGGACTCCGAGCATGTTTACGGAGATCGAGGGTGATATGATCTACGTGAGAGATAGACCACGTTGGTATAAGGTTCCATCAAAGTGACGCTGCCAATTGCCAGCGGTATAGAGGGACCAGACGTCGATGATAGATCATCTGTATAATCTATCTCCCATATCAGCGTAAAAACAGGTACCATGAGCCCCTTTTAATATCGATCACCGAGTTGGCGGGCTCTTGGTGGCGCCCCATGACGACAAGCGGCCGGCCATCTCGCAAAAGCCGATGACATCGACCGCGGATCCCACTTCGTCATAGGCTTTTGCTTCCTTCCCCCTCCAACTTGTCCAATACCAGGTTATCCAGACCTGAACTGACCTCATCCGCTCTGCTCTTCTATTTCCCCCTTTTCTTTGTGTGTTTGTGCCCACCTTCCCTCTCGACCCCTAAATTCTTCTTAAATTCTTAGCGGAGAAATAACGTTTTTCTGCCTGACCACCCCTCCACTGTCTCCCCAGCTTTCTGCCATCCTATTTTTTCCCTCTGGCGGAATCTCGGAACTTCTCGAGACTCTACCTTCCCCTCCCCCTCTCCTCTCCTCCTCTCCTCCCCCCCTCTCAGATTTGCCCGTCATGAGCACAATACAGAATATCAAGAACTTCATCAGGCACGGGAAACAAGCACGCCTCGTCGGCCCACACGCCGAACCCACCACCGACGTCTCGACGATCCACGCCGAGCAGCAACCCCAACCCGCAGGCCAATTCTCAACCGCCCTCGATTCTTTCGAGACCGGCGATCGTGGGCATGGTCAGCCCGCACCCGAGAAGACAGAGCAAGTCCGACACGATCGATCCGTGGAAATTGAACGTTTGGTTGCAGAAGAGAATGTGAATCGGTCCAAGATGCCCAAGTACCCCGGTTTGGAACGCTGGATCTTGATGGAAAAGATGGGCGATGGTGCCTTCAGCAATGTCTATCGTGCCAAGGATTCTACGGCGCAGTACGACGAGGTGGCCATCAAGGTGGTACGGAAGTTCGAGATGAATAGCAATCAGGTAGGGTGACCTGTGGTCTTATTTTCCTTTCTTGTCTTTTGCTTCATTGTTGCATGGCTCGAGTCAACCCTCTCCTTGTTGGGAAGAAAAAAAAAAGAATTATCGCCAATTTTTTATATGCAGTCCGACCCTCTTCATCCTACCGTCAAGAAGGTCCCAAAGGCTGCGGAGGTGCGCAACTCTTCCTGGTCCACACTCCACCCACATGGCAGTGGTGACTCGTGCTGTCTTCCTGTTATCTGCATCTGTTGCTATATGTTGTGCTTGCCCATTGCTGACTTGTTTCCCCGCAGCGAGCCAACATCCTCAAGGAAGTCCAGATTATGCGCAACTTAGATCACCCCAACATCACCAAATTGATCGACTTCTCCGAGTCTCGACAATACTACTACATTGTTCTCGAGCTCTGCCCCGGAGGCGAGCTTTTCCATCAGATCGTCCGATTGACGTACTTTAGCGAGGATCTCAGCCGACATGTCATTCGCCAGGTCGCCGAGTCGATTGAATATCTCCACGAGACATCGGGTGTCGTTCACCGGTGCGCACCAGCCCCCAAAGCCAGACGTACTTGAAGCTGACGGGTCATTTAGTGATATCAAACCCGAAAACATCCTCTTCTACCCCACCCCTTTCGTTCCAAGCAAAAACCCGAAACCTAAGCAGTCGGGCGATGAAGATAAGGAAGATGAAGGAGAGTTTATCCCGGGAGTTGGCGCGGGCGGTATCGGAACGATTAAGATTGCCGACTTTGGTCTTTCCAAGGTCATTTGGGACAGCCAGACCATGACGCCGTGCGGAACGGTTGGCTACACGGCACCTGAAATCGTCAAGGATGAGCGGTACTCGAAGAGTGTTGATATGTGGGCCATGGGCTGTGTTCTTTACACCCTTCTGTGTGGTTTTCCCCCATTCTATGACGAGAGTATTCAAGTCCTCACCGAGAAGGTCGCACGCGGCCAGTACACTTTCCTGTCCCCGTGGTGGGACGACATCTCCAAGTCCGCTCAGGACCTGATCTCACACCTGCTTACTGTTGACCCGGAGAAGCGATTCACCATCAAGGAGTTCCTCGCGCATCCTTGGATTCGGGGAACTGACGAAGAGACAACCGCTGCCGACGATGCGCCCCCGCTGGCAACTCCCTTCGGCCAAGCTCGCCAAAAGAACCCACTGGACGCCGAAGCGGGCGGCGCAGAATCAGCCCCGTACCAACCCCACAGCACCCGCGCTGCTTTGGATGTGCCATCTGCAGGATCTGAACGCAGGATGGACTTCCGCTCACCGGGCGCGTTCAACTTGCGCGAGGTCTTCGATGTTGGCTACGCAGTCCACCGTCAAGAAGAGGAAGGCAAGCGTCGACGAAACGTGGGCGCTCGCAGCAACAACCCAACTGCCGGTTTCCAGTCCGCACTGGGTGCTTTGAACGAAAACTACGACGATGAACCCGATTACCGCGCCCAGGCAGCTGGGCAACCACCCTTGAAGGTCGCCAAGTCCACCACCCAGCAGTCCGGCGACATGGCCGGCCTCGACGCTAAGCTCCGCTCGACAAACCTCGGACAGAGCAGCGCCGCACAGGCCCGGCAAGCAGGCCGCCAACCTCGGCAGCAGGGCTACGGCCAACACGATGCAAAGGTCGCTGCCGCTGCTAAAAGCAGCATCGGCAAAAACCAGCAACCGTTTGAGCTTACCTTGGACGGCGCAACCTTACTCGAAAAACGTGGGCGCCGCAACCAAGGACAGCCGGTAGTCTAAACAAGGAACTTGTATACGAGCAAAAGTTCCCCTTGTTTTTTCCAGCGTCCCGGAGTCGACATTCCTCTGTTCCATGTGCTTTGACGAGCGATATGTTGCATGACTTTCTTTTTTCCCTTTCTATACATGAGTCTATCATGCCCTTTTTTTGTGGCTTTTCTTTGCTTTTTTTTTCCCCTCTCGCTTTTCTTTCAATGTATGTGCGTTATGGTATCGGCGAAGAAGAGCATACATACCTCGATGTTTTGACTGGGAAAAGGATGGGCTCGATTGGTCGTTTTCCCCTTCTGTTTCCACTGCGGGGCTTCTTCGACCTGGCTGGAGTTCCTTTTTTTTTTTCGTCTAGGGTCTACATGCAAGGAAATTCTTCTGACTGTTATGGGCTTTGATAAACGTCTCCCAATTGCATTTCTGCCTAGTGCAACGGTCCAAATGGTTACTGGACTTGATTTGATTGCTCGTTCTATTTTGTCATTGTCGTTAGACTTGACCGTTTGTATCAAGAGCCCTGTAGAGATTGTTTTGACATGACTGTTTGCTAGAGTTTGGATTTGCATCAACACAGGCCTTTTGAGATGGATGTTTTGCTTCTCTTCCCTACATAGCTTGTGTTTGTGCAAAACCTGAAGTGCTACAGGTTTACACAGAATATGAGGACTTGGGACATTGGCCGCTTCACCCATGGATACTTCCGGGTCAACGGATAACCAGAAATAAACAAACGTATTTGACTTATTGATGATATTTTGTGTCCCTTTTTAATGAATTGGCAGAGATCCCAGTCTTGGCACCCTTCGCTATCTTTTGTTGAATGCCTGTAGCGCAACGATTTAAGACATGGAGTGTGTTTGAGAAAATTTGCAATGGCCACCTCGTCGGTGGAAGCGTTCCAAAAGTCTAGTACTTCAGCCGTGGAGGCGATTGCCGATGCGGTTAGTGGTAGTGGGGACTGACGGAGATTCTTCCGATTACAATAGTATTATTCTGGCACGTTAAGCTCGTTAATTGTAGATGACTGTTATTCTGCTGAGGGCCTAGGGCAAGTGACGGCGTATTGGAGCGTCAACCCTAAAAGGGCAAAACTAATCGTAGAAGGAAATTTACAGGTGGAAATCATTCATGAATATTAACTTCAATTCAAAGTCACGATGGTATCTTGCACAGTATGTCCACAGAGGAGCACATCTAGCTCCGTATAACACAAAAAAAGAAAAGATAATGTACTAAAATGGGAATAGTCCAGCCCCCATTCTATCCGCGGCACCGGGCCGCGTCTGCTGAGCCCTCGGCTCGGAGTCAACCATGCCGGGAAGGTATCAGGAGTGGCAGAGAGACAACACTGTGTATTTTGCGTTCTCTCTTATATCGTGCAACAGAATATGTCTATAGCCGTGTATTTGACGCGTATCTTGATGATTTGCGAAGAAACAATGCAATGCTGAATTGAACATTGAACGGTCGTGAAAGGAAATGCATCGCTTTTTGTTTGAGGCTTTAGAGTGCCTGTCTGCCGCGAGTCTCGATGGGCAGGAAGACCATTGCCACGAAAGAGGCGAGAATCAGAGCACCGGAGGCGTAGATGGGTGCCGTGGGACTGGTGGAGCCTCCGTAGATGGCGACCAGTGGGGCACAGAGACCGGCGATACGGTTCAAGCAGCTACCGATGCCGGTGCCAGTGCCACGGTTGGGGGCGGGGAACACCTCGGGAGTGTAGGCGTACAGGACACCGTACATGATGTTCTGGAAGAAGGCCTCGAGACAGGTGCAAGCGAGCACGACGTTGGAGTCGGTGGAAGCAGTGAAGCAGAACAGCAAAATACCGGTGATCAGGGTGGCGATGGCCATGGTACCCTTACGACCGATGTACTTGATCTCGACGGTGTAGCAGGCCAGGATGGAGCCGGGAACACCAACGATCGAGGTGATGGCGTAGTTGCGGTAGGTGATGTAGGTCGAGCTGCTGGTGCTACCAAGGTACTGGGGCAGGAAGGCATTGAAGAGGGGATATCCCATACCGATGGTGGCCCAGCAGAACCAAAGGATCACTGTGGTGAAGCCCAAACGCTTGTTGGCGAACAGAGGCCCAATGCGCTCCATCGAGAACTTGGACAGGAATCGCTTGATGATCTCGACGACGGAGAGCTTCTCCTGCTCCTTGGTCTCAGCGATACCGCCGATCTCGTTTAGGATCTCGGTTGTCAGCCAGGTCTTGGCCTTGTTCCGGTAGGCGATGCCGTGAACCGAAGCAACAGCCTCATCCTGGCGGCCGCGAGACAGCAGATACTTGGGCGACTCATACAGGTGAAAGAGGAAGAAACGGGCACAGAACATGGCAAAGGTGATGGCACCCAGAGTAAGGACCAGATAGCGCCAGCCCATGTTGTTCTCCTTGGTGCAGGTCTCGACCGTGGGGTCACAGGTGAAGAGGGGAATGTAAGCCCAGGCAAACAGACTGCCAATCAGTTGACCGATCGGCCAGAAGACACTCAGCATGGTCAAATAGTTGCCAGATTCACAGGGCAGGAACTCCAGGAAAGTGGCACCGTCGACGGGCAGGTTACCACCGACACCGAGACCCAGGCAGGCGAACAGGGCACATGTACCAATCCAGTTGGGAGCACCGCCCGAGGCCAGGCCGAAGACACCAGCCAGGAACAGGGTGCAGTTGAAAGCCGGACGACGGCCGATGATATCAGAAGCGATACCCCAAAAGGAGGCACCGATGCAAAGTCCAAGGAACAACGCACAAGTGGTGAAACGGACTTCTGACTCGGAGAGACCGAACTCATACTGAATGGGAGTCAGGGTTAGGGCAACTCCCTGAAGCCAGAGGCTGAAGTGCAAGGTTAGTTGGCGACTCTCTGTAACCGTGGGGGAATTAGTTGACTCACTTGTCGGCAGTCCATCCAAAGCCACAGAGGGCGAACAACTCCCACTGGTACCGACCCATACCGATATCCTGGATAGCCCTGTTGATCACCTTTGCTTTGCCTGCAAAATCATTCGAGTCAGATCATACAAAAAAAAACACTCACACGAATATTCCATTTGGGACAAGGTGATAGACGCATTTGGAAGGAAACCGAAAACTCGACTGGAGGGCAAAATGGAGGGTACATACGATCATACATCGAGTCTTGGCCGGAGCTCGCTGCCTCGGCGTCAATCTCCGCACGGAGAACCTCAATGGTCAAGTGGCTGGACTCAGGAATAGAGCCAGCAGAGCCAGTCTCCGAAGAGGGAGCGCGATCCAGAGACTTGGAATGGTCAATGAAGGAGTCGTCCTTCTTCTCCTTTTCGGAATCAGAGGTCGAGCGTGAGCGGAGAGGGGCCTCGGATAGCGGAATCACGACTCCTGGGAAGTTCTGGCGTTCCCGCTTAAAGGGGTTATTAAACGTTGGGAAACCCATGGTGAAAATCGGTTTATGAGTAAAGGCGCTTTGGAAATGCAATTTCGATTCGACGGTTTGCTGCAATGGATCTGTTGAGCGGAAAATTGGTAGGCCGTCCGATAGGGCAAGACTACAAATTGGCGCAATGGAATCCTAGATCGTGATGCTGGATGGGCAAGTCGTGACAAAATCGTGGGCAAGCTCGCGAAGGGAAGAAGATGCCGCAATGCTGCTTCGTACACGGCTCGAAATACTGAGCGATCAAAGTCGAGGATCACGTAGTCACCGTGCTACTTGAGAGCAGGGTCGTATTTGCGCAGAATAACCTGATGTGCTTGGTCGAGGAACAATTGCTTTGTCTGTTTCTGAGGGAACGTATAGCAGTATCCTGGAGAAGAGCGGGCGAGGAAGGCTAGCGATAGCTATACCTCGGACCCGGATTGGGGATAGTGAGTGTGGATAGGCGGATATGTGGAGATGAGGGAAAGATGAAGGGCTGGGGAAAGACGAAAGATGGAAGGTTGGGTGGGATTGTGAAGCACTATATAGACGGCGAAAAACAGCAACCACGGTCTCTCACAGTTTCTCGGCATGCCTCCTTCTCTTTTTTCATCTTTTTTTTAAATTACGGGTTGACCGTTCTATGGGAACAAGATGCGACAAGGCCAGTATTGGCTAGAGCCGAGGCAAAGCGGGCCTAGTATCCTGCCGGGCCCCTGTTGGGGACTTGGCCATTCCCACCGAGGAATAGTGTCGCAGTCTGTAACGCCGTTACGGGGCTGAAATGGCACTGGCGAATTGCCACTCGTTTGGTCCTGAGGTTTATGCCTGTGAATACCAGATGGGCCAATCGTATGCAGTCAGGCGATCGGCCATCATCCAAGAAAAAAGAAAAGGGATCCTGGGATGCCCTGTCAGCACGAATTCCTTCCGTTCATGGTATAGCGCGAGCGATGCAAATCATGGATACATGGGCCGTAAGTGGCTGAGTTGAGGCGTCGGGACCGCTTTTAGTCGAATTCAGTTATACAGTAGATTTTCGAGACGGTCCGCATCGACGGACCGTCTGCCCTAGGAGTGTCTGGACTCCTTATCCCTGTCAGGAATGTGCCTATCTTCGTACGGAGTAGATAGGAATACTCGGGCTGTAGATAGTGAGTAAGTAGAGTGATTACTACGGATAGTGAGTCCAGTCATCAACCGAAGTCATCCCCACGCCCCTCGTCCCACATCCCCAGGCTGGATCCAAACACTTGACTGCGTAAAAACCGGAGCGGACGGGGCTCGGATCGAGGAAAAATTCTCGCTGGTCGCCCGCGATCTCCATGTGCCCGACGTCATCTTCTCTGGGAGGTTCTCGTTGAGGTTCTCGTCTTTCTTTCTGATCTACAATCAGGCCTGTAAATTTCTGCGCAATGGCCACATGTTGGACTCGTGTGATGATCCTCTCTCCACCCCCGAGTCCAATGCAATTGTAACCTTCAAAGCAGTGTAACGCGATCCAAACGCCTCGTTACCTGATTTTTAACGGGGGCGCATCCCTGCCGCATTCGGCGAATCCTGGGAGCCGTGGTTGGGTTTTCTTTTGCCTCGCGGATCACAGCGCTCAAATCCTTCCTAAAACAGGGTAATTCGGGGTCATACCGAGGGGCTCATAAATTACCGTTAGGCCCTGACTGCGCCTCGGCATCATCGGCGGCGCGGGCGGCGCCGCCACAACCCGCAGCTTGTCGCAACCTCAAGTCGGCCGTGAAAATTTACGGAATTTTCCGTACGGCCCCCAACGTGGAGACCGAGTTTACCCCGTGGAGGAGGTTTTCGGCAAGATGCGACAGTCGGCCCGTCTCCAATAATGTGGACTGGCTCCAGCGTGGTGGGTGTGGACTTTCTACGAAACCGAGAGACGGGCCAGGATGCAAAGGTAGGATTGCAGCCAGCATGTTTTCGCGCAGATCGACTGAGGGATATAGCTTCTTCGTTCGGGTTTGCTCTAATTACCAAGTTCATTCACGCTGTTCCCCGATCACCCGGCATGCTTGGCACAGACCGAGCAGTGGCCCTGGGGCGTGTGAAAAGCACCTACCAACGCACTGTAGTCATCAGGAACTGGAGTCCCACTGTGTTTCTCGGGGTACCCGTAAGGGAAAGGTGATCCAAACTGACGATGTTGCTCTCTTTTGAGAAATGATGTACTTCACACTAGGCCCGATCAAGGAGGACTAGTACCGTAATAACGGGGTACGGTCTCAACAAGCCAACTCCACACTGGGGGCGCCACTGCCTAGCGGCTCTAACGCTGAGACAGAACGCACGCGAACAGGGCATGCCGCAAAATGGACACGAGAGAAGATGCGGCCGAGACAAAGTTTGTGAATCGAGGAGCAATGACGGCTGTTTTTTAGTCGACTCTGCCATGTACTGACGTTCACGGTTCAACTCTACTGTAAATCAAACACCACGTATCGATTATCTGGGCCAGAGCCATCCAGAACCACGGGATGCACGTCAATCCAAAACAAAGCGCTATATCCAGTTCCACGCGAGAGCAATCGGCCAACATCTCGTATCCCCTGAAACCCAGATCTCCAAATAGAGATCCTTACCAGCCTCCCCTAGCCGACTATATCTAAGCCACCTATAGCTCTAGCGGCCCGTCCACGGACCGGGTCCAGCAACTCTATATACACTTCCCTATCCGCGTCATCCCTTCACGCACGAAAGTTTTTTATTCGCCCAGATAAGCCGTTGACAGGCATATACGAACCCCCTGATGAGCAGTCTCGGCACCGTGCCGATAGACTACCCGTGAAAATGATACTCGAAAGGGCAAAGCTGTCCCGGTGGCACTGACATCACGCCTTTTGGATCAATCTCTGTTCGCTAACTCAATGCCGGATGCGTTTCCCGCGGTGAGCATAATGAGCATATGATTTCTGGGGTAAGCTCGGCTTGCGCTGAAATTTACATGTCCTGCAGGGAAACAACCACCTGAGTTGCGGTCAGATTTGACTCTTATACGTCAGGCCTGATTGGGTTCAGAACTGAAAGCACACGGCTCTATTTACCAATGTTCATGCAATTATGTGCTTACTGTAACTATATACTAGACTGAACATTTGTCCCAACACGCGATCGCGCTGTGTCAAGAACCCACGACCTTAGATATGATCAGTGCGGTTAAGCAGCCATTCCAGGTGGCGGTACGAGGAACGCGGCTGGAACTCCGGCTGCATGTGGCCCGACTGGTATGTCTCAACCCACATCAATCCACGCTCGTAGTGCTGCACGCCCATGATCCCCTGTGGGCCATCGACGCCGGCCTGACCGTTCTCCTCGAAAACCCAATTGTACATGAGATCGGGGATCTCGATGTTGATAGGAGTCTCGGGTTTCTCCTGGAATCCAAGGTGGCCGTTCCAGGTCATGTTCTGGATGGTCATCAGGGTTCCGTTGGTGATGATGACCATGTCGTAGCCACCGTTGCCGATGAGGACGCGGTTCGTCCCTTCGATCACCTGTGGCAGAACATGCTCGATTGGGTTGGCGGAGGTGTCGCCCTCTTGTTCGGGGCCGGAGCTGCCGCCTACGTAGACGGGTTCCGTTGAGCACTCGGACCATGTTATGTTAGGAGCGTGCATTGCCTCCTTGACGTCCGCGCGGTTGAAATACACGGTTGATCCTGGGGATTCGTAGTCCAGTGCGGTAGGGAAGGCCAAGACATCCCACAGTAGTGGACAATTCAGGTTGACTTCGTATAGATCCCAGCATGGGTTGATGCTGTAGGCTTCGTTGATTACGAGGTCGAACAGGTCGCAGTTAGCCATGGACGTGTAGTTGAAGAACAAGGGCGGCTGCTCCTTCGGGGGTGGGAAGGTCAGGTACTTGTCGATATAGTCGGCGTAGCCACACTGCTGGTGGAGCTGTTCAAGATCGGCCATGAATGTCTCGTTGAAGTTGAACAGGTTCGCGTTCTGCTGGACGAAAGGCACGACGGGAATCTCCTCCTGGACATAGTCGAACTGACCAATGCAGGGGTCGTAGGTCAATGCACCTAGCGAAGAATCAGCTACAGTGTCTGATGTATTCTCATATTCACTTACCCTGCAGATCGTAGTATTCCTTGTCCTTCTCGTCAAGCATGGCGGCGGAGATGTACGGGACGTAGCGGCCAGCGTAGCTCTCACCGGTCACGTAAATCTTGAAGTTCTTAATTCCGAACGTTTTTTCGAAGTTCTTGAAGAACTTGATGAAGTCCTGCGCCGTCTCTTCCTGGGTGGTGGCAGTCGGCTTGCCGATGGAGAAACCCGTCCCGACGGGTTGATCGACCCTAGGTGGAAGTCAGTACAACCAGTCTCGGTGGCGCAGTTCTTGCTTGGTATACACTTACCAAAGCATGTTGGTCAGGTTCACCCAGGAATAGGGGTTCTCTACGGGGGCAAAAGTGCCGGGCTGCCAGATGAAGCGGCCATTCTCCTGCAAGAAACCCTCCATGGAGCTGCAGCCCGGTCCACCATTCAGCCAAATGGTAACCTCGTCGACTGGCTCACCAATGGTGGGCTGGAAAACGAAGAAAAGCTCTCGCGACTCATCATCCTCGTCAATTGGCACCAGGCCCGAGTACATCTCACCGATGTCAAAGGGGACATCGGGCATGTGGTTGACCAGGTACTCTGCAAATCCGGTTAGTTCTGTGTCACGCGATCGTTGTCGAGTCTACTCACTCTGGGTGTTGTCACTCAAAAAGCGAAAGTCCTTTGTACAACGGACTGCCTTGGCGTGTGCCGCCTGGACAACCCTGTTGGCTCTCGCTAGGGGTTCACGGGCGAGCTTGCCAAGACGTCCAAAGGTCGACGCCTCGACAGCCTCCGAGCCCATAGAAAGGGCCAAGAGACCCGAGGTCAGGACTGACTTCAACAACATCCTATAAGACGGGCGTAGGGAACCCGGAACAAAATGCAAAGAAGAGTGTACGAGGTCACTTATTTTTCAAAAAGTGGCGGGATAGGTCGGCATTAAATAGGACGGGGTCCGTCGTTTGATCCCAGGTAAAAGTTGGGGCAAGACCCGCGGACGATCAAGCAGCATCGCAGTAGCGGGTTAAGCAATTGACCCTTCTGCGCCTCCACCTGCAACCCCCTGTCAATGTCCACGAGCCACTGAGATCAGCGTGATGCACTTGTTAAGCGGGGTACTGTAGAGGATCCCCACCAGCCCCGGAAATGGAAACTCGCCAGGGAATTTCCCGGCCTTTACTATTGCCGTTCTGATTTGTTGGGCAAGATTAAGTGTCTAGGGGTAATTCCAAGTTTCAACTGCCACTGATATCTCTGAACGAAGAGCTGTTCGCTGACCTTGTTGCTTCGAAAGCGCTCAGACGCGGATTGTTGCAAATTAGGGATTCCGGAACAGCGACGGATTCCGTGAATCAGACCTATCCTCCCACGCCCGGTGATGACACTCGTATAGGCAGCAATGACGCTTTCCTCAATTGGTTCTGTTTATCTTTGCCCCCGCACGCAGAACCATCGGCGATGGCTTTGGTCTCCGCTTGGGTAAATCATGCAGCTACGGTGGCGAGAATAATACATTTCAGGTTCCAAGATTGCCGTGCAACCTACGTTGCGGCGGACACGGCCTCCGCTCATTGGCAGATAACCTCGGAAGCCTCCGTCGAATGGGATCCTTACCCCAGATTAGGACATTGGTTTTTCGCAGATAACCCCTGACCATCACCTCCACAAAGTCGGCGCGGGGAGAGTTCGGGCCACCGTCGTACCTTCAGTTAAGGTTGCACGAGGGCTTTTCTAGACTTTCTATATGCGTTCAGGAACCGATCCCTGTAACCGTTAAGCTTTTTCCAGGGGCCGATTGCTGGGTAGAGAGCTGCATACCTCGGCCTGACTGAGCGGCCGGGCGAGCTTTGGGCCATAGATAAGCTCTCATTCGATGCGTCATCGGGTGGGGCCATGCAACCTGCATGTCCGGCCTACGCCCGGTCTCGATGTAACTTGATGATAAGAGTACCGAGAGAACACGATCGAACGTTTTCCATTATGGAAATGCTTTAATCGAGAACTATTTGGTCCCAAGCGGGTTTCCACACCAAACCCAGGCCCGTGAAGGGAAAAAGATGAAAAAAAAAAAAAAGTGGACTCGCGGGGAATCGAACCCCGGACCACCCCCATGCTAAGGGGGTATTATACCACTAAACCACAAGCCCAATTCATATCTGAAGTTTCCATTAAATGCTACAAGAGCAAGACGTCTTTGGATGAAGACCGGCACTTAAAAGCCGTGTCTCATTGTCTCATTCGGTTCGCATTCCCCGCTGTGATGTGATTTGCTAATCTTTTTTCCGAGGAATTTGCATGGGACTTGACGTGCATCTATTTTACAACATCCTTCACTAGGGTATTGGCAGATCACAATTATTGACTAACAAGACAGCACTCTACTAAAACATTCAGATATCACCATTGTTTGCGATCAAAGGTAGGTACTGCTCGTGAGTGGCGCTCCACATCTTCCGGAACCGCCAATCGCCGTCCGCCTCGAGTTTTTCTCTCATACTTAAAAGAGCCTAGAAAGACCCTCTAGAGCCACTTTAAAGCCAATAGGGGTCTTTCCGCGCCATGCACACTTTTGAGTGCCCGGGTCTGGATGACTCCGACTTTTTGATTGCTAAGGGAACCCCTCATCGCGGGTTGTTCTAAGAGAATAACAACCCACCTCCCCAGGTCCATACCCAGACTTACGGAAACAAGCGCACCTCTTAATCGTATAAAATCGCTTATACTCGCGGCCGATCCACGGACAGATTTCAGCGGCTCTTTCCGCATAGAATGTCCACCGAGGCCGGGCTTGCCAGCACACCTATTGCCGCTGGTGACGATTCATATGGCTTCGTGTCCAACTCTAGCCGGGATGTCGTGACAACGACGACAGAGAAACCTGCTGTCAATGATTATGAGAAGTCTGCCAAGCATGTAACAGATAATGAGAAGCACGCCCAACCAGACTCGGCCAAGCAGACGCAGGAGCAGGAGCAAACGCCAGCCGCTCCGGATGGCCAATTCTATCGTACAGCGTCCACCGTGGCGCCATCCCACCGGTCTGGTCACACAGATCCCGTCAGTCGAGTTACGACAGACGCAGAGGGCAACATTTACCCCGAAGGTGGAACCGAGGCCTGGCTAGTGGTACTGGGTAGCTTCCTGGGACTTTTTGGATCTCTCGGACTCGTCAACACGATTGGCACATTCCAGGCCTATATCGAGAGCCATCAGCTGAAAGACTACAGCTCTGGCAGCATCGGATGGATCTTCGGAATGTATGCCTTCTTGACTTTCTTTTGCGGTGTGCAAATCGGCCCCATTTTTGATGCACGCGGCCCTCGCCTTCTCGTCCTCGCCGGTTCAATCTGCGAAATGGCCATGATCATTCTTCTTGGCTTCTGTACCAAATACTGGCACTTTATGCTTGTGATTGGTGTGTTGGGCGGCGTCGGTGCTTCGCTGATCTTCACTCCGGCCATCTCGGCCATTGGTCATTTCTTCTACGTAAAGCGTGGAGTCGCAACTGGAATGGCTGCAACCGGTGGCTCCATCGGTGGGATTGCATTCCCTCTCATTCTGGAGTCTCTCTTCCCCAAAATCGGATGGGCCTGGGCTACTCGAGTGGTGGCCCTGATCTGCCTGATTGCTTTTGGATTCGCCAACCTCCTGATCAGATCGCGATTGCCGCAAAAGCCCTTCTCCAAGGAGAACGTCCTCCCAGATTTCCGCATCTTCCGCGATTCCCGATTTGCATTGACTACCGCCAGCGTCTTCTTCATTGAATGGGGTCTTTTCGTCCCAATCAGTTATATCTCTTCCTATGCCCTAGATCACGGCTTTTCTACCCATTTTTCCTACCAGATACTTGCCATTCTGAATGTAGGCTCGTTCTTCGGCAGATGGCTTCCGGGATTCTTCGCAGATTTCCTAGGCCGGTTCAACACCCTAATCGCTACCGTGGCCCTGTGCCTACTGTGCAACGCGTGTTTGTGGCTTCCCGCCGGAAGCAGCTTGGCCTTGCTGGTGGTTTACGCCTTGCTTTTCGGATTCTCCAGCGGTAGCAACATCAGCTTGACGCCCGTCTGTGTCGGACAGCTTTGCAAGACTGAGAACTACGGCCGGTATTACGCAACCGCCTACACGATTGTGAGCTTCGGGTGAGTATCTTCGTCGAATTTTTGTGATATCATGAACACTTCGGACTGACATGGTTCGCCACTAGTACCCTTACCGGAATACCCATTGCTGGTGAGATTCTGGCTCGCTGCAATGGCCAGTATTGGGGTCTTATTGCTTTTACTACGATCTGTTACGCGGCCGGTCTAGTCTGCTGCACGGCCGTTAAGGTCATTCAGGTTGGCTGGCGTAGCCCTTTGGCTGTCTACTAGACCCTCTGCCCTGGTACTTCAGGGTGCTTCCTAAATTCCGACATTCCCTATCCTTCACGATGTCGATATGATTTGATGACTCACAAATAATTCGTTAGACAGCGGAAGGAAAAAGTCCATCGATTTCGATAAGTATACAGATTGTGTGTCGCATTTTTCTTGATGTTCTGTGGGCGCTTTGTTGCGTTCAACGAGACATGACCACGCCTTTGCACATATGCATTTCAGTTTATATATAGTCGTTACTAATGCTGATAATACTTTTCATCCTATTTTTAATCCCGACTCACTTAAACTTAGGTTTTCTTTTCAATCCCCTTGGCAGATGCTAACGACTCAGTGAGATCATCGGGTTTATTAAGCGCCGGATCACGACTCCGAACAGCTCAAGCCAATTTCTTCAGAGCAAGACATACTTGAGCAAATGTTTGTAGGAGAAGGGCTATCTGCGAAACCAAAGGATGCTTCAAAAATCACTTGACAATGATCAAGATCTAGTAAGTGGTATTCAGATCAAGATCAACGGGATATTGAAAAGGCGATGCTCACCAAACTCAACGGACCCATCGCATAAGATATCCGTCAGGAACCCGGATCTATGTAATTTGTCAGTCATGATGATGGCCCCCAGACTCCAAATCCATGGCACCATCCCACTGGGTCATTTCCAATAGGGCGGCCAAAAACTCGCTGACCCGAAGAGGGCTGGCCAAACCCTAACCTCCAAAGAAGATGCAATGCATACGACTTCCAAATCCCAAAGAAGCGCGTCAATGACATCGAGCGCTCATCACCCGGCGAAACTTATTTTCTGTGCGCTACATATTACAGGGTCTTGCTCTCTGTCCGACTCGTTCTTGTTTCGTGCTTCACCTATTCGCTTTTTTTGGGGTGAATTCTGGCTTTTCGATTCGCATTGCTCTCGTGGTTGGTTTGTTTCATTGCAAGTTGCTGTTTTTGCTCTCGACATCAACACCTTCTATTTGAGGCCATTCACCAACAACGGTTATCTTTACCCTCGCTCTGATCGACACTCCGTCCCGATTTTATCCCGGGTTTAAGGTTCCTTCGCACTCAGCCTGTACGACGTTCATCATGTATACGAAGAACGGCTTCTCCTTGCTGGCTGCTTCTTTGCTGCTCTTTCAGGGCTTTCCAGTCAGCGCTGATAACATCGCAGAGATACAAGACCGTGATGATTATGCTCAGATCCAAGACCAAGGTGATGTGCCCTACATCAAAGAGCGTGATGAAATTGTCCAAATCCAAGAGCGCTCCAACCTCGAACAGCGTCACGATGCCGCTTTGATGAGCTCCTTGGTTGCGGCTGCCACTTCAAAGCCAGAGTCTGGTGGATCCTCTGGAGGAGGCTTTGCTGACAAAGATGTCTCTGGTGGTAATGGCGGAATCACTCCTTGCCAAAGCGCTGGATCTGGATCTGGAACTTCCAGCTCACCTGGTGGTGGTGGTGGTGCTCCTAGATCCGGTTCTAGCGGTACTACTCCTGGTGGCAGTAGTTCTGGACCTGGTGGGGTATCCCCCGGTGGTAACAGCCCTGGCTCTGGTGGCAGCGGTCCAGGTACAGGTCCAGGTTTAGGAGTCCCTGGAAGCGAAAGGCCGGCCTCTGGAGGAGGATCCTCTGGTGGTGCCAGCACTGTGTCTAGGAGTAGTCCCAGCTCTACCAGTACTCCCAGATTTGTTGGTATTGGTCCAGGGGCTGGGAGCCACGGAGGTACGAGCCCTGGTTCTGGCGGCACGGGCCCTGGGGGAAGAAGTTCTGGTGGAAGCTTTGGATCTGGCGGTAGTCCAGGTATCACCGCCCCAGCATCAGTCTCAACTCCTGCGAGCAGCAGCATTGCCTTGGTCTGTCCACTAGCAAGCGCTCTGTGTGCCGCTTGCCCTCAGACTACAAGCACCAGGACTGTCACATCGACCGTTACTGTGACCAGCACTTTAAGCTCTGCTCCCATCAACAGCGGAGTCCGCGGTGAAAGCTCATCTTCAGCTGAGCATTTACCCTTATCCTCAGCCGTCGTCTCCCCGGCCCGCATCGTCCCGAGCTCCAGCGTCGCAGCCTTGAGGCCAAGCGCCGTCGTCCCGAGCGTCGGAATCTCGAGATCAAGCCCCGTCGTCTCAAGGTCAAGCCCAGCAGCCTTGAGGCCAAGCCCCTTCATCCCGAGCGTCGGAATATCGAGATCAAGCCCCGTCGTCTCAAGATTAACTCCCGCAGCCAGCAGTAGATCCATCGCGCCACCAAGCCGAAGCTCGACATCGCTGATTCGCACACAAACGACATCAGTGGGCAGCACCATGCGGACACTTCCAACATCAACTGTGGCTCATCCGAACTCAGGATCCATATCTGCGAGATCCGGGACCACAAATGTGAGAGCATCGATCACTCCTGGAATCGTTCGACGTGCTATGGTCAACACCATGTTCGGGAACATGACCGCGGTTTTCACCAACACGACTCGTATCTTGAACTCGACCTCGACATCGACCTCGACTGCTACTGCTACTGCTACTGCTCGTAATATTACGAGGATCTCGACGGAGTCGACGACTACTGGAACCAGGGCCATCCCTCGCTTCAAGAATCGGGCTCGATTCTACTAGATGGGTCGTTAATTTGCTAGTAGTCTAGGGCTTTGTTGTTGGTAATTGGGTAATCTAGGAGGATTACAAGGGATGGCCGGATATTTTGTAATCCTGCTGGTGGGTTGAGGGGATAGATAATAAAATTGCTTGTGCTTTCGTGTTTTATCTAAAGACGCTTTTTTTCTTGCACCGTCTAGCAGCTTCTGAGGTAAAGGGCAAGCCTAGGTTTATCCCTCTACTGGGAAGAAGATAGCATGAGAAATCTAATCACGCTACGATGAGAGCAAATATTGAAGTCACAAAAGTCTTGCATTTTGGTCTTAGGAAACGAGGTGATCAAACCGCCCGGTGAGAAACAGAAAAAAAAAAAGACCTCGAGCCATCCCAAAATGGCAGAGTAGAAAGAGAAACCTCGGAGCCCATGGCGCTCTAACTTGCACCGCAGATGGCTAAAGCAGAAAGCAAGAAGATACAATACAAAGATGGAAATGATGAAAGAGGCTCCGAGGCAGGGTGTAAGCGAGAGAAAAGATGGCAAGCATGACAATGGAATCCCCGGGGACGGAAATAAAGCACCCCTCTGAATTGCAAACTCCCCCTTCAGTAGTCACCCACTGGACTGCTGAACAGAACCCAAGCCATGTCAATCAAACAGAAGATGCGCCAAACAACACCTTATAAAGCGATGAACGAATGCAGCGATGGAATGTAGTATGATAAGGGGTTCAACAATGGGGACAATGAAGTAGGTGGGTATGAGCATGTAGAATGTGAAAATCGCAAATGGCTGAGGTTCTCGACCTCCAGCCTCATATAGACAGGGTATCAACGGCCACATCGAAACCATTTGACAAATATGCATGGCTGGAAATAAATGTTCATCTGGTGTAACCGAACTCAAGTACTGTTGGATCGCAACAATGACTATTTTGGGGAAGGGGCAGTTAGCCGGGCTGATCCCGAAAGTCATCCTTTTCCACATACTTGCTAACGTACCCGATCATCGATCATCTCTTCGTCTTTGTCCTCGGCCGGCCTAGGACTGACAACACTTCCGCGGGTGATGGGGCCCGATGATGTGATTGCCCGAGTGTCCACACTAGGTCGCGTTGGTGTCGGTAAAGGTTGCATTTTCTGCGAGCGTTGTTGCTGCTGCTGATTCTGGTTGTCAGAAGAGACAGAGGAGTGGATCGGATGCATTTCTCCGCTGCTGGAGATCCGAGACTCCTTGCTCTTCTCCAGCAGCGAGCCACCAAGCGTGGCACACTTGAGAATGGTCTGCATCATCTGGTTCTGCTTAAGCGGCTTGGAAAGGTATTCGTCCATCTGGGCCTGGATGCACTTCTCGCGGTCTCCCAACATGGCGTGCGCCGTGAGCGCAATGATCGGGGTCCGCTGGAGTCCACTCTCCCGCTCGTACTCGCGAATCTTCCCGGTGGCTTCAAATCCACCCATGACGGGCATTTGAACATCCATGAGAATGACATCGTACCGACGCTTCTTCACAGCCTCCACCGCTTCCAAGCCATTGCCAACGACGAAGACATTGTGGTTATGCTTCTGAAGAATCTTCATCGCAAGCTGCTGATTCACGTCGTTGTCCTCGGCAAGAAGAATGTCGAAGGAACGAGAGTTATCGGTGGTGATTGGTGTCGACCGGCCTTCCAAGGCCGGCAGCATACCATTTCCAAGGTCAATAGGCTGGCATGGTGTGGTCATGTAAGAGCTGATACCAAGGTCCAGAGCAGACTTCAAGCTGACACAGACCAGAGGGCAGACCAAAACGATCGGAATATACTTGAACTCGTCGAAAGTACGAAGGATGCGAGCCGTATCCACCGAGTCAACAATGATGACGTCGTATGCATGGCCGGATTCCTTTCCGGAAGGATCCTGGATCTCAGGCGGCGGGACGTGCTCTTCGTTCCTGACAACCAACGGTTCCAAGTCAATCTTCTTGAGCATCTTCATGACATTGGAGGCCTGAGCTCCGTTCTGCCCCTTGTCGATGAACAAAACCCGATGGTTTCGGTACGGCATGAGCTGGGAGGAGATGACCGTCAAGGACTGGTCTGCGAGTTTGACCACGCAAGTGAAGTGGAAGGTACTGCCGTGGCCGTACTCAGAGGTGACCCAAACGTCACCACCCATCAAGTTGACCAGGCGCTTGGAGATGGAAAGACCAAGACCAGTGCCGCCAAACCTCCGGGTGGTAGAGCCATCGGCCTGCTGGAAGGTGTCGAAGATCAAATCCAGCTTGTCTTCCTCGATACCAATACCGGTGTCGGAGACAGAGAACTCGAAAGCATACTCGTTAGTGGTGCATTGCTCCCGATCGGATTTGCGGATCGTGAGTTTGACTTCACCGTGCTCAGTGAACTTGATGGCGTTGCCGACCAAATTGAGGATGATCTGGCGCAGACGGAAGGGGTCACCAATGACATAGTCCGGCACAGTGTTATCCACCTGGTATGTCAGACTCAGGAACTTCTCATTCGCCTTGACGGCCAAAGTCTTGAGCGCATTGAAGACGGTGCCCCGCACAGTGAACGGAATGCTTTCGATCACCATCCGGTTGGCTTCGATCTTCGAGATATCAAGAATATCGTCAATGATCGTGAGTAAACTGTTGGCCAAGTTGTGCACGACGTTCAACATCTCACGTGTGTACGGTTTCAAGTCATCCGTATCCAATGTCAGCTGCGTCATACCGATGATACCGTTCATCGGTGTCCTGATCTCGTGCGACATATTGGCCAAGAATTCAGATTTGGTACGGTTGGCAAGTTCGGCAGCCTCCCTAGCGGCAGTGTTTCGCTGGATACTGTCCCTCAAGTTGGAAACCATCTTGTTGATCTTGCGCTTCAACTCGTCCATTTCTCCGGAGGCATTGACCGTAATGAGCTTGGTGAAATCACCGTCGGTGGCTGCATCGGTAATTTCACCGAATGCTCGCACCTGAGACGTAAGATTTTCGGCCATCGTATTTACGTCCTCGGTAATTTCTTTCCAAGTTCCTGCAATGCCCTCGACGTTGGCTTGCCCACCCATCTTGCCATCGACACCGACATCGCGAGCGACCTTCTTCAGTTCAGTGGCGAACTTAGCGAGTCGACCGACCATGTGGTTGATGGTGACCTTCAACGTCAGAATCTCTCCCTGGGCGTGCACCTCAATTTTCTTGCTAAGGTCACCCTTGGCAATGGCCTGCGTGACGTCGGAGATACTTCGCACTTGAGACGTCAAATTTTGAGCCATAGTGTTGACGTTGTCGGTGAGATCTTTCCATTTTCCTTCCACATTATCGACCTTGGCTTGACCACCAAGGGTACCGTCTGTACCGACCTCTCGAGCCACCTTACTGACTTCGAAGGCGAACGTATTCAACCGGTCCACCATGCCGTTGATAGTGCTCTTGAGGTCTAGTATTTCACCTTGAACGTTCGCGGTAACCTTCTTGGTCAAGTCACCCTTGGCGACAGCGGTTGTGACATCGGCAATCTCTCGCACCTGAGTGGTCAGGTTGTTGGCCATTCGGTTGACGTTTTCAGTCAAATCTTTCCAGGTGCCTTCAACATCATTCACCGTGGCTTGCCCTCCGAGTACACCGTCGGTACCGACCTCCTTGGCAATCTTAGTGACTTCCTGCGCGAATTGCCGTAGTTGGTCCACCATGGAATTGATAATGTTCTTGAGCTCCGCAATTTCTCCTCGGCAGTTGGCTTGCACCTTCTGCGTGAGGTCACCCTTCGCGACCGCCTTGGTGACCGTGGCGATATCACGCACTTGGGTGGTGAGATTGTTGGCCATAGCGTTGACATTAACCGTGAGTTCGTTCCACATGCCTTGTACACCTTCGATCTGGGCTTGTCCACCTAGTACACCTTCCGTTCCGACGTCGCGCGCGACTCGCGTTACCTCGGTTGCAAATGTTCGAAGTTGATCCACCATGGTGTTGATCGTCTGTTGCAGTTCCAAAATTTCACCCTGAGCGCGGCTCTCAATCTTCTGACTGAGATCTCCGTGGGCGACAGCAGTGGTCACAGCCGCGATTTCTCGCACCTGGTCCGTCAAGTTCTTGGCCATGATGTTCACATTTTCCGTAAGTTCTTTCCAAATACCATGGACTCCAGTAATCTGAGCTTGTCCTCCAAGTATACCTTCGGTTCCGACTTCACGGGCGACTCGAGACACTTCGCTACCGAAAACTTGCAGTTGGTCCATCATAGTGTTGATCGTTCGTTTGAAAGTGGCGATTTCAGGGTCCATCTCTAGAGGGTGGATCTGGACTTTCATGGACAGGTCACCGTTGGCAACCTGGGTAATGATACCGCCGATTTCTCGTAAGGCTTTCTGGAAAGCCTCGTTGGCCTGTTGATGCTTGCGTAGTTCACGTTCCAAAAGAACGACGTCTTCGTTCTCGACCTTGGTCAAAGCACGGCGGGTGTGCTCTTCCTGCTTCTGCAACTCATCGCGAACCTGCGCAATAATGTCTTTCTGGAAGCTTATCTCCTCGGCCTGCTTCTGGACATGGTTGCGGAGAATGCTGATGTCCTCCTCGCGGACGACGCGGGTGCGAGCCCCATTCTCATCCTCTTCGTCGGTTTCGTCTTCGTCAAGGTCTCCAACCGGGGGCTCTTCGGGACCGGAGGGGGTCCGCTGCCGCCGATCGGATTGATTCAGTTTTTGCTGCTGTGAAAGGCAATAAGAGTCAGAACCTTGACCGGACGACAAGCGATCGAGCCCAAAGGTCCACAAGAAATCAGGGTCCTTCTCGTTGGATCCATAAGCAGACGGTGTGGCCTGCTGGGGATTGTCGGGGAATTTGTGATGACTGACAGCTTGGAATTCCAGATGATGCACGCGCCGCACCAAGGCCTCCAATTCGGCTTCGAAGGAGGCCTTTGCAGGGGTGGGTTCTCCGGGAAGTTGGGATGATTTCGTGCCGTTACTCGAAGAAAATTGGAAATCAAAGGGAGGTGAGGAGGAGCCGGCGGTGGGCTCGTCTCTGGCTAAAGACTGCAACACGGCCGTTGCGGCCACGAGAGTCTCGTCAGCCATCGTGCCCTAGGGCCGTCAGCGAAGGAGCATGTAGGACGAGACGACAACAGTATAGTAGAGGGGTAGAGATGTCCCAAGCCCCAACAGCTTTGTCTAGGACCGAGGACGTCCCATGGGTACCGGAGGTCCGAAAAAGGGAGTCGGGAATGATGGAAGCGCAGGGACCACGTACCGGGTTCCTGACACAAATGAACGGCTTGGGAGGTCTAGGGCGACATGGATAGCAGAGAAGAAACAAGATGAGATGGATAATCGCCGTCCCGACTCTGGGATGTTGAAGAGAAGCTTAGAGGGACGGGACAGAAGGGGGCCACGGGAGAGGGTGAAGCGCCCGGCAAGGGGGTTATGTAAGCGCTCGTCTTTTGCGGGGGAGAACAGCGAGCTGTCCAAAAAATAGGAAAGGAGAGTGTGACTAAGGGGGTAGAAGATCAAAACCCTGGAAAAGAGGAAAGAGGGGAGGGGAAAGTGGAAGAATTTCGAAAGGGGCGGCGATGCCGAACTACTTTTTTTCCTGTGTTGGATGCCTTCGACTCGATGGGAATCGGACGTGCACCCACTTCCACCATCCCCTGCTCGAAGACTTAACGTCTTTCGCTTGCACGACGCTCCCTACGGTACTTCTTTCCCCCTCTCGTTGCTATTCGACCCTTGGTTCTACAGGGGTGCACGGACTGAGCAAGATAGAGTTCGAGAGAGGACCGGGGTGTTTTGGATAAGGCTCCAGGGCTCTCTCCATTCTCGTTTCATCTCCCAAGGTGTGCGAACTGAGCTCACAATGAACGACGATCGGCCATACTAGTGGCGATCCTAACGTGGCAGTCCCTCGAAGCGCCGCTTCGAATTGTCAATAGTTCACCTCGAACGCGGCCCAAATGCTCTGATTTCAGTACCACGACTTCCAATCCCGACATGGTTCTCGTGGGTGGGTTGCCGGTCCCAAAGTGGGCTCCAGTCGAACCTTAGTCTCAACCACTCATATCGCACTCAGGAGGTTCGTTGTCTCGGGAGGATTTCGTGCCACAGATCCACGCTTTTGTGATTCCACTTCGCTAAAGAAATTTTTATGTGGCTGAGGCCCGGTGCCGTCCTAGCGTCTCCCGTGGCCCTCGTGTGTCGATTGGACGCTGTACCATCATGGAACGTGGTCAAGTGGTCTTCGGGTCCGGGTTCAACGGTGCCTGAGATTGTCCCTGTGCTGTGTACTACTTGGGACCGGAGCGCCGTCGGGTTCATACTACCCGATTTGGTAATAGACTGTTTAGTGCTTTGGGTCGTAGTTCGATATACCTGGGTAGACAGTTGAACTTCATTGAGGTGAGACAGCACTCGGCTAGCAAAACCCAAGCGTACCACGATAACACGACATGCAGATGCATAGATAGCCACCACGCTATCCAGGAAAAAAAAAATTGGCCACCGTTGAAATCTTGCCCGATAAGACTGTACAAACATAGCTGTTGAGGCTGTGCCCTGAAGAAATAAGGTAGAGTTGGGACCGTTTTAATAGACCGTCACTTTATAGGCCCGGAGCAGCCGTTATGAGGCTTAAAAGACCAAAAGTGGGATTCCTGAGGAAGCGTCTGACCTCGCGATATGGCTGCACTCGTATCCTGGTTATCGTACAGCAGCGCGACAGTAATTACATAGGGCGCTTGGGCATTAAGGCAGAGAATGGAGGGGGGTCCAAGGAACATTATGCCTGAGGCATAAGATGGCCGCGCAGTTGGTTTCTGCGGTCTACCGCACCCGATATTAAGAGTCATTCGTAATTTTGGCGGCAACCGCAAGACCGATAACTCCCCACGTTTTGCTCAGCGACCCGCCAAATTCCCTGCAGGAAACGGCTGCAGCCATGGCGTCCGATTTGACGACCGCGATTCTGGACGCCCTGTCCGCGTCCGATGCGCCCATCCTCTCCAACCAAGCCTTCCCCTCCGACCCCTCATTGAATGTCAAAAGTGCGCTGGACCGCTTGGCGTCGCGGCTGATGGTCGAATATGAGACCAAAGAGAAGGATATCATTGTTCTCACCTCCGAGGGTGAGGCGATTGTGGCCAATGGCTCTCACGAGGCCAGGGTCTTCAACGCCGTTGTCAAGGCCTTGGACGGACTGAAGATCACCGATTTGCCTGGAATCGTGGGGAAGGACAGCGCCAAGGTTGGCCAGGGCAATGCGTTCAAGCGCGGTTGGATCAAGAAGGACAATGACTTGCTGCGTGCGGCCAAGGAGTCAATTGTTGACGAGACCCGCGAGCAGCTCCTCGGCGTTCAGAAGACCAAGTCTCTCGACGACTCCAAGGCACTTGCCGATCTCAAGCGGAGAAAACTGATTTCCATGTCCAAGGAATTCGCCTTTGTGATCTCCAAGGGCCCCAAGTATGCCCGGGAAATCGCCAAGGAGGAGACCGATCTTACAGCCGAGATGATCGCCAATGGCTCCTGGAAGACCACCCAGTTCAAGCCCTATAACTTCAACGCCAAGGGTGCTCCCACACCCGCCGGCGCTCTGCACCCGCTCAACAAGGTGCGGCAGGAGTTCCGGCACATCTTCTTCGAGATGGGCTTCGAGGAGATGCCGACCAACCGCTACGTGGAGACGGGTTTCTGGAACTTCGACGCTCTGTTCGTGCCCCAGCAACACCCTGCCCGTGACCTTCAAGATACCTTCTACATTGCCGATCCTCTCACGGCTGATCCTCCGCGCGAGGATCCCCCGAACGACCCGCACCTATCCAAGGCAGACAAGCCCCTCGACTACAAGCAATACTGGGATAACGTGCACGATGTCCACGAGAAGGGCAAGTTTGGCTCCATCGGATACCGCTACCCCTGGAACCCTGACGAGTCCCTACGGCTGGTGCTCCGCACGCACACGACCTCCATCTCGGCGTACATGCTGCACAAGCTCGCCGCCAACCCGCGGCCGGCCCGCTTCTTCAGTATCGACCGTGTGTTCCGTAACGAGGCCGTCGATGCCACTCACTTGGCTGAGTTCCACCAGATCGAGGGTGTCATTGCCGACTTCGGCCTGACTCTGGGTGGTCTGATTGGTTTCATGGAGGTCTTCTTTTCCAAGATGGGCATTCACCAGCTCCGCTTCAAGCCTGCCTATAACCCCTACACCGAGCCCAGTATGGAGATTTTCGGCTACCACGAGGGTCTGGGCAAGTGGGTGGAGATTGGTAACAGCGGTATGTTCCGGCCTGAGATGCTGGAGTCCATGGGTATTCCCAAGGACATGAGAGTCTACGGCTGGGGTCTGAGTTTGGAGAGACCTACTATGATCAAGTAAGTACTACGAGAGTTGACATCGGATCAGTTTACTAACGGGCCTTTCCCTAAGATATGCCGTGAGCAACATCCGTGAGCTTCTTGGCCACAAGGTCGACCTGAACTTCATTGAGAGCAACCCGGCCGTGCGTCTGGAGAAGGAGTAAGAAAATCGCATCCTTGTCTGGTGAGATATGATTTGCATGAATTATCAATAGAGCAAAAACTGTTTTTATCAATTGTGTCTTGCTGGCGGAGGCCCTGGGATTGTGCGTGCCAGCGACTTCACTCGAATCACGAGTCCATGTGAAAGACAACGTAGCATATGATGGATGAGGAGAAATGAATCAAAGATTTCAATCAGATTTAACAACTACATTGACTTAGCGTAATATGTAAATGAGGACATGAGGCAGCAAGATCATTATCATTCAATTTCCGTATATAGTAGATAGAAAGTCTACGCAGTCTACAATAGGGATGTCCCACCCGTATCTGTGCCCCAGTGCATAGATCTCTGCAACAGTGGCTCTTCAGAAGGCGGGTTTTGAAAGAGTAATTTTCGGCTGGATGTGCTTTTTCTACCTCCTCGCTCATGGAAAACAGACAACAAAAGCACAGACCGCGTAAACGATCCGGTTTTCGAGCCCGCTAGTGCGAGGAAGCCTTGATATGCCGATGCAAACCAGAAGAAGAAAAAAGACTTAAGGAAAAGAGGAAGGAAATCTTTTTTCAAATTTTTGGGCATTCCATTTTTGGCTTTTTGTTTTCATGGCCGCTGGGAGGTTGCGAGAAGGGAAACCCTCACTAGAAGAATCTATCGCAAAGGCGTGGAGGATTTGAACAGGCGGTAATTGGAGAAAACCGGACCCATTAAGTCGTCGATTCCATTTCATTCCGATAGATAGGACAGTAGGAAATTAGGGTTTCTCCGAAGGCAAAAAAAAGACTTTAGGCCGAAGGAGACTATGTTAGTACCCCTCCTCCCATTTTTTCAAATCTTCGTAAACCAATCCCCGAACCTGGACCATCGAGCCCTAGTTCATCTATCGCAGTATTAGTACCACTGTCATGGATAACAGGAAAGAGTCTCGGCTCACCATCATATCAACCCGTCAACACCCCAGTGTAAACCATATCACAGGCAGGTAATTTACCGCTGGCTGGAGGCGGACCACACGTTCTTGAGGTAACCGTCACGCTGGGCGAGGCGGTTGAGGGAGTCGTCGCTCTCACCACGGGCACGGATGAAACCGCACAGGGCGTAGGTGTTGTTCTCGCCGGTGTAGCGGCCGTTCTCGTCAACCTTGCCGACGGAGATCTGGACAGAGGCGTGGTCGTTGGCCTTGATGATGCGGTTGGTAGCGCTGCACTTGCGGGGCACGTAGCTGTTGAGGAGAGGGCATGTTAGTTTTTCATGTCCATTTTTCAATATTGAAATATTCCCCTCCAATCGAGGTAGCGTCAAGGACCTGGCTGCTCGGAACGATATCGCACAATTTCCACAGGCTGGTCGCTCTCCCGTTCATTGCGACCGACTCCGATTTTTCTATCTCTTGGTGCTTGGGAAATCGTGGAATTGGGGATTGCGATCGCGGACAGCCAGGCTCAGGACACCGGGGTTGAATTGTTGCAAGGCGAAGGACTCAGGAACATACAGATCGACGATCTCTCCCTTCTCGTTCTCCATTTTGGCGGATTGGGTGTAAGAGGTTTTGACGGGCGACGGTGAGGTTGGAGGTGGAGGGTTTTTTGGTGGCCCGTAAAATCAAAGACCCAAATGATTTGTGTGGGTCATGTGACTTTTTGTCGAGGGCTCGCGTGGGTGAAAGGCGGCGAGCGTGGCTTTACCGCTTTCTGCCGTTGCAGCGCCGTGGCAATATCGGTAATGTAAAGAATGCACCATCTATGTCTGCCAAGTTGGTGTAGATTGATCATGGTAAAGGTCTCTGTACAATCTAAAGATTACTACGGGATTCTCTTCCCTCTTCTAGGGCATCCTTTTTCCATGCCACGTTCACCTCCCTCGCACTGCCCTTCTTAAACCGCACCAGGACAACCCGATCCGACTCGCCTCGTTTCCCAGATCCCTTCAATTCAGGTCCAGGCTCGTCCAACGCTAGGACCGCCCGCCCGTCCTCGGTCATCTTAAGCATCTTGGGCGAAATATACTTATCTGTCCAAGCAGGCGACCCGGAGTATACAAACTCGACTAGTTCTGCTCGGCGTTTCTCCATCTCTTCCACGGACGTGCCCGATCGGGGTTCCCGGTCGAGGAAGCCTGACGCCAGATGTAGGAGTAGATATTGCGGCGGGAACAAAATGACCTCCCCGCTCTGTGCGCGGCGAAGCCACTCTGAAGCCGGAAGGAATTGCGCCTCCGTAACCTCGATGCCACCATCGCTAGTCGGGACTTGAATCTCTTCACGTTCGCCTTCCGCAGGGAGCTCCTCGAGCAACCTCTTATCCAAGTTGACTGGTAGAGGCATGAAGTAGAGATACATTTGTGTTGTGTACCGCTTCGGAACATTGGTCGGAGTAATCCAGTGCGTGAAGGGAATCAGTTGATCTTTTCAAAAATTAGCCTGGAGAAAATCCTTCAAGAAATGGTATGCCAACCAATATCTGGCTCAGCCGTTGCATGTTGCTGCTTCAACCAGTCTGAGAATGAAACTTTGTTCTGATGAATAAGTCGTCTGCCTTGCTCTCGGGTCTCCTCATTGACGACTAGCATCTTTCCTGAGTCCCGGTCTTTCGCAAGCAGAATGCCACTCTCCTCAAAAAGCTCCCGGATGGCTGCACGTCGGTAAGCTGGAGCATCATCATGCACGGCATGGTCTTCGGGTGGCGGTATTGGCCCATCCTGACTCGAAAGGTTTCCACCCGGGAACACATGAGCCGATGCAAAGGAGCTAGATGTATGGACACGGTGTAGAAGAAGGACCTCATTTTTCGGAGAGACCAAAATCACACTAGGCAGTTGGTCAGCGAGACTTTTTCTAGGTTGCAAGGTTGTGACCGACATCGCCATCCCTAGGGAAAAGCAACGGCTATACGGCCACGGTGTAAATTAACTCATGCACCAACTCACCTTGCACTGGGCCGAGGAACAGCAGGCCTCCTTTCTTTGCCGCCGTCTCCCTTCTCACGAGGCATTTTGGCGGACTGGGCTGCTGGCGTTGGGTTCGAGTGTGCTGAATAGTTCCTGACAAAATCCCTGTGACTTCCCGACGGCAAAGCCCAAAAGCGCGCAATGTGAAGCGGAGCCCGGTGTCCTCGAGTCCTTAGGTTTAGAGAGGATCCCTGAGCCAGTCCAGGTACTAATATACGGCTGCAGAAATATTCAGATAGGGCAGACATTGCCCGAAAACGTTTACCTTTGGACCCGCGGTTATAATCGAGGACATGACCCGAGAGCCTAGGCATATCCCGGTACCCCGCGTCCGCCTTGGCCGCATTCGGGCGTGCCGATAGCCGCGCCATGTGCTTCTACTTGGCTACTTTATTGAACTTTACAGATGCACAAATAGTGTTCGGACCAGTATCCTCATTAATTGAAAAGCGTAACTCCTCAAATCGTAACTCCTATCCATCTCATACACCATTTTTTATTTTCACCATGTCATCGTGCGGAGAATCCCAAATCATATTCACAGCGGGAACGTCTATAGTTCAAAGAAGCCTGGATCTTACGAGTAAAGCTTCTTGTCGTAGCTGTGAAGACCGTGGACGTTACCCTCGGTCTGGGCGCTGGCACTTCTCATCTCAAAGCGGACAGTGCCCTTGTTGACACCGTCGTGCAGAGCGTCAAGGCTCTTCACACCCATGTCCTGCAGAGAGTGCTGAACACCGGCCACGAGGTAGGGAATGAACTTGGTGACGGAGCCACGGTCGAGAACGGAGCCAGCAACACCCTGGGCGACCAGGACGTTGGACTTCTCGGAGAAGTAGCGGGCGGTACCAGCGTTGCTAGCCTTGCTGTCCTTGCTGCCAGCGCCGGCCTTCTTGTCCTCCATGGCGGCGATACTGCCCATACCACGGTAGGCCTTGACGAGCAGACCCTCGTTGGAAACGAAGTACTCGCCAGGGGACTCGGTGGTACCGGCAAGGAGACCACCCATCATAACGGTACTGGCACCAAGGGCCAGACCCTTGACGATGTGGCCAACATTCTGGACACCACCGTCGGCGATACAAGGGACACCGAAGCGAGCGGCGAAAGCGGAGACGCTGCGAACAGCGGCGGCCTGGGGACGACCGACAGCCATAACCTCCTGAGTGATGCAAGCGCTACCGCTGCCCATGCCAATTCTCAGGCCATCGGCACCGGCGGCAATCAGAGAAGCAGCCTGCTCGCGAGTGACAACGTTGCCGGCGACAACGTCGATCTCGGGGAAGGTGTTCTTGACGTACTTGATCATCTCAATCTGGTACATGGAGTTACCCTGGCTGGAGTCCAGGATGACGATATCCAAGCCAGCCTCAACAAGCAGCTTGAGACGGTGCTTGTCCTCCTCGCGAGTACCAATGGCGGCAGCACAAATCAGCTGCTTGGAGTCGGGGAGCTTAGAAGCCAGGGGATAGTGGAGGTTCTTCATCAAATCCGAGCGAGAGAGCAGGGAGACAATGTTGCCAGCCTCATCAACAATGGGAAGCTTGCCCTTCCTGGACTGACGGAGGACCTCGTTGGCCTCGGAGAGGGTGGTTCCAGCGGGAGCAGTGACCAGGTCAGTGGCCATGATGGCAGTGACGGGGTCATCAAGCTTGTGGTGGAACTGGATGTCACGGGAGGTGACCATACCAATCAGCTTGGACTTGAGGGTTCCGTTCTCTGTTGTAAAACAGTTGATTAGCATCATGCCAGACAACCATTGTGTGAACAAGACAGGTGGTAAAACGAGCGATCAGTTGAGAATCGGTTCTCTACAGCGCAACTCTCGTTGCTCCAGTGGAACGAAAGTTATATAGAAAAGATGGAAAATCATCATGCAAAAGGTGGAGATGGGATCGAAATGAAGAAAATGCGATCGACTTACCAGTGACGGGGAAGCCACCGAAACCCCACTTGGCCTTGAGCTCCTTGGCCTCACCAACGGTAGCCTTAGGGGAGAGAACAACGGGGTCCAGGATGAAACCGTTTTCGTATCTCTTAACCTTGCGGACCATCTCGGCCTGGTCCTGGGGAGCACAGTTGTGGTGGATAACACCAAGACCACCGAGCAGGGCCATGTGGATAGCCATGTTGTGCTCGGTGACAGTATCCATGGGAGAGGACAGAAGGGGAGCCTTCAACGAAATACGCTTGGTCACAGGGGTATCAAGGGTAACATCGGAGGCAGGGAAGCCTAATTGTTAGATGTTATTAATATGGCCACACATCATCCCTGAATTGTGACCGGCTTACCGATGTAACCGGGCAGGACCAGGAAGTCGTTGTAGGTCAGAGCACCGTGCTTGTCGGAGTCGAGGAGAGTGTCCACATCCAGGCCATCCTGGTTGGTGTAGGTCTTGACGACCTCAAGAGCCTTGGTGTAGTCCTCGATCTCAGCCTTCATGGCGGCACCGGGCGCAGCCTCCTTCTTGGTAATAGGCATAATTATTAAAAAGAAGGGATCTCTGATGCCAGAAAGTGATGGGGTATAAAAGATAGAAAGGGATCAATCAACAGAACGGGATCAATCTGTTGATGGAGAGAGACCAGCTTTCCCAAAGAAAAGAAAAGAAAAGAAAAAGTTCGACGAAGAAGATCCAGCTTTTTTTCTCGCGCACGCCGGCCCGGGAGGGGTCCTTGCCTCATCCGGAGTAGCGTACCGTCTTTTCACTGCACGTTCATTGGCCTGATAAACGAGATCCCCGGGCGGTGAGGACGAGCTGCTTAGCAATGATGACTTAGACTCCGAGTTTATAGTTAGTAGAGGTCCAAGATAGATCCGATCGGAGGCAGGGTTGATGGCGTTCATTGGCTATACGTTTATTCTGTATTCCCACAGAGCTGTTTCCCTGTAATTTGTGGTGTCATTACGTGAGAAACCGAAGACCTATTCTCTGGCCATTTGAACCACTTTCTAGTCAAATCAGATAAACATCTTGAATCTCCTGCTTGGAACCGTACGAAAACAATTCACTCGGATATTTCATAGAGCCGTATCCTTATACCAACGTCTATGCAATTCTGTCATTTGGCAGCGAAATGCCACAGGCTGCCACAGGCACGGGCTCGCGGGTCCTTGTCAGCACCCAGCTACTGGCAGTGATTCAGCTCAGGTATCAGTCGATCAGTAGCAGCGTCCATGGCGAGGGAGGGAGTTAATATCAGCATTGTTGCCTGCCGAAGGGGCAGGGGGGATAAATTTGTAATCTCATTCCTGGAGACCTGAGAGATTGTGAATTTTGCCGCCAGGCAGTGGAGATTCAGGTTATCAAGTAAATCTTTGAATAACCCCTTGATCAACTACAGTATAGTCAAACCTTCGTTTCAGATCCGTACTTCTTTCATCGTAACCTTCCGGGGCCCATCCACGATGATTGATTGGGGCGCGACTAAAGGTGCCATCACCGGCTTCTCCAAATGCCTGGAGAAGTGGGATTGAAGGGCAGGCCTTGGTCAACCAGGTGAGCCCAGCGAAGTTGCGACCACAAATGTGTTTCTGGCTAGTGCAGATGTGTCGCTTTGTTCTAAGCTGTCGTACTATCGGCACGGCATGTCCCCGGGGAGCTAATATGGAAGCAGACGGGCAGGTCCTTCATTGTTGTGAACTAGGCGATTAAAGGAGAAAACGCTCCCACTAAATTTCACGTCCGAGGCTCCAATTTCCATGTTTTTAGTGACTGGGCTCTGTACGTATCACTGGAAGTGAACATTAATGCAACTGAAAACAAATTATTATCAGTACAATAGCCATGGCTCCGCCCCATTTAGAGCCTTCTCCCATCCATCCTCATTTTGCCATATCGCGATACTCTCCACCTCCTCCTTGCCCAGCTTTAGTCCATTATACAGATGCTTTAAGTTGTTCAGTAAAATGCTCCTGTTTTTGAGCAGTTGGGATAGCCATATAACTTACCGGGAATAAACCCTCTCCCGGCCGGGGCCCACACACTTTTGCGTCGGGGGACTCCCAGCGAATATCTTGCATGACTTGCACGTACTCGATGCGCAAAATATACACAACCGGCTCATCTTGGAAGAAATGGTTCAACGTGTTGGCCACCTGGTGTGCCAAGGAGAGATGGATGAATCCCGAGTTTTGGTCGAGCTCGCTGACCGGCAGGCGCTCGGGGATCGGCTCACGGATGGGCGCGTTGGAGGCGATGATTTTGTAGAGATAACGCGGTTGGGTACCAAGAGCTTCCATGATGGCGATGTGAGGATGCTGTGGCTAGTAGGGAATGAGGGGAAGAGCTGACCTGTCCCGTTGGGTTTTAACGGTTGGAGCATGTCATTATTGTCGCGCTATTCTCCAGGTTGGCGGGGTCGACCGGCAATGTTTAGAAATAGGCACCACGGGACATTGAATTTTCCGATGGAGCTTCTAGTACTAGTACTTTGATATGGACTGGGAACCTTTTTTTCTTTCTTATTTTTGAAAATGGAATTTGACGGTATCTGCAGGTAAGGATCAAGAGTGGTTCCTGTACTGTGGTGCAGTAGTGAAATATACATTAGGTCTGACGGCGGCTAACAGATAAGCTTTTCAGAGATTACAAGGAAGAGAACCGACAGATTATCGAGGAAATCTAGGGCATGACATAGCAAGAAGCTATCTATTGTCCTTGCCCCCAGCGAGGGCTCGTATTGCATTGCACTAGGGCTACAGCAGCTCGTTATGGACCAGGCCCGTTCGAGTAACACTGCCAAGGTCGTTTAAGAGGTCGCCAAGAGATAATTGCGAAAGGCGCGTTTTCGGGCATGTTCAACAGCATCATCCTAAACACTTCGAAGATAATAGTGCTCCTACAGAGGAAGTGATGAAGTACGAAATCGAACATTAACTGACAGTTGAGAGGCGGTAGATGATGGTCGCACGGGACTACGGAATCCGTGAGATTTACCGAATCGACCTCAGCCACACCTGCCAAGTTTGTCGGTATTCCCCCTGTCTGACAGGTCCGAAACCACACTGTTCAGTAGGAGAATTATGAGTGGGTAAGAATAAAAGAAAGCAAAAGTGATAGTAGCGGAACAAGATCTCACGAAAACCCGTGTTACTATGGGCAAGCCACACGTGACCGGTGGCTGACTGATTGACGATCTCACCAAACCCGATCGGGAGGTTTGTTTACTGGGTGGGTGGGAAGATCCCGGTTCGCTCCTGCCTTCTCCCCCACCGTCAACAAGAGTTCCATCATCGGAGGGTCCTGCTGGAGCCGTACACCTTTTCGACTTCCGCTGCGCACTTCACCCGACCTGCCGACTTCCCCACCGACACATTCATCAACCTCGTCGCTGCGCGCGCGCTCCCTAGGTCTCACATTCCAAGTACCGCTGACCCGAAACAACAAAGTCAATAGCCTCTCGAAGCTCGGACCGAACCAGAACCCCCGCTTCTGCTTGTGAAGCAGGGATGCGGTCAATCGAGAACGAAACTCTCTCCCCGCTTTTCCCATTTCCGTCGCGTCGCTAATGGTAATGTCGACTCAATTTCCATCATTCAAGCGGGCCCATACGGATCTCCCGGCGCAGTCATCGAGTCCGCTACGAAACGGGTCAACCGCGTCCACAAACTCCTCTGCATACTCTGTTGTTTCCAGCTCATTCGTTCCGAGTCGAACAAGCACAGTCTCATCCAATGCCTCGATTCAGAGCAACCTAGGACATCACCGAGGAAAGAGCGAAGCCAGCTCCATCACCATGGACTCGGCTGGACAAGGAAGCTGGGCAAATGCCGGGTCGACATATGAAAACATCCGCCGGTCCCTGCGCCCTTTGCAACAGGCGCCGAACTTTACCCCATCTTCTCCTAAGACCGGCGCGTATCGACACTCGCGTAGCAACACTATCGACGAGCACCAATTCAATAAGGCACATCGGCCCAGTACCCCCGAATCGCATCATGTCCACTTTAAGGAAAATGAATCACCTCGATACAAATCGCCCGCTTTCGAACCTCAGACACCTCCCCGTGGCGCTTCACCTCGACACTGGTCTCCCAATCCAACTCCAGGATCATCGCGTCCGTCGTCACCCCAGAAACAGCTGTCGAACAGCCCTCGTCCTCCACCACTAAGTACCGCTCTCTCTGCACCTGAGCTCGAAACTTTCCAAAAATCAGCGACGGGCCATCTCAGAACGCTGTCCAAGATTGCTCAATCTGGCGAAACGGAGGAATTTCAATTTGGCACGACAACACCTTCCGTGGTTGGCTTGCAAGGACGGCGACGGTTGAAGCGTGCGGGCTCGGTTGCTGGGAGAAATGGTGCGAGATCACCAGAGAAGCCCAAGGTCTCCTCATGGGCAGCTGGGAATTGGATGGACCAGCAACGGCAATTCTTGCAAGCCTATGAATACTTGTGTCACATTGGAGAGGCCAAAGAGTGGATTGAACAGGTTATCGAGAAGCAGATTCCTCCAATTGTTCAGCTGGAGGAAGCTTTGCGGGATGGTGTTACACTGGCGGAGGTGGTGCAGGCCATGTACTCGAATCGACCTCTGCGCATCTTTCGGAACCCAAAGTTGCAGTACCGTCATTCAGACAACATCGCCCTCTTCTTCCGCTTCTTAGACGAGGCCGGGCTGCCTGAACTGTTCCGATTCGAGCTCATTGACCTCTACGAGAAGAAGAACATCCCCAAAGTCATCCACTGCATTCACGCCCTATCTTGGTTGCTTTTCAAGAATGGGATGCTCGACTTCCGCATGGGAAATCTAGTTGGCCAACTCGAGTTTGAGCACCATGAGCTCGAAAAAACTCAGAAGGGTCTTGACAAAGCAGGCGTCAGCATGCCAAGCTTTGCGGACATGGCTGCGAATTTCGGCGCAGAGCCTGAACCCGAACCGGAACCGGTCGAATCGGAAGAGGAGCGCATCGATCGTGAGCTACATGAGAATGAGGGCTCAATCGGGGATTTCCAGGCTCTAATCAAGGGCGCAATGTTGCGCTTGAAACTCGGGAACACGATGAATGACCTTTGGGACTTCGAGCCTCTGCTTATTGAGTTACAGTCACGCTTGCGTGGGGACTGGGCCCGACAAATCAGCTCGTATCGACTCAGCATGCGTCAGTTTGCTGTCCAGCTCCAGGCAATCAGCCGCGGCTTTATCGTGCGCCACCGTCAGCAAGGAGAGATGCAATGGCGAAAGGCTCAAGAATGCGATATTCTGGAGCTGCAAAGCCTCATCCGTGCTTCAAAGGTGCGAGCTCAAACAAACACCTTGCAGTCTCGCATTCGAAAAGAAGAGCATGGAATCAAGCAATTCCAGGCTGCCATCCGGGGAGCATTACAGCGCAAGGATGTTACCGATCAATACGAAGAAACTCGATATGCCGAAAACGATGTTACAACCCTCCAGGCATTGATCCGAGGTGCTTTGCAACGAAACCAAAGAAGTGCACAATCACAAGCCGTTGAGAAAGCCAGTAGCCCTGTCAAATCACTGCAGGCAGTGATCAGAGGAAATGTTGCTCGTCAGCACATCTCTCAAATAAAAACGACCCTTCACAAGGAAGTCCCTACCATCACATCGCTCCAGTCCTTTGCTAGGGCTCTAGCGACCAGAAAGCAGCGATCACTAGCTGTGGACGCTCTTAATTCCACGGTGAATGAGTGCAGTAAGTTGCAAGCTCACGTGCGAGGTGCGGCTTTGAGAAAACACAACTCGGCTCTTCGTGCTGAGTTGATCCAGCATACCTCAGCCGTGACTATCCTTCAGGGAGTGCTCAGGGGCAGGGCCATGAGGCAACACCTAGTGTCGCAGCGAGTTGCATTGATGAACCAAGAGAGCACCATCTTGGACTTGCAGTCAAGGGTCCGGGCTATCATCCTGCGCAAGCACTTGGAAGCCGACCGACAAGTTCTGCAGAGAGAAGAACCCTCCATTGTAAATCTCCAAGCTCTTGCTCGCGCAGCCACCTCCCGGATCGAAGTTGGCAGCATTCTTTCCCGTCTCGAAGAACATGAAGAGGAAGCTGTACAACTTCAGGCACTGGCTCGCGCAATGATAGTTAGGGTCGAGGTTGGTCACATGCTGACTGATCTTGAGGATGAGGAGGATATCACCACCGACTTCCAATCATGGATTAGAGGAATGATCATTCGCAATCGATTTGAGGAGAGACGTCGCCACTACCATGAGAACATGGAGAAGGTCATCAAGGCTCAAAGTGTCATCAGAGGCCGAATTCAGGGTCAAGCTTACAAGAGTTTGACAAACGGCAAGAACCCACCTGTTGGAACTGTCAAAGGCTTTGTACATCTTCTCAACGACAGTGACTTCGACTTCGATGAGGAGATCGAGTTTGAGCGCCTGCGAAAGGTTGTGGTTCAGCAAGTTCGGCAAAATGAAGAGGCAGAGCAGTATATCAGTCAGCTGGACATCAAGATTGCCCTCCTCGTCAAGAACAAAATCACCCTCGATGAAGTTGTCAAGCATCAGAAGCATTTTGGAGGACACATTGGCAACTTGTTGTCCAACACCGAGATCTCCTCCAAAGACCCATATGATCTCAAGGCGTTGAACAAGACATCGAGGCGGAAGCTGGACCAGTACCAGGTCTTTTTCTTCCTCCTTCAAACCCAATCCCAGTATTTGGCCCGTCTGTTCCGTCGACTCCGCGAGATCAACACATCGGACAAGGAATACGAGAGGATCAGGCTACTGATGATGGGTCTTTTCGGATACTCGCAGAAACGACGTGAAGAGTACTACCTCGTCAAGCTTATTGCTCGCTCTGCCAAGGAGGATATCGAGCACTTTGCCTCCCTTCCCGAATACCTGCGCTCCACTTCCTTCTGGAACAAACTCTTCAGCTCCTACGCCAAGTCACCCCGAGACCGAAAGTTCATGCGCGATGTCATGGGTACTGTGGTGAAGGAATCTATCATCGAAAACCCCGAGCTTGACCTCGAGAGCGACCCGATCCAAATCTACCGCTCTTCCATCAACAATGAAGAGCTCCGCACAGGCCAACGCAGCCGTCGCCCGGCGGACCTTCCCCGAGAAGAAGCTATCAGGGATCCTGAAACTCGCGAGACCTTCATTCAGCACTTGCAAGATCTGCGCGACCTTGCTGATCAGTTTTTCGCTGCCTTCGAAGACTTCCTGTACCGAATGCCTTTCGGAACCAGGTACCTTGCCCAGCAAATGTACGAGAACCTCCTTGCACGATTCTCGAACGAGGACCCGGGCTTTATTCTGCAGACAGTCGGCCACTGGGTCTGGAAGAATTATTTCCAACCTGCAATGCTCGAGCCAGAGAAGTACGGCGTTGTGGACCGGGGCTTGACCCAAGAGCAAAAGAGAAATCTCAGCGAGATCGCCAAGGTGGTTGCGCAGGTCGCTTCTGGAAGACTCTTTGGGGCCGAGAATGTCTACCTCCAACCTCTTAACTCTTACATCGGCGAGTCAATACAACGGTTAGGTCGCATCTGGGGCCAGGGTAAGTTTCTTTCTGTTCCTTTTTCTATCTCCCTCTTTTCTAGTGCTAACTTGAATCAGTGGTCTCGGTCCAGGATGCAGAGTCCTACTTTGACATCGATGAATTCAACGATCTTTACGCAAAGGCCAAGCCGACTTTGTATATCAAAATGTCCGATATCTTTTCCATTCACCAACTTGTGGCCTCGCAGATCGACTTTATGTGCCAGAACCCCGATGACATCCTCAAACAGTTTGTGCGAGAACTTGGCAATGTAAAACGCAACGAGAGCGAATTGATGAGCGTCAGCACTACCGAGATCAATCTCACGCTGAACCCGAAATTGGCTCAGATGGAAGGTAAGATTCTCTCCATAATATCCCGTCATTTCAACATTTGCTAAATCATACCACAGATCCGGAGGCTGAGGTTAAGGCACTCTTCATGGAGACCAAGCGATGCATCCTCTACATTATCCGAGTGCAAACTGGTGCCAACCTAATGGACATTATGGTCAAACTACCCACGGATGAAGATGAAGCAAGGTGGCAGACATTGGTTCGAGAAGAACTGCACACAAACAATCCTCGACGTGGTGCCTACGGCGAGGCCAGTACTTTGGTTGACATCGGCTCAATGAGCTACTCAGAGCTTAAGGGCACCGCTCTCGAAAACATCCTTCGTCTTGAACAGGCTGGCAAAATCTCTCGGCAAAACCACTACCAAGACCTCCTAAATGCCATCGCCATTGATATTCGCACAAAACACCGCCGGCGAATCCAACGAGAACGCGAGCTGGAGGGTGCACGACTCACTTCCACCCGCCTCAAAGACCAAGCCCTCTATCTGGATCAGCAGCTGAAGACCTACAACGACTACATCGAGCAGGCCATGGTTACGCTCCAGAACAAGAAGGGCAAGAAGCGCTTCCTGATGCCTTTCACCAAGCAATGGGACCACCAAAGAGAGCTTCAGAAGTCAGGCAAGGTGTTCAAGTTCGGATCCTACAAGTACTCTGCCCGCACTCTGGCCGACCGAGGTGTATTGGTTTCTTGGAAGGGCTACACTGAGCGCCAATGGGACCGCGTGGACTTGACCATCTCCAGTAATGAAGTTGGAGTATTCACCATTGATGGAAGCAGCGGCAACATGATGGTCCCCGGTGCCAATGCGCAGATCCCCTTGGATGACTTACTCCAGGCCCAGTTCAACAACACACAGTTCATGGACTTCTTTGAGGGTCAGATGCGTGTCAACGTGAACTTATTTTTGCATTTGATTATGAAGAAGTTCTACAACGAGTGAGCTTCATGCTGATGGACATGACGAAGGATGATTCGGGTGGGCATTCATAGTATTATTCTTTACCTTTTTACCTGTTTTACTTGTTTTTAGATACCTATGGTATTTCTTTCCTGCGATTTTGATAGCGATAGCGCCTCGAACTATACGAGCACCCGAATGAAATGTACACAATATGATAACATCAATCCATCCCATAATCTTTGTAGGCTTCGGTGAAGCAATGGAGTATACAACTCGTTGCCGGGGTCAGGGGCTGCCACGTGACTGCGTGGCGCGTGGGAATCCGCCAGCTGGGAACCAGCCAACTTCCCCCTCCAAGAACAATCCTCGTCTTTCTCCGCAACCCCGGCGGGCTTCGCTTCACTGTCCTTGAATTTAAATCTCCCGAGTTGTCTGTTATTGCTCAGCAACCTCCCCGTTTCCGTTGCGTCTCCTTCCGCCAGACCCCAGTCCACCCCTCGCCATGGACTTCTCCAAGATCCAAGATCAGGTCAGCAACCTGACCTTGTATGACCTCAAGGCCGGTGTTCGCAAGATGCAAAATGGTATGTTATGATTCCTCATGTTTGTTCATGTTGCGATTCCAAGCGACTTGCGTGTGTCTCGCAATTCCCTGAAACCCGGCTGACCGCTCCGTCATAGCTGTCATGAACTATACCGAGATGGAGGCCAAGGTTTGTACCCAACCACGACCCCCTGCGCACAACAACCCTGCAACGCGAATACTATTCGACCTTAAAGAAACCTTCGTGAACATGAACCAAAGGCTTACTTATGCGGACTAGGTCCGGGAAGCTACAAACAATGAACCCTGGGGTGCCTCGACCACGTTGATGCAGGATATCGCCAATGGAACACACAGCTAGTCAGTGATGCTTCCGTCCCAAGGTCAATTGCACCGCACGCATGCTTATACTACTCACTGTAGCCAATTACTCAATGAGATCATGCCTCTGATCTACAAGCGGTTCACCGACAAGGCCGCGGAGGAGTGGCGACAGATCTACAAGGTATGGGAGGGTTGCGATTTAATCACAAAATGTTCATCGATCTAACATGTTCATCTTCACGAATTATAGAGTCTGCAGCTTCTCGAATTCCTCGTCAAGAACGGATCGGAGCGGGTGGTCGACGACGCAAGGTCTCACTTGTCGCTGTTGCGGATGCTCCGGCAGTTCCACTTCATTGACCAGAACGGCAAGGATCAGGGTATCAACGTCCGTAACCGATCTTCGGAGTTGGTGAAGTTGTTGGGTGATGTGGACCAGATTCGCACCGAGCGCAAAAAAGCCAGGTCCAACCGAAACAAGTTCGGTGGATTCGAGGGTGGCATGGGTGTTGGAGGAATGTCTTCTAGCTCCGGCCGCTATGGTGGCTTCGGAAGCGACAGCATGGGATATGGTGGATACAGTGGAGGCGTGTATGGCGACGGCGGAGGCTTTGGCGGTTCTACCGGTGGTGGTGATTTCCAGGACAGCAGCAGCAGCGGCCGCCGGGGCAACCGCTTTGATGAATACGACGAGTACGATGAGGGAGAAGTCAGCGCACCACGGCGTGAGCCTGTGTCTGCCGCGAAGAGGGAAACCAAGAAGCCAGAGCCTGCACCTGTGCCAGACCTCTTCGATTTTGGTGACGATGAACCTACAACTACCACCACTTCTACCGCTGCCGGTAAGCAGCCCGCCGGCAGCGCATTGAACATGCTGGAGTCGACCCCGGCCGACGACGACGACTTCGACGACTTCCAGTCCGCCACACCGGCGCCCTCCGCGCCAGCCCCGAACCAATTTGGCATTGCGCCTCCCGTTTCCACAGCCAGTACAACCTCCAATACCCAGTTCGTGGCTCCTGTACCCGTGTCGGCCTCACAGGGCAACAACATCAACGGCATTGTCGGCTTCACATCAGCGACCCCGACCCCGTCCACTAGCTCAATGACTTCGCCCGTGTTGCAGAACGCCCCTATCCAGCACATGCAGCAACCCATGGCCTCGAAGCCCTCAGGCTACCAAGCCGCAACGCCAAACTACTTCACATCGGTGAACACCAACCCTGCGTCCTTCTCCTCGCACGGCGCCAAATCCTCCGTCTCCTCCATGGCCTCTCCCGCTACCGCGAACAAGCCCGCCGCCAGCACAGCAGCCAAGAAACCTTCCGGCGATGCCTTCGGCTCCCTCTGGTCCTCTGCTAGCGCTAGCGCCGGCATCCAAAAGTCCAACAGCAACGCAAACAAAGGCCCCAACCTCGCCAGCATGGCCAAGGAGAAGGCTAGTGCCGGTATTTGGGGTGCTCCTGCTTCATCCGGCGGCGCCTCAGCACCGTCCCAGCCTCAGCAGAAGCAGAGCGGCTCAGCATTCGACGACCTTCTCGGTTGATTTGGTAGCTATGCGAGCTGATCATCTCCCTTTTGTTTGTTACTGAGTTCAGGTCCCAAGGGATTCGGCATTTCATAATCTCATACTTCATTTTTGGTTTCTTTCTACACTGCTTTCCATTCGATATTTGTTCTTTTGGTCTGGAATCTTTCACTTTAGCAGAGCTGTTTTCTGAAAATTTTCTTTTCTTCATTTTCCGTGTCCTCTCCAGTAAAATGCTCGATGTCTGTTATGTACAACCATTTTTCTTGTCACGATTCCCTGAAAACATGCTTTATATTCTTCCCCGAGCCCACTGCAACGATTTTACGCTGTCTGATACTACTTAGTACAGTCGATTAAAACACGACCATTTCACCCTTCTGTCTCGAGATTAAGTAGGGTATTCTAAAAGTGAAAGCCGGAGACTCCGCGACCGTTTACGGTCTACGATAATCAAAAAGGATAGCTATAGTGTTAATAGGCATTACGCTAATGCTAATTGATGCTAGGACAACGCCTGCGCTGAAGAAAGCTAGATACATGTGCACGAAGCGGATGAGAGGATGGTAAGAGGGGAAACAAGCAATTGTTTGGCAGAAGACAGAACATGAATTTGTGGAGAAAGTGCAAGAATGCGCATGTCTGAGAGGCAAGAAGACAATCTCTAGCGCATGGGTTTCCCCGTCGAAGGTAAAGTCGTGGGATATCAAGAGTAAATTTGTTGGCTGGAGGGAATCATTCGTCAGTCGGATCTAAGGGTGGCGTTTTCGGACAAGGGTAGTTGGTGTTGACCAGGTGAAGCGATTGTAGGCGGTCTTGAGAATGAATTTGATCGGGGCTGACCTGTTGGTGGGCCAGCATCCTGGATCTTCTCGTTCTCCGTTCTTTGTTCTCTGTTCCTTGGTGCCATTACCAACCGGATGGCAGTCATTGTCCATCAATTGAAGGCAAGGCGAGTTGGCGTGTGCTTATTTGAAAGACCCTGAACGCTTCGTGTGTAAGGGAGATGGGAGACCATCGCTAGTCGGCTTCGGCACCGCAGATGTTTCGGGGAGCCGAGCCATGCTGGCGCCGCCGACTTATGTCGTCGAGTGAAGCCGCTTCATGAGTGTTGAAGAGGGAACTCAGGTTTTCGTCAACTTGCTAGAGCGTTTGCCAGCGCCACCAGCCGCCTTTCCGGTCTCTGATGTAGCGTAGGACTCATCGATGCCGCCAACCGAAATAGTGACCGGGGCGTTACCATTGGTGCCCTGGTGGTTCTCCTGAGTGGGAGTCGAGGCATGGCTGTCTTCGGTGACATCCATACTGATGGACCCGCTGCTTTCCGTGACATCTGGGCCGGGCTCCCCGTTCAACGAGGTCAATCCGCCTTCGATGTCTCGCAGAAGCCGCACGAATTCCTCGGGCACTAGACCGTTTTCTCCGGTCTTTGGGTCTTCTGCAACCAGCCAGCCTTGGCCGTGCCGGTAGGAGACGTAGATGACTTGGCCCTCCGTAAGAGGAAGCTCGTTCTCGTGTTCACGAGTAAAGTCAAAGAGTGCAACGGCCTTACCGTGCATCTCTTCGTCTGGACAGCCGACGGCGAATTGATAGTCATTTGAGTATCGATCCCCGTTCTCTGAGTGGAAAACTGTATCTGGTGCATAGTCTTGCTGGCCGCCATACATGTACGAGTATCGCCCTTCATTTGCGGGAACTGTGACGTACTCGCCGCCAGGTCCATCCTCCATCTCTTCATCGTCGTTGACATAGTATGTCTCACTGCCATCAGGGTTCAATCCCACGAATGTGCCGTGCTCCGCTTGCCCGGTGCCTAACATGCCGTTCTCGTCTACCATGCTGTTCAAGCCCGCATTGGATTTCTGGCGTTGGCGCGACGAAGTCACCACCGGACTGTGCAAATCCTCGTCTTCACTGTACGGAGGTCCGTCTCCAAAGGACATCGCAGGAAGTTGTTGATGGCCGCTCTCCCTGCTCCACGGGCCCGTGGCCCAGGGTCCCTTCGAAGTGTCCCACGAGGGGGGTGGATCAGACAGCCGGCGGTATTCGCTCGCTGGCGTGGATACTTCCGAGGCGCGCGGAGGCGGTGGTCCATAATGCAGAGGGTGGATCGGGGGATAGGCAAAATCTCGCACCAGAGCGTAGGGAAGACTGGAATGGAAGATAGGGAACACGTGGGAGCCCGGGCGAGAGCGATTCTGGGAGAAGGAAGAGACGTTGGAGTACATAGACAGGCGATCCTTCGCGCTCGGCGACTGTTTCACTGTGCCATCCGTGAGAATGGGCGGCAGCACCGACAGATTGTTCGGCGAAACCGGTTCGGACATCTCGGATAGGCAGGTGATTGATTCCTAAGCGGGCGGGATTGAGAATGAGAAGTGTCGATTCGAGTCTTCAGTCAGAGATAATGGGATTGTTCATCGATCGCGTCGTCGAGACTCTATTTTGGCATTGCGATTGGTGGCGCGCCAACGGTATCCCACTTGCGATTGAAGCCGAGCTGTGGAGAGGTTGAGGGGATCACTGCGCGACAACTACTGTGAACACAGGGCCCGGACACGATGCACAAAGCCTCCCAACCACAGTTCAACAACGGCAGCGGTTTGTGTATTAACCAGATCCAATGGGGCGCGGACGAGGACCCCCGACGGTGGAGGTCTCGGGAATCGGTAAACCTGGAGGGGAAGAGGGTTCAAGGGCACCGAACGGGGGAACCGAATGACGGGTCCGAATAACGGGTCCGGAGGGTAAATAGCGGACCCCTGGTGGATGAGGTCTGGACAGTTCTTCAGGCGCGAGGTGTCAAGGGTGTGGTGATCGGAACGTTGTCCCGCAGATGAAACCGTCTATAATTAGATTCTGTAATCGCAGAACGTCAGATATAAATGCACTGCAGACACAGCGCTTAGGAAACGAGGTGGGCAATGGGTAATGCTGGGTCTGGCGGTTCAAGATCACACCAGATCAGGGGTCCAGTATATTTCTGTGGCCTTCACCAAACAGGAGGGAAATGCGAGCGGCTCGGACATGGGGCATACCTCTAGATCTCTCTCTCTCTCTCTTTCTTTCTCCCCTCGGTGGATAATCAGCAGCGGGGGTTCACTCGGAGCCAGCAGTGCGGATTGCCGAGACCATAAGGGGGGTAAGGTTCTCAGTCAGAGACAAAAGCAGAACGAGCGGCTCCTCTGGTCTTCACATAGCCCACACCTCCTGTGTGAATTGAAGCTTCGAGGGGCTTAGTAATACGAATCACGTGCTAGTGTGTTTCAGATCTGAGCTACTCCCGTTTCAGGAAAGTGATCTTACTGTATACGTTCCGTCCATGTTGACTTCTTTGTTCTCTTTGCTCACTTGCATTGGCTCCACGGCATGTTTCATTCTCTATGTGGTACATATTCTCCGGCCAAAGAGCACCTCTCACGTCTCCTATATTCCCTCTCTCCTACTCGCCCCAGTTGGCATTTCCTGTCGGTTGACAGTCTCTAATGGTCACGGTCTTTTCCATGGTCCGCCAAGCAGTCTCGGTGACCGTGGGAATAGTGGAAGTGAATGTCTGCCACACGGTTCTAGCGGTTGTAGCAGTTGCAGCCGACTCTACTGATGATGATGACTCGGTCGGCTTGGCAGACCCTTCATTATTCAGATCGGCAAACTCCGACGGGACGGCAGCGCTGTTGAGATCCTGGCCAGTGACATAGTCGTCCTGCTCCTGTGCATGGGTATTGGATGTACCAGTAACGTCGATGTCCATACAGGTGGTGTAGATCTCCTTCTTGCCATGTGGGTATGTTGGATCGACACCTGGGAGGGTGGGCCAGTCCCACACCCAGTAGAGCGTGTACAATTTTCCCGATGGGGCAGTGGACGGCAGCTGAACATCCTGTTGACACCAGAGATCTGCTCCCATCAGCTTGTTGGCCTGGTGTGGGTATGTCTCCTGGCGAGACTCGGAGATATTTCCAGTGTTGATCTGGTAACAGCGGCCGTCGTCGAAGTTCTGCGTAGACAGGAGCACGCCTCGTTTATCGCCTCCTGTGCCATCCGCGTTCCAAGCCCCGTGCACGTCGAGGAGCGTTTCTCCTTGCTTGGGCTCCGTAGTTCCGTAGATGTACACGGTGCCCCGGTTCTTGGACTTTCCGGGCTGGTTCCAAGGAAGAGTGACATGGCCGTTCTCTTGGTAGCGGAGTGCAATCGCCGCGCCAGCGCTGGCTTGCAGTCGAGGGCTACCGTCGGTCTGAGTCTGGGTCTGCTGGGTGCTCTTGCAAATCCTGTCGGTAGGAAGGACGAGTGTCACGTTCTGCCGACCATCGGGCGGGATCAAATATGTCATGGTCGAATCATTGAATCCTGCGGCCATCCGAAGATAATTGCCTCGGGCATACCCTGGGGTGCCGATAAACGTTCCATTTGCCGCGATCACCGTGAGCTGTTCCACCCATGAATGAGAGTTGGCAAATGTAATAAACGTGGGAAGGACCCAGAGAGTTTGGAGAATGCTGTCAAGCTTCATGGTATTTTTCGATGGCGATGGGACAAGGTAGGAGGCCACAGTCTCATAGGTTTTTAGGATGCCGACCAGCGGTGTGATTGAAGAAAGTGACTCTGCTGCGGAAGACTATGGAAAATATCTTCACTTTCAATAGGCGGCAGGGTGTTGCGAGTGCGCAGGTGTACGTGTTTCCCTGAGTTGAAGGGCAGGCAGATGGTTTTTATTTCAATGAAAACAATGAAAGGAAATAGCCGGTCATTCACACCATGCCACGCTGATACTTGGGCCACAAGGCAAAGGTCAAAGAGATTGTTTCAGGATCTTTCATCTCAAGGCATCAGACCACTAACAGACTCGGCGAGAAGAAAAAGAACCAGGCAGGCTCCCCTCGAGGGGCACCTGTTGCAAATATAAGGACAGGCAGTCATTGTCAGAGCCACTGAAGCGCGTAATTGGCGCAACAAACAAACCAAGGTCTTGGATGAGAGTCGACGCAAAGCTTGAAACGACCTATATCCGCGATCCGACTGTCCTTTTCAAGCCTAGTGACACCAAGTGCCGAAGGACGGGAGACCTAAAAATGAATAATTGGACGAGGTAGTCGGAAAATTGATGGAAGGTCTGCTTCAGATCATCGTCAAGATATTTTTGTGCCCGAGACAAGTGGGATCCCGCACCTCCTGGCGCTTACAAAGGGTCTTCATCTGCAAGTGTTGCAGGTCTGCAGATGTTGCAGCTCTGTGAGCTCTGCGATTGGCCGCGGGAATAGCTCACTTAGCGCTTCGCCCTCTCAGGGGTCGGCAGGTCTCTGCCACCCTTGATGTTTTGCATTTGGCAGAGATGATCGATCTATCAAAGTAGGGTCTTGGATCGTCATCTCTAGCCTTCCAAGATTGTCAGGCTCTTGGGCGGTGCATGCGGGAAATACTTCTCGGGCATCTCGGACATCTTCAGCCACTGTCCATGTGCCTCAACTATCCGGCCTCCAGAGCTATGCTTCTTTGGTCATAGCTCGGTCTAGGGTTCAGCGGATCTGGCGGTAGTATGTAAATTGAGCATCGTGATGCCTGTGCCCTGCCGGAACACAGGGTAGCACCAAACGGTGAGTCTGTCAAAGCCCGTCGCCACACCTTATTGGGAAAACAGCACCGACATCGGGAGATTTCTTTTACTTCTGGTCTTGTGTTCGGCCTACTTCCTCGTATAGTGGGTATGGTACATTCGGAAGAAAGCGCAGCACCCACTCGGAGCCCGAAAACGGTCTCGGCCGCCTCAGTCGTCGGACTTGCATCTTATCTTGATTTTGTTTTCAAGCTTGGCGAAGATCGGTTACGTCCCATTGTGGATAAAAGCCGCGGGGCTGCCGGAGAAGACGAGGATGATGATTTGACTGGATTTATCTGATTTTGATCTGATTTCTCCGTCAGCTCCACCCGGTGGGTTCCATCTGGCTCTGTCCACGAGAAGCGCGGTCGAAATTCCCGCCAGCAGGAGGTTCAGAAGGGGCCTTTTTGCGGAATTTCCCATTTGAAGAAAGCGTCGAAGCGTCGAAGCGTTGCTGACGCGGACACCGAAAAAGCGACGCTCACGGCGGTTTGATTACAGGGTGACGGGAAAACCCTGGGAAGGCCAACGTGGAGTGGAGACTCGCTGATCGACTCGTCCACATTCGAGAATTCTGCAAATGCCAGGAACCGCCGTCGGTGTGCGTACCAGTTGCAGATAGTGCACAAGGGCTGTGCGAGAAACCACCTACAGGTACACGGGGAACTACCCGAGCATCCATCCCATAAAGGTACCCGGCAACCATGTCTATTATCAGGTGAGTATGCCGGCATACACCTGGAATCGACACAATTGGCGCTAGACCGATCGACCGTCCGAGACACGACGAGCGATGGCCTGGAGGCTGCCGACTCGCAGCTCCAGGGCTGTCAGTTTTTCTCGGGTCCTCGCCACCGCCTCGAGAAAAAAACTCGAAATCACCAATTTCGAGGGTGAAATTGGCAGTCACTTCTCTTTTCATAGAAAAATCAATTATTGCATGCTGTGTCCGACGCCGACGTAGAAGCTATCTAGGCAATTGTTGAATGGACGAAAAGAATCTATGTTCCCAGGTGTATATCCCCTCTGGTTTGTGTTGGATTGACTCGATCGGGAATCGCATTGTTCTACGTATTGTTCGCACTCCTTTTTGTCCACCCTAGCTTGATAAATACGACCATTCTGTTCAACATCCCATCGTACTCTTTCCATCGAACTAAACGGCCCTAACAGCAGAAAAGCCTGGGTTCCCCCACTGAAGCGTGGCTTGGCGAGCGCCGTCGTCGGCGATACTTAATTCCATCGGCGCGGGTCCGGAGCTCAATTATTTTGCAGCCTTCAGGGGGTCCCCGTACTCTTCCTGCACTGTACCGCGTCCAATTGCCCCGAGCGGCCTGCTTTGTTCTTTTCTTTCCTGTTTTCTGTTTCTGGTATGACTATCCCATTGCCTTAGCCTTGTGTGTGGCCCACTGACCTTTGCAAAAGGAAAGTCCCAGCGGGAACGTGTCTGAAGCAGCACCTCGTGAGCCCCATGCGGCCCTCGAATTAAGCCCTCTCCCACGTCAACTTGCCTCTCGCTTCGATTTTGGTCGAAACCAGAGCAAACCCGACGGTAGTACTCGCAGGCCTTGGTCCCTGCGGACCGTCTTAATCCCTCTCAACGCCTTCAACAGACGTCTACTCCGCTTCTCCAGCGACTCAACATAATGGCTACTTCACTTATCTCCAAGAGACTGCGTTCCTCCGAGGCTGCACCGGAGTCCGAACCCAGCTGGATTCGGCGCCAGGTCACCTCCGGGCTGCAATTCATCTCTCGCCGGGCCTGTGTTCACCCCATTCACACCATTGTGGTGATTGCCCTTCTCGCCAGCACGACCTACGTGGGTCTGCTGGAGGGCAGCCTTCTGGACACCGCTCGGAACCCCCGCAACGTTGCTGGTCAGGTGGACACCGAGACCCTTCTCCAGGGCAGCCGGAGCTTGCGCCTGGGAGAGTCGACCTCGTGGAAGTGGCAGGCCGAGGAATCCTGGGCCGATTCGACGGTGAGCATCCCCCGGGCTGCAAATTGGAATTGAAAGACGTCTAACTAGCACTTTAGCAAGCCGAAGAGCCCGCTGCCCGTCACTTGGCTTTGGCCACGTTCATCTTCCCCGATTCTACCTCCAAGTCTGGATCGACCGCCCCGTCAGCCGACGATGTCCCGATTCCCGCCAATGTCTCCGCCCACCCCGTTCCCCACACCCCCAATCTGTTCTCGCCCTTCTCACACGATTCATCCCTGGCATACACCGTTCCCTTCGAGCAGGTCTCTGATCTGTTGAGGGCTGTGCAGGAGATCCCTGATCCGTCTGCCGACGAGGAGGAGGAGGAGGAGTCGAAGAAATGGATCATGCGAGCTGCTCGTGGCGCTGCCAGCTCCCACATGGCTCTCAAGCTGTGGCTGACGGATGCATGGAGCTCCTTCGTGGACCTCATCAAGCACGCTGAGACCATTGACATTGTTATCATGGCTCTCGGCTATATCTCGATGCACCTGAGCTTTGTGTCCCTCTTCTTCTCCATGCGGCGTCTCGGCTCCAACTTCTGGCTTGCCGCTACAGTGCTGTTCTCTGGCTCCTTCGCTTTCCTGTTTGGCCTTTTGGTGACTACCAAGCTCGGTGTGCCGATCAATCTACTTCTACTTTCCGAGGGTCTTCCTTTCTTGGTGGTGACAATTGGCTTTGAGAAGCCGATCATGTTCACTCGCGCCGTTTTGAGTGCCTCGGTGGATAACCGTCGGCCTCGTCCTGGTGCCGCTCCTCGGCCTCTGACTTCGAGCACCTCCGGTTCCATTCAAGACTCCATTTCAACTGCAATCAAGAAGCAGGGTTTCGAGATTGTCCAGCACTATTGCATTGAGATTGGCTTGCTTGCTATGGGTGCTGCCTCTGGCGTACAAGGCGGTCTTCAGCAGTTCTGCTTCCTTGCGGCCTGGATCCTGTTCTTCGACTGTGTGCTGCTGTTCACTTTTTACACCACCATTCTCTGCATTAAGCTTGAGATTACTCGTATCAGGCGCCACGTTGCCCTGCGCAAGGCCCTGGAGGAGGATGGCATCACTCACAGCGTGGCTGAGAACGTGGCTTCCAGCAACGACTGGCCGAATGTGGGCTCCGACAGCAGCGAGGGTGACACCAGCATCTTCGGACGTAAGATCAAGTCTAGCAGTGTGCGCCGATTCAAGATCCTCATGGTCGGTGGTTTGATCCTCATCAACGTTGTGAACCTCTCGGCCATTCCCTTCCGGAATACCGGCAACGGTGCTTTGATCTCGCGTCTGTCTAACGTGATGGCTCCTACCCCTATCGACCCCTTCAAGGTCGGTGAGAATGGCCTGGATGCTATCTACGTGGCTGCCAAGAGCCAGAAGCAGGAGACCATGGTGACCATTATCCCACCGATCAAGTATAAGCTGGAGTACCCCTCCGTTCACTACGCTGCTGGTGAGGCTTCCAGCTCGTTTGACATCGAGTACACCGATCAGATCCTCGATGCTGTCGGTGGCAAGGTTCTCGAAAGTCTGCTCAAGAGCGTGGAGGACCCCTTCATCAGCAAGTGGATCATTGCTGCTCTGACCCTCAGTATCATTCTTAATGGCTATCTTTTCAACGCTGCCCGCTGGAGTATCAAGGAACCCGAGGCTGCCCCCGCTGCCCCCAACGAGCCGGTGGCCCCGAAGGTTTACCCTAAGTTTGAGCCCAACGAGCAGGAGTCGGACCGTTCTATTGAAGAGTGCGAACTGATGCTCAAGGAGAAGCGTGCGCCTCATCTGACCGATGAGGAGTTGATCGCATTGTCACTCAAGGGCAAGCTCCCCGGATACGCTCTTGAGAAGACCATGGAGGACGAGAACTTGATGAGTCGCGTGGACGCGTTCACTCGAGCTGTCAGAATCCGCCGCGCTGTGATCGCCCGTACCCCGGCCACTTCTGCTATCACCGGCTCTCTAGAGTCCTCCAAGCTTCCTTTCAAGGACTACAACTACGGCCTGGTTCACGGCGCCTGCTGTGAGAATGTGATTGGTTATCTTCCCCTGCCTCTTGGTGTTGCCGGTCCGATCAAGATCGACGGCCAGGACTACTTCATCCCCATGGCCACCACTGAAGGTGTGCTGGTGGCCAGTACCAGCCGTGGCTCCAAGGCTATCAACGCTGGTGGCGGCGCTGTTACTGTTCTGACCGGCGACGGTATGACTCGTGGACCTTGCGTGACTTTCCCGACCCTGGCTCGGGCCGCCGCCGCGAAGGTTTGGATTGACTCCGAGGAAGGCCGTAGTATCATCACCGCCGCTTTCAACTCAACTAGTCGCTTTGCTCGCCTGCAAAGTCTGAAGACCGCACTCGCTGGCACTTACCTCTACATCCGCTTCAAGACTACCACCGGCGACGCCATGGGTATGAACATGATTTCTAAGGGCTGCGAGAAGGCCCTGGATGTCATGTCGAAGGAGTGTGGCTTCGATGACATGGCCATCATCTCACTTTCTGGTAACTTCTGTACCGACAAAAAGTCTGCTGCCATCAACTGGACCGATGGTCGTGGCAAGTCTGTCGTGGCCGAGGCCATCATCCCTGGTGACGTCGTCAAGAGTGTTCTTAAGAGCGATGTCAATGCCCTGGTGGAGTTGAACGTCAGCAAGAACTTGATTGGAAGTGCCATGGCTGGTAGCTTGGGCGGTTTCAACGCCCACGCCTCCAACATCGTGTCCGCCATCTTCTTGGCCACTGGCCAGGATCCCGCCCAGAACGTTGAGAGCAGCAGCTGTATTACTACCATGAAGAAGTGAGTCATTTCCAACGATTTTTTGTGTCAATCATACTAACCACATCACAGCAACAACGGCAACCTCCAGATCGCTGTGTCGATGCCTTCCATTGAGGTCGGCACCATTGGTGGTGGTACCATCCTCGAGGCCCAAGGCGCGATGCTGGACCTGCTTGGTGTCCGGGGCGCTCACCCTACTACCCCTGGTGAGAACGCCCGCCAGCTGTCCCGTATTATCGCGGCTTCCGTCCTCGCCGGTGAGCTTAGTCTGTGCGCTGCTCTCGCTGCTGGTCACCTCGTCAAGGCCCACATGGCCCACAACCGCAGTGCAGCTCCTACGCGGTCCTCGACTCCCGTGTCGGCCGCCGTTGGTGCTGCCCGTGGCCTTTCTATGACCTCGAAATAAATTGGCGCGACCACTGGTTTGCGGTAAAAAGAATCCTGTATACTCCTCGTGAGCCATAGAAAACTCTCGCGATGCCATCTGGGACGCAGGCCTTTTTCTCTGGCAAGTTTACACCACTTGCTTCGATCTCCGTCGTGGATACTGCATCCCTATCCCCCTTGTCCTTGGACGCTAATTGGGATGGCACCAGTGATGGTACTCCAGGGAATGCAATACCCGGCCCCTGCGGGAGCCCATGGTGGCACACCCCCCAAAACCGCTGCGAGCGGATACGAGCTACGCTCCTGTTCTACATTGTGTACTTAGTTTTGTTACTGGATAGATATGTCGGCTGATCATGGCCTATGAAACTTGTATTTTTCGGTTGTCTTCATCAAACCCCTTTTTTAAGTTCACAAGCCCTAAATCCAAGTGCCAACTGGTCGGTAGTAATTAATGGGTGTCAATACAAGACGATTACCATCGGCACAGCCATGGGGGGGCCGAAGAGGTCTAGAATGTCGACTCCTGAGCGGTGCCGTCAGCCCTTCCCCTTGGCCCTTAAGACTTGAGTATTACCGATTTCTTTGTCGATAAGATAATCCACGAGTTTAATGAAAGTAAGACCCGGTAATTTTGTTCGGCAGGGATATCTGCATGCTGGGGATGCGCATATGAGCCCGAGGCGTTCAGCCCCTGTGGCTTGTGGCCTTGGCAGGGAGGTTGGAGTTGATTACTAGCAGTATTGTAAGTGAATTGTAACCGTCAGGGAGCCTTGGCTCTTGGACAGGTCAACAGAATTATCTGCCACCACGAGGCGAATACGATCTCAGAGTGAAATCAGATTATCATCTAGGGTTTACATGTGTAACTTGTAGTTCCATGTAACCCGGTCAAAGCCTGATAGCACCTGCATTTAAGGCGTAAGTAACCCAGAATCGGCGGGTCCAGCCGTAAGGGAAGTCCGGAGTCACGGCGCAGAATCACTTACACACCTTTCTCCCTTTATTTTTTTCTCCCTTGGTGTCTTGCGTCCTTCACTCCTTCGGACCAGGACCTTCTGGCTGGATCTTTACGATCTACGATTTCACCTCTTTTGAATCACGCCCCCCTTTGTTGACCCGCTTCACTTCCCCCGGCTCTTGTCTCAGATCGATCGGTGGATCTGTGTGGTGACTAGTAACGAGACGTGAATGCGACGGCCTTGGCCAAACCCCCCTTCGAACAACGAGATCGGCGAGGATATCAAGGATACCCAGGATACACCAACCTGCGTGCAGAGGAGCCGAAGTTTCCCCTACAGCCCTGATATGAATGGCCATTCCGGAGCTATGTCGCCTGTCTCCATCGATGGCAGCGACTGGTCTGGCCTCAATCAGTATCAGAAGTCGGACCCGCCCTTTTCCCCGACATTCTCCTCGAGAGGCAACCTGGCTACTCCTCCTACCTCCGGCGTCCCCAGCACGCCCTTGAGCCCGACGGTGCCGCTGCCCACCGGCAGTGGAAACCCTTCTCCGCCCAGCTCGGTCGCTGCGAGATCCAGTGTCGGTACCCTGGGTGAGGGTCATCGCGATGGTGGCAGACGGAATCGCCAAATGGAGGAAATCCTCTCTCAACACTACACAGCCCTAAAGCGGTTCCTGAACGCCTCGTACCGCGACGATCGACTAAACGCCCGATCGAACAAAGCCCGCGATAAGCTTCTCCGCCTTTCACCCACACAATTCCACGAACTTAGTACCGATGTGTACGACGAACTTATCCGGCGCCAGCAGGCTACGCCGCCACCGGGTAGAGCCCCTCGTCCCGATGTGCCCACCTTCCTCCCTCCCCGTACAGACTTCCACGAGAAACGCAACCATGCCCGCTCAAAATTGGCCTCCCTCCAACACCAGCGCTTCCGAGACTTGGCGACTGATGTTTTCTGCGAGTTGGAGCGTCGCTTCCCGCATTTTACCGGCCGAGGGCGACCGCCGCCTGGTGGTATGCCTCCGGGTCCTCGGGCCTCACAGTCTCGCGGGCCTCCTAGTCGCATGGGCGGTCGGGGCTACCCATCTGGTGGACCTCCTGGCAGCCCATTCCCTCCTGGCAGCCCATTCCCTCCGGGCAGCCCATTCCCTCCTAGGCAAGGTTCTCTTGGTGGCCCGCCTTCAATGAATGGAGATGGTCCGTTTCCCCGATCTTTCCAAAGCAACACCATGGTTCCGAACAAGAGTACTATGGTGGAGGATAGTGATGATATGGGACCGGAGGATGACGATGATGCTCGGAGCGATGCATTTGCATTGGATGCAGTGCTAAGCAGACGGGGAACCACGACAACGCTTGGTGATAGCGAGAGGAAGTTGTTGATGGAGAGCCAAACACAAGTGTCGGCATTGCAAGAAAAAGTCGAGAAACTGGAGGAACAGATTCGCGCTAAGGATGAGGAATTGGCCCGATCATCCGACGCAGACCAATCTGGAGTCAGTTCCAATGAACGTCAGGAGTGGGATGATCTCAGACTGGATCTCGAGAGCAAGGTCTCCAAGGCTGAGGATCTGAATAGCTCGCTTCAGTATGAGCTTGATAGAGTCCGGGCTGAGCATGAAAACATGGAGCGCGATCTTCGGGAGCAGCTTGACGAGGTCGCTCGTGGCTCAGGGGATGCAGACTTGATTGCTCGGTACGCCGACCTGGAGAGCAAGCACCAAAACTTGCAAAACGAACTGCAAAAGCAGGAGCAGCTTACACAAGAGGTCCGGCGCGAGGCGTCTGAATTCCTCATGGAGATGAAGACCCTCACTGCTCAGAGTCATTCCAACTGGGAACGCGAAGAACAGCTGTCTAATGACGTTCACCGTTTGGAGAACGAGGTCAACGAATGGAAGCACCGCTATGCGAAGGCAAAGTCACAGTTGCGCCATCTTCGCACTTCGTCTGGTGGTATTTCTGATCACCGGCCCGACGCAAGCGTTATTGCCAAGGAGCATGAACTGGTGCAAGTTGACGGTGTGGTCAAGGATATTCACGTCACCAAGTTCCAGATGGCCATTGATGAGCTCCTTCGTGTCGCCCGCTTCGAAGACTCCCAGGACGTGCTTGCCCAGATCAAGTTCGTTATTGTGGCTGTTCGCCATATGATTCAAGACGTGGATCAGGCGCCGCCTCCAGTCGACGGCTCGGCCACTCTGCGTGTCAAGGCCAAGGGCCGGGTATCTGCGACTGCCAACAACATGATCACAGCCGCTCGCAACTTTGCCAGCTCTAGTGGTCTTTCACCGGTCTCTCTGCTCGATGCTGCAGCTTCGCATCTTTGCACCGCTGTCGTGGAGCTGGTGCGCGTGGTCAAGATCCAGGCGTCCCCTGTCGATGAGTTGGACGAGTATGATGTGGACGTGTCTCAGGAGAAGTTCCCAGACTACCTCAGCACGTCCGTTAGCCAAAGACGGTATAGCAACCACTCTGAATATAGTGCTATGAGCCACCCCGGCGAGGATCACCCCATGATGCAGAATGGCTTGTCCAATGGCTTTAACTACGGGGCCCCGCAGGGGGACCACGAGCTTCAGGAACTGAAGGTAAGCTGCTTACACAATATGTTCATTGAGCTGTAACTAACAATCTTTCCTACAGTACTATGTCGAAGACCAAACCGATGGAATGGTCCAATCCATCCAGTCCTTGGTGGCCAGTATCCGATCTGAACAGGGAATGAACATTGTCCAGACCCACGTCTCGACCATCTCGAACGTTGTCGCCAACGTGGTTTCCTCCACAGAAAATCTGATGCACGAACGCAGTGGTGATGTCGCGCTCCATGAGCGCTCCGAGCCCATCATCCAGGCATTGGATGAATGTCGCGGTCGGCTGACGGGCACTGCCGCCGAGGGCCACAATGCCACCAGTCCTGAGCAGCTGCGTGAGGTTACCAACCAGCTCCCTCCGATTGCATTTGAAATTGCGCGACAGACCAAGGAGCTTGTACAGCGCCTTGAGACCTTGGCACACGGCGACGACGAAGATGACTTCCGGTGATAAACTTGGCCATCGGTACTAAAATTTGGCATATACCCGAAGGCTTTGTCCTCGGCACTGCCTGTGCACGTTTTTTCTTCTCTTAGCACCTCTTCCTCATATCAGCTTTGACCCCCTTTATCCCATTTCTCTGGCTTTTGAGCGACTACCATCTGTGGCAACGAGCCGACAATGTCGAAATGATGTCCTGATACGCGTGGCATTCACGGTTTTCTTTCCCTCGATTTTCTGTTCCTTTTCCAGCACACCCTATTGGTATTATTCGTTGTATTTCTATTCCGGTCTCTGACGACTTATTATTCTCTTTCTGCTGCTGATCCTTTGACGTTGATTTACCCGTTATTCTCTCGGCCCTGCATCTAGGCGCCGGTCTTGGCATTTCGTGCACATGAATTAGAAGCACTTTTTTTTCTCTTCCCAAATGTCTCGTAAAACGGGTTCCATATCTTATGATTTAAGCACGAAAGACAACTAGGAAAGTAAAGAGGTGCAGTAGACAGACCACTCAAGTACAAACAAGGCAGCAACAAGGCCCTTCCTTCCCCGGAAAGGGCTTGCCGGGCGTTGGTCACGTGCACGCCGGAGCTCCAGGAGCTTTTCGGCTTCGAGCTTCGGTTTTTTTCCCCTATAGGATTCGTTAACCAAACTACACATCGTCACTACCTAGGTTCTGTGAGTATTCCTGTGCTCAATGGATGCTGCAGTGCACCCGGGTCTTGTTCACGAGCCCGGTGTATCTTCACCGGGGGTCTGGCAAGGCCTGGTTGGCATCTCTCTTCCCATCGAATGATGGCCCCATCATCAACGGCACATCGTGTCTCTATGCACGCCCGAACTGAGCTAACCCCCATCCAGCCCGGCACCCGAGTTGTCCCGCTCCGCCCGCTGCCCCTCATCATGTTCTGCCGCCTCAAGTCAACCCCACCCTCCCTCTTTTCTTCTCTCAATTGCTCTTTCCACCCCTCTACTCGTTCATTCTCATCAACCTCCTCCATCATGGCCAACACCAAGGTTTACTTCGACGTCGAGTACGCCCCCGTGGGCTCCAGCGCCCGTAAGTGATTCCCTTCTTGAGCTTTGCTTTCGCTCCAGCTCTTTGCATGGAGGGGTAAAAAAAACACATGGGCCTCCATCCTCTCATCCCAAAGTCCCCTGCCCTTCTTGTCTTCCATCTCCCCTCCATTTAGAATCAATTGCTTTCACTCCAGCTGTTTATTTTAATCAAGTTGATGGCTAACTCTCTCTCCAGCCAAGGTTGGCCGCATCAACTTCGAACTCTACGAGAAGGATGTCCCCAAGACTGCTGCCAACTTCCGTGAGCTTTGCAAGAAGCCCAAGGGCGAAGGCTACGTTGGCTCCGGCTTCCACCGCGTCATTCCCGATTTCATGCTCCAGGGTGGTGACTTCACCCGCCACAATGTGAGTTTCCCTGCCCCTACCTTTCTTAACGGGATACCGTATCTAACCTCTCTGTCTGGAACAGGGCACCGGTGGCAGGTCCATCTACGGCGAGAAGTTCCCCGATGAGAACTTCAAGTACAAGCACACCCGCCCCGGTCTTCTCTCCATGGCCAACGCCGGCCCCAACACGTACGTCTCTTGTGCCCGCTGATTTTGTCAACGCTACCCCACGAATCCCCTTACTGACTAGAATCTTCTCTGCAGCAACGGTTCCCAGTTCTTCATCACCACCGTCGTCACCTCGTGGCTTGATGGCAAGCACGTCGTCTTCGGCGAGGTCGCTGACGAGGCCTCCATGCAGGTCGTGAAGGAGATCGAGGCCGTCGGCTCCTCCTCCGGTGCCATCCGCTCCAACGTCAAGCCCACCATCGTCGAGGCTGGTGAGCTTTAAACGACTTGATCCCTGATCTAGTTAATTGGCGGAATAATCTATATTTAAAGCGTGTGTTTCCTGTCTCACAGAGGCGGCGCACTGGCTGTTCTTTGGTGACCTTTTCAGTTTTTGCACGATGTAATCTAGACAATCTACCAAGCTAGTCATGCATGCCCTCCAAGGCGGGAAACGAAAAAAAAAAAACAAGTTTCTACCTGTAACGTCAGCGTAAGGGAACAGAGCGTAGCCTGGCGTAATCTGCAATCCTGCAACCATGCAACCCTGCGCGGGGCCTCGGGTTGAGTTCTCCGGGAAGTAAAAGTGGAAAGTGGGGTAGTTGGGAACCACGTTTTTAGTTGACCTCGCGTTTTCTCTCCCCTGGGATCTGCTCCCCGGTTCCCGAATCTATGCGTCACTAACATCCCTGCTCTCTCCTACGCCCCACGATCTTAATAGAATTTTATGGGTCGATTGATTGATTGATTCGGGCTGTAAAATTTGTGAATGGGTTACTTTTCAACTGGGGTCTTGGATATGACCTTTATTCCTACCTATACATATATGCTTCGTTTCATTGCGGTACATCAACTATGCTCTTTATGCTTGGTGACATCAATATCAGTGTCTATTTCTCGGAAGTAAATCGAAGGGTCCATGCAGGCGCAGAGCCGATCGTTCCCCAAGACGATAGTGCTACCGGCACCTTGACTGCAGTTTAAGCTAGCCAAACTATTTCTATCAAGAACCTACCTACGAGGTACTTTCACTTTCCCCAGCAATAATCACCTTCTCGAGTGAATGGAAGGTGATCCGCAATTATCCACGTCCCTGATTGGAAGGCCTCGGATAAGGAAGGTAGTCGTAGTCCCCACTCGGCTCCTTCGGGAACATACATGATCGGTTCTAGATCTTGCGGGGTGTGTTTCAAACCATCACAAAGAGAAGGCGATGATGAACAAAACCTGTGGTTTGGATACCATCTTCTTAAATTGGTCTCTGTCTACCGTGTAAAAATGACGGCCCTCCATGTGATCAATCTATAAATTAGATGCGCGGCCCTGTTCATGTCCATGCTTATTCCCAAGCAATCAAAGTCCTCACGGAGAAAAACAAGACTTGTCTAAAACATAATCTTGTCAACAAATTGTCCGAAGCTCTCGACCTGTCCTTGCTAAAGGGGGCTCCTGAACAGAGGGAAGCGATCTCTGTCGCTCTGCTCAAGACGTTAAAAACCCGGGCTGGCGCCAAGTGGAAGAACCATGGTCTTCCTGAAGATCTTCCTTTCGTCCTGGTTTGATTCTTGCTTGGCTACGAGTGGACTTGTCAATGCGTCTCTTGCAACCCAGATTTTCGAGACAATATGGACTAAGAGACGTGAAGCTGGACGATACGGAGAGAAGTGTAGTTGGCCAGATGTGTTAAGAGCGAAGAGAATAAGATTAATGTGTACGTAGCCTGTGAGATAACAGATGTTTCTCTCGTAACTTCATGATTTCAGTTCACCATTCCCAACTTCTCGATTCTGTGTCTTTCAACCACCTGCGTGTTCGCTACGCCCAGGGAGTAGCGTGCACTCTAGCCACAGCACTTGGTGACCTGGCAAGCATCATTCCTAATTTGATTGGAATAGCATTAGCACCCTGGCCATTTCGATGCAAGACAATAGATGCTCCGGGAGAGTACTTACTCCTTGTTCAGAGATACAGCTTCCCACGAAAAGATCAGCGAGCCCAGGAATGCGCCGATGAAAATGCAGATGATGATATACCCGTTGAAGTACATAGCAAGTAGCATGATGATATATGCCACAGCGAACTGAAGCATGTGCATGAAAGCGCGAACGAACTGCTCCATGAGCGAGGGACGATATGGGTCCATTACACCGGGACGCTGAGCAGAAAGCCCGACGACCATAATAGCATCAGTGGAGGCCGCACTCTGCTTCGGAACATTCGTATTCGAGGAAGAGTCTGCGGCAGTCGTGATGCCGTCGTCTTGGGTGAATGCATACGGAGGGGCTTTGCAGCAGCGGTCACAGTCAGTAGCCTTGGAAACACCCCCATCGGGGCTGATGCTCTGGTAGTTTGTGCCATTTGCCTTGGACTGACCGGCGTCTTCGGAGGAGCGTGGCATGTACATTCTGATCAGACGAGCCCGGCGGAGGATGAAGGCATCGTACTCCCTTCCCACACGGCGCAACAGCTCCAGGACCAGAACGAGGCAGATGAAACCGATACAGGAACCGGCGAACATGCCGTGAGATCTGATGTGCCATGATTTGGCGAGGAAGCCTAGATATTGTTTTCTGGTCAGCAGAATTTCCAACGATCTATAAAGGCTCACGATGCGTACAGGCATCAATGGTATCCCAGTTCCACAACATCTGTTATTTCAAGTCAGCTCATGGTTCAGCGTCCTGAAGATTTTCACGCTGACAGACCGAGATCTTGCAGCTCATGTCCATGCCGTCCATACCAGGCATCGCAGTCATAACGGACATGCCAGACATGGTGGCCGTAGCGTTACCGGCAGCCGAGGCAGTAGGCATTACCATGGTCATAGTACCCATGGATTCCATGATGATCATGAGTTATTTCTGACGAGATGTTGAAGCGTACAATCGCACATGGATATCAAGCTTGACGAGCTCGCACTGTAGCAACCCGTTCTTACCGGACGCAGGCGTACAGAGGTGCAACGTGCAACGAGAGGGAAAAGGTAAACAAGGAGGTACGAGCTACGGGAAGTTTAACATTAAATGATGACCACACTTCCGATGTGGTCGCTGAGCGAGCGTGTTTGAGCAGATTAATCCATTTGTATCAACATGGTACAGAAGTACCCGATGTACACAACTCTCTCCAATTAAACTCCAAAACTCCGCTGATGCTAAGGCAATGCATGGGTATCGTTGACTTTATGCCCGGCTGGAGTCCTTGATGACTCCCTCCAGCAGCTCGCGGATCTGGTTGCATCCATCCATCCCGACAGCCAGCATCGTTTCAATGTACGTACAGTGCAGCTTCGAGTCCATGTTCAGCACGGCCACCTTGGTCTCCCCTTCCTCCTCGTCCATGTTGTTCTCTCCCACGGGAACCGAGGTCGTGGTACCAACGGTGAGCTGGGGAAGCTCCTGTTCCTCGGGAAGAGAGAGATCAAGTAGCGGATCTAGCTCATCACTACGGGGGTCCCGCGGAGTGGATGCGCTACCGCTCATGCCTGCTGTGCAGCCGCAGAGCAGTCCGGGCATGGGAATGCCTGCGTCCACCAGAGCCAGTGTGCAGGCATTAATCGCAGCCGCAAGCAGAGAGCCGTCGGCGGAGAGCACTGAGACGTGGATGCTGATCGTGCTGTGCGGGTAAAGATAGGTGTGTAGATGCGACTGGAAAGCAGAGCGAAGAGTGGTTGCAATGCGAGATGATTGTCTGTGATCGAGGAAACGGGCGTTAGTATCACTGTTGTCCAATTTGCCGAACAGATGCTGCGCAGAGCTTCATCTGCACATAGAAAATGGTCGACTTACTTGTCACTGCCTCCGGCTCTCCTCCGTCGGTCCACACCGGCGAATCCAGCAATGTTCACGTCCACCTCCACAACAGCGCCTGAACTGCCTGCCGTACCACTGGCCTCGCCCCTGCGACCCTCGGCGGGACCGTGGACAGAGCACATAATTGCAGTATTACCCATGGAAAGGTAAGACGAGCCCGAGCTGGCAGGATTCGTAGATATCTGAGCCTGGAGCAGTCGCAGTTCGTTCCACCGGCGGCCGTCCAGACGCAGCCGGGTGAGAGGGTATGTGGTTGAGGTATCGAGAGGCATTCTTGCGAATGGTCCAATTTAGATAGTAAAGATCTTTCACGTGTGCGAAAAGGATAGAGGGGCAAGCTCGACAGGCTTTATGCGGTTACCTCTGGAGGTAGGAAAGTTAGCCCAGCCCGGTCTGTCGAGCGAAGAGCACACCGATTGCAAAAGACTTACATCTATCCGGTCGCGTAATTAATTCAAAGTGATCTTCAGGGTCAATTGGGAATAGCGGCGACGTAGACCGCGATATGAATGGGAGACAGTGATCGGAGCAGCTTTTTTTCTTGCCGATCGGGAATGACATCGCCAACTTCTCCGCCTTCGCGGCCTGACGCGCCTTCCACGCTTCTTCACCAACACACTCAAGCTACCATACTGGCCATGCAGGCTTTACATAGGATATGGGGAGTCACAACGCCGATGTTGAGGTCATCACCATTGACTCGGACGATGATGACCTTGAAGTGACGCCTTATCTAAACCCCACCACCAATTCTCGTATGGACCTACTATATGCGCGTGGAATGCAGCTCACATTTACCAGACAGGAATCCCGATTCCGTCAGATCCGAGAATTTCACGCCCGTCAAGCGAAAGCTCACTGATACCTCACGCACTACGAGTACACCAATTAAATTCCAGTCCTTGGACAGCGAAGATGAGTTCAACGATGGTGAAGCAGCGTACAAAAAATTCAAAGCGCGCAAATCACTTAAGCGAAGGCAGAGCGCAGCCGCAACACGCAAGGCAAAACTGCCCAAGAAAGAGCCGCGGAACAGCGACGTGATCGTTGGCCGCGTGAAGCAAGAACGCTCGAGGTCCAGACCCATACGGCCTTTGCAATATGGCGATGTGTCTTCCGAAGATGAATTGATGGAGCATACTCTTCCAGGATATTTGAAGCAGCGCCGACTTCAATTTGACCGCAAGAAGGAACATCTCCAGGAGTCGGGTCTGAAATTACCGCCTTCCTACGAGGATGTGGAGTTCTCTGATGATGAGCGTCTCGAACACTTACAAGAGAAGCCGTCATTCCCGGGCAGAACACCGGTCCGTGACTACAAAGATATCACTTTACCTTACTCTCTGGGGCTGATCCCTGCACCGATCGCGCAATGGCTACGCCAATACCAGGTGGAGGGAGCCGCATTTCTTCATGAAATGTTTGTCTACCAGAAGGGCGGTGTTCTCGGCGACGATATGGGCCTTGGAAAGACAATCCAGGTTATTGCATTTTTGACAGCAGCCTACGGGAAGACAGTCGATGAACGAGATGCCAAACGTATGCGCAAGATGCGCAGATCCCAGGACAATGCGTGGTACCCACGTTCCTTGATCGTGTGTCCTGGAACATTGATCTCGAACTGGATAGCCGAGCTTCAACGGTGGGGCTGGTGGCATGTCGACGTGTACCACGGCCCCAACAAGGACTTGGCCCTCCATGCTGCACGCTCTGGCAGAGTGGAGATCCTGATCACGACATACACCACGTACGTGAATAACAAGGACTCTGTAAACATGGTCGAGTGGGACTGTGTGATCGCCGATGAATGCCACAAAATCAAGGAGCGAAAATCAGAAACCACCCAGGCCATGAATCAGATCAACGCTCTCTGTCGCATTGGCCTGACTGGTACGGCTATTCAGAACCGATACGAGGAGCTGTGGACGCTTCTGAACTGGACAAACCCCGGCGTACTCGGCCCGGTGACTACATGGAACGCGCAGATTGCGGAGCCGTTGAAAATCGGCCAGTCTCATGATGCAACCATAAACGAGCTCAGCAAAGCTCGAAAGACAGCTAAGAAACTAGTCGAGAACCTTCTCCCGCAGTTTTTCCTACGACGAATGAAGAGTTTGATTGCAGATCAACTACCCAAGAAAAGTGATCGCGTAGTCTTCTGTCCATTGACTTGGACGCAAGCCGAAGCATACGAGAACTTCCTGGATAGCGACATGGTCAATTATATCAAATACTCTACGGATCAGTGCACCTGTGGATCAGGGAAGAAACAAGGCTGGTGCTGCAAGACTATCATCCCTGGGATTGATCAACCCTGGCAGGCATTTGTCTTTCCTGCTATTGCCGTGCTGCAAAAACTCAGCAACCACCTTGCGATTCTCATACCACAGGGTAACGATTCACGGGAGAAGCAGGAGAAGGAGAGAGACATGTTGGAAATTGCCCTACCAGAACAGTGGGAAGACCTTTACCGTTCTCGGGATTCGATCGTGAATTATGCGAATCCTGAGTTCTGTGGCAAGTGGAAGGTCCTCCGCAAGTTGTTAAGGTGGTGGCACGCAAATGGTGACAAGGTCCTTGTCTTCTCACACAGCGTCCGGCTGTTGAGGATGCTGCAAATGCTCTTCAACCATACCAGCTATAATGTGAATTACCTAGATGGTTCGATGAGTTACGAGGACCGCGCCAAAGCCGTGGACGACTTCAACTCTGATCCAAATCAGTTCGTCTTCTTGATCTCTACAAAGGCTGGTGGCGTTGGGCTGAACATCACATCCGCGAACAAGGTCGTGGTGGTCGATCCGAACTGGAACCCTTCCTACGACTTGCAAGCTCAAGACCGAGCCTACCGTATTGGACAAACTCGTGATGTCGAAGTTTTCCGACTCGTCTCTGCCGGTACTATCGAAGAGATTGTATATGCCCGACAAATCTACAAGCAACAGCAGGCTGAAATCGGGTATAATGCCAGCTCTGAACGTCGATACTTCAAGGGCGTTCAAGAGAAGAAAGATCAAAAGGGCGAGATTTTCGGATTAAAAAACCTCTTTTCATACCAGTACGACAACGTCGTCCTCCGAGACATCGTGAACAAGACCAACGTCGCCGAGAGCCGAGCCGGCGTGCAGGTAGTGGACTTTGAGTTTGAAGAAGAGGAGGATCCCACCGGTGAAAGACTGGTCAAATCCGAGGACGAGGCAATGAGCCAACTGGCTGCAAGAATCCGCGGTGAGGACGAGGACGGATCCAAGTCTGAACCCACGTCACGCAAGCATGATCCAGTACAGGCAATCCTTGCTGGCGCAGGAGTCGAATACACCCACTTGAATAACGAAGTTATCGGATCTTCCCGCGTCGAAGAACAACTCAGTCGACGCGCCGCTCAGACAACGAACGACCCGGGAGCCAACTACCAAGTCTTCAACCCCTACGAAGATGTTACAATCGACGATCCACTTGCAGAGCCTCGGGCCCCGCCCGATCCCGCGATACAGGGCCCCCTTCGCAGCGCTGAAGGGAAGCTTTCCCACTTCAAGTACAATCCGCCGACAGACGTGCAGCGTCGCCAGTTCTGCAGCATGGCACGGCGCTTTGGATGTGCGGACGCTACGGAGTTTGCACTCGTCGTGGAGAATATGACCCAGGCGGAGCGAACAGCGACTCTCGATCGTTGGTACCAGGAAAGGCGTGACTTCTTGGTCAAGGGTGAGGTGACGAGTGGGATCAGACCCGAGATCAAGTCTGAAAACAGAGTTGAGGTGAAGCCGCGTATTCAGGACGAGAGATGATTCTTTGTTATTCTACTTGGACGAGATCCATTGTGACCGTGAGGGATATTTTTTGCTGGCGTTGATATTAAAGGCGATGATACCCCTTTGCTATATGGAGTTCGAATGAATGGCGGTTTTCTTGCAACTTTTACGTCAATACTACAAATAAACCGTACGGTACACGGGCTAAGGACGTCCCAACGATCCGTTGAAAGTCATAACTCGCGCACTTGATTGCTTCATAAAAAAAAACCATCCATTGTATTATCATTCAGACACCATCTAAATCCACCCAAACAAGACCGGCCATTAAACAGGGGTATCAGTCACAAGTAAACAAGGCTACAACCAAGCAAGCGTCCACAGAGCCGGCAGATTAGGATTCTTCGCCTGCCAATCCGCCAGAATCTCAGGAACACGTTCATCGAAGCTCTGACGCGCGGCACCAGTACCATTCTCCCAGCCACCGGGACCATGGAGAGTACGCTGCTCAACGGCAGCCTCGTTGAGACTATTGGCCAGGTCGAGGATAGCGTTGCCGCCTACCAGGGCCTCCTCATGGTTATCCTTGATATCGACGTTGAAGACGTGCACCGGCCGGTTGAGGGTATTGCCCTTGTTCATGAGGTCGTCGACGACGGCATCCCAGCAGCGTTCTTCGCAAGTGATGATCACATCGACGACGCCTGCTTCCGTGCCCAACGCACCCTTGTCGCCCTTGGATACGTGGTCCACGCGCGGCATGCCGGGCACCCAGTCCTGAAAGCGCTCGGGGCCCCATTTCAGATTGCGGTTGCGATCGAGCATGTTCAGGATGCCGTTGCTGCGGTACAGACGCTCGTCTTTGCCGTGCAGCTCTTCCCACATCTGGTTGTAGGAGATCGTGTTGAAGCTGTACACGTTGGGCTGGGTGATGGTAGGACCTGGCAGGCGCACCAGGGAGCCTGTCCCAAAGGAGATGACTGGGAAGGCGGCTGCGGCTGCTGAGAGACGGAGGTGGGCTTCCATGGAGCGGTTGTTGTTCGATGCGCACACGGTGCAGAACTTCAGCTTCCATGAGTCCAGGGGGTCTTTGGCGCCCGTGTCCGTTGCGGCCATGTCGGAGGCGGACTCTGGAGGTGGAGGAGGGGGAGGGGGAGGAGTTTGAGGAGTGGTGCTCCCCGTGTTTACTCGACGAGGGTCATATGCCATGGTTGTGGAGAGGACTATGGAATGAGACTAAGTGGGCACACAATGAGGCCGTTGATCAAGGTGGTTTGAATATGATTTTACAATGTCCTGATATTGACTTGAAGGGTATTAGCAAAATCCCTGGCAATGTATTTCAAGTCGATGATGAACAGAAGGGGAGATTCAGATGAAAAGCGTATAATTGAGTTTGTCCGCATAGCGAAAGCTCAGACAGCTCCAATAAATAAAGATCATCATGTAGGGCGATTGAATGCAAAAACGACTATCACGTACCTTGCAATTATCGCGCATTAGGATGGCTCAACTAGTTGGTCAATTCAAATGGGGCCGCAGCCCTTGGAGAAAGAAAGGAAGCAAGTTTTGTGCCGCTGCTTCGCTCTCTTTTTAGCGCCGCGGCTGACTCATCATGGCCCCGCTGTTTTCCATCTGCATCTCCATCTCCAAGCTTAGCTACCAGCTACGCAGTCTGCTTCTCGGAGGCTATCCCCACGAATTCTTTTACAATGGCATCCTCAGACGGGGCAGATGGCTCCATCGTGCCCGCCTTGATCGTGGTTGACATGCAGGAGGATTTCTGTCCACCCGTGAGTTTGAAGAATAGCTGACTGCAGTTCCAAGCTCGGTCGTGCTGATGCTACAACGCTTGGTGGGACAATAGTCTGGGTCTCTCGCAGTACAAGAAGGCCGAGATATTGCACCATTGATCAACGATCTTCTCTCCTGGCCAGGGTTCGTGACGCGCATTGCGACCCAAGACTACCACCCACCAGACCATATCTCCTTCGCGAGCAACCATCCTTCGCCGAACAACCGACCCTTCGAATCGTTCATCGAGATGAAGAATCCGGCACCGGGAAAGGAAACAGAGACAAAACCGCAGCAACTCTGGCCCGTCCACTGCGTGGCCGACAGTCGCGGTGCGGAGCTCATACCCGAGATTCGCGCCGATCTCATCGATGTCCTCATTCACAAAGGGAAGCACTCGCAGGTCGAGATGTACTCTGCCTTTGCTGATGCGTTTGGAAACCGTGATCCTGCTGTGATGGAGCGGTCGGTCAATCTGGATATCGCTGAGCTGCTCCGGGCACGGAAGGTTACCGATGTTTTTGTCGTAGGACTCGCGGGGGACTACTGTGTGAAATTCACAGCAATCGATGCCGTCAAGGCTGGATTCCGAAGTTGGCTTATCGAGGAGGGAACCAAATGCGTCATGCCCGCTAGCTGGGACGAGGCCAAGGCGGAGCTGAAGGTTGCGGGGGTATCCGTCATTCATACAGACGACCCAGTGATCAAGAAGCTGGCTGTGAGGTAGCTCGAGAATTACCTAGTCATTGAGGTAGATGCTGGTCAATCTATCATTTACAGCTCCAATAGTTCCGTTCCAATCCAATCAGGTTGCCACCGGGTGGGTTGTTCCGAGGGGATGAGTGGTCCAAGTGTGATCCACATGGAAAGGGCCCTGGATTGAGAAACCTCCCTTTCGACTTCCACACACTCCTTATACTGCAGAGTGACGTCGCGCTGGAAGCGGCGTCCTATCCTACCGTCTCTACTTTGTCTCCACATTTGATAAAGAAATACATTGAGCTCGGCATCTTCACATCATGCCTCATTCTACACCGTCAACCCCGGCCGCGACGATCTCTTCGCTGGATGAGAAATTGACCGACGCCGACGCGGCCGCTCCGGCTTCTTTTCTCCAAGAGCACGATCTCACGGCCGATAGTCTGCCTTATTGGCTGGTGAACGTACCCCGGTCGCAATGGACGGCGGAGTGTCCCAGCTTTCTACGTGATCAACCACCAAAAAATATTCGATGCCTGTCGACGCCGGACGAACACTACAAACGGCAGAACTGGGAGTTGGTGCAAGAGATCGTTAGTGAGTGGAGCTTGTCTCCTGCATGCGTAGCGCACGGGACCTTGGGCTAACGTTGTTTTTGCGACAGGGACGAACCGAATCGATCGCTTCCAACGTGTCCCGACTGACCTACGAAAGTACTTGGAATACACGGCCCATATCAAAGCGCAATATGGATCGGTGATGCGGTTCGTCGTCCAGGAGAGACTGCACTGGGGTGATGGAGATACAGACATGAAGCCACGGGGGCGCCCGTTTGAGTTTGACGGTAGGCAGTGTTTGTTCCTGGATACAAATAGCCGGCTGACGCATGGTAGAGGACATTTGCATCCTGTACAATGACTGGCCCTACGGCATCGACACCGACATCGTCCACCTGGTAGTATGGACCAAGTTCGAGCTTCCCGATGACCCGGCCACGGGCGAGTTGACAGGTGAGGCGAGGGATGCGATCGAGCAGTACGTGCAGCGCACTTTCTGTTCACGGCTGGCGGCCGAGTCGGTCGTGTGGTTCAAGAACTGGAAGTCACTGAAATCGGTGCACGCGGTCGAACATTTCCACGTCATGCTCCATCGGCCAGATTTGGCATTCGTGGCGGAGATCACCCGAGGAGACGTGCCACTCATTGACCGGGTCTAAGGGGGAGAACCCAGGGGTCCTTAGGGCTTGAAGGACCCCTGCACTTGGGATCGGACAAGACCAGGCACACGGTGGACCGGTGTTTAGTCCAGACACATCTGCAGCTGCAGCGAATTGGCCCGACCTGCGTATACATCGGATACCCACTGCCAAGCCGTACCCCTCATCGAATCGAGGGAGGGGCTAATGGACTGGCGAGTAGGAAGTGATGAGCAGGCAAATGCAGTCAGAGTGGGAGAACCTGGTTCCCCTTGGTTGAGGGATCAGGAGTGATCAAGAGTGATCAGCAGGATTTAGAGCGAGTAAATAAATCGTAGCCTGAAGTGGAGGCGTGTGAGGCTCGACGTCACTCCCCCCCTCCAAGGCTAAGCCTTTCTTCGACTTTCCCTAAAAATCTTTTCGCTCAACCCCCATTAGACTGTCCATCTTTTAAACACTCAACTTGAAGCTCGGTTAGATGCCGTGCTGCTCATAAGCTCCCCTCCACCAACTTCCGAACGCAGCCATGCCGGTCCCGGGTCTCCGCCGCGCTTCCTTAGCCAGTATGTGCTTTCTCTCCACGTTACTTCTCATCCAAACCTCCAAGCATCATGTTCGGGTCTGACACAGTCGCTCAACCAGGCAGATCGTCCGTGGACGACTCTCCCCCCAGCGGGGAAGATGAGGTCGTCGAGCCCGAGCAGGGAAATGGTAAGCCGCCCTGCCTAGGAATGCTGCGCTCGCGCTGACCAGGCCAGTCCTCTCGCACATCATCTCGCAGTTGCGCCCCGGTGCCGACCTGAGTCGGGTCGTGCTGCCCACTTTCATTCTCGAGCCGAGGTCCATGCTGGAGCGCATCACCAAGTAGGTGCTTTTTGCTGCCTGCGGGCTTGCGGCGAACTGACGGGATCTCTTCTAGCTTCATGGCGCACCCCGATACCCTCCTCCCCATGCCCACAATCGATGACCCGGTCGAGCGGTTTGTTTCGGTGGTCAAGTTTTACTTGAGTGGATGGCACATCAAGCCTCCGTAGGTTGCTCCATCTTTGCGCGCTATGGCCAGATTCTGACGCCCTGCAGTGGAGTGAAGAAGCCGTTGAACCCTATTCTCGGGGAGACTTTTACATGCTACTGGGACTACCCCGATGGTACACGTGGATACTACATTTCGGAACAGACCTCTCACCACCCGCCCAAGTCGAGCTATTTCTTTATGGCTCCCGAGCACAACATCCGGATAGACGGCACTCTCAAGCCCCGCAGTAAGTTCTTGGGAAACTCGGCAGCCAGTTTGATGGAGGGAATCGCGATCCTGCGACTTCTGAACCGTGGCCAGGACAAGGACAAGGGCGAACGATAGTGCGTTTCAAATACATGGTTTTTTTGGTGTGTGGATATTAACGAATGGCAGCATCTTGACGCAACCGAACATGTATGCGCGCGGAATTCTTTTCGGCAAGATGAAGTATGAGCTCGGCGATCACAGCTACGTGCGATGCCCGGAGAACAACCTTGTGGCCGATATTGAATTCAAGACCAAGGGCTATTTCTCCGGTACTTATAATGCCATTGGAGGAACGATCAAGAACGAGAAGACCGGCGAAGTTCTCTATGAATTGTCCGGTCTTTGGAATGGCGAGATGCACATCAAAGATGTTCACGTACGTTTGTCCCGCTCCTAAACTCCCAGCCTTTTCAGGCCCTGATGAAAGTGCAGACCCACCAAAAAGAGGTTCTGTTCGATGCCACCCATGCGAAGCACTCGCAGCCGATAGCGCGCCCAATCGAGGAGCAAGGAGAGCGTGAGTCGCAACGGTTATGGGAGAAGACGGTCAAGGCCATCATAGCCTCGAACCATGTCGCTGCTACGGATGAAAAGACCAAGATCGAGGATCGTCAACGAGAGGAGGCCGCCAAGCGTGCTGATGAGGGTGTTGACTGGAAGCCTCGGCTCTTCCGTCCAGTCCAAGGTGGACCCAATGGCCCTGATGAAGGAGAGGAGGATCTCGATTGGATTATCAACGCTCATGTGTATGTTTCGCTCTGCCTATCAGTTCCTTGTCCTGTCAACTGACCTTGAAACCCAGCGACTCGCATAATCCCCAGGCTGCTACAAAGCAGATCATGGCCATCGCACCCATCGTCCAAGGTCAGAGAGAATCCGCCCAGTTCCAGATCCCGCCACACAGGCGTTCCAGCCTCGCAAACTACGCCCCCTCCCAGGATAAAGGACCCGCAGCTAATACCCAGGCGTAGACCAAGAACAAGCAGGAACGAATGCCGACGGACGACACATCGTGGAGCGACAAGACACAGAAACAGCATCCATAGAACAATTCGTGGATGCAGAGGAGACCAAATAAACACCAAAAAAGCCCGGGCACGTACGCCCACCACCGCCCTATACGGGCCGCCTTCCTTACCCCGAAACCCCGAATCCATACCACTCATCTGGCAGCCCGCCAGACGACGTAGTCAACCTGCGCAGACTACCCAGCACGCTCACGCCCGACGACCGCCGCCCTTCTTCTCAGCCCTTTCTATGATGTTCAACACAAGCGTTCCCCGGCCACAGCCGCGCCCCATTGCTGGATACCCGATTTGATGATGGATCTGATCTATTGACCAAACAAAACCTCACAACGACTCAAAATAAAACAATATGAATTTATCCATTGACTCGAAATGACAGGCCGATGGAGAAAGTGGCTATGGGCGAGGTACGTAGTAATGCTTCACATGGAGTCGCTACATTGTAACCAATCGTGCGAAAATGCCAAAAAAAAAAAAAAAGAGATGTGAAGGCGGCAAGAGTTTAATTTACATGGCGACGGAGCCTTGGGAGAGCATCTCCAGGATGAATAGACCAGGCTACAGCTACAAGATCTCTATACACGAGGGTCAGGACAGATCTTTTCCATGTATTCAATTTAAATGAATTCTTTTTTCAGTGTCTACTATACAAGTCTTTTGAAGGGGGGGATATCACGATAATAAACAAAACACCAAACACCACTGGAAAATTGTAAATGTAAATGCCAGATCCCTTCCGTGACGCCAGCAAACTCCCAGATCCAGAACACCAAAGGCTATAGAGCAGCGCAACTCAGTAGAAATGTTCATCATGAGTATAGCTCTCCCTTATATCCAGCTCCTCTTTCGAGTTCACGTCGACGGTTTGTCCGCTGGATACCACCCGCCGAACCGGGGACACTAGAAGTGTCGTTCATGGCAGCAGCGAAGCCACCACCCTCGCGTTCCTCGCGCTCTTCCTCCATCATGGCGGTCTCCTCTTCGATTTCTTTCTCGGTTTCCTCGCGCAGACCCAGGATATCCGGAGGAATAAAGCTCATCTGCACGCTCGGGGCACCCTTGATGTAGCGGAGTTGTTCGTGGACCGCCTCAACGAGACCCTCGAGGTAGGGGCGGGAGTTCTTATTTTCGATTTGACGGATCAGTGATAAGGATGGGAAGAGCGAGTAGTCAGGCCCGAAGTGGTTGCGGAAGGCGACGGATTGCGGAATCTGAGGATCGATGATTTTGTCCGCGTCGACAAGGATGGAGGTTTCGTGCGCCCAGGCGCGGGATACGTTGCGCGGGGTGTAGCCACCGCCACCGACGACGAGGAGGGGTAGGTTGAATTTCTTGGTGAAGGCGACGCAGGCGCCGTGGGCGCTGACGTTGAGATTGAAGCAGCCGAGTCGGTCACAGCCTAGACTGTCTGCGCCGCATTGGAGGACGATGGCGCCGGGACGGTAGGTGTTGACACATGCCCCGATGACTTCCTCGTACAGGCTGATGTAGGAGTTATCGTCGATGCCGTCGTTGAGCGGGACGTTGATGGAGTGGTGGGCGCCCGGATTGAGAGGATGCGTGGGGCCGGTGTCATCGGAGGCGCCGGTGCCGGGGAAGAAGTTGTCTTTGTCGTATTTGTGGAAGGAGACCGTCAACACACGGTCGGTGGACCAGAACGCCTGTTCGACACCATCGCCGTGGTGCACATCGATATCAATGTACATGACCCGCGGGTGGTGGCGTAGCAGCTGGAGAACGCCCAGGACGATATCGTTAACATAGCAGAACCCGCTGGCCTCGGCCTTTTTCGCGTGGTGCAAACCCCCAGACCAGTTGATCGCAATCTCGGATTGATCGTTGCAGAGCTTGCGCGCAGCGTCGACCGTGCCACCCGCGTACAGCGAGCAGTAGTTGTACAGCCCGTCGAAGATGGGACAGTCGTCACCGAAATTGAACCGCACCACTTTGTCACTCTGCTCCGCGCGCTCTATATCACCGGGCATCACCTGCCGCAGGAAGTCGAGGTAGTCCGTTTCGTGGAACTCGGCCATTTCTTCATATGTAGCCGCCCGCGCCAAGTACAGGTCCATGGCGTTGTGCATGCCGTAAGCCATGACCAGCTGCTTGGTCAGGGTGAGGCGCCAGGGCTTCATCGGGTGTGATTGTCCGAAATGGTGGCCCTCGACGGCCGGGTTGGCGTGCCATGAGACGCGATAGCCTTGAGGGCGAGGGATTCGGTAGATTTGGCGCTCGCGGGTGACCTTCTGGTCGGTGCTTAGGGTTGGCGGAGGCGCATATTCTTGGACGACGGGGGTGCCAGTCCTGAGGACCATGTCGAAGGGTGGATGGGAAGAGGGCGCACTCTAGGCGAAACTCGAGGACATTTCACGACGAAAAGACAAGTTCGCGATGGAAACGTCGAGCTGCGAGTTCCACGGTTCTGGAAATGCTGACTAAGGCGATCTTCATGGCGCTATGAGTGACCCGCTTTTGCCTTTGATTGTATCTTTCTGGGTCTTTTTGTACATTTGCGCGTTTTCCGGGCTTCATTCCATGCTTTGCATTGCAGCCCGTGGCCTGGTCAACTAGATGTCTTCTTATCCTGTGAAAAGACCCCGGCTGCCGTTGAGCTGCGCTGTATGCACTCGCCGAAGGGTGCGCCGTGGCGAGACCAGCCGCATTGCAACAATTGCGAGCGTCTGGGAGAGACATGCTGCATAATGCAGACACTTGTGATGCAAATACCGGTCGAGTGCTAAGAGCAGAGGAGATCGAAGAGAAAATCAGTGGTGCAAAGCCGATATCAAACCCGCCAGAGCCACAAAACAATCCCCAACCCAGCGGTCTGTCGAATACCGATCGATGCATATGATACATTATTTTTGTTATACGACATGAAGCAATGGTTGTACTTGGTATAATGAGTTACCCCGCCTCTTACTGCTGTGGAAGTTGCTTGCAACCCGGGGTTTACTTATCGAGCTACCTGAGCTCGGCACATGGGACTCAAATACCGAAATGCAGTCAATCTGATTGTACAAATATTTATTCCTCTACTCTATATCCTTTTCAAGGATACAAACTAATACCAACTAAGAAACTGCCGACAGCGAGAAAAGACCGAGAGAAGAGCGGTGACATAAGCGGTCCCGGTATCGGCATCTCTCGGGAAGGTGGGGATGCGAATCATCACCAACGAGAAGGCTTCATTGGTTGGAACATGAAAAAAAAAGCTTAGATGACATACATAGAAGCAGTATGTATAAAATGGGAAGTCCCAAGCCGGTCTCGACTCGCCGGCTCGAACTCCATCCTCTTCCATACTGCTCCTCGGTCTTTCAACTTCGATCTAGTTAGTAGCTGGTATCGATATCGATAAACGTCATGCCTCTCGCCTCAGCTGCAACCAGCTTGCGCCAGATTCTCAAGGATCCTAATGGCTTTGTTGTCGCCCCTGGTGTGTACGACGGCCTCTCGGCACGTCTGGCGCTCGCGGCGGGATTTGATGCTCTGTACATGGTAAGTGTTCTGCGTCAATAGTCAATAGGCAACGACTAATGATCCAAAAAGACCGGCGCTGGCACCTCGGCCTCCGTCCACGGCCAGGCAGATCTGGGTATCTGCACACTAAACGACATGCGGGCCAACGCAGAGATGCTCGCGAATCTATCCCCGTCCACACCGCTAATCTGCGACGCCGACACGGGCTACGGAGGCCCTATCATGGTCGCCCGCACAACCGAACAATACGCCCGATCCGGGGTAGCAGGTTTCCACATCGAAGACCAAGTGCAGACGAAGCGGTGTGGCCACCTGGCCGGCAAGGTGCTAGTGGACATAGAGACATACACGTCACGAATCCGGGCCGCGGTGCAAGCGCGTCAGCGGCTGGGCAGCGACATCGTAGTCATCGCACGCACGGATTCCCTCCAGGGGCACGGGTACGAGGAAGCGTTGGCACGACTGCGTGCAGCGCGCGACGCGGGCGCGGACGTGGGCTTCCTCGAAGGGATTTCGTCGCGCGAGATGGCCCGGCAGGCGGTGCAGGACCTTGCGCCGTGGCCCTTGCTGCTGAATATGGTCGAGCACGGGTCTACGCCGTCCATTTCGGCGGCGGAGGCTCGGGAGATGGGATTCCGCATTATCATCTTTCCGTTTGCCACGCTCGGCCCTGCTCTTACTGCGATACGGGAGGGATTGGAGAAACTGAAACGGGATGGGTTGCCGGGATTGGATAAAGAGTTGACGCCGCAGGCGCTATTCCGCACCTGTGGGCTGGATGAGAATATGAAGCTGGATGCGGAGGCTGGGGGTGTTGCATTCGAGGGCGGCGTGGATCTGCGGAAGTCCTGAGGTGGTTCAAGGGGTATTCGCTGGGGCCATCTGGGCTTGATCGTATGTTTACTTTCCGAGCTTGGACGGGGGCCAGTGAAGGGTCAGCCGCATCTGTAAATAGTAACATCTCCACTGACGATTGTCGTAGTGCTCGGCGGTCGTTAGAAATGAGAAGGCTGAATAATTCTCCACGGGTTTCGGTAGTCGATGCTGAGATAATTATATCGCGGTTTCAGAGTGACGCCACCGGCCCCCGTGTAGATCGTCGAACCAAGGAACGGCTTCCGCGCATCGACCCCTTTACGCTGCGTTACGCGGTAAGCCAGGGATTCCAACTGAATTGAACCTAACAGGATGAGGTGTAAAGCGCCCTGGATAAATCACGAAGGAGCGTGAAGTATTCCGTATATCGCAATTAATAAGGGTGGTAAGTGACATAAGTACGAGTACCTACGCCTAGGGTGTTCAAGAACACAAACATACCATCATCCCTGCTAGTTAATAGGAGAAACGAGCCAAGCATCGATAAAGTTTTCGGGACTCGAGGCTCGATCCAGAACAGGCAACTGTCGATGGAGTACTGTACAGTGGTACGGATACAGTAAGACTGTACTCCGCTGGGCTCCGCCATCTTGGTCCTTCAGAGTCGAGGCATCAGACCCGGTGGAGGCGAAAATTTCGAAGCAGCCGAGCTTGGTACCTTACAGCGGCCCTCGCACCTTCTAGGGGCTCCATCAGCGGTCAGGGATGGAGCATCGACGTAAATTGTTGCCGTTTGGTGGCGATCGCCTGTGGCCCAGACCGTCGCGCCGGTGAAGTGGTTGACAGCAAAGTCATTGGTGTTGACGAGTCGAGGAAGTTTGGAGGAAGTTTCGTCAGGCGCTCAAATTGACGATGCGTTGTTCGGAGAGTACACATCGATTATAGAGGCATCGAGCCTGAAATCAGTCAGCCTGGAAAAAGGGATTTGCCCGAGACACGTAAGACGGTCTCAGCGATGGGCGTGGATGGTCCGATTGGCCTGTGTGGGGAAGGGAGAGATTGTCGTGGCTTGTTCCTGTTTTCGTTTTGCGTATTCAGGGTATTCAGTGTATCGAGTCTTGTATAGAACCCGGGAATGTGCCAGGCAACATTCCAGCCAGCGCATTCCGACGAACACGTGTTTGGCAGTGATTCCATATAGTTCAGGGATAACTATCTAGTTTCTTCAGGGGGTGCCAAAAGCACCGAAGGATCCTATGAACAGGGGGGAGAAATGCAGGTACGTAGTTTTGCAATACAGTACTCCGTAAATAAGCAGAACAGCACAAAAGCAGAACAGGGTCTCGGCCCAAGGCTCGGAGCCAGCGGCTCACCAATAGCAGTCGGCACTGGCCCCGTCTTCAGGAACCACCGAGCCACTGCCAATGAGGACTCGCCAACCCCTGACCCGGATTTCCCATGTGTCCACCGTCTGATGCCTCCCCCCCGTTCTCATATTAAGGGATTCCACTCTCCTTCTTTTCCTTCGTCCACCCACACACTCTTTTGCAAATTCTGCTTCGAGCGTTTTTCTCGCTCTGTCACTCCTTCAAGTCTTTCTTTGCAAAAATGCACTTCAAAAACTCCTTCCTTCTGGCTTCGACCTTGACCGCGAGCACCGCCGTCGCCCGCCTCCACGGTCATGAGCGCCGCCACGCCCACCCCAAGGTCGAGATCGAGATCGAGCCCGAGCTTCCCACCGTCACCGATGCCCCCAAGCTCGAGGACCGTAACGTTGGTGATATCGTGACTGCCACTATCAACGGTGTTCTCGAGACCTGGATCAACGAGTGGTCTGGTGAGGTTGCCTCCGCGTCTTCTTCCTCTTCCTCCTCGTCCGCCACCTCTATCGTCGTGCCCGCGGCCATCTCTGCGGCTCCCGCTCCCGAATTCACTGCCACTCCCAGCCAAGTCGAGTCCACCGTCACTCCCGTCCCTACCTCGTCCCCATCCGGTGGTGACTGGTACGAGACCCCCTCCAGCGGCTCGTACTCCCGCGCTGGATTCGGCGGCCAGTCCAAGAGCGAGACCACTGGTCTCCTTGACTGGGACTATGTCGGCAATGTCGGTATCCCCTGGGGTAGCAACATCATCGAGGTCTCCGAGGCCAACGCCAACCAGTACAAGCACGTCATGCGTTTCGAGGGTAGTGAGATTGAGCCTTGGACCGTTTTGTTCTGGAACACCTACGGCCCCAACGGCAAGATGGACGGCTTCTGGAAGCCCAACGCTGCTCTTCAGTTCACTCTTGAGAAGGGTGAGGTCAAGTACGTCGCTGTTGACGACAACTCCCAGGGTGGCTGGGCTGCCGCTCCTGGTGAAATTCCCACCACCAATTTCGGCCAGTATGCTGCCACCTGGGGTGAGTTTGACATGAGCAATGCGAAGAACGACTACTATTCCGGCTGGGACGTTTCCTGCATCATTGCTGAGCTCAACGGCCTGGAAATCCAGGGTATGAAGATTTGCAACCACCAGGGTGGTGACTGCTCCTACATCGGCAAGGGTCTGGAAGGCCTCCTTAGCGCCTACACCTCTGCCGACCAGGGCAACGATCACAAGGCCGTCGCCCAGGCCCCTGGTCCCGTCCGCCTGACCGTCACGCTCGACTACGTCCACTAAATTTCAGACGTCAGCGTGATCCCTTTTTTATCTTTCTTGAGCAGACGATTCAACTTAAGGTGGCTTAGTCAATTTCCCCGGCCATCGACATTCCATCTCGAGCCGCGCTTTCATGGATTTCTTTCCATGTTGGTTTCCAGGGAGCGCATACATACCTTTGTGTGGTCATGACTTGCGTTCCTCCTTACGATTCTGTGTATATATACCACTTGATTTTGCCCGTTCATATCAGTTTCTTCTTCTTGCAATGTGTGCTGAGTAGTTTGCCCTGTTGATGAATCTCCGGTACTACTAGCTCACTTCCCGTGGAGGTCAGTATATGTATTAGAAGGTGAATAGTAGCGACACGATGCTTTGGGTTTTGGAAAAGAGCATTCGCAAAGGTCTACTGCTTTCTCATCAGTCCATCGAAGCATTGTTGGATTAAGTGACCACAAACTCACCATGAGATTCTCTTGTTCCACAAAGCCTGCGTTTAAAACCGACCAAAAAAAAGACGGCAAGTACCCGACAGTAGTTCTGATGCTGAGCTCTGTGTCAAAGAAGTGAGGCCGGACCAACATCAAGGCCGCCCAGTCACTCCATGTATGTCCCGGGCCGACCATCGAGCTGCGAATCCCGGCCACGAGGATGAGGAAGTTGAAAACCGCTGCAAGTCTCTCGAATGAAATATTTGGGACGAGACTGTCGAACTCTTTATAAGAAGCGGCGGGGTATCCACCCATTGCATTGTGTGAATTCCATGCAGGAACAAGGCTGAATCACATCCACGGCGGCAACGGCTCGGCCCCGGAAGCACCCGTTTCCCAGCGCCTATTTAAAACACTGGGCGTTTTAGCAGCTGCATAGTTTTGAAGGATCCTGCTAGCGTTGCAGTAACTCATGGCATTCAACGGTCGACCCAAAGCTGGGCGCTAACTCGTGGTTTCTCAGAGGTCAAGCATCCGCCGCCACAACTTTACTCGTCGGCGCTTATTCCATAGAAGGGTTGCTGTAAATGCAATGTTTGAGACAAACAGGATCGGACATGCTAGCGGGCAAGGACTAAGATGCTGATGTTGCATTCTTGTTCCACTCGCTGCAGGCTATCGATGGAGCCGTTGGGTGGGTTGGCTAATTACAACCTAGCTGATGCTGAAATTTGGGGGCCAATATGCAGGCTAGACCCCTTCGTGCATCGTCGATCCCACGTCCGCTCTTGATTGCGGGCGACCTGCGTCTGACTGGTCATCGTCATTGGGTGATTTTTGCCCATCCTCCTCCGGTGGAAGGCCGGCGGCTTCAGGTTCGGTCGACCTGCATGAAGTCCCTTAACCCTGGAGGCTCCACGGGAGGCCTCCCAGGAAATTATAAACATGGCCAGCGTTGCGCTTATTCTGGTTTCCTATTATCATTTTCTTGCTCTATATCTTAATACTGTAAGTTACAGGACGCCGGTCGTGCCTGTTGCTTGTTTGAATATGTCTTCGAGGGATTATAATACATCAGAAGCTCGCAACGTCCTTGGCAACAAGCCATATTTTCAACATTTTGTTCGACCAAGTCGCTCTACTTCTCGGACCAGAAGCAACCGGTCCGACGATGTCAGTCTTGCTAGCACCGCGCGGTATAACATACAACCGCCAAGAGGTGTTCAAGTTTTCAAAAAGTCATCAACCGCTTGGGCAGAGACTTGGGTGCCGTATACTTTCAAGCATCCCTTTCTGGCAGTCCTGAGCTTTGTCTCTCTATCTCTCTGTCTGATCACCTTTTTACTATGGTGGCGTTCGTCTACAAATTATGGACTTGGCCCCGACAATGGCTCGTCAGTTCTCTTGTTCGGCTGGAGATATACACCAACCCTAATTGCTGTGATATACGTTCAAATGACCGCTGTACTGTTCGGGGACATCAAACGCACGGAACCTTATGCACGATTGGCACGAAAAGGGGGGGCAGATTCATCAGTTAGCATCCTCGAGCCACCGGTGGCCTGGTGGACTGCGCTTTATAACGGCTTCGCGAAAAAAAAGAATGGCGCGCTCAGCTGGGCTCTAATCTGCGCATCCTTTCTCAATATATTCGGCTTTTTGGCCATTTCGTCTCTATCTTCCGCCTATCTATACTCTGATGAAGTGGAGGTTCCCAAATCGGCCGACTTTCTTCAATTGACACCGACCACCAAATCTCCTCTGCCAATCGATGCAGACCGCTCAACACACTTCCGAACAATCGCCAATTTGTTGCAAAATGTGTCGACATCTCCATGGATTACAGATGAATACACGATCCTTCCGGTCTGGCCCGCCGAGCTACAAGAAGCGCCCATCACGTCCCTTCCGTCAAGCTCATCCCAAACGTGGGAGGCAGAGACAACGATGTTCAAAACCGAGTTCACCTGTACCCAAATGTCTGTGGATCATGAAACATTCCCGGATGTTCAGTACTCAAAGGATGGAATCAAGTACGGAGCCACGCCTTCTGTATCTATTATCTGGTCCTCTCCTGGTGGATGCAAATATGGGCTGTCTGTGGACAAGACTTTTTTTGACATTGGAGGTGGCAGCTGGTCTGATGCGTCGACTTTTTATTACGCGACGAGCTCCCTGTTCTATGATTCGGGTAGTCCTCTTTCCACGACCAATATGACGGAAGAATGCAAGAACAAAGAGATATTGATTGTGACCGACTCCTGGAAGAACCCAGGAGCTGGCTACACAGCCCAACTGTGTGATACTAAGTATTACATGGCTAATGTTACGACTTCGATTGGCCTTACGGGAGATGATCCCAACATCTCTTTCAATGAGACCGACTTTGAGGTCAACAAAGTTTTGATTCCCAATACATTAGTGAACACAACTGAGTTCCGAAACCTGACGTTGGATCCAAACTGGCCGACTTACATGATTTCGATCCTGTGGTCAAACACCGCATTGTTAGGAGGTCCCTCAATTTTGCTAGGGGCCTTGTATGATTACAACATGACTGCCTTGATCAATGATCCGAACTGGGTCTCTTCAGCCGCCAAAGCAAAGCAACGCTACTTTGGAGAGGTATTGCAAGCAGCGTTGAGCCACCAAGGTGCATCCCAGAAAGTTGAAATGCAAGGAATAGTTCGAGACATTGAAACTCGAGTGATCGTGCAAGCTGGAATCGCTATTGCATTGGGGATCCTTTTTGCGCTTTCTTTCTTCCTTGTGCTTGTCATTTGGTGGTGTTCCAGATTAGGGCGGAGGCCATTGAATTTGAAGGAGGATCCAGCTTCGACCCTGGGCGTGGCTTGTTTGATGACGCATAATCCTCGCACACAGTATAGCTTCAAGGCTTTCAGGCAACCTTCGGAGAAGGAACTGCATGAGAAATTGAAGGGTGTTCAGTTCTATACCGACTCTCATGGTCTGTCTCGAGTTAACCCTGATGACTCGCTGAGCAGCAATTCGTCTCAATCGGAGAATGGGACACCAAAACTACTCCGTCTACCAGCTCTTCTTGGTCTGGTCACTGTTCTTGTGGCAGTGGTTGTTGGTATCGCCGTGTTGTATCACTTTGCTGAGACCTCGGGTCTGTACCAGAAAGCCTTTGTCTATGAAGTCAACATCTCCTGGCTCAGCAACGGCATATCATCTGTGGCACCCTTCTCCATGATTCCGACTGTCATAGCTACTGGAGTTGGCCTGTGGTGGAGTGCCATTGATGATAACTTCCGTCGCCTCCAACCTTTTATAGCCATGTCAAAGGGCCGTCCTCAATTTTCACGGGGCGCTGGTCTGTCATACCAGTCCTCATTCTGGATGTGGGCGTGCGTGAAAGCTGTGATGAACAAGCACTGGCTTCTGTCCCTTCTTACTTTGGGGAGTACTCTCTCCCCGATTTGTATGTCCCTCCACCTTTCCTCTTCGCGAATTCTACCTAATCTTTGCTTTTAGTCACTACTTCCATGTCTGCCCTCTTTGACCGCGGCCCAGGAGTTGTTTCTCAGCCCATCACATTGGACCGTTCAATAGAGATCCGCGACATTCCATTTGTCTTTCCTACCGAGCAGTCATACTATCCCGGGGCTTCAAATGATTACGCAGCGGTCATTCTTGCAGATCTCTACCAGAATCTTTCCACGCATTGGATGTATACCGCAACGATTCAATTAACTCTGAATGGATCAGAGCCTGCATGGAGCAAAGATGGGTGGAGTTTCGTGCCCACCCAAATGAAAAATCTCGACAATATCAATTTACCAAATGACCTCGATGCTTCCGACCAAGCAGTGGACGGATCTCAAACCAATGTTTCCTTCACCACCCCTGCCGTGAGGGGTCGCATTGAATGCAGTCAATACCCCCTCGAAGTTATGATGAACATTTCCAACTGGCTCACGCCAAAGGATATCAGCAATCACACCATCTGGAATACGAGTACTATCCCGACAGACGACAAAGGAGCATACCTTCAAGGTGGTTATCAACTCGGCGCAGAAGCACCCTGGACGGGAACACCGCGTCCCAGCATGATATACCCGGTAAATTCATCCGACGCAGCCCTCAGTTGGAATGGATCCTGCCCGGGCTGCACGACTGTTTTCGTCAATCCGGCTCAAATCATTTGCTGTGGAAATGGAAGCAGTAGTGAGTGGGATCCGAGCGTGGCTGTTGGGTACTGGTCTGCAAACACGAATCTCATGTCATATTCAACACGGCAGTGGCACAAAAATTTCACTGCCAAATGGTTTTACGGAAACGCAGTGACGGGGATTACAAACAACGACAATACAATGGGTGGTGTTTCATATGATGTTGATATGCTGTTCCCTAGTATACCATCACTATCACTGCTGGACTGCAAGCCAATCGTCGAGTCCGCAGAGGCAAACATCATTGTGAACCCGGCGAATGGCGAGATCCAATCTTTCAACATCACAACCAAACCCACAGAACTTACTGAAGCCTTCGCGGACAACTTCCTTCCCCATAACAAAACCCAGTTCAGTCGGGAAACTGGCATGGTAACCTACAATGTGACAGTGAGGTGAGTCAAGGCTTCCAAGGCACCAAAAGCACAGAACTAATTTGAACACAGCTTCGGTCGACTATTCATGGCATCCATGTTAACAGCGGCCGACACCTTGAACATCGGCGGTGCACAGCATGTCAGCGGCTTCCTCACCGAAGACCTATACGACAACACATACAACATCCGCGACGAGATGAACGGCCTCAACATGGACTTCATGACGTACTCCATGTACTCGATGGTCAAAAAGGACCCCAAAGCGCTTCTCAACATGACCACGTACCAAGCCCTCGCCGAGAAGACATTCACAACCTTCTTCCAACACTTCGTCAGCAACGACATCTCTTTCGAGACTGGCGGCTGGGGCTACCAGAAAATCAATGCCAGCTTACCAGACACTCTAGGTCCTGTGATTGAGATTGTGGATAATTATCTCCCGGGAACAAAAGCCGCAGCCTACCAGGATGTCATGCATCCCATCTCCCACACAAACCGCACAGTGGCAGCGCGCGTCACCCAACGCGTGGAACTCCTGCAGATGAATTCCATCGCCGTCTGGCTCAGCATCGGGATAATGGGCTGGCTAATAATCACAACCGCCGTGGTAGCAGTGCTACAAAAGCGATACTTCGGAAGCCTGGTGCGCAACGTGGAAGGCCTAGGCGACGTGCTAGTCCTGATAGCCGGAAGTTCAAACCTACTACAAGTCGTACGCGAGATCCAGGCTGGACGGCTGAGACCGGACGACTACGAGCATCTGCGCACGCGACTGGGCTGGTTTGTGGACGACGATGGAGGCCTGCGATGGGGTATTGAGATGGAGGAGAGTTTTGCAGAGGGCCCAGGCGTGCACTGGGTGTCTGCAGCGCAGTTCTCGAAGGAGAAGGGCGGAACGAAGACGTGGACATTTAAGGAGGAACGGTCTGCACTCCTTGATGGAAACAACGATAATCGCGACACGAGCAGAGTATAAAAGAAATCCACGCATCCTGTACATATTTCAAAAGATGATAATAATAAAAAAGTTCCCCCGATTCGCCCCAAGTGCGCGACATGCATCGTCCACTCTCCGGAGCCACGGTCTCGCCGTAGTCAGAGGCCGAAGCCCTGGTACGGTTGTGGTATGCGGATAGATCGTGTGCACCGTTGCACTCTGGCCGTAGTCGTAGCCATCTATTGACGGTCGATACCACTAGGCCACAGGGAGGCTCCCACGGAAATGTGTATCCAATACCGGGTGACATGTATGGAGGGTTTACCTAATTCGGTCAGGCCCTCCACCCCACACCACCTTCCCCTTATCATATAAACTTCAAACTTTGGATACTATTGTAAAAGGTGCAACTTATAAGAGAATCCTTTTACTCGGAGACTCTTGATCAAAAATGAGGGGGTGGGGGTTGAGGGAAGGCAGGAAAGGTTGGAATGTAGTGAAGCTATTCAGATGTAGATATGGGAGACCTGCACACACCTTGATTTTTAGGTGTTTCAAACCGAATCCTAAAGGACGAGCGTTCGAGTTTCTCTGGCGTCAATATTTTTTAGCTAATATCGGTTTGTTGGTGTTGTCTTTGTTTACGATTTCGCCTTGCACGTAGGAGGTGTTCAAAGTAGGGAAATGGCTTTGACTATTGTACAGTTTTTGGCTCGCTTTGAAATAGCAAATGCATCGCGCAGATGCAGCTAGAGTGCAGCTAAGTTGCTTCATGGTGTGTGTCGCCCTGTTATAATCCGAGGAAGTCGCCTGCTGAGATAGTTGCAAAGTCCGGGACTGCCTCCTCCTCCTCCTCCTCTTCTTCTCCATCGGACTCCTGCTCCTGACTGGAGACGGAAATCAAACCTACATGAAACATGTAGCCCACGAGAGCGACGATACCACCCACCCCCGCCGCGATGGACACATACATGTCCCTTTTGCTGGAATCGGCATACATTGAAACAGCTCCCTTTTCAATAGATGTCAAGTCCGAATCCTCCGCAGCTTGCTTCAGACGATTATTCCTGCGGATCTCGCTCAGGAACGGAGTAGAGTCCGCCAATGTAGCGAGGAGGGTGCTACCGACAGCAGTGACGGAGATGCGCTCGGGGGCGCGCCAGGGCAGCGAAGAAGCCGAGGCTGACTGTGGCGAAAAGGCATGCGCGACTTCCACCGGTACATCGCCGAAGCAGCGTCGTCGCAGACGCTCGGTGTACGCCGAGAGAAGCGGGGCCTTGGCGCGCATGGCGTCGCGCAACCAAGGGAAAGAGAGTTCGGGCACAAGGGCCAGAGAAAGATAGCCGAGCGCGATGCAGTCCAGACTGGATGGTAGATCGTCCTCCTTCAAGGTGAGCAGGTACGCCTTCTGGCCCAGCATAGCCTCCAGCGGCTCGAAGAAATCGGCCGTCAAGGCTTCCAGCCGGAAGTGGTTCTGCGAGGAGCTACGGCCGAGTAGACTTGTCACGGTATCACGCGGCCGCTGGATGAGGCTCTTGGGGACTTTCCCGGCGGCCACGGCGGCGGAGTGCTCGCGCTGCCGCTGTTCTTCCATGGCCTGTAGGTCCAGCGACGAGAGACCCAGATGTTCGGTACGGGCTTTGGCGGCGCCATGCAGCTTCGGTGGGAGAATCCACTGGTTCGGCCATTGGAGGATGCTACCGTAGGCAGGTGAGGTGTTGTTGTGATAGTTCTGGCTGCTGACGTAGAGAGAAAGGTCGACGAGGGACTGGCCACGAGATTCAACGAAGGAGGCGAACCTAAAACGCGGGCGCAAAGGTTAGCTGACCTCTATTTTTGATGTTTAGGCCGATGGCTTGCACGTACGCAGTATTATCGGCCCGGTCTGATTCGTCCAACTGCCGATCGAGATCCCATGCGCCGTCCGAGTACTGGCGGAGATAATCCACGATGTTGCGGAAGCGGCTCACCCAGGTCGAACCATTCTGCAGGGCCGGTAGCTCACCTGATGCGCAATGAATACAACCGAATTAGCCATGCCGTTTTTCTTGGGGTGGTCTTTTCCCTAGCTCGGCTGTCCGGGTGCCGGGTATCACGTCACTTACCGGTAGGGGAGACGGAGGGATCGCTGCTGGCAATCAGCTCCCAAGAGTCCTTGGGAAGGGACAGGGAGCAATACGCGATTGCGGCGAGGCATTGCGCATCGATTGAGGGCAGCGCAAAGGCCGGCCCCCACACATGCAGTTGTAGGACCATGGTGGTTTGCGCGTGAACAGAGAAGGAAGGAGGCGGGCAAGTTGGGCGGACGAATCACGTGTGTTTGCACAATCTATACGAGATCTGCAACGCCCAAGTTTCTGTTCGCGGACTTATTCCGAGCTGGTTCACTAGCCCTGTTTTACTGCAGAGACATCTTGGAAATGTACATTTGACATTGTGTCAATGCTTGTTGATGGATGGTACAAATTGCCGTGACTGGCGTCCACCCGTTGAGCCAAGAAACCTTGGGAAGAACCGGCTTTACGTTTGAGGTTTGATGATTCCAAATTGACTACTTGAATAAGGACAGTATAGAACACGACAGCCTTTCCACGGTACGGTACGAAGAGTAGAAGCTTCATACTTTACCCTTAGACCCTAAGCTATATTTGGCACGTCGAAAGTTCGGCCGACTCCTTTCCCCTCGTATTTTAGCTGAGACACTGTAACCCCTAGTTTATGACTACACTGGCACTCATATTTCTCATGTCAGCTCTCAGGGAAAATATATCCTGCACGGCGTACCAATCTAGTCATCGCAAAGCGCACCGTGCATTCCCCGTGGGCTCGACAAGAGAAATGACCTCACGGCACACGTGGCTGCGCAAGAGCCCCTTCAGCTGAATCCCCGAGACTTAAGGTTGCTAGTAAGACACGACAGTCAAAGCACCTGGGTTCCGCAAACCCAGTTTCCCTTCCAAAAGCGGCCAACATCTCCGCGCTGAAAGTGTAAAGCGGGGCTTCATGATGATCTGATCTGATTTCACCACGACGATGACGACGATACCTGTGAGTGGACCAACGGCCAGCCCGGAAGCTGACATGCCTTGGCGGTTGACCGTTGAACCCCCGCTAACAATAGATTCCACTGCCCCCCCGTTAACCACACCCGTTTCCCAGCTGAGCCTAACCCCGGATGGCGTATCCCTCCAATCGCATCACGTCCCAGGTACCAGGACACGCACCTCGTCCTCGCATTGAGCATTTCGTAAGACAACGCCCGGCGAACGCTCGGACGGCGCCCTATCTCTTTCTTGATTCTCCTTGTCAGTCGGTGGGGCCATGCTTCCATAATGTTGCATGGGTTGGCCATGCGGGCGGATGGGACGGATGGGATGGGCAGGGCGGGAAATGCGTCATGTCCAGCCCCGGCATGCGCCCGGAATTCATGCCATGCAGCCCCCATTTCACGTCGCTGATCGATGGCGATTCGATAAATCCCAGTTGCGTCAGATCGCTTCCCTGATCGACGCTGTCCCGTATGATCGTTCCACATTGACCGGGCCACGGCCCGTGCTGCGTCGCCGTCCTGTTTGACGTTTTCACAACCGGTTATTTCCCCTGTAATATCCCTGCGACGTTGGGATGGATGTACTGTGGCGACGGGTACTGGTGAAACGGCCGGGAGGGGCGATGTTTTATCTTTGTGCGACGATAGTCTAGTTGTAGAAAATGTCCGGGGGTGGTTTGGGGGATCATGCACGACATCCGATAATTTGATCAGATAGATTGCTTCTTGCTGGGGTATATTAAGTCTATGATACAAGCTGTTGCTTCGGCGTCGGCCGAAATGCATGCTAAAAAAACAAATGAAAAATTAAAAATAAAAATAAAAGTAAGAAAAATGAAGAAACGAAGAAACGACGGGAAAGATTAGAAGAGATTGAAAGTCGAGATGACCAGCAACAACGACATGCAAGGCTAAAATCGAAAGAGATGCGGGGGTGGTTTCAAGTGGAAACCTGAAGGAAATGAGATCCAACCGTCTGATCGCGGCTTGGGTGGCCGGGGCCTGCAGGAAGATGCAGATGGCGGATGCACGATTGGCGTAAATGTGGTTTTCTCCGCACGTGCATATCGGCGATGATGAGCTCACATAGATTGGGAGACCCCGCACAAGAATGAATGGTCGAGAGTTGAAAACGCGGAAACCGCGGAAAGTGAATTGGTGAGAATGATGTGGCTATTAATGCAAAGTGTCGGGGGGCATCGTAGCGCCGGCGCGAGCCCGCACCAAAGGAAATGCAGATTATCCCCGCCTTCGAGACGAGCTAGCTCCGAGTCGCGCGCTGCACTGTACTTCGAGGGCGCAGAATGCAGCGGCCGGAAGCAGGCTTTGTTCCTCGTCGTAGCATCGAGGTATGGAGTGCTCGGTAAGGCCGAAGAGGGGTGTGTATTAGGACGGCGATGTAGGCCGAATCGAAGAGCATCGTCAGAGAGCCGAAACCAGGTCAAATTCGAGGTCATTTCATATCCATGCCGAGGAGGAGCCTCCCAGGTCGTGAGCGCAGTCGATGGACTGCGCCAGAGTCATCACGGTCATTTGGGAGAGGGCCTTTTTATTTCGGCAACGGAGGGAGAGGGCCCTGGGGAGGAGGCCCGGGGCAGGGAGGGAACTGAGAGGTGCCGACGGAAGGCATGTTGTAGTTGTGGTGGTGGTGGTTGTTGGGTGGTTGAAGATGGAAGGTGTGAATGCTCGAAGCCAGTAGGGTTGAATAGAGTCGGGTAGAGTGTAGAGTGTAGAGTGTTGAGTAGAGCAGAGCAGACGGTAGATATGGGATGTGCGATGTGCAGAAAACCAAGCGAGGAGCACAAGCGTTCTTATAGCAGAAATGGATCACCCCGAGGCCAACGCCATTACAGTAGGACTAATTTACGTTAGTGCAGTGCTAACACCCCCCATCGACCATCCCTGCCGTGAACAGGAGGCTGAGTATCCACCTGATCTGACGTAGGAATAATTACGATTGACTTGGTTCGGGATGAATAATACAGCCCCATCGGGAAATCCAATGGAAAACCTAGGATTTTTTCTAGAAGCTCCCCACCCAATTCCCGTGTGGCGTAGTCGGTCTCTGGTAAATCACTAGTGGGAAGTCAGGGGCCAAGGAAATCCCTATGGACCGGTGCTGAAACAGGTCCCAAATGCAATCTGTTTACTTCGAACTCTCTAACTGCTTACTCGCTTCCAGGCTAAGGTTGGTTTCTCCTTTTGCGCTCTCCCAGGTGACACGACGCGTTCGCTAAATAATCATGAAACCACGCGAGGTAACAACTCGGAATGGGCAATCTCCCGTGGGCCCACTCGTGGCTCCATCGGCTCGGTTCCTCGATGCGGTGAGCGGAGGAACGGAAGCTGACCTGGTTTTTTCTTTCTTTTTCTTGTAATTTTTTTTTACTTTCGGAGTGAGCGGTGCAGCGAGTACTTTTTGAATGGCCAAATAGTCTCACGGAGACCGCGCCTAAGCACACGATTCCAGCTATGACTCAGTTGAAAAGGGGGCCCAAACGAACAGGAAAAAGAGAATGACCAGGGTCCGATCCACACGTGCTGCTTCGATCGGTGGCGGTGGAAAAAAGAATGGAATGAAAAAGGATAAAAATGAAATAGAAATAAAAGATAAAATAAAAAAGTAAAAACATCGAGTTTAAGCCGGGTTCTGACCGATTCGTCTTACCTACAGGCGTTGACCGGGATATCGATAGTGGCTCCAGGCAGAGAGAATAAGGAATAAGCCGTTCGTGGCGCAGGGGATCGTACCGCCGTGATTCGTAGAAATATGTCTCTGAACCCGGGTAAAGCTGATGAAATGACACGTCAACCTGCTTGCATCAACCTAGTTTCTGATAATTTGACTCTGATAACGGTCCGGGGTGGCACTGTTTCAGGGGTTTGAGAACCCCCAAACAAGTCTCACCTCGAATGGACCCATCACGTACCGCGGTTCGTACCCGTGGGTTTGTCCCAGCAAATCGAGTGTGGCTGATTAATACTGTACACTTTGTTTTCCCTGTGTACGCGAAGGGTTCAGGCAAAAAAAAGGTTTCTTCCCGCATGTCCTTCGTTCTCGTTTGCTTATCGGTGGGTTAGGGCCACTCGGATTGGCAAGCTAAGCCCCGATGGGGTACCAAAATCGTGTCCCGGAAGGTGAACGGAGAACACTGTCGGGTGAGCTCCGCCTTGTGTCTGTGTCTGTGCCTGTGGGAGGTCAATACACACTTTTGCATGCCCTGCCCTGCAGACCCCTGAGGGGACTCTGTGCATTGCACATCCTCATTTTGGCACATGTAGGACAGACGTGCAGGTTGGACGTTCATCCCCCTTGCTCCCTCCCCAGGGTTGATCACGTACATCACTGCAGTCGGCGTTTCATGTTAGCAGATCTACTGGTGTGGCGTTTTGTCAATGGCGTGCTCAACATGAGCTCTCGTGATGTACTCTACGGAGTACTCCGTACATTCGCTCAACAGGATGTAACTACGGGTACGAGTTACCGGGGACTCCAAAGACGTCACACCTCCGGGAAGACCGAGTTTACGGAGTAGTCATGGCCTTAGTGCACTGTAAGAAGGCCCTAGGGTAGGGGGAGGGGCGCATGACCGCAGCCCTATACGGTAACAATTTGTCACTCGATTGCTGAGAACTCTAACTCTGGCCTCGTAATTGCTAGCCCGGCGGCTCAAGCGGTATTCTCACTCCCCGAATCTCAACCGACTCCTGAATCAATATTTTGTGTGGAGACAAAGGAGAGGTGGCAAAAATGTTGAAATGATCAGGAAAAAAAAAAAACCTCGGCAGCGCTAACGGCCCACAAACTTCAATAAACCAGACGAAAAAGGACTAGTCAGGTACCAACGCCTCCATGATGGGGTGGACTGCCTGCCGTTCCGCACCGTTGGAAACGTGTGGAGGCCGGGAGAACAGGAGGCCGGTTATTGGCAAGTCGGAGGTTTTCACCGCATTCCCGGGTTCTTCCAAGTTCCCCAGTGACTTTCCCGTTTGGTTCGGTTCCCGTCCGCACGTGGCGAAAGATCTGTGGGTATTCTTTGCGTCAATCAATGCCTCTTTTGCCCCGAGAGAGTGCTCGCGATGATCGCGATCCCCTAACAGGAGATAGTCACTAGGATGGCCATTCGTCAGCTTGTCATCATCTTTTCCAATTGGTGGTTTCATTCTCCGCGGTCTCCGGTAGCTGGGGTCTGGGATGGGAGTCTTATAGGAAAGTGCCCTCCCGGTCACGGGTGGAGGAGCGGGCTGTTTCGAGCCTGTGGTCCACAATGGAAATTTGCATTTGTGCCTTCTACGGAGTGTTCTGGAAAACCCTGTGCCGAGGTCCCTGGCACGTGGATGCAAGCTGCGGAACTAGAATTGAATAATTGTGCATTTTTGGCCGCGGGATGATCATTGAGTAATCACTGACTGAAAGTACCTTAGGGTAACTAACTAGTATTCTCGTAGGTACGGATTTGTAAATCTACCGTCGTGAGCTCGACTGAGACATTGTAAACCTAGAGACTCCCAAGTCATCGTGTCTCATGATGCCGGGTGTATCATTCTGGATCAGCCACGGCACACCGCAACCCGTTCCTGCCGTTCCCGGCAATTCTAATCCTGACGATACTAGAAAAGCCGGCGGACGCTAGAGGTGTACTGTACAGTACTTGGCCGGGCCGCTCAGGAAGATCAGTGGCCGCCACACGCGTAACTTGTCTAGGCATCAGGCATGGCTGGGCATGCCATTGCCCCGCTAGGCTGGCTGCAGCCATATGCGCACGGCAGCGGTCCGTTCGTCAACCAGGGGTGAGCAGGGATGACTGCGTGAGGGGCTTTGGCCCTGTCACGCGAGGCCCGCGTGACATGGAGACACTACCGCACGGGCAGGCCCTCCCGTGCCGCTGAAGAAGATCCACGATATTTGTCATTTCAACAGGGGGCAAACAGGAGCATGCAACTCTGCAATTTGGACATCGCAGGGGTGCCTGCAACCGATCACGCCACCGTGGATGCTTGCTTACAGTACAGTAGATGCGGAGAAGGCTTGGCTGGGGAATCACTAACCACATTTGAAGTGTGCAGATGTAGTCAATGTTGTGATCGCTCAATCCTCGTCCGCAGCTGTCTGAGCCTGGGTCGAGATCCATTCCTCCATGAGGGGTTGCTTAGGCTCTGTCACACTTGGCCGGGCCCGGTCACCTTTACGGGTGATGAGCAGACACAGCACCCAACCACAGATATTGAAGCTCTCATAATGGGTGCTGAACCCGAGCTTTTTCTCGTCGTCCTCTTCGGGTACTGGCGACTCCACCTGTACTCGTTTCCTCTTGCTGCGTGATGAGAGGCCGCTTTCCGCTGCCTCGTCCTCGGCTGCCTGGGGAATATGGTGCAGGTCGAACTCGGGCTCGTCGTCACTATCGGGGATGACCTCGATATCTGTAGGCTTGGAAGAGTCGGTCGCAGACTCCGATAGTCCCTTCCCAGGCTTGGTCCCCGTGGTCCCCGATGCCACGTCTCCTTTCTTTCCCAGCTGTTGGAATGTCTTCTGTCGCGTCAAGAGTGAATGGCGGGTGCGGGATTCGCGCAGGAAGATGGCCACTTCGAATTCATCTGCGGGCGCAATTATACATTAGCGATGGCTTTCCAACTTCTCAACACAAATAGAAGCCGTACCCTCAATGATGACATCCTTGACGGGTTTGCCTTTCTTGCGCGCCCAGAGTCGCTCATTCTCCTCGCGAAGTTTAGGTAGAATCAGCGGGCGGATCGCCTCAAAGACGCGCTGGAGTACGGGATCGCGAGGGTTGAGGAGCCATCGATTATCGGAAGGACTATCCAGGTAGATGCGACACTCGAGAACGGAATGTTTGCTGATGCGTAGATAGCGGCGAATGGGGGCCATGGTGATGTGATGGTAGAAATATGGAGTTGGGTGCAAGTGAGCTCATCAAGCTGCCAAGCTCTGGCCGCAGATCCTCTGATTGGTGAGGGCCAACGCCATCAACATCCCCTGCTTCGAAGAATCCTGGCCTTAGGGCTTGACATCCTCCTTTCTCCTCTCGATTCCACCCTGATATTATGCTCTACGCACTTTGACATGCTCAATACTACATAACATGTCCGATCAAACCCGCAGGCCGGCCGTACTATGGCCCACGTGACCTCGGCCATCCGCAGCCGGAAAGAGACTGACCGTCCCCAAGGTCCTCACCACGGCCAAGTACCGGGTACCTCGCTCCGCACTATTAACCCGCGCAAAATTATGTACTGAGTACCCCGCGCTTGACGTCTTCGAGGCCAGCAAGGTCACCATGGATCCCATCTGCCCCCGCTGGACGATGTCGGGTGTAACTCCCGCAGATTTTGTATTCCGATGAGATCTCGAAATTATCGCTCGAATTGTGCGCTGTGGTCGACTGTGTCGTTCTCTTTATACTTGACAACCGATTCTTACGCCTGGCTCACAGGGTCCTCACGTCGGTCCACTTGAGAGACCCGCAATCGAAACACCGCAAATCAATCTTCAAACCCCCGCTCGGTCTTGAACAATTTTCACCGAATGCTAGACGTACGTCGCCCCAAAGAGCCAAATTCGAGTCTGTTCGTGGTGGTAGTGCTCTAGTCGTCTGCGCTGCCTGCGTTAGGGTTCATTGCTCGACAGGATAACCCAGTTGACTCTCGCCCCGGTCATTGGACCGTTGTGCCTCACATCGAGGACCTTGGGGGTTAGGACGCTACAGCAAAGCACCGGCGCAAAATTCAGGTCTGGCCTGGGAACCCCTCCACATCAAGCAACTTACCAAACGTTCTCTTCGCCTTCTTTTCTCCCAAGGTGCTCACGTTTCCTTGCCTCTGATTTAGTCATCCACTCCAGATCTGGCTCCGTCTGATCTTTGTTGATCTTCTTACGATCTCCACGTGCATCTGATCACATTCTTCGCCTATTGGTCGGTTCAGGTGTCATTGGCGTGCAACAAGTCTATTCACAATGGAGGTGGATCCTTTGAACGTGCTGGTCAAGCGTGCGGCCGATGCCTGTGAAACCGGCAACGAGTTCGATGGCCGCATAGGCCTGCGCATCTCATCTATCTTTGTCATCCTGGTTGGCTCAAGCTTCGGTGCACTTTCCCCCGTCTTTGCTCGACGCTTCGGCGGCCGCGGAGGTGTCCCCGGCTGGTCCTTTTTCATCGCAAAGTACTTTGGTTCTGGTGTCATCATTTCGACTGCTTTCATTCACCTTCTCGCTCCGGCCGAGGAAGCTTTGACCAACCCGTGTCTGACTGGACCCATCACTGAATACAGCTGGGTGGAGGGCATCGTTCTTATGACGATCATCGTCCTCTTCTTCGTTGAACTGATGGTCATGCGATTCTCCCGCTTTGGTGCGGGCCATGTGCATGATGATGAGGGTCACTCTCACTTACAACTCGAAGATGCTGAGCCTGTGGACGCCGAGGTCACCGAAAACAAAAACTACGTCCCCGGCGAAGACCATCTTGGTCACTCGCGGGAGCATCGCGATGTCGATGACTCGGAGAATGACAAAACTGCCATTGAAGATTATGCGGCGCAGCTGACATCCATCTTTATCCTCGAGTTCGGTATCATCTTCCACTCGGTTTTCATCGGCCTCACGCTGGCTGTCTCCGGTGCCGAGTTCACCACTTTGTACATTGTTCTCGTCTTCCACCAAACCTTTGAGGGTCTTGGTCTGGGCTCGCGTCTCGCGCTTGTCCCTTGGCCCCGATCCAAGCGAAACACGCCATACTTCCTGGGATTGGCCTTTGGCATCTCCACCCCCATCGCCATCGCCATTGGCCTGGGTGTCCGCCAGAGTTATCCTCCCGAAGGACGAACTACACTTATTGTCAACGGCGTGTTCGACTCCATCTCCGCCGGCATCCTGATCTACACGGCCCTGGTGGAGCTGATGGCGCACGAGTTCATGTTCAGCACCTCGATGCGCAAGGCGCCCATCCGCGAAGTGCTAGCCGCCTTTATCCTTCTGTGCCTCGGAGCTGCCCTGATGGCGTTGCTGGGTAAATGGGCATAGACTCTGTTTCTTCTTTTATCTTGTTTCATGCCTCAAAAAGTTTGGGATGATGTTCATTGTGATTTATTATGGATCATGTGATACCCGCAGGGCAAACCTGGCTGCCGTCGACCGGCACACATATTCGGCGTTTAGACTCTTTTACTCCCATCACGGCGTCACGGGCGCTCTTCAATGTACTTAATTCAATAATCAGATCGAATCTGCTTATACCGTCTTATCTACGTAGAGAGTTTCACAAAAAAACATAAAGACAGATGCCCAGTAATCCCGGGAAATGTCCATAAACACGTTCGGGTTCAAGCTACATTAGAAATTAGTCTTTGAAGAACTTCTCACCCATCATCTAACCCTCCTTGGTGCCATGAGCAACCACCGACGAGACAACCCCATCATCCACATCAGCACGCAGATCATCTTCCCCCATAGCCTCATCCCACCCATTAGCAACCAGATAAGCCCTGAACCGCTCATCGCGCACACGCAGATCCTCGCCCGACAGGTCCGGCACAAAGAACCAGGTTACCAGAATACCAACAACACCGCAGATGGCGGCAATGATAAAAGTCCACCGATTACCCAGGTGTACTTTGATGGGCGTGAAAGCCTGCGTGCCGATCGCCGCACCAGCCTTGCCAATTGCTGCAGACAGTCCGTAGCAGGTACCTCGCACGCCGGTGGCGTATGATTCCGAGGAGAGCAAGCCGAGCATGTTGCCGGGGCCGAAGTTGCCGGAGCTCTGCATGAGGCCGTAGAAGATGACGAAGAGAGGGACGATCTTGGTTATGCGGTCGAAGGAGCAGCCGATGATCAGGCCGAAGACGAGATATCCGCTGAAGCCGATCATCATTATGTTCTTGCGGCCGACTCGGTCGCAGAGGATTGCGCCTAGGAAAACACCTGGGAGCGCGATTGCTCCGAGGAGGAGTTGCCATTCTGCGGTCTGGCGGACTGTTCCGTCGTGGACGACGGAGGAGATGATCGTTCCGGAGAAGACGCCGTTGGGGAAGGTGACGAAGTCTGTATAGGAATTAGCAACACGCTCGTGTATAGTTCGTGCAGGACGTACCGTAGAGGAACCAGGCGCCACAGGTCCCAATCAGTGACTTCCAGTAATATCTGAGAACCAGCTTGTAAGGGACATGTTTCTTGATTGCGCCTCGCCGGTAAAGCACAGAGTTGAGCATGCGAATCCGGAAGTAGAACACCGACAGTGGCCAGATGCACCCGATGCCGAAACAGACGCGCCACACGGTACTGTAGTGCGACTGGTGACAGGCCATGAGTACAATCAGGAAGATTGACACTGCGAACGGTCCGCCAAAGGACAATGGGAAATTGGTCACCATGATGAAGGCCGGGCCACGGTGCTTTGGAACCAAGTCATTGGCAGCTTCGGAAGCAGAAGTCGAGGATGCGGGATACTCTCCGCCGGTGCCTGTAAATATCAGTATTAGCTCTCATACATAGTCTGGCAGTACTTTGCAAGGACATACCGAATCCCACGATACCTCGCGCCACGGTCATCATCCAGAACATGCCGTCGATGGTTGCTCCATGCGACGCAGTTGCGAGAATGCCGCCGACGACAATCATGACAGTCGTAAAGACGATGGCCGTCTTCCGGCCGAGATAGTCACAGGTCAGACTGTTCAAAAATTAGACAAGTCATACGATCAGGGTCTCCTCGTCCTTACCCGATTACGACCTGGCCGATGATTTCGCCAATCAGCAGCGCATTAGACACGCGCGTACTGATGGCCGAAGTGTACTGCTTGGGGTACTCGGCCTTCAGAAGGACATTGGCCATGGTCATCAGGTTGTTCTGGTATCCATCGCTGATCAGGGCAAAGCCGCTGGCGAACTAGACAGCGGATCCCGTTAGCAAATGCTTCATAGTCCACGAGCCATGGAGAAGCCGGCATTGGGCAGACTCACGATGGTAAAGAGGTCAGATAAACTCTGTTGCTTCCTGGAGACCTCGTGCAAGGTGTTTCCCACCAAGTCCTTGCGCTGGATCTCAGTGGAGGTATCGGTATCAGCCTTGGCAACCATAGTCACAGAGTCCTCCGTCGCCATACTGTCTTCCAGGGTTGGTCCTCGGACGATAATGAAGGTGATGGATTCGGAGGGAAAGGAAGATGCGAGCACCCTTTCAATGTCAAGTGAAAATTTCTGCGGGGTTCATGGATACCCCTGTTCACTGGTGCCAGAACGTGCTAGCTCTACACGTGGGAGCGACTATTACGGACGCCTTCAGAGCAATTTCTCAAGTCGCCAACTTCAGAAATTCTTAAAGAGCCTTACGCTGTCAGTCTGGACCGATCAGCTCATTGCAGCGGTAGAACACCGTGTACCACCCCACGTGCCAATTCTATACGTTGCATCTTCACATTCACGATCCGATCACAGTCCAAAAGCACCCCGCCGCAACCGTGAAAAGTGGGTCTCACCGAAGTTCACTCCGCACCTCAAGTCCACGTTGTTCTTTCTCCCTTCACCCCTTATCCAACCATTTCCTACCAATTCACACAATGCGTCTCAGCGCCATCTTCCTTTCGCTCGCCTCCCTGGCCTGCGCCGCCGAGCTGGGCATCGATGTCACCCACAAGGTCGAGTGCACCCGCAAGACACAGAACGGCGACGGTGTCCAGATGCATTACCGCGGTACCCTGCAAGACTCTGGCAAGGAGTTCGACTCGAGCTTCAAGCGCAATGTTCCCCTGAGCTTCAAGCTCGGAACTGGCCGAGTTATCAAGGGGTAAGTTCCGTTCTTTGTTCTGTGGGTTGGTTTTCGCCGGAAGCAAGTTGGCTAATTTACCGTTGAACAGCTGGGACCAGGGTCTTCTGGACATGTGCATTGGCGAGAAGCGCACTCTTACTATTCCTCCCGAGTACGGGTACGGCGACCGCGGCGTTGGTCCCATTCCCGGCGGTGCCACCCTGATCTTCGAGACTGAGTTGGTTGGCATTGACGGTGTTGACAAGGATGAGCTGTAGAGCGGCTCCGGTACGTGAATGATATGGCACGATCAAGCCATCTACTACGACAGGGCTTTTGGTTATCTAGTCTATGAATCTTGGAATATACCCAGGGACGAGAACGAGTTCCATTGTGAACATGTCTCTATTATATGCGATAGGGTATCTCATCTAGTATCAGTAAGATTGTACAAGGCCTGCGGCCACAACAAATACACGGGATCTCAGGGAAGGGAACAGCCACGTCCCGCTCAATCCATCGCATCCAAAGCATTCTCGGTCTGGATATCATTCTCAGAAACCAGGATGCCAACGAGACACTCGCTGAGAATACCGTCCCAATTCACCCAGGGATGAATCTCCTGGAACAGCTGCGCCGAGTCCTTGCCTGCGCCGCGCAACAACTCTCCCTTTCCGCCCGGGTGGTAGGGGACGTAAGGTTGGATATTATACACTTTGCCCTGGTAGGAAGTCCACGCATCGCGGTCCTTACGCCCGTTCTGTGACTTCAGCATGGATGGTGTGACGCGCACCAAGCCTGGTGGTACACCTGCGCCTCGAAGCTGACTTTTCGGGTTCGCGGCCCGAGCGGCCCAATCGAGGGGTGAGTATCCCGGATCGAGGATGACTTTGCGAGAGGATTTCTTGAGACTGGGTGCTAGCGTGCTGTTGCTGAGGCCTCCGCCGTTTGATGGGACGCGGAGTCCTGCGGCGGCCGAGGGAGGGGGCATGAGCGAGCTCGCATTTGAGCGCGGTGGCTGAAGACCTGGCGGGGCTCTATTCGGCTGTGGTGTTGGTCGGAGACGAGGGACTGAGGGTGGTGGCATCAGGGAGGAGGTGTTTGCGGTGGGTGTGGAGAGTGTGGGTGGTTTTCGCGCCTGGAGAAGGGAGGGGGTTGTGAGGGACGGCGGCTGAGACTTGATCTCCGAGATCTGATCATTGCGGTCTGGCGATTGCTGCTTCGTGGATCCATTCATATTCTGCTGAGCAGGGGGATTTGTTGCGACACTCCGAGTGTCGCTGGTGCCAGGCTCTCCCTCCAGGTTCAGCACAGGAACTGCGAGTACAGGGGGCGGTGCGCTCGATGCCGAAGCCTTTGGAGTGGTCGGAGAGCTTTCCTCTTCTATTTCGATCGGTCGAGGGGTCGAGGGGCCTGTGACATGTTTCGTCGGCAGAGGCTCGGAGGGAGAAGCAGGCCGCGCTTGGGATCGGGGATCCGGTGGGGGGGAGTGATGATCGGGTGTCCAGCTGCGCGGAGGATAGCGATAGAGAAAGTAACCCGCGGTCGTGACGAGAGTCCCCACGCCAACCCAGCCCATGCCGGCCTAAATGATCGATGCAGAGAGAAGAAACCTCGGGGATGTTGTACTTGCATGAATCATTAATTGCTGCAGAACGGCTCCCGAGACATTTGGTCCGTGCGCTGCATCGACTCGAGAGATCTGCACGTCAGTCAATTGAACATGCGTCTGTTGAAGTCAAATTTGTAATGGCTAGTGAAATATCACACAACCTGCAGTCTATTTTTTTTTTCGTTCCAAAGTTTGGTCTTTGGAACAACAATAAATCAAGATAAAAACCAGTCAGGACTGTACACACTGTAGTATCTGCAGTGGGAACCAAGTTGGCGGACCAGGGCCTGAAGGCTCTCCGCTAGGCACCTCGAGGAACCAGGGCGGTGCCCACTCCAACCAACTTTCGGCGTAGTCAACATTATATTGACGAGGACCTAGAGGTCAAGGCTAGTGATAAAGCAGTCCCGGATGGTTGTTTTCTAGGCTGAGGTTGTCAATCCTAGCGTCCTGTACGGCCGAAAGGCCCGCTTTGATTCTATTCCAGAATTCTTGGATTGGTACGCTAGTTGGCTAGGCCATCTAGATTCACGAGGGTTGCTTTCTCTGCGCCGCCACGCTGTAGGCTGCGAGTCGGACTGCAAGTCAGACTGGCAGCATCATGCCACAAGGGCTTATGCAGAGAATTTCTAGTCCAACAGCTTGCTCCCAAGACTTAGATTGGTCTCATTACTGTCTCTTTTTTGTCAAGAGTGGCAGAGGAAATCCGGTACGTAGGCACATTGGCATGCGTCTGTTCGAGTAAAATATATTTGAGGTTCAAGATCAAGAAAAAGCTAGGTTTGGTGTTTCATTCCAAGGTTCATCTGAACTACAGACGGATCTTGGTCAAATTTGCGCATTATTAGATACGGTCAGCTAGTCTCGGTTTGCCCTTGGAGAGAATAGCCCGTGCATGATGTCAGTACGCCATCACCATCAGACGGCGACGGAACTCGGAGTAATTTTGCCAGCACAATGTAAAACTATCTGCGGGATTATTCGAAACGGTGCCTGCTCATCGATCTCGGAAGCTGTGAGGAATAACATGCACCGGGACACACTCATGTCTCCATCCGATGCCGTCTTGCTCTTTGATGCTGGAGCAGGTCAAGTCAGGGCCCAGACCTGAATTAAAAGATCCCATACTGATCGTCGTCAGCGCAGGCCCAAGGAAGTAGAAAATTCCAGGAGGACCGGCATGTATTGATTCGACCGGGTCAGTTTCTTCCAGAAATGAAGGATACGTTTGCATATTTTGCGATATTCGATGGACAGTACGTCACGAAGACTCCGAACTTGGAACCGTCTGACTTGCGGTGTATAGTGGTTCCAGTCTGGTAGCAGATCATGCCACAGAGAACCTGCATAACCTGCTGGCCCAACGACCCGAGCTCAAAAAGGGAGAATATGCTGCAGCCATCAAGGGCGCTCTGGCGGACGAGGACGCCCTCCTGTTGGAGAGCTTCAAGTACGACTCTGCAGAGCCCGCGCTTTCCGGATCCACCGTGGCCCTGTGCTTGATAAACCTCACACGGGGCGAGCTGATTGTCTCCAACCTGGGAGACTCACATGTCATCCTGGCCGAGCGCGATCCTAAAACGGAGATGCCCTATCACATCGTGCGCAGTAAATTCACCGTTGAAGGTCACAGTCGGCTGACCAAGGTACCAGCGACGACTCACTCGGGCGCACAAGCCCGAGGCACCCGATGAACTGTCACGCATCAAAGAGGCTGGGGGAACGGTCGAAATGCGGAGCGGGGTCGCTCGGTTAGGTGAGTCCGGACAGTTCCATTGGTCCGGCAATGTACATTAACTGCAGAACGTAGGATCCTTGAATATGTCCCGCGCTCTGGGCGATTTGCAGTACAAAACACCGGTGAACACCGTCCAGGAAGACGACTGGATCTTCGGGGCCCGACGGGCCTCGTCGTCATCTACGCCCGTTCGCGGGGACTTCCTGTCGAATGACCCGTATACTTCACGACGCACGTTGCAGGAAGACCGGCGCTACCTCCTGGTAATCGTATCGGATGGAGTCACCGACTACACCGACGACGCGGGCCTGATTCGGCACGTGATGAAATTGTCGATGCGGGGGATGAGAGCCAGAGACGTCGCGCAAGACGTCGCCACCAAGGCCGGCAGTCATCCGAGAAGCGACAATACCTCGTGTATCGTGGCTATGATAGACGGGCAGCGATCGTGAGATCCAAGGGCATTTGGAGTACTTGGCATTCATAGATAGAATCTCAAATGTTTGTAGTCCCGAAATAGATAAGACTCCGAGACCCACCGCAATTGTGTTATGCATGCCCACTCACGGTCGCCGAGCGGTTCCCTTTATTTCCTGAACCGGAAGGTGGTTGTGCTGTTCGGGTCCATAATTTGGTGCACGAATTTTTTGGTAGCAAGAGATCCGATGCTCGCCACGGCTGACCCTGTAATAACCTGCCTTGCGGTGGCGTCCTACCTCGTCCTCGCGTACGAGGGGTCATTTCGTAGCATTGTTCGTGGTACTTCGTTCCGCATCGACCCGTTATCGTCGCTCAACCGTACTGGGAATTCCCCTAGAAATAACGTAGACATCAAAAGGAAGATCTATCTCCCGGTTAGTCGCGATCGGCTTTTTTAAATGTTCCACGTGGACCCGCTCGACCAACATCTCTCCACGATTCTCGATTCGAATGAAGCAGGCGGATAAGAAGTCGCTTAACTTGGTCGCTTTGGACCGCCCCTGCTCCACCCATCTGCACGTCTGGGCTACGGAACCCCAGAGGCTCAGTCAGGAGTTAAAAAGTACTCTCAGTTACAGTGCTTATCCCTGTCACGCCCGATTAGGAAGGCGATAGAACTCGGTTCACGAGTGGAGATCCCTTGGAGAACAAGCAATGAGTAAGATCCGAAACTATCCACCTTCCAGAACGGTCAACCCTGAAGAGAATCTTGGTTTGCCTGGACCTCTGGACCTCGATACTAGAAATTCCCTTTTAAGCCGTGGCTTTTCTTTGTTTGTCACACGTACACTTCACCCTTTCGCTTGCTCCCATGATTTCTACGGAAACTCGTACCAAATCTTCATCTCGCACTATGGCTCCGGCCTGGAACAACTTCCACGTTGGAAGAGATTGCGGCCATTGCAAATGGTCCCGGAAAATTGCGCCCAAGTTGACTGTCTCATCCGGCCAGACTGTCACTTTTGATGCCATCGACAGCAGCAACGGCCAGCTGAACCCGGGCTCCGACGCCTCTGCCATCAAGTCCCTGGATCTCGAACTTGCCAACCCGGTCTTTGGTCCCATCTACGTCGACAATGCTCAGCCCGGTGATGTTCTCAAGGTCGAGGTCTTGAACCTCGAAGTTGCCGACTGGGGCTGGTCCGCCATCATCCCGGGCTTTGGTCTTCTGACCGAGGACTTCCCGGAGCCCGAGATCAAGATCTGGTCTCTCGACCGTGAGAAGGGTTACGCTCAGTTCAAGGACATGCGGATCCCTATCCGTCCCTTCCTCGGATGCATGGGGCTGGCCCCCGGCAATGACGACGAACTGTCAACCGTCCCGCCCACTCATCACGGTGGCAATATGGACTGCCGCGAGCTGGGCGTCGGTTCGACCGTCTACCTCCCCGTCCAGACTGCTGGGGCCTTCTTCAGCTGCGGTGACGGACACGCCGCCCAGGGTCACGGTGAAGTTTGCGGCACCGCCATCGAAACTCCCATCCGGGCAACCCTCCGCTTCGAAGTCTGCAAAAACCAACCCTGGGTGACGACGCCTCAATACCAGACTCCCCCGCTGGCGCAAATAGCCAACCCTCTCCCGGACCTTGGAACCTACGGCGTGCTCGGCGTCTCGCCTGATATCTTCGAGGCTGCGAAGATTGCCACCCACAACCTCGTTCAATGGCTCGTCTCGACCAAGGGACTCACTCACAGCGAAGCCTACATCCTGGCCAGTGTGGCTGCAGACTTGAAGATTGCTGAAATTGTCAACGTTCCCAACTACGAAGTGGCCATGACCCTTGAGTTGGGCATTTTTAGCAAATAGAACGCTTCGAGGGGTTGGAAGATGTGGACTTTTGTGTGGTGGTGCATGGCGTTGATACCCAGTCCTGCTGACTTGCCTTCTTCTATTTTCATATTGTACATATTGTGATGTGGCTTCAGCGCTGTGTCCAGCATTTCCTGCATGGAGGCCATATGCTCTGGAGTATTGGCCCGGTGATGGTTGCGTATAGGGTATACCTAAGAACATACTATTGAGAATGCATAACCCATATCTAATTTTATTTTCATTGCCATCGGCCTCTCATTAACTGGGAATTGGAAAGTGAGATTGGAAAGTAGTGTTTTCCAAGTTGTGTATCCACTATATAACTGGGACAGTGGCCGCTGCCGGACAATGCTTCCTGCATCCAATCTTCATCCACAACTTTTCTTCTCATAAATAAAACACTGACGATTTGGTTGAATGTCACTCAGAAGAATTTCGAGAGCAACATTGACCACTGTCATGGATACTTCGTGAGAATAGAGGTCACATGACACCGCGCGTTGGCGCGTCTCACTCTTGGCGAACCTTCAATCCACTTTGGGACAAGCAGGGCCCTCGAGATGTCATGGATCCCATTCTCGATGGCCTCAATACTGCCCAGCGGGAAGCGGTTACCTCGTCCGCACCAATCTTGCAGGTCCTCGCACCACCGGGCTCCGGCAAGACCAAGACGCTGACAGCACGCGTCGCGTATCTACTTTCCCACCACGGATACCTACCCCAAGATGTCATCTGTTGCACTTTTACCATCAAGGCGAGCCGTGAGATGCGTGAGCGTCTGGCCAAGCTTATCGGTGAGCGCTTGGAAAGTCGGCTAATTCTGGGTACCTTCCATTCTATTTGTCGGAGGTATCTGGTCAAGTATGGCTATTTGATTGGTCTGAGGAAGGGGTTTGGTATTGCAGATTCGGATGACAGTCGCGCTATCTTACGGGTGGGTTTCTAAGTTTGAAATGATTGTGCTTTCGTGTGGTGTTGTTAATCCCGCTGGCAGAGAATCATCAAACGCTTGAATGCTACTATTGAAGTGAAGACTGCCCAAGGGAAGATCTCCCGCCACAAGGCTCACGGGCTCTCCCCGGATGCCTTGGCTGAACGTGTGAAAGCAGAGGAAATGGAGCTGGTTGATATCTACCGCGCATATCAGTCGGCGCTGGCGGATTCAAATCTCCTGGACTATGATGACCTGCTAGTTCGCTGTGGAGATCTTCTTAGGGAGCACCCTGAATGCGTGTCAAACGTGCAGACTGTCTTGGTCGATGAGTTCCAAGATACCAATATCATTCAATATGACTTGATGAACCTATTTGCGGCGCAAAACCGACGTATCACGATCGTCGGCGACCCCGACCAAAGCATCTACGGGTTTCGGTCAGCGGAGATCCAGAACCTCAGACGCATGCAGCGGCGATACTCAAATACGTCGATCGTATTGCTCGAGTCCAATTATCGTTCGTCGGCATCCATCTTGAAGTCTGCCCAGGGTGTGATCGAGCAGGATACGATGCGGCCGGCGAAGACGCTGCAGGCGACCCACTCTTTTGGAACTTTGCCTGTGCTCAGAAAACTGCCGACAGCCAATGCAGAGGCCCACTGGATGGTGCTTGAGATCAAAAGAGCCGTTGCGATGACAGGTGGTCTTGTGCGAATGTCTGATATCGCGATCCTGCTCAGATCAACCTCGTTGTCAACACGGATTGAAACTGCATTCGGGCGAGCCGGTATCCCTTATAAGATGGTCGGAGGCCGAAAGTTCTTTGACCGGACGGAGGTCAAGACCTTGGTCAACTATCTCAGGGTGGTGAGCCATACAGGGCATGCAGATGCACTGCTTGGGATCATCAACGTTCCACCTCGTCGAATCGGCGACGAGACTATAAGGCAGTTGACCGGCGGTGCAGACAAGGCTCAAGTTCCGCTATGGAATTTTATTAAAGACGTGATTCAAGGTCGCCGGTCGACGGAGAAGAAGTTGCAAAAAGCAGCAGAGCAAGGTCTCTGTTCCCTGGTGAAGCTGATTGACGCTGCCAAACAAAAATTACAGGACTGTCCAGACGCATCCGCACCATGCGTGCTCCTTGAGCACATCACAGAAAGTCTGTCCTTCCAGGAATATCTCATCAAAACCTACCCGTTAGACGAAGACAGTCGCTGGGCGAATGTCAAGGAATTGATGGGCCAAGCCAATGATGCCGCCGCCTCCGCTGGGGACGTGGCCCAGGAGGAGGACCTCCCTGAAATTGAAGGTGTTGAGCAACAACAATCGCATCCCGGTGAAGAGGCCCTCTCCAAATTCTTGGCCAACGTTGCTCTGGCCACAGAGGCCACCAAAGAAGGCGATATGGAGACGGAGAAGGTCACAATTTCCACGATACACGCAGCCAAGGGTCTCGAGTGGCCCGTCGTCTTCATTCCAGCTGTATACAACGGGAGTATCCCACACTCAAGGGCCGAGGTAATCGACGAAGAGAGACGGCTGCTCTATGTCGCCATGACCCGAGCGCAAGCTCTGCTATACCTGAGCCTCCCTCTACGGCAACCCCGACTCGGCGAGGGAGAAGATGGATCGACCAGTTTGACGCCATTTCTGACACCCAAATTGGTCAAAGATCGTTTTCGTCCGAAGGGGCCCCAATTGCACGAGAAGGTCGTATATGCGATTGCTGATATACTGCGACGGCCACGTCCCACTCCCGACGATATGTACAAGGAACTCAATTCACTCCCATCCACTCTGGACGATCGATGGACGTCCGAGGGTGAGGAGAGAAAGGACGCGGATGGGCAATGGAAGGACGCGATGGGCCCCAACGACGAGGCCAAATCGAACCCTAAACGGCGACGGCTTGATTCCAACCAGCCAACTTCTACGACCTACATGTCAGCGAGCAGCCTGATGAACAACTCGTCCAACTTCCAAGTCTCTACAACGCTCTCAACGGGGTTCCTGTCCGCTCGGGATTACGCGGCCACCTCAGCAGCAAGTCAGGAACCAGTCACTAAATCTACACCAAATGCTGTCCCCGAACAACCCATAACCAAGAAGGCATCCAGCACCGCCAGCCGCAAGGACGGGCTGACCCAAGCCAGCATCTCAAACTTCTTTGGCGGACCGGGATCTTTCCAGAAACGTGAACCCATCCCAGCCAGCCGACCGTCTATTCAATATCCTCAAAGCAGTTATCAGACAGCCCAGACGACACGTCCGGGACCAGCATTTGTTCCGCCGGCGCTGACCTCGCACCGTCTCCAGCCACGGCCCCTTCAGCCAAGCCGGCCAGCCCTAGAACCCGCGCAGCCGAGCAACTATACGTGGATGGCGGCTCCGTCCCGCCCAGCCGTGAAACCCGCGAGGATGCTGACGCAGCCTCCAAATGGAAACAGTGCAGTGGAGGCAGAGACCAAGTCAGAAGAGGCGAAACAGGAGAGCTCCACCGGCATCCAGTCCGTAACGTTTAACACGACGACAATGGCGAGTTTACAACAGCAGGGCGGGCCAGGGCGTCGGACGCTGGGGATTCGGCGGAGTATGAATGGATGGGAGGAGCGGATGAAGCGGGAGGGTGGTGGCCAAGTGCGGTAGACGGGTTTTAGAACTGGGAGTAGCTTCAAGGGGTCAAGTGATCCACGTCTCGCAGCCTCATTATTTTGCAGACATTGTATTTTTCTATTTTTATTTTATTTTTTTCGGCTACGTGCCCGAAATACGTGACCAGTGACTACCTAGGAAGGAATCTCGATCGGAGAGAGAACAGTGACGCAGATGCGAATGCGAATGCGTGTTTTATACCAGATAGGGAGAGGATAGAGGAAGGCGAGGTCAGGCCAAAAGGGCGATCGGGAAGCATCGATTGGCGAGACCACGCATTAACTGCAATGATCAACCGCGAGGTCCAATGGATCGCAGACAGTCGTCATGATTCGGCACCAGGGGAGAATCTGGACCGGAGTGGAGTCGTGAGTCGGTGAAGCTCTCCCCCTGGATCATTGACATCACGTATACCTTAGGGGGTTAGCTGACTATCGTGCCATTGACGCAGGAGGGCATCCCTGGTCACGATGATTGGCGAGCAGGCCAGGGCAGCGGTGAGGCTGAGGAATCTTGAGCTCATAGCTATTTCTGGACATGTCTTTGCCCGAGGGAGTTAGTCGAGGTAACTGAAGTAACCGGTTCGGCACGTCAAGAATGGCTGACTCAGCCCGTACGGTGTGTACCGCGATACCAGCTGGTACGGTCACCAAGGCCGCGACTGGCTGCCCTGCGTTCGGTCCTGGCTTCATCACCAGCCGAGTGAATGGATCTATGTAATACCAGGCACCCGATACGAGGGCGATCCATTCCCGGTCCGGTGCAATCCATACGTAGTCTACTCGTTCCCCGGAGTCGATCAGATCCCTCAATGGGGAATGGGCTGGAGTATACAAAAAGGTCCCGGTTCCTGTCCTGTCCTATACATCTACCTCGACATATAATATTCCCCTTCTCTTATAGAATCTCGTTGCGAGCAGTTCAACACTGTCAAGCCATTCGAGACTACCATCGTTCTCAGCCGCAACTACTTTGCTCCCTACTCCTTCCTATATAATACCTCCATTTCACCATGCCACACAAAGTCAACAACGACTCCAATTCCACCCTCGCAAGCAGAGGCAGCATCGGTGACCCAGTGGTCGCTACCGAAGTCAGAAGTGAGTCCCAACCCTTGAGAAGGGACCCGGTCGATCTCTACATTCGTGCTAATACGCGCTCACCAGCCTCCAATCCCGTCCGGAAACCACCCGTCATCGTCCACAATAGAGGCGGCCAGATCTACGACGAGACCCGGCCGTCCGACTGGGATAAACAACGCTGGAAATAGTCCGGCAGACGAGTCCTCCGAAGCAGCAGCAGCAGCAGCAGCAGCAGCAGCAGCAGCAGCAGCAGGCCCCCAGTCCAGTCCAGTCCAGTCCCAGTTCGGTTGGGGCGTCCCGTTTATCCGCGCGTCTCCAGATCCCTGCCAGTTATACGAACAACGGAACCAAGCTGAGCAAAAAGTGAGGCGGCGATCGACAAGAATACCGAGTGCCATTCAACTGCATTTCGTTTTTTCCCTCAGTGACGAATACTCGCGCAACCCGGAGCTTCGATGGCTTTCCCCCCCCCCCTTTTTTGACAAAAAAACCCTCAAATGAAGGGATGCGCGCTATCCGTCACCGGCCCCGATCACCACCCCTGACCCAGATTGGGCCTGGGCCTCCCTAAGGTCCTGGTCCTTGCCAACCTGACTGCTTCCTACCTGCTGCCTCCTGTCTTCTTTTTTTACGGGCTTGGCCTGCCCCGGACTTTTCGTGCTTGAACGCTGGGGAAAGAAAGTGGGACCCTCCCCATTCTTGCATTGATACTCTTTGCCCCCCCTGCTTGCGGCCCTTGTACCATTATCCTCATTCTCTGGAGTTTATTCTCGAGTGCGGCGTTTCTCTGGTGTTTCCTTTACTAACCCTGGCTTGTCTATCCGAGGCTACAGGGTGGTGTTTTCTTTTCTTTTCTTTTCTTTTCTTTTCTTTTCTTTTCTTTTTTCTTTCATCAGTCTATACGTCTCTCTCCCCTCTTTACCGCCTCTCTTGGGAACATCCCAGATAGCGGTAACACGTGTCATATTATCATTAAACGCATACACCTGGCAGCATCGGCTGCAGGCGATACAGCGGCTTTCACCCTTGGATTTCTTTTTTTTTTTTTTGGGTTTTCTGGTGAGGGTTATGCATAGCGATGGGGAAATCCTGGGATCTTGTTTCAATTGAGCGAATTTGTATTCAAATGTGTGCTACTTCTCCACACCTTTCAATAATATCCGAATTCTCAAACATACTTTGGCGCTGTTCTGCGGTAATTTGAAGGTTCCGGGCGTGGTCAAGTGATCATTGGGAACTATTTACTTTCTACTCTTTTTGGATGGTCCACGTCTCCAGTTCCTAATGGAGGTGATTGGTGGTTGTGGAGGCGGGTGGGCGAGCGATCCGTGGTTGCATTCAGTGGGTCCACCAGGACCTTGAATGAAGTCTTTTGGGAATTGAGAAGTATACAACGGCCGAGGAAAGAAAAAGGCCCGTTGGTAAGTAGGTTTGATTGCTAGTTGTTGTGGGAAGCGGTTGGATGTTTCGAAGTTCTTGGGTGTAGTTTGCTGTGCAGCTGGCAGAGCAGAGCGTCTGGGCTTGGTGGGTCGTGTCGAGCTTGCGGCCAACCTCCCGTGTCCAATTTATGCGTATAGAGCCGGGCTGTCCTCGGTCTAGTGCATCCCGTGGGGTGTGCCTATGAGGAAGAGAGTTACCATGTACGGGAGCCCAATTCCAATGTTGGACGTGGCAACTAAGCAGGGGGCTATGTATATATTTGGTGAATTGCAAGGACCTCGGCATATTGGTAAACCGTTTGGCATATATATCAACCTGTCGAACCAGGGACCAAGACCACCTCCGAGGCTTCAACGATTGATTGGATTTATTTACAGCGACAAGTATGGATATTCCACGGTTAGAAGTTCACTCCAAGGTTTGGAATATAGGGGCCGCGCAACATGAACAATCGGAAAAACTATCTACAATTTCTCACCCGGGCGGGACGGTTTTAGACATGCAACCCTGGAGATCCCAAGACTTATTTGTGACATCTACAGGCTACAGTTGGAAAAGTTTCCACAGAATTGGATATCATTCGTGGGCCATGTGGCAGTCTCGAATCCACACAGAAATCAAAAAGCACCTTCCACCGCACTCGCACAGAAGCGGAGTGAACAGCGAAGGGCCATGTTCGGACTAGGTACACAAAGAAGGGGTGCAAAGGGGGTTGTTTCAATCTCAGGTCTCAGCCTTCGGTTCCCCAGGAGACCGCAATGTTATTTTTTGCAGGTTTTTGCTCTTTTTTTGCTTTTTTTGTGGCCTGTGACCTATCTGCCGCCCTCCCCGGACAGAGAGTTGAAGAAGGATGGCAAGATAGTACACTCCAATTCCTCGCAAGGATGAAGTGCAAGGCTAGACACATTAAAGGCTTTTTTTTTTCTTCGGGGAAAGGGCTGGGGTTGGGGTGCTGTGTGACAGGGGGTCGAGGCAGCGGTGCTGCTAATGATCGTAATGAGTGGGTTGGGTGATGCAAAGGCGCAGCGCCAGCGGGCGCGCAGCAAAGACAAGAAGTTATCGGAGGAAATATGTTTGTTTTTCCTCGACAGATGCGAAGTGAAAATGTGTGGTGTAGGGGGGAACAACACGATGCAATCAGGATGACAAAAATCAGAATGGCTCGCTCTTGCAATGCTATGTGGAAAATGAGAACAAAATGCAAATGATGACCCAAAAACGATCGGGGCACGAAGGAGAAGGGTATGCAATTTTTGGAACAAGAAGAGAAAAATGGGTAGTGTCGACTCCGGTTCTGCAGACCGGAGCCGATATGCAAAGCTTTCAAGGGATGATTGAAGATGGTCAAGTCGAGGGATGACACTGGGTCGACGGGGCGAAGAAGCGCATGGCGGATTAGAGTTGTATTAGGGGGTAGTGCCGAACCAACGCAAAAGCAGACGCTCCTTCTATGCGGTCGAGAAGAAAAGAAAAGGCGCACCAAGAATATGTGCAAGACGCCGAAACACTTTTGGGCTAATGCTGCTTCTTCTGCTGTCCTTTTCCTTTAAATCCCACCGACATACGTCGGGTCCACTGCCATCTGAGGCTGCGGGAACTGCTGTAGTTGCTGCTGCTGCATATACATGGCCTCCTGCTGGTAGGTATCGGTGGCCATGTATTGCATCTCGGCATCAGGAGTTGGTGATGGAGAGCAGCCGGGCACAGTGGGGACACCTCGGCTCAGGTCATGGTTATTCATTTGGGCCTGAGCAAACCCTACGTTCTCTGGTGTGATAGGCGGGGTGAGGTATCCGTGTGGAACGGCAATCAACTGCGAAGACTTCTGAGGGGTGGCAAGGCCCATCTCCCCGTTGTACGGCTTGGACTCCACTGGAGTCTCGACCGGCGGGGTGCAACGGGCATAGTTAGCCAATGAAGCCTGGCGGCTGAGGAAGTGCTCCAGGACCTTGGAGACCCGCGAGTAGTGAGCCGAGGCATACTTTCGGGCAACGACAGTAGAGGGCTGGTGAAGCTGCTGGGACAAGCCAACAAGAGTCATCGAGTCATACTGGGCGGCCCAGTCGCTGTGACGAGGCTGGGGTCGGTTGAGGATGCAGCGCGACAGAGCCAATGCAGCTCGAGCGAGCTCAGACGAAGGCTTAGAGACAAAGTCACGGTGGAATAGAGCAATCTCCAGAATGTACAGAGCCATGTGCTCCACCTCAGGGTCGTAGACCTCGTCAAGAACCGCAATCTGCAGAAAACTGTCCACAGTCGGGTGGCCAATGGTCCAGCCAAGGGTCTGAAGAACGTGCCACTCCATTTGGATGAACATGTCGTCATCGTAGAGGGAGCAGCACATCGACTTCAGTTCCTTGACAGTGGGAACACGATCCTTCTTGTCATTGTACTTCGCAGCGATGAGGATAGCTGCACAGCCAACCAACTGATAGTGACGCTTGTAGACCACACGCTTGGAGCAGTAACGATCCAAGAGGTTGATGGCCAGGAACAATGTCGACGGCAGGAGTTGGAATGCAGTGTGGGCCTCGATCAGGAAGTCAAGGAGGTACGGACGCATGAACCACTGAATCTCGGTTTGGATATCGATCGACTCAACGTCCGGGAGCGTTTGGCCCTAATGGTAGTGATAGTCAGCATAATGTATATAGGTCCAGTCAAGACCGGCGACGACTTACATCCATCTCCAGCATGTGGCTCAGGACATCATCCCGAAGCTCTTCGCTGGTGAGTCTAGACAGTTGATCCGCGATAGCATATTGCCGCTCACGAGCAACGAGTTTCTCGTGCTCCTGTTTGGCCTGCTTCTCGGGACGAAGACGATAGTCATCCTCCACGAAGAATGTCTCACAAGGCTGGAAGCCAGATCGAGGACGAAGGTAATCCATGATTGCGGAAGGTTCTTGAGTGTTGACCGTGAATGAGGGGCGAGAGTTGATTAGCTTTGCTGAATACCGAATGAAGGGACCTGAAGAGCGGGGGCTGATCAGGTAACGACGGAATTAAGAGAATGACAGTCGTCGTAAATTAGTTGGTGAAATGAATGACTGGAGTTGTAGTTGGTAACGATTAAGGAGTGGACACCAGCGTCGAGACAAAAGTCTTGCTGGGAAGAGAGCCGGAATGCCGGGAGGAAGTCTTCAAAAAGTGAAAGCTGTAGGTAGGAATTGACGTATTAGTGGACCGGTGCCGAGATTAGGAATTAGAATTAAGAGAAAAGCGTGAAGTATGACAAGTGAGTGAGGTGAGGTGAAGGAAGAAAAGACGAGATGGAAGAGCATTTGATATCAAGTGCCGGCGGAGAAGGGTGGTCAACTCCTTCGGAGAATACTAACCCAGTAGAAAGCCTTCGGGCAGAGGGCACAATGCAACCCTTACCGTACCGGCGATGGCATCTAGGCTAGGCAAGAACGCAGGAATGGATCCGGTGAATTAAGATTCTGGTGGATGCCAGTCCAGGAGATGAAGCACGAGTGAACGTCTTCACCCCTAGGGCCGGGTGTACTAGCGGAATGTGGAGTGCAGGACACAGGACGACCCTATGTAGGGGGGAGGGACCAGATCGTCAGGGGAGGGGACGGGCAACAGGAATGATCATGACATACACTCCACGAGTTAACGTGTTCTGAATGAACCTCCAAGCGGATTGAAAGGGAGACTGTGAGAAGGGTCGTTCAACGACTCTCAGATGTCATCCAGAAGGAACGGGACGACGGTCAAAAAGTCTTGGAAAAAACCTGAATTGAGAGGGAAAAGTCAGTCAGTCATTCCCACTCAGAGTGACAGTCAATGGCATGTGTTGCCCTGGCGTTGATCATCGAACCCCCTCGGCATGTCCAACCCCCAGTAGAGGACTTCATGACCCCTTAATTCGACCCATTCAACCCATTCAATCCCAGGTTTAAGAGAGGACGACAGTTGAGACTGATAAACAAGCCAAGCCCTAGGAGAACATGGCATTGGGACGCTGGAAAGTGCATTCCGCAGCGTTTTCCACTCGAATATCATTTTCCCTTGTCCCCTGCCACTGTCCACCCAGGACCTTCAACTTGTGCCGTGAACTCCGCAACTACCGGAGCTCAATATGCATTCTCGGCGTTGATAACATGGGATGAATAGCACCTCGGCGTCTTGGGTCTGGAGTATTCGGATATTGGGCAAACGGAGGCCAGCTTGAACTGGTGGTCTCCGGAATCGACCCTTTTTTCCCTCTCAGCCCACAAAACTGCCTACGGCAATATCGACGTCTCCAATCCATCCTCCTCTATACCTCCCGTCGAGGGTATACGGGTATCGATGACAGCCGAGGGATTTCAAGATTTCGGGCCTGGACAACCCAACCACACTGCACACCCCCAAAATTTTCACCACTTACCAAACTATCAGGCTCGAAATCAATCAAAAGACGAAAACGGAGAGTTTTCGTATCATTCGAAGAGAATCCGAGATGATGTCCTCACACTGTCGCTCGTCTAGCCGGCAGGAGCTGGATCAGGGAGGGATTCGTCGTGGGGTCCGGGGATCGGGAAGGCACCGGCGGACAGGGACGAAGGGTTCGCCGTTTGAGCTAACAAACGTCGAGTTGAGGAGGATCGTCAAGTTCGAGGAGGGGGATTCGACTCGACCGGAGGGAGGGCTGAAGGAAGTGATTCTCTCAGCCGGACTCTCCGTGCTCTCCACTAATTGGCAAGGGGAAGAGAAAAGGGAAGAAGAAAGAGTATAGAAGAAGAGAAGGGAGGGAGGAGGGAGTACAAGGAGGAGGAATTTGGATTCTCTCTCCAGGCGGGTGTGGGAAAGAAAAGAAGAAGAGAGAGCTGAGACAAAAGACACGGAGATACCAGCAGCTTAGCTGTGTGGTACCGTCATAACGAGGTTTCCGGGTGGAGGCTGAATGTATCGAGGTATTACGCCGACGTATTGATGGTAAGGGAGGCGGGGGTTTAATTTTGACCTGTCCCTGGCCCTGCAAGGACGAGCTGCACCACTGACGGGTTTGAAACCCTCAATCTACGAGTTCCGCCGCGGTTTCGCATATGTATCCCATCCGTCAAGGGCTACGGGTGGTGGTGTGTGAAGCTGTCGCCTTGTGCCCTCAGGGCTAAACTCCACGTATTGAACCACGGTTTACGCCGGCCTCCACTCTCGACCTCACCAGGGCGGAGCAGAACCGGGATTGGTGTCGTACTTCACAGGTAAGACCGGGAATAAAAATAACGATTTGCATATCAAGGTTCCAGCTCGTTGGAAATTGGTGTGTTTCTCTTTCCAGTTTTCCACCCTGCTGGTGCGGTTCAGGAGTGACGGCCTGTGCCCGGAGTGGCCCTTGCTCGCGTGGCAAACGGGCCCATTACACGCTCCCTTTACTTCCTGAGGTTGGCGATGTATCAACGAGGGCAGGAATAAAGACAAAGCGATTCAATAACCGGAGACTGTTCTTATCACCGGCAATGCCACGACGGCCAGCAATTAGAGTTGCCAGTGTCGCGTTGTCAACCATTGGGTTTTGCGTATCTGAGTACAGTATCTGGGTCTGCCGCGACCCAGTCATTTTGCTCCGCATACACTTCGTGCCGAAGCACAGTATTCTGCCAGCCCGACTGGCTCACGATTTCTCGAAAATCACCCAATTTTGATATCCGTCCATATTTCACGTCTCTATTCGCCATGTCCTTGTTTTCGACTGTGATTTACCCATCCGTCGTAAACCCAGCAAGGCATTTTACTTTGCACCTCTCCAGCATATACTTTATTAGTTCCTAGAGTGGTGGTAGATACCCGTCTCGTTGAAACGGTACAAGGGGGCCCTACGATCGACTCGCATGCAAATCGACTCCCGTTGGCTCGTCATAGATGGCCCCCTGGGCTGCTAGCGCTGTACTGGGCCTGAATGGTTCACCCGTCCAGCCCTCTTGGCCCCTCCGATACGCCCGCGTTCCAGGGCCTTCTGCCGCCTATGTTGCCTGACTGGCCAGGATGGCCCTGGACTGCCTTCCCCTTTCCCCAGCCATTCGTGTCCTTCAGCTGGTGGATACTCTCTGTGGCTTCCCTGGACCCGAGCCTCCTCGGTCTAGCAGGGATCTCATCTCGCCTGCGTTTCCATGTGGGGGACGATTCGGTCGCAAAAGCAAGTTCTCTCTCGGGCTCGGAGCAGCCAGTGGCTCCTCGTTCCCCGATTCTTTTCCATGGTACTCGACTCGATTGAATTTACTTTGTTCGCGTTCCTCCGCGTCACCGATCGATTTACGCGGACTCAGCTCATCCCGTCCTCTCGAATTGCGCGTTATCCTCGGTTTGGTCGCACACGCGACGATTCCTACGTGAGACTACCCCCCCTCCGTCTTGGCAGCCTGTGAGACCCGACGGATGCACTACTTTGTCCCCGTCCTCGCATCCCCAGATAAGGTTTGCAATAAAGAGATGTCTGGATCGACTCCCCCTTTTCCCATTTCCAGAAGGTCATCAAATGCACGGCTGCACTCCACAGGCATACAGGCACACAAGGGGACATGCGACGTCTTGCTCACCTCAGTCAAAACCCAGCCAATAGATCACGATTGCGATGGCTAATGCTGCGACTCGGAGCTTTACATGAGGTCCCCTTGCTTGAACCCTTAACGGACGCTCTGTAAGGTCAAAGGGTGTTAAACTCTAGCTACTCATCCATCTCCGGGGACTCCACAGTCGATGGACGTTTATGCGACTCGGCCGTTTTTGCAATGAAGACGTGAGATCATTCCGACAGGCACGATTAATCAACCGCGGGACTGGATCGACGGCGCAATATGCTCCGCTCCGTACTGTAACGGACCATGCAGCTCGCTTCCTAAACTCGCCCGGGTATGCGGACCAGAAGGTGATTGCGCAGAATGGAGACATTTATTTCCATTTCCCTTAACTAGAACATTGCAGATCTCGAACTGTCTCCACTCGTCAAATGCCTCGTGGGTGATTGAAAAAGGGGGAAAGGCGAGCGTGTTGCTTATCTCTACCGTAACCTCAGGCTGTACAACCTGACCACGTAAGGGACATTCAGGTGGTGATAGTGATGGACATGGTTAGAATGCAGAGGTAGATCGCAAATATAACCCACGGCCCATTGCAGGAGCCGGCGCCTCTGACAGTGTTCAATGGTCGAGATTTGTCTCCTAAGCATGCCAGGGACTTTCATAACGATCCTCATACCCCCATGGGCAACCTTGTCGTTTCTGTCCTGTTGCATGTCCAATAGTCGGAATACCTCAGCCCTTGGAATGTATCATTTCGCAAAGTTCGGCATATTCGCCTTCAAACACGGTCTAGCATAAGTCTTTCCTCCAGGAATCTGGCTCCATGCAGTGTCTGGCGGGTCAAGTTTTAACAATCTAGCGGACGGGCTTGGAGCATCAAGGGGCTATGTGTTTCGGCTGCAAAGCATGAAGTGTTTCTTATTCCACGTTGGACGAGAACCCCATACCTAATACATATGAAATCGGACTTTTGACAAAAAGGCTTCGTGCCCGAGGAAACAGGACCTTTTAATCCACTTATGCAGCATCAAAAACCCCGTATGTACTCTTAATTAAGATGCATAGCGCAACACTTCCCCTATCCAGCCAAGGCACAAATTAGTTCTTTGAACCGAGAACTAAACTAGCCAAGCCAATCTAACACCATACAAGCCGTCGATCCCCGAGACCATTGGACGTGGCGGCGTTATTGCAAAGAGGCCCAAGTTCAAACCAAAAAAAAAAGGGGGTGGATTGGGGGCCGAGAAAAGCACCAGAACACGTACTTGTGCTTTGTCCCCATGGACTTCGGAGCGATAGCACGGCTGTACCCATGGCGACCTGGATGGCTTGGGAATAGGCTGACACACGTCGGACGCGCCCATCCAGTCTAGGAAGGGCCTTCAGTTTAAGGGGCGGACATATCGCGGCGATCGACCTGGCTCGGTCGCGTTCACTCTACTTCAAAGTGCGCTTTCTACCCGATTCTCGCCCAATCCTCACGTAACTTAGGTTTCAACTGCCGACAGTATCACGCCAGGAGGTCGGTCCAAGTCGCGAGCATGCTCCTGGGCGGTTTTGAAGTTTCGGTCTGGAAGCTACTTTGGCTCGGGTTATTTTTCCCGGTGCCTTGACATACGAATTACGTTAGATTGCGACTATGTGCTTAATGTTACCTTTCGCATAAGTGCCTGATTCTTTAGCTCGGGAACTTTTGGTCCTTTTGTGGTTTCTGTGTTTTTTTTTTTTTTGGAATCTGCGAAAGGAAAAGGCTCATCCTCCGTAGACAACTGCCGAGCATGGGATGAAGTATGTGCACAGTACAAGGCCCAAAAAAGGCAGGTCAATGATGAGTCCTTGCTAGGGAATACCTTAATCTCCGAGCAAGACATGTCATTCGACGAAACCCCTCTCTGTTTCTTTGGTTCCTGCAAGATCCCAACCCCAGGGTAGAGACATGGTATAGATATGTTCGCCCTTGCGCACTAGCGGGTCAGAAACACCAGAAGTGATCATTCCACTGGTTTCTACCACACCGTCTGTTTGCCCCGAAGCGCGTTCCTGCAGATCATGTTATTCCCACCGCAAGGGAGACAGTCTCCCGTAGTTTATTACTAACCGAGTGAGAAGTAGCAATGCAGCCGCCACCGCTCGAGTCTGGGCCTCGGACTCTTGCGTCGATCTCGTGATCTACAGTGCCCGAGCACTGTTTGCTGTGCAGGCCTAATCCCTGCCTTGAATGAGTCGCATCTCACATTGTGATTTTCTTTCGTTGAAATATATGTGGCCTCGATTGGTAGTTATCCAGGCCACCCCGAGATAGATCCTCACTTGGGTATCTTTCCATTGAATCTTATCCCCTTCTTCTTTCAGTTCTGTTTCCATACGCAGTATAGTACATCGAATGTGCCGAATTATCCCGTTTACAAGTATGGTTCGTCTGCGAGACTCGCAGTGGGATATACATACTGTACAGTACACATCTATACCACAGCCCACTTTGAAGGCGACAGCAAGAAAAAAAACGCATTGAAATGGAGCAGAGATCCGTTTTGGCCTCGAGAAAAATAATACGTCCTACTGTCGAAGTCCTTTCTGTCTTTAACATGTTGGAGCGACCCAACCATGGAAAGCCTCCGATCCATCCGAGTACATAACCAAAACTCCACACCGGGAATACTGGTTGTCCAGCAGGGCCGGACCGGCATCTAATAACCATGGTAGCGCGCGCCAGTATGGAATAATCGTGACCGTTTTTCACCTGGACCGTACAGTGGGCATGGCAACTCATCCAAAAAAGCTATTTTGTGGTCGCCCCGCCCCCGTTGACAGGTTTCCGATCCACTACTGTTTTGACGTGACAGAGGAGTGGCGATGGTCGGATGCAGCGGATACCGTACACACAAACGGCCGGTACTGAAAAAGGAAAACTTGAGGCTTTCCAGAGCTTTCCATACTAACCGCAAAAAGGAGCTGAGCTCTTCGTCGACGACTCTTGATCTGTGCTTATAGACTAGTCTCTGGATCCGTTCACAGATTGTTAGATAACAAACCATCGAAATACGACATGCCTGCCACGTTGGAATATCACTAAAATAGTTCGACATTTTTACATCCAGTCACTTTATGTGTCTAAGCTATGAGGTTCACCGTCTTCTGGACTCGTACGTATCGAAGAAAAATGAATGGTCTTGACCGGTGAAAATTTTTCTGTTTGGTGCCCCTCTGCGGAGAGGTGTATATTTCCGGGAATCTTTTTTCTGCAGTAGTAGTGGGAACAACTCCACCATGTCAGAAGTTTCCTCTCTTGTAGTTCCTTAAGCTGGAGGAGGGTCTTGGGTCGTGGACTAGCTGCGTCAAGCTTGCGTCACGTTTCATCTCGGTCCATGTCCAAACTTGCCTCCGAAACAGCGTAGATCCCATGTTCGCCTCCAACTCATATTTATGTAATTCAACTCCCGACCGCTGCTTAGACTAAATTATCTTGAGATCGAGGAAAGAAAGTAGTTCAACGTCAAGCATGTAGCTGGCAAAAATCTTCGCGTGTGCCCCCACAACGAATAAGAGTGGTGCTAATTAGCAACGCGAAGCCAATGATCAAGGCAATATGCCCCTTTTGGGTATAGCGATCCCACTCGGGCGAGGCATGTGGAGGCTCAACCATGGCTTTGGTTTGTAATTCGTTCCCCTTTTCCCCGCTCCTTTTCTTTCCTGCGTTTGGCTTGCTGAAGAGTATTTGGGGCCTCATTCTTCACTGCACTCCCATTGATCATTCGGGAGGCAAATATAGCAATCAAGTCTTACCAGTGTCTTACCATTTACTCCTGCTTCCAGGCAAGACCTGTCCGATTCCAAGCGAAAGGTAATCGGGGCAGTAAGACTATTCAGTACGGCACTAGACTGAACAGAGTTAAGAATACAAAACAGAGTGGAGAATACCCGTCGCGTAAAGAACAGAGTCTCCACTTCGGAGCTTTCTGTATATTTACGGATTACCTAACTCTACGGTGCTCGGCTCAAAAGGGATAAATGGCTGTGTGGCCAGAAATGCGGAGTGGAATCATAGAGACTTCAAGCCCATGAAACCATTGGAACTCTCACGAGCTCACCAGCACCTCTCTGCAGGTGCAAGGATACAATGAATCTTAGGGCGCCCGATACCGCGGTCTGGGCATAAAAGTGGTGCCGTCATCGCCGGGCTCGCGTCCCACACTTCGGGTTGGTCTTGCGCGTTCGCTTGTTTGACTGTGGCTGACATGGAGAAGATTCAACGAAGTGGATTTTATTGCACAATATAACCTCGCAATGGGTACTAAGCTTTCCAAAAGATTGAAACCGAGGATCGTGAGAATCACATCCTCGGGCGACAACCACATAGATCAGCAGCTCGGCCACCGTCCGTATACGGTTTTAGGGACATGAATTTGATTTCCAGACTTGGCGCGAATCCCTGTCGAACCTTTTACGCGTGCTGATTCGGCCATTGTTTGAGATTGACAATGCGTTTAAATTGCTGATCCGGAATCTCGTTCCCTTCGTCGACACTGATGAACTTAACCGAGCCTTGGGTTCGGACGGGGATGTCCTAGTCTATCAGCCCCCCGTCGCTGTATTTCCGGCCAGAGGGCTATCCCGACGGGGCGGAAGGCCTTAGCTGGGATTGATAGTCGGTTTCTAGGTTCGCTAAAGTGCGTCCGAGCTGCTGCTAGTTCCTAGTTCCTGGCCTGAAAAGCACGCATCATAACTAATTGGGGCATGCTTTGACGGTGCAATCGATATGCCGTGAAGCCCGGAGTCTAGTCATGGCTGGCCCTAGGAGCTGATCGGTTTCAAGACGGGATCCGAACGCTGGAAGCGGGGTATCGGGGGCCGGATCTCGCGAGATCGTGCCATTAACACCACCCCCAGTGGATCTTTCAATTTAACACAGATCAAGGCAGTGTACGAGGGCAAACCTGGAACCTTGTGAATTGAGTTCAACCCGGATTACTATTCGGATTGAGATAGAGCCGGGAAACACCGCGATCCCAAAATGGCAGGATCCTAGTGCTTATCTCGCTCGACTGTCGGTGCGCCTGAGCCCTCGTCCGTTAGCACGAACCTACCGACTAACAATCATGTCCCAGCGAATCTTTAGCCGGGCCATCGCATCGAAATGCCTGCAATCACACCATGGAAAGCTTCCATGGATGCTAACGGCAGCAACGGCCACTTGGGTGGACAAGAGCATCTGAGCTCGTTTTTCCCCTCGCGCACTGCCGTGATACCACCCAATCAAACTGGCACAGAACCCACCCGCCGTCAGCCACTGCCTACTCTCATCCTACCTTCTGGCAGTGTCGATCGGATGCCAGCTGCACCGCCAAGGACAATCTGCCCTATCAGAGTGCCCCAGTGCGACGATGTTCTGGAACCTGATACATAAGAAATGCATGATTCAGGATAGATCAGCCACACCATGTCAAAGTCGAATGGGGCTGTTTCTGACGTGGCACGCCTAATGAAGGCAGGCAGAACTTGCATGCAGTGCGAAGCAACACTAATATGGAATCTTCAAGCCGGTCCTCTTCGCATCGGGGATTGGCCGAACGCCACGCGCTCATGAGCCATCAATAACTCTTTCAGCTGGGCATGTCTTTGCATTACCTGACGTCGCTAGCAGATTCCTTGCTTCTGGCATACCTTGTCTATCCACACTACCTTTCAGCTTACGACGGAGCGACTAGCGATATCCGAATGGGGGTTGTTACCCAACTGTCCGGGGTCGAGACGCATAGATATCCAGTAGTGCTGCCGCATCCCCTAATCGCCATTAAAGCATGAACGGCCTAGTACTTCTGATCAGCAACCGCTGACTGGTCTATATATGGAATGCCTGATAAGAAAACAGACCGCTCCTTGCCAATTGATTGATTTGATATTCTGCATTGGCAACTCCGGGCGGCTGGAGATTCAAAATATACCGCTTCGTCACGGCGTACGCTGTGTTTTTGAAAACGTAAACCTGAACCTTGCTCGAGCAGTCATGACGGTTCCTGTGTTTAACTAACTGCGGTCGTAACTTATTTGCTTGGTCATATTTCAAATGACATTTGTTACTTGGTTCATCCAGCCCGGCGGCACTTTCCGGGGAGATAATCTGCAATATCATGAAATCTTTTCACTTCACCATCTTTCATTCCAGACTTTGAACCGTCCCTATTCCCATGAAACTTTATCCCGGCGCGACAATGGCATTGTCAATGACGGCTTCAATTTCTATGCCTGAAAAACGAGGCATAAACACGTGACCCTACACCTTCCGCCAAGATATTCCGGCCCGCTAAAATTTATCTAAAGAAAAAAAGTGACCGCGCAGCAGACGGACAGCTTCGACACCGCACGACAATACCATTCCGAGTCTACGAGATGAGCATCTAAGGGCTGGCGTCGCAGCCCGTTGTGGAATTGATCTGAATTGATAATCCAGCGCCACAATTTTCGTTCTTTCGCACCCATACATTATATTCGATCTGCAAGAGCGTTTCGGCTTCAAGAAGCCCTCACATTAGCCATGGATATCCACCGTTGTCGATTTGTGTCTTACAACCCCCAGGCGATCAACTCGCTCGCCTTTTCGCATCCACCATCCGCTGATCTTGCTGGACGTGGCGTGCCTACCCTCCGACTTGCGATCGGTCGTGCGAACGGCGATATCGAAATATGGAACCCTCTGCGCGGGGCTTGGTTCCAGGAGACGGTGCTGCGCGGAGGAAAGGATCGCAGTATCGAGGGTCTTACCTGGACCCTCGACCCCTCCGAGGAGGGACCTGACGGCTCCAAGCTGCCGGGCAAGCTGCGCCTGTTCAGCATTGGCTACTCGACGGCTGTCACTGAGTGGGATATCGAGCAGGGACGTCCTCTGCGTCACTCCAGCGGAAACTACGGGGAGATCTGGTGTCTCGCGGCCCAGCCGCGCTGGCAGCCAACGAAGAGGGGCAAGGATGGAAAATTCCTTCCTCCCGCCGAGGGCGAGTTCACCGGACAGCACCTCGTCGCTGGATGTGCAGATGGATCCATCGTGGTCCTCTCCACTGCGGACGACGATGTTAAGTTCCTCCGTCTGATGCGCCCCTCCACTAAGAGAGCTCGCGTGCTCAGCGTTACCTTCCAGAACCGCCACACCATCGTCGCCGGCTATGCTGATAGTTCCATTCGTCTGTTTGATATCCGCAATGGCCAGCAACTGCGCACAATCTCACTTGGAAAGGGTCCGTCGGGCGGTCCGAAGGAATTGTTGGTCTGGGCAGTCAAGTGTCTGCCCGATGGTACAATTGTCTCTGGAGACTCCGCTGGTGAAATCCGCTTCTGGGATGCCAAGAACTACTCCCTCATCCAGCGGATACAGAGTCATCTGGCAGACGTTCTTGACGTCGCCGTAACCGCGAACGGAGACACTGTGATCAGCGGAGGTGCAGACCAAAGAACAGTCGTTTACCGCAAGAAGGAGGGCGAGAAGGGAGATAAAAAGTCTCGGTGGGCAGAGGTTATGCATCGTCGATACCACTCTCACGATGTTAAGACCTTCGCTGTCTACGAGACAAAGGATATCAGCATTGCTGTTTCTGGAGGTATGTATCTGTTCCTATCGGATCCCAGTTCATGGTTGCTCATTCATTCTTTTACAGGCCCCGATGCCACCCCCGTTGTCTTGCCGCTGCGTGAATTCGGAAAAGAGCACCACCGAAAACTGTCTAGCCTGCCTCAGATCCCTCAATTGACGTCTGCACCCTCGTCTCGACTGGTCATGAGTTTCTGGGATAGAGAAGTCAGCCTGTGGCGTGTGTCTCGAGGCCCGGTTTCTCTTCATGAGAACATTGACGGCCAGCGACACAGACTTGTTGCAAAGGTTATGATACAGGTAAGCGAAGCATTTTATGCAGCAGCGTAGCAAAAATTTACTGACGTTTGTGTTCTACTTAGGGCGAAGAGAACATCACATCAGCTATACTGTCCTCGGATGGCAAGATTCTTGCTATCGCAACCGTTTCCGACGTTAAGATGTTTACTGTGCGTCGTCGCAAGGGTGACGAGAAGGGCGCTCTGCGCATTCAAAAGATCGATGTTCCCAAGGCTCTTTCTGAAGAAGGTGCACGTATCGTGGTCGTTTCCCCCGACAGCCGATGGCTCTGTGTTGTCCGACCCAACAGCGATCTCTACGTCGCCAGAATTCAGCCGGCTTCCACGGCCACCGGGAAGCCTCAAATTTTGCCGCAGCTCGCCAACATCAAGCGTGCCTCGCGGCATGTACGACACGAGAAGGCCTCGCATGGTACTCTGGGTGATTATGAGAGAACGGTACGCTCCGTCGTCTTTTCTGATGACAGCAAGATTCTGGCTGCCGGTGATCTGTCTGGCTGCGTGGATACCTGGGTGCTGAGTGCTGCGACCGGCCCTGCCACAAACGGCCACTCTAAGACCAACGGTGCCGCTGATTCCGATGCCGAATCATCTGATGACGAAGACGAGGAGGTTGCGATTGAAGGTGAACGCTGGCATCTCGGTGCCAATGAATCTCCTATTCCCCGGATGAAGTCCGGCATCACCTTGTTGTCCTTCCGCCCTCACAAGTCCTCTTTGAAGGCACTGCCCAATGGCGACAACCACACAGAGTCTACCGAGGACCGATTGATGGTCCTCACGAGCGAGCATCAGCTCATCGAATTCGAAGCTCGTAGCGGCAAACTCTCCGACTGGTCAAGACGTAACCCCAAGGCATATCTCCCTGCGGAGTTCCGCGGAGTGAAGGACCGCGCCATGGGCTGCATGTGGGATCTTGTTGATGGCCGGGAGCGTCTCTGGCTGTACGGAGCTTCTTGGTTGTGGATGTTTGATCTCTTGCAAGACTTCCCATCCCCCGAGGAAGCAGAAGCCGAGGACAAGTCCGCCGGCCAGCTCGTCAAGGCATCCAAGCGCAAGCGCGACCCATCCGAGGATGACGAGAATGACCGTAAGAAGGCCAACAGCGGCGCCGGTGATCGGATCCCCCGGTCTCAGATGGACATTCACCTTGGCACGAAGGTCCGCAAGATCGTTGGAAGCGATGAATCACAGGGCGAGTGGGTTTCTCTCGACCAGGACCGCCCTCGGGTACCTGGTGAGGATGATGAAGCTTACGAGTATGACGAGGCTTTCGCAGCCACCAACGAGACCAACTTGGCCCGTCTCCGACGTGAAGGTGGAGCTGCGATCGAGATTGGAACGCCGCAAAAGGGATCCAAGGGCAAGCCAGTCAACGGAGATACCCTGAAGAAGCAGCTAGCCAACGGCACGTCAGCTCAGCCTGCACGCCGCTGGTGGCACACCTACAAGTACCGTGACATCCTTGGCATCGTCCCCCTCGCCCCGGGTGAGGATTCCGAGGAGCAGACCCTGAGTGGCAACCTGGAGGTGGCGGTGGTGGAGCGACCGATGTGGGATGTTGAACTCCCTGGCCGATATGTGAGGGATTATGAGTGAGACACTGGTTTAGGCAGCCTGCCTATAGGGAAGTTGAGCAGTGCCACGTCTAGACCGTGTAATATGGTCATCATGCAGGAGGGCATTTACTGGCGCATTGTACAGGGATCTTTTGTGAATTTACCAAAATAGATATATCGCACGCAACGCCCTAGTGTATTCCTTGTTTCACTCGTCATGTCGTAGAGTTGAGCATCGTCGACTGTAAACCTTGCAACTTGTAAACAGCAGCTGATCGCGCCCGGTGCGGGGCAGCGCCTCAGGGCCCACGAGCCTTGACTTTCTTGATTCAAATCTCTCCGACTACTCCGTCTTTGACTATTTCCCCAATATTTCCCTTGATCCAGCTTCACCTTTCTAGCCTCACCAAGGAAGAGGCTCTTCGGTGTGCTCGTTCCGCAAATCCCGACACTGCCACCTTATCGTGCGGAGAGACCTTATCGTCAGTGATCCGTCAGCTCCCCGTACTTCACGACGTACCTGCTCCTCTCAGGCTTCCTTGACGTCTTAAATACCCTTGTCAGAGCTGGCTCGACAAATACCACTGCTAAAAATAAACTGAGACGAGACAAAGTGAAAAGCAGGGCCATTATTCCAGCCGTCCAGGGCGGGGCACTCCTTATTGAGGACCGCAGGTCGGGCACTTCCCTGAATCACGCTCCAGCTTCATCTCCTGCCAGAGCTCTTCAGAGGTCAAATCTGCTGTTTCAGCTTCTCCCATCTCCAACCTTTTTCCGTACCACCCACCGCTAAACCATAGTTTGCCCGTCCTCCCCGGACCGCAACACCAACTCGCCATCATGGGTCTCTCGTACAACGTCTACCTGACCTCCAACAAGATTTTTGGATGCAAGGCATGCAAGACTCACCTTGCAGATTACAATGACATTATTAGTCGGGTGAGTTTCCCTCCCCTCTCTTTTGGAGATGCTTTGCCCGTCGCTCCCGACAGCCGCTGACCGAACACGTCACTCCAGAATTTCCGCGGCCAGCATGGCAAAGCCTACCTCTTCAATACCGTCGTGAACACCACCCAATCCGACCCCGTCGAACGTAACATGACCACCGGAAGACACATTGTGCGCGACATCAACTGCCGTCAGTGCAAGGAGACGGTAGGGTGGAAGTACGACAAGGCATACGAGAGCAGCGAGAAATACAAGGAGGGCAAGTTTATTTTGGAGGAGGAGCTGTTGTGCATCGTGTGTTAAAGGGCATGGTCTTGACCGACGAGCCTCCGGGTATTGTCACGACCGGTGAGCCCTCAGGCCTCGATACCACACCTGTCTCCCCTCTTCATCTTTCCCAGCTTCGGTGTTTTTGATAGCGTTGCGCAGTGCGCATGGGTTTCTTCGCTTTCATTTTTGCAATGAGCCTTGTTTATTGAAGCCGACGGACCGAACCACTTGCAGGACAGGGTTCTGTGTGCAATGGGAGGTTCCAGGCAATGCATCCTGGGCATCACGATATGGCCGCTGTCTTGATTTGGAAGCTATTTTATGCATCTTGCTTAAAAACTTTGATTCTCATATCCCTCGGAGACCAACATAGGCTAGATAAGATATGATTGTAGTAGTCGTAGAGTCGCCTATTTGCACTGAAGAGAGACAGGGATCTCCTGGGGGAACCTTGGAGGAATCGCGCAAAATGACGGGCCCACATAAGGCCGACTTTGATATTTATTTAACTACCACTGAACCAAGATACTCCATAGATATCTACGGTACCATTCCCATCCAGCCCATCTACAACTTGAATGTTCACAGCTGGGGCTGGCCTTCAAAGAGAACTAGTTGACCCTCCGCCTCTGTCTTTTCGCGGAACGTACCCATTTAACCGTAGCGTAGATTGTAATCAGACCCACCCACAGAAAGACAACGGGACCCGCAAATTGCTCGATTGAATCCCCTTCGAAAGACACTCGCAGCCGACCGGGCCGGCAGTTCTGTCGAAATCACCCGCATTTGACTTCCTCGCTAAGCCCCACCTTTCCAATCGGCACCATTGAAGTGTGAAGCCTCCAGCAAGCTGCACAGAACTAGCAAATATGTCGACCCCCGGAATGATGCAGGCGGTTGTTTTTAAGGAGCCGTTCAAGGTTGCCGTTGTACAGAGACCGATTCCCTCGGTGCAGGATCCGGAGGATGTTGTTGTTAAGGTGGGATATACGGCGCTATGTGGGAGGTAAGTTGTAGTGCTTTGTATATATCTCATGGAATTGAGTCTGACGAGCTTCTTTAGTGATCTCCATACATACCGTGGCATTGAGCCTAGTCCCCCGGGGCCTATCATGGGCCATGAGTTCATGGGTGAAATTGTTGAGGTCGGCAGTGCGGTGAAGACGCTGCAGAAAGGTGATCGCGTGGTAAGCTCCTTTACGACTTCTTGGTATGTTTTCTCTTCTATTCGGTCTGTTGTACTGCATCTGACATTTTGATAGCGGCAAGTGCTTCTACTGCAAGCAGGGCTTCTCTTCGCGATGCGAGAAGAACACTCTCTTCGGATGTGAGCGCTTGGACGGTGGTCAAGCCCAATATGTGCGCCAATTTCAACTCCATTGATCTAATGTATAGCATCTAATACTAATGGTTACTTAGGTCCGCGTTCCCAATGCTGAGGGCACCGTCATGAAGGCCCCGGAGGGTGTCGATGACAAGTATCTCGTCCTGATGGGCGATATCTTTCCCACGGGCTACTTTGCCGCCAGCAATGCGTTCAAGAACTCTACCCAGGAACAGATCGCCGAGCAAACGGTGGTGGTGATCGGCTGTGGTCCCGTCGGCCTTTGCGCGCTCATCAACGCGCTCGAGTTCAAGCCCAAGCATTTGTTGGCCGTTGACTCGGTCCCGTCTAGACTGGAGCTTGCCAAGTCGCTCGGTGCTGAGCCATGGAACTTCATGACGGATCGTGAGGGTCTAGATAAGCGTGTGCTGGAGTTGACCGAGGGCCGGGGTGCCGATGCAGTCATTGAGGTCGTTGGCCTCAGCCCTGCTTTGCGAACTGCGTACGACTTGCTGCGACCCTGGGGAACTATTAGCAGTGTGGGAGTTCACAATGCCGAGGTAAGCTCTGTTTTACTTCGAAACGGGTGATGCCTGTACTAATGTGTGTTCTTGTTAGATTCCTTGGGATGGCAACGACGCCTATAATAAGAACTTGACTGTTCAGATGGGCCGATGCCCAGTGCGCTCAGTCTCTGACAAGGCACTGGCGGTTCTGAAGAAGAACCAACATAAGCTTGGGTGAGTTTATCTAAAGAACAGTCAAGAAGACGTCGATAAGGTGGTTTGAGAAGACGTCTTTCGAGCCTTGTAAAAAAGAGCAAGAAACAGAGCGCTAACATCCTTTTAACCAGGTTCATGACGGAAAAGATCATGCCTCTGTCACAAGCAGTGGAAGCGTATGAATTGTTCAATGCAATGAAGGTGCAAAAGGTGGTGTTTGTGGCGGATGAATAAAGAAAAGATAGATTTTAAAGTGTGGCGTGTACATAACTGTCGTCAACTGGCGTCTCCGCTTAACTCACAACGTTCCTCCACCAACTCTGTAACTCTTTCACCTTTCACTCCCCATCGACATACCCTCATCGTCCTTCTCTCTCCTCGTCTCCTCTTCCTCACCTTTCCCCCTCCTCCCCTCTCCTCATTCTCCTTATCCCCCATCACGCCCCGGATCTCCTGCATCTTCCGTCGCCTTCCCCTCTCTCCCACCTTTCTCCACCTTCCATCTCGGTCCCTCATCGGTAAGTCGCCCAACATTCAAGTCAGGTCGACCCCGTCGCTCTTGAGTTTCACACGTATTCGCACGTCGCGCAATACTCCCATCGATGTGCGCTGCGTTCTCGTCATCGCAGAAACTGACCTTGCCCGTGCAGTGATTTCCCCTCTATTGACGCCGCTGCGACCGTGTGACCTCCGCCAACCACCACCTCCATCCTAATCGCTATCTCACCTCTCCAAACCCTTTCTACTTCCATTGAACAACCGACAAAAATGGAGGCTACCGAAGTTCACCAGGCCCCCCTCCCCGTGGGCGAAGAGCCCATGCCTGATGCCGCCTTCAACGACTCCATCGACCAGGACGCCATGGACATCGTTCCCAAGACCGAAGAAGAGTACGCCCAGTCGATGCTGACTTTGCGTGCGATCGTTTCCTCCAAGGAGGCCGGTGTCATCATCGGCAAGGCTGGCAAGAACGTGGCCGACCTTCGCGATGAGACTGGCGTCAAGGCCGGTGTGAGCAAGGTCGTTCCCGGTGTCCATGACCGGGTCTTGACCGTCACCGGTGCTCTGCAGGGCACTGCTCAGGCCTACGCGATCGTTGCCAAGGGCCTGCTGGAAGGCGCCCCGCAAATGGGCATGGGCGGCATCGTCTCTAACAATGGAACCCACCGTTAGTCACTCGGATTTCTTTTCCCCCTCGTTAATGCACTGAGGCATTTCCTATCGCACGGTATTACCGGAACGATGAAATGCCGACTTGATTATCTGCCTTGATTTTGAACTGGATCTGACCACGTGCTAACTTATTTTCAGCCGTTCGCCTTTTGATCTCTCACAACCAGATGGGCACTATCATTGGCCGCCAGGGTTTGAAGATCAAGCATATTCAGGATGCATCTGGTGTGCGAATGGTCGCTCAGAAGGAGATGCTGCCTCAGTCTACGGAGCGCATCGTGGAGGTGCAGGGCACCCCCGAGGGCATCGAGAAGGCAGTTTGGGAGATTGGCAAGTGCCTGATTGATGACTGGCAGCGCGGTACCGGCACCGTCCTCTACAACCCAGCTGTTCGTGCGTCTCTCGGTGGTTCTCAGCCCATCCAGAGCAGCCCGGCGAGCAACAACGGCTATGCCAGCCGACAGTACAACCGTACCGGTAATGGTGCCGATTTCAGTGACAACGGCGGCTACAACCGACGATCCTCGGATGCCGGCGCTCGCGGATACCCCATGGTGACCGAAGATGGCGAGGAAATCCAGACTCAGAACATCAGCATCCCCGCTGACATGGTCGGATGCATCATCGGTCGCGCTGGCAGCAAGATCACCGAGATCCGTCGAAGCTCCGGCGCCCGCATCTCGATCGCCAAGGCTCCCCACGATGAGACCGGCGAGCGCATGTTCACCATCATGGGATCTGCTCAGGCCAACGAGAAGGCCCTGTACCTTCTTTACGAGAACCTCGAGGCCGAGAAGACTCGCCGCAGCCAGCTCCCCCAGGAGTAAAAGCCTCGGAGGCTTTTGGGGAGCCCGACATGGCTTTTTTGCGTTTCTTTAAATTAACGACCCCAAAGACTGTCGGTCATGATCAGCGGCGGTCATGTGCAAGCGCGTTTCTTTGCTTTTTGTTTCATTTCCCTTCCTCCAAATTCCTTGATGTATTCCCTCATCTCATGTGTCGCTTCTCTGATCAAGAGGCAAAAGTTTTGCTGCGATGGACGGGTCCACGTGTGTTAGACATCAAGTCTTGTGTGATCCAATGGACCACTCTGCGTTGCGTTGAATCGCAAATTGTACCTCTCCCGATTTGATCGCTGCCCACCCTGGAACTCTGCTTCATAACGCACTGCGACTCGAAATCCGGCTTGCTTTTCAACTAAATATTACTCCGCCTCCACGCACGATTCTTCGACCACTACCGCACCAAACCTCCGGGCATCATCGCCTTCTGTCTCTACCTTCCACTTGCTCACCTCGTCCCCATGGAAGCTCCGCCTTTCGCTCACTCAACCTCAATCCTCGACGCGGGCGATGACTCTCCTCCATTTCCCTTCGTCCTCGCTTGACGGCTTCCCTTTTTCCTGCCTTAATCGTGCGATGCCCTTCACCTTTACCACCTTTTCCTTTGACCGCGTCTCCTCCCTGATCTTACTACGAAACGCCCGAAACCGAAAAAAAATCCCGTTCCCTTCACCGTTCTCCTAATCGTCGCCTTCAATCCGCCCCTTATCTTCGCGTGCTCCTCTTGTTTCCTCTCACTCTTCACTATCTTACTGCTCTAAATGTCGCTCGGACATGTGCCGGCATATCTCGAGTTTACTACAAATACTAAAAAGACGATTCCTACCTGCCGCGGATAGGCTACGATTTGACATTGTCAATCTTGTTTCTTTCGTATCTGCCGTAGTTGTTGTCCTCATATTAGATTGCGAGGGCGTGTAGACCGGGCTTGCGAGCCAAAGAGCCAAGATACTTGTTCAGCTGATCGGGTAGACAGGTCCTGATGATGGTCAGCTATTTGATAGTCTCCCGAGGTCAGCACACCAATGAAACTGGGAATAGGAAGTTTTTAAAACGTTAATAGAAGCATACCGGGTCCAAATGGTGCAGTCCGTTTCAGAGATTGAACATAAAAGAGTTCGTTCAGCATCGGCGACTTACGGGGCTGGCCTCAAGGGTCCTCTCGCCCTCCTATATTCCCCGCTGCCTGGAAGCCAGCCCACAGATAGATCAAGCTAATGAAAATCGGAGAATGAGGGATGATAAGTATTTGGGTCCGATTACTCTCCGGCCTCTCCGGCCCCTCTAGCAAGCGGTACGATAGTCGCCTAACAGAGGATACGATAACCCCTTGAACAGGAGCCTGGTGCACGTCAAAATATTGATAAAAGGTCGATAAGCACCCTCCTGTAGTGAACTTGCTTTTTTAACTCGTCACATGCAGACACCGTTGTAACTTAACCTGAATCAACCTCGAAGCAACATGGCAGACATCAGCGAAGACAAGCTTTCGGAAAAGAACGTCGAAGATGTCGGAAGCAGATATTTTCTGCCGCGAAACGTGGAGGAAGCAGAGCGAATGCAGAACCAGCACGAATGGCTGAAAGGAGGCGCTGATGGCTTGGTCCTGGCGCCGATTGATTTGAACCGTTCAAAAATGCGCGTTCTCGACGCCGCCACTGCAGATGGTAAGAAACTGAATTATGGAATTTTCAATCCTGATGCTAATATCCTTCAGGCTACTGGATGCAGGATGCCAAGTCTATCTTCCCCAAAGATACAGAGTTTGTTGGCTTTGACAACGCGTAAGTACTAAGTCCCATCTGTGACATACTATGTTCGTCTGGGCTCACGTTCTGCGCCTCAAAGCCCCGAAGGATATCCACCTCTCAACAGCAGCCCTCCGCTACAGATAGTGAAGCAAAACCTGGTAGAGGAGTTCCCTGCCGCATGGAAAAACAGTTTCGACTTCGTTCACCAACGATTCGTCATCCCATTGTTCAAGACGGAAGAAGTTCCACTGGTACTCCGCAACCTGATAGGCTGTATGAAGCCGGGCGGTTGGATCCAACTCGTCGAAATGGACTTCCAGACCCCGGTGTCCAAGCCCATCGAGTCATGCCCGGCTGTCCAGGCGGTCCATAAGTTGACCAGCACGGTGGTCTCGGACCCACTCGCTTCAACGAAGCTGGCGGGTCGATTGACCGACGAAGGGCTCGTCAAGGTGGGATACAAGGCAATTGAGATGGTTGCTGGTTCGTCGCATCCTGATCCCGAACTGGGAGAGCGAGGAAAACGAAACATGCTGTCGGTTCTCGGTTTCTTTCAATCGGTGGCCAAGTAGGTTTTGCATTCAAGAATAACCGGGAAAGCAATTACTAACGCAATCTAGACCTGAAATGATTGGGATGACGGAAGAAGAATGGAAGAGTTTGCCGCAGCGCTTTGCCGAGGAGATGAAGAACCATCATGTCGCCCTGAGGGTGTACTTTGTCTGGGGTCAGAAAGCCGCAGCTCAGTAGTTGGGAGTGAGCACAACAAACTCTGGACCAGGTAACTTGGGAAGGCTTGCTTTAGAACAAAGTTCTGATGATACAGGGATGAATATGAATACTATCAACTAGCTCCCTTCAAAGTTGTCCAATGAAATGAATCTGCACATAAAACTTTTGACTTTTCCTCCATATAAAAAACAGAGATGTATGACCTGGCGGGTTACCACGGATGGCGTTGGAGAGCAGGACGGACACGTCAACACAGCCATAGACTCAATAGCAAATACCGCCAGAAAATAAAATAAGCACTAGTCGGATGACTGGGCCCGCGCATCCCACATGCAGGCAGAAATGTGTCAATGTCGCGCAAGGTACTTCGGATGGATGATGGGGACCCTGTGAACGCGCAAGGCGCCGCCGATATCCTTAGAACATGCGATGAGAGCCAATGAACTTGACAAGCGGTAGCTATGCAGGGTATTTTTGTAACATTTAATCTCCGGCGGGCACTATATCGGCTCTTAAAAACCGAAAGCATCCTTCCGCTGCTTCCGCTGGGGGCGTCCTTGGTAGCTGTGCCCTCGCCGTGCGACAGAAGTCATTTCTCTCTGAAATCCTCGACACAACAATTATACATACCATCAAACTTTTTTTCTCGATACGAAGTCAAATAAACTCTGGAAATGGCAGGTTCAAGTGACGCTCTCATTATCGGTGGTGGACCAGCCGGCCTTACTGCGGCTCTCACCCTGGCTCGTCAACAGCAGAGCTCAATCGTTTTTGATGCTGGAACCTATCGAAACGACCCTGCAGACTACATGCATTTAATCCCTGGATTTGATCACGTCAAACCGTCGGAATTCCGAGAGAAAGCCAAGGACAATATTCTCTCGAACTATGACCAAGTCCAGTTCAAGAAGATAGCTGTGTCCAGCGTTCGAAAAGACGAGTCAAATGGAGGCTTCTCCCTGACTGACGAAGCGGGAAATGTATGGAATGGCAAGAAACTCATCCTTTGCAACGGCGTCGAGGATATTTACCCCAATATCGACGGCTACGCTGAGTGCTGGGGCAAGGGAATGTAAGGGGATACCAAGATATCTAGTGAGCTGTTTCAAGCTAATCATTGAACCAGTTTCCACTGCTTATTCTGTAAAGGCTACGAAGAGCGAGGATGTACATCAGCCGGTGTTCTTGCAGTTGGTGGACTTTCCAAAACCCCTTTGGCTCTGCACGTCGCCCGGCAGATATCCACACTCAGCCAGACAGTCACAATCTACACAAACGGCTCTGAGGATCTCGCCAAAGAAGTGAGCGCTGGATTTGGGACATCAACCGTGATGAAGGTCGAATCTCGCAAAATCAAGAGCCTCTCCAAGCAACACGAGAAGGCGAGCGTCCTTCTCGAGTTCGAGGATGGAAGCAGCGTGATAGAGGGATTCCTGGCACACACCCCCGAGACCAGACCTCGTGGTCCCTTCGCGGAGCAGCTAGGCCTGGAACAGACACCTAGTGGCGATATCAAAGCAGGTCCTCCCTTCTATCAAACCACCGTCAAGGGTGTGTTTGCGGCTGGTGACAGCTGTGGAATGATGAAAAACGCTCCCCATGCTATCTTCTCCGGTTCTTTGGCTGGAATGGGAGTATCGGCTCAGATTGCGGCGGAAACTCAGGGACAGCAGCCACTGTTTGGTTAAGAGTTTAATTCAAGGACCTTTTGCAGGGTAGTAAATAACACACCAATCTTTTCTTTTGCATTTATCAGACATGGTAGAATTTTGAAAACAGAAATCATTCATTGAAGTCTATATGCAGCCTTACTTCAAGAACCGTATCATGAGCTCGAGTCTTGTCAACCATAGAGCTTCCCCAGGGTGGTTAGAGCCTGGCTCGGCCAGTTGAGGCGTAAATATCCGCCGAAGCTTAGTCTCCGTAGAATGAACAATATTTTGCCAAAACCAACTCACAGCAAATTTAACTAAGATCTTACTCTCGTCTCTACGCCAGGTTCCCCAGGAACAGACCTGCCTTTCAAGCATGACACCACACGCTACCTCCGAGTCGCCAACCGTTTCGGAGAGAGAACACCGGCCTCAGTCGATATGTGCTCTGATCAAGGCAAACGTTCGCAATCAGCCAAATTCGATTGCCGCAAATCAAGGAGACAGAGCCTTAACCTACGAACAACTTGACAAGGCCTCGCTGTTTTTAGCTGCTTTATTCGATTCGCATGGTATAAAGGCAGGAGATAAAATCCCAATCTTTCTCTCCAGATCTCTGGAGAGTGTCGCAGCTATTCTGGCGCTGATGCGATTGGGCGCATGCTTTGTGCCTATGGATGCCAGAGCTTGGAGCCAAGCGAGAGTTGATGCGGTTTTGCGAGCCGTCGAGCCGAATATTGTGGTAGTATGTGAAGGAACTGAGCTCAATGCCATGGGGCACCCGATGATCGATGCAGAAGGTGTTCGCTCCACGTACGATGCCTCCTTCAGCGAGGGGGAAGCTCCAACCATGACTGGAGAACTCGACTCTCCTGGTGACCCAGAGCAACCAGTATACATCATTTTCACGTCCGGGACAACGGGGAACCCAAAAGGTGTTGTTATTCCTCGTCGATGTGTTGAAAATTATGTTATGCAAGGATGTGAGAGAGGGATGCCTTTCAATTTGGGAGTTGGTAGCGACGAGAAAGTGCTGCTCTTGTTCTCTCTTGCTTTCGATGGTAAGTGCAGCCGAGGGAACTGCGGAAATCTGTAACAGGATGCTAACCTAAACCTCCATATTCCAGCCGCCTGGGGAGTTTTCTTCAGCTGCCTCTGCCATGGAGGCCTTCTTGTCCTCTCTGAACCAGAAAGGGTTCTTGAGGATGCGAAGGTTTGCACTATTCTTCCGGCAACGCCTTCGCTCCTTATCACATTGGGAGATCCCAAAGCCTATCTTCGGGCCAAGAATATCTTTCTCGGAGGCGAGTCTCCAAGCCCAGCACTGATCGAGAGATGGTGGAGCCCCCAGCGGCGAATCTTCAACTGCTACGGGCCGACCGAGACCACAATTTGTACCAGTATGGCCGAGTTAGGACCTGGGAGCCCCATTATTCTGGGCGAGGCAATGGCAGAAACAGAATTGCTCATTCTTGATGAGCACCTCGAGGAATCTACTGAAGGGGAGATATGTATCAGTGGACCCGGTCTGGCAACTGGGTATTATAAGAACGAATCATTGACTGCCGAAAGATTCATTACCTGGAATGGCCGTCGAGTGTACCGGACACTTGATCGGGCTCGTAGAGCACCAGAGGGTATCGTCTTCTGTGGCCGAGAGGATAGCATGGTGAAAAACAGGGGCTACCTCATCAACCTCGATTTGGACGTTCTTCCTATCTTAACTTCATATCCGGGTGTGCATTCGGCGGCTGCCTTGATGCACGAGGGTAGACTGGTAGGAGCTGTCATGCCAGAAAGCATTAATGTCACAGAGATGCGACTGCATCTATCTCAGTCTCACGATGAGTTCGTCGTTCCTGATCAGATCAAGGCCTTTCAAGAGATATATCGCACATCCAATGGAAAAGTGGACTTGGCCAAGTTGCGAGAGACTTTCAAAACTATATCTAACAAAACTTTTTCAAACATCACGGGCGGCACTCGCTTGGAAATCCTTCAGGAAGCGGTTGCTGAAGCCTTGGGGCATCCTGTTGGCTCAGTGACCACTCAATGCAGCTTTTGGGAGCTTGGTGGAAACTCCCTTCTTGCTATCAAGCTATTGTCGAGCCTCAGCCAAAAAGGGTATAGAGTCAGTTTTCAGGAGGTGTTTGCGCCGATTCCCTTGGCTCTCTTATCTGAGCGACTGGAACCAATTGGTGCCCCGAAAGAGGCACAACTGGCGTCCTCAATGGACACCACGCAGAATGACTCCTTCATTACGTCCCCGATTACGGCAACACAGATGGGAATGATTCGATCTTCCATTAAAAGTCTAGGAACGAGCTACATGCTGGTGACCATCGGCCTTCCTTGGAAGTCTGAAACGGGATACAGTGACGAAGTTCGAAACGCCTGGAAAGCAGCTCTAGAGCGGCATACCATATTCAGAACAACCTTTGACCTGATTGAAGGCATCCAGAAAATCAGTTCTGAGTACTATCACGACTGGGAAAGCCGTTGGGTGACTGATGAAGAGTTACCGTTCGCTCTCATGGCTGAATCTGACGAGTTGATCAAAAGCACGGGTTATGAAAAAGATAGCAATGTTTTCCAACCCCTCAACATCTTTCGACTTATTCTGAATGAGAAAAATACCGATGCCACTTTGCTGTGGCTTGTTCATCATAGTCTTGTTGACGGCTGGTCCATGAGTAACATCGTCAAGCAAGTCCAAGCGCTTCTGGAAGGGGAAACTTTGAGAGACGTGCCTGCGCAGTTCTGGCAGTTCTCGCAGCATTTGTCGCAGCAATCCAAGCTCACACGAGACAAGGAATTGGACTTTTGGACGGAAGCGTTTTCCAAGGTTGCCGATGCTGTGCCATTGACCCTTCCAAAGCCAACGGACCAAACGGAAGAGCAGCGTTTCGGCACTACTACTGTCAAAGTTGCCCTCGAATTGCCCCAAGTCGAGCAGATATGTCGAATTCAGAATGTTACATCAGCCGCAATGATACATGCGGCTTGGGCTCTTCTACTACAGTCTTATACAGCACAAGAGCAGGTCACATTCGGAACTGTTTTCTCGGGCCGTGACTTTCCTCTCCAGGGGATTGATACTATCGTGGGCCCAACGTTGAATACATGTCCCTTTCCAATGAGCCTTGTGAACTGCAATAGCAAGCTCAATTTCCTTTCAAGCGTGCAGCGCCTGCTCCTTGACATTAGCTCGCACCAGTGGTCAGCACAAGAAGCATTGCAGACTATCATGCCAGGAAGTCACTCCAGAGTTTATCAGACCACTCTATTCCTGGAGTACAACTTGCCGGGGTTTGAGGATTCTACTTGGAAATTCTCTCGTACCGACATTCCAGAATTTGGATTGACCGTCATCATCCAGCGGGAAGGAGACCATCTCCTGTTCCAGAGTCTATATAACCAGACAATGTATACAAAACCGGTGATTCAGCGCATGATGGTACATTTCCGAAACATTTTCCTCGCGCTGCTCGATCCGCAATGTCAGACGCTAGCCCAGGTGCGCGGACGAATGTTGGAGCCGAGCGAGTTTCTCTCCTTGATTACCAATTCGCCCACTTTTATGGACTCCTACACAGGTCCGTCTAATCTCAAAGACAGTTTCGAGATAGGTGTCGATCAGTGGCCAGACGCCGTGGCAATTGAATCCACAGCCCGATGTATCACATATCGAGAGCTCGATCAGCTGGGAAACTCTGTCGCCCAAATCATTGCAGTCCGCACTTGTCCCGGCGACGCCGTAGGGATAATTAGTGATCGGAGCATTGAATGGCTCATTTCTGTCATTGCAGTGATCAAAGCTGGGGCTATCTATGTTCCACTTGATACGAAGCTACCCGCCGAGCGAATGCGTATCATGGTACAGTCGGCTAGAATGAAGCTTTGCATCTTTCCCAGCGAAGACTCTCATTCCAAATTCCAAAGCATTTTCCAGAACAACATTCTTTTGCATCAACTCCTGGAAGGGGAAAACCCGAATATGTGTTCCCGGCTTGAGACAGTAACAAAGGGAGAAGATGTTGCATACATCACCTTCACTTCCGGGTCCACAGGCGTTCCCAAAGGTGTCCAAATTCCACATCAAGCAGTGGTCTCATATCTGTCCTATGGACCTGCTCGCATGGATGCTCGTCCAGGCCGACGCCACTCACAGATGTTTTCACCCGGATTCGATGTTAACCAAGCCGAGATATTCGGAACACTCTGCTATGGAGCTACTCTCGTCTTGGCCGATCCAGCGGACCCATTTGCCCACTTGTCACGAGTTGACGCGACTATGATTACGCCATCATTTCTCTCGGTTTTGGATCCCTCCGATCTTCCGAATATTGACACCATTCTCTTTGCTGGGGAGGCGGTTCCCCAGGCTCTTACAGACCGGTGGGCAAACACTAAAACTGTCTACAACTCCTATGGTCCATGCGAGTGCACGATTGGGTGCTTGTTCCAACCTCTCAAGCCACACAAGGAGGTCACTCTAGGGCGAACAATTCCTCGCGTTGGAGTTTATTTGCTTGATTCCCAGAATCAGCCAGTTCCCATTGGCGTGCCTGGCGAGATTTGTCTAAGTGGCATCCAAATTGCCAATGGATATATTGGCGCTGAAATGGAATCTGTTTCACGAACTCGCTTCATTCCGGATCCGTTTGTGCCTGGACACCGCATGTATCGCACTGGAGACTGCGCAGTCTGGACAGAGGACATGGAGCCCAGGTTTCTGGGGCGATATGATAACCAGGTCAAGATAAGAGGCTACCGAGTCGAGCTGAACGAAATCGAAAATGTCATTCGGACAGTCAGTCCACAAGTTCGTCGGGCAGTAGCTCTTGTGAGTAATGATAACATTATTGCCTTTGTTGAGCCAGAGAATGTCGATATCCCCGGTCTTCAAAAAGCCCTTCGAACCAAACTGCCCGAATATGCTTGCCCTTCGACCATCGTGGCATTTCCTGCTCTACCTACGATGCCAAATCAGAAGCTTGATCGCAAGGCATTACAGTCCCACTTGAATTTGACCATGATAAAGAGCCAAAAACCATTGACATCACTCCAATCATTGGTGGCTCAGGTTTGGCGCGAGGCGATCGGCCTTCCCGAGACCGTCGAAATTGGCGAAGATTCGGACTTTTTAGCACTTGGAGGCAATTCCCTTTCACAGATAAAAGCGGCTCAAATCACCAGTAGAAGACTGAATATAAAATTGCCCATGGGGCTCTTCATCTGGAACACCGCTTTGTCGGGATTGTGCGAGGAGATTACTGATTATTTACCCGACGAAAGCGGGTTGTCTGACCAGCGCTCTTTCGCTTCATCCTGGAAAACGGCTAAGACACCATATACAAGTGTCTCTCACATCGAAGAAGAGTTTTTCAAATTGTCGACCTCGTCTCCCACACCTCAAGCCTTCAATGTGGCCTGTCACCTGCGACTGAAAGGAGACATTGATCCAAAACTACTCGAGAAAGCCATTGCCCAAGCCACTTGCCGGGAACCAGTTCTCCAAAGCAGCTTCAGAGCCGTCAATGATCATGTATTACGGAGCCAATCTCATTCTTCCTGTGAAGTGATCATGGACAAGCTGTCCGAGCCCTCAATCAGCAGCTTTGCAAGCCGACCTTTCGATCTCTCGTTTGGGCCATTGACAAGAATCATGATCAACCAGAACAGTTCATGGCTCGATATCGTCATTGCGCAACATCACGCAATTACGGATAAGGTTGCAATGAAGTTGCTTCTACAAAATATTCTGGAAGAGTATCATCGTGCCTTGGGAAGCGATTCTGAAACAACAGGGACTGCGCCTGCCCAGGAGGTCCCAGACTACACCGTTTGGGCCCAGTGGCAGAAAGATCATCAGTCATCGCTCTCTATGCAGAATGAACATTCCACATACTGGCGAACCCAACTACTAGATTCACCCAGCCCTCCATTCCAATCGCCTGGGCAGAGTCCCAGAACCTATGTCGGACACTCACAATCTGTTAAATTGAAGCTCCCAACACTTAGGGGATCTATGGGACTTTACGTCGCTCTCGTTGGAATGGCACTTGCAAAGGTTCAAGGATCCCGAGATGTCATCGTCGGCATACCGCATATTGATCGCACTGAGCCTGGCACCGAGTACCTTCTGGGCTGTTTCCTCGACCGCCTGCCAGTGCGTGTGAATATGGTACCCGAAAGCTCGGATGATTTCGAAAGTCTGATAAAAACTGTGCAGACCTCGATACAAAATGCCCTGGTCCACTCTATTCCCCTCAAAGACATTCGGAAGATCACTGGACAAGACGAGCTTTTCCAAGTGATGGTTGTGTATAACAGGAGGGAAGATTCCATCGCAAAAAGCATTACAGTTCCTGATATCGAATTGGAATCTGGACTGGTAAAAACAACGGGTGCAAAGTTTCCGCTTTTGGTTGAATTCATAGAAGAGGAGGAACACACAACGTGTGACTTTGAATACATGGAAGATATGGTCTCCGACGAAACCGTTGCTTTCATTTCGCAGACAATGCGGGAGATCTTGTTATCTTTATAACTTTCTCATTATTGAATAGAAATTTATTTGACATTTGATTCTGATTTATTTTTGTTTCGTTACTTCTCTGCGAGACTTGTAAATTGCGCAGCCATGAATTCCGTCGACTCAGGAGAATAACTCAACTGGTAAACACATAGATATTATTGGATGATCCCGAGCTTAGGAAGTCATCCTTAGACGTAGATCACTTATAGGATTGGAAATCCTGAACACCTAGACCAATCCTCCTGAGACCCTCTTGCAACTGGTTACTGGGAACTCCGTAGCATATGCGAAACCACCCAGGTTCTTGGAAATGATAGCTTGATCCTGATGAAACAGATACTCCCCTAGACTTCAAACATCTCAGTAGCCTCTTTTCCGCATCGAAATCTCTGAGCCTCCCAAGTCTAGCGAAGACAAACATACCATAGGCTACTGATATGTACTCCATCCCACCCTTCTCTAGGAAAGATTGAATAGACGTATAGGCTTCCATCAGTTCTTTACCCCCATGCTTTGCAGTTTCCTCGATGGTGGCAGGTTTCAGTATCAATTTCGATGCCAAGACAGTCGACAGTGAGGAGACTTGACTGTGAACACTCAGAGCGCTACTAAGGCGCACGGCATCGTTGAATTGAGTGATCAGGGCACCCTAAACACGTTTGAAGTAGCTTGTCAGTAATGCTCATCACTATTTAGCAAGCATAAGCGCAGAAACACTTACAACGCGGATTCCGTTGCAGCCAAAGTCCTTGCTAAGGCTGTAAATAATATGAATCTGATCCCTCACTCCGTCATCGCCCAGTTGAAGTGCCGACACAAATGGATGAAAATCAATCGCAAAGGGCCGATGGGCGGAAAGAGCATACACTTCGTCCGAAATATAGTGCAACTCATGACACTTGCAAAACTCGAGCATAGCCTGCAAAGTCTCCTTAGGGTAGCACTGCCCTAACGGATTGTGGGGGTTGCAGACTAGGATGGCTTTGATAGGTATTGTAGAATTTTCAATCGCCGATCGATAATGTCGAATGCTGTCAGTGCCGAAGAAATCATTCAGGGGTACATGGACGGGCACAACTGTGGCATGACAGTGAACGCTGATGGAAATATCCAGACCGGCCCAGTATGGCGCGGCAATCAAAATCCCGTCCCCAGGATCACAGATTTGCTCCACTAGCGCGGTCAAGGCGAAACTGCCTCCAGCTGCCAAGACAATGTGAGAGTTTTCAACTGGAGTGAAGGGCTTGAAGTGGCGATTGAGCAAGTCGGCGATGAGCTGTCGGGTAGTGGAACAACCACCAATGCCAGATGAGTAGGCCAAGTCCTGGCAATAGACATGAGTGACACGAAGACAGCGGTATTATGAAGATTCTAAAAACATACATGTTCGGACAGGTCGCTAAATGCCCCTTCCACGCCTTGCAACAATATCGTTTTGGTCGCCCAGTTCTCGGCTGTGCTAAGGTCGATGGTAGTCGTATCTCCAGTGAGAACGGCATCGTGCTGACCCATGAGATTGGGTATGAGTGTCGCATTTCGTTCCTTACAGCGATTGGACATTCTTGAGGCCATCATGGCTGTCATTCACAGTCGTTAAAATTTCGCTGCGTGTATTCCCAAGGTTGTGACCTTTGCCGCACACGATTCAAAAATCCCATGAAGTGAGGTCCCTCTCTGCAGCGGACAACATGAACGCCTTACGGACCGAGTACCCCGCACTCTCAGAAGATGCTTATAAGATCATTGGTATGCTTGCTACTTAGTCGCCGAGCCCTCCGGCTTACGCTCCGTCCATAGGGTACCTTTTACCCGGGTGCTTGAAGCATTTGCCACCCGAAGAGACTCCATAAATGTACTGAATCTTCAGTGCGATTGAAACTTACCTTTTAGTGGGGTCATCAGAATAATAGCAGCCTTTTCAATATTGATACAGATAGAAGGGCATCATGGCTTTGACACTTTTAAATTTCCTGTGAGTGACCGTCCGCACTAACAGGCACAATGACCCGGTATAGGACTAATCTATATTAGCGCCCGACCTTTCAAATGGAAATGGACACTAGAAGATGTGAAGGTATGTAGGTACCTTGGTGAAAAAAATAAATCAAGTCATTGACCGTCACAATAGGACACGGGTCAGGAAAATGACAGTCAACCCTCAGCAAACGATCGATCATTATGGGTAGACGAGGTTGGCTCCATGCTAACAAACATGTTGGTTATGGCTGGCTACCCTTCAAACTCGGAATCGATTCATACCAGGTTCTTTCATGAGTCAGTCGCACGATCTTTGGGTCCTCATCCTAGGGGGTGCGGCCCACCGGACAGCTGGAAGAGCTTCATGACGGATGACCATACCCCAGTCGAGCTAAGCTGGTGCTGGTCTACAACGCTACAGACCCCTACCGTTCGATATTCAGTAGAACCAATTGGCCCATCCGCTGGAAAGGAAGTCGATCCCATCAACACAGCTGCTAGTCTGCGCCTACTTGGAGACACTCTCCCCTTGGCCCCGGAATTGGATTTATACCTGCATCGCCATTTCAAAGGGTTGCTTTCATCACGAAATGAACCAATGAAAGAGGACAATCAAAACTCGCTAGCTCCCCAGTCACAAAGCTTTATGGCATTTGACCTTCTGGAAAAATCCATTGTTGTCAAGCAATACTACCTGCCCGGATGGAGAGCCTTGGCAGAAGGGAAGACCAAACTTTCCATCGTCGAAGACTCATTTCAAAAACTTCCTGCACCCGCAAATGGTTTGATGGATTCCATTGATATGTTCAACGAATTTTTCGGCTCCTTTCCGGAACATTCACAGCCAGCCGTCGAAATCGTGGCTATTGATTGTTTGGACCCGGCTCATTCTCGGCTGAAAATGTATGTTCGATCACATCTCACGACTCTGGAGAGTGCAATTCACATGCTGAGTCTAGGGGGAAACGCCCCCAAAACACGCGACGAAGAAGACTCTCTACGGGAACTTTGGTGTTCAGTCTTTGGTTTAAATCCCGACAAGTATCATAATCATCAACCCCTGAGTGACAAGGAGCATCGCACCGGCGGTATCCTATACTACTATGAGCTAAAGCGGGGCATGAAGGTACCCAAGTCGAAAGTATATTTGCCCGTTCGACATTATGCGCAAAGTGACGAGCAAATTGCCCGAGGCCTTACCGATTACCTTGCCCGCCGTAACAAGACACTGGCGACAGGCTCTTATTATGACGGGGTTAAAAAGTTGTGGTGAGTTTTGCGAATAATGAGACTGCTTTTGGAAACCAACCGACTCATCAATTATCTGACAGCACGCACCGAGACTTGGCCAACGGATTAGGATTTCACACCTACATATGCTGGGCTTCCGATAAGGGCCAATGGAATGTGACTGCCTACTTCAATCCGGAAATTTACCATCATTCTCGGTCTTGAAAATGTCAATCTTGATTCAAAGGAGCCAATTGCCAGCAGCTGTTCATTATTGCGGTGAAATTTCCCGTTATTTTGTATCTAGATGACTGGAAGATCTTTCTAAATTGCGGAAATGCCCCGGCAGGCATCGATTTTTCTAACTTCAGAAGATATGGAATTGAAGGGTCGCAGGTCATACCAAGCATGATATTTCTATATTTAAGTTTTCTTCTGATGGATATTTCGATCCTCTCTGAGGCGACCGAAGTAAATTTTGTAGACTGATATCTTGACCATCTAACGTAAGGTCCTTTGTCTAACAGAGTAGGATAATGCCGCAGCTTAAACAGCAATAGGCAGGAATGAACTGCCATAAACTAGAATATAGACATTGCCTCTTGATAGTATCCACGCAAAGAAATCCTATTTTCTTACTGGCGGATCGTTGGTCTCGGGTCGTTTATTCCCCGAAAAGCGATGCTTGATTAGCAACGGTTCGGGGAATATTCGTTAATGTCTTTTCCAACAGAGTACCTTGCGGACCAAAGCGATGGCATACGAAAATTTATTGTGAACGACACCTGTCACATGGATATTGCGCCTGGTCATTTCTGCAGTAAAGACATCAAGAACATTATATTTCCCTCAGCCACGTCAGCGACATCACGGACGGATCATTCGCAATGGACTTTATCAATTATAGGATCGTTTCCTTTGTTTTCGGTATATTCGTACTATGGACGCTTTATCAATGGAAGGATCATATCATTGATAGAATGGTGAGTTCGCTCGCTGACCTTGGCAATATTGACCGACGGTCACAAACTCACGCTTTTGGAATCCCAGATCTCGACTCTGTTGTACCCAATTCGAAACGAACACGGGGGAAATATTCAAGGCCCGAAATGGAAGTTCATTGATGGGCATTGTCTCGATAAATTTCTTCGAGGACGTGAAGTCAGCCAGAAATGGCGCCAATATGGACCGGTCTATCGCATCTGGTCAGGGTTTCTCCCCGAAGTGTAAGTCTTCTAGCAGTATCGGGAGAGAAAAGCAACAGTTCCAAAATTAAGCCTTTACAGTGTCATTACGAGACCGGAGGACGTCAAGGTCTTTCACAGCGACTCTTTCACCCATATGAAATCAAAGTCCAGCAACGGCGGCTGGTTATTCCACGAGCTTCTCGGGAACTGCATGGGCCTCATTAACGGCGATCGATGGAAACTAGTTCGGGCTCACTTTGATCACCATTTTATCCATCGCGCTGTCGCATCTATTTCTAGTCATGTGGAAGTCGCCGCAGCTGGGCATTTACAGAGCCTTGAGACAAAGTGTGCTGAGTCTATCGAGGTGCACGCCGCCAAGGACTTCTCGCGCTTTCCATTCATGACTACTGCGGAATATCTATATGGGCCATTAACTGAAGATGAAAAGGAGGAGCTATGGAATCTGGGCCAGGAAAGTCTGGCGCTAATGGGAAATGTTCTTTCTGGTGGAGTGTATCGTTTCAGGCTATGTCAGTGGGCGAAGCCACGGTCATTCCGACGACTCCGGCGCTTTCAGACCGAATGGCGAACCTTCAACGAAAAGATTATAACGTCACGAGGAATGTCAAAAGATCAGCAGTCGCCCGTTGTGGAAGCTTGGAAAGGGGTAGAAAATGGCTGTGTTTCGATAGACGAGGTGAAGTCATTCATCTCAGTATGCTTTCTTCGCCGATTCTGACTGGCTCCCAGATACTCCAAACTCTAAGTGAAATGCTTTTTGCCAACTTGGACGTTTCCACTCACGTTCTCAGCTGGCTTATTATCTTCTTAGCTGAAGATGTCGATATACAACGACAGGTCCGCAAAGAAGTTTCAGGAAAATCTGGGTCCCTTGCAGAGTTATGTGGCAGGAAGAATACTCTGTTGCACTTTTGCTTTTTGGAGTCAGCCAGACTTCGGCCATTTACCAGTGAGAGATTCCTTTGCACATCATCAAAGAGTAACTGACTGAGTACGACTAGTATTCACGATTCCCGAAAGCTCGCCACAGACAAAATCTCTTGGGGGCTACATTGTTCCATCATACGTCAGTTATATTGAAACCGTGACTGGGAGAATATGCTGATGTGAAAACCAGACAAACGTCGTCGTAGACACACTCGCAATCAATTACAACGAGAAGTTTTGGGGAAACGATAATTCCCGTTTCAATCCACATCGGTTTCATCATCTGTCTTCAACGGAGGTATGAACGCACAAATGCCTATCATTCTACAGTTTTGATACTGATACTGGCTAGCTTCGATACAACCTTTTTACATTCGGACTTGGAACAAGAAAATGCCTTGGACAACACTTTGCCGAGGCTATGTTAAAACATTTTGTCTACCAGCTAGTGGATCGATACGAGATCGAGTTACCAGGGGTGGAAGCCAGGAAGACTTGGAGTTCGCAGCCCATCCAAGACACATGGGTCCCAATTTCCAATGCGCGGGTTATTCTGAAGCCAATAAGATGATGGACAGATAGATTGCACGATACAATTTATTCGATTCTAGTGAGAAATGATCGAAATCTTTGTTCTATTTCCACTTCAGTACCAATTTGAGACAAATGGCATCTCTAATCCTTGCGGTCCAGCTTCATGAGTTCTTCATCGGATAATCCAAACCGAGAGATCCGATTCAAGGCCCTTTCAACTGGCGGTAACTTGGTCATTCTCTCACTCCACTCCTTCAGCTTCGGCCATTCATTAAAGTCCAGCTCGGCAGATGTTGCGATGGTTTCATTCGCCAAAGGCAAGATTGCAAAATCCGCAATCGTCGGTCTGTCGGGCAAGGCTATGTAATCCTGACCAGGCTCATTCAGCCGAGTCTCCAAGAATTGGTATTCTGTCCGAATATACTTGAGCAGAACGGAAAGAGACTCGCCGATGTCCACCGGCTTGGGTGCTTTCATCAAAAGCCAGATTTTTCCAGTCGCACCCAGACCAGCAGTGTAGGACATCAGCCAGTTCATGACAATGGTTCGCTCACAGAGGTCCTTTCCATTGTAAAGTCCTTGTTTGTCATACTTCTCTGCCAGGTACGTCAAGCATGCGGAGCTATCAAAGACGTTCAGCCGCTGCGGCTTGCTGTTGACCTGGTAGATCTCAACGTCTTCCATGGCGGGAACCATCTTGTAGGGGTTGACCGAGTGAAACCATGTTTCGTTGCTAGTTGATTCAATGATGTGGATTGTATGAGGAATTTTCAGAGCCTCAATTAGCATCAGTGGCTTCACGGCGTTGGCCGTGGAGGTAGGGCTCGCTGCAGGCAGTTAGTAACTGTCAACGTGGAAAGTCCATGGTGAATGCCAATCATAAAATGGATTACGGCAAATAAAAGCGAGTAATTGAGTTTCATCACAAAGCTCGGCCACAACATTGAACACTCTTACCTTTCTTGACATACAGAACGAGCTTGTCCTCGGGGATTTGAGGGCGAACGGATAGATCTTGGCTTGGCTCGGCCATTTCGTATGATTAACAATTGCGATTGGATTAGAAAAGATCTGACAAGCTTGATTGCGTAGAAAATGTACTGCATATTCAAAGAGTCGTGTACTTATTATACCGGTCCCGGCGAATATGTTCTCTTTGCTGTCCGGTCGAGTGATAGTCGCCGAAATGTGTCCTTTCTTTAAAACCCTAACAAAGTACCTGAAAAAAATCCGGCTTTCATTGTCACCTCTTCATTGACTTCATCGTATAAGCAAGTGCTTCTCCAGTATTCCAGTCTTTCATCTCTCAAAATGACCGAATCCCACCCTCCGGACACCTATCGAGGTCCCCGCCACCAGGGAGAATACGATCGTCTACGAACTCAACATGATCTCGTGAAAACTGCAATGAACGGAAAGCTTCTGTACTGTCCTGTGGATTTAAAAGAGCCCAACCTCCGTATCCTAGACTCCGCAACTGCCGAGGGTACGTGGTTGATCGATCTGGCTCGGTCTGTTCCCTCTTCGACGTCACTGTATGGCACCGACATCGCCCCACAACACTTTGTCACCGAGAATGAGCGGCCTCCAAACGTTCATCTCTTGCCTCACTCAATCTTTGACCCTTGGCCTGCCGACTTTCAGAACAGCTTTGACGTAGTGCATCAGCGCTTCGTTCTTACGGTCGCCTCCGACCAAACAGCCCAAGAGGCTGTCAAAATGCTGTTATCATGCGTCAAGCCGGGCGGTTGGATTGAGTTACATGAAGGGAATATGCTTTCAATCCAGGAAGGCCCTGAGCATGCAGCATTTATGAAATTCCGCGACATAATGGTCAACGCATGGGCGGCCATAGGGAATCAGCCGAGCCCTGGGTCATTCCTGGTGCCGTGGCTACGGAGTGCTGGTGCTGTAGATATCCAGGAAAGTGTCCAGATCATCAAAGTTGGAGCTGCATCGGAGGATAAAGAGCAGGGTGAGAGGGCTGTGGCTGTTTTGCTCCATCTCCTGGATGGAATGAAGATGATGCTAAGTGGTATGTTCTTCATCTACCGATGGCCCTGTCCAGAGAATTACATACTAACCAACATTAAATCACAATAGATAAGCCAGGGCAAGTTACGAGCAAGGAGTTTGATGATCTCCGGAAACAATTAGAGGTTGAGCTTCGTACTGTTGGGAATGTCTACTACTATCATCTCGCCTGGGCACGAAAAGCCTGAGGAAATACGAGCCCCGGAAGCAACAAAGCGTGCCTAGGTGCTGTAGCAGAATAGATTCAATAAATGCTTTTAAACTGGCTGCTGTCTATTACAACTTGAAAATCCAACTGAGATAAGGTATTTCGCTGTTTGAATATTCACTTTTCCTTATCAACAATTATAACTTCTGGCCATTATACATGTACAGCAATTCGTCATTTGGCTCAATATAAAGAAAAGCAGGAGAAGGAAGCAAAATATGCCGATATTTGGAAGAAGTAACATCTCCGATGCAGCCCAGCGCATCCTAGAAGCTGCTAAGCCTTCACTGTCTGTTCTTCCCCGTCTGCAATAGCTTCCTCCACGAGGCCCTCTGGCTGTTTTGCTCCTCGAGGCCAGTAACAAACAGCTATTATAATTGCAGCGGCCCCGAGTACTCCGGTTAGTAGCCAATACGCGTTTCTGTAACCAGTCATCGATACCATCATGATTCCATGAATGGGCTTTCGACTTCCATTCATGAAGGCGTTTGCACCGGCCAGAAGAACACTAGCCCCGACTTGATAAGCAGTGTTAAATAGCGCACTAGCCACAGCATGGTTGGTTGTTTCGACCTGCCGAAGTAGAATGCTTTGGGCTGGAACCATTGCAACCGGGCTGCCACAGACAAAGATGATGGCGGCCACAATGGAGTACCAGTATCCATCATCATGACCGGTTCCTCCGGCTAGCCCGGGGGTTGCAAATGCCCAAGCTACAGCACCGGCTGCTGTAATGGCAAGGCCAATGACCAGCGTCATCTTCTCTCCAGTGAACTTGATCATGGGAGCGGACAACACCCCGCTGACAATTGCTGAAAATGCACCTGGCTATTCAAAAACAAAGTTTATTAGATTTGAATCAATCTCGATGTTCCTAGAACATATATCCCTGACTTGATCTAGGATGGAGTTGAAGCACTGGGGATAGCGAGAGACTTACCAAGAAATAAACCGCAGTGAGAACCGGTGTGTAGCCCAGTAGGTTGACACAGAGTTGCGTAGTAATGAAGAACCACGAACTAAAGCTTCCACCAAAGGCAAAGACAGCGACAAGCATGAGGAAGAAAGGTAGGCTCTTCCAAACATATCGAGGAATACATGGATTGGCAACCTTCATCTCAATAAAGATAAAGACAACCAATAGACATGCTCCTAGTATTATCCCCACAAGGACGGACGCTGAGGTCCATCCGCTTCTTGGGCTGTCGTTGAGGCCGTAAACTAGCAGAGCGATTCCAATCACAAAAACCACACTTCCCACTATGTCGATTGGAACATCACTTTTCTTGGCAAACGAGGGTAAAAATAGGCATGCTAGAACAAGCGCCAGCCCGGTGAGGATTAGACATAGCCAGAATATAGATCTCCAGCCAGCATCAGACGCTAGGATTGTTTAGTCATGGTATTCAATCACTGCTCTTGTAAAAAGGGGCTGTGAAACATACAGGAGAGAAGGGACCCGACCACAGTGCCGATGGTGGATCCTAAAGGTGCACAAGCTGTGTAGATTGCCAGTGCCTTGTTTCGAGCTTCGCCATCTGGAAAGGTCCTGCTCAGGATCGCAAGTCCATTGGGTGCCTTGGTAGCAAAAATATCATCAGATAGTGCAAAGCGGCAGTTTATCGTCTTCGTCACTCACAGTCAGTCCCGCTCCAATCCCAGAAATCGCACGACCGGCAAGCAGAGCCGCTTTGTTGGGTGCCGCTGTGTTGATAATATTGGATATTGTAAGGGTTGCTGCGCCCGAAATGAATGTCCTCTCCAAACCAAATCTCTGGCCCAACTGGCCCCCGATGAGGAGGAAGGCGGCAAAAGTAATATTGTAAACAATCAGCACCCAATTGATATCTTCGCTAGTAAAATCCAATGCTTTTTCAATATCTGGGAGACCAAAAAGGACGGCTGAGAGCTGAAACAGATCCAAAAAGTTGACGAGGGTCGTTGTCATGAGAATCAGATTGAGGTTGGCTTTGGTGCCCAGCCGTTCACCAAGGTGATACGGCGGCATCAACCGTCCTAATGTCATCGTGATTGAAGCTTCGGGATGTTTCAAGCGGACAAACGAAAATGCAATAAATTTGGGAAAAGCAGATGATAGAATTCGCCGGATACTCCGAGAAAGCTGGTCAATTCCTTCGGTCTCGCCATATACTTTAGGTGAGTACCTTGGGAAGTAGGCCGAGACTCGACTCCGGAGACTTTCTCGGAGACTATTGACAAATATCCTTTGATATTAACTAAAATACTACGCTGTCAAATATTTTCCATTTGCCTCTTTTGCCGATCTAAAATTGCCTTGGCGCAGTTTTCGCTTAGGGCGCTCTGGGTCTGGGTCTGACGCTTGGCCAGCCATAGCCGGTCTCCACGAGCATGTCCATGAAACAGGCTCTCGATATCCTGAAGTCAGTTCCACTGATTGGTATGATACCTTAATAATGTGGGGTTCTTTTTTTAGAGAGGTTGACATTGTACCTAGACGGCCACAACGACTGGCCGCATCTTATCCGCGGTTTTTATGACAATCAACTGAACGATCGCTTCGAGCCCGAGAAAGATCTAGTAGGGCATGTCGATCTCAAGCGTCTCAGAAATGGAAAGTCTGGTGGTGCTTTCTGGAGTGTCTATGTAGACTGGTAGCTTCGACAACGTGACCCTTGATGCTGTCATCTTTCTGCTGATGATATTCTTAGCCCAGAATCAGAAGACTTCACCGACGACGCAGCACATCTAGAGACATTGCGAGATACATTACAGCAAATCGATCTAGTACATCGACTAGTGGATATGTATTCAGACCACATGGGTCTCGTCGATCGTGCCTCGGATGTTATGCGCCTGTTCAAGGATGGGAAATTTGCCAGCCTAATCGGAGTCGAAGGGTTACATCAAATTGCAAACAGCTCGAGCGTTCTTCGATTGTATCACAGACTTGGAGTTCGATATGTCACACTGGCACACAATAAAAACAATCTCTACGCAGATAGCGCGGTGAGTGATGCCACTTGACGAACAATTGACAGGGGCTAAGATAACTAGACTGCAATCATCCCTGCGCACGACGGGCTATCTGCCGAGGGAAAATTAATGGTCAGGGAAATGAACAGAATTGGAATGTGAGAATAACTCGGTCTTCGTATATTGTTCTTGCAGCCCCAAGAAGCTGACTAGTATTAGGATCATTGACCTCTCACATACGAGTGAAGCTGTGATGCATCAAGTTTTGGATATCTCTGAAGCCCCTGTGGTCTTCTCTCATTCTTCAACGTGAGTCGATTAAGCAACGAGATCCGAATCAAAACACTCCGAAGCAAAATCTGAACCTCAAAACTGCAGTGCATCGATTGTCCCACACCCTCGCAATGTCCCCGACACCGTCCTCGAGAAACTCCGAATCAACAAGGGCGTGATTATGATCACATTTATCCCATCTCTTGCCCACGTCGATGCCACAAGAGCGAATATGGAGCATGTCATTGATCACATTATGCATGCTGGCAAACTTATTGGCTACGACCATATTGGGATTGGGTCCGACTACGATGGCATGTTTAGTGCTGTGGAAGGAGTCGAGGATGTTGCTCGATACCCCCATTTGGTGGCTAGAATGCTCGAACGAGGCATTGTCCGGTCGGACGTGGAAAAAGTCATAGGGCTTAATCTGATCCGAGTTCTCAAAGACGTGGAGCTGCAATCTATTTCAAGCAAAGCGCAGAGACCGTTCATGCAGGATGAGGTGAAGCAATTGTGGAATGAGAAATTTCGAGGCTTTGTGAGAGAGGCTTATCCTCGTGCGGAGAGGGATTTACCCAGAACCTCATTGCCGGAGGCAAGGAAGTGAAATTTGTGCCTTGAGGTACTCGAGACCCTTTTATTATTACAACATTCATTTTCTATTCAATCCATCACCTCTGCCCCAAATGACACCATGAGCGTAGTCATGGTAATACCACATAGTCCATAGGAGAAAGTCGAAAACCAGTAGAAACCACGGTGGAACGTTCCCCTCGCCATCTTTAAATTTACCAACTCCTTTCTCAATCCAGTATGCGACCCTCTGCCAGAATCCGTCAAATAACCATTTTCCGACTTTGAATCGGCAACCTTGTCCCGGAATAAAGGTCTGCTGTGACAGAAGTCTCTTCTGGTACAAGTCCGGGAGAGAATGCTCACTGGCACCTCGAATCAACAGGCTCTGTGGATTTTAATTAGACCCCAGACAATGAAGTGATATTTTGGATAGCTTTACCATGTATCTTCCGGAAGGAAGTCTCTCGTAACTTCGTGGGATGATGTGTCTCCCCATTAATGTATTAACATTCACTTCGGAACCATCGCTCTGCAACGTGGCTGAGAGAAGTTCAGTCTTGTAGGCTATACCACCTCTGTATCATGTTAGAGCCCTCCGAGCTACTTGTGAGATGAGGATCCTAGACTGTGCGCACCCTTCGCTGACGATCATCTGTCTCATATCCTCCGAGGACAAGAGGTACGCGACCCCGTAGACTGGAAGATCTTGTTCTTCCGCCGGGCGCAAGCCCCCCATGGCAGGATCCGTGTATGGAACACCCATGATATTAAAGCAGAGGGTGTGCGTTTTGATCACAGCAACTTCGGACCTGAGAGGTTGGATCTTGCGTCGCCTGATGAAGACATCCGAAAGCATGTTGGAGCCATAGGCAAAATACCACTTTTGGTTGTCTGCCATTTTGCCGGGCAGGGGCTGGATACACGTGGCAGAATCTCTTCTGTCAAGTCAACCAAGCTAATTCCGTAAGACCGCAGTAGGCACTTTCTATAAAGGTGCAGGGGCTTGGCTTTTATTGTCTCCGGATTCTTCACCTTTCCTCGGTGGAATTTCTGCCGACCAACCAAGCCCAATCGAATCCGTTTGGACACTTATTTGACGTGGGAGCCTCCCCATTTGAACCCCTTTCTTAAATTACGCCAATGAGCGTTTTGTTTGCTCCGCCCATACTTTCCAGTGGCTGCGGGCCGTCGGGACCTTGGAGACAGCGGGAGTCGAATAGGCTCCGATGGCTGGTACCTTGGGAGCTGTTCTACTCCTCTTTCAAGCCTGCATTATGGGTACGATCTTATTCACTTACAAGCGTTTGCCTATTCTGGGGCAGAAAATGGCCCGTGTTTATTGACTACTTACATATCAGTCAGTACTCGGCATGACAGGAGTTGAAAACACTCACCAACTTACAAGACTCGCTGTAAGAACCAATTCTGCTACCCGAGACGACGCCTTTTCTTTTTCTTTTCTTTTCTTTTCTTTTTTTTTTTTTGCTTTGGAGACGGATTCCACGTTATTCAAGCAGAACACCATGCAGAAAGTTTAAATACGAGCCACGGGACTTGAGCTCGTACCACTTGCCTAATCCTTTGTCCAAGCATCCACAGATGGATCGCGATAAGCGCTAGGCCCACTATTTCTCCGTTTGCACGGGGGACGTAACATGGCATCGATGGGCCAAAAAATCTAGATTACCCAGTAATTCCTAATCCCAGTTGGGCGATTCGAGGAGACAAATGGCCGAGGGTACCCTCGTGTAAGTTTGCCGATAGTTTTGTTGAATAAAAACGCCCCAGCTTATAAGACCCCGGTAGCCACAATTGCGTCTTATTGAGCCAATGTTGTCTCGCAATTGAGCCGAGCTGCTTTCTCTATCGATAAAAGCGATTGCCCTGGTTGGGATCTGATGTCTCACGCTGCGGTTTCTGTTGACTATGAAGGCACAGATCCTTCAATTGAGTCAAATGACAGAACACGGAAATCTAAGGAATTAGAAAAGGATTCTTCAAGGCTTCGCAGTGCTTGTGATGGATGTCATGCGGCCAAAGTTCGCTGCACAGGAGACAAACCGTGTGCACGATGTGCCAGGGAGTAAGTCTCTCTTCTTCTACAAATATCCGATCCCACGCTGATTCTACGCGCTCCACAGCAATCTGGAGTGTCACTATAGTTGCAAAGCAAAGATCGGAAAGCCAAGGGGCAGTATGAATAAAAAGACAATCGAGCGTCTACGGCAGATGAAAGAAGCAAGGGAGAAGCAGCACCTAGCACCCCATACGCCACCACCAACGAGCGACGGCAACCCGGCCATTCCACCACTTCCTTCTTGCGACGAGGACTCGGCCTTTAGCCCGTTACAATCGCCACCCAATGCAGGACTTACACTTGACAGCCAAAGTCCATCCAATTTTAATATAGATTCCTTTTCATTTCAGGAATCTATTATGCCCGAAAGCGACCTTGGCTGTATGGAGGACTGGCTACCCACTATCCCCAGTGAATCCATTGAGAATGTACAGTGCTCGATCACTGCATTTCCCTTGTCCATAAGACTAACTGCGCTGGTTGTCAATAGGGTAGCTTTCCGCTATATGGTGGGCTGACTGGTGTGTTCCTTCTCTCCCAATCAAGTATTCAGACAAGTACACCGTATTGACAAACAAACAGGGACTCATATTGGGAAGGAAACATCAAACACAAACTCCGCAGGAATCCTAAACGGCAGCAACCTTGGGAATGAGAAGTCTATCTGGCACAATGCACCAGCGACCGAGATCGGATTTCCTTCCTTTTTCCCATGTTCTCCAAAGTCGTCAAGATGTGACAGTATCGGTGCCAAATCCAGCAATCCATTTCTTTCCGATAACTCGGGGCCATCTTTACTTGGGGGCTCATGTCATCACTCCCCATCCGGTGGATGCTTTGCAACACTAAGCAATCACCTTTGCACACTCCAAGCCATTCCTCAGACGTCTGAACAGGCACGGGCCATCGATATCCTTCTGATACAGTCGCAGCGGATCATCCCTTCTATGCGCTCTCTGTTCAAGTGTCACCATTGCATGCGAGACCCACAAGCACTTTTCTTAGTCAATATGGTCTTGGCACGTCTGTTAAAATGGACTCATGTTTCTGTCTGCGCTTACGGGAAACGATGCATTTCGGCGGAGGTTCGTTTGGGCAAATACCAAATTTCTGGAGATTTTGGAACTACAGTTGCAAGGATGTTGATACAGACACATCTGGCCGATCTCAAGGCTACTGTACATGCCTTTGCGGTTATGGTTAGCCAGACTGGTTTCGGCAAGGCAGATGGTACCTACTTGAGCCAACAGGCAAAAGGGTTTGAAACAGAGCTCAACGTGCTGGCTGAGAAGATACAGAAAATTTCACATACTGGTATTATGTAAATCCCTGCAAATATTAGTTAAGCTTGTATGCTCGTGCCGGGGCTTTGTTTTTCTAAAGTTTGACAATATTGCCCGTCTCGACTTCGTTCAGATAGCTTGTTATGGGGACTCAAAACCAACGGACTCACTTTCACAACGAAATATTGTCAAGAACACTCACTCACTTTGCTTCAGGTCTCTTCTACTAGAGAAATTATCACGGATTACGATATCAAACTCCGGTGGGGGCAAGTACAGTGGTTGATTAATACGTATGGCCCAATAGAGTGTACCTCCCACAGTACACCCAACTACCAGGTGTCTAGTCCCTGTATACTTTGGAGTATCCGGTCGATCTGCAGGGATCATCATGTTTTTATGGCTGTGGGGCTAGCGTGGGAAACTGGTGGCCATTCTGGTTCACTCTAAACATTGAAGTCAAATATCCTGTTCAACTTGCTTCTAGTATTTTATTTGATACCAGCCCTTCGTGAATATACAGTCGATCCCAGCGAACACACACCCGACACCGCGATAGTAGCATGAAGACACGAGAAAGATCTAGCTCAGCTGGTTCCCGCGCAAGAGAAACTAGATCCACTTTTCTGGTCATGGATCGCTTTTCCGGACACCCACAGACCCATGCCGCATAGGCAGCCACCAATACCGACAACCAGAAGGTTGACAATGGTAAGGAACATTTTTCGCCAGGAACTCTTATACCGCCCCCAGTTCAAAAACAGCCAGAACATGCCACTGAGACCATCTAGTATTCAGGTTAGAATCCTCCCGGCCTGTGAAAGGGTATGCAAAATGACTTACAGGTGAACCAACTCGCAAAGAGAGCGGTCTAGGTGATACCATTAGTATATGCTTCCAAGCTTCGCTGGTTATAAGACGGCAACTCACAATCAAGCTGAGCAAGTCGTTGAAAACGGGAATGGCCTCGGCAATAATCCAAGCGATGACCCACAGCACCAGGGTGATTCCAACCCAGGATCCAACCGACACCAAACTCCGACTGTGCATTCTGTCAGTACCACGGAAGAGCCGCACATAGATGTATTTCGCTGCGACATGGCCATTAATAACACCCGCAATCACGATCTACCGGAAAGAGTCAGCTTCACTCGAGACCATGGGTAGTATGTTAGGGGGCAGATACCGTTGGAATTGCGATTCCATAAGCCACCTTTGCGGTGATGGGAGCAGTGGAACTCAGGGCCGGAGATTTCACTAGAATACCGATCGCGTCAATATCCATTTAGTCCATTAGTGCATTGACATGAGAACCTACCGTCATTGCCTCCGTAATAGTAGATGACCACTCCAGCTATCACGTACAAAATGGTGTCCGTCGCCTGAAGCATGTATAAGGTCTTAGGATAATCAGTCGGTTTCTGCATCTCCGAAATAAAGCCGAAGAAAGCGACATGACCCGCTGTGTGAGTATTAGTATGAGGCCGGATATCGGTCTTGTTCGACAGTGGCATAGAAACCTACCATAGGCAAACACAATATTTGTCACAGCCAGGAAACCAGTATCAGCATTTATCTTCGTGGTCGCGTTCACTTTGCCATCGCCGGGGTGTTGAATCGCAATTGCAATCATCGTTATCATCAGGGCACTAGCAGACATATTAGCAAGCTCGCAAGGCTAGGTGATTGAAGCACGACTCACGAAAAGATGCTAGTGAAAGCTGTCCCAAGATAATGTCAGCTCATCCCTTTGTTATCCGTTGCCGCGAAACTTACAGGCGAACGAAAACCACGAAACCTTTCGCAGTGTCCGTGGCAATGCGAAGATAAAAGATATAACCAAGCCAACGATACCGAAAACGATAGAGCAAGTGCCATGGTCGGTCAAGGTGTTCATCATCACCGTGAAAGTGAGGATGTGGCTGCCCATGATGAAGACCAGGAAGAGGAGTTGAGCCGTGCCCAGGAGTTCACGTCCGAACCGCCCCAAGCCCAATGGTGCAAACAATATCTCTCCAGCATCTGCCATAGAATGAACATGGGGATACCGCAGCTTGAACTGCCCGATCGTGTATCCGGTATATGTGGCCAAAAGGCCCAGTCCCGCGATCAGGATTACACCTCTGTATGTATCTCAGTTTCCGCAAACACGAGCATTTTATCAACCGAGGAATAAGGGCAGGCTTACGGGACCAGTCCAAGAGTCGCCATGGCGGAGGGTAGCGACAGAATTCCCAAAGAGATCGTCTCGGCAATCATAACTAGTGCGCAAATTTGTGTCAATTCATCGGACTCTTGAGCGAGGGATTTCAGGTCAGAGACAAGGAAACATACTCATGCCACATTGCCTGTGTTGATTCAGTTAGCTAGGAGCTTGGCGCATGTGCAGGTGCGGAGGCCTTACCACCAGTACAATGTCCGATATCTCACCTCAGCAAACTCTTCGTTGCCGAAAGGGTCCTCATATTCCGCATGATCGACGCTATGAGTCTCTTCGGCAGCCAGCGCGCGTTCTCGTTTGCTATCTGGTGAGGTCTCGAGGTCTGTTTTCCGGTAAGAGTGCGCCATCGCGATGATGCGGGATGGTGCAGGGCGATGGAGCCAGTAGGTCAGACTACCACGATCTTGCAAGTGAGAGCTACAGGTGATGCAGTGGATGGAAGTAACACTTGGAGAGGAAAAGGATCGGGAGGAAGCAAGAGGCAAAAGTGCGCAAGTGCGGCTTAAGAGTCATTTAACGGGGAAATCACGAGCTCTGAGTTTGTTATCCGCACGTTCATGGTGGTAGCCATACAAAGGCCTTTGTCTCCGCGCCAACGCCAAGCCCGATAACCGAATGTCACATTGGCTCAAGTATTGTGGGGAGACTACCGCAATAGGCAGGCCTGAGCCCCAACCTTGGGAACCATACCCCGTGGCAAACTCGACCCATATGTTACTACCGTGGCCATATTCGCCCCAGACTGGAGATCACAGCCGGTATAATGGCTATTTGCTCACTGGACGCTTCAGAAAGCCGAGTTGAAAGATGGGTAGACGATCATGAAATTCAAAAACGGCATGGCTTACGCCCAAGTGCGCCCCGGAGCGCCATTGACCAAAACTAGCCTTTAAAAGCCGGCGCCTCAAACCATCCGGACCCCGAAAATTATTAGGGGTCCGGAGATCAGCCACGGGGCGTGATGGTCGAGGGATAGGCTCAGCTGGAACTGTGGCCCCCAAATGTCCGGCCCGTGTCAGCGGCAGCCCGTTTCGTGAGTGGCTGGGACTCAAGCCGTGATAAGGGTTCCGGCTATTGACGGAATGTTGGCATAAGCTGGTTGATTGCCACCACGGGGAGAGTCTGGGGAAGGTGGAGCGGGAGTGTGACGGTACGGTCTGTTCGGCAGTACCCACTTGGAAAATCTTGGTCCGCAATCCCAAACGCCTCAACTACAGTAGCAAATATTAAAGTTCGTTATAACCCTGTTCCATCCAATTGGTGACTCTCATCCAAGGTCTCGTTCCAGAACATTCGCTTCTAAAACAGTCGCCTCTTTCTGGAACGTACAAAGTCCGTCCACAAACGCTCCCTGTCGTCGCTGGGCAGGTAAAGTATAATGTCTTCGAGAATATCATTTGTGACTCGTTCCAACCCCTTGGCAATCTGAAAGTATAATCCTCCTCTTATCCAAGGTACATTCCTAAAGGCAAGCCATGATACATCTGGTAGTCCAAGTCCATACTCCACTTCTAACACGAAACACTTGACAAGCGCAACAACGGTCGGAGTGCTCAGTGGTGAAGAATGAGGCTCCAGTGTCGCACATCTCCAGAACTACATTTCGTCAAGACCTAATTTAGTGATTTCCCATAGGACTGCTGCTATTTCAGTCACAACTCTGACAGCATCTCCCGAGTTCCCCTGTCCGGCCAAAACAGCGCTAGCAGCTATGTCCGCCATGTCATCCCTAACAAAACGTGAGTTCCAGCTTCTGGCATCCCGTCTTCCTGGCCATTTTGGCACTGTAGAGCGAAGTCTGTCTGCTAAACAGCTGCGGTAATGATCCATCCTGTCCTTTGAAAAAGCCACGAGGATATCGCGGAGCCCTCGATGAATAGACCATGATATAAAAGCCCACGGAAGCTTATCCAAGGCCTCATTCAGAACGGCCGCTTCTCTTTCTGGAACGTATAAAGTCACTCCACGAACGTTGCCTGTCGTGCTAGGCAGGTAAAGTATATGTCTTGCGAGGATTTTCTTTCCGACTCCGTGACTTTCATAAGCAAGTAGTCGACTTCGTTTACGTTGCTGCCAATCATGTTGTAGAGACGCCTTCCACCATGTGTGCGGCCAAATCCTTTGACGGCATATTCTAGTATCCATTTGCCAGATTGCTTGCGTCCTGGAAAGACAACCTCGAGTGCAGTTGATGTTCGCGAATCAATTACCCCGGCCAACATCTGTAGGCACTCGTCGACCCTTTACTCAATAACTGTCGGGTACGTGTCAGTGAACATTGTATGAGAATCGTGCGTACAAAAATAAGCGCGAGTAAGGTCTCCAATAGGCCATTCCACTCTTCAATGCCCGCGGTATGCCGCGTAGGCAAGCTCGATGTCCACTAGCGCTACTGTGGCAGAAAATTGGTCATGCGTTTCTAAGACAGAGGGGTGCCATCGGGGTCCCACGCGTAATCAAAGTGGAGGTTGTTAACTTATGTATGTCTCGTGAGAGGACGAAGAGATATGTCCGTCCAGCTATCACTTGGCACGGCTCGGCGCGTGGAAAGCCGCCTCTTGGCGGGACGGCACTTGCCGACTACACTGGCCGGTAGTTAACGCTTCAGTATCGACATGAAATGGGGGAAATCAGTCCGTTCTGAACCATTAGCTTCAAAAAGTTGAGGAAGACCTTGCAGAAACAAAAAATGTGTATGAAAGCACAAACCACAAAGGCTTTTTTGTATAATTGACATATTGGTGCAGGGCATGATGAAAATTCCTCTAGGCGAAGGGAAGGTTGATTGTTTCGGGACGACCGACCTCTGAGCTGATTGATTGAAGTCTTCCAGATGTCCCTATACGATTTGTCCGTCCGACCAAAAGTGGATGCCCAAGAGCAAAGTTACCGTACGTGATACCTAGGGTATGTCACGATTAGATATCCTCCCGCCGATAAGACTAATATTGCGCGCATTCATTGGATGATATCTTTCCACGCGAAATGTGACTTACGGTTGAAAATCTACTAGCTAAATATGCTCTAGTGCGTCCTAAGCGAACCGGTGCCGGAGCAATGAATTGAGCCGCACGTTTCGCCGCCCTTTTCCATGACTTCATTTGAAACTCAGAAGAAACGTTGCCGGTCTTCTTAACGTTTAGTCCTCTGTGACTAATCGAAGCCACATTGCAAGCGACAAATCATGGACGGTGGTATCCGGAATCCAGACGTTTCGAAGGGTATGGGTTATGTGAACGGTTTCCTGGGCTCTGCATCTTAAATTTTAACACCTCTCAGTTTGGACCACACTCATAACAAATACTGAGTATCTATCCGGTCTTCTGACCCTCGAATACTCGCTCAAAAAAGTGGGCTCAAAATATCCACTCGTTGTTCTCTACACGGATTCATTTCCTGCTGATGGGCACCAAGCTCTTGATTCAAGGGGCATCATAAAACGACATGTGCCCTTTCTCCTTCCATCGGCTCCTAAGGATTATACCAACGATGTGCGTTTCTATGACTGCTGGAGCAAGTTGACACCGTTCTCGCTCGTTGAGTATGACCGCGTCGTGCAACTCGACAGTGACATGGTGGTCCTTCAAAATATGGACGAACTAATGGATCTTGACTTGGATCCACCGGAAATGGCTGGTGAGGGAAATCGTGTGTTTGCCGCTAGTCATGCCTGTGTCTGCAATCCACTTCATAAACCTCATTACCCGAGCAACTGGTAAGGCCCTAGTGATTTCTTTTCATTACCCGAGCACCTAGTGTGCTCAGTTTATAACATAACTAATCTGACACCCTGAACAGGGTCCCGGAAAACTGTGCATATACCACTCAGCATAGTAGTCCGGATATTGCGCAAAAAGCCGGTGCTTCAGCTGTTGCGGGTTTGGGGATACCTAATGGGGGCCTCCAGGTGGTGAACCCAGCTAAAGCAACATATGAGAAAATTCTTGAAGGACTTGCGTCCTCTGCAACATCCAATTACGATTTTGCCGACCAATCTCTCCTTGGAGATATGTTTTACGGCCGATGGGTTGCACTCCCATATATTTACAATGCACTCAAAACCCTCCGTTGGGAAGGTGTACATGACGCTATATGGCGCGATGAGAATGTCAAAAATATACATTACATACTCAGCCCGAAACCATGGGATGAATGGGCAGATAGACTGAAGGGCAGTGGAAACTCCAGTCAGAACCAAGATCATACTCATGCTTGGTGGGCATCATTTAACGAAGAGAGGCTGGACGAGGAACAGAAGAGAGGTGTAAGGGACCAATTCTGAGGATGACTATAAAATCTGAGCCAATGCTTTTTGCAATTTCTGTTTTTTTTATTAGTATTGAAATTACATAATGACGGGGATCCAATAACACTTTAATGATACTTTGTAGGCGGTTACTTAACGCCATGAGGAGAGTAGGTAGTAACCGGTTAGAGGACAAAGCTCCCGCTCGAGTACGTCAATGAAGAGACCAAATGTTCGAATGGTGTATGCATGTATCATAAATCAAGCTTATCGCTACAGAGACTGCATGACAAGCAGAGGTCTGAGACAAGACTAGTACGATTATGGGGGTGGGTAAGCTGTCAGGCGTTGACTTAATAGGGAAGATACCAAGAACTACAAGGTTGATGTCATAGAAACTGGAGTATGGTAATCTCATTCATTCATAAGAGAAGTTCTTCCATATAAGCATGAAATTCTGCTTCGCTCAAGATCACGCCACCAAGCACATGAGAAATGCTGTGGTCGACAAAGGAAACGGACCAGAAGGAAACGTCAGGCGAAGAGAAGAATATTTGGACATGGACTCCGGTTGTGATGGTTGCTTTTGTACAAGAATCTAGACCCTGGACATTCATGCTCTAAAAGATCTGGAGGACATGAAGTCGACAAGAGGTGACATGAAAAATATGAAAATGAGGCGTTGATGCTCATATCTCATCATTGGCAGTATGTGAATTCGAATCAGGCAGAGGAATGGATGCGTCAACGTCGAAGATGCCATGCGTGGGGACTGGACAATGCGATAAAGGACTCCAGACCGGACAAGTATGCATACACAGGCAGAAAGCGTCTAAGAGGGAGGAAAGAGAACGCCGAGCTGAGGCCGAAATCACCGGGAAACATAATCAGATGCGAGGTCGCTGCGTAAAAGTCAAAAAGGCGTAACCGGATTGTAGTATCGGTAGGCATGCATGATGGCGGCTCAGCGGATGCAGAATATCAGAAGAGGCTAGTCGATACTATCGTCCATATTGTTGGTGTCGTCTGGCATGACCGCGGAACGGCGTCTGAGGCCGAATCTCCGAGCACCCAGGCTATTTGTGCGGAGACGTGGTTGCTGAATAGGGGTATAGCTCGTTACCGTCTTGCTGGATGGGGCGCTGATTCGGGTTTGTGAGGGTTCTAGCTGAGATCGAGGGCTATCCTCTGCTCCAGAGGCCGGGGTAGCAGGTGAGAGGCCGTAGCGGTGGGATCCAGCCTGAATATTGGAGCGAGATGTCGCAGGAGAATACACAGAGGGTGTCGCATAGCTGCGGCGGAATGGAATTCCGGTTTGGGACAAGGTGGAAGGTGTTCGAGGCAGGGATGAAGGTGCCTGAGATTGGGTCGACGATTGAAAATGTGCTGAGCGCGGAGAGATTCCCAGTCCCTGCTCTTGATTCTGGGCTCCCGTGATGGAGATGGAGCGAGAAAGGGAGTGATCCCGGGAGAACCGTTGTTGTGGAGATACGCTCTGTGCAGGGCTCGGCGTGCCAATCTCAGTAAAGGCCCTTGAGAGTGACCGATTATGTGGAGTCGATGTCTCCCCATTTCCCTCGTCAGTTGGTGGCCTACGAGTGCGAAGAGATGTCGAGATGCGGTGAAGTCGGCTCGGCGGGGGAGCTGCACTCGGTGATGACGGGGCCGGTTTGGTGTCTGCCACTGGAGTTCCCGGGCTCTGGCTGATTAGGGAGGCCCTTCGCGCCTCGAGGCGACTGGGCAGGCGGCTACTTATACTTTGGCGACGCTCAATGCGTTCAATTCCTTCAGGCTCATGACTGGAAGCTCGTTGATAGGAATGTGTAGGCGTTACAGAGCTATTCTCGCCGCCGTTCGACCGCTGAGACTGAGCGCCTCCGGCATGGCTAGAACGTGGCCGGTCTCTCTTCAGCTGCTCGTCCGTCAAGGCCAGACAAAGTTCAGTCAGGCCGCGACACAGACTATCCGCTTTGCGCCGAGAATGCCTTTCGGAGGAGCTGTATCCTCCATTCACAACAGAGACTGTGCCTGACGGTGCTGTGTTGACGCCCAAGATGGTCGATAGAGTCAGAGCATCTGTGATCGTCGCCTCTAGCGCCATGTACACGTCATTTGGCAGGACAGTCTTGGCTTTGGCCAATGCTGATTGCAGAAGAGGATGCACCGGGTTTTGAACCGCATTTTCGGCGTCCGCAGACGGGGTGCTCGCCTTGCGATAGTGTCTAGGTGAGGTAGACAGGGCACTCGCAGTAGTTGCGGCGGTGCGCGGCCTTTCCTGGTTTGCACCTGATATGGCGGCTTGAGACGATGGTGGTAATTTGCCGGTAAGCTCCAGCTTGCGGATTCGGGACTTCAAATCGTCCAGTTCGTCCCAAACGGTGGAAGGTGCCGTCGTTGACAGCGTTGATTCGGTCCCGTCGACTCGCGCTCTTTCTGCGTCGGCGAGAACCCGTTCTGTCGGCTCAGAGGCAGAGGGTTCGCGACTACTTCGAACAGTGGATAAGGTGGAACGACGATGACGGCGAGAATCGTGCACAGGAACGTGTCGGTCTCCGTTGATTGTGGGTGATCGCGGAGAGGTCTCGGGACTTGTGCGACTGAGACGGCTTCGAGGGGCGCCGATTGTTGATCGCGCGCCAGAAGTCAGACTGGAGTAGCGGAAGCGAGTTGGCTCGTCGAGGGGGTGGGCAGAGGTAGCGGAAGAATGGATAGAGCCGTATGGGATTGTAGGAGAGCCATTTTGGGAATGCAAGGGGGTATTAACATTGCTAAAGCGCTGATCGGGGGAAGGCGTTTCTTCTTTATCGATATGGGAGATTGGCGACCGTAATCCCTGACTGGAATATCCTAGTCGCGACTGTTTTCACCATTTTCTCAGCCATCAACACAACCAGGTTGGGCAGTGTCAAGGTCCAAATGATCCGGCGAACACTATGCAGAGGGGAGAAACTCACTCTTCGAAAGTCTGAGCGACCCAGAGAGTCGCGACGGCCAGAATCGGACCTCGCGATATTCAAGAAGATATCGTCATTCTTCGGGCGCCCGTCGTCCATGTTTGGGACTCTGTCGGCACCGAGTCGATAAGAGCCGTTCAAGGAGCGACCATGGTCGCTCGGCAAGGCTAGAGTTTCAGAATATGCCACACTCGATGGCATGCTTTTCACATCAGGACGTGCAAATATCGGGTCGGCATTGAGGGTGAGGGTGTCGGTAGGTGTCGCAGCAGAAATAAAATTGCGCGAGCTTTGGAGGCTGGGGAGGAAGCTTGGGACGGATCGACGGGAACCGGGCAATAAGGAGCGTTTGGTCTTGGGGGGTCACAGTATCGCCAGGCGTTTCACCACTGGTTGAGGTGGGGCTGCAGCTCTTGACATGAAAAAGCGACGGGCTTGGACTGGCTGGACTGGCTGGATTGGCTGGACTGGCTGGACTTTGACTGGTGATGGCTGGACTCTGATTTGGGCCGGGAGACCTGTCGGGGGCCTTGATCTGCGTTTGGCTCCCGCGTGGACGTGTGGGCGTGAACTGTAGTCACGGGTCACCGCCGATGTCAACAAGGTTTCTGGGGAAGGGAAGCTACTTGGGGGTATGCATCGCGGATCACTGAACCTGCACAAGCAGCACGAGTGTGATCGCAGGGACACTTCTGACACATTTGACCTGTCAGTCTTGGAAAGTGGGTATCGCAAAGAAGAAAAACTAGCTGGTAAGTGTGGCTGGGAAATTTCGATGCGGACGAGGGACCCCGCCGGGTCTCCAGTGCGTCCGGTGCACTCTCCGACAACGTTGACAGACAGACATCTTTATTTCTACATGATAGAATACGCCTAGACTCCGACTGGTCTCAAGAGAGCAGTGCATGGCCTAATGAGGACTCGAGGTTTTGATCCCTGCTGCCGGCAGTGACTGTAATGTATCTATATGTGCCGAAGTTTTGGTACATTTGTGGATATCCTAGGAGTGTTCCGAGGACTTTGTTTTCATTTTCTCTCTCAATGGGCGGCAAAATATGGTCTCAAGCCGGGCACCTTTTTTTCCACAGCAACAAACAAAGGCAATGAACCGTGGTACCGCAATATAGGAGCCATGGATCTTGAGCCGACCGAGTCCACCGTTGTCCGGAACTCGGCAGTCTCAGTAACGAGATGTCTCGTTCGATCTGATGGCACTGTGGATTACTTTTCCACGTGGTTCATGCTTGATATCTGCGCCCATGGGGAATGCGATGATCATGCAATTGCCGAGGGGGCCATGCAACGTGATAGGTTCGTAGTCCGCGGGCATTGCAATATGGGATCTCTTGAGTATCCAGACCTTTGTGGGTTGCATTCAAGGGTTTTAGAAGCTCGGTGGATAACTTTCCGAGAGCCACCGGAGAGGGGCCAGTGGCGTCATTCAAATGCCTACTCGGTTGAGGGAGTCCAATGCCAAAAACCCGAAGGGTTCCAACATTGGAAGGCTTGCATGGAGGCTATTTCCAATTGCGCCTGAATCATGGCATGGCTTCTTTTGGATGCTGGAAAACCCCGTTGGGCTCGACTCGATCCCTGGATACTCCACTTGCAAACCAACGTGCTGCACGTCCCAAGGATGGCGAAAGCCTCGGCTGGGCCTGCTGTATACCTCTGATAATGGTTCGTTTATTTGATTGACGGCATCCCCATCCTCAACTCTGTTACCGATACAGAAACGAGGCGCGTGATGAAGAAGCACCGTGTCCAACCACGGCATCCAGTGGACCCGGACAAGATGGCGATATGAAGTCTTGCATCTGTTACAAACTACTGCCTGTTGCCATAGGAGCCGCAGATTAGCCATCGCCGAAAAATATACATAATACAAAGCTATCGATTGGCTCTGGCGTCTGATATTGACAGCGACTGCGATGGTTGGTGGATGAGCCGAAATCACGACCCTCTTTACTCGCGGAGGCGGGAGAGAGTCGTCCACCAATCTACGCAGGCATAAGCCTCAAACCGAGCTCCTGAGTGTGGCAAACGAACCCGAAACGTAGACGAAACACCAACCAACATAAGCCGCTCGGACAGGCCATTCAGGGACAAAAATAGGAACGAGGTTCCTTTCTTGAAACGTCTCGAGTTCATGAGGGGTCAGGAACAGCTCATCAAACTGGAACGCGTCGCCTGAGACGAACCTGTATCGCGAACATGGCAGACGACACAGGGGGAGCAGAGAGGCGCTCAGTGGCCGGTGCACCTGTAGATCATTCCACAGCACAGCTTCAAATGTAGTCTTGGCTCATGAAAGGAGACATGGACATTGCCCTTATGACGAGTACAGAGTACTGCGCACCAGGATCCGCAGACTCCCCCGTCTCTCCACTCGAACGCAAGGCAAGTTTCAGGGAGGGCACGGCGTCCACGTGGAAAAGGATCGATCGCCCCAGGAAGGACGATCGGGATTCTCCCTTGACCGCACAATCACAAGATTTGAGCGAAGTGCAAAGCAGAGCAGTGACTGCTTTGTACCGTCGGTGACCTCACATCCGTTGAAACTCAAATGAGGATGTGAACATCACAACACGAGGCAGTCCGAAAGAAGAAAGTATCGACTGTCGAGAAGAAACGCGATAGGCTACGGCGACTGTGCGCCAGGGGCCACCGGGCTTCGCTAGCGCGGGTTTGGCGTGTTTCAGAATGGATAATCCAGATCCATCGGGCTCCGGGGTTTCAGAATGGCAAGACTGGGCTTGCCCCTCTCCATGTACTCCGTCTCACCGAAACTCGATGCCTGTTTGCGTGAAATACACGACTTGTTGTCCCGGGCCATGGCCAATCATGGTTGGAGCGGGCCTGTCCAGCAGGTTATCCATGGGTCAGCCAGCCCACCGTTCACCCGACGTGCCGTGTTTATTTTCCTGTCTACCTCGCTCAAGGAGGGCCTTGGGACTCGATCGGACAGTAGTGTACACGATGTAGACATTGCCGTCACGGTACTCCGTACTCCGTACTCGATACCGACATAGCATCCCCTGCTCATGTACGTAGAGAACCGTGCACAGACACGGGACGGATAGGGCCGAATTTGAAATTCTCGAATCCGTGTACTGTATTGTAGACAGGCACCGGAGGGCATATCTCCACCCCCTCCCGTCTCCTGCGGTTTCCTAGCCGAGTCCCTGGAATTTTCGGGGCTTGCCACCATGACATGAACTAGAGTAGTCGTACCGTGTAAGGTGTACTCTCTGTTGTACTCCGTACAGAAATACGGATCTACCCTGTGTCCCACAGGCCCAATCACAGCCTCACCTTGGTGACTAGTGAGAACAGACCGAAGCATGTGCGAACGGGCGAAACCCCCCGGCTCAGTGGGACGGGGTGGACCCGTTGTTCGAGAAATCCGGGACATTTCGCACGCCTTTCACCCAGCCCGGGTCTACGAGCCATCCTCGTAGAGATTCGGACGCGGAGTACCGTACAAACGAAAAGTCGGACACGCATTACACATGCCGGCCTCTCACCAGCGTGCGTTTGGCGCCGACGAAGCACTCACGACGCCCCCGGGCGGCTAAAATTAGACCGAAGGGATGTCATTGGAAGAGGGAGGAGTGAAGCCCCCGAGCTCTCGATCTGCGGGCGCCCATTGGCATCTTCAGCCCGCCGCCTCCACCGGCCAAATTACGGTGGGCCTCCATCGGAGATCTCTAACATGTATCAGAGTTGTGCCTTGTACACCTAAATAAAAACACTAAGGGTCCTCAGGAACTTTCCTTCCCCTCGGCCCTATCGTCGGCACCTCTGTTCTCGTTTCCTTCCCACACCCTTTGTCCTTCCAACTCTCCCTCCACCGGGCATTGTTCTTCCTCTCCTTTGCATTCTCGTTCCCCGGAGGAACGACCCGGCCCCCATTGAAGGTCCCCGCCCCCAACACGGTTTCTTTCGCCCTTGCGCCTTTCACCTTCGATTCTTATTCTCCGGTTGTACACCTGTCACTCCTTCCATTCAACCTTCAACTCTTCTACACTTCCAACTTTCAACTCTTCCAGCGCTCATCTCAACTTCTACCGGACGCGAGGTGGTACTGATCCAGCCGTGGCTTGTGATTTGGTATGTGAGGCACCACCCCGACTCCGTTCGCGCCTCTTTTCTTTCGCCATCCCCTCAGACCTGCCCTGCGTGACTCGTGCACACGGAAACTTTGAAACCGCGGAGTCTGTTTTGCATGGTCGCAGATCATCCTTCGTCCCTTGCAGCGCGCCCGCCACCCTCGATTCATCCCCCCCGAACAACGTCACTAACCGACCCTTGAAGAAAGCCCTTTTGCGCAGGTAGCAAACGTCCCATCCGAATGCCCCACTAAACCCGGTGAATTCGTTGCACACTTCGAGAGAACGTAAAGGCGGGTTTTGAAAGGGACGCTTGCCTTTCACACGCGCCCATCTCGACCCTCCAAACTATGCCGGTACAAACCAGCCCACCGTCCTTCCCGGACTCGTTCCCGTCGTTCATGTCTGTCTACGGTGGCCTGTCCCCCTACAAACAGGACGAGAGCCAGGTCTATCCCCTCCAGGTTCCGGCCCGTGTTCCCGTCAACACGTCGCGACACATCCTGCCCTCCCCCCACCGCGAAAGCGTATCGTCCGTGAACTCGGTCTCAACCGAGTCATCTCCGACCACCACGATTTCCCCCTTCGATTCGCCCTCTACGGGCGATATCTCTCCTAGCTCATCTCCGGAATCTCCCTCGGCAATGCCCGCGTCATATCCCAAATTCATTCCTCCTACCCGCCCTATGGAGATTCCACAGCGGCCCATGATGCCTATGGAGTGCTCCAAGCTATTGCCAGCTCCCAACAATGGACGCCCTGACTCACCAGAACGCCGAGAGCGTAACCTGAAGAACCTGTCTTTGCGCATGCCACCTCCGTCGCAGTCCCGACCTCCCATTGCTACAGCATCGATCATGGAGACGTCCTCAAAACATCACCTTGGGGCCCCGCCATCGCCTCTCCAAATCCCACAGAAGAGCAACAGCGGCAGGCGACGTCCCGCAAATCTCACCATCCGGACCCCGGCATTCGACAAGTCATTCTCATCCAATATTTCTGAAGTGGTTCCCCCGACACCTCTGGGACGACAGTCCCTACGGCACGCAGAATCATCACCTTCCCTCGCATCAATTGCCTCGCCCTCCTTCGCTCCTCGGGGTGGCATGCAGCTGCCACGTCCGATGTCCCACCACGGCGTGCGTCCGATATCGCGTGCCTCATCTGAGGATACTGCTTCGCCTCTCACGCCCATTAAAGATGATGGATCTACATTCTCAAGCCGCATTCTTCACGGGCTCGAGGAGGAAGATGACCACCTCGCGTCACGAGAGTCCACGCGCAAAGCTTCGCGTGGCTATCCGGATGGACCCATTCGGATATACGACACCGGCGTGTTCCTGTATCTTGAACCGACTGCGGAGGAAGCGGCCAAATTCGATATAGTGGTGAACGTCGCTAAGGAGGTCGCGAACCCGTTCGACACCGAGACGGAGCGAAATGACACCGTCATGAGCACCTGGCGCAATGCCTCCAGAGCCTCGAAACGGTTCTCGAGTGGAGATCCTCAGACTGCTATCTCCGACATCTCGTTCAAATCCGCGTTTGAGTACCAGCCATCCGACTCTGAATCAGCGACTCCGACTACTCCTGCGCCCAATTTTGCCTCGACGCCAGAGTACATCCATGTTGGCTGGGACCACAACTCGGAAATCCTGGATGATTTGTTGCCCTTGTGTGAACTCATCGACGACCGGGCTTCGCAGGGCAAGAAGGTGCTCGTGCACTGTCAGTTGGGTGCTAGTCGTTCGGCGTCGTTGGTCATTGCGTACGGTTTGTACAAGAACCGGAACATGGATTTCAACTCCATGTACGGGATGGTCAAGGAGCGCAGCCAGTGGGTGAGCCCGAACATGAGTCTTATTTATCAGCTCACGGACTTTCGCAATCGATTGACGCAAGGCTCTCCCTCGCGGCCTGCTCCTCGCGAGTGGTTTGTTCAGACTGGCCGGAGAAGCTCCGAGCCTCAGGTCCCGCGAGCAGAGACGGAGGAGTCGAACCGGCCGCTTTTCCGCGGGCTGTCGCAAGCGCCGTCAATGGGATGCCTCAACATCCCATCTTCCAATAGTGGCCCCAGAACCGGTGATAATGGGAACCGATCACCCAAGCGCAGTCTGTCTCCGCGTCCGTTGCCATTCCGACGGAAGTTCCAATCTGTCGAGCCCGCGTCTGGTGGTCGGCCCCGGGGATTGCCGCGTAGCGTCAGCAGCTGTGACCCCCTAGTTCAGACTCATATGGTTGTGCGTGACATTCCAGATCCTGCCGACGGTGGTCTGTTTTCTCCACGAACCACTGGATTCTTGGCCCCGCCAATGCCACCACCGCCTCGAACGATCGATACTGTCGCAGAGGATCCCAGCGTTGCAACGGCTTCCAACCCTGTGCAGTATGCACAAGTAACAGCCGATCCTCGCTCACCCCCAATGGGAGGCGAGCGGCTCATCATGAGGAACATCGATGAGTTTCTGTAATTCTATAGCCTTCCACTTCCGAGGCTTCCCTCGGATCAAGGCATGAAACGATACCACGACCCGACATTTTGCATGTCTCTTGATTCCCGATCTTTTGAGGAACATTTTACTTCGTTACCGGCCATCTTTTCCCGGTCTTTTTTACACTATTTTCCAGTCACATACCCCTTTCTGACTGGGCTGATGATTTCCATGACCAAAGCGGGCTTTGCTGTCGCTCATCATCTTTCGACTCGCATCTTCAGTTTTCGCCCTCACCCGCAATGCTGTTCCACCCGCCGACCCCTATCGCTTGTATTTCCCTTGATTCATCCTCATTTCTGGCGTCACGGGTGTGAAAATGACTTTTCCCGTACCGAGGACCTCCCAAAGGACTCTTCGTTATCTTTCGGGAGCCCGGTAACTGTAATATTATTGCGGGGAATCCCAGGGCCTTTTGCATTGGTTGGCTACCATGAACTTTCGCTACATTCTCCTATCTCATCTTGTCCTTCCGGACAAGCTCTCGTTATCTTTGTTTCCTCTGTTTTGTTTTTCGGTCCATCCATTGACCGAGACGGCATGCTGGATCTATGGGCAGATCGAAGAAACGACAAATACCCCTTGAGCGCAGTTGAATAGAAATGGACAGCTTTAAGCTTGACTTTGATTTGTTTGTAAATTCGTAGAATAGTAGAATAACTTGTGGAGCCTCGGGTGTTCCTGTATCTGGTCTTGGAGTATGGAGTCGCAGCTGATAGCTGATAAGCAACTTCCCTCTCCGCAATCCCAATTTTTCTCGCGCAACCAACAACCCCAAAACAAAACACCGCCCACGATGCCAGAAGGGAGTCAACCAGCCTATCTCTCACCCAGTGAGCTGGGAACCAAAGACTAGTACGTGCCATTGAAACCTCTCCCACGTCAAAAGCCACCAGCCCTCCCAATGCCCAAGTTCCCCATCTACCCCCGCCGCGGGGCACGCAAGCAACGCAACAAAACACCTCCAACACCAACCGCAACATCCCCGAGGCCCCTATCAAAATCCCATAGAACTAACACTTGAAAGCTGGGAAACATACTACGCCCGCACGCTCGCACACATCTCCAACCCCACCGAGACAACCAACGACGAAGACGCCGACTCCGACGTCAACGACGAAGACGACCCCGGCACATCCTGGTTCTCAGAGCACAACGCCCCGCAAAAAGTCCTCCGCTTCCTCACCCGCAAATCCTTCCCCCTAGCACCGCGCAACACGCGCAATGCACCGCAGCCGCAGATCCTGGACCTGGGAACGGGCAATGGAAGTATGTTAGCGCTGTTACGGAAACGGGGCGGGTTCATGGGCAACATGGTCGGCGTGGATTACTCGAAGCAGAGCGTCGAGGTGGCGAGGGAGTTGCAGCGCTCTAGAGGGCATTCTGCGTATCATACCGGGTCTGAGGATGAAGAGGAGGATAGTGAGGAGGAGATAGGGGAAGAGTGGGTAAAGGGGGAGGAACAGCCTATTCGGTTTGAGGAGTGGGATATTCTTGGGTCGACGGCTTTGCTTTCGCCTCGTGGGGATGTTGTTGAGCCTGCGGGTGCGGATGCACTGGACTGGTTCCCGTATCAGCAGGGTGGATTTGATATCGCGCTTGACAAGGGGACATTCGATGCGATTTCGCTGGCGGATGATGCGAAGGATACTCGTGTCTGTGAGCGGTATCCTGATATTGCGCGCCGGTTGCTTCGACGGGGTGGGTTTTTGATTGTGACGAGCTGCAATTGGACGGAGGATGAACTGGTAAAATGGTTCACCGGTGCAGAGGGCAAGGATAGATTGGTTGTTTGGGGTCGTGTAGAGTATCCGCGGTTCAGGTTTGGAGGACAGGAAGGGCAGGGTGTGTGTACCGTGTGTTTCCAGAGGGTCGTAGATGCTTGATGTCTACGGTAAATAGATATATAACGACGAAACGTCCATGATATTCACTGGACCACAATCTATCATCATGGTCTCGTTAAGATGCAAATGACACCGGTGAGATGTCATTCGTATATGCAAATGCGGTTCACTCCTTGCGCTTCAATACTGCAACCACGGCCCAGCGTCTCCGGTTATCAGGTCCCTCGACTTCGCGCTCGGGAAGCCACTCTCTCCTGATCTGTTCACCGTCTTCCGTTCTGGAAATTAGATCGCGCTCAAAGATACGCTCAATCTCAACCCCGTTCTCTAGGGCCGTCTCGAAGAAACCGGCTACAATCGCACGTCCTGTATGGAACCCGGCCACCACCCAGACCTTTCCGCCAGGCGCCTGGAACCACTGCAATGTACGAGCCAGGTTTTCATGCTGGGATTGCATCCAGTAGCAGTCTGCCGCGATGATGCGCGTGAAAGTGCCTTTATTTTCCCGGGCGGAGGTGTCGTCGAGGACACCCCATGCGTGTGGCTGAATGGTGATTTGAGTTTTTGACGGGCGATTGCGGAGGTTATAGTCCATGTTGAACTTGATCGCACCCGCGAATGCGGGAGACGAGGGATGGTCGGTGGCCACGACGGTAGACGCATTGGCGAGGGCGCAGATGAATGAGGGCAGAGCGGTGCCTGGACGTTGTCATGTTAGCTGAGATGTTTCGTATTGTATAGTTAAGAATATAGCAAGAAGCTACTCACCAGCGCCGAGCTCCAGCACACTCTCACCTTTCACGGTCCAGATGTCTCGTGCCTCGTTGCTGGCATTCGTATTCGATCCAGTTGGGGGTGGGCTCTGCATCTTCAATGCCCTCTGCCACGACCATGGCCGCGCTCCACAGGAAATGCGCAAATAATTTTCGACCTTCTTCCACATGGTTCACACCGTCCTCGCTTTTTTGCAGTCCGACTGCAACTTCTTCGGTCCACTTTTCGCTCTGGCCGGGGTAAGAGGGGACCATGATTTCGAGGTCGCCATAGTGCGGGGAGGAGTAGAGGAGGCGTTGGCCTGGATCGCCGTGGATTGACGGCGCATCGTCTGGGGAAAGATGAGGCAGGAATGCTCCAAAGACATCCTCGGGGCTCTCTTCGACCTCGGTATCCCGATCCTCGTCCTTGAGATCCGGCGCCGGTGCGGACACAATGACGGGATTGCGGCGGGGCAATGGCCGCAGGCGGGAATGGAGCTTTGTGCTCGGAAGGCGATTATTTTATTTTATTTATTTTGTTCTTTTGGAAAGCTTCGGATTGTTGGGGCTCAGATAGCAGGCCCACCGGGATCCACGAGGGACTTTGGTGTTCGAGGACACAATTGGCCTATCATCAAGGATGGCATCGCATCGTGTGATTTTCTTATCGGCCAAAAAAAAAAGTGGTTTGCACTGTTTGAATTCCATGTCATAGTGGAGCTGAGCGGAACAGATGCGAGACATGTATTGATTCAGCTGAAGATCCATGATAATTTTAGTCTCGATTCAACTGTTTTGCTTTTTCCTCGGTCTAATTGAACTACAAGGTACGGAGCTAAGGTGGTACCTGTACACTAGACCGAGAATATACTAGGACTTGCAGGAACCCATGTTTCTGCGAGGAATGTCGGCGGGGGAATGTGCCAGAATGGCTTGTTTCCAGGGAGAGGGGGGGCCAAACAAAAATTACTCGCACGCATTTCAGCTGTGGTAGAGCTTGGACTCGCGGAGTGCTGATCCTCTCCGGCACGGCGTTAGCGTGCCGAATGGCGCGACTGGAGGCGATCTGATCGTCGGCCTGGGCCAGTGCATGCCTGCGCCTCCTCGGAATAATACTACCTGGTGCACGCGCAGTGGCAACACGGGGGCGTACGGATTGCACGCGATCCGGCCATTGGGCGGAACTGACAACCTTCAAAGTACAGAACACGCACGTCACCTGAGGGAATCACGGGATCAGGTGACGGCCGCCGTCAGGTGCTCGCCCTTAGTCAGAAAACCAAGTTCCCGGACTCCCGGTGACATCACCGGATCCACCTCGACCACGTCCTAGACCGGTCGATGGCTGCAGGTGATCGGGGCTGACCTGGCCGGAGTACAGTGACACAGCAAAAGTATTAACACCCCCCTAGACCCACCCCCCCCCCTTATTACCTAATATTCTGCCGGCCTAAAACTCCATGAATTTCTATCTAGTAGGGCGTATACCAGCCCTGGCTCTCAATAATAGCTTCCACCCGGTGCGGCATCGTCTCAGATAGATGCGTTAGGTGCTGTATTTCTAGTTCTTCCCATGCTATCTGTGCTGTCTCCACTAGAATAGCGTAGGACGCGCTATTATTACGCATATCAATAAGATCCGGCCGTAACTCATAGATTTTAGCCTTCAAGAGCGCCCATAGGTTCTCAATAGGGTTTAAATCAGGCGAATGAGGCGGCCATTCCATTACCTCAATTCCTAGCTCGCGTAGAGTATCGCGGACAACGTGTGCAGTATGTGTAGGCGCATTATCATGCTGAAAGATACCACCCTCATGATTCATTAATGTAGGCAGCATTCGGAGATATAAATCTCGAATAATAAAGCGATCAACGCCTCCGCGAGGTGCTTCAGGGTTTCCAAATAGAGGGATAAGGCCAGTGCGTCGTGTGCTGCCAGAAAAAGCCCCCCAAAACATCTGCTTAACTTGGTTTCCTTTTATAGGAAGACCTTGACATTGTCTCTCCTTAGGCTGATCTCGAGGGCGAATAAAAGTCCATTCACGACGAACACTAATACCGCGCTCAATTGTACATTCGTCAGACCAATAGACACGAGCCCAATCTTCAGCAATAAAGTGTCGATAGCGATGCGCCCATTGAAGCCGTTTTAGCGCATTTTGTTCGGTCAAATAGGGCCGCCAGCTACAGCGCCACTTTCGCATATTCTCGGCGTTTAAAAGGCGTCGGATCGAGTCATATTTAACCAAAAATTTAGGTCAGTAAGCATTTAAAACTAAAGGAATATAGCTAACCTTATTCGACACATTTGCAAGCAAATCAACGCGGGTAATCTTAGGATTTTCCTCAATAGCGTTTAACAAACGCTCACGATCAGCTTCATCAAGCTTCCGTGGGCGTCCAGAGCGTGGTTTAGAGACACCATCGAGTCGTTCGCGGTCCTTTTTAATAGTATAGCGTATACTAGAAAGAGAGACCCAAGGATAGCGCTTTTGAATACGTTTATAGCCCCATCCCGCAGCTTGGGACAGCTCACATATACGCTCACGTAGCGCAGGTGTCAATTCAGACCGCGGTGCCATAATAGATAGCAAAATAAGGAGATTCAGGAGGTATAAACAGAATAACGCGCAAAAACGCGAGATTATTGAGCTACTACTAGCGTGTTCCTAGGTAGGCGGTGAGAGGGCGGTGTAGGCGTGGGTCCAGGGGGTGTTAATACTTTTGCTGCGTCACTGTACTTGGGTACTCGGTTCTCTGTCACTGCCCTGTATCGCGGCGCTTGGGTGCGCTCAAACTTGAGATCTAGGTACCTACGCGCCCAGTACACCTGCCCTTCATCGGGTCAGGCAATGATTTGCCCCCTCAATGGCAAACCCCTTGTGGTCCTGGCGGGTGATCGTCAGGCAACGCATATTCTCTGGGCGTCTTCACTGTCGAGACCGCGATCGACCAACAGTTGGGGAATACCGAATGCCCCGGTGGACACATTATGACAATCGCGCCTTTCATATTAATGGGTGCCTGGGGAAGGGAAGGGAGACCTTGAAACCAGCCCTAGGGATGGCGCGAACCACCCTTACCCGAAGAGTTGTAGACTTTTGGCCTGTCATGTCATGTCCGGGAAAAGGGTTAGGACAGACGAAATGAGTGGTTGCCAGACTTGAGCATGTCAGGTTCACTATCAATGCGACCCGGAATTCACGAAGCGAAGTGGAGCCGTGGTTATCGCATCATCCCAGGCCGGCGGCGACGGCGCACACAAACCCTCAAGACACGCGCTCAGTAGTACTGGAGGGAAAGTAGATGGGAGATATAGTCGAAAGGGAGTACCGCGACAGTAATAGCCCTCGTAAAACAAAAAAACACAGTCCCGATACACCGTGTTACACGCGAGGATCCTCTCCCCCCGCATGCTCAGAGAGAAAGGCCCCCGCAAAGCGATGAGCGATTTTGGTGGGCCACACTGCCATACCGGACTTCCTCCTTCCTTCTCCCCTTCTTTTTTTTTTGTTCACCTTCCACCTGCACACTACCTTTTTTTTTTGGACCCCCTTCTTCCTTTCTCTTCTTTCTCAACTTCACAACTCTCGCTCCGCTGCTCCATTCTCAACATTTCGACATTCTACACTACCTCCGCTAGCCGCCCGATCACTCGGCCCTCCGCGTCATTCCACCAACTTCCACCCGGAATTGAGGGTGCCTCGCTTGATTGGGGACTTTCAAAAAGTCGATTGCCAGGAAGTCCTCTCACTATGGCCTCGTTCAAGGTATGTGGTCAACGAGCCGTCTCCGGTCCATGAGTCATTTTGGTGGTTTCGCAGACTGATGATGTGGCCCTGTCGGCCCGCTCTATAGGAATTGTCCCTCTCGCGTCCTCTCAACCCCAACCAGCGTTCCCACGCACACTCCATTTCGCTCGGTGCAGTCAATGCCAACAACCGCGTGACTCGCAGAAAGAGTGTCACCACCTCCGCTGCCAATGCCGCCGCTGCGGTCGCGGCTTCTATGAAGGAAGGCGGAGAGTCCCTGTCGCTCCCCATGGCCGCGCACCGCCGCAGCCTTGGGGGCCGCAAGGGACTGGAATCCGCTTCGGTTGGCAGCGCGTCCGGCTATGCTTCATACCTGTCTCGAAGCGTGAACAGCCCCAGTCAGGAGCCGGTTCCTCGCAAATCCTCGCCCACCAACTCTGAAGCGGACGGCAAGGCAATTCCCAAGGGTCGCAACCGTCGAGCCAGTGAAGGTGCCCAGATGAAGATCGACGGAAAACGCAACCCGGCGGAACTCCGCTGCGATCGCTGCGGGAAAGGGTACAAGCATGGCAGCTGCTTGTCCAAGCATATGTGTGTATCCCCCCTTGGCGCCCGTCCTCTCGAAAGATCGGGGAGTATGCGCTATGTCGGCTCTGTACAGGTCGCCCTCGTGGTTCATTCAACTCCCCTTCGTCATTCATTCTCTCCCCCTTGCACTCCCCTGATTTCGGTGGCATCCGGTTGACGTTTCTTGTTTGTGGCATCTTAGGTGGGAGCACGACCCGGCATGGTCCATTACCTCGAAACTTCTCATTTCCAAGCACCAGCAGGTCCAGTTGCTCGAGGCCGCTTCCGTGTTGGTCAACATGAACATCGACGAGGAGCCCGAGCAGTCTGCCGAGGCAGACTCGGAAATCTCCTCTGGCTCGCCCGACGCCTTATCCGACGTACGGGATGGCATCAGCTCGGCCGAGACCACGCCGCCCCCGATGGATGAGCAGGAAGAGGACGACGACTTTGAAATGTCGGGCATGCCGGCCAACTGGACCAAGCGCCCCAGCATCAGCAACGCCTCGGCCTTCTCCCGCTCTTACCAGTCGATCCCTTCCAGCTCCTATACCGGTAGCGCTCCGCTCCACTCCCCTGCCTTCTCCCACTTCCGCAAGGCGAGCGTCGATACTCGTCCGTCGACCGCGGATACGCGGCTTCACGAGGACGACGAGGCCGACCTGGCTGCCGCCATCGGACTGTGCAACTTTGGCACTCCTCGCACCAATGCCGTCTCGAATACCCCGGATGTGCCACCTGTCCCTCCGCTGCCGGCTCGCTATCTGGACTCGGGCAGCCACCCCAGCAACCAGAGCCCAGGCTTGGCTCAACCGGGCCCTATGAGCGAAGCTCTCCGTCGTGAATCCAACGCTGAACTCTTCCTTTCCCCGTCGCTCAACCCGTCTCAGTCTTACAAGGTGTCAGATCTGCGTGGAGCACGATCCGGAGAGGACACGGCCCAAGAGACCCGCCAACGTCGCAATGCTGATGTGGACTTCGGCAGCCGCCCAACCCCAACAGACGACGATGACGACGGTGTTTTCGGCCGCATGGAAGAATAGACCTTCCAGCCAGCTCAGAGCCGGCCGCCGTGGCGGCTCTGCTGCCGCTCGACGACTTTTTCACGACGAAATGTACGAGCTTGAGCGTTTTTCTTGAGCAACTTCTTGTTTACACGATTACTTATACACGCACACTGCATAATGAAGGAATGCACTCTGGACCGCGTTGAGACCTTTTGGAAATGTCACGATCTGGAATGAGCGGGGTTTGTTCTTCGCAACAGTGTGTCTAAAGAATTTCGGGAATCTTCCAATGTTTCACTTTGGGATCCCATGTACCATGTCTCCTTGGCCCTACCATTCTTTTTTTTTTTTTGCCTATTCGTTCTGCCAGTATTTTTTCTTTTGTTCCTGGAAACCCCCATAAATGGCCTTACTTGATTGGCCGGCGCATACTCATATCCCATACCAGTTCCTCTGCTTCTTGATTTTTTCTTTGTTTCGTCTCATGCTCGCACATATACACCTATCTGTCTAAACCTCATATCCCGTGTTTTCTCGTCCGCTATCTTCTCCATTGTCTCTGCCATTTCTGGCCCTCTCCCTATACCGTGTGTACTCCAACCATCAGACGGGGCACGCAATGAATATAACTCATGAAACTGTACCATATTATCCTCTAGTACCGTAGTATATCACGTCCTGTGAAGCTCGATAAATTTCCGTCTCAAAGACTAGTCCTTCTCCGGGCACTCGCCGGCCCACCAGGACTGAAACCATATGCAGGTCCAAAAATAGCTCCAAAGAAATCCTGGAACCTGGCTAGGTGGTTTCGGCCGCAGACATTTCTTTGTTGTCTGCAAGCTTACGGTAACTGTCTCGGTCGAAACCTTTACCGAGGGTGCCAGGCCTTGCCACTCGTATGAAACCATTACCTGGGTATAGTCAGCAGTTATCCCTGTATCTCACAGGACAGACGGTATTTCGGAATCCAATGTCGACTTTCATGGAGACCTTTCAGCTTTCAGGGATAAAGGAGCCGTTTGTGGCGGATTTGATGCCTGCTAGATGGACTGGGCCATCGCGATGGCCTGTCTATTGACATGGCTAATCCACGATCAACCGGAAGGAAAACTATAATTCCCTCTAGATTAAAAGTTGATATGATATACTCTAAACTGATTTCTGCTTATTTTCTTGCTAACGTGTTTGGTATCGGTAGGGGGCACTTTTGACTCAAGAGAATCCCGAAATAGAAAACACAACAAGAGTGGTTCAACAGGACACACTACTGACGTCGATGTGCCCTCTAAAATAGTCAATTTGTTAGGTGATTCGTCACTGTTTGACAGTAGCGAGGTGAGGAAACGATTGTACAAGCCTGGGAAAATCCGAGTAAGGAAATCTACAAAAGGGGCTTTTGGTGACAGAAGATATTTAGATTCTTCCTAGTCATAGATCTACAACGTAAAATCGCCCAAATGCTAAACATTTCAATGGCAAAGATATGAGAATCCATAACTCGAAAAGATTGTGAATAAAATTCTTCACTGCCGGCTCGTTGGATGTGAGACGTAGAGCCGGTGATATCGATTGCTTTTGAGGAAGAAACACCATGATGTAATGAAATGCAAACCCAACTCCAGGATCGTATCGTAGCGGTCGAAATAGCAGTCGAAACATAAGAAAGAAAACCCAGATCAAGCACGTGCTTAATCGATTTGCATCTCGTCCTGCACTCCACCATCGACCAACAGCTTCTTCTTCTTCCTCTGCTCCAGCAGATCCCCACCGTGGACACGGTTGGCGGTCTTGCTCTGCTCGGCCACCATAGGTTGGCCTTCCTCGCGGTCGCGCAGCTCCTTGCGGATAAGGTGCTCGCCCTCGGCGACGACCTTGCGGTCGGCCTCGCGCTGGCGGTCGCGAGCCAGCTTGCCGGCCAGGCGGCGCTTGGTGAACACACGTTCGCGGCGTTGGCGGATCTCCTCGACACGCTGCATGGCGGTGACGGTGGCGGCAACCAGGTTGCGGTCGTACTTGATGGGGACGTTGCGCTTCTTGGAGAACTGGGACAGCACCAGGGACGAGTCGACGATCATCTCTTTGCCGCGAGCGGCGCGGTGGCTCTTGGTCCACTTCAACTTGCGGGGCTGGCGCTTCATCTTGAAGTTCTTGTGGCACTTGGACCGACAGAATCGGAACTGGCGGGCGTCATTGCGGACGAATGTGATGCCCTTCCCCGGGAAGGCGGGGCGGGAACAGAAATGGCAGGTTTCCACACTGGAGAACGGAGAGTTAGCAGAAGTCACGGAATATTGAATCTGATGTAAACGTACCGCATGGTTGCTGGGTGTGGTTGTTCTGGCGGTGTCGCAAGAAGTTTTTTTTTTGAAGCTTCGGGCGGCGTGGAGGAGCGGCGCTAAACCTGATTGGGACTCGCGCGCTGACTTTTATCCCGCGACCCTTTTGACTCTTTCTGACCTGCCCGAGATTCATCGCCCTCTCGATCTTCGCTCATCCTACCTGTCCCCATGGCTTCCACTCTTGCTGTTGGTCTCGGTGTCGGCGTGGCCGCCTTCCTGGTAAGTTGAGCCGCTGATTTTTCAGGAGTATCTGAACTGATTGTTTTGCAAGGGTCGCGCCGGTCTGATCGCCTATCGCCGCTCCAAGGGAGGCGTCAACGCCGCCGGAAAGGCTTTCTACAAGGGGTTCGTCTAATATCAACGATTGAATTGGATTGTCACTAACACTTTGTATAGAGGATTCGAGCCGCGCATGAACCGCCGTGAAGCCTCCCTGATCCTCGAACTTCCGTACGTACCTCGGCAACATCCACATCCATCCGACCTGGAAACTAACATGAATGTATTTGCAGTGAGCGTACTCTGAACAAGGACAAAGTGCGCAAGAAGCACCGTCAGCTCATGCTGCTCAACCACCCCGACCGCGGGGGAAGCCCATACTTGGCCACCAAGATCAACGAAGCCAAGGAGTTCCTCGACAAGCATACATGATATTCTCGATTCGACTCAATCTATTTAGACCAACTCCCATGACGTTGGACATTATCTCTTTAAGAAGGCAGATCGTCGCACTCGGGCTTCACGTCCGAGAGACTGGCCATATTTTGGGTGCATAGCGTGGCGTTTGGTTGATATTTACCAGGGCGAGGGACAGAACGAAGTGTTCACTTCCTACCTGCTTGTATATTATGTACTTTCACATACTCTGATGAGATCGCCACTCCAAATGTACTATCTTATATTATACTACATCTTGTACTATAAACTACAGAGCATCCGGGCTCCCACTCATCGCAGTAGGCTTATAGGCCCAGGCCTAGATAATATTCCGGGATGCAACATGCAACTCCATGCCTTACCGACCTCTCAGCAGACCGACGATCTCTGCTTGTTCCAGTCCCCGAGACTGCACGAATCGGCGCAGCCCGCGCAGTTTCAGACTCGGGTCCGATCTACCCCACCTTCGGATTCTTTTAGCACGTCGTTCTCGCTTTTGTCGGTTCCGATGAAGGTGTCATTTTGTAGCTTGAAATTTGCGCCAATCAGTCAGATGCATCCGAGCAGGATCCGGGCGCTAGCGAAGGAGCAAGAAGGACACTAGCCGGGCACGCACTTTACCCGGACGAAAAGGACGGAGTTCACGCCCCGACCTCACCGCACCGCCACAAGCCCGCTCTTGGGTCGGAATCGGGGTAAACCGTCTCCGTCTTTCAACGTCCAAGGCAGCAGATTTCTCTCGTATTTCGTATTGAGACATGCGATTAAGGCACCCCTGAACTGGAAGGCTAGAAGGATCCTAATCCTGCCGGGCTCCCCCCGGGTTGAGTCAGCTTTCTTACCTAAAATCCGGAGAACAGAAAAAAGACCGAAGATACTTCGTAGGGTTCGCCTCTCGAGTTCGTCATCCACTTTGGCCCACTATCAATCTCTCTCTGATCTTCAACTTCAGGGAGAGCTCCGGAAAAAGCACCACTCTGACGCGACTGCCCCGCAGCGTCACCTTACTTAACACCGCCCTCTCCTTCTCCACTCCGCGGAGTTTCCACGCGAGAAAAAAAAATGGACGGCCTGGGGGATGACGATGGCATGGGCTTCGACATGAAGTCCATGATGATGAACCAGCAGGCTCAGCTCTACGGTAACTACTCTCATGACGGCCAGATGGCTGGTATGTCCGGAGGCTCCATGTACGACGACTCGGCATTGGGCGCGGGGGAGGAATCCAACGATGCGAAACGGCGACGGATTGCGAGGGTGCGGACAACTTATTGGTTCTCGTCCACGTCCTATGCTAACAAGGTTTCTTGAGCTATAGGCATGCGACATGTGCCGGAAGAAGAAGATCAAGTGCGACGGCAAAATGCCCAAGTGCTCACACTGCATCAACTATAAGACGGACTGCGTCTTCACGCAAGTGGAGAAGAAGCGGAACCCACCCAAAGGGTATGTTGGCTAGTGCATACGTCCTTTTCGATTCCTGACACGCTAGGCAGTGCCAAATACATCGAGGGCTTGGAGAACCGCTTGGGGCGCATGGAATCCCTCTTGCGATTGTCCGGCCTCTTGTCGGAGGACGACAATGGAAAGACAGATCTGGGCACTCTAGAAAAGCGACTGGCCGATCGAACGAATGCCTTGAACACGGCGGGAAATGCGAAACAATTTACCGCGCCGAGTTCACTCCGGCAAACATCGACCTCTCGCATCGCCACACCCGTCATGGATTCGCAGTCCAGCCCGCCCACCGCCGCCACCACCACTACATCACCCGAATCACAAAATCAGTCCGAGGGAGAAGTCGAGGCACTGTCGGATATGATGTGCTCTCTGGTTACCAACAATTGCGGAGAGACTCGGTACATTGGTACGGTTCTATACAAATTAAATAGAAAGATCGGGGTACTGACAATGGTATCGCAGGGTCTTCCTCCGGATTCTCCATCTTTTCTCCAAAGGGCATTCAATGGGTCAACGAAAAGACAGGAGACACTTCATTCCAAGAGATGATCTCGTCGGCGTACGTGGATGACAATAAGTGGATGTACTGGAAGCCGGAGATTTTCAGCGACATCTTCGCCCGCCGTGTGTTCAAACCGCTTCCCCCGAAAGAGGAGGCTCTTTCTCTATTCAAGGACTTCTTTGAGAATTTCAATTGCATGTTCCCGCTATTCCACGAGGCGACGTTCATGCATCTGGTGGACCGACAATATTCTCGCGACCCTTACGAGGGTTCCGGATGGTGGGCGAGCATCAACGTCGTGCTGGCCATCTCCCACCGCCTCCGTGTCATGAGCAATCTGGTACCACACGAGGAAGACAAGAAAGCATGGCTATATTTGAAGAATGCCATGGGTGTCTTGACAGAGTTGACTATGCGTAATACCGATCTCTTGAGTGTACAGGCACTTTTGGGCATGTCGCTCTTCCTACAGGGTACTCCTAACCCTCAACCAGCTTTCTTCCTGGTGGCCGCGGCAATTCGTCTCTCCCACAGCATCGGGTTGCACAAACGCGGCTCGGGCTTCGGACTGAACCCAGTGGAGGTGGAGCAGCGGAAGAGAGTTTTCTGGATTGCATACTGCCTCGATAAAGACATATGTCTTCGATCTGGTCGGCCACCGGTGCAAGATGACGATGATATGAATGTTGAGCTGCCGAGCGAGGACCCGCCAGACAATGTTGGCAACGTCCCACTTGCTGATGGCAAGGGCAAATTCAACCTCTTCAGATCCCTGTGCGAGTTCGCTACCATTGAGAGCAGCGTGTATAAGAGACTCTACTCCGCCAAGGCCTCAAAACAGTCCGATGGCGAATTGCTCAACACTATTGGTGAACTTGACAAGGAGTTGGAAGACTGGAAAGACAACATCCCTATCGATTTCCGCCCCGAATATGAAATCCAAGCAACTCACGGCCCACTTCTACTCCACGTTGTCGTTCTCCACTTTGCATACTATAATTGTCTAACCACGATCCACCGCATGTCTGTGCATCACGGATATTGGACCAGCCGTCTATCCAACTATGCAATTCAAGGTCTTAATGCGCGACCCTTGAACCCCAGGGTATTCCTGTCCGCAGTTCTTTGCGTGACTGCTGCGAGGGCATCAATCAATCTGATCAAGTACATTCCACAGGGAGACTTTGCTTGTGTCTGGTAAGTGCTCCAGCCTTTTGGATATCGAATCTTTTACTGACTATATTTTTCACAGGTTAATACTCTACTATCCAGTGTCTGCACTAGTCACTCTCTTTGCCAACATTCTCCAAAATCCAAGTGACGCTCGTGCCCGTTCCGACGTCAAGCTGATGAATGTTGTCGTCAATTTCCTCTCCACTCTGGTTTCTGATGAATCGAACGGTAGCATCAAGCGCATGCTGGGTCTATGCGGTGAATTCGAGAGAATTGCCAAGGTCGTCCTTGACAAGGCGGAGAAAGAATCCCATGCGCGCAAAAAGCGCAAGAATGCACCAGAGGACGAGACAACCGAGGGACGGCGCGACCCCTCTGCCAATAAGCCTTCACACGCACCGCCATCGTCAGCGCCTTTTTCACCATCCATGTTTATGAATAACCCCAACGCCGCAACATCTCCTCTCGGTGACACCAATGGCTTTGGTGCAAACCAAGGTATGCCTCCAACCACCGGCATGTCCAGTGACCTACCGAGCAATATCAGCACAATGCCTGGTCTCCAACAAGACTTCCCAAACATGTTAAGTCCTGATCATATGGCCAATGCGGGCTTCTCCGATCAAAACTCCTTCCCCGCTAGCCCGAATATGCCATCCTTCCAACAGCCCTTTGTACCACAAGACCTTTGGCAGATGCCAATGACGATCGAGTGGGACTGGGCTGACTTATCTACGAATTTTCCTGTCTTCGAATCCGGGGGCGCTGGCCAACCGCCTGCGCAGTGATTATGAATGTATGACTCCATTGAAGATCTGAGGATCCCATATGGATTATTCTGTATTTGTTTAGATTTGCGCGGCGCTCGGTACTGGTCTATAAGGAGTTGTTGTTCCTGGCATCATCAGATGGGTATGTATTTCTCTCCTCCAAGGTCCTATCTCCCCTACATGTACATAGAAGTATCTCCAAACTTTCACTTTCAGCGATGGTCACAAACCGGCTTTTTGTTCTGATGTGCCTTAGCGGTTAGATTACCAATAGTTAATGTACAAACCGAGCAAAATGATACCTGAAGTGAAGGAGCTTGCTCTGTCCTTTCACTACATTAACACCCATCTTCCTACAAGTCCTATCTTCTCTCCCCCTTTGGTATTACGTAGTTGTAGGTGTGTTAACACCGTTGTTAAGTCCATCCCCGAGGTTCGACCGGGTTCCGATGACTCAGCTCGGAACGGCGTGATTTTTTCGCCGAAACGGCAGCTCCAGAGCTCCCACATCATCGTCGATTCTCTCTATGGATTGCGCGCAGTTGTCCATCACTGCTGTCCCCGATTGATCACCCCCTTCCTCTGCCTGAGTAGCCCTCTGGGCTCCCGTATCCTCGACCATGGCCGCCCTTCTCCGACGGCCAGGCAACATTGCTCGAATCTCGAGGAGAGCCACAGATTGCCTCATCCGCGCAGGCCCAGCCTCTTTGCGAGTGCCCCCGGCTCGACTTCCGTCTCTCGCTCCCCCCTTCCGTGTCCGAACCTATGCCACCGACGGCCCCGGTGGCCCGACGCCTCCGGACAATAAGCCGAGCGGTAATGGACCGGAGAACAATGGTCGCAAAGATGAGGACCCGAAAAACTCGGAGAAGCCTGAGACGGTCTTAAGCGAAGAAGAGCAGAAGCAACTGGATGCGTTCATCAAACATATCGAAGGCCGTCTGCCTCCGTCACAGCATGAGTCGCTTCATGAGATGCGGCGCCAGTTCATGAAGGACGGAATCCCATCGGACGTGAAGTCATTTATCGACAACCACGGCAATGCGTCTTTGATGGACTATCTGCGGATGACGCGATTCCTCTTGAAATATACCAGCCAGCAAGCCGACCAGCAAGCAAAGAAGGATGTTGCTCGTATGATGAACAAGTCGGTGGAGGAGATGGAGAAAGAAGCCGAAGAGGCCAAGAAGAAGTCACAGAAGAGCCAGGAAGAGCCTGGCCAGAAAAATAAAAAAGACCAGAAGGACAAGCAACAGGGTCCGGTCCCCGGCGGCAGAGTCTTTGAATTCCGTTTCGATCCCGCCTCCTTCCTTGTTACCGCCCTCGTCACATACTACGTCTACCGATCCTTCTTCCCCGGCGAGAGTAGTGCCCGCGAAATCACCTGGCAGGAGTTCCGCGCCAACTACCTTGATAAGGGTCTTGTGGAGAAGTTGACAGTTTCCAACGGTAGCCGGGTCCGGGTTGACCTCAACCGCGAGGTTGTGGCTCAGGCTCACCCCGATTCCGGTGGCCAGCCTGTGAGCCACGTATACTTCAGCATTGGCTCGGTCGACAGTTTCGAGATGAAGCTTGAGAATGCTCAGAATGAGTTGGGCATCCCACCCCACGAACGGATTCCGGTTTCTTATGTCGACGAGGTCCCATGGGGCAGTGCTTTGCTGTCCTTCGCTCCTACGTTGATCTTGATCGGTGGTATCTACTGGGCCTCGCGTCGCGCTGGTGGTGGTGCCGGTGGTCAGGGTGGAATTTTTGGCATCGGCAAGAGCCGCGCCAAGCGTTTCAACCACGAGTCCGACATCAAGATCAAGTTCTCCGACGTCGCCGGTATGGACGAGGCTAAGGTTGAGATCATGGAATTCGTGAGCTTCCTCCAGCAGCCCGAGCGCTTCGAAAAGCTTGGTGCAAAGATTCCCCGAGGTGCTATTCTCTCTGGCCCCCCTGGTACTGGTAAGACACTGCTTGCTAAGGCAACCGCTGGTGAATCTGGCGTGCCATTCTTTAGTGTCAGTGGCTCCGAGTTCGTGGAGATGTTCGTCGGTGTTGGTCCCTCGCGTGTCCGTGATCTGTTCGCAAACGCCCGCAAGAACACCCCCTGCATTATCTTCATTGATGAAATCGATGCTATCGGTAAATCCCGTTCTAAGTCGAACTTCGGTGGTGGAAACGATGAGCGTGAGAGTACCCTCAACCAGATCCTCACCGAGATGGACGGCTTCAACACTTCCGAGCAGGTCGTCGTTCTGGCTGGTACCAACCGACCTGATGTTCTAGACAAGGCCCTTATGCGACCTGGACGTTTCGACCGACACATTACCATTGATCGCCCTACCATGGATGGCCGCAAGCAGATCTTCAATGTCTACCTGAAGAAGATTGTTACCGATGAGAACCTGGAGTATCTCAAGGGCCGACTTGCTGCTCTGACCCCCGGTTTCGCTGGTGCCGATATTGCCAACTGTGTGAACGAAGCCGCTCTTGTTGGTAAGTATATATGAGATCAGATTACTAGAGTTATGCTAACGCCCGATACAGCCGCCCGTGAGAATGCCGACAAGGTTGTTATGAAGCACTTCGAGCAAGCCATCGAGCGAGTGGTCGGTGGTCTTGAGAAGAAGTCCCTTGTGCTGTCTCCCGAGGAAAAGCGCACTGTTGCTTACCACGAGGCTGGCCACGCCATCTGTGGTTGGTACTTCCAGTGGGCCGATCCGCTGCTCAAGGTCTCGATTATCCCGCGTGGACAGGGTGCTCTGGGTTACGCTCAGTACCTCCCTGCTGGCGGTGACACCTACCTGATGAACGTCAACCAGATGATGGACCGCATGGCCATGACTCTGGGCGGCCGAGTCAGTGAGGAGCTCCACTTCGACACTGTGACAAGCGGTGCCAGCGACGACTTTAACAAAGTTACCCGCATGGCCACCGCCATGGTAACCAAGTTCGGTATGTCGAAGAAGCTCGGCTACATCTACTACGAGGAGGATGGCCAGCAGCAGCTCCAGAAGCCTTATTCCGAGGACACTGCCCAGAGCATCGACTCGGAGGTGCGCCGCATCATCAACGAGGCCTACAAGAAGTGCCACGACCTTCTCACTGAGAAGAAGAGCGAGGTCGGCAAGGTCGCTGAAGAGCTCCTCTCCAAGGAGGTTCTCAGCCGTGACGACATGATCCGTCTGTTGGGCCCGCGTCCCTTCCCCGAGTCCGGCGAGTTCGCCAAGTACTTCGATGGCAGGAACGGCGAGACCATCGCCCCACCTGAGCCTCCCCAGAATCCCGAGGAGACATCCGGCAAGGATGGACGGGATGAGACCCCGATCCCATAAAGGGGTTGGAAGTGATGGTTCTTGTTTTGTATTGATTTGGACTGCATCTTTGGCAAATCTCGCAGGTAGTGGTATCATCGCGGTCTCCTCGGTTTTCTTTTTGTATTTATGGACTTGCATCTGTTTCTTCTTCATTTTTGACTCCCCTCTCAATACTCTTTTTCTCGTCCCTTCTACCTCTCAAATCACTTTTCTTCAACCATGTCGCGATTAAATATGAAGAGCTTTTCCTATTCATCTCTTGTTATTGGGACTTCTTTTTGAATGTCCATGTACTACTGTGTCGAGTGTATATTATAAAGACCTTTGAAGCCAGTTGTTGGTCAAGTAGATTGTTCTCTCGTAGTGTTTGATGACATAGTTTGGTATTCAAATGTTGCATATATACCGGATAATGTCCGGCAACGCTTACTAGGTCCCTGCAATTCGGGGGTCAAAGAAGGGTAGTGGTACTGTATTATAATTGAATTACCCTAGTTTTTTAAATGAGACTATTTATGCTGTAAATATGTACATGCACCTATACATATAAAACTAGGTTCAACGATCTTCAGTGAGAGGTGGTCAGCTTTAACATTGAGAGGAGCGGGTTTAATTGATCCTAAACGAAAAGGCATCTCTGGTCCACGGGTTGTATGTACACATGTGAGAAGTGTCACATGTTGTATATTGACCAACCTTGGAAACCGCCTCATTGGACCTGGCATGATTCTTTCAATATTCAAACGTTTAAACGAGAACTACGATATTCCTTTTCGGGACTTTGATGGAATATAGATGCTCTCTATCTGGTAAATTCATTATGCTATCCAAAGAAAGATATGATTATTTTTGACCTTGTAACCGCACTGCCCAGGGAAATCTCTAGACAGCTGCAGAAGCAGAAGCAGACGGGCTGGCTTCACTACCAGTATTAACAAACGTATCATTCCAAGTGTACATCGGACCAGCATAGTACGTCTTCCCAGTCTGCAAGCTCTTCGTACAATGGGCACTATCCAAAGATGGGTTAACCAGGACGGACAAAGCGTGCATGATGCTCTCCTGCCCACAAATGCCCACACAAGTATCATTAGCTGCAGCCTCATGCCAACGACTACAATTCTCAGTTGTGCCGTAGGCCAAGAAAGCGTTTACCCGTGGCGCAACGTACCAGCTGTAAAGACCGCACCCCAAAATCCAGATGCTGCTGGAATCGATAGTTCGAACAGCCCAGGAGATAGCACATGTGACAGAGTCTGAATCACAGTTGGCAAACATTGGGGAATTTCCCGGGATTAAATGGGGCAGGAGCCAAAGGAACAGGTTGGCATTGAATCATTCCCATGATAATTCTGTTGGCGCCGAAAATCTGGTACTGATAAAGCGTGGAATGCTCAGAGGAAGTACCATATAGCCATGCGAGCTGACTTTCAATCAGAATACCACGGCGCGTAGATGTCGATTTGGTCTTGAGTGTTCACGTCCAGATCCTGATCCGCAACCCGGACCCATATGTTCCCCACCTAGCAGACTTCATCCTGTCTATATAGGTGCATAAAACGATAAAAGGGCTTGTTGTTTGGTTTCAGCGACGAATGATTGGCCTGGCGAGACACGTAAACTGTTAAATGACCCTTAATGATATACCACCTTGGGAATTGTGTAACATCATGTTGACAATGAAACTGGGTGACTTGTCTCGCAATTCCAACAACGATAGCAAGACAGGACGCACACAAAGGAAGTTCTGGAGGAATATATGACCAGCTGATGGATTGGCCTAGCGATGATGAGTAGCAGCAATTCGCATTATTCTTATTTAATTGAGGGTCCGAACGTAGGTCAAGAATGTTCAGACAGTCTCGCCGTGAGACTGCTAATCAGGGATCTGTCCGAAAACTCCAAAAGAGGTCAAATACCGGCATCTTCGATCACCACCACCCCTCGCGCAAAGACTGGAAGTCTCCTGAAAGGTCAATCGCCAAGATTCGAAAAGATAGAAGGAAAAATATAGGACAGATACACGATGAAACAGACGAAGAAAGGGAGCTCACTGAGAAGGAATGGGATATTCCTTATCTACGGAACTGGTCATTCGATGTACCACGCCATTCACAAGAATTACATGCACCGAACGTGGAGCCCGACAGAACGATCGGCTTGGGGCTGCAACCTGGAAGACAACTATCACCCGGCGAGACATCGACCTGCGGTAGCCACCGCAAGTCACCGACGCAGGGATCTTACTCTTGGCCGAGCCCTCCAAGCAGGAGAATAGAGCAGTCAGCACCTTCCACGGTGACAGAGACATCTCTGAACATGACAGAGCAACATCTTGCGCGAATCCCCGCTCCCAAAGTGAAGCGATTCTACCAAGAGAGAGAATTGGATGACAAGCTTACTGGGCCTGAGAACTATGCCCTATGGGCCAGGGACATGCGGCGCAAGCTTACTGAGTCCAACGCATGGCCGATTATATCGCAAAGTCTGAGCCCTGTACCATCAGACAGCTGCTATCACGCACAATGGGCCCGCCTCAACAAGCAGGCGTGGCTCCTTATCATCTCCAGCATATCCCGGGAGATACGTCGAGATCTCTGTGACCACTTTTGGTGGAACACGCCCGGAGCTTGGTATTATCTGCAGGAGACGTATTCTTCAGTCCCGGCTACCACCCTTTGCGCTATGCGGGGTATAGGCGACTTGCTCAATCTCAAGTATGAGCAGTGCGCTTCCATGAAGGATTTTCTTGGTCTCATGGTGCAATACTGCCACGCAATTGAGTGTAATCAGGAGGGTAAGAGGGGCACGGAATGGCTGTGGTGCCAATTTATTCTGATGAAATTGGGACCGAACTGGGGCGGTTGGGTTGAAGATTTGATAGAGAGGATTGAAGGAAGTGACAGTGAACTGGACTCATTGGTAGACATGTGTCGACTGGTGGACGATCTTCTAGGTGAGGACGAACAGCGGACACTGGCGGAGGAACGACGACGAGCGACTGCGAGCAATCGTAAGAAATCAAGATTTGAGTTGGCCTAGCTATTCGAAAGGGTAATATGATGGCTGTTTTGAATCATATGGTACTCCAACTCGCTCGATTCATAGAAGAGTTTATCCAATTGGAAGTGCTTCTTGATAATCTGTTGGTGAACCCTGATTTTCCAAATTTATCTAGGCGAGTTCGCTCCCGGGTTCTGAAAAAATTGATCTAGCAAAGACTATCGCACTAGTTAGCCTGGAAAGAATCGTCATGGTAAGTTGACTCACCCAATCCAGAGCCTCCGTGCCGTCAATCATATCCGACATTGCCTCCATGTATGGCAGCTCAACCCCAGAAAAAGGAAGTGTTTCTGCATTTTGGGGATGTAGACTTCGATCGGAATTGAACAGAACCTCATTCACCTTTTGAACCATCAGGTCTAGCGTTAACGAGGCTAGTTGTGACTAAGGAGGGAAATCACCATTTGCTGCCCATATCTGCTGAGTGATTTGAAGCGTGCGGACTTTTTCTGATGCGAAATTTTGGTTGTCTTCCTGAAGAGTTTCCATCCTTACGGAAAGATCGAGACAAAGTACCATGGCTGCTAAGAGAAAGTCATGCACGGTCAGAGCAGTGACCATCCACTGATCCTCGTGTAGGCGCTCTCCTGGAAGAGCTGCCTGGTATATGTCTGCTTGCCGGGCAAGAATTTCAAGAGCGGCCTCTAAGCAGAAGCGGCGGGAGGGTTCAAAAGTAGGATTCTGGGGCTCGTGTCGAATGTAGCGTCGATGAAGCACCACAATGCCCTTGAGAAATAGTAGTTCAAGCGTACATCGCTCCAGAATGATGTCTGAAGAGTCCATGAAAGATTCGCAGACATCTCTTCGGCGTAAGATAACTGGGGTCCTCCCGTATACTTCATTCATTTCGTGATGCAAAGCAAGGATCTCGTCATAGCCAGGAGTAGCAAGAGATTGTGTATGAGCCACAATCTTCTTAAAAGCCCTCATGATGCCAGACTTGACGATTCCATAGAGTATAGGTGTAACTTCCGCGAATGGACGGGAAGGAGGCAATTTTTCCATGCCCACATGGAGGTCCGTATCATACAAATTCCTTGGAACTTGCGTGTCACAATACTCTGTTGGAATCGTGCTCGGGAGACCCATCTGGAATGAAACCAGTGCATCGATCTGAAAAATATGTAGCCAGACGCGGCGGCGCATTTCTCCTTCGAACCTGGGTATGTTGGTCATCTTATTGGGGTCACGATGGTAGCCCATTCAAAAGGCAAGGCGGATAACTGTTCCAAGCTCGAGCCATAACTGTGCGTTTGATGTTGTTTGGGCCATGAATCGGCCTTGAAGGTACAGAAGCAACGCTTCCAATGCATACTCCAATATCTTCGTTGGACTCCCTGTTCCAGAAGGTGACCTCTCAGGTCAGACTATTATCGTTTCCGGCTCAAATCAAGGTCTCGGCTACAAAGCCAGTCGCCATATTTTGCGCCTAGGAGTTGATCGTCTCATCATGGCTGTACGAAACGTTCCAAAGGGCGAAACTGCTCGATTGAAGCTTTTGGAGGCTACCGGACGTGAAGAAAGCTCAATCGAAGTCTGGGAGTTGGACATGGATCGCTACAGCTCCGTTGAAAGCTTCGCGACTCGCGTAACAACACTTCCACGTCTTGACGTCTTTTTGGCCAACGCTGGATTGGCCACAAACAGTTTCACCATGGCAGAGGATAACGAGAGAACAATCACCGTCAACGTAGTTAGCACGTTCTTACTAATTGTCTTGCTTTTGCCGAAACTACGTGAATCCGCCTCGAAGTTTGGCATCGTTCCTCGTGTTTCGATTGTGAACTCGGCCATGCATTACGTTGCACCGTTGAAGGAGATTGATGTGGAACATGGAGATAAAATATTCGCCCGGCTCAACAACAAGCAAACGGCAGACATGGCCATGCGGTACCCCTTGTCGAAGCTATTGGTTCTTTTTGCGGCTAGGGCTTTCGCGGACAAGCTGGAGAAAGGCAAGGAGCCCTTAGTCGTCATCAACACCCCGAATCCCAGCTGGTGCAAGTCTCAGTTGATGCGAGAGTTGAACAGTGCTGCTTTGCGTTTCAGTGAGCGCATGCTGGCTCGCAGTACCGAGGAGGGGAGCCGGGCTTTGGTTCATGCGATTCTGTCTGGTGAAGAAAGTAGTGGTCAGTACCTTGACAATTGTCAGGTGAAGCGGTAAGACCATCATATTCCATCTTCCTCTCATCATCATCTTGCTGATGTTCATTCAGACCGTCTTGTACCGTTACAAACACCAAAGGCGCACGGATCCAAGAAGCCTTTTTCAACGAACTATGGGAGAAGCTCGAGAAAATTTCACCTACCATCAATCTGTGAAGCTTGACTTTGAAGTGATTTTGCTTCTGCTCAGTCCTAATTCGAGTTTTAAGGAGCTCCTTTCACTTGTTTTTGTACCCCGGGCGTATCGCATCTGTGTTGGATGATATTAGTACCTCACTCGCATTATCTGTCTTCCTAATATTCTGGTCTTTCTAAGTTGTGAGAATAGCAATCGATTTGTAATGAGATTCAAGCATTCAAAAAGAATTCTACATACGGAAGATGTGCAAAAATCACGATTCCAGATCCGCCCTTGGTATATCAGCATTAAAGTCCACCTTATTATACCCCTCTAACTTATTTACTCTTCTTTTCTTCAACACCTTTGCGGTGCTTAGCGGCCTTCTTCGCAGGCTTGGTCTGTTTGGCCTCAACGGACAGGCGCGGGATGAAACGGCCCACACGAGCCTGGTACTCGCTGTACTCGGGATACTTGCTAGCGCTGATCGATTCGGTCAGACGAGTGCTTCCCTGGAAGATGGCCAGGTAGCCCAAAACACCGATGCCAGCCCACGAGGCATAGGTCTCGGTGCGGAAGGCGCACCAGGCGTACATAGTGAGCCAAACTGCCTGCTCAGCGACAAAGTTGGGATGGCGCGACCACGACCACAAGCCGCTGACAACAAAGCCACGCTCTAGGTCCTCGGGACTGTATTGGTCCTTGAACTGTTCCGGAATGCGCGCATTGGTCTGGTACTCGTGCTTTGCAGTGTGGAAGTTCCACTGCTGCTGATCGGCGAAGAATTCGATGATAATGAAGAATAAAGCGGCGCGGGAGAAGGCCAGATCGGCGAGACTGAAGGTCTCGGGACCCTGGTTTTCCGCGACGACCACGAAGACATAGGTCGGGGCGGTGATCAAAAGAAGCAGCAGAGACTGGGCCACAGCGATGAACGAGAAGTTGAATATCATGAACAGGAAGCCGTTGTTAACCTTCGAACGCACAATCTGCCAGCGATAATCCTCTGAACCGATGGAGTATCCCCCTTTGCGCCAATAGTTGAATGTCAAACGGATCTGTTCAACGGAACACAAGTAAGCACATTTGAACATAGACGCATCCAGCTAAATACTTACACTCCACAAAACGCTGACAACAGCGATGGTATCCAAAGTCTCGGTGCGAATTCCGGCTAAACGCGCCCAAGCGGCGAAGTGCACGTTGTACAGGGCGGGCAAAATGCTCCAGAATCGGTCCACCTGAGAATAGTTCCGATTAATTTCGGCAGCCACGAAGAAAAGCACAGCCAAGACCGAGCTAAGCGCAAGCGCGGAAACGAAGGGGTTCGTGGCGAGGTAGACGGCCTTCAAGCTATCCACATCCCGGCCAGCTTCGCGCAAGCTGGCTGGGAGCCATTCCAGCTGGCCAAGGTAGGGGAGGACGGTGAGCTTAAAGTTGGTGCAGTCCACCAGGGACTCGACGCGAGGAAGCGGGAGGCTCGACATCTCGGGGCCCGACGAACAAGGACGGAACTATTGAGAAAGGTGGGAAAGCTCAAGTTCGGGGTTCGCAGGTTAATGTTTGGGTTGCCTCATTGGGTATGGTGACATCTGAGTTGATGCCTGAGGACGACGCGCCGTGGGTCCTCAGGCATCCAACTTTCGCGTCCCAAAGTATTTCCCCGTTGGGATATCACCTACGCTGCGGATGGGCCCCATCTAACTGAGTGCTGGCTCATCATGGCCCGTAAGATTCTCTGCGTGGCAGAGAAACCTGCCATTGCCCGTGCCGTGGCCACGCACATGTCCGGTGGTTCTTTCCAGACAGTGAGTGCTCCGCATATCGCGTGGAATCGGGGCTAATTTGAACAGCATGCGATTCGCGGCAATCAATATGTCAAGAACTATGAGTTCGAATTTAACTTCGGCGGTCCCTGGGGGAACTGCTCCGTGACCATGACCAGTGTGATTGGTCACCTCACCGGTCTGGATTTCGAACGCCAGTACAAAGGCTGGATGTCTTGTCCTCCTGGGTCTCTGTTTGAGGCACCAGTGCAGGAGTCTGTTGATAAAGTTTGTGATCAGCCGAACAGTACAGCGAACGACTTTGCTAAAACCGCCATAGGACAAGTTGCCAATTGCAGAGAACATTCGCAACCAAGCCAGATACAGCAAGGCGCTGTTTATCTGGACCGATTGCGATAGGGAGGGAGAACACATTGGTTCTGAGGTCCGGAATCAGGCAAGGTCCGGGAATTCTCGAATTGAAGTGAAGCGAGCCAAATTCAGCAACACGGAGAGAGCGTAAGTCTGGTTTTTGGTTGGCATGATCATCCTTTTACTGATTCAAATGATTCTTGTTTTTCAGTCACGTTCTTCGCGCCGCGAGGGAACCCGTCGAGCTAGATGAATTCCAAGCTAATGCGGTGGCTGCCCGAATCGAGCTTGACTTGAGGATTGGCGCTGCTTTTACTCGTCTGCAGACTCTTCAGCTTCAGGCGGTTGCCGCAACATTGAAAGAGAAAATCATCAGCTATGGTGACATACCTCCCATGGTTCTTATGGATTTATACTAACGCTCTACAGGATCATGCCAGTTCCCTACGCTGGGTTTCGTTGTCGATCGGTACTTACGAGTGAAAAACTTCAAGCCAGAAACATTCTGGAGCATCAAGGTCATGCATCAGCGAGAAGGGAAGAAGGTGAACTTCCTCTGGAAGCGTGTTCATCTATTTGATCGCGCAGCTGTCACGATGATGCTGGAGCGATGCCTAATGGCCAAGGAAGCCAAGGTCACAAAAGTAAACCAGAAGCCCAAGAGCAAATGGCGCCCCCTACCCTTGACAACTGTGGATCTCCAGATGATGGGCAGTCGTTTTCTCCGCATGGACAGCCAGACGATTATGAAAGTTGCCGAGGCGCTCTACACCAAGGGATACATCAGCTATCCACGAACAGAGACAGATCAATTCGACAAGGCCATTGACCTGAAGAAGCTGGTTGAGAAGCAGTATCCCGATGATGCATGGGGCCAATATGCCCGAGAGTGAGTTTTTGTGTACTTTCATTTCTGAACCCGAAGCTAACATATTCCCCCAGACTCATCGACGGAAAATTCAGGACCCCTCGGTCTGGCCGTCATAACGATAAAGCCCATCCACCCATTCATCCCGTGTGCTGGGTTTCGCAAAGCCAATTAAACGCAAATGAGAAGAAAGTATATGAATTTGTGGTCCGGCGATTCCTCGCTTGCTGCTCAGAGGACGCCAGAGGCCATGGCACAGAGATCGAAATCCAATATGGCGAAGAGCTATTCCATGCCAATGGCCTGATCGTCTTGGAGAGGAACTATCTCGACGTTTACGTCTACGATAAATGGGAGAGCAGCCAGCAGCTCCCCAACTTTGAGAAAGGAGAAACCTTTGAGCCCACCGAGGCGAATATTGCCGAAGGCAAGACCACGCCGCCGAGTTACCTGACAGAACCCGAACTCATCGGCCTCATGGATGCCAACGGAATTGGTACCGACGCAACCATGGCAGAACACATTGCAAAAATCAAAGAGCGTGAATACGTCGTCGTGCACCAGCGAGGTAGCGGCCGCAGTAAGGTTGAGGAACTCATTCCGACCCGGCTGGGCATTGCGCTTGTGGAAGGATACGACAACGTTGTTGCGGGCCTTACAAATAGCATCTCCCTCAGCAAGCCTTTTCTTCGCAAGGAGATGGAATTGCGCATGTTAGAGATCTGTGCGGGTACCAAGACACGGCAGGAAGTGGTGCAGCAGAGTCTGGATATGTACCGAGAGGTCTTTATTCATACTCAGAGACGGATTGAGATGTTAAAAACAGCCTGCCGGAAATATCTAGTTGAATGAGCTGCTTCATGATGATCACCTGTGTTATTGGCTCTAACCGCACTATACTTGACTTTGAGACTCCCGGGGGTGTTTTTTTAAAAAACATCTTGAACTTATCCTATCTCCTTTCTTACTCTCCATATCTTGAGTCTGGCAAAGGAAAAGATCACATCGCGCAAAGAAAAAAAATGAACATGGACATGGCACCTTTCAGGCGGTCTTCTCAAGCGTCTTTGAAAATACACGACGCTCAAGTTTCCTCCTCATTCTGAGCCTCTTCTTTGTGGTCATGTTTCCCGTTAGTGTCCCCATTGCTGTTCTCCTCATGGCTTGTCTCGCGGATTTCCTCATTTTGGTTGACCCCGTTGTCGCCTCCGTTGTCACCTCCATTGGCGGTGCTTGGGGTAGTCATACCCCTTCCCGATCTTGATCTCGATCTTGCAAGATGCCCTGCAAAAGCCTTGACGATAGGATCGGAAAGGTTCTCTGCAATGGCCTGGGCGATGCCCTCGGGAAGATTCTCTCCAGGTCTGGCGAGTCGATCGGCTATGTCCTTCCATACCTCCTCACACTGACCAACGGCACCGCTCAGAGTTCGCAATTCGCTTGTGATGGCCTCCTGAATGTCATGTACGCCATCAACTATGCTCATCAAGGTCTCGCTATTGGTCTCAGACGCACTCCCGGAGGTATGTGCGGCGACGACCTGGACTGCGCTCCGTATGCAAGTCTGTACTGCATTCTGAATACAGGCCTGGACGGCAGGTTGGACAGAAGTATGAACTGCGTTCTGGATAGAACCCCGGACTGCATTTCGAATACTAGCTTGGACATCAATTTGCGCAGCGCGTATTTCGTTTCTTTCCGCCATCCACTGCTCTCGCAGGAGGTCCAAATCCTGGCCCAATCCAAATAATTGGTTCCTGAGTTGGCTGCTGCTTGCTTCAATTCGTTGCAGGTGATTGCTGAAGGCTTCGATGGAAGCGTGAAAGGCATGGCCGACGGAAGTGTGAACAGCATTGAAAACGACATTATAGACCCAGCCAGGAGGTTGTGTGATCAATGAATTCAACTTGTTGGCCAAGTCCGTTACTTCGTAGTTGAAAAGTTGTTTAAGGCCAAGAGCCAAAAGCGCAAACAGCATGAGTAGAGTCCCATTTTCGAACAAGGAATCCTTTTCAGGGGCGGGCTCAGGTATAGTCAAGGTAGCCTGAGCTGTCCAATTGGGAGGAAAGGTGAATGCCTCGTGGCCGATAAGAGTCCGAGTTACTGCAGGTTCGGGCGATTTCTGTGTGACATTGCATATGGTATCCATGTCGGGCATGACGACACGCGCGGGGGTGTCGCGCCTTGGCATGTCGGTGTAGTTGGTGACAGCTGTTGAGGTGAGATTTTGATAAACCTGCTCTATAGTATACGCGGCGGTTGCCAATTGAGCGCATCCAACAGCTCGATCCATGAAGGGGCGAGAAGGCTCGACTGCGGTGAACGGGATCCTTCCATAGAAGCCCCAGAGGCTAGAGGTGAAGAATACTATCCCAGGAAGTAAAAGTTCCCTCATGATGGCGTAATTTCAAGTTTTGAGAGGTATCAAAATTGAAAATGAGATTCCGAAAACTTTTTAGTTGAGGTTTTAATTTTGAGATCTCTTTCAAGGGAAGTAGGAACCACATCCCTGAAGTATCATCTCAAGCAGTCAATAGAGAAGCATAGATCATTGAAATTGTCTCCTCGCTATTAAGACTCTGCTACCAACATGCAAGGCTTGATGCATATCTGAAGATCAAACACAATTGTGGCATCGCTATGCAGCTGCTCATTGTCTGCGGTACCTGGAACACGGGTGCCAACGTACTGGGCCTCTCCCTCTGCCTACGTGGCTCTATGACAATGTACCCACATTCAATGTGGATAAAACTTTCCACTCGATGTAGAGTTTTTATTGAAAGCATCAGGGTGGCCATGTTTTGTGCACCTTCATGAGGTACAAGGTAGGTAGGCTTCGGTCATGAAGACCTGATGCGGCCAAACGGTTGGTTGACACCTGGGCCGACTATGCATATGAAAAGATTCGCCCACATCTGATCGTCTCCAATGGGCGTTAATGATCCAGAATACCAAACCTTATTGTAGAAATTATTGGAGGGAAACATGCTTCAGTTAGGAAGGATAGACGCGTAACGTAAGCAGTATGGGATATAGTTACAATGGCCCATGTCCCGATCGAATCGGTTACATAAGACTGCAGCCTTAAGGCGTCGTACACCAACAAATACGGCAAGGGGAGTGATCGTATGGAGTTGAGATAGCCTTGGCCCAAGCCAGCCTTTGACGGGAAGGCGTTCCGGCAAGACGTTCCGGCAAGAAATGCCCGTAAGCCATGCTGCGCTCATCCTGGGGCTCTTGGTGCTCTTCGCCTCCCCCTAACCCCCCGCTCGGGGAGTCTCCTCCGTCAGTGGCGGACGATTCCCGAAACCATAGGGTCACCAGTGGTATTTTGACTAAGAAAATACGCTTTCCCCGCACGGATCGCTGCGATCTCACCGTTGCCAGCCTGGAGACGTGACGCAATCGACGGCCGCGACATCTGTAATAGGCCGACCCGACGATCATTTCCTGGGCCCTGCTCACTGCAGCAGCAATGCTTCGATTGCTTCTTTATCGCCCCGCTGGTAATGCTCAGCGGCACTAGCAGCGCCCTCCCGCACGCCCCCACAGAGTCTTCCATGTCATTGGCGTTCATTCGCGTGGTGACCCACGATCCCCACACCCATCCCCATATTCTCTCCGTGGCGGGGGCAATAGCACGCCCTTCTCCACGTCTATAGTGGCTCCTTTGGCTCATCTGGCAGTGACTCGCGAATAACAGGGAAATGCATTCTTTGAACCAGGCCTGCTGCAGCCACCAGCACTCTTTTTGGTAGGCCCGTCTACCAGTTGCGGCCCATGCCGCAATTGCAGAAGAGCAGTAATCGATGTGATTGGCCTATCTGGTCCATAAGATGTCAGATTTAATGTATTTTTCCGGCCTGAGGGCCGGTTATTGCACATGGCCTCCACACATAAAGCGCTGGTGCCCCAAAAATCCACCTTCTAACATGAAGGTATTCGTGATTTTCAACGGTTGAATGATCACAGTTCAATATGAATGAATTCGAAAAGGGCGGAACAACGAAGGGCGATGGCTTGGACGAGAACCCGCCGAGCTTTATCCACCAGGAAAAGAGGGAGAATGTACTGCCTGAGATCGAGGGCCGCGGAGCGAACAATCTGAACGCCGTCTTCGAGAACCCGCTAGCTGGTATTCCCCGCGAACAGCTCTTGCGAGATGTCGAGAAATTCTGCTTGAAGTACGACCTTATGGCAGACCTCAAAGTCTTCCAAAAGGGCGCGCTCATCTCACAGACCCCTGAATCAGCAGCAAGTCTTCCGGAGTTGGATGAAACCGAGAGGATGGCTCTCATCCGAGAACACACCCATAAATGGTCGCAGCCATGGCAACTCTATTTTCTTGCAAGTATGTCGGCATTGAACAACGGTCATGACTCCTGCTGATGCTTTATTTTCACCAGTAATGTGCTCTCTCGCTGCCGCCGTCCAGGGTATGGATGAGACCGTCAATAACGGTGCTCAGGCGATCTACTTAAAGGTATTGATCACACTACAGGCACTGAGAATTACATGGAGGATTAACACATTAATAGCAACTTGGTATCAAAGGTAACGACAATCTCACCGGTCTTGTCGTCGGCGCACCATACTTGGCCTGCGCTATTCTCGGTTGCTGGCTGACCGAGCCTCTGAACCGAGTCTTTGCCCGTCGTGGAACAATCTTCATCTCTTGCTTCATCGCGGCCATTGCCTCGATCTGGGAGGGACTTTGCAACTCATGGGTGAATCTGTTCATTGCCCGCTTCGTTCTTGGCCTGGGAATTGGTTCCAAATCAACTACGGTACCGGTCTACGCCGCCGAATGCTCACCAGCTCCAATCCGAGGTGCTCTCGTGATGATGTGGCAAATGTGGACGGCCTTTGGTATCATGCTTGGTAATATCATGGGAGTTGCCTTCATGAATCTCGATGACAATCTAAGCTGGCGTCTCATGCTGGGATCTACCGTCGTTCTCCCCCTCGTTGTCTGTTCCCAGGTCTACATCTGCCCCGAGTCCCCCAGATGGTTGATCCAGCATGACAAGATCGAGAAAGCCTACCAGAGCTTTAAGATTTTACGAAACACCGACGTTCAGGCTGCAAGAGATTTGTACTATGCCTACGTGGCCGTGCAACTGGAGCGCAAGATCAACAAGGGAAAGAACTTTTTCACCATGTTCCTTGAGCTTTTTACTATTCCGCGCAACCGTCGTGCTACACTAGCTACCTGGATTGTGATGTTCATGCAGCAGTTCTGTGGTGTCAACGTTATTGCCTACTATTCCACCACCATCTTCCAGGTCAGCCATTCCCTTTACCCTTGGATCGTGACCAGCTGGATGATTTATGCCAGTGGACACGGCTAACAAATGAATTAGGACTCCGGATATAGTCTATCAACTGCACTCTTGGCCTCCATGGGAACTGGTATTCTCAATTGGGTCTTCGCCCTGCCGGCCGTTTTCACCATCGACACCTGGGGTCGCCGCAACCTGCTACTCTTCACATTCCCCTTCCTGGCCATCTTCTTGTTCTGGTCAGGGTTTTCCTTCTGGATTGAGCCAAACATTCTGGATAGCAAAAAGAGAGTCGCAATGGTCACGACAGGCATGTATTTGTTTGAAGTGTTCTATTCCCCCGGTGAAGGACCGGTTCCGTTCACTTATTCCGCCGAGGCATTCCCGCTGCACGTTCGAGAAGTCGGCATGTCGTGGGCTACTGCTACTACCTGGTGTTTCAACTTTATTTTGTCCTTTACCTGGCCTCACCTCCTTAGTACTTTTAAGCCCCAGGGCGCTTTCGGCTGGTATGCAGCCTGGTGTCTTATTGGCTGGGTTCTGGTTTTGCTCTTCGTTCCTGAAACTAAGGGTGAGTGTTCAACTTTCTCTGTGCAATTTACTCCATGGATAATACTAACCTGCTTCCTCTCAGCTCTTACCCTAGAAGAACTGGACCAAGTCTTCTCTGTCTCGACTAGGAAGCATGCCTCGTACCAGCTCAAGAATGCTGTCTGGCACTTCCGTGTTTGGGTCCTCCGCCAAAAGCTGGAGCCTCTTCCCAAGTTTTACTAGGGTGCAGAGCACCTGGCTGAAGTCGGTTAAACTGCCTCGGAGTAGATTTTTCTACCTCTCGTTTGAGACTTTGAGATTGATTTCTCGGTTTTCTGATACCGTAGAAAATTGATGTGTTTATTACATGAATTTCTTCCCCTTCGCTAATTTAATTTGAGTCTTCGTGAGATTGAGGGAATACAAAATGAATTAAGGTTTTTGTATTAACCCTAATAAAGCCGTTGTTTTCAAATACTGCAAGTCCAATAAATATCAAGCAGAAAATTAGAACAGCCCTCAAGTGTTGTACCCCAAGGCCCTTAAAAATAGACCCATATTCTCGTATCAACTATTCAGGCTTCTCTCCCCTCAGCTCAAGAAGTGTTTCACAACATATGCGCCATCAGCCATAAGGTTTGGGACAATAATAAATGTAATTTTTCCGCTGGACTTAGCTCTTTGGTGGATGGTGCAGAGAGTATTTCAATCCTTTTAGAACCGGAAGCGTAGTAGTCAGCGCATCTAATGAGATCACCCTAATTTCCCAGCCATCTGATGCAACCACAGTTTGCGGTCGAATCGCTGTTCCAACAAGGCATTTGCATCTCCAACGTACTTGAATGTCTTGCCCGACACTTCCACAGGCTCATTGCTGTCAACGAGATAGATCAAGCAGTGTGCTTCTCTGTATGCGTTCGTCTCGTAATGGGCAAGCTTCTGGGCTTCTTCCTCGGACTGCACAATGTAGGCGTATCCCGGGACCTCCTGGCCCGGTTCTCCATCTATCAAGGCAGGATAATCGCCCCATTTTCCGAGCGCGTATCCAATGAGCTTGGCTTTCTGCAGTTCGGGCTCTTTTGGGAGGTCGATGATCCGTTGGAGGGTTGCTGGAGCCGTCAATGTTCCGTAGAAGAAGTAATAGACCGGGAATGCCGGGGGGGGGGGGGGGGGGGGGTTGTAGATGTCTCCCTCGATGTTGGTGAGATAGTCGAATGGCGCGGACCGCAACATGACCTCGTATGGCGTCAAACCTTCATTCCGCATCCAAGCATCTGGGGAGCCTGTATCTTCTCCTCCCTGGGGACGCGGCGACATGCTGAGGCAAGCGCAGGTTGAAAAGCTTTCAATGGGCTCTTAGACGGAACTCAGAAAATGGAGAGACGCACGAAGGCGCTAAAGTCGAGTGCAGATGAACAAGCAAGCCACAGTCAACTACAAGGGTACTGTATACACCAAAAGGTTAATGCTAACGAAGAAAATCTGGCGTTTTGTCTTACCACCCACCTGTTCTCGCGGTACGTAACTCTGGCCTCAGTGAGGGGAAAGCGGAGATTATCACGCCTCAGCAAATTTGACCCAAATCCAGATAGTGATTCAATAGTCCAAGTAGGCGGAGCTGATGGGCGACCTTGAAAATATGGGATCCTCTGGTAGCCTCTGGTAGCCTCTGGAACTGCTTCAGGCAACATCTTTGGAGAACCCGCTCAAGAGAGGCGTGTTAGGGTGCTAAACCAGAAAAGGCAAAACTAACCGCATACGAAAATTCCAGGTCCTCTCTTACAGGTCAAATATATGTATAATTAACTGTTCTCGTCTCCGACACCAATCACTGGATCCGACACCAATCAGCCTGTCATTGCGAGGTAGCCGAGGAAAGGCTGGATACAACGTGCAGCCTCTACGCAAATGACCAACCCCCGGTCTTGTCAGCAAAGAAGTTATCCGGGTCATACTTCTTCTTGATCTCTTGCAGTTTTTCAAATGCAGAGAAAGTCTGCAGAGGGTTCTGGTCGTAGTTTGCATCATTGATAAATAGAGGAAGACCCTCAGCATTCCCAGTTGACGCTACCAGGTCCCGATAGCTAGCCTGAACAGCATTGAAATCCGCTTCACTCATGAGAGGCGGTGTCGAAATCAGATAGCACAATCAGTACCATGGGCCGTCAGGCATTTGCATCGCATTTCCACCCTGGGCCTTGCTCGCATCTGTCAGACTCTTGGGGACTGGCTGGAAATCGAGTGAAAGCAGGATGTATTTGCCCTTGTTGTCCTCGGCCCAGTTGCGCCATACATCCAGCGCGTTTTCATACGATCCATCACCCGCACGGTGAACTCCAACGCGGAAGATGTTGGGCCCACGCGAAATCTCGCTGGACATTGGGATTGGCATGTTGACTACCTCGGTGTAGGTCTTGATACCGGTAGTGTCGAGGATGGGAGTAATGCTGGTGAAGTTGGTGAATGCATCGCCTGGGTCGGGGCCATCATAGACAAGGAACATGATAATGGCCTCGTCCAGATTCAGGTTCAGATCAGGCGTCCCCAGCTTCTCATAAGTGCCGATAATGGCCGCTTTGGGATCCGTGTTGTACTGGATGAAGTTTCCGATCGCTTCGATGACATTGTCTTTTTGAGGAAAGGCATAGATGAGATTTCCAGCCCAAAACTCTCCGGCAGGCCGACTCTGGACGGTGTATTTGGTCACCACTCCATACGCGTTTCCGCCACCTCCTCGAGACGCGAAGAACAGATCGGGGTTGGAATCCTCGGACGCGGTCACAATCTGACCATCGGGGAGGACGATTTCCAGCTCGCGGAAGGAATCACAGGACATGCCGTATTGAGGAGAAAGATAGCTCATTCCACCACCCAGAGCTAGGCCGGTTCCCACGCCCGCCAATCGCGCTCCAACCACGGTACGATTATACTGCGCATAGTACTCGTATATATCGCCGAATTGCCCACCGGGCTGGTACGTGGCGAGCGTTGTATCTGGGTCGTATGACTTTTCAGTCATGCTGCTCAGATCCAAAAGTACGCCTGCGTCGACGGATGAAAAGAAAGTATTTGGATTGTGTCCGCCAGCCTTAATGGCAAAGCGACTGCCCGCCGCTCGGATCGCCTGGAGAGCCACGGAAACATCCTGAGCAGTCTTGGGATAGACGACGCAGGAGGGTTTGTAGGCATCCTGGAGCGTGCTCCAACATTCAGTGCTCTCCACATAGTTGACACTGAGTTCATTACTGGTAACTTTGGTTGAGCCTAGCTGGGAAGTAATATTCGAGCAAGCCGATGGACCTGCAGCGGTGACTGCCACAGGCGTGATGCCAGCCAGCAAGGGCAAGAGAGGTAGCATTGTGATTGTGCTCGTCGAACCCCTACAAAAGGGGAGACCCGAGGGTGTTCAAATAAGGCAATATTCCAATCCATGTGGGGAAACAGGGAGAATTAGTCTTCGGTACTTTTGTACGATAGGAATAACAAGCCAAAATTAAGACTTGAACGGGATTCAGAAGTGAAGATCACAATACCGTCTAGGCTGGCCAAATGCCGGAAGTTAAACTATCCGGGGTTGTTCGCCGGAGCCACTCCTCTAACGGTTATCATACCCGACAAGCAGCAATAATAACCTTTTTACTTCACTTAACGTCCACTCATTATGCACGGTTTTCAAGTATCCAACTCCTTTTTGAGTGTACATGATTCATGATCGTCATATCTGCCCCCTTTCCCTGTATAATGTCTTTCCGGGTTTGGTGATTCAACGGCCTTCTCCACTCGGCCCGGAGTTGGCTTTTTGTGGCCGTGGGGTACTATTCCAGGTGTAATTACAATTGACTGCCGAGCATGTTGGGTGCACTGGTGTGGACTTTGATCGATTGTTCCTGGATCTGGCGGAACTTACCAAGACAATCTAGGTGGAGGGGGGAGCCCAAAGAAGAATGTCAACCTAATCACATCGCCTTCAACTTTGAATTGTAGATCATTTTCCACATCCATCAAGCCCCGATGTCTCGAGCCCCGGGAACTCAACCAGGTATTCCAAGGTTGGCAGGTAGGAAATATGCCGGATGCAAGGTACTCGACTCTACAAATGCAAAAATGCATTATCTACATCCAAGGTCACTGAGCACGACCTGAACATTCCGATTAGTTATCTCGAGATAAACTCGAATGCATCTTGATTGCAAAATAATCATAACCGAGTAATGATCCTGTACAAGGTATGGAGTACTTCCTATCAGTGCCCAGGAAGCTGAGCGCCCTCGTCAAAGCGGCAATATTCCGATTGGAAAAGTCGCGATCGCAGCCAGAAATCCGGCCCGTTCATGTACATACGCCATCTAATCACAACCTCGATCCAATCTTTACACATTGGCTGCCAATTTACTCCAGCCGCTTGCTCAGCACCGCACCATACCATACAGTAGCGATAAGGCTGACCATGTTGACCAGGCTAGACATGCCGTGTACACGGCCAAAGCGCTTGTTCAGAGCAACCATCTCCTTGGAGTGAGGAGCGGGATCGTAGCTCCTCTTTCCATCGCGGGTTTCTGAACCTGTCAGTCCTGGCCATAATATACGACGTGATAAAGTTCTAACTAGAGTGAGACTTACCTTGGTGCTTCCGCTCGCGCATGATTTTCGTCGTCAACGGGCGCAGCACAAACAGATTGATCAGTCCGGTCAGGGCGACGGTAGCCATAGGCAGCAAAGTGTTGAGGCGGTTCTCTGGGGCTACGAGACCCGAGAGACCCAGTGCCTGTCCACCTCTGCTGGCAGTCAAGGCCACCGCAACGGGCAAGGCCGTCTGCAGGGAAAAGTAGATGGGGAAGATGGCAGTCTGTAGGCTGGCGAACTGCGGGCGCGGCAGGGCGCGGAACGCGACAATACCACCGACGAAGGACTATGTAAGGTTAGACAGGCTGGAATTACAATATCGGATGATTTTTGGATCATATAATGAGCTCACTTGGTAGAACTGGGTACCCAAAAGGGTACCGTAGCTAGGAGAGTGTCAGTAAGGTTTGATGAGCTCGGAAGCTTTAGCTTGATCTTGCTCCAAGGTTGGGCTGAAGACATACGCGAGGATGTGATAGGGGCGAGGGTCAGTCATTTTAGTGGAGGTTTTGATCGAGAGCTAGCTCAAGGCTGTAGTTCAGTTTGGACGTGGCGAGAGCTGGAGAGGAAGAGGAAGCAAGAGCTTTTAAATCCACTGCCAATTGCGATGGGTAATTTTATTGCCCTTGACATTTTAGTGCCAGAATACTACAAACACGCACAAATATTAAACCCACGCGCGTCAAGTGATGTCATGTGCGCGTGTCTGAGGCTAAACCAAAAAGGAAATATCACGCGTCTGCCTACTTCGCGCCTTTCTCTTGAGCTTTCCCACAATTCTATCTCTCATCATCTAACAATGGCGGAAAAAGAGGCTACCGTCTACATCGTTGATGTCGGGAAATCCATGGGTGAGCGCCGCCATGGCCGTCACGTCACGGATCTCGAATGGGCCATGCAGTATGTCTGGGACAGAATCACAACTACAGTATGTGGAACTCCCATCATGAATGGCACTTTCTAATGACACAATTAGGTTGGGACAGGCCGCAAAACGGCTACTGTTGGGGTGGTCGCCCTGCGCTCAGATGGTAGGGTTCCAAAAGCTTCGGGTGAGCCTAGCTAAACAGAGATTCCCAGTCACGTCGAATGAGCTCGAGGAGGATCCCAGCTTCTCTAACATTTCCGTGATCCAAAATATTGGGCAGTATGTTGGTTTCTCGGTACACCGGAAAAATTTTGGACTGAGATGTTGCTTAGGTTTCTCATGCCTGACATTCGGAAGCTGCGAGACTGCATAAAGCCCAGTCAAACTAACAAAGGCGATGGTATGTAACAATGACCACCCATCCTGGGAAGCCGTCAACTAATCATCTCAAGCCATCTCATCAATTGTCATTGCGATTCAAATGATTAGTGCCTACTGCAAGAAGCTTAAATACAAGCGCAAGATTGTGCTGGTCACCAATGGCACGGGCGTCATGAACAGTGACGGTATTGATGAGATTCAAAAGAAGATCAAAGATGACAATATTGAGTTTGCTGTCATGTGTGTCCTCTGGCATCTTGATTTGTTTGGATCAGGCTGATTTATTCCAGCGGGGCGGACTTTGACGATCCGGAGTTTGGTATCAAGGAGGAGGATAAGGATTCTCTCAAGGTAAACCAACTCCTGCGGGTGTCTCGGCGTGCAATATACTTACGATTGCAATGCAATTCAGGCCAAGAATGAGGCTCTTCTCCACAAATTCGTTGAGGGCAGCGATGGCGTCTATGGAACACTGGAGGAGGCGATCGCAGAGCTGGACATTCCTCGCATTAAAGTGACGAGGAGTATGCCCTCTTTCAAAGGATTTCTCCAGCTTGGCGATGCTTCGAAATACGAAACAGCGTTCCGCATACCCGTCGAGCGCTACTTTCGAACTTACGTCGCCAAGCCCCCCTCCGCAAGCTCCTTCGCCCTTCGCTCCGGTACACAGAGAGAGGAAGGTGATGCCCCTGCAAGTCAAGCACCGGGTGAAGGCGAGGCCCTTACCACCGTGAGAACATCGCGGACATATCAAATCTCAGATGAGTCGGCACCGGGAGGCAAGGTCGATGTCGAGCGAGACGACCTTGCAAAGGGCTATGAGTATGGACGCACCGCCGTCCATATCAGCCAGACTGATGAGAACATTACGAACCTGGAGACCTTTGCAGGCATGGAGCTCATTGGGTTTGTCCAAAGCGACAAGGTAGGTACTTTGGCAATCCCTCGCCATTCTGATGAAACTAATCAGGCCGTGCAGTTTGATCGATACCTTGAAATGTCCAACACCAACGTCATAATTCCGCAGCGAGCAAATGATAAGGCGTCTCTCGCGTTGTCTTCTTTTATTCATGCTCTCTTCGAGCTGGAGAGCTACGCTGTCGCTCGATTAGTGACCAAAGAGGCCAAGCCACCAATGATCGTGCTACTTGCGCCGTCCATCGAGCCGGACTACGAATGTCTTATTGAATTGCAACTGCCATTTGCAGAAGACGTACGATCATACCGCTTCCCTCCACTTGACAAAGTGGTCACCGTCTCAGGGAAGATTGTCACTGAACACCGCAACCTTCCAAACGACGACTTGAAGGACGCGATGAGCCAATATGTTGACAGTATGGAGCTGGACTTGAAGGACGATGACGGGTGTGTACATCCATCGAAGCACTCAAAATCAAGCAAGTTGACCAAAGGAATTAATACAGGGACACCATCCCCGGACTCCCTATCGAAGAGTCTTTCTCCCCATTACTGCACCGAATCGACTCTGCAGTGCGATACCGCGCTGTTCATCCCAACGACCCCATCTTAGAGCCCTCACAGCGGTTAACCAAATTCGCCAATCCACCCGAAGATCTCGTGAAGAAATCAAGCCAATACCTTGAAAAATTAATGTCCACGGCAGACGTCAAGAAAGGTAAGTCTCCCATAACTACCAACAATCCCATCCCATCCATCCTAACCAGCAAATCAGTCCCACCGAAAACCAAAGGCCGCAAACGCCAACGCGAAACCGAAAAGCCCCTCTCCGGTCTGGACGTCGACGCCCTCCTCTTCCAAGAACCGAAACGATCCAAGATCTCCGCTGAAAACGCCGTTCCGGAATTTAAGCAGATGCTCTCGCGTGCCGAGAGCGTCGACACCATTCACGATGCTGTTAGGCAGATGTCTGCTATTCTCGAGGCGCAGATTAAGCACAGTCTCGGTGATGCTAATTATGATCGTGTTGTTGAGGGTCTGGGGACTATGCGTGAGGAGTTGGTGGATTACGAGGAGCCTGCGCTCTATAATGAATTCTTGCGCGTGCTAAAGGGAAAGGTCCTGAGTGAGGAGTTGGGTGGGGATCGGCGAGAGTTGTGGTGGCTTGTGAGGAAGAGTAAGCTCGGGCTTATTGATCAGGCTACTTCTGAGCGATCGGAGGTATCCGAGGAGGAGGCTAAAGAGGTATGTCTGATGGAGACTTCTATGACTTGTGGGTGATGCTAACATGGGTATATAGTTCTTCTCGGCTGCTTGAGGATGATGTGCTCTATGCCCAGCCTTTGCTTCGCGTGTTGCTAGCATAGAGAATGATACATGTCATGAAGCGATATTTCTTAACCTTGAATGCAAGTCCATGCGTTTATCTGCGTGATGATTGTACAAAAAAAAACGAAATTTCGAATATCTAAAAGTCGCCCGTGCTGGGAATAAGGACAGGAATCAACGAAGTCTCGCAACATGAACGCTCAAATGAAATGGGAGTGCAGGTGGCCTGCGACGTATATCATGGCCGTCGAGAGGAGATAAAGTATACGTCCTCACATCAGATTAGAAATTATGAGATCTTGCCGATGCGCTTCTTGCCGACATCGAGCTTGGATTGCAGTCTAGATTCAGGATTAGTTAAATTGACCAGACATAGGAAGTGGGAAAGAATAACGAACCGATCAGTATCCTCATCCGCCAACTTCAACAACTCATTTTGCACCTCCAGCTCCTCATGTATAGCCGTGCCCAGCTCCCGCTGGCGAATAATGATCTTCAAAAGCTCATCAACATTCTGATCCTGGCTCTGCATCATCTGCCGCTGCAGCTGCAGGACGCCGTCATTACCAAGCTCGCGCGTGCGTTCTGTTTCCTTGCCAAGAACTCGTCCGGATCGTGCGGGGGTCCTGCGTCCCTCGCTTGAAGAATCGTTCCCACCACGCAGCAGCGCATCTTTATCCTGCATCGAGGCCACGGCGTGGTCGAGCTTGGTCTTCGTTGCCATGGCGTGCAGCAGGTCCTCCAGTCCATCCTTTTCTTTGCGTGCGTTGATGAGTAGGTCCTTACGGCGACGGATTTCGCCATCGCCGAGGCTGGACGATGCGCTCGACTCGCCGGCTTGCGCTCCGCGGCCACTGAGATGCTTCAGGCCTTCTTCCAATGTGGTTATCATAGACCCTGCACGAACGAGGCTACTCTTTGCCTGTGCGGAACTTTCATGTTGTTTTTGAGGTGTGGTCTCTTGGTCACGACGGGAGAGCTGGAGCCGCGAGTCGTGGAGGTGGGCTTTCATGTCGCGGTAGTAGTCGAGCCATAGCGTCGGATCGGTGATCGGGGCGTTCGTGGAGCTGGGGTCTGTGATAGCGGCATGGAGACGCGCAGACGTATTGCTTGTACCATTGGATGTGGAGGCCGCAGCGGCGGTCGGAAGGTTCAGGAATGCTCGCCAGGCCGACGAGTTACGCCACCGGCTATCGGGCGCCTCGTTGATCGCACGAAGATACTCCTCCAAGCCGATGCGGCGCTCTTCGCGGAAACGTGGGTTCGAGTTGGTGTTCGAGAACCACGACTTCGAAGGAAGTGGCACTGGAGGCTGTGCGTTGGTCTGATTGACTAAAGCGCTGTGGAAAGCGGAGAAGTCGGAGTAACGCTTGGAGACGGTGAACGAGCGGAGTGGGAGACGTAGGGTGATATGGTAGACGGTATGAGGCGGAGAGGTGCTCGACAGGGTAGCAGTTGGAATGGCGATTTCAACGGTCGGCGCCATGGCTGTTGGAACGGCAGAGACATGCAGAGAAGAAGGAAAGTCGCAAGGTTGAAGCTGCAGTTGACGCATGACGCAAAGAGCCCGATGCGGTTTAGCTCCGTCAGGCACCCAGGCTGATCGGCGATCACGTTGTATAGATACATGGGATGTAAATATGAATGGTAGTGTGACTTTATTGTACACGTTGAATGGAATTGCGCTCGGGGTATCTCAGTTATATCAAACAATGTCCCTAGTACAGTCTAAATGGCCCAAGATTGCCGTGCCTCCAGCAGATCCCGCTGTCCAAAGAATTCGCCCACAACGGTGAGGATCATGTCAAGCATGGCGTGGGTTTGTTGCGTCACATATTCTTTGTCTCCTTCACTGGTATCATCTGTTGGGTTGGTGGAGATGTTCGCCTGCAGTTGGGCCTGAAGACGAGCCTTTGCGGCCTCCAAGTCATCCGACTCGTCCGTAGCATCAGCCATATCAGAGTCGCCAGTACCCGTGACTTCCGCCTGCTGCATCACGTGTTGCCCAGTATCACCTTGCGAGTTTTTATTTCCGGTCTGGATATCCTCTCCGGCCTCTGAATCGGCCCCGTCAACGGGATACTGGCTGTTTGCCTCCCCGATCTTTTCGCAAATCTTCGCAGCGCGTTTGCCGAGGTCGCGAATAGCTCCCACGTCCTCCGTAGCCAATTCTCCCACTTCGCGGCACTTGCCCAATATTCCCCAGGTCCAAGCACCCATGCGTCGAATACTTTCGGCGTTCTCGCCTCGCACGACGTCGGACAACTCTCGCGCCACGATCCCCAGAGCCCCGAGCACACTATGTGAATCCATGCATGCTAGTTGAGCCATGTGTGGATCCACTGAAAGTATTAAGCGCCGCCACTCTTTTCGCGCAGCTTCGTGGTGACGTGGAAGGCTGATAGGATGGGAGTCGTCAAGGGCGGCGATGGCGGTAGCTGGGGGTGTGCATCGTAGGGTTGATCGGAGCAGCCGGAATCGATGACGGAGGAGGTCATAGAATATTGTCTGTGCTTCTGGTAATGCGTCTTCGGAGGAACCGATCATGTTTTTGTTGCCCTTCACGGGGGCGATGTAGGCCTCGTCGTCGAAGAACCTTGCTGGCAGAGATGACTGCGGCCCTGGAGGAACAGAGCCCGTCCCTGTGTTCTTTATCGAGGTTGTCGCTTCTTTCTTCGAGGCTGCGGCGATGAAGAGCGTTGGTAGCGAGCTGGCTTCGGACCTAGAAGCTCGTTCCAAGGTCAGATAAAGGTCCACTATGCGTACAGGGGCAGCAGGTGCTATACACCGACTATAAATGGCAAGGGCTTACCGGACCATGCGCAAGTATTCCAGGGCTCCATCAGGCTCGTCATAGGTCAGCTCGTCGCCGCCATCGTCGAGGCCAGGAAACGCGCTCTTCTGGCCGTAGATGGGGTTATTCCGCGGCCGCTCCGAGGGAGTCACGGCGGAACCGCTGTCGCTGTCATCATCCTTGGATACGCGTGGTCGCTTAGGCTCGGGATTGGGAGCGGCCATGGATGCTTTGCGCTTGTCAGCCATCACGGGCGTTGCAGAAGGAAAAGTTGGGGACCTTGGGCCCACCTGGCTTATCGAGCTTATCGCCCGATAAGGTGATTTGGGCCTGGCTCTCTTGGGAAATGATGAGGAAGAGAGCCGTAGAGGAGCTGAAATACCACGCAAGAAGCAGCCTTCAAATTTAACCAGGTATCTCGGAAGGTAAGCCGCATGTGATCAGGTCCAGTCCATAATAGTGCGACGCTGAATCCGATTCTACGTCAATTTGTATGAAGCTGTTTACCTTGGCAGCGTTTAGGCAGATTAATTGGATGTCTTGAGCTTTGCTAAGACACGACCTTGAATGCCAGGACTAAATACATAAGCAAAAAAGATATGCGCTATGGAAGTGACACGGTTTCCAAAGTTATAACCAATGGAACAATACATTTGAGTCTGGAAAAGGGAAATATATTCAAGACCTTGGGATGGGTCGTGTTTGCATTAATCATTGTCAAGCTAGTACATGTTTGTGAAATAACCAAAAATAGATAGTGAAGTTCAAGGATGGGCCGAGTGTGTCTGGGAATAGTGTTAAATCGCGACTGCAGTGAAGTTGAAATTGAATGTCCAGGCAGGTGGGACCGAAGCACGGTCCACCAGTCTGGACCAATGAACTTCGGAAAGCGCGGGAGCTGAGTCATCAAAGAAAATCCGGGGAAGCTCTTTCCTCATCTATACCGAATTCAGAATCGAGGGGCAGGTTATGGAAAAGTTTCGAGAGTAATCAGGTACCCGAGGGTGAGTGGCGTAGCTGGGCGACCAGCTGCTGCATTTAAGCAAGCCCTGCGGTTCGACTCGCGTCGCAAAACCTCGCCGTTGAGGGGTTTTATAGCCTTCGGTTCCTGGCCCCGCCGGGGGTGAATTTTTGTTAGTTTGTTGTTTTAGTCACGAAAGTACTTTCAAAGAAATTTTGGCACCCACTAAATCCGCGCCAAGTGGGGTTGTTTTGACGTGTTTTGGTGGAGTTTTGGTGGAGTTTTGGTGGAGCTGGTGGAGTATTGATTCGAGGCCATTCACAGACCCCATCTTCTGCCACTTTGACATCTTGCCCCCCTACCCCTCCCACATTAAATTCGAGTAAACGATCTACTCTATTCTTGAAACAATCTATTGTCGGTCAAGTGGAGGACATTTGTATGGTCGTTCAAACAATTAATTCTTTTCAAGTCTATTTACAGACGATCCGCTCACGGCCGCAGACGCTGAGGGTCACGAGGGAACAGAGACGCCAACCGCACGTTAGGCAGTCCCAGGAAGAACATCACTATACGGTTCAGACCCAGACCACCACCGGCGTGAGGGGGGCAGCCCTGGCGGAAAGCATTGAGATAGTCCTCGAAGCCCTCCTGGGTGGGATCCAAGCCCTTGGAACGCATCGACTGCTCCAGCTCGTTGATGTCGTGGATACGCTGGGCGCCCGACATAATCTCCTCACCTCGCATGAAGAAGTCATAGGAGTTGGAGAAGCGGGCATCCTTGGGGTCGGCCTTGGTGTAGAACGGACGAACCGCCATGGGGAACTTGTCCAGCACGTAGAAGTCGGTGTCGTACTTCTCGCGGATGATCTGGCCGAGCTGCTTCTCCATCGCGGTAGAGAAATCGTTCTCGAAGCGCTCCTGCTCGGACATGTCAACGCCGGCCTCCTTCAGCAGAGCAACACCGTCCATGTAGTTCAGGCGCAGGGCCTTGCCGTCCTTGGGCAGTTTGAAGTCACCGGCCTTGGGGTAAGACTTCTGGATGGTGGCGATCTGGGCAGCGTAGCGCTCCTTCAGCTGGGAGAGGATGAAGACCAAAAGGTCCTCGGCGAAGTCAAGCACCTCATGATAGTGGTTCTGGAAAGTCTTCTCGAAATCGAGACCGGCGAACTACGGGTTCGTTAGCACGGGTCTATTTCCCCATCACTGCAGCATGATCTTACCTCAGTCAGATGACGGTGGGTGTTGCTGTCCTCCGCACGGAACACGGGGGCAATCTCGAACACATTCTCCATGTCACCAGCAATGCACATTTGCTTGTACAGCTGGGGACTCTGGGCCAGGTAGCCGTTGCGCTTGAAGTACTTGACCTCGAAGACGTTGCTACCACCCTCGGTGGCAGCACTGACCAGCTTGGGAGTAAAGATCCATCGCGAGCCGCTCTTGATCATGTATTCGGCGAAAAGCTGGGCGACTCCGCTGGAGATCCAGGTGATGGCCTGGCTGGTCTCGGTCTGCAGGTCCAGAACACGGTTGTCGAGACGGGTCTTGAGGGTCACGATGGGGGCACCCTCGGCGTCAACCTGAGGACTCTCATCGTTGGTCTCCATCGGAGGCGGGCGCTCAGCATCCTTGACCTGCATGGGCAGCATCTGCGCGGCCTCGGAGATCATGTACACCTTGCGGATGTGGATCTCGAGGTTCTGGATCGATGCGGACGAGATGGGCTCGGCCGGCACCTTGATAAGACCAGTAATCTGCACAATGGAGTTCACGTTCAAGCCACCGGTATACTTGATCATCTGGCGGGAGATAGGCTCCTGGGCCGCGATAACGGCCTGGATCTTCTGTCCCTGCTGGCGCAGCATCAAGAACGCCAACTTGGCACTCTGCACACGCGCATTGTCCACACGAGCGACCACAGTCACCTCCTTCTCGGCGTAAGCCTCCGATAGCTCGGTGAATCGGGTGCTGGAGATGACGTCCTCGGTTTCGGGGAGCGGGCCATACAGATCCTTGGCGGTGTCAATGGCGGCTGTCGCAGCCTGAGCCTTCTCCTGAGCCGCGCGGGCAGCAGCCTTCTCAGCCTTGGCCTTCTCCTTGGCCGCCTTCTTCAGCGCATTCTTGCTCGCGTTCTTGGAGTCGCCGCCTTCCGCGGGAGCGGCGGGGGTTTCCTCGGGCTTGGGACGGGTGGGCAATTCGGAGTCCGCCATGATGCTATCAGAGAAACAATTAGTGGTTATTGGGGCTGACTGCCGGAGAAGTTCTGTACCTTAATGATGCTCTGGAATGGGAAAGCTCTTTGCGGTTGACACATCAACTCTTGACTCACCCCGCCGGAGTGCCCTAAACCCTAAGAGGGGTGTTGGTCACATGACCTCTATTTATCTCGTCGATGCCGACGAAGAAGTTTGGTGTCTGTTGAGAATAACCTGAAGATTTGGACACCCTGGGATTAGGCAGTGCAAGAGTGGTATATTCATTTTGTGTCTCTTCAGACTTGGTTCAAATATTGAAATACCTGTTCCCTTATATTTGAGAAACTTCATTACAAGGGCGCAAAGTTACTCCGTATAGTTCGAACGATACTGATTTTACTGTCGAAAATGAGATAAATTCGCTGGAAATCTACAAGAAATGTGTGACCAAGGTCTGAACATATATGCATCGAATCAGCGCCGTATGTATGCCTATTCCCGGCACATCAATGAACCTTCAAGACGACCGATGCAGTTGGTGCTGAATCAAGACCACTTCGAAGCCTTCAGAGCCCACTGCACTCCCTTCTGAACATCATCCATGATGGTCTTGGGAGCCCAAGCAGGGTCTCCACCACTGTACACGCCGGTGCGTACCAGAATCGAGTGCCAGCTACTGCCGAACTCACTGCGATAGGAGTTCGCGCCCCGAATATCCGACTCAGGGTTGTCACCAACCATGTAGACACGCCGAATCGGTGGGAGATCTGCCGCACCACCAAAGGTCTTCGAGCGGTTGCGAAGCAGCTGTCGCTCGGCGAACTCGTAGGTTCCTTGATATGGTTTTCCGATCACTGTTTTCTTCAATTCGATGCCCTTGCTAGGCCCACCAGTAGTCGCAGCCCAAACGCCCTCCAGGGCTTCACGGAAACCACCTTGACCAAGACGTGGCAAAGGGTACGCGGCGGCCCACCACAAATCAGGGTTAGAGAAATACAAGTGAGGCTGGCCATCCTGCTGGTATCCGTGGTTGGGAAGATCAACACGACCATTCTTTTCCGAGAGAGTGCCCACATGACCCTGGGACGAGAGGAGAAGATCCATAATGACCTGGGTATCTAGTGCCCAGTCCCGGGGATCGTTGAAAACGAAGACGGCGTCGATTTTAAGACCCTTAATCGGGTCTGTCGGGTCCAATGGCTTGGGTAGCGGTCGGGCAAATGTCTTGTAGTAGTTCGAGAAGTTCTTCGAGAATGGCCAGACGGACGGGTTGGCCATGAATATGTCTCCTGGTGTCACAACATTCTTGAACCCGTATTGCTCCGCGACACGCCGACAGTTATCGCCATCACCTCCGGCAACCAGCACGCACTTGTTCTCCAGCGCCCTCTCCTCATCGGGGCCATTAACTAGCTCCGCAAAGGGTGAGTGGCTCTGCACAATCACTGACGGGTCCAGCGGCACGCTCAGCTTCTCGCTGATCTCCGCAACGCGCTCTGTCTCGTGTTTACCGCCGCCATTGGTGAGCAGGATGAAAGGAATGCCTTGCTCCTTTAGAAGGGCGAGGGAGTCGGCAGCGCCGGGTATAGGTTTTGAAGATCGTAGGAGGACTCCGTCGATGCTGTGATGGTGCATTAGTCCTGAGAGGCAAGGTTTCGGCCATACGCATACATCGCAGTCACTCACTCAAAGGCAAAGGCAAAGTCCGGTACGCGGGTCGAACTAGCAGTTTGAATGGCTCGACGGCCGAATGTGCAGCTGACTGGCGCACGCTGAAGCAAGCTCCGTGCCCGCCAGACTGTTTGGAGTCTCATCGTGTTGCGATTGAGGGGAGTTGTAGAGGCGACAAGGGTGAGGGGAGCTCCGGCCAGTGATATCATTCCCGCCCCACACTTTCACTTCTCCGATTCGCCGCGGCTTGTTCTTCACGATCTTACACTTTGTCCCAGACAGGCCAGACAGTCCAGACCACTCCCTCCGATTCAATCATGCTACGTGAACAAAGCCAGATCCGTCATGTACTCGCCAAGCCGCAGCGTCTTCCTCCCCACTGAAGTCGTCTTCCTCATCGCCGAGTTTCTTAACCAGACCGACGAGGATGAGTCGCCCCAGTCTCTTGTCGCAAGACAACGGGCTTTTTATAGCTTCTGCCTGGTCTCTCGGCAATGGTATTCAGTCGGAATCAGCTTCCTCTACCAGCGCCCTGTGTTTCCGGGTGGTAATGGATTCACCAAATTCGCCCACACCATGTGCCCGCCTCGAGGTGTCAAAACAAAGGCCGATTTTGGATCGATGGTGATGACACTTTCTTTGGCGGGCCTGGTTCACCACAGCTCAAACAGTCTCACAGCACGCCTGTTGGGACGGGTGAAGGAGAACCTCAGGTTCTTTATCGCACCGCGGGTTTCCTTCTCGGTCAACTGCCTCCCAGCGCTGTCAAAATGCCACAATCTTCTGGAGCTCAACCTGAGTCTCATCAGCGGACAAGTGATTCCATTTCACCGCTTGAAGAAAGCCATCGGCAGTTTATGGAAGCTCAGAAAACTAGAGCTTCCTGCTTCAATGTCTCTTACACATACGGACGAATCCACCGGCAAGTGGCCACCTGAGCTACGGAGCTTAAGGATTGGTGGAACCCTGGATCCCAGAGTGATGGGTACATTTGAATGGCCACCGTCCATCTCCGAGTTATCCATCTGGAAGTGTACAAATCTCAGCGCGGTCGTTTTATATAGCGTCCTCGAAAATGAACAGCTTCGTGAACGCCTTCAATCTCTACATCTGGAAAATACCAACGAGGAGATGTGCACTGATCAGGCGAGTGATAGCCTATATTGGCTGCCGAACCTCATCTTCTTGAAGATACCAGTTGATGTCACTAAGGATCTTCTTCTTCTGCCGCCGCCCGAAGGGCTTCCAAGCCTTCCACTTCGAGCACTAGAGTTAACGAGGCCATACTTCGATGAGGAACCTCTCGGGTTCAGCCTCCCGGATGAGCTGCTCAAGGCATTCAACCAGAACTTGCCCAATCTGTGGGCATTCGGCATCAGCGAAAAGTGCTTGCACATGGTAAAAGAACGCGAGGAGGAGCTGGACGAGGAGATCTGGAAGCACATTGACGAGGGAAATGATGACGAGCTTGAGAAACTCGAAGATTTGGGGCTGTACACTCTCAACGACGACTCATAATGATTTAGACTAAATTCATAGCGAGATACCCACCCAGCGCATTGCACATATTCATTTAGACAGGAAATAGCAGCAATGAACGGTGCCATTGGGGGTTGAAGGCGAGTTCTTCCCCACAAAAATGGGCATCTCCGATCCGGCGTAGCTACTTTCTACCCAGGTCCCCACGGTCCCTCATACTTCAGCACCACAACTCCCGTTAATCCTGGACATTTAACTTCGCTCAACCTGGCCTGGAATACTTCCCGTATTACTCGGAGTTTCGCATTACTCGAGTATTTAATAATCCTCGCTTTTCTCTCACTTCTTTTTTGCCGCCGAGCCCAACTAACTAGCCTGGGTAAGGCATATTCAAGATATTCGAAGAACCAGAAGAAGCTTCAAGGTGAACTAATAGCAGCCCTTATGATTCATTCACTGGCACCTTCCCTATTATCTCTTCTATAAATTCGTCCCCTCCAATCAATCAATTCTCCTCTCATCATATCCCCTGTTCAACTTCTCTTCACTTGGCCAAGCCTTCTTCTCTTGACAACCCTCCCTCCATTACTGCAATCCAATATGTCCTCCATCGGCTGCTCCAGATTACCCTTCGAGATCATCCTGATCATCGCAGAGCATCTTTGGTCCATTACAGAACGGGACGAGAATGGAGATGGACTCATGGCGCGACAGCGGCGCATGACGAACTTCTGTCTTGTATCACACGAGTGGTACACAGCTGGCATCGCTTTGCTGTATCTTTGCCCAGAGCTTCGCGCGGCAAACAGCCTGGATCGGTTTGTTGACACCGTGACCCAGTCCGGTGACGCCAATCACTTGAACATCGACTTTGGATCAATGATTCACGTCCTCAAGATGGGACATCTCGACCACGATATCCCTGACATGCTGCTTGAACGATTGCTGAGCCGGCTGCAATCTAACCTGATCAGCTTCGAGGCTCCACCGACACCATTTGGCATTGAGGGCCTGACTACCCTGTCTATGTGCAAGAATGTCGAACAGCTGGACCTCACTCTGCTGACCGACAAGCATCGGACCGAGGACTGCTTCACTTTCCCAGACCTCAAGCAGGCTATCAGTGGCTTGCCAAATCTTGTGACCGTCAGCCTTCCGCTCAAAATGGCGATTGTCGACACGGACGACTCCATTGGAGATTGGCCTGCTTCTCTGCGAAGCATCAAGATCGGAGGGACGCTTGACCCTCAGGTGATGCGCAGGTTCCAGTGGCCTTCACATCCGTTCAAGCTCACCATTCGCAATTGCCAGAACCTGCGCGCTGCCACCCTAGAGGGCATTCTCGACAACGAGAATATCCATGAATACCTCGTTCGTCTCTACATCACCCGCAGCAATACAATGATGTTTCAGGACGCACCCACTGGAATCTTATACAAGCTGCGGAACTTGATGCACCTCAGGATCCCACTGGACTGTACGGAGGACTTCTTCATGTTGCCGCCCCCTGAACCCTCGATGTCGATTCGGGTGCTCGAGTTGACTGAGCCGTACTCCGGCCAGGTCCTCAAAGAATTCACGCAACAACTTTTCCAGGCATTGAACCTCAATTTGTGCAATGTCCTGGCTTTGGGAATGTGTGAGCTTCCCAACAACCTGTGGAATAGCCAATTCTCACCGATCTCGACGAAGCTCCGCAGGCGTGTGCAAAGGAGCCCCCCAGCCGACCTCGAAGGCATTGAGAACTGTGGTCTCTACGCCATGGATTGATTAGCCGGGCGATATTCCTGGCCAAAATTTTGGCACCTTGGAGACTGCTTTTCGTCCCACTGGCCAGGTTGGAAGAAACCCATCTTTGTACCCCATTAGCGAATTTAGTACTTTGGATCAAGAACCTTTCTGAAATGTATTCCATCAAATCTATTTGGACACCTCAAAAACAACGAACAAAAAAACCAGGCTTGACAGCAGACAGAACAAGTCCTCCAATTTTTGTAGCAGCTTCATGGGACTCGTCACAAGCAACAAACAATTGGCCCTGAGCTTAAGAACAGCGACAACAGATAGGAAAGGCCCTTGGGGACAAAACAGGGTGGGAAGCGTGAGTGGAACCAAATCCTCATGTCTACTACAATTTGATATAGAAAAAGGAGAAAAAAGTAGGTTAAAAACATTAAGTGACAGATGCCAGCACGGCAGCGGCAACGCCCTCCTCTTCCGCCCGCACAGTGATCTTGGTCGTGACGCCGCTCTTGGTGGAGAAGGCCATCTTGATGAGAGCGGCCACCCGGCCGCCGGATACGGTCTTGCCGAAGAGCTTGAGCGTGTGTGTGCTGTTGTTCAGGGCGACGTCTGAGCCCTCCAGGGGTTGAAGGGAAAGAGCAGAGATCAATTGCTCCGTGGCATCTGGGTGTCGTTAGTATGTTTTGACATGGAACTAGGATCTGAAGAAGCGACTTACCGGTAATGCCCTTCATGTTGCTTAGTTGCAAAGTCTCGCTCTCCTCCTCACCGTTGGCACCAGTCTGCTCCCAGATGTGGTCGAAGCTGCCAGCGAACGTGGGGATCACGTAGTCGCTGCCAGTAAGCTCAAGGTCCTCCACCTGGTACTCGTCATCGTAACCACTATCTTCCGGCTCGCCGGTGTTAGGATCGATCTCCTTGGTGGTGAACTTCAAGTTGTTGGTGAAAGAGGAGATCGGGACGCTGTGTTCACCGCCAAGCTTCTTGAATGCCACATAGACAACACCAGGCTCGTTAGGAGTCAACTTGGGAGCCGGAATGATGAAGTCATCCTCCAACACGTCGTCCTCCGATGGTGTTGCGACAACAGTCACATTTTCAAGGACAACATCCGGCAGGGTGTTCTTAATATCATACTGCACGACGATGTTCTCCTTGAAGATATGCTTGACGGCGGTGACAACGTACTCAGTCTCGCTCTCAGAGAGTTCGACGGGCAAGGAGGACTTGAGCAAGTTGCCGTATTCCTTAATATCGGGGATCTGCATAAGTTGCTCGGCATACTTTTGAGTAGCGGCGGCGGCAGCTGCCTCGGCGACACCACTTCCCTTGCTCTTGGGGACACCGGTGGACGGCGCTTTGAGGGTGGGGGTGGCGGTGGTGAGCTTTTTGGTCCGCTCCTCAGCCAAGGCCTGCTCTTGGGTGACAACGGGGACAGAGGAGACATCGAAGGCTGCAGCGAAGGTCTGCTTGTCACCTGATGTCACGTACATGACGAGCTGGTGTTCAAATGTGGAAAGAGAATACATCGAATCTGGTGCCGTTAGTATAATGATGAAAGTGGAGGTTATGCAAAGTGTACTTACCATTCTTAATGAACGCTCCGGCCATGTCATCTTCGGCACCCATAAGGCGCAGGTTGAGGGCAGCACGGTCGCGCACCTCATCGTCGGTGTCATCAAGACAACGGGTGAGGAGAACATGCACACTGGACTTGACTTCGGGATCCTTCTGACCAACACCGAACTTGGCGAGAGCAGTAACGGCGGCAGCGCGAACAATGGCGTTCTCCAGAACGACACGGTTGTAGATGTACCGGATGTACTTGGTGGGGTGGGACGTCTTGGGGCCTTCAACACCAAGCAGGTGCAAGACCCGGACGGAGAGCTTAGTGAACTCGCAGTCCTCAATGAACTCGCAAAGATGAGCGAGAGCATCCTCCTTGCTTTCGGGGACGAACTTGATCAAGTCGAACATGCTCTCCACAACGGTGCGCTTGAAATCGTAACCACCCTCGTCGCGCAGAATGCCACTCAAGAAGACTAGCATGCCAGCCTGCTTGCTGGGGAACTTCAGACACAACGTGCGGATGGCCTCGACAATGGTGATCTTGAACTCGTCGGTGATATCGGCCATGAAACCCGAGATCTGCTTCATCAAGCGGTCCACGCTAGCCTCGTTGCCAGTCTTGAGCAGGGTCGTAATGGCGAAGGTGGCGATGGAGCGGTTGGTGTTGGAGATAAGCGCCTCGATATCGGGGTTGCACACGTTGACGACGTGTGGCTTGAAAGTAGCGAAGTTGTGCAGGATACGAATAGCGGCGAACTTTGTGATGGATCGGGGGGAGGACAAGAACAGCTGGAGAACGTGGACGGCCTGAGAGGCCTCGGCATCAGAGACCTCGCGCATGTCGCAAATGGCCTTTGCGGCCTCGAAGTTGACCATTTCGTGCTTGTGACGGAGCCAGCCATCCAGCATCTGCATCATGGGTTTCCGGAGACCCTGGTCCTCCTCCGCCAACTTGGCCGCCAGACGAACCAGAAGAACCAGAGCAGCAGGGCTCTTAACCACACCTGCTGCACCGTACTGCTGCACCATCTTGACCAGTGCCATGCGGTCGTGCGAGCGCATCTGGTACAGAAGACCAATTGCGTGGTATTGGGTCATAAAGTTCGACTGCGAGATAGCGTGGGCCTGCGAGCCAGACGAGAAGCCTAGGAAACCGGTCGATGACTTGGAGGACGAAGCGGCCTCCTGAGTCTCACTCTGCCATCTCCGAACGACGTCGCGGGCGATAGGGAGAAGGTGGTAGGACGAAACCAAGGCAGCCGAAGAAACCGAGGGAGTCTTGTCGACAATGGCGGTCTTGATGAGGCGCTCAATACCCTGAACCGTGGAGCCATCAATGATTCGGCACAGCGCCCTGATGGCATTGGCCCGGTACAGAACGTCGCTGCCGACCGCAGTGTCCTTCATGATGATACTGGTCGACATAATCACATCCTCCGCGGTACCAGCCAGCTCCTTCAAAATGAGATAAACCATCTGGCGCAACGAGGGGTCCTTGTTCTGGAACAGCTTGGAGATACCGAAGAAGAGAGTGGTGGCTTCGTTCGTGGGGAACTGCTCCCCCGTGAAGAGGAGGACCGCGATCTTGGTCAATAACGTACGGCATGTCCGCGGCGAGATCGGGGAGGAGTTGAAAAGTCGAGCTAGGAAAAGAATCAAGTCAGTACAATTGTACAATGGGTGGGTGTGCTGAGCCGCATGGCCAGGGGGGAAAAGTCCCAATGCGGACCGCGTACCATCTTGGAATACGGAGGTCCGATCAAGCTTGATCATGACCTGGTCCGCATCTTCATCTTTCTTCATGTAGCTCATATTGCCCAGGTGCTGGGATTGCACCAGCAGAGTGTGTTCGCGATCGCCGAGGGTGGATGGAAATGGGAGGACACAGTAGCAGTAGGGGTGAGGCGGTGTAGGCGACTACTGCATTGGCATAGTCACCCCCAAGCGAATGAAGAGAGCGAAGGAATTGGGGAGAAATGGAAACGTGGGGATGAAGGGTGACCTCGAGCTCCGACTGTTTATGGAGTTAAGTTGAAGGTGGCCTTCCGTGTGTTTGGCTCTGTGGCGCCCCGAACACTGCAAACATGCAAACAGGAGGGCGCAATGATGCCTGGCTCTCCCCTCACACTCGACTTGATCTTCACTCAAGCACCGAGAATTACTGCAGTGTGCTTGTGAATTCACTATGCAGGTCGAAGTCAATCCCAACGAGGACACCGAATGGTACGTCGTACACACCTTTTACCTGCTGCCTTCTACCTGCCGCCCGCATCCCCCACCCGCCACGAGCTATTTACGAGCACGGACTAACTGCAGTATGGATTTAGGAATGATATCCTTCGTCAACATGGAATCATCCCCGAGAAACCACAAGACCCCGAGCCATTGATCCAAGAAGCTCTGATCGCGGCAGAACACAAAGCGTATGAGAACCGACTCGAGGACAAGGACATTGATGAACTGGACGCACTCGAGGATGAGGAGGATGAGGGCTTCCTCCAGCAATATCGGTGAGTATTCATACGGAATGAACCGGGCATATTTTAAAAAAAAAATTACACAAATAGCTCTGCTCATTGCCTTAATGTATAAAGCCCAAGCTAACCCACCTAATAGCCAAAAACGCTTCGCAGAGCTCTCCACCCTCCAACAAACCAGCCTCTTCAACCAAGTCTACCCACTGCAAAAGGTAGACTATGCCCGCGAGGTGACCGACGCCTCAAACAACGCCTTCGTGCTAGTCAACCTGACCTCCCAAGGTGCCAACGTTGAGTCGCGCGTGCTGACAGAGCTGTGGCGGCAAGCGGCCACCAAGTTCGGCGACATCAAGTTCTGCGAGATTCGCGCCGACATGTGTATCGAGGGATACCCGGAGAAGAACACACCCACGATCCTAGTGTACAAGGACACCGAGATCCGGCGACAGCTTATCACACTGCGGGAATTGAATGGCCCGCGGACGAAGCTGCCGGATCTGGAGAAGTTACTTATTGAAATTGGAGCGCTGAAGGAGAGTGATGTTCGTCTCAAGAAGCGCGAGGGGGACGAGGATTACCTCAAGGATGATGAGCTCAATGTTGAGGATTACGATGACGATTGGGATTGATTCTCTTTGGTTTGATACGACAAATCATGATTTTGCAATGCGTGTACCATTATGAAATGCCCGGCCTTGGCCCCTTGATGGGGATGGAATTGGAGGGGGTATAAGAGGCCAACAAAAACATTGAGGACTTGAATGGTCCTGAGCTGCTCAATGCCAAATGACCCTACGAACATATTTCCCTTTTGCGCAGTTGAACTGGTCAAAAGACATGCACATTACGCACCTGATTCCTGTACACTCCACAAACTTACAAACACCCGATTCATTTCCATAAGAAACGGGTAGCTTGCATGCAAGTATTGTTCCTAAAATACTGAAGAAAGTGTCCAAAGAAGTAAAACATCAACTTCAAAATGCCAAAGACAGTCAGTCCATAAAATCAACAAATATCCCAAACCAGCCACAATCAGGGCGGACCATCGCCCGATAATCCAAGCACCAACGCCAGAGTACTCCAACACTTGCAATCGCAGATCCTCGCAGATAGAAATAGAAAATCAAAAGAACATATCTCGTCAAATCGGAGGCACGGAATCCATAACCGAAGAAACCCTCAGATCAGTTCATCACGGTCCGAAGCACTCTCCTCAATAGCCCTCCGAACTTGACCCTCCTTGAAAGCCGGGCCCTGTCCATCACACTGCGCCATACCCTTGAGGCGCTCCGCGACATCAGCAAGATCCACCTGCCCACGTTTAAACAGCTCGTGGCCCTGGATAAGATCCCACGTGGCGCCGGCATCGAGTAGTTTCTCGCCCGTGATCTGGCATACCGTAATGCGATGTGGAGTGTGAGCACCAGGGACAGCCACATCAGAGCCTGAATTCGAAGCTGAGCCCTCGGGCATCAGACTCGTGTAGAAGTCGGTGGGTGAGTATCTCATCGGCCCTGTGACGGTTGGTTCGGGGTACTCTTGTGGGTGGGAGCCGTTCGACCGTGATGTAGCGCGCAAGATCTCATTCTCGGTTGTGAATTTGGCTAATTCGCGTTTCAGGCGCTCGTTGTCGGCTTGTAGGGTTGTAGATGCTTCTTCAAGGTTGTTCACTTTGTCTTCGAGGTCGCGGACGCGGCGCTCCTTACGTTCGCGAAATGCGCGCTGGCTTATATGTCGAATGCATGTTAGTTTTATAGTATCTTGGACAGATACCGCTTTCCTCTGTAGGCCATCGTACGGAGTAAATGGTGGCGGGACATCACATACGCTGCTCGGTTTTGCGCCTTGCGCTTACTCTGCGCCGGCGTCATGTTATCCTTCTCCTCGCTGCTGCTACGGCCCGCGGGGTCGGCATAATGACCCTCGTCGCCATCGATCGGAGTCGGGTCCGTCTTGGTATGGTTCACATCATTGCTCGAAACCGAGTACTTGGAGAACGAGTCCGGCGGTGAATGCGGCGGCGGAAACAGCGACGAGGAGGGGTCGAGGCGGAACGAGGGGTCAAAGCCAGGAAGGTATTGGTTGTTATATGCATTCTAGAACTGGCGTCAGTAAGGGACGCGATCTTATAGACGGCTTTGGATCTAAGGGGAGCCGTACCAGAGCGAACGGGTCGCGGAGACCATCGTCACTATGTGACTGTGGCTGTTGGTCAGGGGTGGGTAGCCCATGAAGCGAGTAGGGCTGGGATTGATGACCGGCGTAAATTGGGTAGTCCATTGTACTGCGACGAGGGGTGACGTTGAGATGGTAGAGCGGAGTGGAACGTGGGATGAAGTTGGGCCTGGGTTCCTTTTGCTTCCCAAAGCTTTTAACCCCGGGGTGATCTGACCAATTCCTGCGCTTTGCGACTCCGCAATTCGGGTCCTTTGTACTACAGTGACGTTCTTGTGCAACGCTATAAAAGGTTTACCCTCTTCTATCTCCTGTTCGGGGCAATCTTGTTACCATACCATGATTATCTAACGTGCCTCCCGCGGTGGAGCAGGGTCTGGCCAGTGCAGGGCGGCGGACTACTCGATGACTTCATCCAAAGTCAAATGTGATGTGGACCCATGAACGCAGGTATCTACGCAGATATCTACTCGAAATTAACGGGAGGGGAAAACTTCATATTAGATGTTGGGAAAAGAGCCAAAGGCATTTTCTTAAGATGCTGGGCGGTACCGCCGGACCTGAGGGATCCAGTGGCACTGTCGTGGCATCATCAGAATGACCTGCCGTTCGGGAAATGTGAAAGTAAAGGGATTGAACATGCAGATGGGAAGAACAGAAAGGGCTCAAATTTGATAACGCAGTGCAATATCGACGCAAACCACCCCGGAAGCGACCCAAACCATGTCCGTCGCCAACTACCAAGAGACCTGACTTCCTCCAAATGGGCACAATCGTAGATCTGAATGCCTGCAAAGTAGCCGTGGCGAGAATCCAGAAGCCTGCGAAAAGAAATACCCGAAGAAAGCCACCCTCGAACAACCCTCCAATCTTGGCCGGGTTATACCGGTCCTCCCCTCGTCCCCATTCAGCGTCGATATGCAGTAAAAAAAACGCGAGAACAAGAGAGATCCTAAAACAAACAAGGGATAGGGATAAAAAACTCAATGGGCAAGGAAAAGGGGCAAATAACGATAGGTAGCGCATTCGATCATGCGGTCCAAGGATGTCCAGTGCTAGCAATCAAAGAATCAGAAATATGATTTTCTGTTTCCGAATTGATGCCGTCATTCGCATCTCCTTCCATCTTTCCTTTCCAGTGGCTTGCGAGAGGTGTGGTGGTCAAGTCGCAAAAGCCGAAAGGCAAAGAGGTAAGAAATAGCCACCATCTGAATAGCGTTTCGAGACTGAGTGATCGGCTGCCCCGCATGAGCAGGTGCAGGTAATCCGATTTGAGAAAAAAACAGTCGTCAAGGCGATCGGAAGCTCGGGTCGAAGATTCACACAGGTAGGAATCTTCGTAAATTGGCGTAGGCGAGCAAACGAGTGAACTATGACAGGTCGAAACGGCTGTGGTCGAAAATGGATCGAAAACGGGGTAGAAGGGCTGTTATGAGAGATTGCAGAATGAATGGAGAGATCCAAGGAGAAAAAAAGAAATCCGAGAAGTCGAGTCGAGTGCAGAATGTTGCGTCCACGGTGGTTGACAATGGGATCTCCAGGGTGTCTTGAGGTTGACAAAGGGTGTAAGCAAGCAGGGGAGAAGGGAATTGAAACGAAAAAAAATCGCCATCCCCTCAGTTCCGCCGCAGGTGTTACACAATTAGTACCACTGAGCCCCCGTACCATCGTCCCGCTTCGAACGGCCACCAGAAGGTCCATAACCTAAAGCAGCACCCTTCGAGGCAGAACGCAGCCTAACGCCGAAGACTATGCGATTAGTCAGATTCAGAACTGAAGGGTCCTCCACGCCAGCGTCACAAGAAAACACCTAACGCAGGAGAAAAAAAAAGGGGGTTCCCTACACGGAACCTTGTTTCAAAATACTCACATCCTGTCACTTCCTCCCACGGCACGGTTGGTGTCCGGAGTGTTGTCGAGGGTACCGCGGTCAATGACCTTGCGTCGCTGTCCCGAGATGGCACCGGGCTTGGCGGCACCGCTGGTACCCATGGGGCCAGCAGCAGCACCCTGGCGGCGGGCCTGCTCGTCATCCTTGTCCTTCTTGGTGGCGTCCACAATCATGGCGGCGTTCTTCTGGTACTTGTAGACGGTCCAATCGAAGACGTAGTCATACTGGAAGGATTCACGGACGAAAAGGTCACGGAAGATCTTGCGTAGGTAAGAGTAGTCGGGCTTGTCGTCGAAGCGGAGGGAACGCGTGTAGTTCAGGTAGATGGCGAACTCGTTGGGGAAACCGCGGCACAGAACCTCGGTGGGGGTAGTCATCTTCTTCTCCATGATGCGGTCGTACTTCTGCTTCTTGGTAGCCGCCTTCAGACCCTGCCAGGGCAGAGAGCCACGGCAGAAGTAAAGCATCACGTATCCAAGCGACTCCATGTCGTCACGGCGTGACTGCTCGACACCCAAGTGGGTGTTGATACTGGCATAACGGGCAGTACCAGTGAGGTTCTTGTTCTCACGGTAGGGAATGTGGAAGTGGGTCTTGGGGTCCCGGTACTTCTTGGCAAGACCGAAATCAATCACGTTGACCTGGTTGCCGCGCTTACCGATACCCATCAGGAAGTTGTCGGGCTTGATATCACGGTGAATGAACGACTTGGCGTGAATGTACTCGATGCGGGAGATGAGCTGGTCGGCCAGCAGGAGGACTGTCTTGAGCGAGAACTTGCGGTTGCAGAAGTTGAACAGGTCCTCCAGACTGGGACCCAGGAGGTCGATAACCATGGCATTGTAATCACACTCGGTACCGAACCAGCGAACGAAGGGGATACCGACACCACCGGCAAGAGACTTGTAGACGCGGGCTTCATATTCGAGCTGGGGGTGCTTGGCCTTGACACTCTCAAGCTTGATGGCGATCTCCTCGCCAGAGATGATATTGGTGCCTAGGTTGCTGTCAGCGGGGCAACCACGGAAAAGATAGTTCAAATCACGCACCCAGGTAGATGTCACCAAAAGAACCACTGCCGATCTTACGGCCGATGCGGTACTTGTTACCGACACGCAAATCCTGTATATGAGGTCAGCACAACATGGCCTTCCAAGTTGCCCCGATAAAGGCCGTTCACAACGGTGTTGTTTGGGCAGAATATGCGGATGGAGGTTTCAGGGTATCGGGTGCTGAGAGGGAATGGATCGATGGGCGTAGTTTACACTGACCATGGTCGTCATCTTGAATCGAAGATGGCACAGCGGCTAGCCGTGCAGTATGCCCCTGGAGACTGAAATGGCCGTTAGATGGAATCCAGATGCGAGCAGAACAAAAACTCCAGGAGAAAGCAGTTGAAAACAGAAGAGAGGATTTATGCAAGGTGGGCAAGGCAGACGCAGAGAGCGAAGCAGATGGAGAGGGGGCATGACGAGCTGAGCCTCAGGCAAACGAGGCTACCGGGCTCAGCGGCTGGGGTTTGGCCACCGCGTCGGCGTGTACACTTTTGGCCACACAGGCAGCCAGAGAGAGCCCGTTGATATCGAAGAGGTACCCGACGAGGTGGAAAGGATCGGACGAAAGACGAAAAGGTGGCTTACTTGGTAGAATCGAAGAGGTCCAATGCCGACCGTGAAGGGCCGACCGGAGAAGGGGGGAGAGGATAAGAGGAGGAACAGAGGATCGGACAGGGCCGAAGGGAAAAGAAAAACGGAGGGAAACCGATCAAATATCAAGGGCAAAAGCCTTGATCACGGCAATACGGGTTTGGAGAGAGAGAAAGGAGAGAGGGGGGAGGAGGAGGAGGAGTCGGTGAGGCGTATTTTTCATTAGCGAAAGCGTTACATGCAAAGTACAGGGCGTCAAGGGATTGTCACGCTCAGTCACTCCCGAGGCTGGGGTACTGTAACACCCGTAACATTGGGCTGAAATGTTTTGATTGAGATGTGGTCTATGAGTCTTTTTGAAATTTACTATCCCCTGATACCTATTAATTCCTTTTCGGGGGGTTCGCTCTGTCTACCTAGTGTCTTAGCTATGGCATTGAATGTTCCTGTCTCGGGGTTCTAGACGTGGCCCTTGTCGGAGCGCGCCTCACCTGACCCGATAACGCCGTGAAAGCCGAAGATGTTGGATTCTCTTTGCTTATTTAGTTCTAACAAAACAACATATTCACTGTCCTCCATGCGGCATTTTCTCAAACGAGTCATGTCTCATCTTGCCCCAGGTCCAACTGGATACCTACCATGCAATGCCATGTTTGCCCCGGGCTTCCCCCTCTGCCTTCCGTGCGCGTCCCAAATGACACGACTGCAGTGGTCTCTGCGCCTTTCACTTCTGAGTGACAAGTTAAACATCCCTTGAGCTTCTTAGATTGGCCCGTGCTACGCATCGGGCCCTAATTTTGGGTCTACAAGGGCTTGGGTGGATATGAACGTGGACTTGTTAGATCGACTATGATGTTTTCTGACTATAAAGTATAAGGTTCGTGTAGGATGTTGCTAGTGGTACAACCAGAGTCCAATAAACATCGGGAAACCGGGGTATAAGAAAAAGAAAAACCAAAGAGGTACAACGAACGACAAGGAAAATCCAGGAATTAAAAACAAACAAAAACGAAGGGAAGCCCGTCCCTCGGTTTCCCAGATGAGGACGGAAACAAATAGGGACCTCATCAGACAAGGATCATGCATCGCAAAAAAAAACGAAGGCAAAAGCAAAAAGAGAGACTGACAGAATACAGGGGCAAAGCAAAGCGCTCGGAGGGTGTTGCAGATTGACATATCTCAGGGCACGTAGTCGTAGAAGTAGAGGAACTCAAATCATCGAGGCACCGTTGCCGGAGGCCACCGGCTTGCTTTGACTGGGGGCCCCGGTCCGTTCCTCCTCATCCAGTCGCCGGCGCCACTCCGCCAGGCTGTCATTCATCATGGCAGGCCCGTCGCTGGTGTCCTTGGTCGGGGTTCGATCCATATCCAGCTGGCTGCTAAGACGGTAGTTGCGGTTGGTGCTTTCCCAATGGGTGCGAAGGGCCTCGAGCTCGTTGGCGAGAGAGTCCAAGGCCATGGAGCCACGGTTGTCAGGAAAAGAGGTGGACTCCTGGGAGACATTGCTGTCGGCGCGGGGTCGTCCTCCGGCCGTGTTACTGGAGGCATTGCTGTGGCTGCGAGTGATGCCATTGGCACCCGGAGCGTGTTGAGACTGCCGGCGGTAATGTCCCACCGACGTTTCAACCTGTTCCAGGAGCATGTTGACCTTCTGCTCTGCATCTGCAGCCCGAGTCTCTAGGTGGGCGTTCTCTTGCTTGAGCTGATCAAGCTCGGCACGGCTCCGTCCGGCAGCAGAGAGCAGTTCTTGCTTAAGACGCTCGTGCTCAGTCTGAGATTTCTCCTTCTCAGCCTCTGCGGCGGCAAGCTCCTGTTTTAGCTCCGAAACCTGGCTCTCTAGGTTCTCCAGCGAATGTGAGGTGTTCTGCTCCAGGTCGGATATCGACTTCTGAAGCCGGGTACGTTCAGCCTCCCACGCACTAGAGGCATCCTTCTGACTCCCAGCGCTCTCCAGGCTCTTCTGGGCAACCTCGAGTTCAGAGTGCAGTTTAGCATTCTGAGACTTGTATCGGCTCAACTCATCCTTCATGCGCTTCAGCATCTTCTCAGTGCCTTTGACGTAGTGGACCGCCGATTGGTAGTCGTTTTCGAGCTGCTCCAGCTTCTCACGGAACACCTTATCGGCCTCTTGCTCACGAGATTCGAAAGTGGACTTCATGTCTTCGTGTGCCTTCAGACTGGCGGAAAGTTGTTGCTCAAGTTCGCGCAGTCGACCTTGCTCGGGAGTTCCAAAGCGTGATCCTGGCGATTCGAGGCGGGGAGAACGTCTGCTATCCGCATTCACGCCTCGTTCACCGAGGAGATCCTTCAGAGCGGCATGTTGAATATTCAATGCGCCAGCCTCCCGCTGGTGGGATTCGAGCTGGGCCTTCAAATCGCGGCTTTCCGCGGTGGCGGCCTGGCTTTCCTTCATGGCGGTCTGGAGCTGCCTCCGCAATTGCAAACCCTCGCGGCTAGCCTGCTCTTGATACGCCTCAAGACCGGCAATACGTTCTTCGGCACGTCTCAACTTGTCTGCAGCTGCATCAGCAGCTGCCTGGTTTGCCTTGGCCAAAGCAGTAGATCTCTCAATCTGGGTCTCTAAAGCGGCCACTCTCTGGTCGGCGCGGGACCGGATTGATGCTTCCAGATCAGTAGATGATGCACGCTCGAGACCTGAAACAAAGGCCAGCTTGTGAGTCTCTGCCTCCTTCGCATGGCTCTCGGCCAGTTCCTCCGCATCACGCAGGCGACGAGTGGTGTTCTCCAACTCCGTGGTGCGCTCCTCGTGTTCAGATCGGAGCTGCAAGAGTTTCCTCTCCAATCCCTCACGGCGCTCTCTCTCCTCCTCCAGCTGCCTCTCAACAATTGCTGTCTTAGAAGCGGAAGCGGCAACAGCTTCACGCAAGCTGCCAAAGTTGGTACCAAAGTCCTTCAAACGACCGGAAGAATCCTCAATCTGCTTCAGCAGCTCTTCTTTGTCCAAGCTGAGCTGCTTCAAGGCTGCCTCTGCCTCAGAGCGCATCAAGGACTCTTGTCTAGCAGAGGCCTCGGCACGGTGAAGTTCAGCACGCAGGTTCTCAGCCTCCAGGGCGTTGTTAGACATCTCAAGCTCTGCCAAACGTTTTCGTGTGGCTTCGTTGGTGTCCTCGGCCAACTCCTTAGCTCGTTTCTCCTGCAAAAGCTCGGTCGATAGTACATCCAGCTTGGCCTTGAGTTCGGACTGGGAAGCCAGTGCTAATGCAAGGCGACGGCCCATATCGGTAGGACGCTCAGCGCCATCCTCCCCATTACGGGAGCTTTCGGGCTGCGGGGTGCTTCGTTGACTACCGCCGTGAGCGGCGAGTCTCGCTCGCGAATAAGCGGCCTCGTTGACAGCCACATCGCGCTGATGTTCTACTTCGGCAATCCGCTTGGAAGCAATGGATGCTTGGCGATCCACGGTTGCCTGCATCTTGGCAAGGTTCTCTCGCATTTGGAGGAAGGCCTCAAGGAGAGGACGGTCCTCGTCATTGAAGAACTCCCTAGCACGCTCATCCAACATAGGACTGCTGGATGCATTGGGGATGTAGCCAGCCTTTTTCGCCAATGCCAACTCGGACACGTACCAAGCGTTCCGCGCCTTTGTAGATTCCAATTCCTTGATCAATGCCTCTTGGTGAGGCGTCAGCCTTGGTGACCGCGGCTCGTCTCCAAAATTTCGAGAGTTGCGGAAACTGCGAGACTCTACAGAGCCATCAATGCTCACTTGGCGGGCACCAAGCACCGATTCCTCGGCACTATCAACGGAACTGCGTGTTCGATGCTTTTGCAACGACCGTTGGCGAGCCGGAGTAGTAATCATGGGAGCCGCTTCGCCAGCTTCCATGGCTTTCGCCGCGATCTTTTGTTGTTGATGAGTTGGAGTCCGTTGACCAGAAGAACCTGGGCCGTCCTGCGGGCCATCCTTGGCAACAGGCGACTCAACGTTTCGATCAGCATTGGCAATGCGAACATCCACAGTCGGTGTGAAGCCACGGTCGATCTTTGTGGGAGTCTTGCTACGAGGATTCGATGCAGCCTGGGGTCCGTTGCTGCGGGGACCCGGAGAAGGAGCTTGTCCTGGCGGAGGTGGGCCAGAAGGCGCTTGAGCAATCGACGCTCGTGGGAGTCGGGAGCCTGGACCCAAGTTGGGATTAGATCCGAATTCGCCTTGCCGTCCACCTGCAGCCTGGACCAGATTTTCGCTCGATGGGGTCGGTCCCCGACGAAGATAATCCGGGGTTGCGTTCTGCGCCTCCCGTGAAGTCCGGCCCGACGGAGGTCCCTGCTTGTCGGAACTCGCTTTACGGCCGCCTGGCAAGGCATTGCGTTCACCGTTCTGTAGTTCATTAGGGTATCGGATTTTGGAAGTATCCAGAATGTAGGCCATACTCAGCTCGGCCGCATCTCTGGGAGCCGAGCTCGGTTCACCGGCCATGACGATGATCTGTTTGCCGAAAGCCGTCATGCTGTGTCCAGATCGCGGGGAGGGAGCCGGACCCATGTTCTGGAAAGAGTACCATCGTCGTGTGGAAATGCGGAAGGCGGACAGGTCACCAAGATCCATTCCTTCGTCAGTCCGGCCACCAAATACATACATCACGTCGTTGACCAGAGCAGAGGCGTGGCCCTCTCTGGGAGTGGGGATAAACCCGACACAGTCCATCTCAGTCCATGTGCCGACACGAGGGTCGTAAGCCCAGACATCATTGAACCATTTCACGCCGTTGGTTCCTCCGAACAAGAACAGCTTGTCGTTGTAGGTGACGATTGTGTGGTTGGTTCGTGCTGGGGGGATTTGACCCTCCGGGGGCCCACCTTCATGGCTGTTTTGAACGAGCTGCTCCCACTTATTCGAGGAATTTTGAAGTTGGTTCAAGTCGAATGCAATCAAGTCATTGAAAAAAAATCCTTCGACCTGACCACCGAATACGTAGAGTTTAGAGCCCAGAATATTCAAAGTGTGACCGTATCGCCCAGAGGGGCGCGAGCCGGGCGGAATAGCGCGAGACCACTGACGAGAAGCTGAAAGGGTCGAAAAGTTAGAGTTAAATCATCAAAGAAAAAGTGTACCAACCACATACATGTGTTAAGAAGGTATAATGTATCGTCCAAGGCATCGGTCTCGTTGATTTTTGTGTCACCGCCAAAAACGATGAATGCATTTCCGACAAGCAAGCTGGCATGACCAACTCGGGGACCCGGGCCTTCTGAGACGGTCGCAACTTGGAAGCAGGACAAGCTGCCGCCGCTGCTTTCGATCATCCACAGATCGCCTTTCACGGTCGACCCATCGATCAAACCACCCATCATGTAGATATCCCCTTCCTTCGATGCGACGGCGTTGATTGCGGCGCCATATCGGGGGAAGGGATTAGCTTGGGGCGAAGAGAAATTGAGTCGGCGTTGTGACCACGGATAGAGTGAGGAGTTGGGACTCTGTGGAGATACGCCATTGGGAGTCTGTTGCGGCCGCTGGACCTGGAAGCACGGCGTTAGGGAAACACAGTTCGGGGGCAATTGCTGCACGGGCAAGCTTACCTGGGATTCTGATTCCGCCCTCTGGCGCATTCTCACGTTATCCGGACTGGTGGGACTCGTCGCGGAATTCAGGGAATTGTTATAGCTGCTGCTGGGGGTCGGTGTCTGCGAGAAAGCGTTCCCTTCGGTCTTGGCCCCGTTGGCGATTGACGGGGCCCCGGTCGACGGAGAGCCCTCGGAGGTGTGGACGTTTCTCGTCGCGGGAGGGAGCGCAGTCCCTTGTTGGTTCTTTTTGGATTTAAACAAGAAAGCCATCGTTAATCGGTCGTAAGTCGTTCAGTGGCGCTGAGGAAGTGTCCGCGCCCAAGTCGGGGGATGCCCGGTGCGATGTGCGCTCCTCGGCCCCAGCACAGGATATCAAAAAAAAGGGCTTGTCGGGGAGGATCGGTCGGAGGTTGGGAGAGGTGGAAAGAGGGCGGATACAGGGGTTGTGTATTTTCAGAGAGTGTGGAGTCGGAACCCAGGAACCACGAACCGTCAAACTTGTCCCATCCAAAACGTTTCGGGGGAAAAATCGAGCCAGGGGTGGGTGAAGTGGTCTGATCACAGCGCCTCACCCAGCGATCGCAGCCCTACTGGGGCTAAAAGGGAATAAGGCCGAATTGCAATTCCCACGAGGTAGTCAAGAAAGGGGGGCAAAGAAAAGAAATTGAAGACGAGAAAAAGGTGTTTGTTTCATTTCGGAGGCGGAGAGAGGGGAGTACACTAGTGCCACACGCTGCATACTCAGGGGCATCAGAGATCATGATGAGCCCTCATTCCGGTCCATGGCCCAGCCTTCGGGTGTCATGGCCTCCGATCGTAGAGGTATCTTTGGTGTCTTCCATCCCTGTGTTTAGACGGATATGTTCTACGTCCTATTCATACCTATGAAGTAGGTAACTTGCGTGAACGCAATACCATAGCAACTACGGCTAGCCAGGGACTTAACTGCCAAGTGCCGTAGGGTAAATAGTAAATACCACAAGTGACTGGGTAGATCTCGGAGATATAAGGTACTACTATCGTGGAGTACGGGGCCGTTGCCGTGGTGCTTGTCATTCCTGGTGTGCTTCCATTCCAACCCACACTCTAATTATACTCACCACCTGGGCACTCTACGCGGGGATGTCTTTACCGAATCTTTCGACCGTGAAAAAGCGAAGCGGCCAATTGCTGCGCTGGAAAGGCCCAAGTCCACCCGGCGATCCGTACCCCACAACGTGCAAGGAACCTATCGTCTCGACCCGGTTCCCACGGGTGCTGCAGCTGGATGTAGCCAGGGGTGGCTTGCTTCTCTCGTCAGTGGGACTGGACCACCCGTACTTTTAGGTACTTTGACGTGCCTGATGGACCCTCAAATTGAGCCACATGAGAAAAAAAAAAAAAAAAAAAAAAAAAAAAAGGGGTGGGACGTTGTGGTTGTGCCTATCAGTGGAATTCTGGGCCGCGGTGTTCGCTACAGGTGCGAGTCCCTGAGCGTCTCCTCTGCCATTCGGTTACGGCATGCTGGCACCGTCTAGGGATAAACCTAGTAATCGGCTCTACGAATCACATTGATCCGACAGAATGTTTTAGCTTGCTTTCTGACTTTCGTGAATGTCCCTGTCTGGTTTATTTTCCAGTGAGACTTGGTTTGATTAGCCGTGTCCATCTCGATCTCCCCATGCAACGGGAAAGCAATGTCTGAGACAGTGTGTTTAATGACATTAACTCCATATCTTGGCAAGTCAATCGGGATCTCCGTCGCTCCCCTGGTGCATATGGACTGAGATGAACAAGTCAGATACACCAAGTTCCCTCATATCCTTCCTATAGGGCTCGGACAACAAGCTACTGCGAACTACGCCTAGCTCCCTTGCCACTGGGTCATACTACAACTCACCAGATACGGATACATCTGATATCTTAGCCGAAGCTAATGCAGGCATTATGGTCAGATATAGCTTTTTGTCCATTTACATTGTTCCGTAATCCATGTATCAGTGTGATCAGTGTGTCCAAGTAACACCGAAACCTGAGGCACCCAAGTCCGGGGGGAAGCCCGGGTTAGTCAGCAGGGATATGGATAATCCGGTTCGAGAGCAATCGGAGCCTCACCGTTACGTCCTCGCTCAACTTATCTCGGCTCCTCGTCCTCGTGCGCTCGCTTCGCTGTTGTGAGCTTGCGCTTGAGATTCTGAGAGACCGATATTTTATCCGTCTGCAATTGCGTCATCCCCTCACCGCCAGGCGCTCGGGCATTCACTCCATTCACTCTCGAGCCCGATCACCTAAGAGGTATCTTGGAATATCCCGGACTCTCGCATATTCCGCAGCTCTTCCCTGCGATCGTCCTACCTCTCTTTCACTCTCCCACGTAACACAATGACCTTATCCGCAATATGAGAGATCCCACTGCAGACATGGACGAAACCCCTCAGCAACCCGCGACAAATGGGTCGACCGAACCCCGCCGCAACAAATCAGTTCGAGTCGCTTTTGGCCCCGACCTGGAAACCACCATTCCCGCACGCGAGCGATCGCCAGCTCCATTGAGTAGCCATCACCGTTCCTTTACAACCGTTGAGCACAAGCCGCCGTCACTAGCTCTACCGTCCGCTCGTCCTACGAGTTCCGCCGGAGAGAATGCAGCGATAGGGCCGAGCTCACCACCACGGCGTCCGTCTCCCCGGAGATCGGAGAGCAGTCGGCCAGCCATGCTCAAGAGAGCCAAGAGTGACTATGGCCCGAGCCGCGTCACCTTCGAGCACCCAATCGTAGGAGACGACGAGGAGGACTTTGCCATGCGGCATGGATGGCAGGAAGAATACACTTCCAGCGAGTATCTCAAGATTCTGCACTCGGTAAGAACTCGCTGATCTCTGGGATATGTATCTCGTGCCAGAGCTAACACAAATGTCCCACAGAACTTCTACATGTATTTCACGGAGAAGCGTCACGAGACCAATGGTATCCCCAGAGACCCCGTCGGCAGCTGGCCAAGTCAGGACTGGCGTATGAAAGATCGGTTGAAGACCGTGTCAGCTGCGCTGGCTATCTGTTTGAATATCGGTGTCGATCCCCCCGACGTCGTCAAGACAAACCCGACCTCCAAGTTGGAATGTTGGGTGGATCCCACCTCGACCACGGGCGGGGGTCAGAATAAGATTATGGAGCAGATCGGCAAGAAGCTTCAGGAGCAGTATGAGACCCTCAGTCTTCGGACACGATACAAGCAGTATCTGGACCCATCGGTGGACGAAACTAAGAAGTTCTGCATTTCGTTGCGTCGCAATGCCAAGGATGAGCGAGTTCTCCTGCACTACAATGGCCACGGAGTTCCTTTACCAACACAGTCTGGCGAGATCTGGGTCTTCAACAAGAATTACACCCAGTACATTCCTGTCCCGCTTTATGATCTGCAGTCCTGGCTAGCCGGTCCCAGTCTCTTCGTGTTTGACGTATCACATGCGGGCAACATCGTCCAGAATTTCCATACGTTTGTCGAGAAGCATGAGAAGGAGAATATCGAGGCCAAAAAGAGAGATCCCAACGCTGTCGTCCAGAACTACGGCGACTGCATTCTTCTAGCGGCATGCCAGAAGAACGAGTCACTCCCGACCAACCCCGATCTACCAGCCGATCTATTCACCTGCTGTCTCACAACCCCAATTGAAATTGCGCTGCGATTCTTCATCTTGCAGAACCCCCTCCGTACTGATTTCACGATCGAAGATTTCAGAGTACCGGGGCGCCTGCAGGATCGACGAAGTCCTCTTGGAGAGCTCAACTGGATCTTCACTGCCATCACCGATACCATTGCATGGAACACCCTTCCTCGCGCGCTGTTCAAGAAGCTTTTCCGACAAGACCTGATGGTCGCCGCCCTCTTCCGCAACTTCCTCCTCAGCGAGCGCATCATGCGCACGTACAAATGCCACCCAATATCTTCTCCCGAACTCCCTGAAACCCACCATCATCCACTCTGGAAGAGCTGGGACCTCGCCGTCGAGATGGTGCTCTCACAGCTTCCTGCACTGATCGACCATGAGGAAGGCCGCAGGCAGTATGAGTACCAGCATTCGACATTTTTCGCTGAGCAACTCACTGCCTTTGAGGTTTATCTCTCATCGGGACCTACGGAGAAGAATCCCCCAGATCAACTCCCCATCGTACTTCAAGTACTTCTCAGTCAGGCACATCGACTGCGCGCTTTGATCCTGCTGAGCAAGTTTCTGGACTTGGGTCCGTGGGCCGTGCACCTTGCGCTCAGCATTGGTATCTTCCCTTATGTCGTCAAGCTGCTGCAGTCAGCTGCCCAGGAATTGAAACCTGTCATGGTCTTCATTTGGGCAAGGATCATGGCCGTCGACCATACAGTCCAGAACGATCTCCTCAAGGACAACGGGATCCATTACTTCATCTCGATTCTAAACCCATCCTCCCCCATCCCGGTTGGAAATGCTAGCGAACACCGAGCTATGTGTGCGTTTATCGTCTCGATCTTCTGCAAAAACTATCCTCAAGGTCAAAATGTTTGTCTATCAGGGGAGTTGTTTGACTCGTGCTTGAGACACCTTGGAGATGTGGAGAATCCGCTGCTGCGGCAATGGTCTTGCCTCTGTCTTAGTATGCTTTGGTGTGATTTCCCGGAAGCGAAGTGGATGGGTATTCGATGCGCAGCACCCGCGAGACTCTGTGAACTCAATTTCGATCCGGTCCCTGAGGTTCGTGCAGCGATGCTGCATGCAGTGACCACCTTCCTTGGTATTCCAGACTTGACAGACCAGGTTGCACAAATAGAAGAGTCGCTGGCTATGGCGGTGCTGCCCATGTCAGCTGATGGCAGTGTGCTCGTACGCAAGGAGCTTCTTGTTTTCTTCTCGACCTTTGTCAAACGCCATCAGAACAAGTTCCTGGTAGCGGCATACGAGGAGCTTCAGGACGAAAAAAGGTCCCTGCTCCACCGTCTTCAAAGCGAGACGTCTCAAACAAGCCGTCTCGAGGCCAAGAAGGGCGACCTGGTCGCTGAAACGAAGACCCCTCAGCTGTCCCGCAACACCACATTCGGAACAATTTGGAAGCAGGTCTTGATTCTTTCTGTGGACCCTCACCCAGATATCGCCCAGGATGCCGGCGTCATCGTTGATTTCATCCATCTTTCTCTTCTGGAGTCCCCCATGGCAGCTCTCGCTGACAGAATCAGGATTGAAATATTAGAATTCACATATCGTATGTCGCAGCGATTGCAGGTTCACGAGCGGTCAGAGGCAAAGAAAACAGTCCCTCCTTCAATCCCGCAGTCGCCGACGACGACACCTCCCAAACAAGATAGCTATCTTACTTTGGGCTTCAAACGTACTGCGAGCGTTGCCGCTTCTCTCAAGAACCTTGCCTTTGGAGGATCTGCAGGTGATGAATCAGAAGGCTCTGCTCCTCAGTCTCCCTCAACAAGTCGGATGCCCATCACTCCCCGTGGTCGTGCTCCCCCGGAATGGACCCGACCCCCCGAAGTCAACGATAGCGTCGCCCCTGCAACTTCATATCACCGAAATCCCGCCCCCGCATCCCGCGGTTTCGTCCCCAGGGACCCGGAAGAGGCACCGTTCATCCCCTTGAGAAGCCGTTTCCTGGACTGGTCAACAGAGGTAATCCCAGATTTCTTTACCAAATTTCACAAAGCGTTTTTCAATTTTGCACCCGAACATTTACTCACCCATGAAAAGTATTTCCGGGAACCGCAGATGAAACCGAATGAGCCCGACGAGCCCGGCAGTTCCGATTACAACGAGCGACTCTGGCGCCGCAGCCGTAACGAAAAGATCATTGCGGAAACCCAGCCGCTTAAGGTTAAGGCGGGAACAAGCCGATGGGATAACTCCATGACTCTGCTCTCCAATCAGAGTCAACCCCTGAAAATGTGCTTCCACCAATTTGAGGACCACATTGCTGTTGCAGATGATCGCGATACCATTGCGTACGTTTCATAAGAATCACCCTATGTCTAAATATCAGGCTGACTTTCTCCATGCAGAATCTGGGACTGGCAGAGCCACAAGCGCTTGAACCAGTTCTCGAACGGAAACCCCGTTGGATCGAAGATTAACGAAGTCCGATACATCAATGAAGACGACCAGGCTCTTTTGTTGACTGGGTCTTCCGACGGTGTGCTCAAGCTCTTCCGCAACTACGAATCTGCACGGAATATCGAGGTCGTCACGGCCTTCCGGGCTCTACCTGAGCTGATCCCAAGTAATCGAAATGCGGGACTTGTTCTTGACTGGCAACAAGGCCAAGGGAAAGCTCTCGTCGCGGGTGACGTGAAGGTGATTCGTGTGTGGAACGCAGCTACTGAAGTCTGCACTAATGTAAGCATTAACTTCTTCGACCGCTCAATCTTTCTCCAAAATATTGACAATCACATCCAGGATATACCCGCACGATCCGGATCTTGCATTACGTCCTTGACATCGGATCAGGTAGCTGGCAACATTTTCGTTGCAGGCTTTGGTGACGGTGCCGTCCGTGTCTTCGATCAGCGCCTCAAGCCGACCACATCCATGGTCAAGGTTTGGCGTGAACACAAGCAGTGGATCACCAACGTCCACATGCAGCGTGGTGGCTTCAGAGAGCTTATATCGGGTAGCCGCAACGGCGAAATTCGACTGTGGGACCTCCGTATGGATAGCGCTCTCTCGACTATCTACACCACCAAGGACACTCTTCGAACCTTGAGTGTGCATGAACATGCCCCTGTCTTCAGCATGTAAGTATTCCTCCCTAGGATTGTTGGTTAATGATGTGACTAACTTCAACTCCAGGGGCACAAACCGCCACGAAGTTAAGACGTTCAACGTCGATGGCACCTACCTCTCTACCTTCGAGCCCTACTCGAGCTTCCTGCACCACAACCGCTCCTCTCCCATCGTCAGCACCGCTTTCCATCCTCACCGCACCATGCTTGCCTGCGCCGCCTTGAACGACAACCACATCAATCTCGTGTCCTGCTAGATCTTGGGCCTTGGGCCATCTATCTGTGTTCAGCTGCACGATTTCTCTTCTTGTAATATGGCTTTTCATACACATTCCTCAAATTTCTCGGGCGTCTCGGCGAAGGATTTGGCCGTCCACAATCTCGTTTTCCCTTTCTGGTTACCCGTCGAGCTGTCGGCTCCATCAGTATCTCTGGTAGTTGTTTTCTTCGACATGATCTGAAGCAGCCATTTTCGGTGCATACTGCTTCTTTGTTCTTTCTTTCTGCTTGCTTTCAAGATGGCATAACCCGTCCTCGATTTTTGGACTGGTGTGGATATTTGAACCAACGCAGGGAGACCGGTTGCGCTGCTAATTGCCTCGGCTTCCTTAGCGCAGACGGTGTCTCCTATGTGGGTCCGATGATGATTTCCTTTTTTCTTGTTATCTACTTAGCGATGCTGCAATAATATGACCACACATATTGTTCTGTGACCTGTGATCTCCAGTTGGGTTCTAATAAGCCCAGTAAATTGTACGGAGTACTCCGACCAGGTCAGATGGGGGCTTGATGTATCACGTGGTAGCCAAGATCATCCATGTTGCGGCATCATCGGCACGATAAATCTATATTGACGATTTACAAAGGATGGAAAAGCTACGGGGTAAGGCAAAGATGAACGAGCAATTGATATGGGTATGTCCTGGGGACGGAATTAGTGTCGTCGACGACGTCTCTTCCCACGAGGAGTGTCATTCGAGCTTGGGTTGGAGTTCTGCGTTCCTTGTTGATACATAGCACTGCTGCGAGCCATGCTAGCAGGGCAGCGTGGAGATCTGTTCTCGAAGTTTGTGGTGTCCGATTGAGCACGCGTTTCTGAAGACTGGATTGGGTCTTTGCATCGTCTCACGTGAGGCGGAGTGCTCTGTACAGATGTCGGTGCCGGGCATTGCTGCTGTACGTATGCTTCCTCCGCGGGAGAAGAGATGTCAAGGGAATTTTTATTGGCCGAGGCATTGAGTTGCGGACTCTCCGGAAAGACGGGGTTGAATGGGGGGATCCACGGGAGATCCCCCTCTCCGATGAGTGGCTCGATGCATGGGTCTCGCGGGTGGGGGAGATGGTTCATATCCATGGGTCCCATGTATGGGATGAAGGAACCAGTGTTCAAGATGGTGCGGCGAGACTCTGGAACATCACAGATGCTAGGGTTGTCCCAATTGGTTCGAGTTGGACCGGGCATCCAGCGGGGCTGACGATGGAGAGGTTGATCTATCACAGGGCTCGTCTCGGACAGCGCAGGGCGAGATGCCTGGTAGTTCGTGTAGCTCTTTCTGTAGCCCGCGAGGTTACAAAAGACGGTCTCAAATGTGGAAACCATCTCTTGGGATTCGATAGTTTCAGCTCGAGTGTGTGCACGCGGCAGTCGTGGGTTGGGCTGCTCGCTCCAGAATGGGTAAATGGCGCTCCAAATCCGGTTCTCGAACTCGATTCTGCAGAAGGCTTCGCGGGTGGAAGATTCGTCACGACAGTGATGGTCACGAGCGAGTGCTCCAGGCCGGGTTAAGTCGTTGCTTTCTCTTCTAAGTCTGGCATCTTCGCGTGCCTTGAGTACCTGCTGTACAAGCCCACGTCTCTCGGCTACATTGTCCTCCATCTCGAGTCTCTCCGTCTCGATTCTTTCTGCCTCTTTCCACAGCCTAGCTTGCTGTTCACCCGCTCTATTGAGCACGTCAGCCTCCGCTTCTGTAAGTCGAAGGGGTGACGGTCCATAGCCTGGAGGGCCAGTAGATCCACAGAAGTCAATTGGCGAAATTCCATATGAATCAACACACTCATTGCTTGAGTGGGGTGTAAATCCCGAAGCATAAGAGGGATAGGCCATCTCCTGGTGAGCATGATAGACTGAGGCAGGGATGCCCAGCAGGACACCTTCATCGACAGACTCGAGCTGCCGATGTTCAGAAGAAACTCTCTGTTCTGGCCAACAATCTTTTGGGGAGAATATGCTTTGAGTAGTGACAGAGAACTCATGATCTTTATTTTCAAGCTGCGCAAAATTGACCGTTTCGATTCTGGGCTTCAGACTAGAGAGAGGGTTGTTTGCTTCTTTCAAGCGAGCCTCTTCCAAGAAAGATGTGCACAGATGAGCTTCTTCCTGTTGTGTAAATGGCCCCGGACCATTATTCAAGCCATTGTTCTCGTTTTTCTTTGGGGAGTCCTCCATCAATGCATATGCCATGCGCTTTGACTTAGGCATGAACGGTTCAACTTCAGCGCTGAGGGGCCGTGGGGTTCTTTTCTCGACTTGCGGCATCAGACTTCCTGAGGTCTGTGAGTTGTGGTCCTCGGTTGCTTTGGCAATCCTTCTTTCGACAACAGGACTTGCGCATGCTGAAGCAGGTTGGAATGGCTCCACGGTTGGAACCAGAGGGCGTGAGGTTCGCCCGCTCATTCTCTCAGTTGATCCTGGAACAGAACAAAGCTCATGGGTTATCAGAGGAGCCACAGTAAGTTCAGTGAATATTTCTCGCGGCATCACGTTATGGGGAGGCCGATGGTCTTCAAATCGTGGCCGGTTGAAGTCTTGCGGCACAGTAATATTTGGACCTACGGTCAAGAAGCCTGTAGGAGGGGTGCCAAGGGAAGAAAAAGAATCAGGAGGCATATTACGGTTCCTCTGGGCAGCGAAGAACCGCGTTCTTATTCGCTGCCGAACAGCACGGCGTGGAGAGACACCAGGTGAATTCAAGCCTGACCCGAACAGATGAGCAAGCCCTTCGAATGGGCGAGGGTATGAGAATCTCGGCATAGGGGCTGTACCTTGGGGGCTTGCAGAAACCGGCACATATCCAACATCGGGGACCTCCCGCAAGGAATCTTGCGACGGGGCTTGGTTGAAGACGTGATGTATAACCCGGGGGCAATGGGTAATACCCTCATGCAATTCCAGCCTGGGGGTATTTTCATTGGAGTTTGCACTGGCCATGCCGGTGCACGATCTTGGGAACTTGGAAGATTCTCTCTGGTAAACAGAAAATGCATCAGTCAAATCAAGAACTTTCGATATTGGGTTTCTAGATGAGTGAGCTGGTATAGGGCTCATTTAGAAATCAGGTTTGAAGCTTGCGGGATGCACAATGCGTACCTTGTCTGGGTTTAGTGAACGGTGAATGGTTTGATGGAAAGAAGAGAAAGGACAGAAGTGAGAGAACGCACCGATGTGTCGACAGAGGATGCGTTGCGCCTCTTCGCAATCTGAACGCGTTCTCGTCTTGTCGATTTTTTCCAACGGCAGCTTCTGAAGACATGACTGATTGCCAAAATGTTCGGTCGTCGTTACTCTTCACTGCGTATCAATCGTTGTGATACCGTTTTACTTCCCTGTGCTTGCTATTGGATCGTAAGAGACCGCTTCATGGACATCTACTCCATTTGGGGCCACAGCAGGGCATAGAGGGCACTGTTACAAGTGGTAAAGCCTACGCTGTTATCGAAAGTGATCAGATGCATAGTCTGGTTGGATCAACTCCGGTCTTCGATATTCCCAAAACATTGCCCAGCCATGTCCTCAAACTCCAACAAGCCTAGTCGGCCCTTGAACTGGCTCATCACTGGCTGCTCTTCCGGCCTTGGCCTTGCCTTAGCTCGTGATGCTCAAGCTCGGGGACAGAGTCATCGCAGCCTCATGACAGCCTTCGCGCATCCCAGGTTTTGTCTCCGAGGTGGAGAGTCACTGTTTGATTGGACATCTTCAACACAAACTTCGGCAACGTCTCCGGATCGCTCGAGACTCGTTGCCGGAGGACTGCCGAAGCTCCGTTGCCGAGTGTACTATGGACGCTATCAAGAGTGGCAAGCTCCCGTTCGATGGTGACACGGATAAAGCGGCAAAGGCCATCTATGAAATGGCTGCCGGCGAAGGTGTCGGCGCTGAGCGCGAGGCTGAGCTTTTCCTTCCACTGGACCGTGATATGATTACTCGGGTCTGTCTTATTCGCGATCAGTACACGCATGCGTTGGAAGTGCTTGGCGACTTTAGTGGCAATCTTTATATGGAGCGACAGGATTAGATAGTGATTTTCATCAACAGAATATAGATTATGATATATTGGGTTTATCGCTTCTCGACTCCGGGCACATTAAAGAAGACCACCTGCACAGTCATGTCGTCCCGTTGGTTTCGTGAGAAGGGAGAGCTAAAGGCTAGTCGGCCTGCCACCATCTCATGATGGTTTCCACCGAGGGAGTTGCGCACTAGGTGCACAGCAGCATTCTCATCTTGGACGGTTGTTCGTTTTTCCTCAAACTTCCAATCCACGCCATTCTCAAACCGACCCAAATCGAAGGGCCCATAGACTGGCTCCAGCTCGCTCTTCCTCTTCTCGCCGGTCGACGCTTCTATCCATTTCGTCACCAGATTGACAGCTTGCTGATTGGAGAGCATATCCCAAATCCCATCCGATGCCATGATTAAGAACGAAGGCTTGTTCGGGTCGATTTTTGTGCTGGTTACGACCGGCTCAGCAGTCAAATATGGGGGTGTCCGCACATCGTATTTTGGCGTCAAAGGCGACGGGGCACCAAATTTGTTTTTCATCTTTCGTTGGAAGTCCAGTGGCCACTTCCATCGGGTATCGCCAAAAGCTCTTGAGACTGCTAACCCGAGGACGCGTCCGTCCTTGATCATATTCTTTTCACCGGGGTGCTCAGAGCAGAGCCTGGCAATCTCTTCTTCGTTGTAACCGGTCTGATCAACTGACAACGGAATGGCTTCCCACTTTCCATCAGGCCCTTGCTGTCCCAGAACCGCCCTTGAATCACCAGTACACGCCACATGTAATGTGCTTGTGGCGGAATCGTAAAGAGAGAGTAGAGCGCAGGAGCCCGCGTACGCGGGAAGCAATTTCTTGACTTTCTCTGCAAGAGACATCTTACTCTGAGATGTTTGCAGGGCTGTCTCGACGATAGAGTCATCAAGAGCCAAGAAGCCTTTAACGACGGCATCCTGCACAGACGCATCGGATGTATAACCTTCGCTTGAGAGCTTGATTTGGCTCAAGCCATGTCGCACAAAAGTCAAAAGCTGCTTCTGCAGTAGATCCGCTGTCTGCCAGCCGGCATGGCCGTCGAAAACAGCCCAAGCCATCCATTTCTTACCGTCATTGTACGGCGAAAAGGTACCATGGATGTACCGGTCCTCGCAGGGCGAATTGGAAGCTAATTGATTGCCGTCGTATCTGTTGACACCAGGGGTGTCTCTGACAGCGAACGAGTATGCAGCTCGGGAAATGATATGTGTCACTTCTTCTTTCGAAGGGCCGGTTTCAGGGACCAGGTCCTCGGCAGGCGGGCTCTGGAGACTTGGTACATCATCGCGGGTGCTCAGGAACCACCCTATGCCCGACGTGCCGACAAAACTGACAGTTGCCACATATCTTCTCGAATGCGAAGGTCGCTTGGTTGAGTAGGAATTACAGGCCGGTGTCCGTAGAATGGACGCCGTTCGGCCTGGCCGAAGCCGGGCCAATATCCATAGAGACATTGTTGGGCACAGTTGCGAAAATTATGATCAAGAACAGAGATTACGCGTCAACCGTTTGTTCTCATCAATGTCGGGGTGTATGATATAGGACACTACACTACATATCAAGGTGCCAGCCACCCCTTTCCATCTGGGGGATCCAAGGCTTGGCATGCTTGAACTTCCCAAATAGGACTAGTACGGTTTGATCGAGAGTACAATGCAGACAAAATGTACCGGTCGACCTGTCCGGTCTATAGTTTCCTTCAGTAGTTGTCTGGGGTGCTGGGGTACTAGGGATAGGGCAGGAAATGCTCAAAGCAAGTTGAGAATAGTATCCATGAATTTTCATCCACCAAAGAAATATGTAAGAACGATTGACCTGCGGTATATCCCAGCCGCTTCAATAACGCTCGCTGAATGCTTAGGTTTGCACCCACTTAGCACTCCGAGATGAACCCGCTAAACGCCTCGCAAGAAGTCAAGTCATAAGGGAATCAAACGATCGCTAATACAACGCGTGTCAAAGTCTTAGAGCAACACCCGCCGATTGGCGGGAAACAGGAGAAAATACATGAATTGACACAAAATATAAGAGAGGAGACGTGGTCAGCGGTTTCGATCCGCATGAGCCTGGTGCCAGATGGTGTCACCACTGAGAGCAGAGAAGCTGAGGGAAGCCAGATTTCTCCAGCTTGATGGGGGTGCGGAGCTCGCATGGCCATCAAGAAGACCGGCGCTTTGCTCGGTGTCCGAGGCATCCTCGTCATTAACGGGAATGAGAACAGGTGCAGATGATGCTTCAGATCGTGGGTCCAACTGAGAAAGACCACTACTGCTGGTGTGCTCGTGTTGATTGTGAAAGTCGCCGCCGCTCTGGGGGTGGGCCATTGAAAGGACGACGTCGCCTTTACAAATTGGACAAGTTCGTCGGCGAGTGGTAAGCCAAGGGGTAATGCATTCCGCATGGAACTCATGGCCGCATGGTAAACTCATCACTCGGCTTTGACCATCGATATACTCCTCGAGGCACACAACACACTCCACCTGTCTTCCAGTATACTTTCGGCGCCAGAGAGTAGACCCGGACTGCAAGTTCGTCGACTTTTCTTCTCTAGGTGCGGAACTCAATGGGACTCCTGAAATAGTCTGAGACCGAGACCGAGTAGGCCGAGAAGTGCTGGATCGGCTTTCACCGAGGAGTGGAGAAGTGGGCGAGACATCCCCAAGGCTAGGAGGGCGCGGAGATCTAGGGGACGAAGATGTGCTCGAGATCGTGTGGTATGTGCGGACAGGAAGGCGCTCAATAACAGACTTAGGAGCACGCCAACGACGGCGGCGAATCCGGGATCGGAGTAGCAGAAGGGCATAAACGACCGTAAGCGTCAAGAGTGGGCTAATAACAAGTACCAGAAGGGTGTCAAAGAACGGGCTCGTCGACATGCTTGTGGGGGTCATGGTAACCCATAAACCCTCGTGCTCCGAAAACAAATCAGCTGGAGGGTTTGCCGAATGAGCTGTTTTCGACTTTTGATTTGACACGGCCTTTTGAGGTGATGGAAAGGAAGACGGTTCAGCTTCCAGCTTTGTATTATCACCCCAGCCAAAGTGGCTTGAGAACCAGCCCTCTCCTGAGGATTCTGACCCTCCATGGCCGGCATCGATATCTTTCTCGGATTCCTTGACATTGGTGTCGCGAACATTGCCGGTAGATTTATCAATACTGAGATATTCACCGCTACCAGGGGTGATGCTGCCACCACGTAGTATATTAGGAGTCAAGGCCGCGTCCGTGTCCGGGGCAGCAGTCTTGGCGCTGTCCTTTCCAGTTGCAGAAGTACTCGGCGTCGGGAGTGTGCTGCTTCGTGCTGGCATCAAATCAGGATCTCTCCAGTCTTGAACACCGATGACAAATCCATCGCCATCGAGGTTATCAGATGATAGCCCGGGTTTGTTGCTGTCTATGCCGTGCTCAACTTTGCCCCGGCTGCGCTGATTGTAGTCTCCAGACCCCTTCGAACGATCAGGCCGAGACTTGGCAGAGTCCCACGAGCCCAAAGTCATCCAGTCAATGTTGCCGCTGCTGGGTGGACGGCGGCTGTCTTCCGGGTGACCCAAGCCTCCGTGTTTACTGCAAAGGCCGAAGAAAGACCCGAGGGCACGAAGGAACCCGCCACTTTGTTGTGTAGCAGCAGAAGGCCGCTCCTTGGATGCGGAAGAGCTAGTAGAGGTGGATGTAGACGTAGCAGTTGCGCTCGTGGTTGTTGCAGCCTTTTGTGGGTCTACATCTGCCTGCCCAGCAAGTTTCGCTTGTAGCGATTTCAATGCACCGCCGAAGCCAGTTCTTGCGCCAGAGTGCGACGGCATCAAAGACGAAAGAAGATGGGCAGTGGTATGAGACGTAAAGAGGGCGGGAATCGTAACATTCGACGTATCACCCCGGGCGTACATAGTGACCAAGTTACCGCCACGGGTATCATCTCCAACAATCAGCGCCATAGCTCCCCGGCGCTGAGCCCATTTCACCTTCTCAAGGAAGCCACAACCACCGCGACTCAGCAAGACAACCTTGCCCTGTATTTCAGCAGTCTCTTGCAGCGACTGGATATCGGCATGAGTAGATTGTTTGACTTGAACATAGTCACCGTATTTCTGAGGCGCCCCGTTATCGGCAGCGCTGGACTCGGGCAGCGGATGATGCAAATGATCGTCGGTACCGTCGCTCGATGAAGGCCCAACTGGGGCGTCGCCTCGATCATTCTGCCGAGCGGCATCGACCTGCAAAGGTAATAGAGGGCGGTTCTGTGTCACTGCACCATCGTTCATTGTGCTACTTCCGGGCTTGCCGGACTTTTGCTCCGTGCCCCTGGACGCTGCGTCCTGTGGTTTGTGACCCGTGCCCTCGCCCCAGCCGGGGATATCGGAACATCCTAGCTCTCCTTCCACCCCGGCGGCGAGCCCACCTTCACCAAACCCGCTGCCCACCCAGAGCTGGCCGCTTAGACCCTTGCCCGGCAAGAGGGGACCGAAAGCCGCAGGGCGGGCCAAGAAGAAGGTCGAGTTGTCATCGGTGAGACTGATGATAGCCGAAGGAGGGAAAAGCGAGGAGGGGATGTTGAAGGAGAAGAGAGCGTGCAACCCGGACGTCCGACCAGCGAGCGTGTTAGGAGTCGCGACACTCGATGAAGAGAGTGCGGAAAAGAAGGTGAGGAAGATAGGGAAAAAGATAAGGCAGAAAATAACAAGGAGAAGACGTGGAGGTCGCATGTCTGCAGATGGAGGGCTCCAGCAACGAATATGAGGGAGGTAGGATAGAAAAGGGTGGGTGATCGCGGGGACTGATTGACAATAACCGTGTCTCCGTTGTATGACACTGCTGAAGGGCCTGGACACTCTACCAATCCAAAGGTTGGCAGCAAGCGAGCAGGTGGCCACTCATCGAGGATAATGAGCAGCACCGCTTGTCACGGAAAGAAGCCGGTAGCCACAGCCAACACACCCAATCGACAAACAAAAGGGGCTTTTAGGGGAAGGGGATGATGTTGAAGTCAGGTGGAGAAGGCCTCGGGGTGAACTGACAATTACGTAACTTCCGTGACGGCATCTTGTGCCTGAGGCACGTGAGGCAATGCGCTTTGCCTCAGGCTGACGTTAGTTGTGTCTCTTTGAGGTATTCTTATTTTAGAGTCCGATTCCATAGTTTTTGCCGTGCGACTGAGTCCCCTCTGGGTTCCTCACTCGTTTTTTGAGGTCTTGCGGAAGGGCCGATCTACTGACTGGCCTCTCTCTTCCCCGCCGATCATGTCATCATGCTTCTCCAGGAAACTGAGTATGTCACCGCCCTTTCAAGCTACACAACGCTTGACAAGTCATAGTTGAATGAATCTATATAGACTATGCTCAGCGTTAATCCCAAGGAACACCGAATGTGTACTGAGGAGATCTGCATGAGGAACTCTCTGTGCATTAATCCACCTTGCCGATCATAGTTTAGCGTATCGTAATTTCTGTGGGTGGCATGACGTTCTCTATTTCGATCTAAATTCGAACTCCCACACCGAACCTGAGGTCGCTTTTCTAGAAGTGCGAGCGAAGAAAGCTCAACCGACACTGATTTAGCACTTAAATTCTGCGGAACCGTACAGTTTTTGTGGAGATTTTGCTCGTGAAGGGCTGACGACGCTCTCTACTGTAGTCGACGGTAAGGTATAATTGGGTCACCATTCAGAGGAGCCAGTAGGTACATCATCCGAGAACCCATGGAACACGTCTTGGACTCCTATCCGATAAGTCTCTCGTATGTACTATAACTCTGTCCGATCCGCATATAACTACCCAATGGGTACACATGGATCTTAATCCAGTGGCGAGCTCGAACTGTGGGCGATCCGGAACATGACAGCCGATGACATGGACGGGTCGTCTGTTCTTAGCAAAGTCGAACGCCGCATATCTCACCGTGCCACTGTCACGTCATGACAGTTTAGAAGAAGACAACGGCAGAGCTCTCCCCGCATCTGAGTGGCCATCGTCGACTCTTCCATCCCCGCGTAATGGCGTCAGAGAGTCCCGTGAGCAGTCTTCTAGCAATCGAATTGATCAGTATCCAAGATTTGAGAGTGCCTAGATATATAAATGGGTAATTGACATATGAATTCCTTCCATTGTAAAACTACCAGAAACTTCAAGTAATCAGATCCTCACGAACTTATTCTCTAGCTCTTTCTACAACGTTTTACTCTTCAATTAAACATTTGACCTACGTTATTCAACATGTCGAATTTCATGCACAAAGTCAGAGATGCCATGAGTGGCCACAAGGGGTCCTCCCATGACTCGTCTCAAGGAGATAACAGGACGAGCGGTTAGCTCCTGCAGACATCGTGATCAAACCAGCCCTAATATGTATAGATACCCGTGATACGTACGGCTCTTCTAACACTAGCCAAGGAGACAATTACGGCACTTCCAACACTGGCGGAGGAACTGGCAATACCTATGGTTCGAATACCACAGGCGCTGAGATGGGTTCTGGAATGGGCACCGGAACTTCTGATTCCAAGATGGACAACAAGATGGACACGAGCAACACCTACGGCTCGACTACAGGCTCAGGCAACTATGGTGCCGGTGGTTACAACACCGGTCTTCAGGACACCAAGGGTCAGGCAGGCATGGGACCTTCTACCATGAACACTGGTGACTACAGCACTGGTTCCAACGCCTACGGGTCATCGGGCACTGGAGACTACTCCGGCACCCAGGGACCTCGTGAGTCCAACATGGCCAACAAGATGGACCCTCGTGTCGACAGTTCCACCGGCCAGGGAGGCATGTACACCTCCGACTATGGCGGCAGCACCAACTCCCCGGCCTACAACACGCGCTCTGCCACCACCGGCTCTAACATGGGCCAGATGGATTCAAAACAGCGCGACATGGGTGGCTCGGCTGCCGGTGGTAGCAGCTACAACACGGGAAGAAGAAGATCTTCTGGTCCCCATAGCTCTAATCTCCTCAACAAGCTTGATCCCCGTGTGAAGAGCTCGGACTATGAGACGGCTGGTAACCAGCGGGCATCCTAGGTCTTTTCCAGGGCTTTTTTGATTACTTAATGGTTCTATGAGATTGAATCTCTTCTATTTTGTTAATAATGTTTCGATATCCGCAAAATGGAATTTGCTACTGCAAGACGCATGAGCAAGAGCCTTCGTACTACTGTGCGTTTAGATCTAACCTAATGAGACCACCCCTTTCATGCCTGGTAGCCCTGTCTTATGGTGACTTTTCCCGTTCTCCATTACCCTGGCTGCAGCTGCTTCGTGAAAAGAATGAAGTTAAGTCCTATTGCACGGCATTATGCCCTAAAGACGTACTCCCCTGGGTCCCTGTGACATAACCCAGTAAGTAACATAGGTTGCGGGAGCCAAGTTCTCCTTACCTGTTTCTGTTCTCTGTCTCCTCCGGCGGCAAGGTTAGCTTGTTCATAGATGTGGTTAATTTATAATGTCTTCTCATGGATGCCCCAACTACCTACGAATGCTGAAAATAGGTACACCCAGTATCCCATAGGATAGTTCCAGCCTCTGCAGCCGCCTTCGCCCAAGTCTCCCTCCCCTGTAGCCCTATAAACCAGTTGTTCACGTTGGGATATCTCTCAAAGACCTCCTTCCACTTACCTCCCATCAAGGCAGCACCATTTGGTAGGTGAAACAGATCCGCCAAAGTCAGCTCATCTCCAGCGATATATTTCTGGGTGGCCAATTTGTTGTTATAAACAGCGAGAACCGCATCAAGCTCCTGTTCCGCCTGCGCAACTCTGTCCATGTCGGGGGAACCAAGGCCTTTCATTCTATATAACTGCGGATTAGTTATCGCATAGAAAGAACGGAGAGGAAGATATACGGTTTGATGACAAGCTCCATTCCGATGGTCTCCGCTGCCGCTGCGAAGTAACTCTGTTCGAAGCGACCGTAGGCTTCATCACCCTCTGGGACCAGCTTCTTACCGGAGGGGTATTTTCTGATCCAAGGTTAGATTGATAATTGCATACACTTGATTCGATCGGAGACAGAAACTAACGTACCGGGCAAGATATTTGCAGATACCCCTACTTTCGAACATGATGAACCCGTCATCATCCAAAACAGGGACCTTTCCGAATGGCTGCAGCTTCTTGTAGTCCTCAGTCTTCTGGTCGCCCTTGGCGATGTCAACGAGAACGAGCTCGTAGGGTAACTCCTTCTCCAGGATCGTGACCAGGACCCGGGAGGTGGACATAGCAGAGCCATAGAGTTTGAGAACCATTTTGCCGGTGGATCACTTAGCGAACAAGTAATAATCAGCCGTGGAGATGGTGTTCCAGGGGGCCAGCACAATTGATAGCAGTGATATAAAGTCGCGAGCTGTTGTGTTTTGATCCTCCTGCCAAGAAGGGATGGAAACAGCCTTGCTAGCACTAGACAAGGACATAGCTGATCTGCCCCTGCTAGTGCTTACATCGGGTACGGGCGGCTTGAAGGGGATCGAGGGCGTTACCCCGATACCTCCGTCGTAGGTAGGAGAATGTGAGGAATCTACCCGACTTAACATAGCATACTGGACTAACAGTCCCTTATTTCAGTCTACCAACCATGTTAATCTGGTCAGTTTAAAGTTGGTAATGGACATATCCTTAAGAAATTTCCATCATGTACAGGAAGAGACAGACCTAAGTCCTGAAGGGGAAAAGGCCTCCTAGTAGAAAAACAGGGTGTTAAAGAAAAAGAAAATAGTAAAGAGACTGTGTAGGCTAGGCTTATGAGACATGGTATGGAGACAAGGTATGAAAAGGAACAGTGTTCACTGGTTTAGAAAGGATCAGGACATTCGGCGCCAAGGTCATGACTGGCGCGAACGGAGGCTGGAAACATGAGGGCGAAAAAAGACAAGAGAGAAAGTCAGGGTATGCAACGTATGCAACGTATGCAAAATGAGGCTTAAGACAACAACACCGAACCCCAGAAGAATCAAGCACCAGGCACCTTGGCCCAGAATACAGTAAATATCATGTCGTCAAGAGAAGTAGAATCGTTGGTGAAAAGAGTCATGCTGGGCTGCCCTTCAAGAGCGCCGACTTTTGGGTAAAGATAAATCGTGAGCGTATGCGGAATAGCCAAAACTGATTTATTTATCCATCTTTTGCCACCCGTTAAGATAGGCCATTAAGCCAACCCCAAGAAGAACCACACCGAACATGGATGCATATGGACTTGCCTCCTCCAGGAAATTACGCCGGTGTTGTGTAGCGAAGGCAGTGGCCGTAGCGTCGAACTCTTTGCTCTTTGGGGTGACTGGGTCAAATCGTTGTGGAGATGAGCCGTCCGTCTTGGACTCGGCTGACCCATTCTCTGTCGGGACCGTGTGTCCAGAGATGGTCTTCATCAAGTCCCGGCCTTGTGCGTCTGGCTTCGATCCAGCCACGGAGGTCGATTCCTCCTCCGCACGCTCCTTTCGCAGGGTTTCGATCATCTCAGCCAACGACTTGCGCGACTCATTCGATTCATCCTCGGCCTTCTCGGCGCGCTCCTTGAATGAAGTCATTTGCTTCCTCATCTCCTCCATCTCTTCCATCATATTTTCAAGGCGGCGCTGGAGCTGCGTGGTATTCACCTCCGCAGATGGTTCTTTCTGGTCAACTTCAGAAGGCGGAGGGACAGCAGTTGGTATAGGGAGGCCATTTGTCGAGTCGTTTGGCTCCAGCTTGATCTTTGACTCGGTCTCCGGTGTATGAATAGCACTCTCAGACTTGGATACTTCATCCGATGCGGAGCGCATTTCCAGCTTCTTCACCTTCTCTTCTGCGGACTCGCGAGCGGCTCGTTCCTGGAGAAGCATATCTTCCAATTCTTTGACACGGGCCCCTTGGTTATCGATTTCTCGCTTGGCAGATGAAAGTGCCTCGATAAGAGACAAGATCTGGCTCGAATCACGAGAGACAGGTGAGTTATTGGAGACCGACTTGGGCTTGTCGGTGTCACTGCGTTTCAGAGGCGAGAACGAATCAGGCCCAGATCGTGGAGCATCAGGTTTCTCTGGGAGAGGTTGCTGGGGAGGAGGAGCGGGAGGTTCCGAGAATCTGGAAAAGGAGTCGACACGGGGCATTTTCGGGCGACCATTCAGCTGACGAGGAGCGCTGTTCTCAAAAGATGTCGGCTTGGTGGCCTTCTCTTTCTCAGGATAGCCAGGTTTCATGATCGCCGCCAAGAACTCGTCAGTCTGACGAAGATCCTGCGATTGCTGCTTCGCCGATTTCAACTCGCTCTGTAAAAGTAATCAGTATGTCATGAAACAACTTCAAAAAATGTGAGGGAATTATACCGTGAGTCTCTTGACGACCTGCTCGACAGAAATAGGAGAGCTCCAGTAATTCATCTGCCGTTGCTGGTGCATGGCATTGATCTGGTTGCTGGAGGTGCTCTGGGCACTCCTGTTGCTCGCATTGCTGCCTGATCGCCCCCGAAGATGGGAAAGTGGTTGACTAAGAGGTGATGGTAGAAGGCCTCCACCAGAAGCAGGGTCCAAGTCTCCAAAATTGAGGTCAAGGATATTCGGAGTAGTTCCATAGAGGCCAGCATGTTCAACTTTAGCAGAGACCTTGTGGTGAACAACAGTGTTCTGGTCCTCGCTGACTATATCGATTCCCAATTCCATGGTGTCATTTTCACGAAGCTCGTGCGGATCTGATTCGCGGTTCTCAGGAGACAGCCTGTGGCCATTAACGAAGGTGCCATTTGAGGATTTCACGTCACGAATCCAGATCTTTCCAGATTTATCAGCCCATATCTCAGCATGCTGCCGAGAGAGGACCTTGGAATCGAAATACCCATTCAGTGGCGTGGGCACTGTTTTGGCATTCGTCTGACGACCGACCCGTAGAACATCAGGGAAGAAAGGCACATTGATTTGCTTCTTCTCAAACGTTCCATTCAACGGTGTCAGGGCCAGAATAGCAGGGGGATCCGAGGACTGCCCATTAGAATGCCGAACACCATTCTGCTGGGATGATTGGAGCATATGTTGTGACGGGACGATGGTTGATGGTTGATGCATAGCAGACATGGTCGATGAGGCAGTTGGCCCCGAGGAGAGCGCGGGAACTGCCTGTGATCGGGTATTTGTTACTCCTGATACAGGCTCGGCCTTGGAGCTAGGCCAGAGACTCCGGGTAGGTTTCTTCTTCGATGACCAGGTGCCAGCTTCACCGCCAGAATTTTGCTCAGCATAGGCCTCTTGCTGGCTGCTGGTCACCGTCGATGTAGAGGAGTTCGATCCGAGGGAAGATGAGGAGTTGGAGCGGTGGACTTGCTTCCGTGGCATGAACATCCGTGAAACTTCGTCTGCATTCGCTGAAGACAGAGCTCCTTGTCCTCCGTTACCAGTGCTGTACCATCCCAAGCGAGACCCCGATTGCACACTAGGTGGTGATGCCACAGCAGTCATGGAGAAGGATATCGGGGATGGTTCAACTCAGTGGAATGTCCAGACGACGATCGACGGTCGCAAAGTTGACAGGACACGATCCCTTCACGGCGGACAGTTCGAACGTTCGGGCAAAAGTTGTGTTCGTGACTAAAGGTTGATTGCGTGGTTGGAATGGTGGTGTGCAATGCGCGCAGGGCTGTTGTTTTTTCTTGGTCGGCCGGCTAATTTAGAACGGTCGCGTTAGCGCTGGTCGCTTGCCAAACAAGTTATCGGCCCTCCGACTCGGGCCTGGGCTCGAGACGGGTGAACGGTCGAGATAATCGCAATCAGATGCTATACTTACCGTTAAAGGAGGTTTCAGAAATATTTAAGCACCGTTGGGGGGGGATAAAGTCAGTGCTCCAGACCACGGAGGCGTGTGAGGTCTTGCCGGAACGTGAGCAAGCGACCGGTGTCTCACCACCTTCCAAGGACGAGGAAGCACAAGACGGAACTTGCCGCCTTTGCCACAGGCTTGAAGCCGCCCTAACAGCAAAAGTAGAAAATGATAGAGATCAAAAGACGGGGATGGCCATGGAATCTTAGCCCACGGAGAGAGGGAACCGTCCCTGTTCTCTTACTCCCTTGACGCAGCCGGTCACGTGGTCTACCGGCACGTGTGTGCCCGTTATGGTCACGTGAAGCGGAGACGGAGATGAGTTGCGATGAAAACGCCTCTTTTCTAGATTTCTGTCCAATCTTCACTGCTTAGCTCCATTCGGCTCTGGGCTTCCGCTCACTTACTTCGCTCCCTTGTACACACTTCTGAGCTCTCTCCCGAACCCAAGATGCCCGTCGTTGCTGGTCCTGCCGCAGGGGGCCCTGCTGGCCCCTCGACCTTCGACAAAAGTATGTTGTCTTGTCCACCATATAAGGCCCTGCAAGCCTGGGAAGCTGGCGAGATACATAGCATGAGCTGACCAGACTATAGTGAAAATGGGTTGCATGATGGGTTCCAGTACGTGATCGGAGAGCGTGCTTGCGTCATAGCTATGAGCTCCTACTAACTCGGCGCGTCCATTTAGCTGTCGGTGGAATCATGGGCTTCATCATCGGTGAACACTACAAATGAAAGCTGCTGCAGGGGCCAAAAAGCTGACAGCTTGTAGGAACGGTCACGATCTTCCAGTACGGAGCCGGCCCCAATGGTGTGATGCGCACTCTGGGCAAGTACATGCTGGGCTCCGGTGCGACCTTTGGGTATGGGCTATCTTCCCTTTCTTGTTCCTTTCCGGGATTTCTTCGACTCTAGCCTTGTACTAACCAATACGCTTTTACTCTTTCAGTCTTTTCATGTCCATCGGCAGTGTCATCCGTACTGAAGGACCCCACAACGATGCCTGGCTCCGCGCTCGAGGCCCTCCCATGATGCTTCCCCGCCAAAGCCCCCTCCAGCCAGTGCGCTAATAAACTCGTGTTCTCCTGTCGTTCTGGACGGGGATGTCAAATGGTGCACGTGACATGACCAAATCGAAGGGGACGCTTCTTGTACGATACGATCTTTAAATTTGTGAAGCGATTTCAGCAGAGGTGGAATAGCAAGATTGGCTAAGATTGAGGAGCTTGAGATGGTGGTTTGGGCGGCCATACTGGCCGAGAGCTTCCAAGGTTCCAAGCTTATAATGCACATATGCTTGTCGCATCAGGAATTTGCTGGGCCTGGTCATCTCTTCACTCAGGAATCGCCGGGTTGGCGTCATTTCTTGCTCCGACTGTCTAGTACCGGGCCTTTCTTCTGTCCATAGCGGACGGGAAAACAGCGGATGTTCTTTGGGAGCGTTTCGATGCCCAATCTGAAAACTTTACCTGAGAATCTGCTATGTCCCATCAATAACTTTGTATAACCCTAGATTGCTGTTTCTATAAAACAAGCTTTGCAAATCTGAGCAGAGACATTGATTGATCCAGAACTTCTTGACCACTAATCCGTCCAGAAATAACATGAAAAGACGACACCCGCTATTGTATGGCTGCAGTACGTATGTAGCAACCCTGAAGGCAAGGTCATGAGGGCAGACATGGGTTTAGACTACTTAGTTCCAGTGCCAAAGGATTGCCCAAGTAGCAGTCATTACAGTTATATCTAGGTGGAACATAACTTGATAAGGTGTAGGGTCAGAAACGACATATATATTGAATGTTGCACAAAAGTAGCAAGCGAGGGGCCAGATATACAATCTACAGTGCTTTGACCCATATCTGCCTGGGGAATTCTACAGAGATGTGTATATTTATTTCGTGGTAAACAGAGTGAAAGAGGAAAATCACCATTGACTTTCCAACATAGCTACTGGTACCCACATACTCCAGGTGGGAATGACAGCGGATTTTGAACACGTCAAACAAGAAAGGTGTTCGCGACGATATTTTGATGCGGGGGTTTAGGTTCGATCGGATTTCCGTCAGCAGGGTGGACTCTCGCATACGGTTTGCACGTCGGGCAAATTCGGCTGTTTCCGCCTCTTTTCGTGCCTCTCCTATTGTGTAACGCCTACGGGCATTTTCGTTCTTTCACTGCAAGATAAGCGGTCAGTGAACTTGAGGGATTGAAAACCGGCGTTGTCCAGTATAACACAGATCGTTCACAGATCGCTTGACCGGGCCAATTGTAAACATCTTTCCTCGGGCAGTCGGATCTTGGTTCCAGCCATGAAACGTTGAAATGCCTTTTCCCCTCCATCGGGGGGCAGACCTAACCAAAGATTTGCCTCCGGCAAGGTATGTTGTGAACTTCAAGTTGTTGTGCAAGGCGACTCAAGAATTGGTGACAGACTGAGTATGCAAGAAATCGGGAACGGGATGATCAGTCACAACTTCTCGAACCCCCCGGACTCTTCACAGGCACAAAGTGACTGGCCACGAAGGGCAACCCGGAAGGACGATCTCAACATCACGGTGGATCGCCCTCGGGTTCTACGGACCTCGCCAGGCACAGGCTTCTGAGTCGCCGCCCGAGCCCCGTCCGCTAATTACACTCCACCGGCTTCTGGACCGCCAAGTCCACCGCCACAACAATGGTCACCTCGACTGTGTGGGTGGACTCTCGGGTTGCACCCGAATGAGGCAAATTGAGAACGACTTTTTGCCTAATCTCGGCTAACACCGAGTCTAGCCAATCCGATCGACAGAACAGGGCCTCTCAAATCACGAGAGAAAATTCGAAGAGCTTACCCTCGGGGCGAATGAAAACCCGCCAACCCTGCGCGATCCGTCCTACCGGGCGTTCCTGCATCCATGACGCCAGGGGCTACACCGTTTCAATTCCCCCTAGACGGACACAGGTCCGGGTCTGTTTGTACAAAGGCACGGAGAAGCATGCAACGCATGCGCAGATCATATGCGGTGACAATCCTCATCAAACGAACTGGAACGACTCAGGAATCACATTCCGAACCCAGAGGGTTTCAGATGGGGCAGGTGGGCTCTTGCTCAACCGTTAGCAACAATAAGTCGTCTCCATTCACGCCCTGTCTAGGTCTAGGGCTGGAGAACGCTACTGTACGGAATTCTCCAGGGGCAAAGAATCCTATACACCGGTGGAAAGGGTGAGAGGTGTCGTGTACCAAGGATATCAGGCTGGTTCGACCCAAGAAAATGGTGTTTACCTGGGATCGTCCCCAATAGCCAACGTAATGCATCAATAATCAAACCCGACGCTGTGCAGCAAATTGCGTTTGGCCCTCCCCTCGCATACGGACTGCCGGGATGAGTCTGTGCGGAACGAGATCCTGTAAGACCTTGGCGCCGGGCTTAGTTAGGGCACTGATGGCGCCGAGGGTCCATAGTTCGATCATGAACTGGCCCTATTTCGGATAGTTCCAGGAACCGCGTGCCCACTCATCCAATGGGAGCCCCGTTGCGCAGGGAAAAAACGAAAAGCCAATTTAAAAAGTCTGGCCCCCACAGGGCTCTAGAGTGAACGAATGACCCTTTCCTCAGGATCGAGGCCACACGCGTGCCTGAGATTATTTAGATGGGCGCATACCACGCCCTGTCATACTTCCTTTTCTTTCCCCCTTAGGCGCCTTTCACCCCAGTCATTCGTTCACACCTCCAGTCACTCATTTTATACTCCAATCCTCCTCCCGAGCCGTGCTCTACCTACGCTCGCTATCCTACTTTGGAGTCCCACTCGTTTGCACTCAAAGTCCATCCTCATTGCTATTCATACACTCGCGATCGCATCGCGTCTTCTATCCATCTACCCGCCTTTCACACATTGACTCGAGTCATTGCCGGACTTCTGTGAACTGTCCATATCTGAAACCACTCTATAACCACTCTATAACACCCGATTACGCACGATCAAATCACGTCTTTCGACCAATTGATCAACGAAAATGCAGTTCGGCGCACTTGTCACGTCTTTCCTCTGCCTGGCTGCGGCTCAGTTCGCTGTTGCAGAGGACACTACCTCCGTGTTGACCACGACCGTCACCAAGACCCTGGTCCGGGTGAACTCGGTCACTGTCACTGCCACTCCCACCCCCAGCTCCAGCATGGTGAGCGTCACGGCGACTTCTACCCCCGTGGTTGTCTCATCCACCCACGCCGCACCCTCTGCCACCCACACTGGCGGCGCTATCAGCATGCGCGCCGGCATGCCGGCTGCCATCGTTGCTGGCTCTTTCGCCCTCATTATGGGTCAGGCCCTTTAATCGGCAGTTGCGATTCAAGAGCATCGGCAGGCCACCGCATTCAATACTCACTAATGGATGTGGCTGCCTTGACGTCTCTTCCTGCCGTTCATCTCTAGCCGAGCCGGGGTACATTTTCTTTATTTTGGATTCATAATTTCTCTTCTTCGACTTTATTTTTGATCCTCTTGGTTAGCTGGAGAACCCTTCATCAGAGGAAACGGCCTTTACGCACTTCACACTTCCAATACCCCCTTTTAACGACTTTGTGGACACGAGTTGATGTCGGATTTACTTCTCACCCTATATTTTTCTATACTTCTTCTGTTCATATCTGTTCGGTGGATGTTTTCTACGGATCCTTCGGCCATGGCTCGTTCCACCTTTGGGCGTGACGCGGTCTGGATGCGAATGTACAAATCCAATGTTTGCCAAAGAAACCCCGGGAATACTTCACCAGACAATCAACTTTATTTTAATTTTTTTCCAACTAAGTTTTCCATCTATGACAAGGCTAGTTTGAATGTAGTGAAGATCACGTCGATCGAACATTCGGGTGGATCACATTCTCTGCCGTGGACTCCGCGCTCGACTGACCGTGCGCCCACGCGTCAACCACTTCAGGCAACCATTCGTTTGATCGCATCTTATCTCTCGGCATTCCAACTGATCTCAATTTGAACTTCTTCTGTTTCACACCTATAGAGATCAATTGATCGATTCTGATTCCTATTGATTCTATTGCGTCAAATTGGCGCGTTTGTTGACATCCGAGTCGCGGCACTCTGGCTCCACCACGCGTCGCCCCTCGAATTCGCCCAACGGCGCATTGTCCACCGGCTCTTCGAATGAGCCCGGACTGTATTACTGACTCGCGTGCTGTGCACCATTGATCGCAATGGACAACGAGATCCCCCTCCCTCCGCCGCGGTGTCTGCGCCATCGTTCTCCAGCGCGTGCCGGCACCTCGCCCGCAGGCTCGGTCGCCTCGTCCTTCCGCAAGGCGCGCCGACTGTCGCGATTCGACGACCGCTCGAGCCAGCCTTCAAGTGACCCTGCGCTTTTCTCAAGTGACGATATTCCTGCGTCGGGACTGGAGAACTACAATGCGCCTGTCGCCGGAGGAGCGGGGCGGAAGCGAAGGTATCGCGGGACCTGGTGGGGAGAACAGGCCGTGGATCCTAAGAGGAAGAGGGCTGATTTCAAGGAGAAGCGCCACGTTGACAGTGGTGTCTGGATGGGCAGCGACGAGTCACTTGCTGAGTCTTCTTTGCCCTCGGAGGATGGGCCGGCTTGGGGAGAGGATCTCTTGAAGTCTGTCCTCGATCCGCAGGCAAAAGGGAGATCTCCGCTTGAGCCATCTATGTTAAGGGCCCCTACTCCGGTGCAGGCGCAGACTCGCCCAATGCCTGTCTCTATCAAGGACGGCGAATCAGAGGAGTACCGCATTGCGAAGGAAATTATCAATAATTGTCTCGAGAAGGGTGAGGACAGTATTGATCTCGGGTAAGTGCATGCTCGTCGTCAAACAATCTCCGATATGAAACCTAACTGGGTATTATAGAAACCTAAATCTCAAGAGCATCGGGCAAGGTCTCCTGGCGCCTCTGCAGCATTTGACGAAGCTTCCATCTGTGACTGAACCTCCAACATCCGAGAACGCCTATACTTCTCTTCAGCCATTTCTCCGCATTTTCCTCCCTAACAACGATCTCACCAGCTTGGGTAGCGAACTTTTCGAACTAAAATATCTCAAAGTGCTCAGCGTCCGCAGCAACAGGCTTACCACGCTTCCCGCCAATATCCGCAATCTGACGGCCTTGCAAGTCCTCAACATTGCAGTTAACGAACTCACATCCCTCCCGTGGGAGCTCCTGGGCCTTCTACAGGGGGAACTGAAACATTTATCTATATTCCCGAACCCATTCCCATCAATTGAAGAAGCCGAGGTTACAGTCTGGCGTCGTGGATCGACTCAAGACGATGAACGCTCCTCGGGAGAAGCTCTCGAATTCAATGAATATGAAGGCGAACCTCCCGCCGACGCATGGGCCACGATCCGCGTCGCCACGGGCCCAGTAAAGCTCTTAGACATGGACGGCCAGCCGGTGGAATCATCAGCACCATCCGACTCGGCAAATCGCGCCCCATCCCTCCGAGAACTCTCCCTTCGCACTCTGGTCAAAACGCCAGGTCTCGATCAAATCACCGATGAAGAGATGCTCGACTTCCCCCCATTAGCAGTCCCGTTGATCGCCCTAGCCAAGAAGTGGCAATCAGACGGCGGTTGGCACTGCTCGGTGTGCCATCAAGAGTATGTGAACCCGCGCTCTGAGTGGACGGAGTGGTGGGACTGCACACCTCATGAAAATGGGATGAAGAGGCCGCGGGCCTCGGGTGAGAAGCTTCGTCCTTTGCCGTTCAGACGCTTTGGGTGCAGCTGGGCTTGTGTTCCTGACTCTTAGCCTGTATATTAATTTTCTTCTTCTCTTTCGTGTGCATTGTTACGGTTTTGTATATCTTGTGTGTGCATGATATGGGGTTGTTATAGAATTTATCCGTCGTGTGGACGGAAGTACATTTATTTACTCAAGCATTGTTTTCGGTCTGAGTCTGTAGATTTGAGGAAACCAGTACATAGTACTGAAAAAGCATTTCTGGTCCATCTCTATGGCCTTATAGGATGATTCGAGGCTGGAAGGTATCCATATCCTGTCGTTGGATTTTGCTAGTCTGTTCGTGCGTGGACGATCACTATCGTTGCAGTATTCCTCACGAGTTTTCCATGAGGATTTCCTCCATCGGGCTGAGCAGGCTGAGTGACTAAGTGGTGACTCATTCTGACTTCATCCAGGTATCTGTGAGAGGAACAGGCTCTCCATATCGGGTTTTCTGCGATACGTGGAGGCAGTGTTGCTGCAGCGATGTTCTTTCTGGTGGACTTGGCACAACATCGTTGAACATGACAGGCAAGCGGGATCATGATCCCCTGTACCTGGTGATCCAATTCTTTCGAGGCTGTTTGTGTCTTTCTTTGGTGCATTCAATGGCATGACCGGCACGCAAAAGATGCGTAAATGGCATGCTCTACTCATGGACGGTTCACTTGAGGCTAATGGCCACCTCGACCATTTTGATCCATCGAGTTCGGGTCTCAGGTAGCTCGGCATCTTCGGGCACCTTCGCGACCTCGCGCTTTCTTTTCTTTGTGGAATCTTTGGAGGCAGGTTCCTCTGAAGTCGCAGATTCCTTCTGATCCGCGGCATTCTTGGCCCGTTTTTGCCGCTCTTGTTTGCGCATCTCCCCCTCTTTCTTATCTTCATCCTCGATCACATCGTCAACGACGAGTACACTTCCAGTGGTGACGCGTGCTGTGTACTCGGCCTCCTTCTCTTCGAACCACTTGCCCACGTTGAGGGCCTTCTCGATTGCCTTGCCGGTAGCCTTCACGAAGACCTCCTCTCGCGTGTTCGCGGCCTTGGCGAGCTCTGCAAGTTTCTGCTTCTCTGTTTTCTGCGTGTCTTCAAGGCTGATGCTGGCTGTTGCGCGCTTCTCCGCCTGGCGGAGTAGTTTCTGGACGCGCTTCACCGCGCTCATGAAAGGTGTCTTGCTGGAGACATAGACGATCTTGGGTACGGCGGGACCCGCGTATGGTGAGGCGACTGGTGCATGGGGGATAGGTCGCTTTTCGACTTTGGCATCTGCAAGTTCTCGGGTGAGTCTTCTGTCTGCTTTTCGCGTTGTCCGAGATGTAGAGTTGTGGAGGGGTACGAAACGTACATTTCGGGAGCTTGACGAGGTCTTGGTTCTTCTTCTCGAACTGGAGATTTTTCTCCAGAGGCCCCTTGCCCATTGTGAGAATAGGAGGGTCTGTGAAGGTGTGGTTGGGAAGCTGTCGCATGGATGCCGGGGACGCAGTCTTTATCTTCGGCCTTTTTCTGCCGGGCGGTGCGTGTTGATAAAGTGTAACCTTTGGACCACTCAGGTCACGATCACGACTTCTGAGGGCATAAAAGTTTGGATTTCTTAATTCTAATAAGCTGCAGGGGTTTAAATATCTAGGAAAACATGGTATAGAGGACTTGAATGAATATCTTGCGAGGTTGGTGGTTTTTTGATGAATTTACTTGACCAATCTATTTGGGCTTCAAGGTTTAGCGAATCCCTGTACCTGCCGGGCAGAGCCAAAAGAACACTCGTAGTTTTTTGAAAGAAATATTCTCCGATAGATACCATGTATAACTTCGAAACCTCATCCAACCTCGGAAATAAACCGAGCTACACGTGCCGTAGTGGGTTGTCTCGTTGAAGAATGGTATCTGACCTTGCATTTCCACTCCATGGGTCATCATGGAGGATCGTAGTACAAATCCTGAAGAGTAACATGTATCACCACCTATGTTCTATGATTCTGGGTTAAGACAAACAACCGACGATTCCCTCGCGCGAAATTATGCCAAGCTGGCCGTGTTCTGAAAGTAGGCAACATACAGTCGATCTTCCATGAAGAAGCATGCAAGGCCATGCAAATGTATTTTCCCGCCTGCTGCAGCATGCCAAAGGAAATTGACAGTGAGCACTCGACAGTGCTCATGATCCAGGTCGAGAAGAGAAGGGTCTACTAGGCAAGTCTTGTGACGGCTCTACAGCCGCCGAGAAGCGATTCAGGAAGTCAGTTCCCGAAGATCTGCTGCTGCACTTCCTAGCATTGGACTGAAGTAACATCCTTGTCGATCTGAAAGCAAATACGGGTCACTTCGAGGCACAGACTTACCCCAGTGGGACGTAGATACAGGTCTTTGGGAAAGGGCCGCATATTAACTAGCTGTTCATGACGTACCACCATGGACATTACCTCAACAAGGTGTTGCAGCAGGCAAGAAGGAGTACTTTATCCCGCTCTATGTTGAACGTTTGCAGAATTATGTTGGCCTTGATGGTGACAACGATTTCTCCGTCGTCGGTGGTGGTCATCCAGGCGACTATCCGTCGGGAGCCGGCAACAGCACAGTCCTCGACGTTCGGCAAAAGGTTGCGCCCTCATTGGACTTTGTCATGCCCGATGTCACCCTGGATGAGTATTTCAGGCCGTGATGAGTACGGTGCGAGGCGGATGTGGGTTGCATAGGTGCCTTCCAGCCTATTGGTGGGTCACCTTTTGGTATCGATCCTTAAAGCGGGCTACAAAATCGTTTACCAAAGCACTACGGATTCCTAAAGTCCGTCTCCCGGCTCGCCCTCGATGCCCAGACGCGGCTTGGCTCCTCGATCGGGCTATGCTTTGACGAGCTAGCGGCCGATGGCACCGACTCCTCCAAGTCGGTGATCCAAAAATGGGGCGGTTATGAAATCACCATCGAGCGCTGATTTGTCTTTGGCTGGACTCGGTGCCGGAATGGTCATCCATCTTGGCTTCCAGGTGCGCGCTCTCACCCTGTCACCCATCAGCGGCTTCACGGGAATCCCGCGCTTCGAGGAGATGGTAGTTACGGATCAGGATGCGGGGCGAGCTGCGCACACTGCGGACCGATACACCTAGATAGTATTTGGTATTTCCTTTCTCTCAATTCTTGACGTGGATGTGGAGTCGTCATTCTTCCCCCCGACCCAATAGAAGACACAGTTTCGGATTTTGAGTGTACCGCAGAAAGCTGACGCGAAGATCATAACATAGATGTGCCGTCTCACGGGCATTCACTGCAATCGCAACGCGCGAATCCGCTCGGTGCCCGACTGGAAAATGGGACCCGTAGACACGGAACCGTCAAAGGGGAAACAACACCCCAAAATTCGGCATCCCCAGCGTTGAAAATCGAACACGTCTCAGGATCTCATTGTTTGCCCCGGTCTACACATGATCACGTCGGTACCGAGGCAGGGGAACACCACTTGGCACGGATCGCGATCTCCCTCCTGACCAAGAGTAGCCCGCAGTTCGCCCGCGATCTCGGCGGATACCAAAGAAAGAAGGCATAATGCCATGATCGCCGTTCTAATTATCGACCTCGTGATCCTTGCGAGGGTCTGACGTATCCGCCCGGGTGTAATATGAAAGAGGCGAAGATCTCAGTGTCCAGACTCGAGAGGGGCCCCCACTTCCAATCCCAGCAGTTTTGGGAAGGTCGTTTTCCGGTACCTGCGTGCCGGATTTCGGGGCTGTGTGCTGAAAATATTTCCCTGCACGTCTAACCCCAATATGGAGCAGATTTCAAGTCTCCGTAGAAGATTTAAACTATCATGGCCTTGAAACTCGCTTGAAACTCGCTTGAAAACAAAAGAAACGTGACGGATCGTGGGAGGTGAAACCGCACAGGCACATTTGGATCCATGGGCCGCTCGGGGGTGACGGGACGGGAACCATGGGTCCTCTCTCCGATTCCGGTTGTTTATTGATGAGCTCCAAATGTGCTGTGTCTGTTTTATCGATAATGTCCGGTCTCTTTCATCATTTGAATGTACAGATCAGATTGATACTATCCGACAAAGGTACCCGGGGGATACTACTTCGTACTTTATGTCTCATGATAGCTCCAGTGGCCGTGGCCGTGGCGCATTGCAGGGCTCGCTTGTGATTGTGTGGTCCACCCCACACAGAGGGAGGCACCGTTTTGCTTCTCTATACATAGAATTTTCCAGTCTGGGTAGGTAGTAAGCATTCCCTGTACAGTATGTACTCCGGAGGGTACTACTTACGTATGTACTCCGTCCACGATGATCCTCCTTTCGGCTCATCGGGCTTTAGCTCGGCACATCACCTAGCGCTGAAAGGAAACGCTTTTCGTCACAAGCCTGCCAGTGGGTCCCTGAGAGATGCATCGGCCTATGTCGGGCACTTACTAGGGAAAGAAAAAATAAACGGCATTCACGAATGGGGAACGGCGTCGCACCCCGAAAATCCCCAATTCCCGGACTGGGACGCGCTAACCTGCGCTACGGCGGCGACATCCAGACAGCCGGAGTTCGATTGACCCCAAGCGAGCAGATATGAGGTTAGCGTGGATGATTAAATGGAGACCAAGTGGGCCATCCGGAAGGACGGAAAGCCAACGGTTGACTCTCTCTGCTTTTCCTTCCCTCGGTCGACTGCCTGGTCGGGCGCGGATGAGTGCAGCTGTGGAGCCCCAAAAACGGGCGAAACCCATGGATCCATCGAAAACGAATCGTGTGCTAACGGAGAAAGAGGTCGGTCCAGACTCTCAGTACTCCAGTTTCCCATATTATCGCCCCTCTTCCCGGTTCATTTCGACTTTCCAATCTCTGTTTTCCCTCTGTAACTCTCTTTCTATCTTATCCCTCGTTAACACCATTGAGACTTGTCTCATCATTTCACTTCTATCGAGAGCAAGCCTCTCTTTTTTAAACTCTCCTTCGATTGCCTTGTTTTTTGCCTTCAATCATAAGCTTCGGATCCCGCATCTGCGTTGAGATTGGCCAACCACAACCCCGAGCGTCCACCCCCTCGCATCAACTCCTACGAACGTCTCAGAACTATCACGTACCATTGCAAAATTCTCAAACATCACGTCCTCTTCAGCCATACTGGCCTCTGATCTGATCCTGCCTTTTTATTTTCATTCGGCCAAACCCACTGCCCCTTTGGCGGATTTCGAATCTCACCAGCCCTCCGAAGCTTGATCCCATATTTATGCGATCTGTTTCCTCCCGATCTCTCACTTCACTCTAAAATTCTTTCCCTGGTGCTACCATTCACTCTCCTTGTCTCATGTCTCAACTGTTGTTGGACGCTCCTGACGGCTCGAGCCTCATTTGGATCCTCGACCACGTCAATCGCTACCCAGGCTCCTACGAGATTCCTCTGCGCAGCATGTACCAACTCAACCTCAACCCCACCAGGGCCTCGGGCAGTCGCTCGCCCGAGACCGCCTTCTCCCCGCGCAGCTCTCCGCGTGACTCCACTTCCACTGCCAAGTCCTCGCGCTCCTCGCAGGATGCATCCGTGGATGCGGCTGCCGACTTCCGCTCCGCACTGGAGAACCAACTGTCACGCTTGCCATCGCAGCCTTGCTCTCTTCCTCCTAGTTTCACGACCAACTACATCCGCAAGGCCTTTTGTGCAGAGTTGCATCTGGTAGACTTCCCGCAGGCTCTCACCGCGCTGGACTACCTCAAGTCTCTCGACGACCGTTGGAAGAAGGAGGTTAATGACGCCCTCGCCCGTCTTAAGATCAGCCGGGAGGATGCGGCGAACCCGAGAGGTTCTGACCTCGTCTTCAAGTATCCCGGTGTGGCTGCTTGGCTGCAGTCAATCCACCGCAAGATTCGCCATATCTACGCCCTGTATACTCAGGTCTACGTTGGCCTACGTCGCTGGGTGAGTATCTCGTTTGTAAAGATTTCCAGTTCTTCCGACTAACACGTGACTCAGATCATGATCAACGACATGCTGCTTGAGCCCACCTGGAAGACCAACCACATTGCCATGCTGAACACCCTCTACCCGCCTGCACCTCAGTCGGGTCCTACCCCCACCCCTCAGTTGAGTCCGCGGATCCTGAACAGCAACCGCGATGGATTCTTCCAGTACATCAATGCCGTTGATGCCAAGGGCACTGGTGTTCTGGACCCCGTCATCAAGCAGGATGCTAAGGATGGTGCTTCCAACAACTGGCCTCAGATTCACGACGCCTTGTCAAAGTATCTGACCTTGGTCAACGATGTCATTGATGAGTGTGTTCTAGTGAACGAGCCTAGTTCCCTGGAGGAAGACAAGAGCCTCAACCGCGGTCGAGGTCGCAAGTTCGACTCGGGCGTCAGCTTCGGCTCATCCACCACCGAAGCGAGTATCGCCGAAGGAATGATGTCGGAGAAGGAACTCCCGCAGTTCCCCCTCCCCCAAAACATCAATGCCAAGACTGGCGGCTCGATCCTAGAGCGCCTCGCCCGGGAGGTGCGCGCCCTGGGCGCCAACTCCAAGGCCCGAAACCTGCGGAAAATGAAGTCCACTACTGCCCTGAACGCTCGGCCTGGCAGCCAGCAGAGCCACGCCGAGAGCTCGTTCTTCGAGATCGACGACAACAAGCGCAAGCGTCTGATCTTCGAAGCCAATTTCCGCAAGAACTCCCAATCCCAGGTGTTCACCCAGTAAGGACCATGCTTGGCCGCAGGGGGCGTCTTTTCTTTATCTCGTTGAGCATGGACTCGGCGCATTATTTCCATCGTTTTATCATCCCTCGGCGTCTTATTGAACTGGAACAAAAAGAAGAGGCCAGTCGGTTTGCATATATGGTTGATCATCAGGGTTTTTTCAACTTATTTCACGGAGCAATTGGCGCACTGACAGCATTGTATCGGAGGCAAAATGTCTGGCGCCCGGGACTACCAAGTCATTTACGAATCATGTGTTACGATCGGCAAAATTTCAATACTTTCAGGATTTCATCTGAATAATCTTTCCAGTAATTGTATTCCTTGTGTAGTTCCTAGATGTGTCGTTGAACCTTGGAAGAAGGCCTTGGTCACTAGTGAAGAGCCGTTTCTGGCCGTCATTGCGCTGTTATTTTGTCTCTACGTATGGCCTTGAGAAAGATCATTTGCAGAACATAGAAATTGAAGAGATGAAATCAATATTCGGTTGTGCTCGTATAAGGACGAAGACAAGCCACTGAGATTAGTTAGGGCCTGCGCATAATGCCGCACCGGCCACCGTAGAAGCTGCGATAAGAGATAACCAAGCGTCCAAGTGTCCAGATCCACCTCCGCGTTTGTTTGGAGGCGCTGCTTTGCGCAATCGATCTGCAATCTGACTAACTCTGCCCCAGCCAAGGTTTGAATTGTGGCAGCACCGCCTCTCGCGGGCTGTCCCCTATACCTACACCCGTTTTACCCCGTTGCGTAAGGATGAAGGCCCCGTCAACATGCCGCACCTCCTGGTGCTGGTATGCTGCTCTTGGAGCTTTGTTACCAGGCCTGCTGGCGAATGCCAGCCCGGCTGTCAATGTGGCTCTCCAGGCTTCATTCGACTCGTCTCCGTACCTCGTGGAACTGCTGTGAGTTGGACCTGGATTTCTGAAGTCGAGTGAAGTGCTGATTCATGTTTTTAGAGAGTCGGCCGCTGAGGAGAACTCGACCGCCTACTTCCCATTGCTTGACCGAATCGCCGACGGCACCTTTGAAGATGCGACTACCGAAGAAGAGCTTTACCATCGCTTCCTGCAGGTCGTCCATGAAGATGGGCACCTACGAACCGCTGAGAGTCTTTCGTCCTTTAAGCTGTCGCTTGCAGTCCGATCGCCCGCCCCGCGAATCCAGGCTCATTACCAATTTTACAACACCTCTGTTCAGCAGTCATTGATGGCTGCTCAGGATGCGGCTTGTCCGGTCTGGGTTCACTCCGAAGGAAAGCAGTATTGCTCCTCAGCCATGGAGAGGGCACAACAGGATGTCGAGGGAGAATTGTGGGTGAAACCGGATATGACGGGAGTTGTATATGGAAGCTAATTAAATTTCTATCACAGAGACCCTAGGGAATTGCCCTTCGATCGAGTCCTGGGCGATTTGTCCCTTCCTCCGGCCATTCTCTACGCAGACGTTTCCGCGCCCATGTTTAAAGATTTCCACGAGACGTTGAGTGATATGGCGAAGCAGGGCCAGATCTCGTATCGCTTGCGCTACCGACCGCCTCAGCATTGGACCTCCCGTCCTCTGTTTGTGTCTGGATACGGTGTCGAGCTGGCTTTGAAACGGACGGACTACATTGTCATTGATGACCGAGATGCCGAACAGCGAGATGAGAGCTCGAAGGATAGCACGACAACTGGACAGTTGAAGGAGGATGCGCCTGATGACCTGCGGCCTCTTTCCTCCTCCGAAGTGTCTAGATTGGGCATGAACTCTGCAGCCTATGTTATGGACAGCGAGGATCCTTTGGGCACTTTGCTCAAACTATCCCAGAACTTCCCAAGGTACTCGTCCACTGTGGCAGCTCACAACGCTACCAAGGAACTGCGCAACGAAATCCGTGTTAACCGGGCGGGAGTGATCCCGCCTGGATATAATGTCATGTGGATCAACGGTGTACAAATTGATTCTCGGCAGATTGATGCCTTTTCTCTTCTGGACAGTCTCCGTCGGGAGAGAAGGTTGATCGAGAAGTTCCGAGACCTAGGCATTTCTGGACAGGAGGCTGTGAAGCTGTTGTCGCACCCACTGCTCGCTGAAGCTCACTCGGACGATGACGTGCAGCGATATGATTTCCGCGATCAGTTGGAAGGTGGTGACGTTATCATCTGGCTGAACAATCTAGAGAAGGACTCTAGATACAAGGCCTGGCCCGGTGACCTCGAATCGGTTAGATAATCCTCCATAAAATAACCACAGAAACATGCTGACAGTCTCTTAGTATGTTGTGAGTGCCTATCCAGGACAATTGCCGCCAGTCCGCCGTGACCTGCACAACGTCGTCGTGCCTGTGGACTTGTCCGATCCCGAAGATATGCTTTTGGTTGTCAAGCAGGTCCAGATGTTCATCAAGCGGTCTATTCCCGTGAGATTTGGCTTGGTGCCTACTGCTTCGTCTCCTGAATCGATTGCTCAATTGAAGGTAGCACACTACCTCCACGAGACCTATGGACTTTCCGGTCTCATGGGATACCTGGAAGAGGTAAGTACATTTGTAGTCCCTTCAACTTGATAGTAGCTGACTCTGCGTTATTGAAGTCTGCTTCCAAACCGAAAAAGGGCGGCCCCGAAAAGTCGGTTTTCAACCTTGCAGTGAAAGAGCGGGAACCCCGTGCTGAAAAGGAGGTTCTTTCTCTCGACGACTTATTGAAGAACGAGCATTACAGCACTGTGGCAGCTCACACCGTTGATTACCAGCGTCGCTTGAGTCTCACGGGCGAGGCTCCGCATTTCCTGGTCAATGGTATCCCGATTTCCCGCGACGGGAACTGGATGCAGGAGATGAGTATGACGATTGGCAGGGATCTAAAGCTGATCCAGCAGGGTATTGTCGACGGAGTCATCGAGGAGGATGCCTGGCTGCCGGAATTCTTCTTGGGCTCGTCTTTTGAACGACGCAACACTTTCCTCATGCCCGAAGACCCTAAGAGCGTGCAGATTGTGGACCTTGCCAGTATTTTTGGACCTGATGCAAACTTGGACAAGATCCCCCGAATCGAACCCAAGGAGGGTGTTCTGGGCGGGATCCATGTCATCCTTGTTGGTGATTTCGAGTCGAAGGAGGCCATGAAACTCCTGACTGATGCTCTCAACTTCCGGAAGGAGAATGGGGAGGTGGAGCTTCTCCTGGTGCACAATGGTGCCTCCGATTCCCAAGAGGATACCCCGAATCTAAACAAGATAGAAAACTTGATCACCAAGGGCGAGAGTATTGACAACATCCTGGCAAGCATTGGTGCTCAGGACTCTGGAACATACGCAGAGGCGCAAAGCCAAGAAACAATTGCTACCCACCGACGACTTGCTGAGAAACTTGGATTTGAGCCTTGCACTGAAGGCCTCGTTGTCAACGGGAGGGCAGTCGGTCCTATTGACAAGGAATCTGGCCTAAGCGTCGACGAATTGGCTCAGCTTATCGCCTACGAACGTGTCAAACGCATCGACCCTGTTGCTGGGGCTTCCCTGAGTCTTGGACTGAACACGAAGCTCTCTAAGCCGCTTGACCTGGCTAAGCTCATTTCGCTCGTGTCACTGTCGACGATCTCAGATGTCCCCGAGGGGATTTTTGAATCCACACCCGACTTCCGATTGGACGTGTCAGATAATTGGAAGACCGAACATTCTGTCATTACTGTTTCGAACTCCGAGGATCCGGCGATCAATGTTGCGGCTGTCTTGGACCCCGCGTCGGAGGTAGCCCAGAAATGGCTGCCCATTCTCAAGGTCATCTCTGAATTGGCTGGTGTCCGGCTTCAGATCTTCTTGAACCCCAAAGAGGAGATTCAGGAGCTTCCTGTCAAGCGCTTCTATCGCTATGTGCTGGAATCGGAGCCAAAGTTTGCCTCCGATGGATCTTTGTCTCGCCCTGAAGCGTCATTCTCCGGTGTGCCGGTCGAGGCATTGCTTACGCTGGGCATGGACGTACCTACTTCGTGGCTTGTTGCACCCAAGGAGTCAGTCCATGACCTGGACAACATCAAACTGAGCTCGCTCCAGACTGGTTCAAATGTTGACGCTATTTACGCCTTGGAGCATATCTTGATTGAAGGTCACTCTCGGGATGTCACCACCAAGACTCCACCGCGAGGCGTGCAGCTCATTTTGGGAACAGAAGAGAACCCTCACTTTGACGACACCATTATCATGGCCAACCTGGGCTACTTCCAGTTCAAGGCTCAGCCTGGCCTGTGGCAGATCAATCTGAAGCCCGGCCGTAGCGAGAAGCTCTTCAACATTGACAGCGTCGGTGGTCTGGGCTATCGCCCTCAGCCTGGTGACGAAAACAACGAAGTCACCCTCCTATCCTTCCAAGGCCGAACGATCTTCCCACGTCTCTCCCGCAAAGCCGGCTACGAGGATGAAGACGTACTCGAAACCGGCCACAAAGCGGGCTCGACAATGGACTACGTATCCAAGGGCCTCAACTTTGCCTCCGGAGTCCTCTCAAGCGTTGGAGTAGGATCCAAGAGCAGCAGCGAGCAACACGCAGACATCAACATCTTCTCCGTCGCCAGCGGCCACCTCTACGAGCGCATGCTCAATATTATGATGGTCTCCGTCATGCGCCACACCAAACACACCGTTAAGTTCTGGTTCATCGAACAATTCCTCTCGCCTTCATTCCGCGCCTTCCTGCCCCATCTCGCCCAAGAATACGGCTTCTCCTACGAGATGGTCACCTACAAATGGCCCCACTGGCTTCGCCACCAGCGCGAAAAGCAACGCGAGATCTGGGGCTACAAGATACTCTTCCTGGACGTGCTGTTCCCTCTATCCCTGGACAAGGTCATCTTCGTGGACGCGGACCAGATCGTCCGCACAGATATGTACGACCTCGTTACGCACGACTTGCAAGATGCGCCGTATGGGTTCACACCAATGGGCGATTCGCGGACCGAGATGGAGGGCTTCCGCTTCTGGAAACAGGGCTACTGGTCCACCTTCCTACGCGGCCGTCCGTATCACATCTCCGCCTTATACGTGGTCGACCTCAACCGTTTCCGTGCTCTGGCCGCCGGTGACCGGCTTCGTGGGCAATACCAGATGCTCTCGGCCGATCCCAACAGTCTTAGCAATCTGGACCAGGATCTGCCGAACCATATGCAGCACCATATCCCTATCCATAGCCTGCCGCAGGAGTGGCTGTGGTGTGAGACATGGTGTTCGGATGAGGATCTGGCGAGCGCGAGGACTATTGATCTTTGCAATAACCCCCAGACTAAGGAGCCTAAATTGGCCCGGGCTCGGAGACAGGTTCCTGAGTGGACGGTGTATGATGATGAGATTGCGGCACTGGCGAAGCGTGTTGCAAGTGAGCAGGTTGAGTTCGTGCAGACTGGGGAGGAGGAACGGAAGGTTGATGAGAAGGATGTGAATGAAGACCGCAAGGACGAGTTATAGACTACACTTATATTAGGGAATTGGTAATCCGACCCCCAAATGCCAATTGTGAAAAATATGGCCTTAGAGTTTGCTATCTATAAGAGCCTTGATTGTTGAGATATAAGATTGCAAAATCGGCATTTAATATGGAGTTCTGCCGTGGCCGGGTGGGTAGTGAAATAGTTACTTTAGTTAGAAGGGGGGCGTGGGACGGGTTACCAATTCCCTTTTTTTATTTGTATAAGAAGCGTCCATGAATCTTGATATTTGCATTGATTCGTTGTAAGTAATTGTACAGCAGAGAAAGAAGTCACGTAGGTATTAACATGTCTAGTACAATTAAGAGTCCTCCTTCTTGAAGTGCCTTCCGTCGTCGCTGCTCGACTCATCGGTTTCAGAGGGGGCCCCGGATTGGCGGCTGGAAGGCGTAGGACGCTCTTGATTTTCCTCGCGGCTCTCCTGATTCTTCTTCTTCCTCCTCTTCTTCTTCTCCTTTGGCTTCTTCAGGGACTCAGGAGACTCGACAGTGGCACCAGGCCCCATGTCTGACTTGCGGTGCTTCTTCTTTTTCTTCTCGGGTGTGGCAGCTGCGATTGCATTGACGACATCGGTGACATCGCGTGACTTTCGGTGCTTCTTTTGCTTCTTCGCCTTATCGCCTGTACCAGATTCCTTTGCAGGTGTCTCTGCGACCTCGGGTTCAATGCATGCTCGCTCACCCTCACCCTCACCCTCACCCTCACGCTCTCGTTCAAGCTCGCGCTGACGCCTCTTCTCTTTCCTTCTTCGCTTCTTCTCTTTCTTTCGCTCTTTCTCAGACTGTTGTTCCTTTAACCGCGATGAGGCCTCGGATACCGGCTCGGGCTCAGGCTCGACTTTGGAGTGACGGCGCTTCTTAGAGGGGTTCGACTTGTTGGCTGCCTTGATCTTTTCCTTGATTCGCGCCATTCGGTTAAATTCACGCGTCTGGGCATTACCAGCGCTTAGTGGAGTCGGGGGTCCTGACGGCGTGGGCAGTCCGTGGACAGCAGCTGGTGTATCGGGCTTCTCGGTCAGGAATGCGGTTTCGGGTATCGACTCAGAGTCCATATCGACATCAGCCCGTTGCGAAAACGAGCTCTTTGCCGGGGTGTCATTCGCTGCCTCTGAAGCTAACGCCATCATCTTCTGCTGATCCACGAATCCGTATTTGAGATCTGTTGTCGGTGTGCTGATAGCCACTGGGCCGTCGTCGACATCGTCTGCTTCATCTTCTGTCACGAACTCCTGGCTTTTGCCGGCCGATCTTTCTTGCGACCGCCTTACGGCCTCTTCCAAATCGAAGAAAGCATCCGGGTTGCCGTTGGCGCGCATAGCCAACACATTTCTGCGGACCTTTCGCCATTTGTCGGCGCATTGCTGACGAGACCGTCGATTTTGCATGGAATTACTGACGGCACCCCATCCAACCATCTTCTCGTCCATCTCATAAACGTCTTTGCCAGCACTTGCGGGGGTCACAATTGCGTGGGCCTCATATATTTCCTGCAATGCCTTCATGAAAGTTTGTAGTTCATCGATATCCCATGCTCCATGATTCATCTTTTCGCGATGTTCAAGACGGTTCTTCCACCGCTGCGTCACATCGTCGTCGCTGCGACCAAGGATTTTGCCAATATACGCATACTTCGCTGGGTATTGCTTCATCAAAGAGACAAGCTCATCGTCCTGCTCAGCAGTCCACTCGTGCGCTTTTTGACCGGTAACTTGGAAATGTCTCCGCATGAAACGATACAGAGATCTGCGGTCCCTGTCAGGAAGAACTGAATAAATGTCGGACCAGAACTCGTGCTTCGTCGCGATGCTCTGCGGGCACGGGAAATCGGCGCCTCCTCGCTCAGAATGTTGCACCATCTCATTAAAAGCGTTACTTGGAATGCCATGTATAGTGCAGAATTGGATCTTGAAGTTTTCCACTTTCTCAACCTCGTCAGGTGTGAAAAACCCCACTTTCAGGTTGTCCTTTCCGCCCGGCCGGGATCCTCTCAATTTCCTCGGCACGCCCTTGCTGTTGAGTTCGCCGGTCGTAGGATAATCACATTTAGGTGTTTGGGGCTGGGAGGTGGGTGTGGCAGGAGCCTCTTTCTCAACTCCATTCTGACCAGTCTGACGGGGCTCTGCCAGGGTTTCCAGTTGCGAGTTGGCTTGAAGTTCTGATTCATTTACTGCGACAGCCATGGAGACATCATCAAGTTCGTCCTTTGCCGCATGGTGCTTCTTCTTCTTTTTCTTCTTGCGCTCGGGATCGGACTCGTGCTTTCGCTTCGAGGGCCGTGACTGATCTTCGTCTCGAGGACGCGCGGATTCGATGCCATTTAAGGGCGCTGGTGGAGATGAGCGGTCCTTGTTCTTGGACTTGCGCGACTTCTTCTTCTTCTTTACGCTATCCATGGTGGATTGTTGATGGTGAGAATCGGCGACTGCATGAGGTCAGAATTGGAAGAGGTGGGAAAAGATCAACAAAAGAATGCAAAGACTCACCAGCTAGGTCAAATCCATCTAGCCGGCGGGGCTCGAATGAAGGTTCATATGCCATCGTAGCGGGGAATGCGACGAAGGCGTCGGAAGTCGCGACTGCTAGAATTTACGATCGACTGGCGAGACTGGCCGGCAGATCATACACCGCCTCCCTCGCCGCCCACAATCTAAGCAAGATGTAAGTTGGAATGCAAAACTTGGACTTGCGTAGTAATTTGTCATGTATCGGCTTAATGCTGCGACGTAGAATTGATGTACAAAATGCTCATGGTATACATAAAAAGTGGAGAACACCAAGACCCATACTCCAAAAAAAAAAGCACGATCATGCCAATTTCATAGCACGCAAGACCTTTGTCACCAATTTCTTCTGATCCGCTTCGTCGAGATTCTTGTCATCTGTACCTTGCAAGCATTGGCCAATGGCGACTGTCACTTTCACCGCACTCTCTCCTGCATTGGAGCAATCCACCCACACCTTCCCATTACGTCCAACGGCGATCTCAAATCCACCCAGGCTCTCAAGCTTCTTTCCAAGTTCGGAGAGGACCACAAGACCGTCGACGACATCAGACTGATTAGCTGAAGTGGAGCTAGCTCGAATCAAGCGAGCTGCCATGCCCGTAGAAACATCAAACACCATTCCACCCACAAGGGGACCCAGACCTCCGGGCTCTGCCTTGCCAGTGGCCGGGTTGACACAGGTCAATTCGACCTCGGCACCGGCGCCAACACCCACGGATAACACTCGCGCGTAGACCAGCTCGCCCTGTTTCAACATTGGTCTTGTCTTCTTCGTGGCGCCCTCGAAGGACAATTGGCCCAGCATCGCGTGCGCTGTGTGCGGAGTCACCATACAATGGAAGTAGTCGACGCTAGAATGGTGGATCTGTGCGATAACCAGGTCGTTGGTTGTGGGTATGTAGCGGCGGTTGGAGAAAGATTGTAGTGAGACGGTGTTGCGCTTTGCGTCGGTTGCCAGCAAACCGGCTTGTGTGGCTACTATGACATGGTTCGAGGTTGTAGACGAAGATGAGGGCTGTGACAAGAGACGGAGGCCTTGGCCTAGTTTGAGAGGATTGGACTTGGTGGGCGGCAAGTGGTCGCTGGGTACCTCATCGCCCGGGAGCAAAATAGGGGGGGTTGACATGCTGCCAGCTGAACCTCAGAGATTGGTTCGAAAAGAGACCGGCTCTCAGGAATTGGAATATGGACTGAGATGATGAACAATTGCGGAGTAAAGAATTGGGTAGAGAAGGCAAAGCGGTTGGCGCAGAAAACGTCCGGCTTATCGGCCTATCACCACGTGACAATGTTACTGGCCGCAATCTTCACAAGAGAAATAGGGCCATTAAGATTGATGAATTAGTGAAAAAACCCCAAGGATATGAGATAGACTAACAGAATCCTTTAATTGACAAACCTCCATTTATATACTCCACTTGGCATCAGTACGGTGCGGATCAAAACATAACTCGATACACCGCCACATGCTATCGATAAGCACCAGCCACTTTCCGCCGAAAATCTTCAAATTTTTCGATTGGCTTCCCCCTCCATCGAGACATTCCCCCTTCATCGGTCACCCTCTTGACTTTCCCTTCACTCCAAGTGACGTGGAATTCTTTGTCTTTTCTTGTGACTTATCATTTCTTCATACACATTCAAAATGGGTGACGCCAACGGTGTTTCCGCTGAGCGGTTTGCTATCGGTATCTCGTTTGGCAACTCGTCCAGCTCAATTGCTCGCATTTCGCCTGTATGTGCCACACTTGCATCTCAGCCAGGAAGCAGACGCTAACACACCAATGTAGGAAGGCAAGGCTGAGGTTATTGCTAACGAGGAGGGAGGTACGTTTTTTGTCGCACCGCGCTCAATGGACTCGAATTGACTTGTCTAGACCGTCAAATCCCTACCGTCCTGTCTTATATCGATGGCGAGGAGTACCACGGTACTCAGGCAAAGGCACAGCTCGTTCGGAACTCCAGCAACACTGTCGCATACTTCCGCGACTATCTGGGCAAGGAGTTCAAGGACATCGACCCTACCCCGTGCCACCAGTCCGCTCACCCCCAGCAGAGCGGCTCGACCGTTGCTTTCACCATCCGTGACACTGCCAGCGAGACCCCCAACTCCGTCACCGTCTCGGAGATTGCTACTCGCCACCTGCGTCGCCTGAAGCAGTCCGCCACCGACTTCCTGGGTAAGGATGTCAACTCCGCCGTCATCACGGTCCCCACCGACTTCACCGATGCTCAACGCGAGGCTCTCGTTGCTGCCGCCAAGGATGCCGGTATTGAGGTCCTCCAGCTCATCGCCGAGCCCGTCGCCGCTGTGATGGCTTACGATGGCCGCCCCGAAGCCACCGTCACCGACAAGCTGGTTGTTGTTGCCGACCTCGGTGGCACTCGCTCTGACGTTGCCGTCGTTGCTTCCCGCGGCGGTATGTACACCATCCTGGCCACTGCCCACGACTACGAGCTGGGCGGTGCCTCCTTGGACCAAATCATCATCGACCACTTCGCCAAGGAGTTCATGAAGAAGCACAAGACCGACCCCCGTGAGGACGCCCGCGGCCTGGCCAAGCTTAAGCTCGAGGGTGAGGGCACCCGCAAGGCCCTCAGCCTGAGCCCCAACGCTCAGTTGAGCATCGAGTCCCTGGCCGATGGCATTGACTACGGTTCCACCGTCAACCGCACTCGCTTCGAGATGCTTTCCGGCAAGGTTTTCGCTCAGTTCACTGGTCTGATCGAACAGGTCGTCAAGAAGGCCGGCCTTGATGTCCTCGACATCGACGAGGTCATCTTCTCCGGTGGTGCGTCGCACACCCCCAAGATCGCCCAGCTGGCCCAGAACATCTTCTCCGAGAAGACCAACATCCTGGCTCCTTCCACCTTCACCTCTGCCATCAACCCCTCTGAGCTGTCTGCCCGTGGTGCCGCTTTCCAGGCCTCTCTGGTGCAGGAGTTCGACCATGAGGATATTGAGCAGTCCATCCACCCCATGGTGACTGCCACCCCCCACCTGAGCAAGGCCATTGGTGTCGAGTTCCAGTCCACCACCGAGACCACCTTCCAGCCCCTGCTGAGTGCCGAGACCGCTCTGCCCGCCCGCCGTATCGCTCAATACACTGCTCCCAAGGAGGGCGGTGATGTCCTGGTCCGCGTCTGCGAGGGTGCGCGCGAGATCAAGGTCACCAAGCCTGAGCCCAAGGCCAAGGGGGACAAGCCCGCTGACGACGAGGACTCCGATTTCGACTCTGACGATGAGGAGGAGGAGGACCACCGCGAGATTGTCTGGAAGACCGAGAAGCCCGTTGCCGAGCTCGCCGTCAAGGGCGTCAAGGCCGGCGGCAAGGTCGAGGTCATGGTCCACGTCAACCCCGACCTGGGTCTCCAAATCGCCGTCCGCGAGGTCGGTGGCAGCACCGCTGTCCGTGGTGCCATCAACGGCTCCGCCTAAACTTCCTCGCCCTAAAAGATTGATCTCCCTTATGGTGTGATGACGCATGCATGATTGATAGAGGCTGTTCATTTTTACTCGTTTTCATTTTGTCTCGTTGGAGTCACCCTTTCTCTTTATCTGTTCGATTTATATAGACTCCCAATTGGAGGTGGCCAATGAAGAATATTTTCCAACGATGCGGTGACCCGTGGTAGAAGTAGCCGTCCAGCCTATGCCACAGCAGGGATTCATTTGCGAACCACCCGGGTTCCTAGATCATTCCAGGGCTCAAGACTCGAACCTTGGAAATAATCTTCCGGCTACCGATTTATACCGATACTGGCCTACGCGAACATTTGATCGTCTAGGACAAATAGAGATTATATTACAACTATTAGATAAAAAAGCAGAACGCACAGATAACACCACATCGGCAAAATATTGCAGCATGAATTCGTGAACGATTCATGAAAGTCGGAGTCGGAAACGAGAAGGCGAGCACTAGTGCAGGCACCGCTTGATGCGGCCGATACTAGCGTCATTATGGTACAATTAACGATTGTAAAGTAGTTCGTGACAACATGAGTGAGCGTGAGGGATATAACCAAGGACGAGTGCGCAAGGCTTAAAAAAAAAAAAAAAAAAACAAGGCGAGAGAAGCCCCTTTAAAGAGAAAACTCTCAGGGATATCAGCGCAGCAGAGGGTAATCGTATACGTGATGAGGCCGGACGTTGAAAGACGAGATGCAGCTCAACGTTCTGCGAGGAAATTCAGTTTGGTAAGGCGTTCCAAAGCGCTGGAATGTCTTGCTTCAAGAGCTCGAATATCCTTGGATTGCTTGTTTAAGCATACTGAGTACCGGCTTCCCGCTCCTTCTTCTGGCTGCGCACGCTGTTCGAGCGAGCCGAAGAGAAGAAGCCGCGGCGACGCTGCTTACGTCCACTGTATCCAGGGTCTTTACGGCCGACGACACCTCCCAGGCAGTAGAGTATACAGGAGAGGAACAGGCACGCGGTAGCCGTCCACATGAAAGCGAAGGCCTTGACGCCCAGCTTGGAAACCTGGCCATTGCTGCTAAAGGCGTTGCGGCCCTGGACGTAGACAGCACTGGACTCTAATTAGCAGGAGAAATTCAACAAAGATTTCAATGAGTACGTACGTCATGAGGCAGGTCATGATGGTCTGGAAAGTCAGGGCGAGCCAAGCCAGGAGGCTGGAGACGTAGCTGCCAATGCGCGTGCACATGGCCAGAAAGCCGGTGAAAAGAGAGCACACGGCGAAGAACAGACCTATGAGAATGAATGGGAACATGAATCGGGACGTCAGGAAGTAGTGGTTAGTCCTATGGTTACAGGTTAGAGCGAGCCCTAAAGATGCGCAAGCCAATTCGAAACTTACCCGATGAACTGATGAGGTACATTGATTGTAGTGTTAAAGTTGTTGGGGTTCGGGGGATCGAATGGGTGGTCCGGGTGTGAGGTCCCGCAGATGCTCTTGCCATCTGGTGCCACACTGCACAGACTCCAGAAGGTCCATCGCGAAATGGCTGGAGCGCCAGGAATATTGGAGGTGTCGGCCTCGAGGAAGTAGATCTCATTCAGCGGGATGGTGTTGCGGGCGCCGCCCAGGATTACGAGGAAGATTAATAGGATAGCGCCGGCCGTGAAGAACAGGCCGAGGAAGCCCAGCGATATTCCTAGAGGTCATGTAAGGAACTGTTCTGATCTTGCTCGAAGTGCGGGTGCGGACTTACTGCTGAGAGGCATTGTGATGTATCCTGGTGTCTGGTGGTGTTCTTGAGAGAAAGGCTTTTTTCGGGGCTTCTTTCTGAAGCTGGGAGATAGCGGTCTGATCGATGCCCAACAAGTCTATGGAGTAGAGGTCCGGGGTGGGGGGGGAGGTAAGAGGTTGAATTAGAAGGCCAGAAAAGCTGGAGTAAAAGCAGAGAGCAGTGACCTCAACAGCCGGGGCTATCCGGGCTCATGCCCCTCTCCACGACGTATATAACGGTGTGAGCATCATCGGCGTGTTCATAGATCGTGAGGATCACGACGTCACTGCGCACCTGATTTGCTGTCCCGTGCATTCGAGCTAAACCACATCCGGTTTAGTGTCGACGGTCCATGACGAATGTCGAGAAACAACGAACGAGGTTACTTCCGTTTTCTTTAGCTTTTGCTGGCTTTTTTGCGCTGCGGAGCCTGTGACGTGGATCAATACACTGCGGCCTTCGTCCTTGCCGAGTCCTTGCCGGCCCTCCTGCTACCCGGCATCATGGCGACTTGGGCCTATCCCCCACTGCCCGCCGACCAGTTGACCCGCGAGGCCGACTCCGCATTGGTACGTAAAGATACCTTGCTGATCCTGGTTGTCTATCCCAGAATGGATCGTCTCAGGGATGGCGGTGGATCTTGTCGACTTGTGCCAACACCCAATTTTTAGGCCCGCGAACTGGAGTGGCTGCTCCAATCGCTGCAGGAGTCACTAGCCTCTCTCAAGGAAGGTCTCCAAGATTGCGCTGCCCTACTAGCGCCGCAAGAACCGGGATCGACTCTAGTCCTCTCGTCGCTGCGGTCCGAACATGTCAAGGGCTTCGTGACTCGCGTCGGCACCAAGGTCGTCAAAGGAGTATGCGCCCAAACATCTGCCCCGTGGAAGACGCCAACAGGGACTCATATAAGTCTATTTCTAGGATATTCAACTCCGCCTCAGCTCATTACCTCCTCCACGAGGTGCTCCCAGCACCCGCCTCACCTTGTCCCAATCGCCTGACGCCCCTGGCATGGTCTTGCCGCAGCTCGTGTCGGCACGAAACCTGGTCAATCAGAGCTTGGATATAGTGGATGTCAGCACGTTCACGGGCGACCCCTTGAATGCAGGGTTCATCTTCAGCCAGCTGCACCTCCTGCAAGAGACCATCAGCGAGGCACGCCAGATGCTGAAGGGGGATGGGGACGTGCGTGGAAACTGGTGGGAAACCAGCGCCGCCGACAACGTAAGTGCTACTTGATAAGTTTCAAATGAGCCGCAACTCATATAACGATCCAGACATTCGATCCTCCGCCTCCGCCCTACCTTTCATTCCACCTCTCCATCGCAGACTCGGCATTGGTCCTTTTGGTCCGTACCCTCGAAAGCAGCACTACGGCGCAGGCGCCCTCGGCCTTTGCCTCGGATATTTCCCTGGCCGGGTTCTCTCTGCGAGACCGGATCTTCGGAACCCGAAATCGTGCGCATGACGAGGCTGGCGACGTGTTTACGTGGAAAGGAGAGGAAGTACACGTCCGTGAGAAGGTGCGGGTAGAAAGCCAGGATCCCAGCTTGATGGCGGTCATGGCCAAGTTGACGGCGCTGGAACATGAAGTGATGCGCTGGGTGGCGGCGCTGCGAGTGTTGATGGGTGACGAGGACACCGAGAGCGAGGTATAGACATTTCGCATTTTTGAAGATACCCTTTATATTTCGGTAGCATTGTTAGAATCCCAATCGAATGAAGTTTTTAAGCGATCTATAACCTTCACTAAAGATTTTCATGGCTAAGATGTGAAATGTGTTTAGATGCCCACCGTCCGCAACTTGCCCTTTATTCGTAATTCCCAAACGAATTGGTGTCAACCCCCGACTCTGGTCCATCGCTCAAGCTCATCAAGCTCGCTAGACAAATCTCCGATATTAAAATCCTGATCCACTGACGTTCAGAGTGGATCGATCAACATGAACTGGAACGGTGGGCCGGCCAATGAGCGGCCCGGTGATTGTGACGGCGGGCCCTGGCTTTAATTTTTTGGAGCTTCGCCGTCTTTTCTCTTCTCCTTTAAGCCCAGCGCCCGAGTTTGCACGATGCTGTCCAGACCTTCAGCATCGAGCGCCAGCTGTCCTCATGCTAGGCAGTTACTGCGCTCCCGGGCTTATCGCAATGCCGGTTCGCGACAGGTCCATGGAGTTACGGGCGGCTTAGCGACGCAACAGAAACGAAACGCAACCCAGCGACGCCCCTATTCGGTCGCTTCCCAACCCTCATCATGCAAATTCTATTTTTCCAAGCCCACCGTACCGCAATGGGCCCCTGGACAGAGAGCCATGTCCACCGCAGCGCCCTCCGCCGAAACGCCACAGCCCAGTGAAACGCACCACATCAACGCTCTGATCGAACGCATCAATGCGAATGAAGACGAAATGGCTCAATTAATGAATGATTTGGATATGATGGGCGACCCCGAAGACATGGAAGGCATACGTGAATTCGTTGAGTTCCTCAGCGAGCGAGACCAGCACAGCCCAGAATCGTGGGTACACCTCGTTCGGCAACAGTTCGGGGACACCATCCCAGAGGGAGTCCTGGACGAATCGGAGATGAAACTCTACACATCGCTCTATGGCGAACCTATCGTCCAAGAGATATTCGAAGAGTCCATTGCGGAGGATGACGAGCAGGATTCCGATCAATTATACCGCGAAGACAGAGATGCGAACTGGGAAGAAATCAAGTACGAAGAAGAAGTGAAGGCCGAGGATGATGTTCCCGTTGTGTACGATATGGAGGTTGGCCCCGAGGAGGAGGAGACAATCGCCATGCGCCGAACCCGTGAAGTGGCCGAGCAGCTAGGCGGAGAGGTTATGCTGGAGCAGTTTGAGAACGAGGCTGTGCCCGATTCTGCTCCGCGATCCCACCCCTTGACGACAGAGGGAAAGTTTCAGACGGACCCTAGCACGATTCATCTGCCGAAGAGCACTGTAACCGGTCCCATCTCGGTCATTCTGTCCGAGTTCTCCAACAGGCACATCGCTGATACCGCACATCGCCTGTTCGGTGGAGCAGGCTTGCCTCATTCCACTACAACTGCTCCTCCGCGTGCCCAGCTGCCACAGCTGCCAATTCCTCTGACTGCATCCCAACACTTCATGGGAGAAATGGAGGCCAATGCTTTCCTGGCGGCCTTGTATCCTGGAATCTACGCTTCGACACTCAGCGTCCTGGTCGAAATTCGGAAGCGATTGGGAACTGACTGGATTCGTGAACTCATCTCTCAAGAAGGTGGCCCCAACGTTCTTGATGCCAGTGGCGGTGGTGCTGGTATTCTGGCCTGGAGAGATATTGTCCGCGCAGAATGGGAGACCATGGTCCCCGATCACCCCGATGGAGCGCCTATCCCCTATGGCCGATCCACCGTTTTGACAGGCTCGGATACGCTACGTCTGCGTGCGAGTGCAATGCTCGATAATACTACCTTCCTCCCCCGTTTACCAGACTACCTTCATGTGCGCGAGGGACCAACCTTACATGATACCCGGGCGGCTCCTAAGCGCAAGCAATTCGATGTGATCATTGCACCGCACTCACTCCTTAATATCGAGGAAGATTATGAGCGCAAGGCCTATGTCGAGAACCTCTGGGCACTTCTCAACCCCAACGGCGGCATCCTCATTTTGCTCGAGAAGGGTCGTCAAAAGGGCTTTGAGGCGATTGCCGGTGCCCGTGAGATGCTTCTCAAGCGCCATATCGCAAGCCCCGATTCTACGGAGTATGCTACTGCCCTGGAATCCCCCGTGGAGAGTGAGACTGTGGCCAAGGAGCCCGGTATGATCATCGCCCCCTGCACCAACCACTCGACGTGCCCCATGCACAACACCTCAGGGCCGACGAAGGGCCGCAAGGATTATTGCCATTTCGAACAACGGTACATCCGGCCGGCATTCCTGCAGCGCATCATGGGTGCCAAGGATCGCAACCACGAAGATATCAAGTTTAGCTATGTCGCCGTGCAGCGAGGCGTAGATATGCGGCAGAAGCGCGGCATTCGCCAGGATGCCGAAGCGACCGACGCCGCTTTCGAAGGCTTTGAGCACCAAGACGAATCATCTCGAGAATTCCAGCCTCTCGCCCTCCCTCGCGCAGTCTACCCGCCTCTCAAACGCCGCGGTCATGTCATCTTCGATCTTTGCACACCGGCCGGCAAGATCGAGCGCTGGACGGTCCCACGCTCCTTCAGCCGTCAGGCCTACCGTGACGCCCGCAAGTCCCACTGGGGTGACCTCTGGGCTCTCGGAGCGAAGACGCGCATTCCGCGCAAGCTGAACCTCGGCGACAAGCACGGCGAGGGCAAAAAAGAGCGACTCGCTCGGCGGGCGGCGGACAAGGCTGCCATGCGCGAAGTTGACGAGGAGGGTGACATCGATGAGCATGCCCGAGATGAGGAAGAAGACGATGAGGAGGAGTTGGCAGACGGAAAACGTAACCGTTCCGCGCTCCCGGAGATTCCTATGCGGAAGAAGGGCCAGAACATCCCGAGTTGGAAGAAGCATGCGGATAAGAAGAAGATTCGACAAGCTATGAGAAAGCGTTCTGCGGAAGATCTTTAAGCATTTGTTGGTACCTGATCTATCTGGATACGTGGACTAGCATTGGGTCGATTGGCGTACATATTGAGATTTGGAACCCATGTAATTGTACGACTAATCGCGGCAGGCATTTGGCATGGGCATTGGGAATTGGAAACTTTGTACTATAGGATTCATCTTCACACCAGACAATAGCTGTAAATACAGTCTCTTCACTCTGGAAATTTCTTCGATATTCTTGGTTGATGGGTATCTCGTGTGTTCGTACATTTCGAAACTTCATTATCATAATTTGACTTCTGCAGTCCCAACCCAGCAAAAGTTTGAGAGGACTCTCACAGGAACTATCATCTCTTGTCAGGGCGAACTAAGAGAGGGACATCCTGCCACAAAGGCGTATGCAGTTGGAAAGCCCTCGAAATCGTGGATATTCCCACAGCCGGTACTTCAGAGACGGGTGCCCGAGACACAGGAAGCACAGAGATGATCATCCGGTTGATTGTTTTCCGGGCGCGTCTGCCAGACTTCATGTTGACTGAGATAGCCTCGGATTCCTTGCCGTGATAGAATTGACCTGACACATCATACCAAGTCGGAGCAGTCTGATGCAATTTAGAATTGTTCCATACGGACTAATTCACTGCGCAGCCATACTCTTCCTCAACTGCCTCTGCCGCTGTGTACTTTGCAACTCCAAGCGATCAACCGCATACTTAAGACGCTCCTTCTTCTGCACCAATCTTCGTAGCTCTGCGGCCTTTGAGGCGGCATTGCTGCTGGTATAAGGGCCGGACCCCGCCAGACGACCCCGCAGCGCGTTGCTCTGAGCCTTTGCTGAAGCTTTGCTTTCTGAGTTGGAAGAGAGTCGGCCTTCTTGCAGATCACATTTGGCCTTCAAGCCCTGTTCGCGTCGCGAGAGCTTATCAACGTGGTTCGAGGCGAGGGAGAGCAGGTGCGCGATGCTGGGCGTGATTTCGTCTAGTAGGGATTGTTGGGCTTGGCGGAGGGTTGGTTCCGGCAAGAGTTCAAAATGCTGTTCCAAACATAATTAGCTCTTGTTTCTTGTTTTTTGCCAATATTCGGTGTTTGGGACTGCATACCCGTGTTGTTTGGAGGACTTTGCAAAGGCGGGGGAAGTCATTAACGCCGGAATCAAGGGTGGTGATGGAGTTGTCGAGAAGCTGTAGAGAGGACTGCAGCGAGGAGACTGATGAAGCTAGCGAGGATGCCATCTTGTATGAGTGGGAGTGTTGAAATGATCAAGTCGTACGACTGTTGCGCTGCTCTTGTTTACAAGCATCGGAACGGATCGGTAAAGCGGCCACCGCCCCCAAAAGCGGCAAGGCGTCTCGGACCGGGCAAACTCCAACCTCACTTCTCCTCTCTCTCCTGCATCACCACCCCCGCGAACACCGAACTCACCTATTCGCACCATCTGCCACCATGTCTCTCCTCGGAAAGAAGTTCCCCGGCCTCCTGGGTATGTCATCCCGATCCCGCGATGCGGCCTTGCGCTCCAGCGCCAGACGATCCCGAAACTGACCCGCACTTTGAACAGCCTCGCCCATGACCCCCTTCTTCGCTGCCGGTACGAATACCTGAAATCCGCCCTATTGCCTTGATTCGTCGGAGTTGAATGGACATCCGACTTGCTTCCTATTCCCGACCCAGGCGCCACCCGTGTATTAGTGTTCTGACTAGTCTCCTTTGCAGGTGCCATCGTTCTGTACGGCGTCAACTCCCTCCAGAACGCTCTGTCCAACAGTGAGTGCACCAATTGCCCCCAATATCTATCCCGACTATCCTCGGAGTTCCTGTGCGATGGATAGTATGGAGCTCCAGACTCCGATAACGGTCATTCAAAGTGCATCATTGAACCTAACACTAACACCTAATTCCTATAGCCGCCGAGTTCAAGAACGACCCTCGCAACCCCAACGCCAAGCCCGGTAACGGTCACTAAATTGGATCTACGATGAGGCGCTGTGAGATGCCACCTTGTGTGGCATGAGCAGGAACAGATCGAGCCGTTGTGCATAGGGTGTATGTGAATTGAAGGCCCTTGCGCGGCTACGATTCGCAATATTTTGTGTTTTACATTTGCGGGCAGTTTGCCCTCTGTCCAAGCATATAGATCTTTCCCTGCTGGGTGACTTGGATCAATTCACAAGCTGTACCACTACTGTCCTTGGCCCCTGGCTGTCATGTGTTGCATGTCGTAGACTTATCACCGCATTCAATGTCGTTCCTCTCGGTGGCCCTGGAGGTCTAGGCTGTATTATCGGCGGCATTGGTATGTCTTTGAGATTTGTAAACTGCCGGCTGGAGTCGGGTGGTGATATGTGCGCCGAATTCTACTAATTTGGTGCTTTTCTCACAATCCGTGGCTACCAGCAATACTAACCATATTGAAACTACTTCATGAACCATGAATTCAGAAACAATGCCTAAAATAGCGTTAGTGCTGTAGTACCTGCAAACCCCGTTGAAGGGTTGAAATCTTGAGGATCACGCTAACCCCGATCGGGACCCGCATCTTTTTGCCAACTCCGCCGCGACGACAGGGCATCTCGATTCTCCCCAAGCTTCCAACACAGCCAACTCCGAGAACCCGCCAGCATGTCGAAAGCGGCGTCAATGTTCCGGTCCAAGAAGCTGGACCTCTCCGGCTTCGTCAACACCCGCCTGATCCGCGACCACAACAAGCGCAATGCCTTTGAGCAGATGGAGCCCGAGCGGTAAGAACCCTGCGCCTGGACCAGCAGAGTGCTCCTTTAGACAGGCACTCCTTGCTACAATGATGGAATGACCCATCTGACTTTATTTTTGCAATAGCCAAGCGCTTCGCTACATGATCCGCAACACCACCCTCCCCCAGCGAGTCCGCGCCCAGGCCCAGCTCCAGCTGTCGCAAATGCATGTCTACACCCGCCCGACACAGATCAAGAACCGATGTGTGGCCTCAGGAACTGCTCGCAGTGTCTTCCGGGATTTCAGACTCAACCGGGTGAGTAAAGGGCCTATCTTTGATGATGATGGCGAACTACTGAACAATGGGTTACTGACTGGGGATTGTTGCATTAGTTCCAATTCCGTATGCAGGCACTCGCTGGCGAGCTTCCGGGTGTTAAGAAGGCCAGTTGGTAAGCGTGGGATGTTTGGATACCAGGATGTGTATGAGAAGTTTGGCCGGCGTTCTCCGCTTCATTTGCATTGAAGCCTGTACAGTATAGAATATCACAGATTCCAAGATTTCATTCTGTTTTTATTTTCTTTGAACTGCCATTGCTTTCAAGTTTTCTATTGTCCGGTCTGGCCTGGAGACATCTCTCTCGCATTAGGTTAACTTCCTTTCTGGTCCAAGTGAGACCTCGGACGCTTTGTATAGTTCGTTGGATCGCTCTCACTGACACCAGTCTTGTCTTCTTGATTTTACTTTTCCACCCTCGGTTGACTCTCTTCCTTACTTCGTCTACCATCACGGCGCTTTCTTCTACCTTCCTCAACTGCACTTCCCACGCTTGCGAGCCAACGTCTCATGAAGATGTTCGTCTACCGCAACAAGAACTTGCCTCCGGACCCGGAGTATCCGGTCGAACTCAAGAAGCTAGGGTAAGTTCCTCAGATAACAAGTTGAAACAGGCCATGGTCTCACTCCATACCCAGGTACTTCATCACTGAGAAAGATCTGATCCGCCAGACTGCCAACCCGGAGGCAGAATACAAGTACAAGATCAACCGTAATGATCGGTTCAATATCAAGCACCGCGAGGCTATGAATGGTTTGTGCAGATCTAATTCTATAATCAAAGGATAGACTAACCCGTGCCACTTACAACAGAAGCCGTTCGCGGCATCGTCCTCCCGCGTCTCGAGGATGCCGGTCTGAAGACCTTGCGCCTTCCTCATCGCGATGGCAATCCCCCACGGGACAGTTTTCCAACTGAAGCTCATGTGCCAATCCTGATTTCACCAAATCTGTCCAAGACACCTCGCATCCTCGTGGTGTTCGGCGAGCCTATCCAGGACTTGGGCATCTGGTCCCATCGGACCATCAACAGGGATGGCATCAACATCGGATCGGCCGTGGATTTCACCAAGGCCGTTCTTGGGGAGGGCAAAGGCAAAGTGGCTACGGACGGTTCTGGCAACAGAACTGACGTCGCACTCATTCTGGCTAACACGGGCCAGCTGCTTTGGCATTGTGCTACTTCTCGTGCTATCACGACCTCAACCTGGCTTGCGAACCCTCGTCCTGCCGGTAACTATGACCAGGCTAAAATGTCTTACCGAAACATGATCCCTGGCAACAAGGACTGGCGGGAGCACGTGGCCTACGTCTTTGAGAAGGTTCTATGGAAAAGCCTTGGGCCCTCAACCCGTGTCGATATTATCGGGATGTCGGAGGGTGGCCTGGGTGCCATCAACTACCTGACGGAGCACTGTAAGTGACTTTGACTGCCAAATATCTGCAACTCAAGAGAAGTCCATCCACGCTAACCATGAATGAACAGGGGAGAAATGGCGACCTTACATTTCGGCCATGTGTCTCGCTGACCCGCTCCAGAGCACCAACATTGACCTCAACATGGCCAAACTGGCCGACTCGACATCATTTCCAGCGTTCATGTCCTCGCGCTGCCGTGCTTACATTGTCTCTCAGGATGAGGCCGACAAACCTCAGATTGGTTACCGCCACCACGGCTGTAAATGTTATTCCTCTGGTGAAACCCAGAACTCCGAAGGCATCTTGCCCAGGGCCTGGCCTCACATGCTCGCCTGGCTCGATATCCTATACAGGGACCGCGGTTATGCGGAGGTCGAGGTCATGGGTGCTGACGTGGACGAGGTGCTGCAGCGGGCCAAGGAAGGGCTGTCATGCAAGGCCGAGCGCGAGGAACCCGAGGAGCCCAAGGAGGATCTCATCGTGGAGAAAGGGGTGAACTTAAAGCTAGCCAGCGAAGATGATGATTCAAAGGATAGAAGTGTGAGCCCGGAGACCCAGGCCGAGGACGTGAGGCAGGATAAGACCGTGAAGTCGGACGATACGAAAGAAATTGTCCAGAACGAAGTCGCAGGAGTCAAGGGTGGGAGCCCAAAGGACATGGTAGATCCTTCCGTGAGGGAGATACTGGATGCCATGAATGCAGCATTTGAGTTGAGCGATGACGGCTACTTCGGAGATGTCGAGGAGATGGGGAGCTTTTCCCATAAGCGCGAGACGTCGTCAGAGACGGATACTTTGTGAATACGTCTCGGGGTGATGGGAGGACCAGAGATTACAAGTTGCTCTACTCGGAATGAAGACTGAGCCTCTGGGTACATGAAGTATTCTGGGTAGGTCTAGCTCATGGGTGTTCTGTATCGAATTACCAAGAGTGATTCGGGGCAAGAAACGATCTTGAGATGTATTCAAGGCATGGAATGGTGATAGCGGTGAATTGATTTTTCAAAAATCAACTGTCTTGTTTGGGTGAGCAGAGTTCCACAGTCCTTCTCCTGCCCACGAGGAAGTGGGATTTACGGCGGATCGCAAATACGAGCGAGGATCTAAAGTTAGCGGACGACCTTTCCTGTGCAACGTACATCCTCAATAGCTCAAGCCTGGAAGTAAGGTCAGATGTCAAGATCAGTAGAGATCTCATCACGATCATGATGCAAGAAGTCACAATAAGCATTTCGAGCGTCAAGATGCAGTGCAGATCAATGCGCTCAGCAGTTGGGGCGTGATGGCGCAATCAAGGCACGATCCCGGAATGTCATTGGGACGAGTCGGATCAGTTGATATTGACCCCGCAACAAACCCGAACTCTCCCACTTCCACATCCTCATCTTTGCATCATATTCACTTCATGGGGCAAAATTCCACATGAGCAGGTGGACTGGTTTACTCGATGAGAATCAAAATGTCGAGTAATCAAAGCCCCCTCTTCGGAGACCGCCGACCGCAACCAGAGGGCCAGCGAGAGGAAGCCCACTGGAAACTGTCACGGGCGAGACGGTTCCAAGAATAACCGTGCAGTGGGAGTTTCGATCGAGTAAGAGAATCGAATCGGCAGAAGACGGGAGTTTTGATCGAGTAACGTGCTGATAATAGATCCGGAACGGACGGCCCAGGCTTGTCCGGCATCTGCAGAGCCACATCCCCGACACTGCACGTCGGAGGTGCCCGATGGCAGACTTTGACCCTTTGATAACCACTGCCAGCTCGTCCAACCACCGTGCGCCCTGGGCACCACAATTGGTTTCTTCGCCGCTTAAGCACAGATTTTGGGACTCGAACCGCGGTTCATACCCGCAGCGCTCACGAGCGGCAATATACCCCCCATCCCTATACACGATCAAAGAAGCAGCCAGCATGGATCGTCCTGCGCTCAGGCGTTCTCCCGATAGGGCAAGGGTGAAGGCATTCGTGATCATGCTGCACTGTGCATGGTGCACCCTGACTGGCTCTGGGCCGGCCGATTAGCCACCCATTTGCCAATTATCGAGTAATCGATTCAACTCCGGCACCGCGGCGGGTCGGACTCCCACGATGGGTATTGAGATGGCGTCGAGAAGACCGCGCCTCCAGGTGGGTCGCCGCAATCCCCCGTCTACCGGAAATCAAAATTTTCAGGGTGTGGGCTATTATTTATATCCCCTCCCCCAGACTCCGTCCTTATCTCTCCATGTCCCTCATTGTCAGATAAGGACTTTTCCCTTTATCTCGCCCACTCTATTCGCCGCCTTATCTACCCCGTCGCTTCCTATACCTTTACTCTAACTCTGTTAACTACTCGTGCCTTGCCTCTTCCTTACTACGATCTATCGCTATCGGCGAGTCTGTGGATATTGCAATATCGCTATAGGCCTACGAGCAAGAAGAGCCCCCCGGACTAGCTATTATGGCGACAGCTAACATGCCCTCAATTGCCGTGGTGGCTTCGTCACGAGCCGTCATCTCCGGTCGTTTGACTTCCGCCACAATTGTGATCTCTCGCACTACTGGCAAGATTACTGCCGTCTTTGATTCCGTCATCCCGGCCTCGGAATTCCCTTCCGGCACACCTTATACCGACTATTCACCCTATGTGTTGCTGCCCGGCCTGGTCGATGCTCACGTTCATCTGAACGAGCCCGGCCGTACTGAATGGGAGGGCTTCTATACCGGCACCCAGGCTGCCGCCTTTGGCGGTGTCACCACCGTGGTTGACATGCCTCTTAACGCTATCCCGCCCACTACCACCGTGGCCAACCTGAACGAGAAGATCGCGGCTGCTACGGGCAAGTGCTGGGTTGATGTTGGCTTCTACGGCGGCATCATCCCCGGCAACGATGCCGATCTCAAGGGCCTCGTCAACGCAGGCGTTCGTGGCTTCAAGGGTTTTTTGATTGATAGTGGTGTAAGTAATCTCATGTACATCCCTTCTTTCGCCATACTAACCCGATGTCATATCTTAGGTGGATGAGTTCCCTGCTGTGGGCCAGGAAGATATTCACAAGGCTATGGCTGCATTGGCAGATGAGCCCACCACGCTCATGTTCCACGCCGAAATGATACCTCCTATCACCAAGTCTGTTGGCGATGAGGTCCAGACATCCGAGCCCCCAGCGGCCCCGGCTGGCCCCTTGGAGGCCTACTCGACCTTCTTGGCCTCCAGACCCTCGGCCTTTGAGACTTGCGCCGTCGAGCGTATCCTGTCAATGGCTCACCTCGCCCCCAACCTCCAATTGCACATCGTCCACCTGTCTGCCATGGAGGCTATTCCTCTACTGCGGGAGGCCCGCGCCAACGGCGTCAAGATCACCGCCGAGACCTGTTTCCACTACCTGTCCCTGGCCGCCGAGCAAGTGCGTGACGGTGATACTCGCCACAAGTGCTGCCCGCCCATCCGCTCCCAGCTCAACCAGGACGGCCTGTGGGAGGAGCTGGAGAAGCACACCGCTGACGGCGTCATCAAGACCGTCGTCTCGGACCACTCTCCCTGCACACCCAACCTGAAGCAGCTTCCTTCCCACATCCCCGGGCACTGCGTTGCCGAGAACGGCAAGGAGGAGAAGGGTGACTTCTTCTCCGCATGGGGCGGTATCTCCTCCGTCGGCCTGGGTCTTCCCATCCTGTGGACCGAGCTCAGCCGCCGCAAGGGCCTGACTCCTGCGCCCGACGACGAGAACACCAGAAACTCTTTGCAAGATGTGGTGCGCCTCTGCTGCGCCAACACCGCCGCCCAGGTTGGCCTGGAGAGCCACAAGGGTGATCTGCGCGTGGGCTTCGACGCTGATATCTGCGTCTTCGACGACTCCGCCGAGTGGGTCGTCGAGCCTAGCACCATGCTCTTCCGCAACAAGTGCTCGCCCTACCAGGGCAAGACTCTGCGCGGCATGGTTCGCGAGACATGGCTGCGTGGTGACCGCGTCTTCAGCCGTGACGCGGGCTTCGACTCCAAGACTCCCGCTGGCAAGCTGCTCCTCGAGAAGCGTGTTTAAAATAACGTTTTCATTCACATCTTTTCACCTTTCTTGGCAGCGCGCCACGGCATTTTCCTTTCTCATTGCATCTCGTTTCTCGGTCTGGAGTCGGTGACAAAAACTAATGACTGAACAGCATTCATACCCGTTAGATAATGACAGCACAGTGTAGCTTTAGGCATAGAATATGAATAAAAACATTATCGATCTGAAAAACTTGGGGTATCTAATGTAGCCGAAAGTGTACGAAATGGTAATTGAATGAGCATATCACGACTGCTCTTTCTCTCTTTCCCACTTCTCTCTGACCCTTCGCCTCACGCCTCCGTTCACTCCCTTACCCCAGATCTCAACCTCTTCTTGCTCTGCACTCGCAACTTGCCCACTATCCTGCACAGCTCCAACAACAGTCTTGCGCTCCTTGACCTTCCTCTCTTGCACACGGGCCCTCTCAATTTTCCCCAGATACGCCGCATACAAGAACGACTCCGCTATAGCGACCGTCAACGCAGCAAATAGCGACAACAGGACTCTGACAGCCGCCGACGCGCCACCGGTCGCCTGCTCTTCAGAAAAGACATCGGTTCGCGGCCCCGTCCACGAAGAGAAGATCCTCGCTAGCACATTCGGCATTGTAAACCTCGTCAGTGCCCAATACGTGCTGAACCCGGTGACCAGCACCGAGATAAAGATGTTGAACACCAGTGACGGGGTGAGCGTGTCTTCTTCAACAATGGGAGCATCGCTGGTCGCGATGAGTCGGTCTGCGTCGTTCGGGTTGGGGGCGTAGCTTGGGTGCAAGAGGCGTTGGTAGGCGGCTTTTTCTTCGGCGGCGAGGAGGCGAGCTTTGGATGCAAGGTATTCGGGGCTCTGCGGTTTGGTCAGTTGCTGTTCTGGAGCATGGGGTGTGATACGCCGAGGGTTCACGACACGTACAGGCTCTGGCTTCTTTGGCGGAGGCGGGACATAGACTTTGGTTCCGCGTAGCAAAGCACTTAGTATTGTAGGGCTGCGACCGATACCCTGTATCGCGTTGTATTCGGCATCGTGTTGTAGGTGCTTCGACAGGCGGAGGATCTGCTCGTGCGCAATCGGGCCATGGAGTTCCAGCGTCGCAGGAAGATCAAGTTCCTGCCGGCACGAGCCGGGTACCGCCTCGAAGGCATTCAGGATACGATCCGTCGTAACGAGGAGGACCATCCTTGTGGTGCGTGGTGACGTGGAGCGGAGAGGACAGCTGCGGCGGAGCGGGAACAAGAAATGTAAATCTCCGGGCTCAAGCTCCCCACTTTGCTTCTTCACCACAGCGTCTCAGCCATGGCAGACTCCACGAGCAATGCGTGAGTCTCCAATTCTCCTTGAACCCGATCTTCCAGCCCTGTTGCACATTTAAAACCTACCCACCGTCTCCCTGATCGGCGTGAACCACTCCATGCACCCTCACTAACCCCCCTCCATCTCCAGCCCGGTCACAACAGAAACCAACGCGCGGGGAATCCCCGTCGCCCCCTTCATCGACAATGTCAGCGACTACGTCTCGTCGCGCGCGGAGGTCGAGACCACCCTACGCTCGTTCCAGGAGATGATCTCCAAGTACCAGTTCATGGAGGTGAACACGCAGCGCCGCGGCCAGGGCCTGCGCGAGAAGATCCCGGACATCAAGAAGACATTGGAGATGGTGCGGTTCTTGAAGCTGCGCAAGGAGGTGGGTTTTTCTCCCGATATGTGGCGATGGAGTGGAAGAACTAAGTTCGATTGTGCAGTCCAACCCAAACTCCGATCTCGAGACGAACTTCGAACTCAATGATACCCTCTACGCACGTGCTTCTATCTCCCCTGCTGATGCGGAGGAGGTCTATCTCTGGCTTGGTGCTAATGTCATGCTGGCCTACCCGCTGAGCGAGGCTGAGTCTATGCTGGCGGAGAAGTTGTCGGCGGCGGAGTTGAGTCTGGGTCATTGCGAGGAGGATCTGGAGTTTTTGCGTGAGCAGATTACGGTATGTACTTTTTGTTTCCAAGAGGGGGGTGGTTGTTCTTCTACTGACCTTATCTTAGACGCTCGAGGTTGCTACGGCGCGCGTGTACAACTGGGATGTTGTGCAACGGCGTAAAGAGAAGGCCGAGGGCAAGGATGATGAGAAGAAATGATGGAGTTAAAATATATCCGGATGACATGTTGAATTCCTTGAATGAAAATTATTTCTACTGCCACCGATCCTCAAACCACGGCAGCTGATAGTCGCCTGTCGCCATTGCTCAACCCCTTTTAAGGAAAGATGCCCAAACGAATGCGGAGAAATATGTCTCTAAACGTTTCCAGAAGAGTGCCAGTGATGATATACAGCATCATATCTCTCAAACTTGGAATGCGGGGGTCCTTCACTCGTCCCAGATCTTGGGGTCTCTTTCGGCATAAAATCTTGTGTTTATGAGGTTGGAAGTCAATTGGGTTTGATATAGATGAGATCGACGATGGAAATTGAGGCGGTTGCTTTACCTCAGCGGGTTGAACTGATACCAGTACATTTCCTCATTAGTCTACATATGAGAGACTATGCTGGAAGACTTGAAAAAACATTCTGAGAGCTTACTGAACATCGAAAACAATGTATAGACTATTTACTATGGTGGGAATCATAGTAACATCCAATGTGACAAAAGTCTAACAGAATAAGGGGCTGAGAGCGCGGTGTATTCGATCGAATGAACCCAAGGAGCCAAGTCAATGCGCTGTATGAAATCCACAAACGCCTCAATTGCAAGCCACATATCAAGTCGTACATCATGGAGGCTCCTTTCCATCAATCATTAAGTATGGGAATCAAAGTCAAAATAAAGGAAATATGCCGGGAGCCCTCGGGGGTTATTGGAATGATGACTGCCTCATTTGATGATGCCCTAGGTCAGCTTGTCGCTCTCGGAGGCAGCTCGATCTCGCATGCGTCTCGTGATGTCGATGTCAGTGTCATCGCCCACAAAGGTCCACTCTTCAATGTCGTCGACGTCGTCGTCGGCGTGGTCTGGGGCCGCTTGAGCAGTAGGTGTTGGTGAGAACGGGGTGGATGACGCGATGGAGCGCTGTCGTGCGAGCGTCTTCGCGTATTCAAGGTCACGGTACAGAGATTGGATTGCGGTGGCCACGCCGTCCTCCTATAGGTGAGACAGAGGATTAGCACTTGCATGTATTTTGACTAGTTCGGGACAAACTTACACTGCGGATCTGGACGCCCAGATTCCGAGCCTTGACAATCATCCGCTCGCTGTGCGTAGCCTCCCAGAGAGCCCGCGAAAAGATGCTGACATTCAATCTTTTCATGCAGATTCCGACGCCCAAATCTTCAACTCGACCCCCGAAGAAGAACTGGTCGCCAAAGAACGGCTTCACAATAGTGGGCACACCGGCTCGGAGACTTGCGCCAGTAGTTCCTGCTCCACCGTGGTGAGCGGCCGCATCAATCTGCGAAAAGAGCCAGTCATGAGGTGCGGCTTGAATTTGATAGATTTCTGGGGGTAGAGGTATTTCGACTTTCACACTGGCAGGATCACCAAGTCTGTCTGACCATCCCTTCGAGAGAATGCAACGGACGTCGGCTTTCTGGACAGATTCGACGACAGTTCTTGTGAGAGCCGCTGGGTCCGACACCACGATCGATCCAAAGCCAATATAGACAATCTTCTTGCCGTCAGCGCGCGCACGGGCAATAAAGTCCAGGAGTTGCGGTGGAGGCGTCCAATCCGAACCCTCACTCAAGAACCAATAGCCGGTGATGCGGATCCAATCTGGGTAGTCGATAGGCGGAGGGACAACGAAAGGTGAATAGTTGTACAAGAACGGGACCTTGTTCTGCTGCATCTTTTCCAGGTTGGTGGCCTTGAGCCCAAGCTCGCTATTCCTCCAGCGGTTCACTTGACCAGCAATGGCCTTCCAGAAGATGGTGTCGAACATGACATATGTGATTTTGTTGTATGAACCACCCATACGATTCTCTGGAACAGCAAAGGCGTGTGGATAGGCGCGAGTCCTTGTCCATGGCATGGTAAAGCCGCGGAAGTAAGGAATCCGGAGAGCCTCCGCGATATGGATCCCCGCCATTGCACTAGGCGACTCGATGAGAAGATCACTGTCTTGACAGCTGGTCCAAGCAGATGACAAAAGATCATCAATCCATCCTCTGAACTTCAGTGAAGCTTCGCGGAGGAAAGAGTATGTAAACATTCCATTTTCCACGCAAATGCGCATCAACTCGGCCGGGTCTCCATCAACGGGAGCAAAATCAATGCCGTGCTTCCTGATCCACGGCTCAAACTCGGCATGAGTGGCAATCTTTGGCTTATGACCCTCAGCAAGAAGACCCTTGCAAAGAGCAATGTAGGGCTGCACGTCACCACGAGAGCCGATCGTCAGACAAGTGATACGCAAAGGATGGGGAGGTTTGAAGTTGATGATGGATGCACGTGGGTCGTCAAAGAAGGGATGGATCTCCGATGAATCCTCGTTGAGCGTGGGTTGCGTGTCATGTTCCACTGGGCCATCGAGCCTAGCCTCCTCCAACATGCGATTCTCGGCCTTGGCTGCTTCAACCTCCTCGCGCTCTTCTTCGGCAAGCATGCCTGATTCCACTAAATATTTGACCGACTCAAGGCCCTGATGCAATGTGACTGCACAGTCATCCCGCGAGTCGGATGCATTGAACTCGAAGAAAAGCTCTTCATGGCCACGAATGATTACAACCAGGCCATGATAGCCAAATCGAAATCCCTTCTCCTTCTCGACGTTCTCAATGTCCTTGAGGGGGAGAATCATCTTGGTGCGAGTACCAGGGATAAGACTGCGGAAACAAAGCTTCCTCTCACTGATATAGATCTTGCCGTAGAGCGGAAGCACTCGGTGCAAATAGGCGTAGTAAGTCGCCTGGAGCCTCTCCGTAGAGGGAAGTGCAAAGTGTGCTCGGAATCGATCGCCGTGATTCAGACTGCCTTCCTTGTCCTCGGGATCAACATTTTGATCCTCAGACAAGACTCCTTCGGCCTTGCCGTAGTGCTTCTGACCTCCAATCCACATGCCGGACACTTTTTCAATGTATCCCATTGACTCTGTGGCTAACAAAGAACTCATCTGCTTGGATCTACTCTTCAGGTACTCGGCAAATCCAGCCGCACGCTGAAGGGGATATGCACCCGTTTTCATGAAATCATTCAAGGGAACGTTCGGGTGATCATGAACTCTCTGGCTGGCGGGCGTGGGGGCATAAATATTTCCAGCATTTCTGCCCGGACCGGCTACCCCGACTTCCCGTCGAGCCGTTGCGCCAATTTGCACAGATGCAGACCGAGTGGTGTCGTCAGATCGTCTTCGACTCATTTGTTCAACATCAGAGGAGCGTCTCGCCAATGACGGTGACTGGAAAACATCGCTGCGGTTGAGGATCTGACTCGCAGACTCAGTTGTCTCTGTTGCTGACCGCACAACGGCGGAAGACTCGGTGTCTAACCCTATGGACTGCGCGAAGGAGTCCGCTTCCTCTCGTTGTTCGTTCCCGGGACTTGCACTTCGTCCTTGTGGCGAGTAGTCTTGCTTCGGACCTGAAGCTCGGGCTTCGATTTGGGATTTCATTTCATTCTTTTCCGGGCCCCCTTCGGACAAATTCTTTGTAGGCGAAGAGCCGACCAGGGCTTTCAGGTAATTGAAGGCATCTTGCCCCGAGTTGAAGAAACAGAAAAAGTACTGTAAGCCACATTAGTATTGAGGTATTATTTCCGGGGAGAGTACATTACTTCATCAATAGCGTAGGTCTCACTGCTGTCGAGGACCCGGATCTTGAAAGTCTCGGCGAACTCGGTCATCGGACTCTCCTCCAAGTCAATCACATTTCCGGTTGAAAAAGACACTTTGACACTGTCTCCTTCATTGTGTGTTCGAAAGATGACCTTCTGTAGACCTTTCACCCATTCTTTCGCGCTGGTGGCGCTATCGGCCCTGAAGTAATACGTTCGCTGGTCCGTGGTGACCTGAAAGTCTTTCACCTCAGCGCCCTTGGTCTTGGGCTCCGCAAGGGACGCCGAAATTCCGTAGCGAAGATCCACATGGCCGCTGGGGAAGTAAAGGTTTGAAGAGTCGGCATAATATGAAAAGACGTCACCCTTCAATACAAACCAGTAGCGATTATACTTCGGGTTATTCCGACCACGCTTTGACAAGTAGCCAGACTTGATCGCAACGCTTGACTTCTTCGGGAGATAGGCGTAAAAGCAAATATGTCCCTCTGTGACATACATGTAGCCCTGGAGAAGCATGCTCTGTACTAAGGTGCAAGCATACTCCACCAAGACCTTTTCAGGTTTGTCGAACCCAAACATCTCCATGAGTCTGGTGGAGAGAGCAGAGGCAGATGGTTGCTGCTGGTCCTCGCTCGGAGACTCGGGTCTGAGAGGCGTGTTTTCCGTCGTGGTTGCTGTATCAAAGCGAGTCTGTGCTTGTACCATACGGGTGAGAACCGGAGCTGAGCGGGGCGTGGCGCTGCGTGTTCGCCTCGGCGGTATAAGGAGAGTCGATCCGGTCATGGCTGACGGATTATTTTCCTTGTCGCTAGACCCTATGGTGGGAAGCCTCCGAATGGGTTTATTTTCCGATATTGTCTTCCGATGCCGCCGTCCTCGCTCCTCGGGCTCGTTCCGTTGCATCGATTCTGATCGTCCGCTCGTTGGAGCGATGTCGGGTGAGGCCTGTCGATTTTGCGATCTTGGGAGACGCTCCATCTTGGGATGGTCCTCCGTCTCCCCGTCACTATCACTGGAGTCGTCGAAGCGGGTTCGAAAATCGGATCGTGAGCCGACTGCGGCGATCACGGAAAACAAGGACTGTTGCATGTAGTGCATATTTCCGTCCCGGGAACCCATAGCCCGTGGCGGGGCTGTATAATCGACTTGGGAATCGTCACCGTCTTTGAATCGTTCAGGCAACTGATCCGCAACGGACCGAGGGGACCTCATGCTTGCACTCATCCCCCGATCCGCCCATCGCTTGTTGTCATCTATTAAAGGCTTCATTTTGAGAAATGGTATACTGATATAATCGAAGAAGGCTCGTAGGTAAGAAATAATAATGATAACGCCTGTCAGGGTGTGAATGAGCCCCAGCAGTGATCGGACGAGGAAGACTCGCAGGTGACAGCTCGGGAGTGACTAGGACGATCAGGAATGGGCATCCACGTCAGGCGGCTTCTATCAAATGAGGCCAGCAGGCTGATCTGCAACGAAAGAAGTCATCACAACGTGGAGGTCGTCCTGCGGTTCGATCTAGTCGGAGCAATCAAAGACGGTCTGATCGGACAGCTCATGTACCTCCGGGGCGCGATAAGGGAAGCTCTGCGGGATCGATAAGCAAATCAGAAACCCCGCTTCCCGGTTATGTTCAATTTGGCAGAGTAATGAAGGTTCTACTCCAGCGATAAGAGGTGGGTGACTGACTGTCAGTGCTCAACGTGCGAAGAGGTCCAGTGAACGCAGTGAGGCATATCAGCTGCTCTGCGCTTGCCGCATGTGATGGGGAGGCCCGTCAGGTGACTGATTATCTAATCATTGTCTTTGATTGCCCGGTTGAGAGGCGCAAGTCTTTTTTCACTTTTCACTTTTCACTTTCTTCGTATTCTTTTCTCTCTCTTTTAACAACCCGTCCGAGACTGTTGTGCTCACGGTCTATTTTTATGAAGTGGTGGTTGATGGTGGAGCCGATCGGAGTGGAATGCCAAGCATTAGGATCGGCCATGTTAATCTCGTATACAAGATGCCACTTCCGATCTTTGATCATGTTTTTATCACACATGAAATGGCATGGCGAATGTTTGTTTACATGATCACCCACCGGTTGATGGACTTAGTTCTCAAACCAGGAACATATCAGGTGACATTGCACAGTTTACCCCCTGCATCCCCGGACCAGAAAGTATTGAAGACTTGGGGAGCTGGACGGGTCGATTTGGGGCCACGGACGCGTGTGCTTGAACCTTTCGCATCCCAGTCATCAGCGTGGCTTTGCAAAATCCCCGTGGGCTCGAGTGGTTGAACTACGGCCCATACCGCACCTGTATAACGCCATGTCCCCATCGTATTGCGCAAAGGCGTCCTCCCGTGTGAACGAGCCCTCTGTAGGCCATCGTAGGCGAAAAATTAAAAGCACGCAAAACAGCCCCTGTCCCTACTCATCTTAGCGTCCACCCCTGCGTCAAGCTTCTATAAGTTTCTTGGCTTGGGCTGTCTTGGCCGCTGCAGATCTCGTACAGCAATACGAACCTCGTTCCGTTCGCCATGGCGTTCTTTATGATTCCTGAGCTGAACACTCGCACCGGGACTTTGCGAGCCTATCATTTGGCTGCCATCGTCTTGTAAGCTTCCTTGCATTGTTTGGGGTCTTGCCTTTTCATTATCTAAACCCTTTCCAAAGTATCTCATCCTTCCTCTCTGCCTACGACTCCGGAATCGCAGGTGGCATCTTGACCTACAAGTCCTTCGAAAAAGACTTCCGATACCCTGCATCTACAGAGTCGAGAGTTTCGTCCCTGACTGTTGGTTTGGAGCAGCTGGGCTCGTTCATCGCCGCTACCTGTGTCTACCCGATCACAAATCGCTACGGCCGCAAGGTCTGCATCATTGGTTCCACTGCCCTTTTCGTCATTGGTGTCATCATTCAGGTCATAAACACTCGCTCACTTGCGGCTTGGTATGTCGGCCGTATTGTTGCAGGCCTGGGTATGGGCGGCCAAAGTGTCGTGATTCCCATGTACTCAGCAGAGATGACTCCCAAGGAAATTCGAGGCCGATGCGGTTCTTTTTACCAATGGCTGTATGCCTGGGGTGTCTTCCTGGCCTACTGGGTTAACTATGTGAGTATTCAGTATCCTGGTAAAAGGATTGCTACTCATGTTGAAGTAGGGCGTGTCCAAAAACAAATCCATTGTTGGCACTTCGCGCGAGTGGCAGATCCCCGTAGGTTTGCAATTGATATCTGGGGGCACCCTGTTCATTGGCGCCTTTACCCTCCCCGAGTCAATTCGCTGGCTACTGACCCAGAACCGCACTGAAGATGCCTGGAAATCCATCGTTTGGATCCGAGGTGGCGAGACTCCCAAGACCCGCGACGAGTTCACCGAGACGCAGTTAGGGCTGCAGGCCGAGCGCGCAGAACGTGAAGGCTTTTCCATCCGCGAGCTCCTCGAGCCCGCCAATCGTCTTCGTTTCTTAGTTGGACCCGTGCTCTTTATTTTCCAGAATGCGACGGGAAGCAGTGCTCTGGCTGTTTTGCACCGCAATACTTTAAACTCATCGCTGGTAGCGGTACAAACCGCAACATGCTGCTCTCGGGTCTCTTCGGTGCCGTCAAGGTCATTGCATGTACCTTCTTCATCTGGGTCCTCGCAGAAAGGCTTAGCCGTCGCATGACCTTGGTCGGCGGCGCCGCTCTCATGGCCATCTGTATGCTGATTACCGCACTGATTGTAGATTACATCCCAACGCAGTCCGCCACCGACGTTACAGCTGCTGGACGTGCGACGGTTGCGATGATTTATCTTGATATCATGGTCAGTCTCGAGTATTCTACCCAGTTCAACATGATCACTGATTAACTTGCTTCTAGATCTACAACTGTTCTTGGGGTCCAATGCCGTGGGCTTATGTTCCAGAGATCTTCCCCACGCGGATCCGTGCTCTTGGATTGGCAGTCAGCATGCTGGCCCATTGGGCATCGTCATTCTGCTTCTCATTCGCAAGTCCTTATATGATCACCAACGTGGGTGCCAACACTTTCCTCATTTTCATGGGCTTCGATGTCGTGGCTGCTATCTTCTGCTGGTTCTTCGTCAAGGAGACTCGCGGAAAGAACTTGGAGGTCGCCGCGGGTACCGAGTGGGAGGCTGCTGAGCGCAGCTCCCTCGATGATGATGAAAAGGGTGGTGTGCTGAGCGCGGATGGCAAGAAGGTGGAGCTCGTCAGCGTGCACGAGAACTTCCATGCTACCATTCACCATCGTTAGTTCGTGATATCTGCAGGCTCGAGCTAGATTTCTGGTAATTCGACGCTGCATGGTTAATTACTCTTTGGGAGTTATTGACACCCACCTGAGATACTCGAGCCTGGGTTGCTAAATAAATTTTAATGATTGCTACTTGTAACCGTTCAACGCATCGTAGTGTTATGCCATAGCTGGACCGGATGGAAATGGTAAAATTGTACAATGGAAAGTCCTGCATATCATAACAACAAAGATATCTTTTCGCGAAACAAAACCCAAACACCAGCTTATGCCTTCTCAGACTTTTTGCGCTTGTGGTCCTTGTGGGACTTTTTTGACTTCTTATGGCTAGACTCGTCGGCGTCGTTTTCTTGTGAGTGCTTCTTCGACTTCTTTTGTGGCACACTCGCTGCTTGTATACCGTCGCCTTCAGTGTGGTGGTGCTTCCTCTTGCGTTCCTTGCGCTCTCCAGCAGGGGCCTTGAACGAGGGCTCTGCATCTGACTCCGAATCGGATCCAAGGGTCTCGGGAGCCGCGGGCAGACTTCCAACTGGGCGGAAGCGCATCTTCAGGTTCTTGGGTTGGGGCCTCGGGGGCTTAACGGTGTCGCGCAGTGCCTCCACGGCGGCTTTGTCGGCTTCCGGTACCCCAATCATCTCCTGAATCTGATAGCTCGGGATGTGGTCGGACTTGTTGCGATATGTCTGAGTGCTCTCGTCAAAAATGAGCAGGATTTTTCCCTCCGAGTCATCTTCATTGAAAGATTCCACTGGGATCCCGTAGTTCTTGCCCTCGTACCCGAGGATCGGCTGGCCCTTCATGATCTTGGACATGGAGATCTCCTTAATCTTCGATAGTGGAAGGAACGAGGGAGCTGCGATGTGAATGACTTGTTTGCCGCGCAAGTCGGAGAGGAGAGAGGAGGTGTTCGAGGAGGGCGGGGATTTCTTGTTTGCGGACTGGAAGCCCCGAGGGGGCTTGTACGGTTGAGGGCCGGGGACATTAACCCTAAAGGATACATTTAGTTTCATTCACCATATCGCAAGAAACCAGTAGTTGAAAGGAAGTCTCACTTCTTGGGAGGAGCTAGTTCCTCTGTCGCATCCTCAGTGGTATCCATTTCGCTGTCGGAGCCACTCTCCGACTCTGAGCCTGAAGAGCTGTCCGATCCGGAGGAGCTGTCATCGCTGGAGTTGTCGTCCTTCGGTGCCTTCTCGGCCGCCTTCACACTCTGCTTCTGGTGGTTGCCAGGTTCCGGCGAGGTCGACGACCGGCTCGAACTGCTGTCGCTATCGGACGAGGATGAGGCTGCCATGACGGCTGTGTGTAAGACTGGCCGAGCAGAAAACGGCGATCTTTTAATACAGAAAAACCACGAGGACAAATGAATCCGCAGAATCGCAAAGCGCCGGTTCTCGACGTTGAAGGGAATGTTCGAGGTTGGCCGATCTTTTTTTTGCTCCGCGGGAGCACGGACCACCCGCCAACTTTTTTTGCTTATCGGCCTCAGCAACGCGCATTGAATTCAAGATCTCCTTAAAAGTCACGACACAATGAAACGAAAGGCCGAGAAACAACAGGCTGCTGGTACTGTCCCAATTGCTGAATTTTGAACCACAGAACGCATTCTAATGCCCTCCGCAGTCCCCGTGAGTGCCTTTGCGGCGCGCAAAGCTCGGCAGCAACAAGCACAAATTGCGACGACACCGAAGAATGAGCCGGCCGCTCAGCCGGCTGTCGAGCCTCCTTCTAAGCGACTTCGACGATCCCTAGAGGCCGACGAGTCCACCGAAATGAATATCCCAGAAACTCGAGGTCCGCGAACACGGTCGTCCACGAAGCAAGATGCGTTATTGCCTACGGAGAAAGTGAAAAGCCGGAAAGGAAAGGCTACAGGGAAGGAGCAAGAAGAGTCTCAGGCTCAGGTCCAAGAAACGCGGGATGATTCTGAAGAAGAAGAAGAATCCGAAGACAATGCAGCCGAGGGAGTGGATGAAATGACCGAAGATGAAATCGCGTCCGTTGCTGGTGACGCAGACGGCTATGAGTCCCCGGCGGAGACGCCTGCAGAGCTTCAAAATTTCCCTTTATCGAAATCTCGGATCAACAAGAAGGACATAGTCTATGCGGATGCTGATACTCTCTGTGTCCGCATCAAAGAAAAGATGGTATGGGCGAATGTGCTTGGACAGTACTGAATAGTGCTAACCCCTAACAGAATCTGGTGCTGTTGGGCCAATACGATCTTTGGGTCAAGCGGGGAGTCGTCAGTGTTATGGGCGCCAAGTTGCACCCTTCATCGCGAGTGTATAGAGTGTACGCTCCCTCGACACATTCCTTGCCCGTCATCAAGTGCGTGGCTGGGGTAAATGGGGAAGCTGAGGTGGAAATCAAGTCTTGTAATAGCGGTCTCTCTCGTCTTCGGGACGTTTCCCCTCTGTATCAAAGAATTTGGAACGGTCAAAATACCGCTGCGGACAAAGTCACATTGAAGGGGGCTTCCAAAGATTCGCGGCGAACCTTCTCGGTGGTAAGTGACCTCGATTACACTTTAAGCCCTTGAAGACCAGAGGTACTAATATCTTTGCAGCTTTACACATCCGCAGATGACTCTTTGAAAAGACATTTGCGTCCTCTCCATCTCGACAAAAAATGGAGCGCATCGATGAAAGCGCTTTCTTCGCGGCAAGGCAAACTCCGAGTTCTGGTCTGCGGTCCCAAAGCATCTGGAAAGTCTACTTTCAGTCGCTACTTGTTGAATCATTTGCTCAGCTCGGACCCTGGCTTTGAAGATGGATACATCAATACCGATGGTGTTGCTTTCCTGGATCTCGACCCAGGACAACCTGAATTCACGCCCATGGGCCAGGTCTCTCTCGCCTATCTGCGGGCCCCTTTCTTTGGGCCGCCGTTCACTCACCCATCAGTGGATAAACCGCGTGATGGACACATAGTACGAGCTCATCACATCGGGTCAACGTCGCCAAAGGAAGATCCCGATCACTATGCGCTGGCTACGATGGATTTACTGAGCCAGTACCGCTCGCTGTTGGCACGGTACCCCCAATGCCCGTTGGTTGTCAACTACCCTGGATGGATCTTTGGGCAGGGTCTGGAGGTCGCTACCTGGTTGATCCAGTGCTTGGGACTATCAGATGTGGTGTACATGAGCGAGAAGGGACCTTCGGAGGTTGTGGACCCCTTGAGCTCTGCTGCCAAGCAAGCTCATGTCCCTATGACAATTCTGCCATCTCAACCTACGGATTTCGTCAGCCGATCCAGCGCTCAGTTGCGTTCCATGCAAATACAGTCCTACTTCCACCTGTCTCACCCCCTCGACCTCGGCAATCCTCTTTGGCAAGGGGAACCACTTTCTCGCACGAGGCCGCTCGCTGTGGACTATTCCGGCTCGAAACAAGGTATTCTGGGCATAATGGTTATGGGGTCCCAAATCAGCCCCGACTTGTTGCGCGAAGTACTTGAGGGGGCCATTGTAGGTGTGACAGCGGTGGAATCCCCGAACGCCATTATGGGTGCATCTTCTGCTCAAGGGCCCTCAGATGAAGGCGAGGGAAACGATTTTGATGCAGAGGATGTCGATATGGATACCGATGGTCAAGCCACAAACGGTACTTCTGCTTCGCTCACAGACAACGGTGTCGTCAGGACGAAAGAGGGCCTTCCTTACCTCTTCGTTGGTTCTGGGAGCTGCACTCCCCTGGATCCAAAGGCATCTAATTGTCTTGGCCTGGCTTTAATTCGCTCGGTCAATGTAGCTTCGCAGAAGCTTGAGCTGTTCACGCCAATCCCGTCTACCCGTCTGCAGGATGCTATCGAACAAGGTCACCAGCTTGTGCTTGTTCGTGGCCAGCTAGATCACCCCAATTGGGCTATTAGCGAAGAATATCACGCCGCGAGGGCAGCAGAGCGACACTATCAGGAGTCGATTGCTGAGGTGAAGCAACGCGGCGACTCGAAGAAGATCGATCAAACTAAGCACAACCAAACGCTTGCCATGCTTCGCGAGAGGATCCGCCGTGCAAGCAATGTCCCTTACATGACGGTTGTGGAGGACAACAGCCGACGACAGCGCGAAGCTGCTGCACGACGTGAAAAGTCGTTGTGGAAGCTGAGAAAGAAGGCCTATCCTGCCAGTGAAAGCGAGACTGACTGGTAGAGCTGTGTATCATACAAAACTTTAAACAATGTACATTCGAGCTTATCAAGATCGGCATAACCACTCCACGTACTTCTGCTCCCGAGGCCCAATATTTATGCATTTCGTATGTGGGCAGATGAATAAAGACCCATGCAGACCAATGCTGTTAACAAATGAGGACGCCGAAGAAAGCTGAATGTTAGTATTTTATATCTGGACTCTTTGGATCTGCCGCAACTGCCGTAGTCCATAGCGCCAAATAATCGCGGTGCCAACCAAACAAAGCGAGGTCAGAACACCGAATGCCCACGCACTCTCTTCCAAGTAATTTATCACGTTCATGCCGTAGAATCCCGCCACAAGTGTCGCTGACCCCAGGCCAACCATGACAATCTCAATCTTCGTTTCCAAGACCATGATCTGGTTGCGTCGCACATTCAGGATCGATTGAATGTTTTCTTCTTTGCGCTGAATCTTGCCTAGCAGGCTTTTTGCTTTCTGGACAACGGCATCGCTTGTCTTGAAGTACGCCTCTAGTAAGTATTCAACATCTTGATGATCATCAGACGTATGTGGGTTTCCTGCTCGTTTATCGCTGAGGTACATCGCTGCCATGTCGTCATCGTCGTTCAGCACCTCTTGTACCGCATTACGAACAAGGCGAGCGCGCTGTTCAATGCCCGAGAGGACCTGGACAAGATCGAGGAGCGTCCGAAGTTCAACGTGTATAAGGCTTTCCTCGTCGCCGTGCATTTGCAAATCCAACAGACGCAGAGCTTCGGAGATTTGCTCGTTTGCTAGCAAGTACTCTGCTTCAATTGTGGAGGTTGTCGACGAAAGCGCGGCTTCTAGAACACGTAGTTCGAACGGCAGGATCGCTGATATGCCCGATCCATGGTTCCCACGCAACTTCCCTTCGATATCATGGTTGAAAACTCGCCACTGATTGGCTTCTTCAAGATCGACTGATCCCTCGACATGAAACATCAGCACCTGATCAGCCTGCACCAGTAGTCGCAGGCTGAACATGTGGATTAAAATTGTATTCTGTCGGATCAGAATATGTGGGAATCCAATGGATGGTAAATCAATGGAGCGCAGATCTCGCGTACTTAGGCAATACTTGCTTGCAATTTCGTGTTTTGTCAATTTCTGGAAAGAGACACCACCGCTGTTGGCATCGTATAGAGAATGCTGTATCTCGGCGTTCCCGTTCATTGGGATTCGCGAGAGGCCAAGAGATAGTTCGTAAATCTGCTGTGATTGACTTGCATCTTTGCATTCTGGTGTGTGGAATGCTCGAACTGCGGCGACATGCCTATCCCGTAGATGTCTGGCTATGTTCGGTGAAGTTGATCGCGACAGTGCCACCGAACTCCGAGGAAAGCGGGCTTGGATTGTAGTCCTTTTTGGGATAAATTGGCGGACTTCAAACACCCTAGCCAAGGGTCCGATCTGGCGTGGATTTAAATGAGAGAAAATCATCGCGATATATCGCGTGACTCTATCCCTTTGTGTACCTACATCCTTGTTCCCTCGAGAGGACGCACGTTCTGTGGCTTGATGAACACGTGATTTGTTCACTGTTATTAATAGCTACACCCTACCTCGGCCGGAACAATTTATGAATCAAAAAAAAATACAAAAAGAATCTCTCCCTCGGGGAATCGAACCCCGGTCTCCCGCGCTTATCGGTGTTAATGACAAGCGGAAATCATGACCACTAGACCAAGGAAGAAGTGACAGCCGAGTTACTGCTCGACCACTTGGGTGGTTGATGGATAATCCGGGTAAGAAACTGAACTATGAACCCCTAGGCTTCGTGATTCAAGAGGAAATCTTGTGGCGGCGTTCAGTGGGTCCGCTGACTCTGGAATGTAATAATATGCAAAACAGTTCAGTCGACGCGAAATAATTGGCTATCCCGAAAGCAGAGATTACTTTGGGACTATAGAAAGAAGGTTGGAAAGAACGCGATCATGTCGGACCTCGGGAGATCAAGTTCCGCTCATTTTCTAGTAAATCGCTCTCCCTGTATTTTTACCAAAGTTAATTCATCACAATAATCGTGCTTTTCATTTTCATATAGAACATTCTTGAGGTAATCTAATACAAATGGTTCCGTCATATCTGGCGCGGGTGCACAGGTTCATCACCAATCTCCTCCATCTTATCCTCCAGCAGTTTGGTCATGTACTTCACGACATCACTATATTTGGGCTCAAAATAACAGTTGAAGAGCTCCATGGGGTCCTCGTCGAGATCAAAGAGTTCCCATTTCTTCTCTTCGCCACCGGGGCGAGTTCCCTCAATTCCAAAGTCCTCGTTGTACCAGTAAATCAGCTTATAGCGCTTGTCTCGCACTGCATAATGCGCATATGCCTCGTGGATGATATCTCGGTGCATCCAGTATCGATGGTATGCTACCTGCTGCCAGTCTTGCGGGGTGCGCTGCTTCAATAGCTGACGGAAGCTCACACCCTGCATGTATGTCGGCTTCCGCACCTTGGCGAAGTCCAGCCAAGTCGGAGCAAAATCCACGTTGCAAATTATGTCATTGCAGATACTTCCGGCTGAAATCTCTCGGGGATACCGAATCAGGAATGGCATGTTGAAGCTGTTCTCGTAAACAAGACGCTTATCGAACCAGCCGTGTTCGCCGAGAAAGAAGCCTTGGTCGGAGGTGTAGATGACAATGGTGTTCTCAGCCAGTCCCCCTGCATCCAAATAGTCCAGCATGCGGCCCACGTTGTCGTCGATGCTCTGGACTGTGCGGAGGTACCGCTGCATATATCGTTGGAATTTGAACTCGGCCAGTTCCTGGCGGGACTTGAATGTGAAGACCGTTCCATCTTCCTTATCGATCAACTTCAGTTTGGTCACGTCCTCCGGGTCGGGAATCTTCCGGTCAAACCACGACCAAGTATCCAGCATTTTGGTGCCAACGATATGAGCCGGGCCGTCGGGTTGAGCCAGTCCCAGATCCATGTATGTGAGATCCTCTGCCACACGCATCTTAGCTACCTTGGCAGCCTTTGCGCGGTTCTTGTAATTGTCGGTAAAGGTGTCTGGCACCCGAACGGGGTCTTTGTACAGATTCTTGTGCTTGGGATCGCATTCCCAGCTGCGGTGCGGTGCCTTATGGTGGCACATCATGAAGAAGGGCTTTTTCGGATCACGCGATTTGATCCAGTTAAGACTCTTATCAGTGATAATGTCGGTTGCGTATCCGCTCTCTCGCGTTGTGCCGCTGGGTCCAATGAATTGAGGATCGTGATATTCACCCTGACCAGGAACGACTTCCCAGTAGTCGAATCCCGTAGGCTCGTGATCCTTTCCTTCGCCCAGATGTCATTTTCCAACCATCGCAGTCTGATAACCACCGACTCGGAGTTGCTTGGCCACATTAGGAAGGTGCTTGTTGATTTTCGAGTCTAGTGTCATGACTCCGTTGACATGATTGTGTGTTCCGGTCAAAATTGCTGCGCGGGAAGGAGTGCAAATGCTATTTGTTACGTAGCAATGATTGAACTTCATTCCTTCAGTAGCCAGGCGATCCAGATTGGGCGTGTTGTTGATGCCAGCTCCGTAACAAGAAATTGATTTGGCGGCATGGTCATCAGCCATGATGAAAAGGATGTTGGGGCGTGAATCGGCCATGACGGCTGCGTAATAATTACTACAATCACAGTTTCTTCCAGAATTCCTGATTGGAGAGTAAAGACCGAGAAAAGGCTCTATTCAGGGACAGGGGTCCGTTTTAAATGTTGAAAGGCGGTGCCGGCTGTGGCTTTGACTATGGCCACAGGCAAATCCGAGCTGATAAACAGCTCTTTGACCCCTCTGAGGGGTCCTCTTGGAACTCCATGATCCATAAATGTCCATGTTCATTGATTGAATGTGGTGTATGCGGGGTATCCGTGGACAAGTATAGCGGCTCCGGACCCACCCAGGTACGGCAGTCGGCGGTTGTCGGTATATAACATCGCTGGTTGGTCGATAGTAATTGTGACCACCCCGCATAGACACCAGACCAATGTTTTGTGAATAAGGAATGTTCAATACATGTTATGGGGTCGCGTGGGGTCGATCTGCCGATGTTCCGACGCACGGCTGGTCGGCACGTCCACGTAATCTGATGGCAGGTGTGATTCGGGGCTAGCATTTCGTGATCGGCTTTCATTTAAGAACTCGTGTCATGTCGACGAATCCATGCAGGCTTACGTCGGACTATGCGCCCGGTGCACAACGTAATCCCGCAGCCCCATGCGCACTAGCCAAATCAGGAGTTTCCAAGTCCAATCAATGGAGATCTAATGACCTCCAACTAATCAGAAGCTCATCTTCAAAACTGCCCGCACGAAGGCCCCGCACTTCATCGGAGATAGGATAGTTCAAGTCGCAATGGTCCACGGTACTTGCGTGACCCAGAAGCGTCATGAGTGACGGGCGAGGAATATGTTTATAAGACAGGCATGCGCAAATTAGCCTGTTCAATGTGTGTTATGATAAAAGATTATACTTTTATTTCCATTTTTCTCAAAACGAAGTCCGAGTCTCCGATCCCGTTCTCTTGTGCATCGCCAGGCTCAAATCACAATGCCTCCACTTATTTCAGATACCTCGCTTCCCTTGCGCCCTACACCCAAGGGATCCGATACTGATCAGGTACAATATCCTGTGCCATTGAAACAGAAGGGTGCCCTGGATAAGTTCTCGTTTGAAGATACAACGCCAGCCATTGGACGTGAGTTCCTCATCGTCAACATTGTCGATGACCTCTTGAATGCCCCCAATGCAGATGAGTTGGTGCGGGACCTTGCTATCACAAGTAGGAATATCTCATCTTTCATTTTATTACTCTGACTCTAATCATAATTTCTCTAGTTGCTGAAAGGGGTGTCGTCTTCTTCCGTGCCCAGGATAACCTTACCGACGAGCTGCAGAAGAAGTTGGTGCTACGCTTAGGGCAGTTGACAGGCAAGCCGGCCGACTCAACTCTGCACATCCACCCGGTGCTCAACAACACGAGTGAATTTGGCGTCAACGACGCCCAGGTCAGCACCATCAGCTCAGTTGCCCGCAAGAAAATGTTCCGCCATGAAAATCAGCCCAACAAGCGTCGCTATGATTCCGCCGAGTGGCACTCCGATATTCAATTCGAACCCGCCCCGGCCGACTACACTTCTCTCCGTTTGACCCAGCTGCCCAAGACCGGAGGTGACACTCTCTGGGCGTCGGGATACGAGCTCTATGAACGGTTCTCGCCAGCATATCAAAAGTTCTTTGAGGGTCTGACGGCAACATATACTGGTTCGGGTTTTCTCAAGGCCGCTGAGATGGATCCAGTTAATGTCAAGGTCTACACCGAGCCAAGAGGTAGCCCTCTGAACATCGGCGCGGAATTATCCACGGTTCACCCCATAGTGCGAACAAACCCGGTTACCGGTTGGAAAAGCATCTTCGCCGTTGGACCATTCCCCAAATATATCAACGAGCTCAGCCAAAGGGAGTCGGACGAGCTACTGAAGAAATTCTACAACACCATCATTGAGAACCATGACCTCCAGGTGAGGTTGAAGTGGAGAAACCCCAATGACATCGGTAAGTTTCACAGATGACTTTTTCCCGGCATGGCATTTCTGATAAACTTTCTTCAGCTATTTGGGATAACAGGTGCGCGTTCCACAGTGCCACGTTTGACTACGAAGGCCTTGGGGACCGATTCGGCCACCGGGCGGTTGGTATTGGCGAGAAGCCGTTCTTGGATCCAAACAGCACATCCAAGTCCGAGGCACTGGCCACTGGAGAACTTTAAATTGATATTAATTTGAGATCTGAGATGCTGTAGTGTTTTTTGAGGGCCAATTCGTTTTTTTATCGCTTTTGTAGACTGTACATACCCAAGGCATAAATGACTCGCTATTACTCATGTAAGAGCAGGACTTGATATATTTTGCTTATTCAAAGGCTGTGGAAACCTTGGAAGCAACAGCACGTAGTACTGCACTAAGCTACGCGTTCATCTTGTTGTGCAGAGATCCCGCGTTTGTTAATGATCCTAGGATTCCGCTGGGTTGATCTAATCGCAGGCCTTTTTCAAAATTGGAATTGTACATATCGTATGATCTATTCTATATCAAGGAGGCGTAAGGAGGCGTAAGGAGGCGGTAAAATTCAACCTTGGACTGATCATGTAAGAACCTCTTGTGACAGACGTAGAAAGAGGTCACACAGCCGGCGTAAAGACTAGATAAGAGACGTTCAGGGAGATCTCCGCACTCGGCAGCCGGCGGAGTGGGCTGTACTCCACCCGGCGTGCACGTTTCGGCGAGCAATCCATTCGCCCGAAAACGCTCAGCTATGTAGAATGAAAAGTGAAAATTCTATTTGGTTGTCGTAAGCGAGTGCATTAGACTTTATCCGGTAAATTTCTAGAAAGGATGCAGAAGAGGCATGGCCACGTGCTCTTTGTCCGTGGTTCGCAAGCTCCATCACTACAAGACCGATATGGCTTGACGTCTGCAAGGCAGATTTCCATGGACACGTGCTCCCGCACTTGGTTCGGAAGCCCCACGAGATTGGAAGATAAAAATGGGTCGATATCAACAAGAGGCTGGAGCGGAGATCGACCAGTCGGGAGTACCATCCGGTAGCACGTTGCCACCGGATCTAGACAAATCTGTCGGCCCTACCACTGCAGCAGCACGTGGCTGGTTCGCGATCTCGCGAGCAATAGCAGCCGCCACCACCACCTAGCGTTTCCCGTTGGGCTAGTGTCCCTGGGTCTTGTGGGTCGCTGTCACTGTGGGTAGGTGGCTCCCCGAACCGGATGGATGGGTGCCGGACGCCCGGCCTATACCTATCCTAGGCAACTCCAATCAGACCGCAGTCGAACGTTATTCACGATCATCTACGGCCGTGCCGTGGCGGGAAGGTGCAGTTCAGATCAACGGCGATGATCTCATGCAAGAGATTGGTCGATTCAAATGGCTCGACGGGGGTGTGATACAGAACGGCGAGCAGCCAAACAACCTTGGAACCACGGAGAAATTGAAGTTGGATCGGGTCGTGGATCTAGAGGTCTCGGAGCCTTGGATAGATTCCAGTGCAGTCCGTTAGTTCATGAAAATCCAAAGCCCGGGCGTCGCCTAGCGACACGAGACGTGAATCGCGTACTGCGGGCTGCGGTACGGAATAGACGTGGGACGATGAGGGCGTGGGTGAATTGGACATTGCCATTGGCGGTTTAATTAAAGTTGGCTCCACCAGCCAGTCGAGCACGGGGTGCAACGGAGCCCGGTGATTGGCGAATGCGGGAGTACATCATGGCCCGTGCATTTCGAGATTAATTCCACCTTCCCCGTGTTGTTCGGCGCTGGTTACTTTCCACACGATGTCAAGACTTGTGGCGAGGGAATGGAGAAGCATCGCCAAGTTGTCAAGCATCGCCAAGGCACTCTTGGTACTCTTTATTTACGTGGGACGTGGTGGAAAGGTTGGATTCGAGCTCGATCTCGTTGTAAACATAGGGGCTTGTTGAAGGACGATTAAAAGCTTCACGTATCATTCTCAAATGAAGCTACTGTCGGGCAACGAACTCAGTGCGCACAAGGCCATTTGGGGGCGACCCAATCAAAGTGCCAGCGCAGCCCGTTGCCCCCCGGTGACATCGTTCTAGAAAGTCCATTGCATGCGCGATAGCACGTCCCACTTGATCCAGGCACCGCCGGCCTAGTGCGGTGCTACCACTCGGCTCGAGTCTCCATGCGCGCCATTCGCCCTCTCCGTCGTCCTCGCTCGATCAGTGCACCCGAGATGACCCCATGGCTAGCGCCATGAATGAGAAATCCTCGTCTCCACCCCCGTGTCAAACCGTGCTCGCATTCATGCCTGCGATAGGGCCACCGCGGCTTGACGGGCGTCGGTTACTTTGGTTCGCAGTGGGTTTAGTGCTGATTCGGTCCGTCGCATGGCTGTCGCGCGTGCTTCCCTCTCATGCGCCCTACTGCGTGCTGGGGAATAAATATGCATTGCCCATCCGCTTCTGGATGGTTTTCGTTTTGCTCTGTAACTCCCTTCCCAAACCAGTCCAAGTCAGATTCCCTGACTCCGGCTCCCTCAAGTGGTCGAAGCTTTATCAATTCTTCCACACTTGAACGTCGCCATGGAGGTTCCTAAGCAGGCTATCAACTCCGTCGATGAGATGGAGATCCACGAGAAGCTCGCTTTCGACGAGGTCATCCGTCCCGTTGATTCTTACACCGAGAACGGTACCTACTGGGCCGATCTCCCCGTCGGCCAGCGTATCAGCTTCGTCGTGGCCCAGGATGGCGCGGAAGCTCGTCGCGAGTTTGCCTGGCTGTGGGACATGTTCAAGGCTGATCCCTTGTCCCCTATCGGTCACTACTTCCGCAACTCCGTCCTGCCCGGTGCCGGTCTTGGTCTCGAAGGGTAAGTCAATTTCGTGAACGTTGAATGCTGAAATGGAATCGATTTAACCCTCGGCTTCTCTAGTTATGTCCTATTCTCCATCGGTAACATCGGCTCGCTGTTCAAGGACTCGTTCAAGGAGTGCTGGGACAAGAAAGAAATCTGTGATGCCAACTGGATTGCCGCCGTCAACTACCTGGAGGTTGCCGGTATCATCGTCGGTCAGGTTCTCGTTGGTGTTCTGGGTGACTGGTGAGTCTGCCCTTTGGATCACTACCGCCACGGACAAATACTAAGCAAGAGTTTCTAGGATCGGTCGTCGCTGGGGTCTGATTCAGGATGCCACTATCATGTTCATCGGTCTTCTCATGCTCACTGCCTCTTGGGGTGTTACCCAGAACGGTTGGGTTATCTGCTACGCGTGGTCTCTGTTCTTCTACTCCATTGGTGTCGGTGGTGAATACCCCATGACCGCTACCATTGGTATGGAGAAGGGCTACAGCTCCGGCAAGATTAGCACGGCCAACGACCGTATGCACCGTGGTCGCACCGTCGTCGGTGCTTTCCTGATGCAGGGTTGGGGCCAGTTTGCCAACCAGGTCATCCTGATCTTGCTGCTTCTCATCTTCCACCACGGCTCTGGCGAGCCCCCGATTTCTGCCCTTGCCACCCAGTGGACTTTCCGTGTCTCTTTCGCTATCCCTGCTACTGGTACCGCTTGGCTCATCTACTACCGTGCCTACCACATGAGGGCTGCCAGTAAGCAACTGGATGCCCAGAAGAAGAAGGCCTCCGTCACTGGATACGACAAGGAGTCTCTTCGTCTGACTTTCAAGCACTTCTCCCCTCGTCTGATCGCCACCGCCGGTGGTTGGTTCGCCAACGATGTCTTCTTCTACGGTAACAAGCTCTTCCAGAGCAAGTTCATCTCCGTCATCAGCCCTGCATCCACGGATATCAACACCAAATGGCTCTGGAACTTGGCCAACATCGGTGTTGAGCTTGCCGGTTACTACTCCGCCGCTTGGTTCGTCGACAACAAGCTCTACGGCCGCAAGTGGATGCAGATCGTCGGTTTCATGATGTGCTTCATTCTCTTCGTCATTCCCGCCTTCAATCTCAAGTACTACGAGGAGCCCGCCCACATTCACTCTTTCCAGGCGATGTACTTCCTCTCCTCCTTCTTCAACCAGTTCGGTCCCAACTGCATTACCTTCCTTGTCGCCGCCGAATGCTTCCCCACCCCCATTCGTGGCACTGCTCACGGTATTGCTGCCGCCTCCGGTAAGGTCGGTGCTCTGGCCATCGCCATCATCGGCTCGTACACCAACATCCAGCAGCAGTTCTACATTGTGCCCTGGTTTGGTCTTGCCGGTACTCTGGTCACTTGGCTCTTCCTCCCCGATACCACCGGTCTCGACCTGCGCGAGCAGGAGCGTCGCTGGAAGTTCATCCGTGAGGGCCGCGAGAACGAGTACCACGGCCCTGCTGTCCACCGCAAGCATTTGTCTGTCTGGGAGCGCTGGACCGGCAAGGGCAAATACTACGATGCTGCCCTTGACTACCAGGACAAGGTCCACGAGTATCGCGCCGAGTGGGAGGCTGCCATAGCTGCCCGCGCTGATGAGAAGAACGTCTACGACATGGACGATGTTGATGAGCACATTCTTTCTGGCTCCATGCACACCTACTTCGAGCGTACCACCCCTGACTTCCGTGGTGTCGAGAAGGAGACCCACACTGAGGAGCCCATGACTCTCCCTGCCTCCGCTGCCGACCAGCAGAAGCCTCTGAGCCAGTAGGTGGATCTTGAATGTGCTTGATGTTGCATGACGCACATGTCTTGACTTATGTTGGCGAAGTCATTATAGATTGTTGTATAATTTAATACCCATGCTGTTGCGGTCAGGACGAGATTGTCATACACTACACTCTGTGAAAAAAAAAAAGTCCTGTTGATACGCTCGGTTTTCTATTCATCTCTTTTGTCTTCACTAGCCATTTTGGATCTCAATCTGGCATTACATTTGGGATAGCTTCTCCTTTCAAATATATACCCTCTGTTCCATTAACGGCTTCAAATCTCTCTGTCTACAATTTTCATAGTCCCTGTAGACTTTTAAAACGTAGCTTTATTCACATCGGGCTAGTTTCATGCACAGCGTTGACTTTACTATCTGACGTGAAATCGTCACCTGCTTGCTCAATCATACCCAGCATCCACAAAGTTAGCCTGCCGCACTAAGCTGTAAACAGCAAGATAACTGTTTCCATGGCGTCCATGATCAAGTGGGGGTGAGGGGCAACACAGCTCCCTGAAGATCGCGCCCGGTTCGTCACGCGACAGAGACACAAAATGCTGCATATCCAGAATGATTTTCTCCACGGCCGCTGAGCGTCCAAAAAACCGGCACAGTACGGTCAAAGCCACATCGGCACTTTCAATTGCACTCTCCATGTTCATGTGCAGACCTAGCTCAGGCGATGACAGGAGGAACAATGTTCGCCTCGTTGCATGATAGGCGCACACGGCAATGTAAGATGGTAGGAGTGGATGACTGGTGAGATCCAGTAGTCCCTGTAGGATCTGGTTGATGTTCTGAACATGCTCCTGGCATGGCTTTACAGCATGAGCTTTCAAGCTGGGCTCGACAGTATTCAAAACTACATTTGGTGCGGCCTCGGGGTATTTGGGAAGAAACATCCGATACAGGTCACAGTGGGCTTGTTGCCAGGATATCTAAACCTGGAGGTAACGTGGAAACCATCTGGAGTTCTTCATTTCGGTTATACTGCCAGTGGCTGCGATCTTGTATTGGAAAGCGAGTTCAACATCCGCTTGTACTCACCATAGATCGTTCTGAATGTCTTGAACCAGGCCACTTACTTGAGCCAATGGCTGTTCAGATAGCGCAAGCAGTCGCGTGAGCCGCATGATATCTTTGGCGATTTTGGAGAGTTGAATACACATCGCTAGTAAGCTATATACTTCAGTTGAGTCGGCTTCTATTAAATGCTGCTGGCCTGATATTTGGGCCGAGGGATTTCCGTCCCGGTATGCCTTTTCTGAACTCGGGAGACGTTGATAAATTATCGAGTCAGAGATTGTCTCATATTCGGGCAATCCGACAGAAAAAGAACCGTCAATGGAGCTGAGGGCCCAAAGGACGCGCCTGCGTGTTTCTTGGGCAATGAAACTGAGCTCGGGACTCTCGTAATTCAATCGTAAACCAGTAGCTGCTCGGGCAGCGAGTCCAGCGAGCATGTATGCACGAGAGAATCTACCGATCTGGATGTGACAGTGGATCACTAGAGGAAGTGATTGAAGCTGGATGATTGACGGCTTTTCTAATTGGCTCCGAATTTCCGTTTCGACCTCAGCAATGCAGAGAGAACTTGCATCGGATGGCAGATGGTCCCGTGAAAGGCTCATTTTTGATATGGCCGAAATCGAAAGTGCTAGATTTTGGTCGATTGTGCCATTTGCGTATTGCTTGCTGGTGGACTGACGGTTCGTGGAAAATCGCACGAGGAAGTGGGTAGAGATGATTGAAGAATTCGTCGATCCTCTGTAGAAGCTCCTCGCGATGGATAAGTGAATCCAGTCTGTATTGGTCAAAACTGTCATTGTCATAGAGTAGCATCAAATTGACATACCGTTGATCCTTGTCATGTTCTACTACTCCTTTCGTCTGCTGCTCGTCCTGGGTTGAGACTTGCAGCACGCCGGTCTGTTTCGTCGTTGGATACCGACATACACGACCCCGTCGGTGACAATTTGCACATTCAGGAAGCTCCCCTTAGCACCGTGCCTTCTGGTGGTGGAAATCTATACATGCCTGTGCCCCTCGACGCCGTTTGGTGCGGCCAACAATTCCATCGTGGCGTGTCCGCTGGGCCGTAGGCCCGACAGTGGTCTTCTGGAAGGAACAGTTGAAGTCTAAACGCTCACAATTTCCACATGTGTCTGAACGACGATCACAGCCGACCTTGTAGCCAGTTAGCACAAGTCAAGGCGGGGTTAGCGGATAGTATACCTTCCGGCAGCGACATTGGAAACACGGGGCGCGCTGGACACGACCCATGTAGATCAGGAGGCCCTCCCCAGGGAGGGGTTATAGTTACTCTGCAAGCGCTAGTCCTCCCATGTATAGCGTGAAAAGATCCGTCAGGGCGTGAGTTTATTGTGCAGATTGGAAATCAGCGGTCTCATAATCCGACAAAACTACGGAGACTTCGAGTTTGCAGGGTCTAGGTCTCTGGTGCCATTTTGGCCGAATCACACCATGGCCATCAAAAGAATAGCAAATTAGAGCCGTGGTAATAGACTAGATAATATCGTTCTTCTCCACAAAATAATAAGCAGATGGCATCCATGTTTTGATCATCTTCGATGGCTATTTCCCTTTCCCCGACAACTCCACCAAGACATGCCGACTAATGTGACTTGGGTGGATATCAGCCGCCACTCGGAAAGACAACACACCAGAACTTTGACCATTCCACAATCATATGATAGTGCAGCACCTTGCATAGGACCGAACTAGCCATTACTATGGTCTAATGCTGTTCTTGAACCACATTGTTACCTCTGGAGTAGTAGATCCATGATCTGTCGGGCCGACTGGTCAGATAATGTAAAGTATCTTGGTGTGTTTACAACGTAAGGGGTACGGCCATGTAGAGTTCAAAGGTAAACAACAAAACAAGAATAATACGATTTCCCCTCAGCAACAGGATACATCACCATTACTCACCATTTAACTATTCCCCGCCGTTGATAGGCGCCCGGGCATGTGATGCCCCGGAACAACAGTTGATCCGTTCCACTGGCTCGGAGCTCCGGCCGCCTTCAAAGGCAAAAAGTCCCCCAGGATCGCACGACTCCCAACATCCATCCCCCCTGATGTCTTTACCATCCATCCACCATGAAGTTCTTCGAGAATAAATTCACCTACGACTACTCCTTCCCTGCTGTCTCTCTCGCCTACTTCCTCCGCTACCCAAACCCCTACTCTCGCCATGTCCTCACTACCGACGTGATCGAACGCCGTGTCGACCCCGACACGCAGCGCCTTCACACCACCCGGCTGCACTTGAAGAAATCAAAGATCCCGTCTGGTATCCTCAAATTGCTGCCCAAGGGAATGGGTGGCTCCGATAACTCCGGCCAGAGCTATATCTTGGAGACCACCGTGGTCGACCCAAATGAGGGCTGGATGAAGACTGAATCGCGCAACATGGAGTGGACTGGTATTCTGAGCGTGGTTGAAAAGCAGCATTACCAGCGCCACCATGCTGAAGAGGAAGCCCGCGCTCTCGATGGGTTGTCCATCGATAAGAACAGCGAGCAGACTACTGTCCGGACCACCGTGACATTCAAGTCTCGACTCGGTCAGGGAAAGCTGCTTGGGCGGAAAAAGACGGATGCTACTCCAGGCCATGCCGATGCGGAAGAGGAGGCCCCCAAGAAGGGATTCTTCTCCTCACTGTCCACCGCCGGCATCCAGCGAACTATCGAGTTGATCGGAGTGAGTCGGACCCGCGATGCGGTGCTGAAGAGCAAGGAAGGAATGAACGTGGTTCTGGAGCGCCTGCGTAAGGGTGGCATCGTGGGCGTCCTGGAAGGCATGCGCAAAGACCGCGAGTTGGCGTTCGGGCCTGATGGGACCTGGAAGCGTGTGTTGTTAAATGGAAGTGGGCTCAAGGATCGGGCTATCGAGGACGACGATAACTAAGTCCCGGCTACGACATTCGCTCATTTTTGTCGTTTCCTGGGTATTGACACCTCTCCCCTGCATTTTTGTTTTCAAGCGTGGAGTTCTGGAGTTCTATGGGCATCTTTGACGGAAACTCTCCTATGACATCTCTTTTTCTGCTGTGTTGGATTCTGGTTTACTGTGCATTGGCCAATCGTGTTCTGTATCGAGGCATTTGCTTACTAGCTTGTATATTATGAAGCTGCGGTGGAAGGCTGGAACGAAGTGACGCTCAAATTACGAGCATTCTGTATCATAACCAAACTATCAATCTATCCGATCGAAATTTATTGCTCACACGAACACCTTCCAAGTTGAATGCATATCCCCAGGTTTCCATTCGAAGTATTTTGGTCACCTGATTTTGGTCTCGTGCATCTCTGCCATACTTGGAAAGAACGAGCCCTCATCTAAAAGGTGTGGGCATGGAAGCTTGGAAGTGAAGCGACGGTCTCTCTGTTTGGCAGTCTCGCGTCATGGCCGCTTTGTCTGCGACTTGTCTCACTGTTGGTATCAAGACATGACTTTCATCTCTCGCTAACCAAGCATTCGATACCGTTGGCCATATCGTCGAAACAAACAAAGCACTACTTACCACCATATACTTGTACCATCTCATCTATTGACCACACAAAATTACAGTACCAACAGCATGGAACTCGCGGTGAATGCTCTGCAGAACTCGCAAGTGCCAGAGAGCCAGGATCCCAAGAGTCTCCCCGATGAACTTGCCTTGCTTACTCGCGACGGGTTCCCGTTTTTCTTGCCAATACCGAAAGACGGTGACGATCTTGAAACAACCGCTCGGAAGGTACAAATTCTGGCCAGCGTGATATCCAGTGGTGGCAACTTGTCAGTGGGCCCCGGTCATGTATCTACACCAAAGCAAAAGCAGACTGCAGAGGAGTTTGGCAGGGAACGAATGACGAGCCCAGAGACAACTCAGTATGAGGCGTGGAAGATGGGCATCATCAAGCTACCTGAATTGGATTGGTACAACAACCAAGTACCTGTGCCTCCAGAGGCCATGCAGACATTCTCACGACGTGCCATTGCCATGGATATTATCTGGCAACGACGGGGCATGGCCCCAGAGCATGCGGCCTGGATCACCATCAACATGCCGTTCCTTTTGCCGCTTGTCAAAGCAGTCACGAAAATCCTGAGGGCTGAAGAACACTTGCAACGGACCCAACGACATGCACGACTGACCGATGGCGATATCGCTGAGATTGAAATGCTGCAGCTCGTCAACGCTGCTGCAGAAGACAACGTGACACGCGTGAGAGAGCGGCTGCGCACACTGATCGACTCCATCCACAGGTCACAGGCCGTGCTGAAGAACCGGATTAGTATGCTTGATAGTTGAAGGCCGGTCGCTTTTTCAACCGCTATAAGACATGATTGATGAGAAATGATGACTCTTTTTGTACCATGATCATCACGAAAGTATCAGCGGCTCTGAAGATTAGTTCCTTCAGAACCAAAACTTCGCCTTTTTCGTATTCTTGGCAGCCCTATAACCCATGCCTCATCTCCCAACAATTTGCATCGGCGAACACGGGATCCCGATGTCCTAATGGCGCCAAGCAGCCAAGGCGCCGAGAAGACCTCAAATTGCCGACGATACCCATTGGCCTCGGTGAAGTGCCTAATAGATCCTAATAGATCCATCTCACTTCTCCACCGAGAACCCATTTCCGAAAGACACCAATGAGAAGGGCATATGTGACACCCCCAAGACCAATCTTATGACACTGAGTGCATCTCACAAGGACTCCCTGTCGGAATGCTCCGATTCAACCTGGGGGATTCAGGCCTGGATATGACGTCAGAGGATTTACAAGCCCGTCGGATCCCTGGTGATAGGATGATCAGCGTCTCAGATCTGATACCGTAGTGGTATGGACCAGAGTGTTTTTCGGGGCTCCTGCATATGCAGCGACATCTCCGTACATACACCGCACCCACGCAAAGCCACCGGTGTCCCATGTAACCCGGACATTTCCCACAGACTCCGTGCACGAAAGAGGTAACAAAAATGGGGTTCTCCGGTGCTAGGGTCCAGTATTGCGCTAGTCCGAGGCGACAAGGGGTCCGCTCTATTATCGGGGCTCCGAAAGATGGAAACCTTCCGTCCGCCATAGCGCAAATGTTGTTCCCCCGTCCTATCATTTCAACGCAAATTATCTGCAATCAGCAACTCATGTCCAACCCACCGTATCAAGAGACCCCAGAGATAGTGATATACAAATCAGGGTTCCAACGCCACACAGGAAGGGGGGAGCCAACAAGGGTCCTTCCATGACCGAACGGGCGCGCTAGCGAGGTCGGGACCCACGCGCGCCAGACCCCAAAGTCCCTCATTGACCGAGAATGTGGACAATGGCGAGCGCTAAGTGGCCGTGCCCTGGCCAACTCTGCAACCCAGGCTGTGATTCGCGCCTGGATTTTCCCGTTTTGTTGCTCGCTATGCGGGGCCTTGGATTTAGTGCGTTAGCAGCCATGACGAGGAGAAAGATTCCAGCGTCCGCGAAACAATGCTGGGACGGCCTGCGGGTGACCTCCGTGAATGCTACAGTAGATTGCTGCAGGGACGAGTTCCACCTTAGCGAAGTACCCCCGAAGCAGCCGCGCTCCCTGTGTTTCACCGGCATCTCACGCAGTGTGCGAGAACGGATGGGAATGCACTACTAATCTATTTCCATCTTGCGCTGTGGCCCCCCTTCTCTTCCTTTTTGGGTCTTGCTTCTCCTTCCCTGGTTTTGCTTCCCGGAAGCCCCGTTTTGCCTACTGGAACAAGTCCTTCTTCCACTCGACCACCATTAGCCAAGACCCTTTTGTCTTCTACCCGATCACAGAGTGGGCTCGGCGGCTGGATTTCCTTGGTCTGACTCGCCGTTGTGCCGCCCGTTGATGTGTTAATGGGTCCTTAGGATCGGGTTCGGCCACTGGATATTATCATCCTCTCCTGCCCCTCTGATCCTACCTTCGAATTTCCCCAGCTATCGGACGATGAGCATGAGAATCGTGACCTTGCCCGCCAGCTTCTCTCTTCCACGCGCGTTCGAGGGCCCTCGGCGGTCGCTTTTGTGGACATAACAGCTCACTCTTCTCATTCAACCATGGCTTCTAGTTCGGGGCTGAGCCCGGTCGCCCGGCCCTGGGTATTGCTCCTGGTTCTGGCCCTGCTGCAGTGCAGCTCGGCTCAGTTCTGCTCTTTCTGGAATAACGGCTGCATCGACCCTCTCGCTCAAACCGCCGTGAGCTTCAACTTCCAGCCTCTCTTCACCGACCCTATCTACCTCTACTACGGCTTCGACGCGAGTTCTTCAGGAAAGGGCGAGGGTCCCATGACAAAAACTGGGTTCTGGCTTCGGTATGAGGATCGTCACGTCAACAAGGACGCCATCGAACATAACAAGACTTCGGAGGTTGCGCTCCGTGTCGGCAATATGACTGCCACGCCGTCGGGAACCCACAATGGATGTGATGGTATCTGGGGCTTTGAGTGCTCGAACGAGCTCAAGTCTGCCGTGCAGCACTCCATGTTTCACCTCGCTTCGTCGGGCTTTTACTACGATCGACCTCTTCAGAAGACTCTAGAACACATGTTGTTGAGTCCGCCTGACCTTCCTCATTGCGGGCCGTTTGTGCTTGATGTCGCCACGATTCCAGTTCAAGGTTTGTTTTTGTTCATTCGAGGCTTAGTGTCACGCCGACAACATACTAACCACTTCTTATCTAGACTTTGCCAAAGAAGGAACCGACCAGAATGTCACCGTGATGCCCTCAGGTTCTGGCAGTCACCCTTGGCAGGTATGGTACCTCGATGACATGACAGCTCACCAACAAGCTTCCCAAGTCGCCGTTGGGATAATCACTCGTGGCCCGACGTACGACAGTCCGCCACCAATCTCCCCCGATGAAATCCAGGTTGAGCTTGTGTGTCTCCAGGCTCCACAGAGTCCGCCGAGTGGATCATCAAAGGGTCACGATTGAAACCTCTCCTAGTGATGGTCATCGAACCGTCCATTGATTTCTTACCTCTCTACCTAATACCGCCACACCGGATACACTCGTTGAAACACGTCCCTCGTCCGGAAGACACGCGATGGAGTCAAATGGCACAATCGTCCGGCCCCTATGTCGCTGGGGTAGCCTCTACCTGGCATTGATCGATATCTTTCGTGATAATTCCAGGCACCTCATAACAGACAACAGGTCATTGATACATTCATTGTCGCCTTCTATCGTAGCCTATCACGGGCTATATACATGGGCAAATGGACCAAGGAGCATCCATACTCAGAATTCCATCATGGATCGGGCAACACTACCAAATGGTGTTTATCAACACCTATACGAGAACCGGCACTGCCGCCACCGTCGAAGACAATCTCACAAAGTCGGCCAGCTATTCTCGGCAGGCTTCAAATTTCCCGGTCCACGGAAATCCTCCAAAATGTTGGCCTGCTCACTCAGAATGACACGATCTGTCTGAATCCCGATCTTCGCAAGTCCGCGCCACCGCTCAAAATCTTCCGGGTTCCGCTTATCGCCATGCGCATCCTTGGCCTTCTCCCAATGTCCCTTAGAGAAACCAAGCATGGTAGTGATCCGTCGCTGCGGGATGTCGTACACGAGAGAGCACATCGTTCCCGTCTCTTCCAGCCAGTTACACTGCCACAACTCCCCGGCTCGGATGCATTGGTACTCCACCGCCTGGAAGTTGATTCGGCCAGCCATTGGCCCGCCATGAATGGCGTAGTTGATGCGATCTTCGTTTTGGAACCACATCTCATACCGCCACTTCTGGGGGGTGCCCTGTTCGTCTTGCGCGTCATAGTCATAGATCAGATGTCGATCTCGCAGGTCTGCGTCAAAGGTTGAACCTTTCAAAGATGGACGGACGGGCATTATGTGCACTGGACTGGCTTGGTGTTGGATATCGGGGTTTTCGTCGGGGTAGAAAAGTCGTTAAATATAGACTCAACAGAATCCTTCGGGATATTCTCAATTGATCTTGCAATTCGGACACGTAGCGAGGTAGAGTGCAGTCTCTTTTTTTATCAGAGCGCCTTCCAGAGTTATGTTTTCTCAGGGTGCCGAGGTCGATTGTGGGCCCATTCGAAGACGCCATGCAACATAAGCGCGAACGCTGTCCAGGATTTCGCGCTGCATCATAAATCCTGCTTTCATCGTTGATCCACCTGGAGATATGTGGTGGAGTAAGTCCGGAGTGGTCGGTGATATCATGACTTTGAGTTGAACTTCAATGTTGTTCGCCCACGTCCCAGATCAGGCTAGTTTATGTTTAGCGTTGATAGACGGTCTATATTTAATGGCTGATTGTCAAATGGCCTTGATACCACAGCCTCCGTACTTGCGGTGAACAGTTGCACATAAATCATGTAACCCCGGAAGCCCGGGAATTTTACGTTCCTGTACAGACGTAAGGTGACGGTAGATGCTGGGATATACCCGAGACAATCGAGTAGCGCTGATCCTCAAGGCTTATTCCCAGATCTTGGGACGTTGGTTCGGTTTATCTTTACTCTATTTGTGTGTTGGGGATCCGAGCTACTCTGAGACACCGCCAGTGTTTACCCAGGGACTCAAAATCACACCTAATACATCTCGCATTATGTATGAGCTTCAATGTCAGTTCCTTACTCTCTTCTAGCGGCGGCTTGGTCTATATAAATGTGGAGGATCCAGGTATAATCGGTCAACTTAAATCTTATCGTACTCTATCTCAGAGTAGATTGTCAGATACCTGGAAACAACCTCTAATATAATTTCTGGATTCCACTTGGTTTTACTTCCCCTTGCCCAAAGCAATTCTGATATGGATCGGGAAGTAAGCATTGATCAATGCCGCTGTCGCCAATGTGACCGAGATCATCAAGTCAACTGACAAAGGCGGCCCTTGTGCGAAATACAAAAAGGCCCTGGTTGCAGCCAAGCCTACTGCATTGTTCACTCCTCTCCTGGTGCCAGATGCCATGGTCAACTTGTGCAAGACCTTTGGCTTCTACACCAATGAGACCTGCGAGGAAAACTTCTTGACACAAGATTTCGGTGCCACCTGGGCGCAGGTGCTCGCTCTTGCCGAGGATGGTGACTATATCTGCCATACACTCGGGCCTGAATTTTGTCCTGGACCCCTGACTCGTCCTTCGGATACCTCCAGGCTGTTTCCTAGGCCCAAGCCAGAGCATGTTGAAATCCCCGAGGCGACTGAGAAGCGCGTGAAGGTGCTTCACATCAATCGGTTCGGAAGCGGATTGCACGTCTGGCTTGTGTTGTCGTTCTGACAACTTCGATAACCATTCAAGTAGTAGCAAGGCTCTTCATCTCGCTTCGCTTTATGCGTACTTCAAATGCGATGCCCCGTACGATCTGGCCCTAGCAGCCTTGCAGGCTGTTGGTCTTTGACCGGTACCAGCAAGGGTGCTTGTGGGGGCTCCCTAGCACAGTCCATTTATACTGGGGATATTGCTTCGCGCGACCCTGAGTTGCAAATGTCCCGGGACTACTTAGAGTAACAGAGACAATTGTCTTCGGCATGTTCAAGGACTATCTCTCGGTGCCTGTTTTCGTCGCTCTGGGAAATCATGACTCGAGTCCAGCAAAAATCGACGCCCTAGACAGGTTCTCTGGACGGTTGGGGGTTCAGCTCAGTTGGAACTGCAAGCAATTGTCCAGCTTGTGGCAGCACGAAGGGTGGATCAGTCATGAGACTGCAGAGCAAGCACGAACCCATTATGGTGGCTACTCAGTCAATACGCACTTTGAACTCCGTATCATTTCCTTCAATAATGGTGAGTAATTCTTCAGCTGGGATTTTGGTCTGGGCAGCTAAGTTTGCAACCTTCCTTCCGTGTTGCTATGATATTCAAGGCTGCCCAAGTGGAAGTTGATATATATAAAATCAGCCAGCTCTGACTGACTAAACCCGTTCCACACGCCTTCCAACTTTGAAAGGTTCATGGAGGTAATTTTCCAAGATATCTGTAATGTAATTGATGTGGAATTATCAGCATGCTTCTTATCACCCATGCCACCATCCAGGGATGGCGTTGAAACTGTTAGTTGTTGGATGTCTTAAAAAGAGGGCTGTTTCTAATGGCTCATACCGATTGATGGTAGCAAGTAGACCAATTTTGGCAAACTCTATCATACAAGCGGGTTCCATAACTCAGTTGGTTAGAGTGTGGTGCTAATAACGCCAAAGTCGAGGGTTCGACCCCCTCTGGAACCACTTCTTTTTGTAAATTCTTGTTGCAACCCTTCCTTTTTTTTTGGCCTTTTGCGTTCGTTTCTTTTCTTCTACTGGTCCGAACTCTAAGTGTTCATCCCCGCAAAGTATCATTATTGACCAGACTATACCCGTTCCACTGAAGTGCGTGTGCATACCCCTGCATCCATTCTCTGTTCCAAGTTTTCTGAAGAATGCATGAAAAAATGGGAATACGATGAGCAGGCAGAAGTTCAGCAAAAAGTCACCTAGCAAAACCGTTTAGAGATGGGAGAAAGGGTCGCCCCCAACCGCAAATCATCAGTGGGGTTCAAGTGTCACCTCGGGTTTTGAAGTTGAGTCGCAGAGCGCAAGAATCTGTGCGCACCGAGACTCATTTGTCATTGACCAAGCTCCGTCTGCAGCTAGGCGGAATCCAGATCAAACCCCCTGCCCCAATCACTCGATCGGTGTTGGTGCCGCCGGCTCCCGGGCGCGTCGATGCATGACGTAGCGACTCGTTCCCAATAGCTTTTTCTATGTCATGACGTCCCTCCGGGCCTTCCGCGATTTAATGCCCAAGCCGCCCTAAAGCTCAGCAGTAACGCTGTCTAACCATCGTATCTTGTTACTCAACTTCATCCTTTTACCAAGCCCCTTTCTTCACATACTCTACCTCATCTTACCGTCCAGAAATTCCAGGAACCAGTCAAAATGGGTTTGCGGGGTGTTCAGTTGGGTCTTCGTGCCTGGGAGGTATGTGTCGCGTACGGGATACTCATAGATCTAGAGCTGATTAATGCCGTGTATAGTTTGTGTGGACTGTCATTGTCATGGCCCTCATCGGTAACATGCTCGCCTCGGCCTTTGCGGGCAACCCGGCCGCGGTCAACTACGCCATGTACACGGTGGCGTTCTCGATGTTTACACTCTTTTACCTGGTCCCGGCCTCTTGGAACCTGGACTGGGCCATCCACCCGATCTTCATGATCACACTGGATGTGCTGAACTGCATTTTCTTCTTCTGCGCCGCTATTGCGCTGGCTTCGAAGCTGACCTGCCATTCCTGCACCAACCAGGTATGCAAACCATTCGGCCAGTCTATAAATTGTCCATGGTTAATACATTTCTTAGCAATACCTCGCCCACAATGAGATTACCAACGGCGCCTTTAACATGACCAAGCGCTGCCGGGAGGCACAGGCGTCGACTGCCTTCCTGTGGTTCGGCTGGGCTGGTTACATGGGCTCGGTGATCATTTCAATCTTCACAGCCCGCGGCTCCACGGTGAGCACGCGTGGCCGCTCTGGCAGCCGTCGCCGCCCCAACATGGCCCAGGTCTAAGCTTGGACGCAACAAAATGACTATGGATTTGGTCGTGGGAGCTCCAGGGTGATCTTAGACCGTCTGGTTCACCTTGGAGAAGGACAATCGCCCGTTTCTAGGGATATGGGAGCTATTGTGTCTCTCACGACCGTGATCTACACCACGGCTTATGTTTGGAATGACGTTGGTAGGAAAGGGTTGGAAAAACGAGTGTACGATTGATGATCCTGCTTGGAATCGACTGCGTCGGTCTCCATGCTCGGGAAAAGGAAAACGATATTGGAAGTCTACGGATAATCTGCGACGAGTCGCATTTGGATACTTTTGTGCTATTACTATGTCATTATAATTGTTAATTTGGAGTTTGATACCGAATGTACCGCAATCTATTGTTAGATCGAGTGATTAGTAGCCGTGGACTTTTTCTCCTCTTAGGCGTATGGGTAATGGATAGGAGCTGCCATGCCGGAAATGGTGTCTGATTAGAAGTTGAAAGAATATGCAGAACAATGTAATTCTGTGAGTTTACCCTAGTCTGGATTCAAATAGTCTATAGTTCTCTGTAGCTCACTATGTGTAATAGAATAGCACAAGTAAACTGTTGTGCCGTGACCGTCGGACGCAGCGGCTGCGTACCTAAGCGCAGCGTTGACTCATAGGACATCGAACCGTGCGTCAAACACACATTTGCAAATCCACAGCTCATCAACTTCAAAGCTGTCAGGATATCTGAATACCTTCACTGACAGGTTTCAAAGCTAGGGCACTTACAGCGGGGCACCTCCCCTCTGCTCCACCCAAAGAATTTCTCCAGAGCTTGGATCCGCCACGGCTTCAACAACCCCCCCCGTTTCTCCATCCCTTTCCCTCCCACCATCAAAATGCCCATCAGGTGAGACTATCATTGTGATCATTGGGTTGACTGAATTTCGACTGACTGTTCCCAGCTACCTGATTCTGCTCTCCCGACAGGGCAAAGTGGTGCGTCCCCCGTCCTCGTGGCCCACCCCGATTCCCGATCCACCTGGCTTGAAGCCGACTAACAAATTTCTGCGCAGCGCCTTGCTAAGTGGTTCACTACTCTGTCTCCCAAGGAGAAGGCCAAGATCATCAAAGATGTGACTCAGCTGGTTCTGTCGCGCCGGACGCGCATGTGCAATTTCCTTGAATACAAAGGTGGCTTTCCCCCAGCACCATCGCAGACACTCCACTCATTTGCTGACCACTTGTACCTGCAGACTCGAAAGTCGTCTACCGTCGCTATGCTTCTCTCTTCTTCATCGCTGGCTGCTCGTCCACGGACAACGAACTGATCAACCTCGAGATCGTGCACCGCTACGTGGAGCAGATGGACAAATACTACGGGAACGTGTGCGAGCTAGATATCATCTTCAACTTCCAGAAGGCATACTTCATCCTGGATGAGTTGTTATTGGCGGGAGAGATGCAGGAAAGCAGCAAGAAGAACGTGCTACGGTGCATCAGCCAGCAGGACAGCTTGGAAGACATGGAGGTGAGTCGGATACAGTTCCATCCCCCCCCTATGCGATATACGGGTGTCTCCCACTGTGGATGTACATTCTTGTATACCGTTGGCTTTATTCCCCTTCCCCTATCAAACCCCCCCTCCCAGGTGCGGGCTAATGCTCTCCCCAGGTTGAGGAAGATGTGGTCACCAAGATCATGTAACGACGGAGCGACTCATTGTGCTTTAACTTTTGGCGTAGCGATGTTTTGTTTATATACTGATAATACCAACCTGCCATTTCAGGACGCAGATGATGTCTCTCGCAACTTGGCCGCAGTCGGGCTGTGACTGAACGAGTGATCCATGGATCGGGCCACTCGTGAGGTCAGTGCGCCTTCTCACTGGTGAACGGATGGACCACGTGACTGCAACCCCCTCTTATCGTGGCCTGGAGACGTTCTTGCGCCTGGCTGTGTCTTTGTGCCATTTCTATCATCTCCCTCTTTGATTCCTTGGACCCTCTTGATGCCTTTGATGCCCTACTGTAGCTGATTGTCTACATTTCCCTGCTTGCGGCTATCTCACGGTTATCGCCGATCGATCCCCCATCTCCGGCTCCGGCTCCGGCGCGACCACCCGCGTCATCTCATCATCGCTCAAGTCCAGCGCTTCTCTCATCTCTTCTCTCACCTTCGCAAAGTCGATAGAATACTTCCAAGAATTGACCACTTTAAGCGCTACCGATTACGGCCCTCACTGTTAGGATGAAGGTAGGTTGACATCCCGTGGTCGCCCTGGTGACACATCGCCCGTCTCTCTCCCCGGTCGGGTTTACTAAACCTCGCCCCCTTTAGTTTCTCCCTCTCCCGGAGTTTGAGGATGTCACAAGTTCTCTGAACTTCGATACCGCCGACTGCCATATCGTGGGTGGATGTGATCTGTACACGACCAAGGCTGCGCGATCCGACAGGAAGCTCTACAACCACATCGAACAATCGCTCGAAGCCCAGTATGAATCCATTCTTCGACTCTCTGCCTCTTTATCTCCGCCGAATGCCCACGAGGCCGCCGAAACCCTGAACCTATCGCGCTCCAGTCCCTTCGGGCCCCTGAGTGAGCACTCGAGTCGTCGCACCTTTGCATATCTCATTGCAACGCTCAATGCGAGCCATTCCGACTACGACTTCTCACATGTGCTGCGACCGACCGACTTCCGACGCGAGCGGCATCCGAAGCGCGTGATGAATACGATAAATTCAACCCTGTATAACCTGCGACCCCGCGAGTCCATCGATCTCTCTCCCTCATCTCCTGCAACCCTATCGGGGTCATACAATAGCAGCACCCCTGCCTGGGGCCCGAGGATGTGGAAGATCATGGATGAGCACATGTCGCTCAAGGAATGCTCGGTTTACTCGTACTCCCCGGAGGAGGATCCAGCCGACGCTGACGACGGAGCCATCTGGAGTCTGCATTACTTCTGGTTCAACCCTCTACGGAAGCGCGTGTGCTATATCTACTTGCGTGCAATCCCAATCCTGAGCCATTCACCCCCGGAGGATAGTGAGATGGCCCTGACGCCTACCGGCAAGCGGGCGTTCGACGATGGATATTTGACTCCCGATCTCAGTTCCAGCAAGCGTGCCCGCTACTGGCTTGGAAGTCGGGCGGCGTCCTCGCTCCGTCACGAGGAAAGCGACGATGATGATATAGACGACCAGCCATCACGCCCTGTGATCGATGACGAGGACCAATTCATGCTCAGCGACGAGGAGATCCGGTCGCGCTCACACAGTAAGGGGATGGTGAGGGCAATGAGTGAGGAGATTGCGGATGCCATGGAGGTTTAACCGTTTTCAGCTTGAGTTACTTTTCGATTGTTTTTTTTCTCTTCCCCGTTGATCGGTGATTCTTTATTAATAGCCGGAGGCGTTCGGTGTGATATTGAGGGGCTTGTGGCGCAATTCAACCTGCATATGTTTTCTGTCGCGGGCATTGAGGGACGAGACTGACACGGAACGACGCCTCGATCTTATCTTCAGTTCTGCTCTGTTTATACCGCTTAATGATATACCTAACTGCCATGTTTTCATCAACCCAATGCATCATATACGCTGTAGTACCTAGGTAACTGGGCACAGAGCTTTTTTTCAGCACTGGCCGTCTATCTGAGATCCTAAATGGTAAGTAAGCACTATTGTAAAAGTATCAATCTAACATCAGGTACTTGTACTCGATGGACAGGATGTCCTCATAAATAGTGTCTGTCGCTCAACGGGTTTGCACTTTGGATTCTCAGAACATGAACAACTGCATGAATCTTTTAATAGCATGTCTCTTGTTACTCAACATAACTTCCAGTAGAGATAACCCGGCAGATGCATTGATGTACTACAGTACGCAGTACATGGCGTATAGATCGGAGGTGGCCCGTGCACAGATGGGGAAAGCTGGTCCATTCTCGTCCCCTTCACTTCGTCCTCCACTCTCACCAGTCCATTGATCCCACCGTTGACCGCTAATCATGGCCGACGAAGAGGAGCGCGTGAAGGCCGAGAAGTTGGCTGCGGCCAAGAAGAGAGTATGACCTGCCCCGTCCTCATGACGGCGAACTTCCGTTGCTAACAGGTACCGTGTTTTGTAGGTGGCCCAGCTCCAGAAACAGAAGAAAAAGGCCAACAAGAAGGCCTCGAGCGCTACATATACACCCAAAGATGCCGAAGCCACCAAAGAGGCTGACCTCACCGAAGAACCTGCGGCTGAACCTGCCACCGAGACTCCATCGCCAGAGGCCCCCGCCGAGGAGAAGCCGCAGGAGGATACAGCGGTAGAGAGCGCCGGTCCAGAGCAAGCGGAAGAACAAGAACAGCCCGAAAAATCCGATGCGCTTGCCGAGTCTCCTGTTGAACCCATGCCCCCTGCCCCCACCTCACCTGGTCCTGAGACGGAGGCGCAACCTGCCCGACTAGATACCCCACGAGCCGGCCATGGCCGCCAGCCCTCGCTATCGATCCAGTCGAAGATGCGCTCATCATCATTCCGCAAGACTTCCGTGTCGCAAGGCAGCGTTTCCCCTTCTCCGTCCTCGGCTCTCAAGTCCCCTCCGCAATCCCTCCCACCCCTGACCGGGGATGGAGACTCGGTCCATGAAGTATTCCAGAAACAGTCGACGCGGATTAGCGAGCTGGAGAAGGATAATAAGCGCATGGAGAAGGAGCTAGCAGATGCGACGAGCCGCTGGCGCAAGACGGAGGATCAATTGGAGGATCTGCGCGAGACAAGTGTGGATTTGCCGGAGCTGAGAGAGCAGTTGAAGAAGGCCGAGGAGAAGGCGGCGAGCATTGAGACATTGGTAAGCATGCCCATGTTCTTCTGGATATGTGATACAGTCTGACCCCATTGAACAGAAAGAGGAAATCGCTTCGCTACAGCGGCAAAATTCGCAGCTCCAGTCCCGGTCAAACCGGAACAATGTCAGTTCCTCTACACCAGGGTCATCGGATTCGCCACCGGCAGACCTTGTGCGTCAGTTAGAGTCTAAGTCTGCCACTATTGAGGCTATGGAATTGGAAATTTCCAATCTACGAGCACAGGTCACCTCGCAGTCATCCTCCAATGAGGCGCATGAGAGCCAGCTTGCTGCACTAGAAGCGAAAGTCTCAAATAGCCAGGCGGCGCTTGAGCACGCTCAGCGTGAACTGGCAGACTCGAAGCAAGCACTGACGCGCGCATCCGAGAAGGCCGTCAAGGAAGGGGTGAACAAGACGTCAACCGAGACCCTGATCAAGACGCTGCAGCGTGAAATCGAAGAACTCAAAAAGGAGAAGAGTGAGGCTGATAAGAAGATCGAAACCTTTGATAAGAAGCTCCAGGCTATGGCAAACCTGCACAAAGAATCCGAGAGCCGACACCAAGCCCGTCTCCGCGAGAGCGAAAAGATCGAAAAGGAAACCGCCGTCATGCGTAAGAAGCTAGCCAGCATCGAAAACGAGAACCTGCGGCTCCGCGAAGAGCGTGACCGCATTCGCAAGCGCGAGGCTGGCGGCGGCGCAGACGACGAAGCCCTCGACGAACTCGAAGACGAGGAGCGACAGCGCCTTGAGCGCCGCATCCGCGAGCTGGAGGGCGAGAACTTTGATCTGCGCCGTGGAGCCTGGCAAGAGAAACGCCAGGAGCTGGCTGGTCAACAGTATCACGAGGAGGGAGCTGAGTCTGTCGGTGATGCCGGTGCCAATGCCTTCGACGACGTCGACCTTGTCGGTGGACGTCCCGACCATGCCCGTCGCCGTAGTATGGCCACCCAGCACCACTCTTCCTTCTCGACTGTTCTGTCCAGCGGCTTTGCTGCCTTTACGGGCGGTGGTGGTAACCGCTCCCGCGCTGGCTCATCCAATCCGCCCCATCCGCACGGCCCTGCTACGCGTGGCAGTCTCGAGTTGTTGTCCGAAGAGAACTTCGAAGATGAATTTGACGAGGCTGAGTTCGCGCGCGCCCAGGCAGAGGAAGAAGCCCGCAAGCGTGTCGAGTGGATGCGCGATATTAAGCGTAAGCTACGCGATTGGGAGAAGTGGCGCTTAGATCTAGTTGATAGTCGGGCTGGCGCCGAGGGCGCTGGTGTTGGCATGGGTGAGATCTTCGAGGTCTGAGATTTGGTTTGCACAGATCCTCGTCCTCTTGGGCGGGTTGGGCATTGGGGGTGGCGCTTGATGATATATACCATGATCTTGTCTTCAATACAACTTCTGTCTGCATGCAATAGTCATCCACTAGGATTCGGTTCAAAACATTAAATGTCGAGGATGACAAGATATCTCCGAGCCCTGTAGATGAACCTGATGATATGCAATACATTCGGGATACTGCTGTGTACACAACTATACAAAACAACACTAGACGGAGACAAGTTAACCCTGAGAAACAAAATGCATTCAAAAACAAATAAACTCCTCAATCCGAATAATGCTTTCCCGTCAAAACACCCTCCGTCTGCCTCCGTCTCTTAACCAGGATCTCGCCAACCCATCCCGAAATCTGATAAATCCAACCACCAGTAACGAGCACACCCGAAACAGTGTTGATGACCCTGATAACTAGAGCCAAGAACCCACTCCGCTCCTCGCTGATAAGCAACATGATCGGCTCGATGTTGTATTTGAAGAAGATTCCCGGGACAAGCATCGGCGTCTCGGGGATCGGGCCACTCTGGCTGGTTGCTGCGTACTGATTCGTGAAGATAGTGTTCCGTCCAGATCGTGTGTTAGAAGTGTATGCGTCGAGTGCGTTTTTGCCATTGGTATAGAGGGTCGGCACGACGGAGAGGAAGTACTGGAATTTGTAGTAGTGGGCGCTGGTCTCGGCGATAGTTTTGTCCAGAGGGTTGAGCAGACTTGGGTAGTGAGGGCCGAAGGACAATTCGGTAATCATATGCGTGAAATTGAATGCTGTGAAGGACTTGTTAGTACAATTCCGGGGCCTGTATAGGACGGAATGGAGTCAAAACATACCGGAATGATCCAAATGCGTCCCCATCTCTCTATACCCATGTCCCCTGGCCGTAATGTGGAAATCACCCTGCACCTTGTTCCCCTCCAAACTACCATAAATGCGACAAGAGTCCGCGACCTCACCCCAGCGCATACGCGGCCCCTTGGCAAACTTGCGTCTGGAATTGCGGCGTACCTCCCCAATAACATGGTGCACGTGAGCGTCCGCCTCCTGCGCACTGAGTCTGTCATCGTCCTCATGGCTGAGCGTTTGGTACTCGTGCGCACCGCCGTGGGTCTCGTAGTTACGCTTCTGCATCCATAGCTGCCAGCTCGTTTCTTCGCGCTTGAGGAGGTCCCCCGCGAGGACGCGGTCGCCGGCTGCGTCTTGGATGTTTATGCGGAGGGTGTCGCAGGGCATATTTACGACGATATCGAGGTTGAGTTGGAGGTCGTGGGACACGCCCTTTTCAACGCTGAAGTGGTGGTGTTCATTGCCGCGCCACCATGTTTTGAACTCGGAGAAGCTGAACAGCGTGCAGACGAGCAGGATAAGGACGGTCCATTGGCCACCGCGGTGGCTTGGAGTTGTATAGGAGGCTTTTGTCTTGGCTGAAAGAGGCGATTGTTAGTTGGTACGGTCTTCGAATGGTTCTGTTGTGTTCAATTGAGCGGGAGTGGGCTCGAGAGCTGGCGCTGGACTCACGGAAAGCGTCAAAGGCCTTTACCCCCGAGACGCCAGACTTTTCCCCGAAGGTGTCCTCATTGAGGCCCTTATTGTCGAAGCCATTCATTGCGAGTGCAGGGCGGGCGACATGAAGGAGTTGGAGATTGAAAGTCGGGAGTGGAGTAAACGCGATAAGGCGATGAGGCCAAGTAAGCCGATACGCGGCCAGTTGACCCACTTATACTGACTGCACTACACTACAACTATGCAGGTAGACCTGGACCTATGTTTATGATTATGGTATGCAAATAATAGTCAATTGATGGCTAAGAGCTCTATAGAGCACTCATCATAAAGCTCTCACGCGAGAGATGCAAGCGATAAAAATGTACAACAGGATGTAAAGCCTGGGAAGTCGTGAGTATAGAATGAGGGACATCAGCGAAAGACATGGAACGTGGAACATGGACGGAAAAACCCCTTCACAAAAATCATATCAGGACCCAGATGCAAATGCTGTCAACGAACATAAAGGGTATAGGATGGATGCCGTCCCTGTTTTCATCTCCTGGGTTCACCGAACCGGAGCAACAAATGCCGACATGACAAACCACCTGATGCATGAGAAAAAGAAGAGAAGAACAAAATTATGATTACAGCGCTGGGGAAGAACAAGACGAAATAGACCTTACTTGGTCCTCTGTGGTTGGTCAGCGTTCTGAGCTTTTTGGGGTCGTGTCGACGCCGGCTTAACTCACTAAGCTGGTCGCAGCCGCCGCCGTCGCGAGATCGGGTTTCCCACTAATGCTTCGTGCTGAGGCACGGGGCAAAGCAGTTCCGGACGTGCTGGTGAGGTTGTTGGACGATCGCTTGACGGGGCTGGACGGCGGAAGACCGCTGACGGTTGACTGGCGTTTTCCGCCCTTGACCGGGGAATTGCCCGAGGCATCACGAAGACGGCCCGATGAACCACTCTTCAGGTTATTGCCGGGAGGCTCGGGAAGTGGACGCGTGTTGGAGCTGCTGGCGCCCCGCTTGGAGGGCGAGTTCATCGCAGCGTACATCCGAGGCCGAGAATGCAATTTGATGCCCGTAATAAACTCGTGCTTCAGGGCGTCGTGAGGAGTCAGTCGACGAGCAGGATCCCAGCGGAGACAACGGGTGAGGAAGTCGAGGAAAGCTTCATCATCACATCTGATGGCTTGCCGGAGTTCCTTGGAGCTTGGACGACGACGACGTCCCTTGGACGAGACGGTCAGGCGAGGCTTGCCTAGAGAATCAAAGAACAGCTTCTTGCGAGTGCTCTTCTCGATCAAATGCTTCTCCGGGGGTCCAAACACTTCCATAATGCAGGCTAGTTGTTCCTGCTCGTTCTCACCAGGGAAGATGGGATACCCTGTGAAAAGCTCGGCCAGGATACATCCGAGACTCCACATGTCGATGGGCATGCCGTAAGACATTCCAAGAATGACTTCTGGGGAACGGTAGAAACGACTCTGGATGTAGGTGTACACCTTTTCGTTCTCGAAGCAGCTCGATCCGAAGTCAATCACTCGGATCTCTGAATTCAAGGGATGGACGAGAAGAATGTTCTCCGGCTTCAGATCACAGTGGATGACCTTCTTGGCGTGCAACAAGACCAAACTAGTAAGCATCTGCTTGGTAAACCGGCGAATGAGCTTGAGTGAGAAGCCCTTGAAGTCGTGCGCCTTGATGAACTCGTACAAGTTCATGCCGAGGAGTTCGGTCGAGATACAGAGATGGCCACGGAAATAGAAGCTCTGGGTGAAGTTGACCACGCTGTGTCGGTGGTCGGGATCCCACTCCTTCAACTTTGTCAGGAGATTAACCTCGATTAAAGCCTGCTGATGAAACCGCTTCTTGTTGCGAATAATCTTGATCGCAACCAAAGCACCAGTCTTATGATCAACACAACGCACGACCTGGCCGAAACTTCCCTTGCCGAGAACATTGACAACCTCATAGCGGTAGGCCAAATGGTCGCCTATCACGATGTTGTAATCACCCCGATCATCGTCGTAGCCAAAGTTGGCTGCGCCCGAGTGGAGATCGCCGATGTGCTTCTTGGCGTTTTGTGTGCCACAGAAGAAAATATCCCGATAGTCAATTATCTCGCCGCGCTCAAAGATGTTCAAGTTTGCCATCTTCAAAGCCTGGGCAGGGCTGACACGATCCTTCGGCCCTGATTTGCGACGCAGTTCATCCAATTCTCTCGCTGCAGTCTCAAAGTCCTTGCGCTTAGATCCCAGTCTCCTCATTTCCTCGTCAGCAATTACCACATCTGCATCGGCATTAACATCGGCCGACCGAGGAGAAGCAGCAGCGCTAGATCGAGCAGAGTTGATGATCTTATGGACTGGAGATATGTAGGCGCTGGAAGTACGGTTCTGAGAATGTTCGCTTCCACCGGACTCATTTGAAGTAGAAGGTTCCAAATGTAGGCTCCGATCACTGCTGACGCTGGGCTTCCGGTTGGCAGACTGCTTTGAGATGCTTGACACAGACGATTGCCGCCGAGGCCTGAGGAATGAAGACTTGACAGTAGGACTGGTCGATGGAATAGAAGACAAATTGTTCCACGTGGCAGATGCAGGAAGTTTGGGCGGCGGCATATGATCGTACTTGGCTGCATCGGTATCGACCTCGGACGACTTAGCAGCCTTGGAGTTGCGGCGAATACGGGTCACAATCAATCGCTCCTTCGGATTAGAACTAGGCACAGGACCACTTTCTGGCTCCGATGGTGTCGAGATCTGACTTAGTCTTTCCACAGCGGGTGTGAAAACGGCACTCTGCGTTTGAGGTCGCGGACCCGTCAATTTGTATGACTGAGAGGCTCGGTTGGAATAGTCCCCGCTAGCCTGGTAGCGGAGCGAAGTAAACTCGGAGCTGCTCTTCGGTAGCGTGTATGATGCGTAGGGTGAGATGTTGCGAGTGCCATTGGGTGTTTCAAAAGCACTGGTACTGCTGGCAGTACGCAGTGCTGCCGTAGAGGTAGAGCTCAACGCGAAATGCGATGTGCTACTCCGTACTTGATTGGTAGAACTTGTATCTTCGTCGTCACGATAAGCCCAGAAGTTGGCCTTCGACGCAGTCATTGGAGTGCTAGGCGTCTTTGAGGTGATTTGGTTGGATGGGGTGTATGATTTGCGTTCCTCAGCTTCCCTGTCCCTCAACGCCTCAATCTTTGTAGTCATCGGAGTGCCCAGGGGCAGCAGGTTCAATGGCGGTAGCTTCAACGGTTGCAGACCCTTGCGACCAATTATCGTTGAAGTCCGGGTACGCGACTCGGGAGTCTTTGCAACCTGCCCAGGGCAGTAATCACCATTCTCGGTGGTACCGGCCAGGGCATCCGAGTCCACATCACGTGAAATGTTAAGAAGACTGATGTCTACCGGCAAACTAGACTTCCTTGGCGCCGGGAATACAGGCGCGTCAAGCTCACCCTTGGGCGATTCATAGGCCTTGGGGATTGCGGGAACTGGCGGAACCTCCTCTCCCGTGGAAGAAGAAGACGCCTGCTCCGTACGCGGCTTGGGCGTAGGTAATCGAGAAGATGAGAAATTCTGTGATAGACGCGGTTGGGTCGAGCTTCCTGAGTTTCGCACCGAGTTGTAACTCGTGTTCGATGACAACGACAGCCCGGAGCTGTATGACTTGCGGCTCGGGTCTGGAGTCGTTCGGTTGGAGGAAGGGGTGACGCTTTTCCTCGGGAGAAAAGAAGGGGACTGGGTTGACGACACAGGTCGGATGGGAAGCGGCTCGGTCGGTGGAGGAGGGGTGTGAGGCATGGGAGGTGCAGGTGGCACCATTGACATCCGCTTGGCCCGACGTGCATCGGTTGGACTGATAGTGCGCGCACCCAAGCCGGTGGCATGGGGCATGGTAGACATGCGCTTGGAGGACGAGGAAGGAGTCGTCACCGTCGATGCAGACGTGTTCCTGACCGGCGTACGGACGGCATTGGTTGAAGAAGATCGCGAGTGATCGGTTATACCAGTCGCAGTCAAAAAGGTGCCACGCGGCTCGCGAGGAGAGGGTTGCATAGACTTGGCTTTGAGGTTTCGTACGGACGAGGGGACTCTGGTCTCGTCCCGAGGTGCTTCTGTCGGTTGACCACGAGGGCGAAGGACATTGTTTGGATCCGTCCGAGTCGTGTCCATACTGATTTTGCGAGCACTCAGACTGGCCCGCCTCGCCGATGCATTTGTAGGGCCGAAGGCCCCGGAGCTGATGGACTTCCGTGATCCTCGAGAAGTGACAGAGCTGGCATCGTTGGTTTGTGCCAGACTTTGGCGGCGCGCGCGGGCATTGGCGGATGTCGTCGATAACCTTGAAGTCGCCGGGTTTTGGCCATTCAAACGCGATACCTCGCTCTTGCGGCGAGCGGAAGCACCTCTCGTCCTCTCCGAGATATTGCTGTCGTAACTGTTGTTCGTCCAAGTACTGTTTGTTGACAGACCAGAATCCCGATTCTCAGAGCCCGCACCACCAGCTCTGGGCATGGGAAAATGATTATGATTCAAAGTGGGCTCAGTCATGATACTGTTGTGGAAATCGTCAAAGTTGATCGGCGCCAAAAATTCCATGCTTTCCGGCGGGGTTTGGTAGGTCTCCATTTTTGACAGGTTTCCCACGCTTGTGGATCGCAGGTTGTAGCCTTTCATCGAGTCGTTCGTGGAGTCAATCGGGGAGTTTTCGGGATGGTAGTAGTTATTCGTTGGCTTGCTATAATCGAGGTATCGTTAGAATTTTGAAGTCGTTTCCCCACTGCGGGCAGGGAACAGGGGCTTGCAGATGAAGCCTACCTCCAGCGCGAGGCGTCCTGTGGCCGAGGCCCCTGAGGGGCTTTCTGGCTTCTAATAGACAACCTCCTTCGACCCGTTTCCCCTGAACGCGGTCCTGCCACATCTCTCGAGGACTGCGAATCAACATTGGTCTGGTTATTCATGTGGAAAGTGGTTGAGGCGGATTTCTGGAGGCGCCTGCGAGCCGGGGTCTCCGCTAGTTTTTGAAACGTGGTTAGCAATTGGCGTATCCCGGTGAGGCTTCGTGCCTTACCTCCTGAACCCGAGTCATCGTTTCTAGAGGGATTGGATGACCGTGATTGGGCTGTTCCGGACTGGCCTCTCCCGGATGCGTGCGACGACCTGGCCTGCATTGTTCCAGATGCCACACGTCTCCTAGCAGAGCAGGGAAATCTTCAAATCGACAGTTCGCGAGGCCGACGGATCCGAATAGAGCGAGAAGCCGATTGCAATTGGCATTCAGGAGGGGTCACCAAGAAGAGCCTTCAGCACAGTCGCGCGACCGGTCAAATGGCAGGTTACCGGTCCATATCGGGGAGAACGGAGTAAAGCCTTCTGCGGTGCCCGGGCGAGGGGTTTGGAGGGCAGCTGGACGGTGAGAATAAATTTGGTGTAGCTCAGGTTTAGGTTGCTGGGGCAAGCAGGCGGTCGCAATGAGGTAGGATCCACCGCAACCAAACAATCTGAAAACACAAATGGGGAGGGGGGAGGATAAGAAGAGATAGGAAGAGATAGGAAGAGAGTCAGATCAAAAGAAAATTCTTATAACCGACAACAAGAGCTCTGAAGGAAAAGAAAGTGTAAACATCTGTAGCTCAATATTCAGACTTAGGTTTCCCCTGATTGCGGACTGGCTGTACCATACCGAACCAGCGTTACCCACCATGCACCGTTGATCTGACAGTACGCGGTACACAACCCCAGAAAGGGCATATCTTTGCCCGATTTAGCAGGCACCGACAATGTCCGCATGTGCCAGTTGCGCCTGCCGATGCATCGGTTCCCCGTCCTCGACTTCCCTCTTTCTTCCTTGTTCTACTCTTCTAGTGCTACTGCCGAGCCATGCCAGTATCCTTCCAGTATGGATGAATACACCCCGGAAGCACTGGTGAACCGCGACGAGCCTATTCCCGTTTTGAATATCTCCTCTAAACCGAGGCGCATGGGCAAAGGCTCCCCGGACAGTGCCCACTCGCGCTCATCTTCGCAGTCCAAGAATTCGATCCAAGACCGATTGCTGACCAAGTATGTTCTGTACCGGACCCCTCGCCGTTGCCTCTTTACTGACAGTGCCACCGGCTTTTACAACATGTCATCCCCACTGACGATGACGAGGATGATGCCAACCATGGGGATAATGTCTTTACTACGTCCCCAAAACGACCGGGTTTCAGTCTGCCATTAATGTCAAACAATTTTCGCCGCTTTAATGCAAGGTATCTGCTATCAATCATTAATCTGATGGACCATCGGACTGACTCAGCTCTAGAATCGGAGTGGTCTTTCTGTTCCAGAACCGGGTCGAGCGCCTGTTAGGCTGGCGGAACCCGACTCATACCCTTTCTTTTCTCTTTGTATACTCCTTCATCTGCTTGGACCCGCACCTGCTGGTGGTCTTGCCTCTGGTGGTTCTCTTACTCTTTATCATGGTGCCGGCATTTATCACTCGCCACCCTCCACCACCTTCGACCTCCACCTCCAGCATTATTCCCTATTACTCCTATGAAGGACCGGCACTAGCGCCGGCAAGCACCATTAAGCCGGCCTCTGAAACCTCCAAGGACTTCTTCCGAAACATGCGAGACCTACAGAATTGCATGGCCGATTTCTCAGATGTCCACGACGCAGCCATCTCCGTGTTTGCGCCGTTGACTAACTTTTCCAATGAGAAGCTGTCTTCGGCTCTCTTTTTAGGCTGCACTGTTGCCGCTGCGGCTCTCTTCCTGTCAGCACATCTCTTACCGCTGAGGCTGATTATGCTTGTTGGAGGCAATGTAGCGATCTTGTCGAACAACCCGAAATTCCGGCTCTTCTTCCAAACCCTGATTCAAGATGTCGGAGGTGAAGATTTGGATCCTCCAGGAGACCAAGATGTATTCAGCACTGCTCTCCCAAAAGATCCATCCGCGGCTATGTCTGCATTGGAAAATCTGACAGACATCTCGCTGGACACCGATCCCGAGGAGCGCGAGGTGGAGATATTTGAGGTCCAGCACCGTGCACCGGGAACATCAGAGTCTGGATGGGAGAATTTCCTTTTCAGCCCTCAACCATACGATCCGCTATCTCCGTCCCGTATTGCTGGAGACCGACCCCGCGGGTGTCGCTTTTTTGATGACGTTCGGGCTCCATCTGGCTGGAAATGGAAGAGCAAGAAGTGGGAACTTGATTTGGATTGCCGGGAGTGGGTGGTTGAGCGCATGATCACCGGTGTTGGCTTTGAAGTTCCAGGTGTTTCTCCAGAAGGCAATGCTATTGTCGACGAAGTTGGCGGTTGGGTCTGGGACCTCCCTTCCGAATCCGCCTCGACACAAGAAGAAAGTGAGGAGATTACCACAATGGCATACGGTGACTTGGAACCAGAGCCAAATCCCTCGTCCAAGAATAAGGGCAGCGCACCATCGAAAGACAGACGTCAGGCCAAGTCTGCCCAGGATTGGGAGGAAGCAGGGAGTGCTTCGTACGGAGTTGGAGAATGGCGACGTCGTCGGTGGGTGCGAATTGTGCAGCGTGTGAATCTCCCACCAGCTGGAATCGTCACATACTCGACTCTCGGCACCAATTGATGTACAGTTACGAGATCAAACGTTTTCTACTGCCATGATAGCCCATTATCTGTTCAATTTCGAGCCTATTATATACTGCGCAATCATTCCGTCCATGAACATACATAGAGAGAGACAACTTTTTGAAGTACAAGACCAGAGAGAAAACGAAAACGCCCGATTCGCCTAACCGAATGCTCAAGAGATATCCCTCCACCACTAGTCGCGAGATTTCTTCCACTGGTTGATTCTCCTCCGCAGATCACCCTCGCTCTGCTGCATGGGGTTGAGCTTGCGGTCCCGAACCATAGCGGCCAGGTTATCCCCGTGCTTCTCAACCAGTCTCGTGATCCACTCAACCTCCCGCTGGCTCAGATACCGGGGCTTCTTGTTCTTGACAGACTGGCCCTCGCGATCCGCCTGACGCTCCAGCTGCTGGACAATCACGGATGCTTGAGCGGGGTCGACGATCTCAGCTTCGTTGTCAGACAGGTCGTTGAGCGGGTCGTTGAGCGGGTTCGCGGCGCGGCGCTTGCGACCCGCAACTTCAATCTCCTCTTCGTCGTGGATCACGCGCAGGATTTTGCCGGTCTCAGGGTCGCGCTCAACCCTCGTCTCGCCCAGATCGAGCTGCTGGGCCGTGTTGCCGCTGCCGGTGATTTGCAGCGAGTTTTCCGCGAGCTCTCCTTGAATGGGGAGGCGCTCTTTGCCACCAGTCGGGGCATTCAGTTTGTGCAGCAGGCCGAGTCGCTGGTAGTTCTGGGTCAGAGTGAGTTTTCTGTCCCTGTAGAGAAATGATTGTTAGCGCGATGCAACTTTTTTTTTTTTCCAGGTCGTCCCGCATACCAGTTATCGGCGATGATCTGGTTGCCCAGCACATTGATCTTCTTGCTGCCGCTCTTGAGGCGGTTGTTCTTGGCCTTGGCCTTGGAAAGGCCGGATCGGTTCTTCTTCTTTTGCAGGAGTTTGCCCATTGTTGCGTTTGTTGACTTGGGTTGCGGAGGAATCGTGCAATTATCGGCGTTATCGAAACTTTTTTGATGTTTGCACGGTGTCTTGGCGAGTTTGTGCAGGGTCTGCGATAAGTGGTCCGAGCCCGGCGATAAGCGGATGCCCACGCGCGTTGTTTGTCTGTCTTCTTTACTCCTCCGCCCCCATTTTTTGGCTTCAATGGCTTCGAAACTGCTTCCTTCACGCCGCACGGGCTTTATGCTCGTTGCAGGATGTCTAATGTTTTCTGCCTTGGCGGCTGCAAGTGCACGTCCCGGAGATTTATCTGTTAGCGAGATTGAGGAGCAATTGCAGGTACGAACTCGAAGAGCTGTCAACGTGTCAACGTGAGAACGTTGACACCGTTTACAGACAGTGGCTGATGTCCATAGAACTGCCCTCTTGTTGAGTCGCTCAATGAGCATAAACGAGCCACTGCACCTCAAACTGCGAGCCTCCTTTCGAAGATCTTCGCCGTTCTTTTCCCAGGGAGCCCAGCCGTGAACTCCCTCCTTGCGACGCTATATATCTCTGGCCCTCCGAGTATGTGGTACAATTCGAAATTAACAACGAGACTTTGTTTAACGTGACTCCAGACTTCCTCTTGGCACTATGTCCTCCCAACATCGACCCCTCCTCCCTGTCGATCATGGTTGCTTTTGCTGTGGGTGGTCTTCTGGGTGACACGCTGTTCCACCTGCTTCCCGAGATCTTTCTCGGCGAAGACTCCCCAGACCATGTTAGCTTCGTCATGGTTGAGCCGAACAAGAACCTCCTGCTCGGTCTCGGTATCATGGTTGGCTTCTTTACATTCGTGGCTATGGACAAGGCTCTCCGCATTGCAACTGGCGGCGAAGGCGGCCACGATCACTCCCATGGTCACTCGCATGTAGATGATAGTGCAGCTACTACAAGCTCCGATGTCAACACTAAGTCTAGTGGTGAGCTGAAGCAGCGCAAGTCGACCAAGTCAGAGCAGTCTTCGACGGACACGAAGCCCGAGAAGGAAATTAACCCTAGTGTCAAGCTGGGCGGATACTTGAACCTCATTGCGGACTTCACCCACAACATCACCGACGGTCTCGCTCTCTCCTCGTCATTCTACGCATCGCCGACCATCGGCGCTACCACGACTGTTGCAGTCTTCTTCCACGAGATCCCCCACGAAGTTGGCGACTTCGCTTTGCTCGTGCAGTCTGGTTTCTCCAAGCGCAAGGCCATGGGCGCGCAGTTTGTTACTGCCGTTGGCGCTTTCCTGGGCACTCTCATTGGTATTGCAGTCCAGGAATTCGGCGGCCACGGGGTTGAGCTGGAGAACTCTGCTACCTCTGGTCTCATGGGCACCAGCCTCTCCTGGGGCGATATGCTTCTCCCCTTCACCGCGGGTACTTTCTTGTACGTTGGTACTGTGGCAGTTATTCCCGAGCTATTGGAGACTGGTAAGGATAAGGGTGCCGAGATCTGGAAGACCATCACCCAGTTTTTGGCTGTTGCAGTTGGAGCTGGTATCATGCTTGCGTAAGTTTTGTTCCCTATCAACATATCGAACAACTACTGACTTTGGGTTATAGGATCTCTTGGGACTAAATACCCCACACGCAATTCATACCCGTTTCTGTATTGTTGAATTGACAGACTTGCGAGAAGCCCCTGTATGGGTAAAGGAACACCTGAGAGATTGGGGTATTATATTCTAGTTTATGAAACTTAGGAGCGTCCCAGAAAATCTACCTTGACCACAACCCTCTCTAGGCTGGAAACAGAAACTATCGACAGAGAAAAAATGGATGTGTTTTCATATATCTAAGTTTCAACTGCGTCCATCAATTTATTACGAAGCACTTGAATCCTCCCCAAAGAAACCTCCAAACGCCCCAATCCCCAACCCTTGCCTAGCGATTCAAGTACCCTGTTCTGTCGTACACAAAAATGAAATCTACTTCTTTGATTGTCCGGAGCCTCCCCAAGATGTCACACAAAATAGACAGAGAAAGCCCATAAACATGAACGCCGAGAATATGGTGATGCTGGGATTGCAGACTTGGCGCGCAGCGCTCGATGCATGTGTCTCAGCCGTAAGAACACAAGGAGTGATGCCGTTACTCGTTATAATGGTAGATCTGTGACTGTTAGTGGAAAGGCCTGGTAGAAATGGTGGAAGATGGAAAGGAAAAACATACGAAATAATCCGGCAATCCGAAAACGGCATACCCCAGCCGCTTCGCCATCCTGGCGAATCCCTCCGTCTCGACAAGATGATAGAAGGGGAACGCAGGGAACATGGCACCGTCACGGTGAACATCAGCCTTGACCATGAGAGCAGTACCGCCGACGCCATCCAGGGCGACCATGCGCTGAGGATCCAGCGCCTGGAAGTCCGGTAGGTACGCCATGAGAGTGCGATACGTGGGCAATTCCTCGTACCCCTCCAGCAGGATGTCATCAGGTCCCATATTCGCAGCCAATTCCTGGGCCTGCTCGCTGTCGATCCATGAGTTGTAATCATACGGCCGGACGGCCGACTTCTTGGAACTCGAGTCGTAGTATCGCTGGAAGCAGTTCGGTACGATGACGGGCTCGGCGTGGCTCGTTAGATCTTGGATGAGTGAGGCTGGCGTCTCCACGATGTCGCCATCCAGCCAGAGAACCCATGAAGTGCTGGGGCCGAGGGTTGTGAAGAGGAGGCTGTTGCGCGCACGACTCATGGACTCGCGACGCTCTTTTTGAGCGGAGAGTTTATGCCGGACTTTTTCATCTTGGGATGTAAGCGGGGGTTCGAAGTCTTGTCGTAGGATCGAGATGCTGGCGAAGCGGTCGTCGATCGGGCCGGACTGGGTTTTGGATATAGCTTTCTCCAGTGCCGCGACGGCCGCGTTGCCGTCCTTGGTCTTGGGGGAGATGAAGCCCAGGGAGATCAATTCGTGCGGATAGCTCAGTTTCTCTAAATTGTCCCAATATCCTTGGTAGAAGCGCGCCAGCGGGGTGAGGATGAGAATCCGCTCGCCGTTGGCGATGGCGGTGCTCGTGCTGGTGAGGTTGTTGAGATTGTAGTGGACCACGGGCGGGGCTGCCATGTAGCCATCACTGCGAACCGGCTGCGATTTCAGAAAGGGTTTTGTTGGTGGCGAGAGAGGATGGTCGGCGGCGTCTTGTTGTCGCTGATGTGAGGTAACGGCCGATGCGGATGCGGAGGGTGCGGAGGGAGACAGCATGAAACAGATGAAGCCGAAAGCTAGCAGAGCAGCCAGCATGAGGCTGATAGGACTCGCGCGGCGCATCGAGCGTGCGACGGCCATGGCCGTTCCTCCCCTTTAATTGCGTAGGGGTGAGGTAGTTGTATAGGTGTAGGCTTGCGAAGGGCCGAGATCTGAAACGGCGATCAGCAGTGACGGCTTGGCCTCAGGCTGCAAGAGTCCAATGTCGGCCTCCAATTATCTTCCTACTCAACCTCCGGTCTTCTGGGGCACCTCCGGTCTTCTGGGGCTGATAATGAGAGAAGTTGAGATTGGAATTTTTTTACAGATTAAAGATATGTGATCCCCTACGTGTCCGGAAAGAGAAGCCCTGAATCCACCAAATCCACCACCCTATACGACTCTGCTATCATGGACACCATGAGCTCGGGACCAGCCCCGCGGGCCCAATCGCAGATCGAACGTTCTGCCAGGCTCCTAATTTTCCTGAAGGGTTATCGCGGGATTCCCGAAACAGCTGGCCGAGTTCCCTTGTATGCCGAATGCGGACTGTCATCGACATTCCTGACCTGACTCTTCGGGGCGGCAGCCACCTACGCAATTTTGTCGAATAACCAAAGTCAATCTCCATGAAACGTGTTGTCTAGTATTTATTTCCAAGTTTTAGTTATATGTCCTTGGTGAGGCTGTTTGAGCCTAAATATATACAAGTTCGTAAGTAGATCTGGAGAGATTCAGGGAAGAGTGCGCATCACGCCTTCAAATGCAACCAGGGCCATCGCGTTCGCCGGGAACGCCCTAAGGAAACATGGCACGAAGCCCCGCCAGTAGCCTCTCCACCCACGTTCACGCCAGACGGCCTTACAGGCATCCTTCCAGCCGCGGAACTGCCTTTTCCCGTCATTGAGAGCACCGCCCATAGGGTCGGTCATGAGGCGTTGCTTCACCACGTCGGATGGGTACGAGGTGAGCCAAAATATTTGGGCAGAGATACCTCCAGCCCAGAAATTGATTGCGGGTGCAGACATCTTGGTATTGTCCTTCATGTAGCGAGTGAGAACGTCGTAGGAGCCCCACCAGAAGAAAAAGAAGGCTCGGAAGAAGACTGTAGCCCAAAGACCGCGGTAGACACCTCTGATACCGTGTGTGTTGACCTAGATGAGGTCAGTCGGTCGAATATGCGGTCTACTGTCTTTGGGGACTTACCATCTTGTGAAGACAGTCAATCGGCCCACTGTACATGCGCTTGCTCTTGTCGGCCGCATACTGAATCTGAAGTCGGGCCTTGATGTGTTCAACTGGAGCGGCGATAAAGCTGACAGTAGTGCCCGCCATAATACCCGCGAGTCCATGGCCAAAGCTAGGGAGTGTGCTCAAGTTCTGATTGCTTGAGAAAGGAATCCATTGACGGAGGTGAGGTTTGGAAAAGACGTTTTCCAGCAGCAGTCGTCGGTATAGCGTTAATGATCCCAACATACTAATCGTGTATATAGTCAGCGGCTGATAAACTTCCAATGCTTAATCAGGTGTTTGAGGCCACTCACACAGAGTCCATGACCATCCATCCGACCAGCGGTGGGGTAGCACCCTTGTATAATCCTCGCACACCCTCCTTGCGCACCGTTTGTAGAGTGCAATCTAACGGCCCACGGAAACGTCCATCTGTGTTCGTTTGAAGGCGGACCTTAACGGTATCGAATCTGCTCACATGTATCACGGTTATTACGGACGATCTGACGCGGAGGGCATTTCAAGAGACATACGGATGACCAACTAGAGATTGAATTCATTAGCCTCGATCAGATAAATATTGGCCTGAAACATATCAACTCCCGGATAACTTACCGCTGAGCTTCGCAATGCCCGAAAATACTCCCGCCACAAACCCCTTGTAATTCTGCTTCGCGACAGGCGCCGAAACAGGGGCGCGCTCTTCCCTTCCCGTCCCCTTCTTCAAGCCGGTTTGCTCTGACATATCAGACGTAGGTGGGACAGACGCAGGCGCCGGCGCCGATGACATCGTTTGCTGCGAGAACACAGACCGAAGCGTCAGCGGCGCGAGGATCGGGAAACTATAATCGCGCGAGGGAACGGCAACGGAGGATCGTGAGAGTCCGCCCGACAGGATATGAGGTTGACCTCACTGTTGAAACCTCACTGTTGAAGATGAGTCGCGGGGATTTTGGAACCGAGAATATGGGGTAAGAGAGCAATTGAGGACAACGAGGAGGGAAATTCAGAACTCTTCAATGATCCGCCTTGAAGGCCCCGCACCCGCTGGTTCCTTCGCGGAGCAGTCATCCAACTCCGGTCGACACCTCAGGATTCAGGACGCCACCGGCTGTGGCGGCCAACTCTATAAATCGGCTGCATATCAACGCACGGGGACACTGAAAGGGGATGGGCCGCTCCACGAGTATTCTAGCTGGTCGACGATGGTAGATTAAACCAGTCGGATTGAATAATGATCATGGGAAGTGAGAGCCTAGCTCGGGGCTACAGAATGCAATTCCAGACGGGGGAAAAATACTGTAACAACCACAGGATGCAGAAACCCTGGTTAAAATGATGTATTGAGCAAATGGAGGTCTGGCTCTTAAAATGAAAATGCTCAGACGAGCGGGGTATAGGTACATGAAGTCGTAATGCAAAGGGGACAGGCACAAATTGTAGTTTGTAATGATGCGCGATGCCAGAAATGAATAAACACGAACCAAAGTCCTCGACCTTGAGTGCAAGGTCTCTTTTAATGCGCAAAACACCAGTAACGAGCGGAGAAGACGAGACTGAGCGGAGAAAACGAAACTGTAAGAAAAGGGGATACTGTTCTCTCCCCACGCAGAAGAAAGCACTCCAAAATAACACCAGTTCTGATGCGGTAGCAGTAGCAGTAGCTGCAGCGTGTGTGCGCCAATTGGAAGGCGGCTATCACCGGCCCATGGCGGATTTGCGGACCTTTTGGCGGGCCTTTTCGTTCTCCCGTGCAAGGATCTTGTCAACCAGGTCCGGTGGTGGCCCGCTGTGCTGGCCCGCCATGTCCCGCGAGGAGCGGTCAGCCGTGCTCACAGATCCGGCGGCCAGATAGTCACCGGCTTCCAGGGCCAGCGGGGTCACCGGACCGGGGCTGCGCAGAGGGTCCAGACGTGGAGCCGAAGGGCTATCATGAGAAGATTCCAGAAACTCGCGGTAATGCAATTTGAAGTCACGCGAGCCGGCCGAAGCGCGGTAGTTGGGCTGGCGGGATTGCCGCGGGGACGGCGGCTGAGCGGTGACAGCGTGGGAGGTTGGGCTGGACTGGTAGACAGCCGGGTGGAAGCGCGGCAGAGAGCCTAGACTGAAGCCGGTACTGGACTTGGACGAGTTCTGCGTCCGCGTCCGCGAAGGCTGCGGGGAACTCGGGCGGTGTGGAGACATGGTGGGTGAAGTAACCGGAGAGTAATAGGGGGAGTTATCGGAACGCATGCTTAAATACCGGGTATGACGGCCAGCGCGTGGAGAGACCGGGTGCCTGGATTTGGCGGACAGCGAAGCTCGTTCCCAGTCGTCAAAGTAGGAGGCCTTGTCGAAACGTCCGGTCAATGGAGTCACCGGGAGATCCTCGCCGTAGATCGGACCAGGCCGTCTCGGAATCGGAATGGGCCGAGTAGAAGAGAGGGAGAGAGAGTCGAAAGCGTCTATCGGAGAGGGATCCGAAGGACGATAGCGACGAGACCGAGGAGGAGACGGGGGGGTATAAGAAGAGGAGGTGGCCGTCAAATCGCGCAGGGAGGAAAGGGAGACGGGAGTGGGGTAGCCGTGCTTGAGGATCAGACTTTCCAGGTGGTCCTGGTGTCGGTACGGTGACGAGTGACAATCGGAGGAGACACCTGCCGAGGCGATCAGAAATGGAATGAAACGAGACGGAATGCCCCACGTGTCGCACGGAGAATGTACAAGTGCGTGGTTTATGACTGGTGGAATGTGCAACTTACTGTCGTAGGAGCTCAGGGATGAGGGGTAAAATGACGAGGACGAGGAGTAGGAAAAAGGGGGCGACGATGATTTTATCGGCGTTTTGCGCGTCTGTATTCTTCGTTAGTGTGCACGCGGGGATTCGGCTCCATGGCTCAGGCTCCACGACCATGGCGTCATTTGCAGTGGCCTGCGTGTCTATCCGGGCCCACTCCTGCCGTTCCTTGGCTCTGCTCGCGGATGGCGTCGGTTCCTGGCACGGAGGGCATTGGGAAAAGTCTAGAACTTACTGACGAAGGCATCGGGTCGAAAGAACGGCCTGACTGCCCACTCCCTGGCACCCGGACCCTGCTTGCTTTGCCCTATACAGCATGCAGCCGCGGTCTCCGAGTTCTCCGGTATCCAGTGCTCTTGTTTCAACGGTGGGCCAGGCCTGAAACAAGGTCCTCAAACGAGTGATAGAGGGAAAAGGATAACTTGATAACTCCAGACCGAAACAGAACGGGAAGCAGCATTGATTGGAATGCGCAGAGACCTTCTCTTTTAAAGGTCCCCAGGCACCGGTGAAACGATGACTCCCGGGACTCCAAGTACATTTTCCCCCACGAGGCACCGACGGGTGACCTCAGGTACGTTCGCATTTCCAAGGCAGGGCAAGCCTCAAAACGCCGTGATATCCTCACCACCACGCCCGCCATCATCCCCCTTCTCGATCGGGGTTATTAGTGGCTGCGCCCGAGAGGGAAATGGGGGATGAAGATCTCCGACCAGACGCGGTTGATCGCCCGGGGTCATGCGTGGTTGAGTTCAGCTCATCGTCTGATTCGCACGCGTCCTGATTCGGTATGGTGACGTCCCGGGCACTAGCGATGCCGCCAGTCAGGGATGCCCGTCCATCTCCTGCAGCCCCTCCGGGATGCTTCTTCCGGCCATTCTGAACCGAGAGAACTAGATCAGCCGACACCTATCAACACGCGAGGAGGGATGGAGCCGTCCCCCGCTGGTTGGTCAAGATCTAGCTCGAGTTCTTGCCTCCCTCCTAACACTCCCTCAACACTTTGTGCGCGGGTGTCTCGGAAAGGGTATCATTTATTGAACTGCTACCCCACCTTTGTCTGGGAGGGTGGTGAGTCAGGCGGGGATTCCATCCACAAGCTCGAGACTGCAAGATTGATCGTCTCCCTTGACCAAAGCTTCCTGTACACCCGCCATCGGTATAGATCTTGATTCGACCCCTGTCTCCTGCAGCGGATGCACGTCGGTTGTACAAGATGTGAAAGTGTAACACACGGGGATATAGTTTCCCTACCCCGGGAACCTTGGAATGTGCTATGTCTCTCTGCTCCACTGTTAGGTTCTATCCCATATCCCTATGGAGTAGAACAAAAAACCCCCTCAACCCATTCAGCATAGCCACAGACGTAAAATACAACACACCGAGACAGGAATGCTACCCATCAAATATCTAGATCTAAAAAAAAGATCCGAAAGGGAAAACACCGTGTCCATATGGAGGATAATATGAGTTTTGACGCAGGTAAGATCGGTGCAGCCTTGCCGATGATGCCCCTGCATATGGTAAACCCCGGTCTAATGCAAGTCAGCCAACCCCTCCCTATCCTCAATCTGTCCAAGCCCTCCCTGAAGCCACCACCCTCCTGACTACATAGCCCGACTCGATGACGACAGACTTTTGTTTTCCTCTGCGAGAACTGTCCGATGATGCAGTCAAGCTAACTACTTTTGATGTGGGATTGCCCGATTCGGAGATGCTATAAATAAGCCTGCCCGCTGACATCTCGAAATACAGCCAGGCAAGCATGCCGCTCCCTACTTTCGAGGGTCGATAGATCACCCCGAGCTCTACAGATATATGTCTATCGGCCCGTTTGCAACAGAGCAAGATTTCGTGGCTCACTTCTTTGAGGGATTTGTAAAACAGTCCTCTGTTGCCTGTTTCGCGGTGATTGACAAGAAAAGACCCCCATCCGCTGCAGATCCAGAAGGCGAAGTCGCCGGCATGGTCTCATATATGGCCGCCTCTGCCGCTCACTTGTCCGCCGAGGTGGGCTACATCATCATCCTGCCGCCATATCAACGGACGCATGTCACGACTCACGCCGTTGGACTACTGCTCCATTATGCCCTCGATAGCCCCGAGCGGGGTGGCTTAGGCCTCCGTCGGATTCAGTGGTTGGCCGATCCGCCCAACAAGGCGTCGCTGGCGGCGGCGCAGCGGATGGGATTCCAGTTCGAGGGTATTTTGCGGTGGAACCGAGTTGTTCATAACGCAGATGCTCGGGGGAAGGCACATAATGGGCGGGATACGCCAGCGTATGGCGAGCAGAAGGACGGCGGGCGAGACACAGCGTACCTGTCTCTATGCTGGGATGACTGGCTTGGGGGCAAACGGGAAACTGTCGATGCCCTTCTTTCAAGATAGCTCGTAGGTCGACTTTTGTGAGTTTAAAACGACTCCAGATTCGGACTCCTTGTGTCAAGGTTAGTTTGTGGCGGATTGATCACACATTGCCCTATACCGTAAAAGCTGGTCAGAAGCAGCTTGCCATTTCCATACTAAATTTCCAAAGCTATAGCAAACCTAAGGAGATATTGTATGTGGGCGGCCGGTGTAGATACCATATTCTCTTATCTCTCCTCTTCCAAGGCACTTCTTTAAACGTCTTTCTAGATACGTCATATTAAGAATATATCTAAATTTTTTGAAAGTAACCCACTTCAGAATATCTCCTTGGTCCCCCGTTGATGTTGTTGGAAACCCCTGGGCGGCTACAGCCGCATCTTCAGCCTTGCCCCTCATTTTTTCCCACCGATTTTAGCCATGATGGTGTGTACCTTTCGGCGCCGATAAACTCGCCGCAAAACATTCCTTTCTGAAACGCTGCATTTTAGCGACTGTGGTGGAAAAATTATCAACAATAATTGTGCAACAACCTTGGAAGCGTCACATTCCAGCATTCTTTTGAACCGCCGCACCAATGACTATCACAACCAAGAGCGAGAAGGCCGTGGATGTCCTGACCATTGATGCTCAATGTCTGAAAAAGCTCTTGGAAAATGGTGATGTGACAAGCCTCGGCCTCGTCGGCCAATATCTGGCTCAAATTGAGAAGCACGACGGCAAGCTTCATGCCATGATCCAGACAACTCCGAAGGACCTACTCGAGGCAACAGCCAAATTGCTTGACCAGGAGAGAGCAGCTGGGAGGATCCGTGGTCCATTGCACGGAATTCCTATCCTTATTAAGGTAGATTTTCTTCCAAGTGTGCCAAAGTTATATTCTGATGTTTCTTAGGACAACATTGCTACTCACCCAGATCTCGGTCTTCCAACTAGTGTCGGGAGCCTTGCTTTGCTCAATTCTAAGCCGCGGAAAAATGCGAAAATCATCGATCAAGTACGGTGGCTCTCTATTTGGCATTGGAATCTCACTAACAGACACTCAGATCATTGCTGCGGGACTTATCATCCTTGGCAAGGCTAATTTAGCCGTGAGTGTCTATGCCGCTAAGGTGTGAATTCTGGTTTTGCTGACGACTGTTTAGGAATTTGCAAATGCCCGGTAGGACTAGCTCTAGGTCCTTCCATTTTGAAAAAAACAATGATTTTCTGACATGCTAACAGAGGCTCCGATATGCCAAACGGCTGGTCTGCAGTTGGCGGCCAAACGCAATCCGCTTATGTTCGCGGTGGGATTGACCCGAATGACTCGCATGATGGACACTCGGTGAGTCTATCTTTATCCCAGCAGCAAGAAGTTAATCGCACCACTGACGAGATCACCAGAACCCCTCGGGATCGTCGACTGGTTCCGCCGTCTCCGTTTCTGCTGGGTATGCGCCGTTCTCAATCGGGACCGAGACAGATGGATCCCTTACTATTCCCGCTGGCCGCGCGGCACTCTACACGATCAAGCCAACAATCGGCCTTGTTTCCTCAAGTGGTATCGTGCCTATCTCCACCAAGTTTGACTCGGCCGGGCCCATGACCAAGTCGTCATACGATTTGGCGGCTCTCTTGGATGTCATTACCGCGAGAGATCCCTCAGAATCATACACAAAGAACCTTACCAGGTCATGGTCCGATATAGCCGTTGCAGTCCTTGACCCTGAGATATGGAAGTTCCCTGAGACCTACGTCAAACCTCTTGACGAGGCAGAGGCCCAGATCGTAAGTTTAATATCTGTCGTGTTGAATAGTTGTGGGCTAAAATTTTATTCTGATCAGGCCCGTGAGACCCGCCAAGCATATGAGGTTATCAAGTCCAAAGCCAAGAAGTTCGTCAATGATGTTGACTTAGTCACGGAAGACAAGCTAGAACTTAATGGGGAGAGCAGTGAATGGAAGATTATTCGTGCGTGCTCAAGGTTCTAGAATCATTTTCTTTAAGCTAACTTTCTCAGTGGCCGACACCAAACGAGAACTCAATGCCTACCTCGAAGATCTTGAAGAAAGCGAAGTACGGTCGCTCGCAGAGATCATCGACTACAACATCAAGCATGCGGTTAAAGAGCTGCCTTCGCGTGAGAAAACTTCTAATCATCAAAGACTTGTTTGTGGTTGTTAGCTTATAATTTCTTCAGACCATCCGCGACAAGATACATTTACAAATTCCCAGGAGCTGGACATGTCTTCAGAAGACTACGACCGACACCTGGCGCACCTGAGACAGGTTGCGAGGGACGAAGGAGTAGATCGAGTCCTCAATACTTACGGGGTCGATGTGATCCTCGGCCCTACAGACTCTGGTCTCACATCCATTGCGGCAGCTGGAGGTATGTTATCCACGGAATGAAATAACTTGAGTGTCGGATACTAATGTACCAATCAGGGCTCCCGCTCTGTTCAATGCCCCTGGGATATCTGGACTACAATGGCCGGCCATTTGGTGTTTCGGCCATCGCTGGTCGAAACCAAGAAGCCCTACTGGTCAAAGTCATGAGTGCTTGGGAAGCTACTTTCCCTTCGCGACGCCCACCTCCAGAGCTAGTTGCGTCGTCCTGATTCTTTGCATCAGTATTTCTGTTCCGCCCAATCCAATAAAGCCTGAGTTTACGAGGGAGTCCCCTTGTGTCATGGTCACATTTTTACCATAGCGACTTGTTCAATGCTACATCCATCACTTCAATAGCGATATAGAGCAAATTTAGAGGTACCTGTTTGTACTTGAGGAAGAAGCCTACGTGTAGATTTTAGTTAGCACGTGAGATGCTATGCCAAAAAACCTTTATTTCAAATGTAGAGGATTAGCATTGCCAACCTTCGCGTGGCGTTCAAAACCTCGATTTGACTTGCCCCCGCACTGACGTCCCCATCCCCACCCCCCAGCAACAAGCATCAACACAACACAAACTATCCCATAGAACTGGAACAATGGGCATGCAAGGACGTTGCCAGTGTGGCAAAATCAAATTTACCACACCAACAGAGAAACCCTTCAAGATCTACGCCTGCCACTGCACCGAATGCCGTCACCAAAGCTCCTCCGCCCATGGCATCTCAGCCATCTTCCCCTACTTTGAGCTCCCAGAATCGGTTTCTGAGCTTGTGGGGAGCTACACCCGGCTCACCATTACAGGAAGACACTTGGAGTGTCTGTTCTGCAAGATCTGCGGTGCTAGAATCTTGCATCGCCGCCATAAAACCATGCCCGCGCCAGGCGAAAAGGCGGGCCCTCCAGCCACTGTCAGTGTGAAGGCTGGTTGTCTTGAGGATCTGAATAAGGAGATGATGAGGGAAGCTATTCATATTTGGACTCAGCATGCGGTTGTAGATATCCCGGAGGGCGTGGAGCAGTGGGAGCAGGAACCGCCTAATTAAAACCCCCTTGTGTCATGATCTGAATGTGTTATTTGGTCCAGCGAATAGGATGGCGTCGTGAGCGGTTGAGGAGTGTTTATTTAGCGGAAGAACCAATTTATAGTGATTTGTTTTACACTGTTGCCGTGAAATTACCCCTAGTTAAATACAAAAGCCTCCGTAATAAGGACGCCGCTCATCTTGAACACACAGCATTGTCACGACGAAGTTCTCAGCCGACAACACAGGTCCAGCCATTGTCGACGGCAATGCATGCGCCGTTGATGATACTAGCTCCCTTACCATAAGTCATCGAAGTGCAGAAGCCGGCAACCTCCTCCAGATCGCAGTAAGGAGCTTTGATCGACTCAAAGACAGTGTTCATCTTCTGGTATCCTTCCATGTTAAGGCCGGTCTTGAACGCATCGGCGACATTGGTTTGCATTGCGCCCATCATAAGAGCATTGCACTTAATACCCTTATTGCCGTAGAAAGCGGCAGTGTTCTTGGTTAGACCAACAAGGCCATGTTTGCTGGCGGTATAGGCAGCGCCTTTGAGAAAACGCATTAGATTAATCAATATAGAAAGCAGGATAGTTGACATACCGCTAGCCCAACCGGCACGACCAGCCACTGAAACAATGTTGATAATCCGACCGTCGGGTTTCTCCTGCTCCAGCATGTTGCGCACAGCAAGCTTACTGAGAAGGAATGGTGCAGTGAGGTTGATGGCCATCACTCGGTCCCAGAGGTCAACTTCCAAGTCCCCGACTGGGTCGAACTGATCCATGATAGCAGCGTTGTTGACCAGGACATCGACTTTGCCGAATTCGCGGATAATCTCAGCGAATAGACTTTGCACCTCTTCGTTCTTGGTGATATCGGTCTTGATGGCCTTCAAGGGACCCTTGGACGACAACTCTGCCGAGGTCTCCTGCAATCGCTCCTCGTTGATATCGCAAATAACGACGCTGCCACCGGCTTCTAGGAATTTGGTTGCAATGACTTTGCCCAGGCCGCCGCCGCCACCGGTGACGAGGCACACCTTGCCGGCGAGGATTTGATCAGACATTCTGGGAACTTGGGGTGTGGTTGGACGAATATGCTGGTTGGAAAGGGGGAAAGGGATATGTAGATCGATTGGAGATCGAACGCGTAATCTACACTCATTTAAGTGAATTTTTTCAAATAGCGACGGGAAGCATCACATCCGCTCTCCGTTGAGGACAGGTCCTCTCTGTCCACTTTGCTCACGGCTCGGCCGTTGAATTTCCTGGGGAAAGGCCATGGGGCCCGCTTCGAACCACCCAACGCTCCGAGGTGTAATCTTGGTACGCCGTGTACAGTATCAAGAAGCCACGTGCTCTACCTAGACCGAGATAGAGAAGGGGATCTAGAAACATAGTAGAAGAAGATCGGTTTAATATGCATGACGAGTATAGACTATATTCAATGCCAAGAAGCCTTCAATAGTCCGTTCGGCAATTGCCTTCTACAGTCCATTCGGCAATTGATGAGCCTGTCGTGACATTGATTTGCTACACAGGTCAGGGGGGCAATACGGCGCTATGTATCACCCAATATTACCGCGCTTTTCTGCCCGGAATTGCCTGCTCCCGAAGCCCTAAGCCCTATTACCGTATACGGACAACACGCATTGGGCTGTTCGGCACAGACTCGTCAGCCCATCCGATTGGGATCTAGACCCCGCCTTACTGGAAGCCACATACTAAAAATGGCAGCCCGTAGCAAGCGTAACTTTCGGCATGAAAAAACACTATTCGCTTGAAATACGGTCGGACACTTTCCGCAGACAATGGCCCCAGACAAGCAGAAAGCTAAATCGACAAAGGAAACACCAGGAGACAACCGCGCCTTTTGGCTTTCTCATTACACAATTCGGGCTACATAACCTCGGGGGCTTGGTATCAGTTTCCGGGTCTCAAGCCACAAGACAGATGACAGCCTCGGCAACATGGTTACTTATAGGCGGAAGAGCCGACGTCGAAAGTATCGCCTGGGTCTCCCCGCAAACATGTAACTGTAACCCGTAGAAGGTTTTCTGTCGGCCCGAGACTGGCAGACCGGCTCCACTGGCATCGCGGAGACCTTCTCAATCGGGTAATTGACAATCTATCTTATCGTCTATCATGAGAAGGTTACCATGGGGGCTTCTTGGAAGCATGGTGATAGCGGAAGGCGCTCCGATCCCTCCGATGGGTTTATATCTTTCTCACCCGCTCGCCATCGTATCTCACCATCTACCATCTTGGATGTAAGTAGATTTGTTGCAATCATGTCAAAAGAAGAGGACAATACGGTGTTTCAAGACGCTACCAACGAAGATGTTCGTCTGGGGAACCTGGGTTATGAGCAAGGTGAGTCTAATTGGAATCAAACGGGCGCGGGGTCGGAGCTGACATTTGCCTCAAGAGCTCAAGCGGTCATTTGGCCTACTTAGTATGATTGGCTTCAGTTTCAGTGTCGTGACATCGTGAGCATCGCCATCTCAACTGAAGTATATGCACAACTGACGGCGTTTCTAGATGGACTGCTCTGAGCGGTGTTTTCATCGTCGGCGTGACGTCGGGTGGTCCGCCAGTGATGGTGTTTAGTTTCATCGGTGTTAGTATTCTGACTCTTGCGGTTGCCATACCCATGGCCGAAATGTGCTCCATGTACCCCGTGGCAGGAGGCCAATATTCCTGGGTTGCTGCTCTCGCTCCTCCACGAATCGCTCGAGGTCTTTCCTATGTGACTGGCTGGTTCATGATCATCGGTATGTCTGGAGTATATCCATCTGTCATCGAGATATACTGACGTTGAGCCAGGTATCTTGGCAATGGGTGCTACAAACAATTCCATCGCATCGAACTTCGTGCTGGGAATGGCAAATCTGGTCTTTCCGGAATACGAAATCCAGAGATGGCAAACGGTCTTGGTCGCCTACCTGGTCGCTCTTCTATCGACCGCCGTCAACCTTTGGTGCTCCCATCTGCTGCACAAGATCTCAAAGTTTATTTTGATTTGGAACGTCGGTTCTTTCATCATTATCACCATCACACTTCTCGCCACGAACGATCACCTGCAGCCCGCGTCCTTTGTATTCCAAGAATTTGAGAACTCGACTGGCTGGGGTACTGGGATGGCTGCAATTATTGGTATCCTGCAGGCATGCTTTGGAATGTGCTGCTACGATGCACCTTCGCACATGACCGAAGAAATGAAGTACGCCTCTAAGGAGGCTCCTAAGGCCATTGTGATGGCTGTGGTTCTGGGTGCCGTCACTGGGTTTGCCTTCCTTCTTACTCTATGCTTCTGCATCGGGGACATCACGCAGACCGCCGAAAGTAGCACCGGTGTCCCGGTCATCCAAATTATCTATGACTCGACCGGAAACAAGGCCGCCACTTGTATCTTGTCTAGCATGATTGCCGTGATTGTCCTTGTGGCTGGTAACAACATTCTGGCTGAAGGATCTCGTTCCGTCTACGCTTTTGCGCGTGACAATGGCCTTCCTTTCTCGAAGGTCTTCAGCAAGGTTGACAGCAAGACCCAAGTTCCCGTCAATGCTGTCATCCTTACACTTGTTGTGCAGTTGGCTCTGGACGCCATTGAGTTCGGCACAACAACTGGCTTCGAGACCGTCATTTCCATTTCGACGGAAGGCTTCTGTAAGTCCTCTAGCTCTTAGCTTACCGAATAATAGCTAACCACTATTCCAGATCTTTCCTATGCGATGGCTCTTGGGGCCCGACTGCTTGGCTACTACACCGGTCACGTCACCAAGCTCACCGGTCCCTACTCATTCTCGACACCGGTGTCGATCGGGCTCAACATTGTGGGACTGCTGTTCCTGCTGTTCGCAGCCATCACCTTCAACTTCCCTAGCACAGCCCCCGTCAACCACGAATCGATGAATTACACTAGTGCTGCTATTGGCGTGATCGCACTTGTCAGCCTCATCACATGGGTGACAACTGGCCGTAAGCAATTTACTGGACCCGGCGCTATCAGCTTTTCGAGCGGAAATAACACTGCTCAAAAAACTTCCGAAGTGGCTGAAACAGAGGTGGAAGAGAAAAAGACCTGATTTGGTTCCCGCTTGTTGCGAATAAAGTCTGTATTTATATGTGAACATGTACATCGCAGGGACATACACACGCGCCAGCAGCGGCTGTCGCTTGCTACGGCGTATATTCTTAATTTGATTGCTACGTGTACTCAGGTCTTGAACACCTATAGCCATGTAGAAAAGTCGATGTTCTTTCATAACCCTGGGACGGGCATCGAGATCCTGGATCTCGGAGGCCTGTAGATAGGTAGGGAAGAGTGAAGTAGGTTAGTGTTCGCGCAATAATGCCAAGCTCCTCGATTTTATCAGTTTGGCGTCGGCTATTTGACTCTTGAGGGGGTTGTGGATTGCTCGGAGGACTTTCTTGATTTTATTAGAATCGACTTTTTGTATTGTTGTTCACCCATATTCTTTTCCAATTTTCTACCTAGAGTCTAAGTTATTTCACACTTTGTGACATTGATTGGATTTTAAGCTCCCAAAAAGTGTCTCATTTGCCTTATTTATCTTTGCAAAAAGTATTGCCCAAGCACTTTTGATAACAGTAAATGGCATGAAGCCAACGGTGCTCCATTTAGGAAGTACCAATTTTCGTCCCCACTGCTATTCAGCCAATGGATGGTAAAGAGGAGATGGTAAAGCTGGAAATGGAAAGGTTTCGAATCCCACAAATTGTTGTCTCCAGAAATATTCGGCAGAAGACTTGCTGATACCGGTTAGGTACCTGATGAAACTTTGTAAAGGGGTTGAAGGAAGAATTTGAATGCCCTCATAAGCGTGCTGGATCCTTTTCCAAAGCAGCCTGATAGACCATGCATCGTACAAAGCGTGGTGAATTGTCCAAACATAAAACATTTTGTTCGTTCTCTCATCCTTAGCGAGTCCAGTCCTTGAAAATGGATTGCCAAATTCAAAAGTACGACTTTGGTCTTCTGCCACATATTTGTCCAAGTCGATTTCATGATATTAGGTGTTCCCCTTGGCCGTGATCACCTGTAAAGCCCCACACTCTGTTAGGTCTAGCCAGCATCGTCAAACTATATTGTTTCTCGGCGCATGCAACGCTTGCGGTGGGGCATCACGGGCCGAGAATAACCAATAGGTTGAAAACCAGCGTAAAAAATCAGACAAAGAATTACACTATTCAGAAAGTGAGGGAAATAGTTAAGTCTAACAGGCTCCAAGTAATATTGCTGTCGGCCTTGACTTTACATTCCTGCTAGTCACCGGCACATTCCGCCTTTTGAGAAACTGTCTTCCCTTCTTTCTTTTCACCTCCATTCACCGATTTTCAGCACCACCCGCCCGCGCCATTATCTTAATGGCGGCTACCGAGGCTACTGATGACCAGTTTACGGGGGAAAGCTCTGTCGTTTCCCCCACAGACCAGTCAGCCAACGTTTCCGGCAAATCCAACCAGTTAGGCAATGGCAACAAAACTCCACCTGAATACGATTTTGACCAATGCGTCGCGGCAATGAAGGGGAAAGAAGTCCCGACTGATTTAAGCTCTTTTTGGCATCGTCGAGCAGTCATCCGCGGGATTCGTGATTCGCTCGAATTTGCAACAAGCCCGGCAATCGTCGAGCTATGCTTTGGCGACGATAGTCGTCAGGCTTATCAGTTTTCCCGCGCCCGTAATGCCCGCCTGATAATGAGTGACATAATTCCTGATATAGAAGGCCCTGCTACCCAGCCATACTGTATTTGGTATCCAGAACTTGCGTCGCTAGAAACCTACCGTGAGGTTGCCCGTCGATATCCATCTATGCGGTATCAAGTCGGCCGAGCATGTGCTACTGCGGGATATACGGACCTTTACAAAGAACTGGATCTCCTGCCTGACGTGTCTATTGCTGAAGAAGCTCGCGAAGTTGACAAAGATGCCGATATCTACAAGATCATTATGTCAGCCCCTCAAAGATACGCTATTATGAATGATTTCACCCGATCTATCAATCTTGAAAGTCCACAAACACCCGCGTTTCTAAATGGCGATATAAAGCCTCGATGGGCCCTTGAACAGCGTGCCCCTCCTCCCAAAAATATACCCGACACAACTGCAGATGATATTGATATTGAGGAAGATGGGTTTATTGGCTTAGAAGATCTCTGTTTAGAGGATTGTGATGCCATACTCGGCCCAGGAGACTCTGGGCAATTATGGATGCCTCTTCCGCCTGACCTTCCAGTTCTGGAGAAACGCCTTCAAACGCAAATGGCTGCATGGGATGGTAATGTGGACAGATACGCTCGACTGATGCACCCACGTAGGCTCAGAACTTTTACGGAACTGAATTGTATCCTTCGTGGAATTCATCACAGTACGATGTTTGCCAAATGGTGGGCTTATCAGATGGAAACCAACCCCGAACGAGCTATTATCCCAGACAAATTGCTTAGCGAAGGCAATAAGCACGAGAGCCGAAAGATTCGCACCGCGATTACTGCTCGTAAAATAATGAGCAATGAAGTGGGCGGCCTTGAAGATAGCTCAGACTGCCTCCCCTGGATGATCTGGTGGCCGGTGATGCCTCACTATAATACCTGTTACGAGTTGGCTAAAAAGTGTCCGTCCATGAGACTGCAGGTAGCAATTACCTGTGTTCTGTGTGACTATGAAACTATCTTCAAACACTTGAAGCCTCCCCCCCGCAAAGCCCTATTCGCGGCCGCGAAACGAAGCGACAACCCATTCTATCTACAATACTTAGAAGAATGTGCAAAAAAGACAAACATCGAAAGTCGATATCTCGCAGACTTCGGTGACTACGATGCGAATGAATCAAGCTTGGAGGCTGATCTGGAGCCTAGAAAGTCGATAGCCTATAGCTCTATCGACTTTTCCTCTATGGCAGCTGGATGGGCAGAAAATTACAGTATCTATGGCAGCAGGCCGGCGAATGTGGGAGGTGTGGAGAGATACGTGTGGCTGTCAACTGAGACCGCACAGAAGATTGAACATGTATGTGGTGGATGGTATGAGTCACCTAATAGTGACTACGTACATCTTGACCCGAATGACGAAAGGTTCAATACCGTGCAACCTATATTGCCTATGCAATGAAACTCGATATTTCAACATCCAAAAAAAAAAATTCCAAATTTACACTCTCTCCTAGCAAATTACACCGTTTTCAACTATCCAAATCACGCATTTAGTAATCGGTAGAACCTCCTTCAACAGCAACAATAATAATAAAATAGTAAAAATCTGCATGAGTTCGAAAATCAGGGGTAATTTATTTAAAATTAGGGAGATGCCGACCAGAGTTGGCGCCTTAGGATGAGGGCTCCAATTTCCAACATTATTCTCCTGTTTCCCCCCCGTCTCTAACATCTTGCCTCTGCCCACTTGGCATCCGTACTCTGGCTGCTCCGGTCTCAATTGATTGCGGTATCGTTCGACTTTTTTGTATTGTTGTTCGCCCATGTTCTGTTCCAATTTCTACTGTCTTAAGTTATTTCACACTCTGTGACATTTATGATTTAAGCAGAATTATTGCAATTTCAGTAGCAAATTAGACTCCAATGTCAGAAGAGCGCCAGGCGGTTACCATGAGGCTAGATGTCCCCACAAAGCAACTTCGTCAACCTCTTGTGTTCCCACTACCCAATTTCGACGAATCCGATGGCGACGGCGCACATAGTGATAATCAGTAGAGATTTTCTTCGAAGCCAATCTCTCGACGAGCGCGTTTGCCTCAAACAGGCTGACCAATATTCTTTTTCCCGGGTGTTGCTGAGCACGCTCCTGGCAGGTCTGATACACCTGTTCCTCTTTGGTCCTGGAATCCCTATCCTGGATAAAGAACCCGGGCTCACGATCCACTGCGGAATTGGACATGGGATCCCAGTGATTTTGGTCAGTGGTACGCTTGGGAGGGTTGCGAGTTGTATTGTTGACCCACGCATCCACGGCCATCTCAAGTGGAGTGCTGCCTGTGGCATTTTCACGGTACAGCAGATCAGGTCGACGATCGAGCATGAGGTTTAGAAGGTGTGTAAAGCCATTTTTGACAGCTTCATGCACTGGTGTATTTCCAGATCCATCCAGAAGCTCGAGATGCCTTTGATTGGAAGGCTCCGCCAGATCCAATAGGAGGGTAATTGTGAAATCCCTTTCCTTTTTGGCTGATTCTTTGTCATTGCTGTAATCGTTGAATGGATGATATGAATCTAGCTGGCGGGCTAGAGGTGTCCATGATCCATCGCCAGCACGCTGGATCAACATCGAGGAGAGGAGTTCTTTATCCAGCAGATTGATCAGGGGAGAGGGATCTTCCGAGTGCTTGAGAGTTTGATTCTCAACGGGCCTCAGAAGTATGTGAAGAAGATTATTTCCTTCGGTATCCCGAACTGTTTGGTTGGCCCCCGCAGCAATCAATATGCGGGCAAAGTTGATTCGACGAAGGGAGAAGGCGATAGCTAGAGGTGTATGACCTCCTTCCGAGCGCACCTCTAGGCATTCGGGATGGTGATCAACCAAGTATTGGACCAAACGTTCAGACTCCTCACACGGCCTAGACATCACCGCACAATGAAGGACAAGGTTATCTATAAAAGTTAGTAAAAAAAAAAAAACCTGTGATTGAAATATGCCGTGTTGGGACTCACTCCTTGTTTGTAGCCAGTTCAAAATAGATCCTTCAAGCCCTAGATTGGATTGAGCGAGTCTTTTGATCCTCTCGTCCTCCAAATGCGAGTTGACATACTCTAAGTAGTGACGACCCGGCGCTGTGCCAAGGAACCACTCGGTACTGGTGATATTTCCTTGCATGGCAGAGATCAAAAGCGGCGGCCGCCCTTCAGGCGATTCTTTCGGCTCAGGACGTCCAGCACTAGCCCAATCACTGCGCTTCTTACCGCAGATTGATAATCCTTGGTAATATAGTGACTCAGTCTGCGCCTTGACACCCGACTTCTCACTCATCTTTGCGAGTGGAAGACCAACGGCGCTAAACTGAATGAGCTTAGCAAGACAGTCAGTATGACCTAGAGCGATTGCCAGCTGATATTCCTCTTCCAAAGCTTCTCGGGAAGCATCAGACTGATTCTTGTCGGTTGGGAACATGCTTTCACATTCCCGAGAAGCTGCCAAAAGAAAGTCCAGGAGAGACAGATCATTCTTGAAGATTGCGTATTTCCCAAGAGTATCGACACGAATCGAATGTTGATAGTGAAGTCTTGATTGGTCAGAATGGCAGAACTTTGGCTCATGTTTGGTAGAGCGGTTTTCCAAGAAGAGAAAAGCATGGCACCATCTCTGCAATGCTCCGATTGGTAGGACACTGCTTTCCACTTGCGTGGTGACTTCTCCAATGTTTTCGTGGGTGAATCGATCATCAACATCATGGCTCACAATATTGAGGTCTTCGTCATCTGATAAATCTGCATCACTGTCGATCTCAAAGCGCGCTGATGTTTCGGGCTTCTTCACCTTGTATTGAACTCGGAGGATCTGAATCACTGCCTTTGCGACATGTAGATGGCCGCGCAAAATTGCAAGTGAGAGGCATGAAAATCCTAGCGTATCGCATACCGCGATCTCCAGCGGTGGTTGGTCTTGAGATGGCCCCCACATGCCAAGAGTCAGTTCCTTGATTGTTGTGATATCGCCGCTCCACGCTGCCTCGAACCTGCGTTAATGTTAGTTCATGAACCTTTTTTGCAAGAGGAAGACAAAACCATACATTTGTAAATACCCATTGCGAGTGGTATCGGTGATATCCGCTAGGTTGAAATCGAATTTGAACTCGAAAGGCTTTTTGGTCTCAGGATTTTCGTTTCTCTGATTTGACGCGCGCCAGGATGATTCATTTGGATGGGTGGCCTCAGGATCAAGTTCTTCGAGCGTCTTTGCTCCCTTCACCAGCAATTCTGTTTCGAGTGTCTCATAGTCGCGGATCAGTTTGGCAATAGCCTCTCTCTTTTCACTCGTACCAGCTGGCTCTCGAGACTTCTTCTCAGACTCCTCTTGTTCCTCTGCTTCCTTGCTGGACTTCCGTGCATCCTTCAGCTGATTCCTAGCGAAAAATATCTTGTACGTTCCTTCATGGAACTCCTTCAGATATGACTCGTCATCACGCTCAAGAGTCATGGGCCTTGGCTCCCAGCCACCGAGTCGTCCGATGAAAGTCTTCGTTTTCAAGAAGCCTCGCAACTTTTCCAGATACTTTCGAACAGTATCCAAAGCCGTCCATCCCGGAGTGCCCAGGGCCTGAGCTCTTGCATTTGGATCAACTCCGCGGTTGAGTAAATCAAGCGCAATCAAAGGCATGTCGTGATAGATGGCACAGAAAATGGGTTGCGTTGCCTTTGAAACCGGCGTCTGATGATCGCCACCATAGGCCAACAGGTCAGGCATTTGAGCTTTGGTGGCTTTCAAGATATCCGCAGACTCCAAAATAGGCTTTGCGCCGATCTCCAACAACTTCCTTGCCGACACATGCTTCTTGGCCTGTATGGCGCTCATCAAGGCCGAACAAAACTTGATGCTCGAACCCCACCGGCTGCCATCTAATGCCAGGTGATTTATTGCGCGTTGTACAGCTGGCCCATCGTGCTCCATGTAGAGATCCAAGAGATCACTGTAATCGCTTTGAGCAATATAATGCAGCGGGGTCCACTGAGCGAGATCCGCTTGAGCGGGCGAAGCACCGGCTTGTAGAAGTGTTTGTGAAATCTCCCTGGCCTTGTCCAATGGTAGTGCAAGTACGAGCACCAGGTTGAGAATCGTTGCCTGGGGTGTTTTGTCATGTTCATTGACGATTTTGATTGGCATCAGGACATCGGCTCCAAAAGAGGATACCAGTTCTTTGACAGCCTCGACATGGCCGTGAAGAATCGCAAGGTGTAATGGTGTAGTGAGGCTGTCCCATGCAACCACGTTGATGTCGTAGATATCCGGCTCATCATCCTTCGCTTCAATGCTGTCGTCCGTCTGTTGAAAGCTTTCACCTACGTCGCCCCCGTCGACTTCGACTTTGACGTAAGAGGCCGATGTGCGAGAAACACTACCGACGTTACTGCCATCTTCGATGGCAGTTTCAGAATCACCTTCGGAGTCGTCGCTTTCATCATCTTTTGACGTGTCGTCGTGGTCTTCGGCCTTTTCATTCTCATCGCTCTTCGTAAGCAGTATCCGGATGATTTCAACATTTCCTCGAGCAGCGGCAAGATGCAGTGCCGTCTTTCCATCAGCCATCCGTGAAATCAAACGGGCGCCATGATCCACAAGGCATTGAACAATTTCGGGAGTAGAGCACATGCAGGCCAGTTGAAGGGGTGTACGCCCAGTGATATCACGGCGGTTTGGATTTGAGTCTTCCCGGCTAAGGAAGCAATTGACAGCTTCCAAATCATGCGACACGATGGCTTGACACAACTGTTCAGTGCCACCAGTATATGCCATTTCTGTCCAATCAGTCTCGGTGATTGGATTGAAGCTCCCAATTTCTTGCCGACCAGGATCATCTTTGATGAAAGATATTTTACCGGAGATGTATATCTTGCTCTCCTCTTCGGCAATCTTGCGTTCTTCTTCTGTGACGGGTTGGGGACAGGAGCCACAGCAGTCGCCAATGACGTGTTGGGCATCGCCAACGAACGCTGGATGGCGATGAAGATAGACAGCACGGTCCTTGGGCTGATTCCACTCTGCGTTCAAAAGCAGGTCCTTCGTGTAAAGCAATTTTTCAATCTTCCGTGCATTGTATCTGCGACCGTAAGGAATGGTCTATAATTTTGTCAATCGAGACAACAAAGACGCAGCTCGTGGAGTACGAACAAATGTGTGGTAATTCGACACTTGGTCCTCCTCTTGCCACTCAGGTACCTCGTCTTCCCAGTCGTCCTTGATATTTCCCTTGAGCTCTCTTCCTTGGCGACGGCGCAAGTAGATGCTCACGGGAGGACGGCCACGTTCTTCACGTCTCCTGTGCTGATAGGTATCTCGGTCCGTGTTCTTGGGGAGTTTCTCGAGAACCAAAAGTCGTGCCAGTCCTTCGGTTCTAGCAAAGCTTCTTTCGAAGATAGTCTGGCTCATGTAAGTCAAAACCAACTCCAAACCTAGGTCAGAACATCATGGGAGATTCATACCGGATCTATCCTCAAACGCTCGAGTGAGGGCCAAAACACTTCGAAGCCGCGGTGAGAATACTTGGAAAGTCGATTTTCGTATGAAGGAGATCGTCGAGTCAAATCAACTTGATTGGTCTGGGTGATGTATGCAGCAATCGCACGAGGAGAAGCATAAACCTGCTGGCCATCATAGGCAACACAGGAACAGTCCACATCGAAGCCAGTGAGGATTTCAGCCACTGAGCGGTAGATTCGAAGTACAATCTGCACATGCCGTGTGGGGTATTGTGAGACGACGGTGATGGTGTTCTTAGTCCGGATTGTGGTGGTCTCATACAAGATAGTATTCCGGATTGCATCTTCGATGTGTGTGATCTTCTCAATTGCTTGTTCATCCGTAAGGCCGTAGATGAAAAGATCGACATCCGACGCCGGGGCAAACTGATCGTGATAATACTGACGAAGGCCTCGCTTGGACTTGCGGTATTTCTCTGGCACAGGAAGAAGAGATGTCACCACGGCGCTGCCAGCTGCCACGACATTACTCCAGTCCATTTCACCCAAAGCACCTTCGGTGAAGACGGCGAAGTTTTCCTGGAACTCGGCCAAGGTTGATACCACAGCAGAAGAGCCATATTCCCTGCGCATTGATTCGTTGAGGGGTAAAATATATTTTTCTTTCTGCTCAGGTGTCTCTGAGGCTAGATCTCTCGCCCGAACACGAATGTCTGCGGACCCCATGGCATTGTACAACGGCACAATGTTGGCGTGATTGTCTTTCACTATGACATGAGATGGGTCCTGAGCAAATAGCTTGCGTGTAACAGCATCATAGTCATTGTAAGGCTGCACCAAGTCTCCAATAGGAGTATCAGGATGCGAATCAACGTAACGCAAGAAGTCCTCGTGCTTTGCGGGTACCGAAGGCAGGGTAAGAGCCATGGTGTGATGAATACCTGGAAGATTGACAAATATTTGATGAATCTGCTGCTGGAAAGTTCAATGGGAAAATGGATTTTAAATAGACTGAGGATAGATGTATGTCTTGGCTTTCTTTGCGTTTAGATTGCATGGGTTCCAGGCAGACTTAGGCAACAGGTCCCACTTTACTCGACTGTAGCCAATCACATCCACTTTTAACCCACCAAGTAAATCCTCTTGAATCCGCGTAGCATTGGAAAAAAGGGGTGTTAGGCAGAGCCCCGCTTTTGAAGAGGTCAAGGGCCTTCAATTAAATTACTAATCGGAGTTGGGAACCTGAAAAGTTTGGAGATGCAGTACTTGTTACATACCCAAAGTGTGTTACGGATTGCATCCTTTGAAGCCTAACTAATCATCCAACGTTAACGGCTCGTAACACCTCCATTATCCGAATTCGCTGATTCAATCTAATTTTTGAGCACATGAAAGAAGCTATTCACTGTAACTTAGATACAACGCATGGCAAACCCTCCCGGTGAAGTAGCGACCTACTGACTCGGTTCTATTTAGTGAATGAGTACGTATTCTAGCTTATGGGAACTCTCTTCGGGTAAAATTGATATGCCCAGTGTAGCGAGCTATTAAAAAACAAGACTTTATAACTTCCTTAGCCTAATTAAGTTGCAAGGTCAGGACAGAGAGGGCAACAGATACCATAACAGCGGGAACGTTGGCGACCCCGAAGCTAATAGCATTGCCTGTCTTTTGGGCAGACGGCGACTCGCTGATATTAGAAGCGGCATTCGAAGTTGAGTTCGCAGTGGCAGTTGAGCTAGTGTTGGTGCTCGAGTTGGCACTGGAAACGGCAGTCGCAGACGCAGACGCAGATGCGCTGGAGGATGACCCGGTGTAGTTGGGGTTCTTAAGAGTAGGCGCTTCGGTACCCACAAGTCCGGCTAGGCTGTTTGTTTTGCTTGGGCTGCCGACACAATAGCTCCATCCTTCAATTGGATTACAGGGATCCATAACCAGAGAGGGATTCTAGAAATATTCTTATTAGCGATTCGGAACGGGGTGAATAGGGGTTACCAACTTACCCATTCATGTAGTTGCAGGTAATCGATATCGAAATCGCTTTCGAGCTTCTTGCAAGTATCACCGGAAGCAATGTCGTTGGCCCATCGGCTGCAGTTTTCAATCACATCGGGATCGGTCTCTCCGGTCGCTTTATCACCGAGTTTGTACGCACAAGCTGCCTCTCCGAGGAGAGCAGCAATGAAAAATATGGACAGCTTCATAACGTTTCCTCCTTTGAAAAGAAATCTCAGGGGCCTCGACGAAAAGGCCCAGCAACAAGGCCTGATGCTTAGTGTCTTGGCAAACAAACCAATCCCTATAAAAGGCGCCAAGACTGCCCGGCTAGCTGGCTTGGGGGCTAAACCCCTGCATGGTGAAACGGGGTCCCACTCCGCTTGGCAATGTTTACAAGAAAGTTAAGTCGAGGTGGCCAAGCGCTTGTTGCACCTCATGTTGGGTCGCAGATACCGGTGTGACGACTCCTGTTTCTTTTTTTCAGGTATTGAGGTACGGGGGACAATAAGTGCTAATGAATGCCTTGGACCACTCCAGTGAAGGCAAGGGAAAGCCGAGATATATACAAGAGCATACCGGCGATGAGCAAGTACTACTGGTGGATGATATATCTATACTTCCCATGCAGGGTTAGATTATTTTTGGAACTGAAAAGTCTGGCAGCATTGACACATGTTCATCCGCTAGATCATAGATCGAATTTGCTGATTGGAAAATGCGCGATAGTAGATAGATTCAAGTACGGGTTCACTGAAAGTTTAGCCTCCGATCACCCTCCAGAGGCTTTCCCCATTTTCCACGTCATGGATTGTGTAACCTCGATGCGCTAATCCTGCGGTGTGCCCATCTGCACGTCCGATATGCGAACCCCCCCCACGGGCACCCAGCTGAGCGAGACCCAGGAAAAAGTTGACCGGGACTAAGAGAGTTTCTGACTAATCCCGAGTCCCGCTCAGCTGGAACCCGCATCCCCACTCATCCTTTGCCCTTTCTCTCACTACTGTACCCTGTCAGATTCTGTAGCGTGTTAAAACAGCTTTTGCCTCTCATTTGATTCCCCCACGGGCCTTTTCAGGTCTCTGTGCTCAAAGAATCCACCCCACGATCAACCTTACCATATGCAGGATGACGTCCAATAGACTTTAGGCACTGCATAAGCGTCCGCCATAATAGATAGACCACACACCGAGTAAGAATGGGTGAACCAAAATAGCGGTCTATGTTTGCGGTCTCGGACCTCCCAGTATTTGACTTTTGCTCATTGGCATGTTTTCGAGGCAAAAAGTAAACTCCCAGCCCCTTGGTCCAGTCCACACGCATAAAAAGAGTCCAATGAAGAGTCGCGTGGAGCTGGATCTCGGCATCGGTGCACAAGGGCTTCCAAAGAGGCGGTATGTCGAGTCGGCTGGCCAATGATCAATTCTGATCTTGTTGATCACTGACGATGCTTGCGATATCCTGCAGGATGTGGGACGGAGCGAGAGCAGCTGGTCCGTGTGTCAGATAGGAAGGAAAGATAGTTTTAGTGAATATCCTGCCCCGGATTTCGCAAGTCGTGCCACATTGCCATCGTCGAGCCTGTGTGACCTTCGCGATGCAAATCTAATTGGGACAATAGCGGGGTCACAGTACGGCATTGACATGGAAGTGAGCTGGTGTTGACTTCATTCTACTTATTTGCACTCGTCCATCGGTGACTTTGACATTGGAGCCGGGCACTTCTGCGCTGAGCATCGAGCGCCAACTACACCTTAGCCACCTTTACCTTTGCAATTCTCCCCCCATTAAGAATGACGTTAGTCGTTTGCTTCCTGCTCGGTAGTGTCCTGGCCTACGGCTTGGTCTCTCTCGTCTATCGTCTTCATGTTCACCCACTCAGCAAATTCCCGGGGCCCCGCTTGGCCGCTGTGACCGGTCTGTATGAGATATACTTTTCGGTCTGGGGTCTTAGCTCGTTCGATGACGAAATTGAGCGAATGCATCAGGAATACGGTAGGTGGGCTACTCCATATACTCCCCCACATCGGAAAGTCTCGCTACTGACAAACGGAAGGCCCCGTCGTTCGCATTACTCCCGACGAGATCCACGTCTTGGACCAGCTTTACAACACCAACTACGTCAACCGCTGGGTCAAAGGTAGTCAGAGTCTGGACTCCGGATCTCACCAATCGGGTAGAATCTCTATGAGCTTCCAAATTCGGAAGCGATCGATGTCGAGAGTTCGATCGATCCTTCAAGTGGAGATCCATCAGATCATCCGAGGCCTTGTGCGAAAACACCATGTCCACAAGCTGTTTAGCTCCAGCATGCGGCCGTTTCCCCCCACTTTAAGCCCGCTCATGATTCGCGTTGATCCCCCGAGAGGGAGCGACCTGGAAGATGGACCCCAAAGTGCGCGCTCGTTCCCCAGACCTCGGCTTTTCGGGGTAGCAGAGGGGAACGTAGGGCCGTGGAAGCCGAAAGTCAATGAACAAGGACTGTCGGCGATGCGGTCGGGTCACGTCGCCGATTGCCGTTTCGAGTGAACATCCTCCATCACAGAGTTTGGGGGCGAGAATGTCTCGGAAACAAACCGAATGTTTTCGGAGGTATAACTGGTTCACCCCCACGCGGGAGCAAAGCCGAAGTCTGGTAACGAAGTCGGCATTAGAGTTACCGAGCGGGCGCCAGTAGGAGTGAACGAGATATCATCTCCGTTACCCTTGTGTTTGGGTCTACCGCATGGCGCAAATCGGATAATATACACAGTATACGATCGAGATCACATCGAACAACAGGTTCTGGAACATCAAAGAAATAACCGTGTGAACCAGGTGAAGGCAGGGCGCGGAGTGGACACCGAATTCAGGGCTTCTTTGTTGAGAGGGGTCTCCACCACCCGAACCCCGAATTCTGCACCCGCCCTGATACCTTTCTGCGACTCGAGCCTCACGTCTTCTCTTCTGTCTCTTCCCTTTCGTCTCTTCGGTTGTCTCCCTTATACGCGCCCGCCGACATGGTACGCCACCCCTGTTCTCGTCCCTGGCCGCTCTGTGGTCCCCTGCTGCCCCAACTGGCCCATTCCAGGGCACTGATCACCGCAGACCCCTACTCGGAACAGGACTGATGCGATTGTCTCATTCAGCCTCACGCCGACTCCTCATATTTCTTCGGCTCGACCAAGGCCGAAGTCTTCCCCCAAGTTTTGGATCAGGCGAAGGGCCTCGTCGCCGGACAGCGGAATTGGGTGAGTTCTCCTCCCTCCGGTGGTCGCAATGTACCGAGCGACAATCTGTGGTCGCGTCCAGTCGATTGAACCATGAGCTGACTGAGTTCGCATTAACAGGTTAGGTGAGCTGCCAATCCCTGCATATGTAGTGTGACACCCGTCACGACGCACTCCACACCACTTGAGCCTCACGGAACTCACACCATCCTAGTAACCTCGCCAATGTCTCCTCTCTCCTCTGGCATGCCTACGCAACCCTCCCCTCGCCATCCTCTTCCGTGAACTGGGCCGGTTTCTATATCCGCGATGATAAATTCCCCACCCTCGCCTCCCCTGTACAATCGCCGCCGCTCCTCGGTGGTCAAGTGACCATCTCGACTACATATGCGTCCATGGACGAGGAGCAGACCCTGCTGCTAGGTCCGTTCCACGGCAAGCCCGCTTGCCAGCTGATTAAATTTGGAAAGGGCGTGTGCGGCACCGCGGCTGCGAGGCAGGAGACCGTTGTTGTGCCCGACGTGATGAAGTTTCCTGGACACATTGCCTGCGATGCGGAAAGCCGGAGCGAGATCGTTGTCCCTATCATTGTGAACGGACAGGTATGCATTTGAAGTGTCCCACTGCAGGTTGAGAAACATGCTGACGGGACTGCCTATAGACCGTCGCCATCATCGACATCGATTGCACCGAGCCCTCTGGCTTCGACGACGAGGATAAGAAATACCTCGAGGAATTGGCCGAGATGCTAGCTGAAAGCTGTGACTGGTAGACAGTTAGACGATCCAAGATACGAAGCACTGTGTTATGTGATACGATTGAGATTTATAATAGGGTTGGACCTTTGAACCGCCAACAATTTTCAACCACAAAAGTTTGAAAAGTCCCTTCCGCTTCGATGTGCATTTTGAGCAACTCGGTGGTTTAAAGTGCTTGCCACGTTACATTCGTCCGTTTTCCGGCCTTTGTCTGTGCCGTTTGAATATTTTCTATGAAAAAGTATTTAAGAACTTGACTAGTTCGATTAGCAGTCTTATTCATTCCAAGAGTTAGGACGCCGGAACACCCTTAGCCAAGATGAACCTTTATCTAAATGCTACCTGGATCGGCTGCACTTCCTATGAAATGCAAGATCGGCAGTGTGGAGATTGCGCTTGGATCGCGTGTCCCTGCCAAGTAACATCGCGCCTGGGCATCAAAGAGTTTGTGTCAACCTGCACTGAGACGCGAGGCTGTAACCGTCCATGTGGGGTGCCATTGTGGATGCAGCTACAGCCTGACAACAGATGTAATCAAAAAATCTAGGACCCACGGTGATCAGCTCCTATTCGACCGCCTGCCTACCTAGAGACCGATATGGTGGTCTGATGGGCAAGATAGAACCGACAGAATGAGTGGTGAATTTGTGGGCTTTTTGATTATATCTGTTGTCAGGCTGTAGTTGGATACCAGGTGGCCGTGTTTCAAGCTGGGACAGCCAGGGACAGCCATTGACCCACGCGGGAGCCGTTTTACAGAATTGACCGGGGAGAAGGTGAATAGCTCATCCGTGCAGATATTGAGAAGTTCGATTTATTTAGAGCTATGCACATGGTTCGACAGCATATACAGGAGAATAACCGAAATTGACCTAGAGACCGGCTGCTGATTCTCAGAACCCAACGGTAACCTCAACACCACTGCTGCTGTGCTCGCTCTTGAAACCAGCCTTTCCCTTGCAGTCACCATACTCGTACGCATTCTGCAGTTTTCCAGCATTGCCACTCGAAGTAGTCGGAACACCAAACTTGACCTCGGTCTTGGGAAGCGAGCTGCAGGAGTGCGATGGCTGCGAGTTCCAGGGATAGTACTCGACAAAGCCCATCTGGGAATCCTTAATACCCTGCGACCCCGACGGGAGGGTGTAGGAGCCAATGTGGTGGTGTTGTCCGGTAACAGAATCAACCAGAGTTCCGGTCCAGGTGGTACCTCCGGTGTTCTTGATTTCCAGCAGATATCCATGGGCGTAGGTGGTGTCGACATCCACGGAACAACTCACACCGGCTCCGCCATCCGCACCGTTACTGCAGTTGTCATCGCTGGAAGTGGTTCCCTCGACGAAGCTAGAGAAGACGGCATGAACCACGGACGAAGAGCCGGAGTTTGGGCGTGGCTGGAGGCCGGTGTAGCCAATGTCCTTTTGGCCGACGAAACCGAATTGCTGTGCGAAATAGTAGCCGGCGACATGGGGTGCGTGCGGCATGGAGATGGGGAAGGTGATTTCCTTCAGTCCGGCCGAGGGCACGTTGGATACACTCCATGAGACGCCGACCAGAGCCTCGGAGGCTTGGAAGACGCAGGAGAGGATGGTGGCGCGGAGGATGGACGAGGCGGTCTTCATTTTGGTATCTTGGCTTGAGATGTTGAGAGGAAGAAATTGATGGGGTTGATATCGTTGCAAAACTGCTGCAGTCGCTGCTTTTTATAGTTATTCGGAGTTTTGGTCGTTCAATCAAGCCAAAACGCCGATTCTCATTATAGTTCCGGAGTTTTGATCGCTTAATCAAGCCAAAACGCCGCGGCGTTTCAGTGCAGATAGTGATCTGCAAACCTAATCGAGGTTCGTCACGGGGTTACATAGTGAACCGCTACATGTTAGAACGAGCAGGTCAATAAACACGGGAATTGTTCCACCAACACCCTCCCTTACGTGACTACAGATCATCGGTACCTGGCCTGAGAATTCGCGGCATTGAGGTACGTACCTTTTGCCGAGCCCACTCCACGTGGCTCACGTTTTTGGTTACGAACTGTCATGTTATGGTAAACAAGTATTTTACTACCACCCTGTATTTATTTTCGTCTGCTTCCGAGTCTTCTAATATCGACAATAACTACCTGTAGCGGAAGTAGACTATTGGCGTTCCCCCGCTCTAATGCTAGGGAGGTAGAGAACATCCAGAGCCTCGTCTGCAATCCTGTGTCATGAAAGATTCCTGCCCTCCAGAAGCTTCTTTGTCCTTCCTCCCCTTTCTCCATTTCGATGAGTATAGAGGTGTCATGTTTATCGCACCACTCGATCACTAGATGGGTGCGTCCTAATGTATCCAAGTTAAGTGATAAATGTAGATATAGATATGTGGATCTTGAGAACATATCAAATCTGCTTACCTGCTATCCAAATCAAAGAATAAAACGAGAGTTAATAAAGCCAACAGCCATACAAAGGTTTATGCATTAAGGGATTATGTAGGCAACCCGTTTGCTGTAAGTCTAAATCTCCGGACCCACCCCAAAAGATAAGGTAGGCTCTCCAACCAGGTAACCGAGTCCTTGTATGCATAGATGACATCGTACTCTAATTCATCCGTGAAGCTAGGCAACGACTGTGAATATTTACCTGACAGATGGCATAAGTGAGGAAAATGTGCATTGTATTAGCACCGGAATGCCCTCTAATATCCAAGTTCCTGGCAACAGAAGTAGTGACAGTAAAGTCTAGAATGAGCAGCAGAACCCAGTAGTGCCGAGAAACAGTCAATCCAATCGAAAGGTATGACAAGAATATGTAAAGTAGTGACCGCTAAACTGTCCCTAAATACGCTATACCAAAAAAAAGCCGAAAAGCCATGAATCTATGCATGAAATGACCGTGCCCAAATGCATCTCCGAGGCCAAGATATATCGTAAACGCCGTGTCCCGGGCGAAAGACTTGAAAGTGGTAGATGTATAACAGAAACACATGCTGCAGATCATGAATCACATGTTCAGCAGGCTCATTTGTCGCCGCATGGGGTTGGGCGATAGGGAGTCACCGTCTTCGCTAGGGCCAAGGCCACTGTCCGTGCCGTTTAGTCCTGCATCGGTGTCGATGTCCCACTGCTCATCTTCGAGCTCAGGATTGCCCTTCGCACCGCCATTCCAACTTTTCTGGATGGCACCACGGGTGTTCCAGCGCAGGGCGCGTTGAACACTGGTGAACCATTCACCGCTATCGGCGACCACAGTTGGGAATGGATACTGGCTAGCCTCGACAGTGACGTAGTCACCTTGACGGAGTTCAATACGACCCTTGCCGTCAAAGGAGCAGTAGGCAGTCGACCGTGAGGTATTGGGCACGGCAACTCGGAGAAGATGAGAGTCTGAAAGGACCATTGGGCGGAATGAGAGGGTGTGAGGACAGATCGGAGTGAGGAGAATGCCTGGTATTGAGGGATGCATGAGAGAGCCGCCAGCGGACAAAGAGTAGGCAGTGGAGCCGGTAGGAGTCGAGAAGATGCATCCATCGGCTTGGACGACGGTGAGTAGCTCATCATCGGCATAGAGTTCCAAGTTGGACACGTAGGGAGAGGGGCCGCGGTCGATGACGACCTCATTCAAGACTTCGAACTGCTCTCCTTCTTCGACTGCACCGGCCTCGGCGCCCTTGCTTCGGTCCTTTCGGAAAACTGTACATGTGAAACGCATCCGCAAGTTGACGCGCATGCCAACATCTCCCATAACGGCGTTAAGATGTGATTTGTGGTGGGCGAAATCGAAATTTGTAAGGAAGCCGAGGCTTCCTAGCGAGAAACAAAGCACTGGAGGCACTACACGCTGGAAGAGCCATGATGTGAAAAGGACAGTCCCATCACCGCCGAGGGTGATGACCAGATCGAACTTCTCTGGTGATGTCCAGCAGAGATCGGGTGTCCAAAAGTTGAGCATCTGCGCGAATCGCGGTTCCTTCTGAAGGAGACCGTCTGTGTCGAATCGTTTGGAATTCTGGAGTTTCGCATCGACATAGACGTTGACTCCCAAGTCACTTCCGTATCGCGGTGTTGATAGCAGCCACTCTGCCACTTCGCGGGTCAAATGTACGAGGCTATTATCGCGTGCCTTGGTGACGATCATGACATTGCGCACAGCGCGCTTGATCGGCCGTCTTTGCAACTGCTTCGATACTTCCCGAACCCCTGTTGCAGTTTGGACCAGCCGGGAATGTGATAACCACTCATCGTCTGCAATCTCCTCCAAAACTTTCGTTATATTGACGGCGTCGTCGAAGCGCTGATGGAAGTAGCATGGCGACTGTAGCATCAGTCGCGCCGTTGCCGGGGATCGTTCGAGATATGAGCCCAGTTGTAAGTTTGAAAGCGCTGCAGATAGCCTTTGAGAGGAATCGGTGCTACACCGACGTTCCTGGTCCTTTTCCTGGTCCTTCTCGTCTGGCGGAAACGAGGTCTCATTCTTGTTATTAGCCATCTGCCCGGACCAAGGGTTCGTAAATGCGGTGCTGCTGTTATGGCTGGGAAAGTTTGGCCGCGAAGCCAAGGCTTTCATAATGGTCTGTCGTGGAATACAGTCTGTCGACAGCGCTTTTTGGGGACGTCCGGAGATCGTCTTTTGGCGAAACCGGCGCAAGGAAGAAGAGGGCAGTGACCAGCCACTAGCCTCCTCCTGGGTCGAATCGTCCTTTTGCGTTGAAAGCACGGCGCTGCCGGTAGCTCGCGGGGCGGGGTTGTATGAATGAACCCCGGAAGGCGTCTGCGAGGGCTCTATATGAGAAGCATAGTCATGGAGCAGGGCCGCGCTGATGGCAGATGCGGATGGGGAAGATGGAGCACTGGTAGTTGGTGCCGGAGATGGGTGAGACGGAGAGCGCACCGATGCGGCAGGCAGCGTCGAAGTTATGTCAGATCGGACAGAATCACTATCGGGCGACGCCATAGGACACGTAGATTGGCTGTCGGCAGGATTTGAGGTTAGGAGGTGTCGACGGATACGCGGGATTCGGATGTAACGGGGATTGCGGGCCAGCAGTCAAGCCAGATTGGGTCATCCGCTGTCGTGGGTCGCCCTGGACCGGCGGTTTCAGCATATGCCTGGATTTCCACTTGGATTCTACCGTCTTCCACCGTGGTTCTTGGATCGGCCGACAGGGATGCGCCCGGATAAACTGGGGTTGCCCCGAGCGCCGAGTGGGGGCTGCAATTGATGCGGTGCACAAATTTCCCGGAAACTCGGGGGTTGCGACTTTCGTTCACTCGTTCACTGATAGTATCAAAGACGGGGCGGATCAAAGATCAGGGTCCGACAACGGAAGCGAAACCGCAGGACAATCGCTCGACGTGAACTTGGACAAAATTGCCAGCTTTGGAATTCGCGGAGTTGTTGACAAATACCCGGTACTTGGAACATGACGTTTACCCCGACACTGCCGAACAATACTATGGTTTTACTGGATATCATGTCTTAGAGGGATGACGAAAGCGCTTGGGTCTGGATTGCAAGTCTTTTTCATTTTTCTGCGCATATTGCACAACTCTCGCGCCGCGTAATAAGCTACCGGGATTAAAGTAGGCTTCAATGGTTCGGGTTGATCGGCCTGATCGACTCGATCGGATTGATCTTTTCGCCTACAGACTGGTGCAAAAGCTTATCGGTAGGCAGCTCTGTCCGAGTCGACCTATGCAACCTTCATGGGAAAGTTGTAAGGCTGTGCAACCACGCCATCCGCCGACCCAGGGGCGCCAGGCCTCGGATTGGGATTCCACGCCGAGAGTAGGCAGAACTGAGGGTTGTCTGCACGGAAATCTATCCCCGCTGACACCAATAACTTACCTGAGCTCATACACATGTGGTGACGGTCAGATGATAGGGCTTCGATCGGATGTGCAACGCAGCCTTTGTGGGTCACATTCTCGTGTTGCCAGTATCCAAGGAGGGTAAAAGTGCCGTTGCGGAGATAAGCTTATGATCAGGAGGGGGATCACAACGGTGGCCGAGGGTTGTTGGCCTCGGACTTATTGCGTATCTCCAGCAGTCATCATTCCGTGCCCTTGTTACAGTAGTTGAATTCCTCATCAGTTCGAGTCAATCTTCCAGGCGTAGTCAACGTGAAAACGGTCCTCCACAGTTTCGCGAATGAAGCTGTCCAGGCGGACACCATCTGTACCCTCGCCCATTGCAACGTCCCCGTCGGCTGCAGAGACTGCCGCTCCGCGGCAAATAGAGGATGCTCGCTCTCGAACTGCCTCCCAGGTGTCAAAATCGAATCGTCCCTCGCTCTCGTTGAGCAGGAGGTGGCCCTTGGAGGAAAACGCCAAGACGTGGAGAGAGGAGGCTGCTTTTGCGTCGGCCGCCGAGGGGTCGGAAATGATGTCGCCGGACTTAGTTACGCCCAGCAGGGTAGAAGAGAATGTCATGGACAGAGGCACAGCGGCGGAAAGGAGAGCGAGCAGGGATGTGTGCAAGAGGGCGGGGAGGATCGTGAGATACTGTGGCTGTCAGTCGAAACTATTTCTCAAAGGAAACAAACCCATTGACTTACAGAGTCACCTCGTTCCACAATGTCACCTCCAACGATAGCGAGTGTGATCACCACACCTCGACGAGGAAATCCCCTTTCGCGTCCCAAGACAACCTCGCTCAACACACTTCGCAGGATGCCCTCCACATATCGCTCACCGACACCGGCGGTGGTATTCCCAGGCTTGACGAAGACCTCCACAGTCGCTTCTTCGGGCTTGAGGGCGTCCCGGCGGGCTGGGAGCTCAATGGGCGCATTGACGGAGCCCAGCAGATCGTAACCGGTGGCCGGGCATTTGTAGGATGCCGAGCCGTCGGCACGGTGCAAAGTCGAGAGCGAAGCTGTGGGACCGACCATTTTGTGAGGATGATAGGAGGAGGGAGTTGATCGGGAAGGAGTTGGGTGCCTGGTTGAGCTTTGAACGTTGAACGTGGGCTCGACGCGATTTTTTATGCGGCATGCAGGTCGCCCTCTGATTGGCTGTTGCCCACCCCGTAAAGGTCGAGCTGGCCGAACTTCTTAAACCACCATTCATTCGGCGTATATTATCTTAAACATACCATTAAGAAGTAGATCTGGACTTCTTTAACCAACTTATCAAAAAAGGAAAGCTACAATAAACCGAATTTCTCCAATACTGATGACTAGGGCTTTCCCAATTCGTCCAAGGTTTGTGCTGAACATATCTAGTCGTCTCGCCACATACAAGTAGCTAGTTGACGTGAAATAGTACTCTCAATTTCTTTAACAAGGCCGATTTAGGATTGAATTTGTCTTTTCGGCTTTAATGCACATGCCCAACTGTGGTTATACGTGGGCACTTTGATCACGAGGGATCTATTATCGGACCAATCCACCTAAACTTCTCTAGCGCGAGCTTTCATCCATATTGACGGAACTCTGCCCAGAGGCTATACGTCACGGTACACAGCACACAGCCATTCCAGATGCGCCGAGACCTTGAAACGTGGCACTGCAAATGGTTGGCAAATCATGGGCGCGATGCAGTCATGGACTCTTCGGAACCCATGGTTTTCCACGAGGAAATGCACAAAGAACGAGCAAACCTGATTTCGGGCTATTGATACCTTGGATGCTTCATAACTACGCTCAGCTTGAATGTATTGTGAACCTCTAGAGATCAACCCCGGTTCGAGCAGGACAAGGATGCGCGCCGCCCGGACGCCGGTGGCTTCCCCTCCCCAGACGAGGGCGCCCAATCAGACAGTGGAGAGGCAGACTCCCAAGACAAACTAGCCCACTGCCAATCGGCATTGTCGCAAGCTATCTTCTCCCGGATCAAATCAGCCAAGCACCCGTTCTCTTGGGATGCTCCAATAATATTATGGCGTCGAGGTGGTGACAACAATCCCCCGCTCCCTGCGTGATAGTCCCTCCTAGCGAAAGAAAAACGACCACTACACTGCCCCTGTAAATACGCATATCCCCCGCTTCTTCCTTACCTTTCCTACGTTGTATCCCGAGAGCGATAGTTTCATTTCGACAAAAGGAATTTCGTTGTTTAGGCTGTTTATTGAGCAGAAATCACCTCACTCTCCTTTCCCCACTTTCTTTCCACCTACTTGAATGGGCATAGAGACGCTTCCCGATGTCGAGGAATCGACGGAGCCTCCTATATGTGACTTCACGGAGCCCACTACAAATCCACATGCAACTGCCAGCATAAGCTTTGAGCCGTGTCACCCCGACGAGAAGTCTACGCCTACACCCGGTCGTAGTTCGAGCGAAATACTTGAAGATCAAGCCAAACATGCCCATCTTTTGGAGCCTTCCGATATTGCCGCTCTTGCCCAGACGGATCTACAGTACGTAGAGATCTAATACCCTTGGGTGTCCGATATCCAAGAATTTCCCTCTTACCCTTTCTCTCTAGAAATGGAATCTCCGATACAGAGGCGAGACTTCGCTTCACGAGGGATGGACCAAATGTTATTCGCGAAATCAAGGGAGTCTCCGTCTGGGGAATAATACTAAGGCAGGTTTCGAACAGCCTGACCATAGTGAGTTGTCCCTACAATGTGTCCCGAGGGGTGCGGTACGAAGATTTGCTCATGTATTCAAAGGTCCTACTCATCACCATGGCTCTGTCCTTTGGAATCGATGACTATATTGAGGGAGGCGTCATAACGGCTGTCATTCTCTTGAACATAATTGTAGGGTAGGTTATTGCGCACTGGGGTTTGTGGTCTTTGAACTGACTGACAATATACTAGATTTGTTCAAGACTACCGAGCCGAGATGACCATTCTATCCCTGCACCGCTTGTCCGCCCCCGTATGCAGAGTCATTCGCGATGGCCGAATGACCTCCGTTAAGGCCGAGTCGGTGGTTGTTGGAGATATAGTTCAACTGGCAGTCGGTGATATCGTGCCTGCGGATCTACGGTTGTTCGAGGGCATGAATGCATCCATGGAAGAAGCTCTTTTGACGGGCGAGTCCCTCCCAGTTCTCAAAACGCCGCATGTAACCCTCGCATCTCCAAACATTCCCATCGGTGACCGCACCAACATGGCATACTCGGGCTGTAGCACGACCCAAGGCCGAGCCACAGGAATTGTTGTTGCAATAGGGATGGGGACGGAGGTGGGGAAGATTGCCCAGCTTCTCCAGGAAGGAGACATTACTGGAAACCGGAGTCCTCTTGCTCGCTTCTTTCAACGCCTGAAATCTTCAATTGCGAATATCTTGGGCTTGGTAGGCACTCCGTTGCAAGTCAAGCTGAGCAAGTTCGCGCTCCTGCTTTTTGGACTGGCCATTCTGTTGGCACTCATTGTCTTCTCAGTCAATCTCTGGGATGTCCAGGGCGAAGTCCTCATTTACGGGATATGTGTCGGCGTGGCCGTCATTCCAGAGTCCTTGATCGCAGTACTCACAATCACTATTGCGGTTGGCACCAAGGCAATGGCCAGAGGCAATGTAATCGTCCGGAGACTCCAATGCCTGGAGGCCGTGGGTGGTGTCACAAACATCTGCTCTGACAAAACTGGTACCTTGACCCAAGGAAAGATGGTCGCTCGCTCTGCATGGATCCCAGGCGCTGGCACTTTGGCGGTGTACCAGACAACTGACCCATATGACCCTACCAGTGGCCTTACTCAGTTGGATCAGATTGACTGCAATTTAAATTACCCCATCGAACAAAGCCCTGCATTACATACCTTCCTTTCTGCTCTAGCGCTTTGCAATCTTTCAGTAGTGCACCATGACAATGGGATGTGGACTGCACTTGGCGAGCCCACCGAGATTGCCCTGCATGTCTTAGCCATGCGATTCGACTTTGGCAAGAAGCAAGTGATAGAGAGAAGAAAGATTGAGCTAAACACAGAATATCCTTTCGACTCGGCTATCAAGAAGATGTCTGTCGTTTACAGAAATTCCGCCGAGAAGCGCAATGAGATATACACAAAAGGTGCACCCGAGTCTATCATTCCATCCCTGTTAATCAGCGAAGGTGAAGCGCAGATTATCCGAGAAACGGCGGATCGAATGGCCGGAGAGGGTCTTCGCGTTCTATGCATTGCCTACAAAATGGCCCCGACTGACCAAGAGGACCAAATCTCTCCACGCAGTGCCGCTGAATCAAGCCTTCAGTTCGGAGGCCTTGTGGGACTATACGACCCTCCACGCGTTGAGACAGCCGCTGCCGTTCGCAAATGTCAGATGGCGGGAATCACGGTTCACATGCTCACTGGCGATCACATCAAAACAGCCACGGCAATTGCATCAGAGGTCGGAATTCTTGATCGAGTCACTGCCATGACGAAACCAGGAAAATTGGTCATGGCTGCAGACGAATTTGACAAATTGACGGATGACGAAATTGATTCAATCGAGAATTTGCCTCTGGTCATCGCTCGCTGTAGCCCTGCGACGAAGGTTCGCATGGTGGAAGCAATGCATCGTCGTCAAGCATTTTGTGTCATGACTGGCGATGGCGTCAATGACTCCCCGGCTCTCAAGAGAGCTGATGTTGGTATAGCGATGGGGAAAAATGGCAGTGATGTCGCTAAAGAGGCTGCCGACATGGTTCTAACGGACGACAATTTCTCATCTATCGTCAAGGCCGTTGAGGAGGGGAGAAGACTGTTTGATAATATCCAGAAGGTATTTATCCACGTCAGTCAACTAGAAAAAGAGCATACTAACAGCCAACAGTTTCTCATGCACCTCCTTATCTCCAACATTGCCCAAGTGATTCTCCTTTTAATAGCCCTTGCCTTCAAAGATGCCGGATGGGACTCTGTCTTCCCATTGTCTCCGCTTGAGATCCTCTGGGCCAACCTAGTTACATCTTCTTTCCTAGCCGTTGGCCTGGGCCTTGAAGAGTCACAACCTGATATCATGTATCGACCACCTCACGACCTACGCGTTGGAGTCTTTACGCGCGAGCTAGTTGTCGACAAAATGATCTACGGTACGTTCATGGGCTCGCTCTGCCTGGTAGCATTCGTATGTGTCATCTACGCCGCAGGCACTGGGACCTCAGATCTAGGCGATGGATGCAATCAGGGATACAACGCGTCTTGCGACGCCGTTTTCCGAGCGCGCGCTACAACCTACGCTACATTGACCTTTCTGTTGCTTGTTACAGCCTGGGAGGTCAAACATTTCTCGCGGTCCTTATTCAATATGGACCCTATCCGCTTCCCGCAGAAACTTTCAATTATTCCCACGGTTCGGCAGAACCGTTTCCTCTTCTGGGCGGTTATGGCCGGGTTCTTCGTTGCGTTCCCGGTTATCTATCTTCCAGTGATCAATCAGCTAGTGTTCAAGCATCATGCCATTACCTGGGAATGGGGTGTTGTGTTCGGTTGCACAGCTGTGTACTTGGCGTGTGTGGAGAGCTGGAAAGCGACTAAGCGAGCGTTTGGTATTGGCAGCGGGAAGAATACTATTCTCACTTTGGAGGATGCGGAGACCAGGGCGGGTCTGAGTACCACGCCGCTGTCTATGAGTGCCGATGCCAGCATTGAAATGAAGTGAGTTGGTGAAAGGGATTTGTTTGACTGATTCAACATCAATCATCACATTGGATTACGTACTAGCCGATGTTCAACACAGAGGCTTGAGGAGGTGGTTCTTTCGTGTTGTTCAATTGCCCATAGATTGCACATACATGGCCAAATGTGAACACACTGTCATTCATTATTTCAGTAGCCTCCGGGGCTCTACTATCGATGATCAGGAAGCTGAGTAGTACTGAAAGGGGTTCCGTGAAGTTACCTCCTAGTCAGAGCAGTCGACAGTTCCGAACCAGACCTTCCCTCGTTCCCTCGTTTTCCCGGAATTCCCAGATATTCCTTGCTCGGATTATTCCTAGTTTGTGCCTATCATTCCGTAATTACTGAAGCTTTGTATCTGGTTAGACCCTTCGAGCGATGTAGATGCTCTGTACTCCGTAGGTCAGCTGGTCTGACCATGAACTGACGTCAGGGTTATTAATTGACGGAGACCGCCCATATTTGCCTATCAAATACTTCGAGATATTTCAGAAGGTAATTCACAACCAATTTGACAATCTCAGTACCTACATCCGCAATGGTCTCGGGTGGCGAACTTGCAATATTGCCAGAGGAGCTGATCGTTGTGACAGGTGCCAACGGATTCATTGGGAGCCATGTAGTCGACCAGCTCCTGCTGGCTGGCTACAATGTACGAGGCACCGTTCGTGATTCTCAGAAGACATCTTGGCTCGTCAATTTTTTCAACAGCAAGTTCGGTCAAGGCGGTTCTCACTCGCCGAAGTTCCCGAGATGTTCACTCCTGGTGCATTCGACGACTCCTTCAAAGGAGCATCGGGAATGGTACATATTGCGACCCCCGTGATGAGGCATTACGATCCCTTCGTTGCAATCATTTCGGTCGTCAACGGTGCACTCGAGGCACTCAGACCCGCAGCCAAGGAACCAAAGCTTACGAGGGTTGTAATGACTTCGTCATCCACGGCAGCAGCAAGTCCACAGCCCAACAAGGAGTTCGTCATTGATGAAAATACATGGAACCAATCTGCTGTCAAGGCTGCTTGGGCACCCCCTCCATATGAAGGCTCACAGCGCCGCGTTGATGTGTACGCGGGGTCCAAGACACAATCCGAAGAGGCCGCCTGGAAGTTTATGAAAGAGGAAAAGCCTCACTTCGTTCTCAACACGGTCCTTCCAAATGCCAATATGAGCAAGATTCTCTCCGTGGAGCACCAAGGCTATTCCAGCACGAACGGATGGCTCAAATCTCACTGGGACGGATTCCCTGGAGAAGAGGGCAAGGAAATCTCACTTACCCCTCCGCAGTACTACATTAATGTCCAGGATAATGCACGCGTGCATGTTGCGGCACTGGTCTATACCGATGTCAAGAATGAACGCCTTTTCACCTTTGCGCATCCGTATTCTTGGAATGACATCCTGGCTGTGTTTAGGAAACTCTACCCTCAGAAGAAGTTTGTCGATGATATACCTAATATTGCGGAGGATAAATCAAAGGTGGCAAACAAGAGAGCAGAGGATTTGCTGAAAGGATTTGCGGGTTTGCCTGGCTGGACAAGTTTGGAACACTCTGTCAAAGACGCGACTGAAAGATGGCAATGACCAGCCTGAAGTCTTCAATAGCGTCTCCAAGTTATAACCCAAGTGTTCATAAATAGCCAATTAATTGTACAATCAAGTTGTCAGAGTTTGATTACTACTTGATCGTGAACAGACGTGGGTTCCCAGCGGCCCACAACCCTCCGGTTGCGAAATCCAAGTAGAAGATAGAATGAGAGTCACTTAAAGTGATGTAAAGTCGCGGAAAAACAGACCTAGAAGCTTCTAGGTGGTTACTGGCTTTACGAAGAAGAAAGAGCCTAATTGGCGCAGATAATTTTGAACAATGAATTGCATTTGGCATAAGAAGATAGAAACAGAGCTTTTCTCCGTTTAAGGAGTCTCCTCAACATTGTAGACCAGCTTCTCGCCGCTGACCTTGTCGGCCTTCAGCAGCTCCAATCCCTCCAGAACACCCTGCAGACCGTTCTTGCCAACCTTTGGACGGTGGACCTTGAATTTGCCCTCGGCCAGAAGAGACTGGGCAATAGTGGTGAACTTAGAAGCGTGGGCAAAGTCTTCCGGCTTAGCCGGGAAGGGAGTGTCACCGAACTTGAAGGCCTCGCCAACAACGGTGTAGCCCAGGGTGATGCGATCGTTGACATTGGCACGCTCAATCTTCACCTCCAGAAGAGCGCTGTACTCGCCACCCTCGGTGGAGATAGCGTTGTCACAGAACTCGGCGCTAGGGGGAGTGATATGCAGTCTAACACAAGCTTCAGGTTGTTGTTGGTTTGCTTGCGGATCTCGGCGGCAGAGTTTGGGTCCTTGTAGTTGAAGACGGCATCCGCGCCCAGGCTGCGGACCAGGTCGAAGTTGTGTGGAGAGCAAGTGGTCAGGACCTTGTAACCCGACAGCTTGGCAAATTGAATGGCCAAGGTACCGGTGGCAGTAGAGCCGCCGTAAATGAGAATGGGAGTGGCATCCTTGATGGGCTCAGTGGGAGGGGCAAGCTTCAAGCTCTGGTAGAGAGCCTGTCCGACGGTGATGATACCGACGCCGAGGGTGGCAGCATCCTGGAAGCTCACGTTGTCGGGGATCTTCATCTGAACATCACCCTTCGCAACAATGTACTCGGCAAAAGCGCCGTCCTCGGGCTGGACGGCGTTGCCACCGTGGGTGAAACCACAAATGCGGTCGCCCTTCTTAAATGGCTTCTTGACATCCTTGCCAACGGCTTCGACAACGCCGGCATAGTCACATCCAATAAGCACGCCGGGAGGAGACAAGTACTCGACGTGCTTCCAATCCGTGGGGTTCAACCCCACACTGACCGTCTTGACGAGGACGTAGTCACCTCGCAGGGTGGGAATGGGCCGGTCCCTAACCAGACCTGCGGTTTTGGGCTGAGTGACAATAACGGCCTTTTGGGTAGACATGATGGAAGAGATGGACGAGATGGACTGAGAGAAATACGTTTGAGGGAAAGTTTGAACGGAAAGCAACGAAGCTTATATGTATTTATCTCCGGGCGGAACCTTACCCGCGAGCTGCCTATGGGGAAACAACGAAGTTTCTGGTCCCTCGAGGTGGATCCTTAGGACGATTGCGTAGATCTACCGAGGCTGAGTATAGGACCTGGTCCATCGGTCCGGTTGGAGTTGTCTCAAACCCCATCCCAATTGATGATGGTCAATTGCTATAGCGAAATGGCCCCTCCTTGAAGACTGGCTTATGACGTCACATTGAAGTCTTCGCGGGAATCCACGGCACTCAGGAGTACAACACCACTCCACTCCGTCAATTTTCTTTTTCTAATCAAAGCCGAAACTTACAAATCCTGAGGCCCCGTTCTGAATAATCGGCCCCGTCTTTTCTAGCGTGAATATTAATTAGTCTCAAGATTGTCTCATTTAAGACTCATGCATGCAAGGTTCCTTCCAAGCCGCCTGATTTGTCAGGATTTATAATCTCGAGGGTTTTCTCTAAGCAGAAGTACGAGCTCGTCAAATTATGCCGCGCACATAACTGGTGCGTAAAAACTTCGGGTGAGACCCATCGCCTTGCACCTTAGGACTTTCGTTGGCACAGAGATTGTTCCTCTGATTCCGTGAATCAAATTGGAAATTCATACCCGGAGCCCCCGCCAATATGAATAGTCGAGGTGCAAAATCTAATGCACCTGCTCAAAAACAGTCGAAAGTACATTCCTAGACGTCGGACAAACTGGTGAATAGCTTGGCTGGAGGAACATCCAAGCCCCGCGCCTACCAACAACCCCACCTTCTTCAATAGTCGGTCGGCAGAGCGCGAATTTCTTTCTGTTGGGGTCAAAGATCTGGGTATACTTCAAAAAGCTTCGAACAGATCGAGACAGTGAATGATCTATCTACCTTTCTTGAAGATTGTTCCAGCCCTGTCAGCACGGCGGGGCCCGTTCGTAAACGCGCTTATCCCTGTCAACAAACATCACCCCATCTAGGACAACTGTTCTTACGCCGACTGTTGCCTCTCCGGAATCCAATACCAATCATGCGAATCCTCTGCCTCCACGGGAAGGGCACCAGTGCTGCGATCTTCCGATCGCAGACCTGTAAGCCTACCCCCCTATCCCCTTGATAGTATCGTGCTGATCTTACCCAAACAGCCTCATTCCGGGCGCAGCTGACCGACAAAGACATTGAATTCGATTTTTTAGACGGCCCCCATGCGTCGAATCCCGCTGCGGGCGTGGACTTGTTTTATGGCCCTCCCTATTACTCTTGGTATGAAGGCGACGGCATCGAGGCTGCCCGCGAGGCCTACGACTGGTTGAAGGACTACATCGCGAAAAACGGTCCGTACGACGCAGCCATGATGTTTTCGCAGGGCTGTGTTCTCGGATCGAGCGCACTGATTCTTCACCAGGAAGAAACCCCTGACCTCCCACCTCCGTTCAAATCCGCCATCTTTATCTGTGGCGGTCCCTCGCTAGGCGTTCTCGGGGAGATGGGATTCCACGTTTCTGCGGAAGCGCGCGAGCGTGATATTGCATCAAGATCCGCACTGGAACTGCAGGCGAGGTCTTCGTCCCTGATGGCCAAGGGTGCGGACCGCTGGACTGGGCTCGGCGCTCTGACTGGAGGCCTCTCGGAGGAGGAGTTGCGCAACGAGATTAAGAGTCCTTATCGCATTTCTATTCCCACCGTGCATATATATGGCAGCAAGGATCCGCGTTACCCTGCAGGTGTGCACCTGTCTGGGATCTGCGAGCCTGAAAAACGGCGTGTCTACAACCACGGCGGTGGCCATGAGATTCCTCGGACAGGGGCTGTGAGCAACTCCATCGCCGAGTTAGTGCAATGGGCCCTGAAAGAGTCGCAAGCTTCATAAGGAATTGTCGAAGAATTGTCGCATCATAGACGGGTTCATAAATGCAGTGATTTGGACATGGTATTTCTTTAGAACCCTTTTTCATATAGCTCATGGGATTTCCCAACGGTCATGACTAGAGCTCGTCAAAGAGCGCAAATGAAACTATCTGAAACGTCATATATCATCCAAATCATGTCCCAAGGCCGCACCATATCACTTCTATCACACAAATCAAACACGATGTCGTTTAGGGTACACGTATGGACATTCATCAAAACTCCGATAATATGGCGCATGGGATCCTGTCGCAAGGGGATCTTGAGATCGCATGGGTCCAGAGGTATGGATTTCTGTCGCAATGGGTCCTCCGCGGTGTTTGGGGCCAAAACTTCTGCATCTGTGAAACCAAACAGAGAGGAACAAACCGAATAGAGCCAATGCGATCTCAGCGGAACCAGTGCCGAAACCCAAACGGGCTTAATTGTCGTCCTGGAACTCAACCCAAGTCTTCATCTTCGCACGCACGTGCTCACCGTAGAGCACGAATCCCTCGTCCCCATCCACAGATCGCACCAAACAGTTCTCTCCCGGCTCGAAGAAGAACGGAACACTGATACGGCCAATGGCCTGGCTGCCATCTTGCTGTCCATCCATGGCAGCGGCCGAGGGTCTCAGACCGGGAGCCCGGACACGGTGCATGGTGGCCACGAAACGCCCGCCAGACACCTTGGCCATCAGATCTCCGATGTTCACTACTAGAGATTCCGGGATATACGGCGCCGGAACCCACTCGCCGGAGGAGTTGCGCACCTCCAGCCCACCCGTGGAATCCTGGTGCAGCAGGGTTAAGATGCCGCTGTCGGTGTGTGGAGTGCAACTCAGCTTGGCCTCCGATGTAGCCGAGCCGGATCCCGATGCAGCTGACGCAACAGAAGGATAATGAAGGAGACGCAGGGTACTGAGTGAGTCCTCCAGATACGGCGCAAAGTAATCTGTTGGCTTGCCCAGTGAAACAGCCAACAGTGACAGCAACTTCGAAGCAAGCGCCTGGAGCTCGATATACAGTGTCTCCAACCTCGGGCGTGCAGGCAACTTGTCTCCATCTGGCCAGACATTCGGCTCGGCGAGATCGAACTTCGAAGACGGCGAAACGATGGATTTCGTGCGGATGGGTTTGGCGGGTCCCATCTCGAACCCTTCCTTCAAATTATCGGACGCCAACTCCGGCTGTGTTGGGAAGTATCTTCCATTTCACTATCGTCAGTCATGGATGCGCAGAATAAAAGGCGCTAGGATATTAACCCCCGATATGTGTTGGTGTGGTCGCGTCGGAATGATCGCTTCGCCAGTTTCATTTTTTCCTCTTGGGGCATTGAAAAGAACTCTTTCGACATGGCGAATACCTCTTCGTGGTTGTAACTTAACGGCACGTTGACTAGGTATGCGAAACCCGTCGTGGCAAACACATCATAGAGACGCTTGCTCAGCGCTGTCAGCTCTGCTTCGGATGCTCCCGCAGGAGACCCGAGAGGACCGACGTCGACAACGGGCAGGGAAGAGAAGGTAGTAGTCATGTCTAATGGAAAGCAATAGGTTTCCTCAGTCCGCAGAGGGTCTTTCTGTGCCTTTTGTATTTCCCCATGTCATAAGGGCTCCACACAGATCCACCACACATTCGGGGCGACTTTGGGTAAGTGGTCGTGTGCACGGTCGACGAAACAACGATATCTCCGATTTTATCACTTCCGTTAGAACATGCGAGCCTCGGTAGGTATATATTTTCAACTAGCTGCAATGAGAGAGGCCATTGTTATACGGCGGAATCCCGGGGGAGGTTTACACAACATCCCATAGAAAGCACGCAGCGGCATAAAACTCAATTGCAGGGTCTGCACGGAAGCCCTCCGGATGCTTTGGCGGCGAGTGCCGCTGCCGCGATCCACCGCCTGCCGTGTGGCTGACGCCGCCGACCCGACGGTTCATATTCGGAGGTCCTCCAAATGATGGTGGGGTGCCGTGGGGGTTGGTCGTCACCCCCGAGGCCAAGGTCTGTGCGAGTCTCCAGTGATGCTCTATGGACTGGCTATGCAGATTCAATGGAACTGAAATGGATCGCAAATGGGGCCAATAAAAAGTGGTCAGCAAACCATATTCAATATCTTGCATCCATGGGGCTAATCTGGTCATTGCCGTTTATTCTCGGCCGGTGTTGCGGCCATTCGGTCCTCTAGCAAGCCCAACTCGGCCGGAATGAAGTTCCGTTGTACGAAGTAGCCACTATCGCAGGTGCTGTTACAGGGACCCGATAAGGCGGATTTGAGAGAGGGAGACAGACTGGAACGGAGTCTGCCGTATCCCTAGAAGAGTAGGCTTGAAAAGAGCATTCTCGAATACAATGCATTCGACTCGAGTCAAGGCAAGGAAGGGTTCTCTCGATTCCAATGTCTAGAGAACTCAAAATTACCTGTGAGGAAAGAAAGTAAACATGTGTTGTGTTGTAAAACAGTCAAACAACTCATCGAACACCAACTGCCGAGACCCTGAGCGCAATTCCAGGCTCTATGTAATAGGGAGCTGACCTGACTGGTTCGGTTCCTGACCGTTCAATGCACTAGAACGTTTGCGGCAATGATATGGCCGGCGGTGGGCGCTCTAGACAAGGATTATATGCACCTTGTGCGGAGCCAATTAAGATTACCGAGTCAGCCCAAGAGCCGATCTGAGGTTCCAAAAATAAAAATTATAAGGCCTCACAGAGGCCGTTGATTGGGATATACAGTCCTATATCAGTGTAACAACCACCAACACCAGAACACAGCAGACTTTTCTATAAACAATCACCACGAAAACGCCTCTTCGAACAAATCCACCGTCTTCTCTCCCTGCACCTCTCGCACAGCTTCACGAACACTGTCACCCAGTCCACCGGGACCGCATACACTGACTGCCAGTGCACCGACCTGCTCGGCCTTTTCGTTCTCCAGTAATGTCTTGAAGCACGGCTTGCCGTGGACAACACTCACGGGGACATTGGCGGGGGCACATTCTGTCCATGGGGTATCGAGCGGGGGGATAAATTCTTCCACATTGTCTTTGTGGCCGGTTATATGGATGCGGATCGAAAGCATTAAGCCGGGGAATTGGAAGTACGTGTTTCCCTTGGGGTTGATGGTGCTGTTGATAGCGTCATGGCTCAAGATATCTAGCATCCATGTGTGGATCCATGCCAGGTGATCTAAAATTGAAATTAGCCCTGCGTGACGAGTTTGGTAAGTGGTGAATCATACCTAAGCTTCGAATAATCCAGACCAGATGCACCTTGCGGGTTGCAGTCTTCTTGGAGAAGTTCGAAACAACCTCGTGCAAATATGACATCGGATGCGTGATGCCGATTCCTCCGGCGACTAACAACAAAGTGCCGTACGACGCGAGTGAGTGAATACCGCCGAATGGCCCCTCGGCTAGTGCCATGGCCTTGATACGGCCATCGGGTGAATCCTCAGCCTTCTGCAGAAGCTTCTTGGTAAATCCATCCTGGCCTTTGATGAGAATCGACATGGTCGTCGTCTGCGAGCCCTCAAGAAGAGCAGCGAAGGAGTCACTGGAGCTGCTCTTTTCATTCTCGTTCAGAGACTGCTCGCTCATAGATTTCCAAGCGACCGTAAAGGGATGTGATGTCCACAGCCCCAGACAAGGCATGTAGAGATACATGTACTGGCCGGGACGGAAGTTCCAGGCCCGGGAGACACCCACATCAACGCGAGCCACGGATCCCGGCAGGACTTCCACAGTGGCTGTTGTACGTCGCTTGGCGCAATTTCTCCAAATGAGAATTCCAAGACGGCCGACTCGATCGAGACCCCAGAGGATCAAAGTACCGAGGAGAACTCGCTGTTGAAGTAGATTCTTAAGGTGGTACCATAGAGCAACGAATGACATGATGGCCAGGGCAATGTGCAAGTGAAGGAAAAGTTCATAGAAATAGTGTCGAACCGGCGACAACGATTGGAAGAATATGAAAACGAATCCGAGGAGTGACTGTAGAGAGCGTTGTTAGAAGATTTGTAGGTTTCCAGATTCGTGCTGAGTAACATACGACAAGGCCATAAATGTAAAAGGGCATCTGCCAGATAGAGTATAGGATATAATCCGTGCCGTCTGTCGTATAGTTAGCAGTTGGGACCTCGTACATTCGACACCGAACGTACTCAAGTAAGCTTGGTTTGCCAGAACGGCGCCCATATGAACGATAGCATTGGCTGCAATGACACGTCCGACCCAGCGATGCATGAAGTTGAAAGTGTCAAAGGACAGTCCAAGCAGAGGCACCAAAAGATTGTTCCGCCCCGCACTCAGTACCAGACCGGGCGTGTTCATGACTGCCAAATGACCCGCCGCATACTTCAGCTGGAACATCTTCTTGGAGAAATCCTGCCCCCAATCAACAGTCACAACGACGAAGATCAGGTTCAAGGCGAGGTAGATCAGCAAGAAGATCGTCTCCAGCCGCAAGGGGACCGATCCCATGTGGAGTCTCAGGAACCGGAACTCGCGACTGTGACGAGTCCCAAAAAGCGGTGCATAGAGCACATGCTTCTTGAGACTCGCATTGACAGGATTCGTTCGCTCCAGCTCCCTCTGGTCATCCATCTGCAGGGCCAATTTTGACCGACGACGGTGTCTAATCCGGATGACGGTTCTCCAGACGAACAAGATAGCGACAAGCCCGCCGACTACGAACAGAGGAACCGCCAGCTCTGGGTTCATGGGCGCTTCCCCAGAGCCGTTTCCTTCCAGCTGAACACCCATGTTCCATGCGTGGGATAAAAACCCGAGGACCGAATACAGTAGAGAGGGAGGAAGGTATAAGAATGCCGTGGTCAGTCGCCCAACGTGGGTGTCCTGGGGCTCCTCAAAGGCTCAGTCTGGAGAAAGAAGCGCGAGTCTAGGAACGAAAAAAAGATGAATACAAAGGCAAGTGCATCATGTTGTATTTGATTAAGGGCCTTCCGTACGTGGATGCCGTCATAGACCCCTGCCCCTGGGAAACATCTTCCTCGCCCAAAGCAAAAACCTCGTCATCTTCCGGTGCGGGAGCACCCCACGGAAATGTGAGTGTAACGGGCCGAATCGAGTGATGTGAATGGAGGGTCTACTGGACAAGGTTAAGCGTATCCGCGAGCGGGTGTGCGGTGGCTAGAACTCTAAATTCTAGATCTTCGATCGCCCGGGGACCTGCCAAGACCAGGACTTCGTTGCGTAATCGTAGCTTCCATTGTGACACTCGTGGAGCGGAGTCAAGGGATCAAGGGGGTCTAGACTCCCACCACTTGACCGCCCTTGTTGTCCGAGAGCGGAACGTTGGCTTTTGCGGCTCTCTGGCATGCTTGGCCGTGCTTGGCCGTGATCGACTGCCGCTTTTGGCAACTGGCCTGTATCTAGCCCGAACCCTTCGTTTGACGGCGTGATAGCCATCATTGATGCGAACAGTTTATGTGTTGAGATCTCAATGTGATTTTCTCGTCCCCGGTCTTCATCTCGTATACGTCATGCCATGTCCGTCATAATGGCACCCGATCGGCTGGGACGCAACTGCAACGTTATAAACAATGGTCAAGTTCGAGTGGAGCCAACGTCGCAGATGACGCCAGAGATCTCGCTTCGTTCACCCACCCAATAGAGGCCGCCAATTCTTGAACCTTTCGTACTCGTACCATCTCTGCGACATCGGGCTCTGCTCTTGAGCAAAATGAGAATAAAAGCCGCCGATGTTCCTGCCGACGTAATCCACTCCGCAGGGCCTCAGGCACCTCATCGGCGATTTCTCTCCTCCCCGCCTCCTCCTATAATTCCTCTCGCAGACCCACAGCTCGTCGAGGGCGCTGGCTAGACCTACCCTCGAGGTAGCGACTCTACTGGGTGCTATTTTAGCCAGAAACACCCACATGACGGAGGTCCCAAAATACAAAGGCCATGAATACGAGTGCGACATCCAAGGGCATTTTCTCGACGTCCCATGTGATAACTTGGCAGTACCCGTGGTATATGTCATACGATACTCTGAACAAGCTGTACTTGCATGTGCTCGATTTGATCAAGGCCAATTCATGTGGCAGCTCTCATAAAACCGCATAGATGCCGAGCATCTTGCTCTCCGTAAACCGTAGCACGAGTAGTTGGAGGGGGCATAAGTCATCTCGCAATGAACTTTCGGAAGAGTTGAATCGTGAGCGGCAATACTGTATGAGGAAGCACCCACCATATCTCCGAGAAAGTGAAGGTCTAGACCGAATAAATCCGAAGATCGAGCCTATACGACGAAAATGCCGGCCAGAAGGCGAGACCCACTCGCCGGTCAGTAGATCCAATAGCAATGGAAACCTCATCCTCATCATCGCAGAACAGATCGTTCCAAGAAGTGTCTTCAGAGGTAATTCGCTGCATCTCCTGCCGGACTTTGCTGTGAATGCCATCGGCGCCGACGACAATGTCACCGTGGAAAACAGATCCGCCAGCGACCTCAACTGCAACCCCGTCGGCATCGCATACGACCTTGGCAACGCCACAAGATATGTGTAAGATTTGTCGCGCAAGTTATCACAGAGTTTCTGGATGATCGGCTGGCGATTCATGAAGCGCATCTTGCATCCGAAACTATAAGGTCTCAGCACCCAGTACCCACAAGAAACTTTATCGGCAACTCACCCAATTCGCCCACTTCGGGTTGGCTTCCCAATTGCACTCGATGCTGGTCAAATGAATTTATCGAAGCCACCGACGTTGCCGTCGACGGCGATTACCTTGAATGGGGCCATGGCGGGTCGGCAGGAGGGGAACTGAGATCCCAAGACAAGATCCAACTGGAAAGCGTGACTTAGGAAATCCTACGAGTTCAGGTGTGTTTGGGGCTAGCCATTTCCCGGGGCATTTCTACCTCACAAATAGATGTGGAAGAAGGCCATGGTGTGAGATGCGATCCGTGCATTGGCTCAATAGTCCTTCAGAATACTTTTTCTTCAGCATCCGTTTCTTGGAAAGATATCACTAATTTAACACTTGGCATTCTAGACTCTATCGAAATGAGAGGGTCCAAGAATTAGACGTTAGAAATATTTCTACACGGGAAAAAACACCCAGATGCGCCATCCCCGTAATCCTTGCCTTTTGTTTCCTCCCGAGATCAACCAGTCACAGACCGTACTCCAAAACAAACCCAAAACGCCGTCATCACAAGGATCTTGACTCAACATTGCATTTGGCCTCAGGCTGAAACTTCCTGCACCTTCTCGGGAATCTTAGGGATGGACTGAATATCTTCTTCGAGGCTGAGACTGCCATACCCGGTATCATTGCTAGCCGATCGCTCTCGTCGGGGAGGCTGTGCGGTTTGCGATTCGACCAGGTCTTGGTCGGCATCGCTCTGGAGGGATTGGTTGGATGCGCCCCGGCGACGGCGGGTTCGTCGCTTCCTTGATGGCATAGGCTCGGGATTCTTGTGGAGGTATTCATCGAGGTTGATACCTGCATTTTCACAAAGTGTGGTGCATGACTTAACGATGACATCGACCAAATTGGATGAGAACCCGTAAAAAGCCGGATTATACGCATTGCGGGACCAGTAGATGAGTTCGGCGGCAACACGGCCAATGTTCGGGATGTCTCGGGGACAGACAGCATGCTTACGGGCTGCCCGAGGCTTATCCTCAGCCTCGTCGTCAGCGGAAGAAGCGGCCTCTGAGACGGAGGTCGACGGAGCCGATGAATCGGACGAGACAATATAGTCGACATCCGATGCGAGAAGATGCAGCAAATGATAAACTGCGGAGAATCCAAGAAGACTGAGCTCCACCGGGTCGATGGGAAGCTGGTTGAACCAATTGATTGCCTTGTGGATGGTAAAAGACGCAGGCAAGGGGCTTTCGCCGGTAGGTCGCGAGGTCACAACGGCGGCGATCATAGCGCAGCGCACTGCGATGGAAATCTCTTCACGGACCGACACGGGAAGCGAAGAATCAAGGAAGTTGGCGGCTTGGTTTCGCTCGCCCTTTCTCTTGTCTTTCGGAAGAGCAGCAAGAACAGCACCCACGTTCTGGATGCGACCATGCTCGAAGAAGACTGCCTTCATCACGAGTGCACGGGTGTAAGCTGCCGAAAGTCGCGGGGCAGCATCAAGGGCCATGCGGATCTTCTCCTTGAAGCCGTCACGACTGGCCTTGGACACTGGACCACCTTCACTAGCCTCCAGGTACTTTAGCAGTGCGCTCTGGAGAAGGTGGCTAGACCACCAAGCAGCGAGGGCATCGACTGAGCACTGGATGGCGGGATCTTCTTCCACAACATCGAGAAGCACTTCATCGTCACCAGTGCCTTCCTGCGTGGGTCGATTCCATGTCAGGTTCACAGCACGTTGGATGATAGAGTCGGTCATAACCTCGTCGCAGTCGAGGTTAACCAAAGAAGCGAGGTGACTTGGAAGCTGATCGGGATGTCCTTCGGGGATGGCATTGTTGATCTCTCGTGCAACGCCCCACTGGTAGTTGGCCAGAGCACGAGCGATATCGTTGGAGACGTGGAATGTCCAGGAACCAGGCTCGCCAACTCGCCACAGAAGAATGCGTACGTGCAAAGCCTTGAGCATCATCCTCATGGGGCTTGCCGGAAGAGTACCCGCGGCAAAGATTGTAAGCACAAGGCGGCTCTTACTGATCTCGGCATCACCACCAGTGAGCTGCGCATCAATGGCAATATCCCAAGTCTTCACGCGACCCTTCTCATCATCCTCGGTGATGCCTGTAGCCCAGGAATAGAGTTTCCACCCCATGAAGCACCGCAGGACATACTCGAAGCATCGCGAGGTCACCACATACCACTCACGGAAAAACCTGTGGCGCGGGACACCGGCCCGTTGCATGCTAGTGAGCCAAGCCTGTCGACGGAAGTCATTCGAGGTTAGCGAAGCAGTCTTGCCTTCAGATAGGGCCTTCGCCGGTCCGCGCTGAGTAACGGGCTGGGCGTTGAACAGGTAAACGAAAACAATAAATGCGCTGCCAACCACCAGAGTGGCGAGCAAAAGGAAGTGAGAGAAGGCTCGCGCGTGCCACGAATACCAAAAATTCTTCAGATAGTACTCGCAGTGGGCGAGAGTGGGCGACTGCAGTCGGTTGAGCAGGTTCAGAGGAATAGCAAAAAGACCCTTCTCCTCGGTCTCGGACTTGTCCGAGCCCATACCCTCCAATACCATCAGTCCAGCGAGTGCTCCCAACATGTACTTGTTGGGCAGCTTGGAACGTCGACGAGAACCCTCTTCTTGTCCATAATGGCCAGGTCGGGGGGATGATTTAATGTATGATTCAGCGTAAATTCCTGTCTGTGCAGCCTCTGCACGCATGCGCTTCCATGCATCAGGGACCTTGATGAGACCCTCGGGGGGATTTGATGGGGTTGGCGAACTTTCAGTAACCTCCTCGGGGTTGGAAAACACGCTCGGGGATGTAGGATCAGAGTTACTAGAAGCGGTGTAGTTGCTAGGCGATGAGACGGAGGCGGTTGATGTGACCGCCTGGTCCGCCGCCTTGTCAACTTGGCGAAGGCGGTTCTTTAGACCAGTATTTTCATCTTCCAGACGTTTGTTGCGAATCTCCAGGTGCTTGATGTACTCGGTGGCCTTCGACAAAATGGAAGCCTTGTTCAGCTTGCCGGCAGAAGTAGCCTCGTCATCGTCGTCTTCATTCGAGTCACCGTTGGGGTTCTTCGTCGTCCGCAGGCTCGGCACACTGTTGCGCAGCTCGGCGATCTTCTCGTTCAAATTCGCTCGGTATCGCTTTTCGATGACGTTGTGAGCACGCTTCTTGGCGGGCATTTTCTTGCCCGGCTGGACAGGGCCAGTAACAGTAGTGACGTCGTCGTCGCTGCCTGTCTTTCGCTTTCGAGATGTACCGACACTGGAGATCGGAGAAACAAGGCCTTGAAACTGTGAGTCTTGTGACCCCCTCATGTTCCGATTCTGGGCCATTCCTCCGATGGGCTCGGAGGGAATTTCCATCAAACCAAGAGGAAGCTGCGGCGAGAAGTCCAGCTGGTGAACCTGGCCGGGCGAGCTCAAGGTCGTGTTCGGGGAGACAAAGGGAAGGGGATGGTCCATTTGCGGCTTCTGGACGCCTTCGGTGAATATGGGTTCATCCCATCGCATCCACTGGGTCCAATCCTGGTTGGCATTTTCTGTGGTTGGCTGGGAATACATTCCCCGAGTGTCGTCGCCTTCGGACTGGCGGCGAGGAGAGAATAGCTGGAAATCACTGTCCATGCAGGGTGCAGTCATGATGCCCGGGAATCCAAGGCTCGGATCCGAAGCCGGTGATATTGGTGAATTTTGGATAGGACTTTTCACCAGCAGTGTAGGTTGACACTATGTCATAAGTTAGGTATGCACATGAACGGTCACAAGGTCCCTAAGCTGCCAGAAACCAAATACGTGGCGCGCGATAGCCATGCCATCATCGGCTAGTGGGGGCAACCTTAACTAGTCGGTGGTAAGGCGTTACTTACTGGGTCCAGATGATATACGGAAAAGTCAACGCGGGTGAGAATGATAAGAAGTGTTGGCGGGGCGTGCAGGGAGAGATGCAAAGACTGAAGAGGGGGAAGATGTCAGAAGTCCGAGTCGCAGGCGGTGCAGACCATAGGGAAAGCCGCGCAGTCTAAAGATACCCACCCAATCGGTCGTAGCGTGGGCCCTTGGAGACGGAGGATGGGTGGATTCACAAATCAATTGGCCTTCGCTGCAAAGGCGATCATCTCCAGTTGGCAAGATGTTGGTGGACCAAGAATCGCGCCACGCGAAATCGGGACTCGACTGTTAAATTGGGTACATCGCAGAAAGAAAGGGTGATTGGAACCGTTTGAATGATGCACACCGGCGGTTGACTGGAGCTTTTTTAGTCGTCGTATGATCGCGGCTCGCCGCACTTCCGGCCAGGCTTCCGTGGTATGGTACCGGTAATTGACAACTAGTGGACATCCCAAAAGTGGAAAGTCGGTGTTCTTGGCTGTTATTGTACAGTAATCTAAATGAATTATAATTGGTTCCCCTTGAAGCCACCATCCCCTGATGACTCAGCGGACATGTGATCCAACCGTTTGGCAGCTCGAAAACGCAGGCGTCTTGAAACAAGGCCATTGCAATAAATGCATGCTTTCACTAAGCTCTATGGCTTCTGAAGGAGCAAGGTTTTCTTCACACGACGTCAACGATCATCCTGGGTGGGTACTTGGCTTCTCCACCGATGACACGGCAAGAAAAAAGGGAATCCAGGAATGATCTTATCTGATCGAGTAGCGTCCCCACCCACCATGCACCGTAAATTCGGAACTCCAACGTACGGCGACCGGGACGAATGAAGATGACCCAGAAGGCCCAGCGGATCATCTGTGCGGTGTCGGGGGCCTACGAGTAGCCTGAACGCTAGCGTCCTCGGGCGTCAATCGGCCGACTTTCGGCAACAGAAACCTCGTTCAGCAAGGAAAAATCTATATTCAGCCACGGCTCCTCTGTTGCTAGTTTCATCTAGATCGCGGCCTCGATACCCGCCACCGCTTCCATCAGTTCCTTCACCGTCTTCTTGACTCCGGCTCCAGCCTCCTCGTACGGTGTGCGCGGTTTGAGTTTCTCCAGGGCATTCTCAATCCCAGCTGCTGGGGCCGAGTACAGCGCCACCGCATATTTAGTCGATGCAATCCCACCTTTGCAAGGTGTCTCGGCCAAAGCCGACGACCGCTGCAACTCCATTGCTTCGGCCATCTTGCCAGCGGTGAAAAGCTCATAAACCTTGGAGGCGGTCTTGGGGAACACGTTCGCAAATGCGGAGATACATCCCGCCGAACCGACTGTCAGACCGGCAATAAGGAAGTCCGACTGTCCACCGAAGATGGCAAACTCGGACGGGCCGAATGTGGCTGCCAGGCGTGTGATTTTGCCCACAGAGCCGCAAGTCAATTTGACTCCAACGATATTAGAAGTTCCGTTGGGATTTGCAGCCGCAGACTCGCGCACGATTTCCGTGATAGTCTCGGAGTCGATGTCAACGCCGTTACAGACACCAGGGAAGTTATAGATCAACACCGGAAGAGGGCTTTTGCGCGCCACATCGGCGAAGAAGCGCTTGACAACGTTCATGTTGGTCGCCTTGCCAAAATAGGCTGGCGGGAGGACTAACAAGTAGTTCGCGCCCGCAGCAGCGGCGTCGTTGGCCAATTCGAGGGTTTGCTTTGTCGAGTGCGTGCCTACGCCGGCCATCAAGGGGTAGTCGGGGCCAACGGCCTCGCGCGCAGTAGCGATCAATTGAGCTCGCTCTTCACGCGTTAACAAGAATGCCTCGGAGTTTGTGCCCATGATCACCAAACCAGCTAACCCGCTCCGCGAGAGATAGGCATAGTATTTCTTCTGTGACTCAAGGTCGAGTGTATCAGTGGCTTGGTCGAAGATGGTCACTGCTGGCACCCAGACACCTGCTTTAGGGATGCGTGGTTGTGGGGAAACTTGGACTCCTTGCGATCCCATTTTGATGTAGTTGACACGACGTGTATATATTATGCGTAGAAAAGGCGGCGCTGGATATTTCAAGCAACCAATTATACGGGAATATAATCCGTTCGGACAATGGAATAGCAGTTGCACTTGCTTTTATTGTCTTCGGAATCTTGGGGTTTATGCGGGGAAACCTGGAAAAGAATCCGTGTCGGACAGACGCCGACGGTTAGCCGCTACTCGGCCAGGATAGCGATGGCCCGGCGCGGGCCGGGTGAGCTGGCCTTCGGAAGAGCGCCGAATGCAGCTTGGGGACCTTGGAAGAAGATTAGTACATTCAAATGCTTCGAACATTTCTACGCTCAATGAACATCGGGTTCGGACTGTCCTGATGGAGTGAGATTGGTGCAAAACTACTGAAGATCAGAAGCTAACAAAATACGCCCATGCATCAAGCAGTCAATGACAAGGAAACCGAAAATTCCATTAGCAAGTTGCAAAATAACACCATGATCTGAATGGAGTTTAATGCTGCATGGGTGCATTAGTCTCACGGGTATCGCAACATCGAAAGGTGCACTTACCGTAATGTCCTCCCACTTTTCCCATCCACGCCCACGGACCTGAGCAAGCTCTTCCATCGTGTACTGCTTCCCAGTAGTGAAGTATCCAGCGTTAATCTTCGCATCGATCTCGACCCGCGAGTCGCTGGGGATCATATCTTCGGGGATGGGAATACGCTCGAGGATCTTAATTCCTGATTCCACGATGGCGTCGTGCTTCATATTCGACATGGACAGCATGCGGTCAATCTTCTTTATGCCTAGCCAGTGAAGGATGTCGGGCATGAGGGCTTGGAATCGCATCTGCAAAGATTATGTGTTAGAGCGCTGCAGCGGAAAAGGAAAAGGAATAAGAAGCTTCATACATCCCGCACGCCTGCGATGTTCTCCGTGCGTGTGAAGTACTTGTCGGCGGTGTCTCCTCCACGTTTGCGGGCGTTATACACCAGGTACTTGATTACCTCTCCCAAAGCACGACCTTCCTTCCGGAAATAAATGACCACGCCACTTCCGCCATTCTGCGCCTCGCGAATCGCTTCCTGGACACCGAAGGCTAGGTACGGGCGACATGTACAGATATCTGACTGGAAGACATCACTGCCATTGCATTCATCGTGAATGCGCAATGCCAGCTTGACATTCTCGTCAGATACTCGTTCAGGTGGACCGAAGATGTACACCGTGAGGCCTCCGATCGGGGGAAGAAAGACCTTCAGGTCTGTCCGAGTAATAAGCTCGGGATAGCTGCCACCGGTATGCTCGAACAAAGATCGACGCAGAGTGCCTTCATCCACGCCAAATCGCTCGGCCACCCCAGGCAGATACCACACCGGTTCCACTGCGACCTTTGTGACGCGTACCTCGCCGGAGGAGTCAACAATGATAGAGCCATCCACATTCAACTTTCCCTCCTTTACCGCTTCGCCAATCTCTGCAAGTTTCATGTTAGCCCTGGTGATGGCCATAGTGGGCCGGATATCCCAGCCGGCTGCCAGTTCCTCTTTGTACTGGTTGACGATATCATGTCCGTACGGATCCATCGAGACGATCTTCTTTATATCGCCCCACGCTGGCTGTTGCACAAAGTTGAAAGTCGGCTCGCTGTTACGCAAATCGGGTCGAAAATCAGCATCGAGATCGCCCGCAGCAATGGCCAACGCATTATAGATGCTGTAGCTGCCGCCATGAGCACCGATCGCATTGCGGCGCTTCACGAGGTTCCCACTCCGCGACACCACAATCGGACCGCGCAATTTGGCATTTGGGGCACCCCATTCGAGAGGCACGGGTTCAATACCGCTTTGGCCGGGATACGTTGTCAACTACCGGCGGTCAGCATCCCCTTCTTCTGACGAGATTCCCGACCTACAATGATGTGCCTATAAGCCTTGGGAGACGTCGCCGACGTCGGCGAGGTTGGCTCTGGCATTTTGGAGGTATTCTCTGAGTTGAACATCTCTGAAGAGGGGTTGGAAATGGATGGAAAGCGGGCTTAAGAAGAGATCCATGTGACCTTCCCCCGCACGTTATCGCTTATCTACGCTCTTTGTATTGTGGCCCAAGTATAGTGGTGCCTTGAAAGGCTAGAGTTTCTGTAATCTACGCTCCTTCAATGATGTGTTCATCGTGCATTAAATAAGTCCAGAATGATCCACACTACTACTTGTGCTATCTATACTACCGGACCCGATCGCCCCCACTTGGTCTCGGAGCTCCCGGCGTTCCGTCTGGGACTGGCCGGAGCTGCAAAAGCCGAATATAGCCCTCGACAAGTCGGTGAGCGAGGGCCTTCCCAGTGACCTATTTGCATACACGGGTCCGAAATATCGATTTCAAACTGTTGCCACGCACGATGGCGTTCATCATTCGGCAACAAGATGAATCGAATTTTCTTCGACGACTGCCAGGGCTTGAGTTTTACCACATTCTTTAACTGTCAATACAGGAACTCTCATCAAAGCGAGGAATCATTTATTTCCTACATGCCCGCGACCATCTTTACTCACATCGCAACATGAGTCCCTGCCGTCAGGATGTTTTGGCCCCACGAGCTTCATGTCACCGAGCCTCTAGCTGGCTCCATGGTTGGACCCTGGGTTCCTGTCTAGACATACATTACTGTCTATTTTGCCAATTTTCATCCTGTACCCCTGCATCACAGGGTACAGGATGGGTATATTTCCCCCCTCCTACCTTCTACATGACAACGTTGAGGCCGAGCCAACCGTTTCAAAACAAGGAAGCCCGTGACGCAGAATGCACCGAAGACAAAACATGGAGAGGTGCTCAAATTCGTAAATTGGTATCTATTATTTCTGCAGCCATCCTCCCAGATCGTGAATTTTCAGATGAGATTTCATAACCCATCAATACGTAAAACCAAGGTGAGCCAGCCAAGGCAGCTGTCTCAAAGCATTTATTGACATGCAAGTCTCACGACGTGACGAAGTTGGCTTGTGCGCGCGAGTTTTTGAGTGTCCGTTTGATGAGGTCCTCAACCTCGTCCCAGTCGTTGGTCTCGACGCGCTCAATGCTGCAGTTAAAGTGCTGTTGAATCTTCCGCAGCATCTCCCATTCGTCGCGGTTGGAGACGAAGGAAATGGCCACACCGATGCGACCGAAACGACCGGTACGACCGATACGGTGAAGGTAGGTTTGGTAATCGGGTTCCCTGGAGCGGGAGCCGCCCGCGTAAGCCTCCGGGATATCCTGGATAAAAAGGTCAGCTTGAATCTATGGCAGCTACCAGGTGAACATACGTAGTTGACCACCAGGGACACGGTAGATACGTCAATTCCACGAGCCAGAACGTTGGTGGTGATGAGAACCTTGGCCTCACCGGTGCGGAATGCATCAATAACGGCATCACGCTGAGAGCCTTCAATACCACCGGTCAATGAAGCCACAGTGTGGCCCTCGGCAACCATGCGCTTCTCAATTTCAGTGGCAGAAGCACGGGTCTAGCAAATTAGTCAATGGAGGTGTAAGTAAGGAGTAACCTGAATGAACCTACCCGGACGAAGATAATGGATGAGCCGACAGTGAGCAGACCGTAGAGCTGCACGAGGTTGGCGTACTTCTCCTCGTCATTGCTGCAATCCATGTAAAGTTGCTTGATGCCATCCACGGTCAACTCCTCGTGTTGGAGGGTGATCTCGTTTGCATCGGGAGCAAACTTGCCCGCATAGCGGTGAACATGGGCGGGGAAGGTAGCTGAGAAGAGGACGACCTGGATGGTTCGCGGAAGCATCCTGGAGAACATGTAAGTAAATGCCGAACGGAAATCATACTGTGGGGTGAGCTCACCCCTTGACACGGATACACTGGTCACCGAGACCCTGCTGATCAAGCATGTTATCTGCCTCATCAAGCACCAGAACCTTCAGCTGGGTAGGGTTCATGATGCGCTTCTTGATCATATCCTGCACAGTACCGGGGGTGCCAACCACGACCGAGCAGTCCATCCGAGCCGGGCGAGTAGCAGTGTCTGCAGGAACAGCAGTGCCGATGATAAGCCCGTCGAGGAATTGGCCCATGACCTGCACGACGCCGACGATTTGACGCGCCAGCTCACGTGTAGGAGCCAGGATCAGGGCCTGGGGGGTCTGCTGAGCCTGTTCGGTAGTGAGGTCGATCCGGCTCAGGATATTGAGGACGAATGCAGCGGTCTTGCCAGTACCGGACTGCGACTGGCCGACAAGGTTCTTTGGGGGGTTGCCCATCAGCAGAGGCAGGGCGCGCTCCTGCACCTTAGACGGCTTGCGGAAGCCCATGTCCGAGAGACCCTTGAGGATGCGTTCATCCCTGCATTGCCATACTTGTTAGTAAAGAGCTTCCATTATAGTAACCGCCTTCGCAATACTCACAATCCCAAGTCCTCAAAAGACTTCACAGAGTAGAGGGGGTTGTTGGGATCAGCCTGCAGGTCACTCAGCTTGACCTCGACACTATAATCCGGCTCCTGGAGATCGGAGTTCCCGGCAGCATCTTGAGGCGCTTCTGCTAATTCAAAATCCATGCTCGTTAGCCGTCATCATGACAAGATGAGGTGTTTCGCAGCGCGTTTGGGGGAGGTCGGCGGGGTATAGTGGTGAGGTGGTGAGGTGGTGATTTCGTACCGTTGGGTTGCGCAGCGTCGGCGGGGGTGGAAACGCGGTCGGCCAGAGAGCCTCCGGTAGGAGGCTTCTCAGTAGGTTCGCTCGCCATTGTCAAGGACAGAATATTTGGGAACGGGAAGGGGTGGAAGGAGCAAAGAAGGTGAGGGGAGTTGCGTGGGGTAGAAAAAAGTGAAGCGGAGATGAAAGGCAGCCCACACCGGACCGTTCCCAAGATTCACAGAGACACGTGCCACGCAAGCAGAAAGACCCTGAAATTGAGAACGATTATGGAAGCTTGATAAGGTGGAAGCTGTTTGAGAGCCATTGCGGACTGCAAAAACAAGTGACGCCGCACCCTGCTGGAGGAACGCTAGTCCTGGATAGGAAATTGTGTAACAACGCGGTCACAATACCAGCTTTAGCGTAGTGAGAAGACACCATATTAGGGTAACATACTTGTACTGTATGGTCACAGGCACCGAGTATGCTCCCCGCCTTCGGGCGTTGCGATCATCGTCCATCTGTCCCATTTGGCTTCTCGGTCCAACGAGCCACAAATTGCTCGATATTTCTCCTTCGACTCATCGCTAAGTGTCTCACTCAACCAAGCGCGACACTACCGGTCTTCAATCCCTACATCAGCTTGGTTAACCGGCCCATGCGCGGTCTGACATCAACCGCGACACGGCCATGGCGGCACCAGACGTGGCTCCCCAGTTTGGAGCGGAGCTAAAGGTATGAGCCTTGATAACTCGCCCTTAGGTTTACGTTATATATATATCTAACCGGTTCAATTGTATAGGACAACTTCAAACCCGTCAGTACTTGGGTACGTTGCCGGCACCGGTTCCCCGCAAAGAGAGGCGTCATATCATTTCCAACTGGGGCGGAGCTAATGCAACCACGTTGCACAGGTATCGAATGGCATATCATGGCTCGACGAAATCCAGCAGTTCTACCGCGAGCGCAGTGTCATTGAAAAAGAATATGCATCCAAATTGACGGCCCTCTGCAAGAAATACTACGACCGCAAATCGAAGAAGATTAGCCCGCTGAGCGTCGGCGACAACCCCACCCTGACCCCGGGATCCCTCGAAAGCGCTTCTTTGACAACGTGGACTACCCAATTGAGCACCGTGGAGGCCCACGCCGCCGAGCGAGAGAAGTTTGCGACAGATCTGGTTGCCCAGGTCGCAGAACCGCTGAAGCTGGCCGCTACTCAGTATGAAGAAATCCGCAAGTGCCATGTCGACTACCATATCAAGTTGGAAAAGGAGCGCGATGCGTCGTATGGTGACCTCAAGAAGGCAAAGGGCAAATATGATGGTGCCTGTCAGGAAGTCGAGTCACGACGAAAGAAGATGGAGTCGTCCTTCGACCATGGCAAAACCAAAGCCCAGTCAGCATACCAACAACAAATTTTGGAGATGAACAACTACAAGGTAGGTTTTTGACCGTGCGAGTAGCTGGCTCATTTTGTTAACGTCTCTCACAGAACCTATACCTCATCAATATCAACGTCACAAATAGACTAAAGGAAAAGTTCTACCATGAATATGTGCCCGAGCTCCTGAATGTATGTCCTTGATGTGTCCTTTTTCCGTTGCTCAACGCGGTGCTAACTTGATGCACAAGGGCTTGCAAGATCTCAACGAAACTCGAGTGACCAGACTAAACGCATTGTGGTCCTTGGCAGGACAGCTGGAAAAGTCATCACTCACCAACAGCGTGAACCACACAACAAACCTCCTGAATGAAATTCCTCGCAATGACCCTCGACTGGACTCGATGATGTTCCTTCAACATAACGTCACGCAATCCCAAGAGCCCCCGAACATGGGCTTTGAGCCCAGCCCCGTATGGCATGATGATGCAACGATCATCACCGACGAAGCTGCCAAGATCTTCCTGCGCAACTTGTTGGGAAAGAGCAAATCGCAAGTCCGTGAACTGCGAATAGAAGCGGACAAGAAGAGACGTGAGGTGGACACCGGCAAAAAGGTGCGGGAGGGAATCCAACAGGGCAAGGATAACCGCAATGAGGTTGATATTGTACGATCGATCTTCGCCCTTCAGGAGGGATTGCATGAAGTTGAGCGAAAATGGTTGACAGCGGAGGTTGAAACATCCACCATTATAGCCGTGGCAGGAGACCTGTCCATGGGAGCCCAGAACCATAACTTCCGATCTCAAACCTTCAAGATTCCGACCAATTGTGATCTTTGTGGAGAGCGCATATGGGGTCTGTCTGCCAAGGGCTTCGACTGTCGGGATTGCGGGTACACTTGTCACAGCAAGTGTCAGATGAAGGTGCCCGCCGAATGTCCCGGGGAGCAGTCGAAAGAGGACAAGAAGAAGCTCAAGGTAGTACGCCAGGAGCAAGCAGGTGTTATGCCTACAGTCGATCTTGACTCTTCGGCGGTTTCGACAACTGCTCCGTCGCTCACTCGACAAAACACCATGAACTCCCTCAGTTCAGGGTATGCGGCTAGTACTGCCCGGTCGGTCTCCAACGTTGCTACGCAGCCCACCCCCGAGCATCCTGCAGAAGCAGCGCCCGCGCCTTCCGCAGAGACGAAACCAGCACCGAAGAGAGGCCGAGTCTTGGCCCCTCCTCCAACTGCTTATGTCAGTTCACCGGCGGCCACTGACTCGAAGTCGAAGGAACCGAGGGGCAAGATGCTATATGCATACCAGGCCACTGGGGCCGATGAGGTGACCGTGCACGATGGCGACGATGTCGCGATCCTTGAACCGGATGGTAAGTTGTCCACCCACCGAAAACATTGCTTCGTCTTACATGAATTATAGATGGGTCTGGATGGCTGCGTGTTCGTGCTGGCTCTAGCGAGGGCCTGGTCCCAGCCTCCTATGTTGAGGCTGCACCCACACCATCGCCTGTCCCCTCGGCCAGTCCCGGCCTAACTGATCGACCGGGCTCTGTCTATTCCAACTCGTCGGCCTCGCTAGCGGGTAGTGCTGCACCGAAGCGCGTCGGGCCGGCTGTAGCACCGCGCCGAGGGGCCAAGAAATTACAGTACGTTGAAGCCCTGTACGACTACGAGGCACGCAGTGATGTGGAATGGACGATGGCTGAGGGCGATCGATTCGTTCTAATTACTCGCGATAGCGGTGATGGCTGGGCTGATGTGGAGCGTGGTGGAGTTACTAAGAGCGTTCCGGCGAACTACATACAGGACGTATAGACCGGAATTGTGGTGTATATAGCCGGGTTCCGGTACAATTGTAGCTTTGGTGGAGCCTGTGCTATTTGAGCTGGTCTTTCTGTTTACTTGATGGCTTTTTTTGTGGCCCTCCCGGCATGATTTGCATCAGCAAGGAGCGTTTGGGGGCTGTCTGTTTTGCATGTGGATCTTCATGTAGCGAGGCGATTCAAATCATAAACTCTGAACAAACTCTCTCCTGGCTTCCAAAATATGAAGTAAAAAACTGACTCCGACCAGACCTGTAGAATTAAAGGCCGGTTGGAACAAACATGGGTGATGCTGGTTGCGTTGAGCACACTATCTCCATGTCATCCTCTGGCTACAACCCGATTTCTGTGAATAGGAATATAGGGGACATTAGACACTGAACAATGGGTGCGAACTACCCTAACCATTCAACCTGGAATAACACGGCAAGGTACCCTAGGCAGTTCCTATCACATCGCGGAAGGTGCCGAACTGCCCCTCCACATTAACAACTCCCCTTTCGCCCAAGGCTTCGGACCTATTTGCCTCATAATTAGCCAACTTGGGAACATAAAACAATACTCTGCTGATTGTTTGCTAATTATGGGACTTTTCGGTCTCAGGAAACGGGGGATGCGTGACGCCGATCCCTCGGCGCGTAACTTGAGACTGAACATACATCTGTAGCCGCCGAGCTATGGCCATCACATCTCACATTCCCCAGACTTTCGTCGGAACAACTTACCCCTGCTTCTTTGCTGGCTTCATGCACCGTCTCAGCACACGCTGAGCTATTTTTATCCATTTTTATCACCTTCGATGTAGCCGCCCATCGCCGGCGATTCCTGAGGCATGGCGCTCTTCCCTTTGGAGCATAATGAGGCCGCTAATTACCCTGGAAATGCGACCTAATTGTTGCTGAATTTAGAAGTGTTCGATCGCCGTGCATGGCGTTAAGCCTAATGAGGCATCTGATGAATACCGCCGAAGCTGATGCAAAATATAGCAACATCTTAACGCGCGACTGTCCGTTGAAACCGCACTATACCCATCCGGAACTCGAACGGGGTTTCAAGAGGCCCCTATCGCGCGACCTTCAGACACAATCGTCGGCAGTTTCGTGTTTCATCGCGTGGTAGCCGTTCCTCTGTATCGGAGATGGGGAACCCAAAAAAAGATTTGGAGCCTCCGGCGTCACGATAGACTGCTTCTCCATGTTTCATGTTATTCAGGTCCACTTTGCGTTCCTCAGGTCTTTTTATATGCATCGCTGCTTGGCCTGTTTGAGCCTGTTCAAGTTCATTTAATATCCAAACAATCTCCTTTCGCATCATGCTTCTGTTTCTTCATGCAATGTGTTGATTTCCTCTCTTGGTCTTTCGTTGGTCCTTGACTATACCCTACCCTGCGTTCGTTTCCTCTGTGTGGGGGTCGACCTTCCATCACCTCACTGTCATCTCATCATGGCTTCGGAATACGCTCATTACCAGCCAACCACTCCGCCGGGGATCCCTCTTGAAGAGTACATCGGATCAACATACTGTTTCAACACGTCCAATTCGTCCATCTATTCTGGCGAGTCTTCGCCTTGGTCTACAATGACGGGCAACACGAGCCCAACCACTTCGCCAACTAGGCACCATCACGGTCCAGCTCTTCTACCCAAAATTCGTCCTCAAGATGTCGTGATTGAGCCTGTATCTTCCGGTGGGCCACAGCGGCATCGCCGAGTCTTATCCAACACCCGGAACCCACCTGGTTTTGTTCCTTATCCAAGCCGGCCACCTGTTCAGCGAAATGGTATTGACGGTACAGGCCGACTGGCCCTAGCTTCTCCCATCTCGCCAATTATCACTACCGGAAATGGTAGCTCCTCTGCCTTATCATCCCCAGTGACTGTCACCCCAAAAAGCAAGCGCAAGCCTTCTGGGGGACACTCACGCTCAGTGTCAACCTCCTGTATTGACGAAGCTACTCTGAATCGTTATGGATATCCCACCTATCGACAGCTGCCGAAGTATGTTATTGCGCAGACACAACCGACCACTCCAGCAACACCTGTGACACCTGTGACCCCAACTATTATGGTCTATCCATCTTATCCCCAAGGATCAACAGTTGAAGTGCCTCGAATTGGCCCTGTGCGTCCTCACAATCCATTGACAATTCCTACACCGCAATACAGCTATCCTCGGACACATGGAGCCCAGCCATCACCAGCGCCCATTCTTAGCCCTAAAGAAGATTTGACCTCATTATCCACCAATCTTCTCTCATATCTGAGCTCGCCCACCCAGGCAATCAACCTTGTCCGCAATGTTAGCGTTGTTCCCACCCGTGGCTTACACGACTATTTCTGGTGGGATATTCGCAACCTTCGCAGCTGGAACTCTTTCTCCCTCGGTACTTTCGACTCAATTCGTGGACTCACTCAGCTCTTGAAGACGGAGATTCCTGGTAACCTTGCTCCTCCAGTTGCAGTGAGCCCCCAACGCTTGGGGCCGGAGTCGGAGCCCGGACTGGTTGGTCTAATTCGAGACCTTTATGCACCCCGGATCAACGCTGCGCTTGCTGTTTCCCAGGGCCCAGAGCACCTTCAGCTCTACACAGCCCCCGACATGCGTTACACTGGCCACAAAAACCACGGCCACCCACACTTCCTGGCCAACTACGCCACGGACTCGGAGCACACAGCCTCCGGTCAGCCACGCGGTCGTCTGGTGGGGATTGTAAAGAGCTTCGACCGATGGAATTCCGGTATGCGCAACGAAGCGCCGCACCGGCGCGTCGAGTACCTAAACGGACTGGCGCACTTGCAACGCTGCATGCGCGAACATTCCTGCCGATATGGCTTCATTATCACCGAAATCGAGCTCGTCTGCGTTCGTGCCGGCTGCGACGAAGGCGATGATGTCCCCTACTTCGGATTTCTAGAAGTTGCAGCCCCGATCCCTCTCAAGACCGCCTGTAACCACTCACAAAGCGCACGCGAGGCACCGCCTCTAGCAACCCCCATCAGTGCGCGATCGTTCTCTTCATCATCACATGGATCATCCTCCTACTCCAGCCAGAATTCTCCCGTCCACGACCCAGAGGTGTCGGAGGATGGTCTTTCCGGCCCTATGACAGCCAGCTTAGCACTTTATTTCCTGCTAATGCTGTCGAAGTCTGTCCCGCTTCCTTCTCAACCATCCGCCCACCTCAACGTCGGCGGACCTGGTGCTCTCACGCGGCAGCGTATCCTGCCCGATGCAAAGGATAAATGGATCCCAGAACCACAGATCGGTGAGCGCCGCGATGCTAAACGCGTACGTGGGTGGGTCTGGCCTCAGGATGCTTGGCATCGCCGTGAAGGTGGTGGTGTTCATCGTTCGAGGATTTCAGATGAAAAGAAGAGGTAAATAAGATTAAGTTTGGAGTCGGCGTGAGAGATGGTGGTGTTTATTTTTCTGGAGTTCTTAAGTGGTTTTGTCTTTTTATCGGCGGATTTTGGTATTCAATGTTTGGTCTGTGTATGGCTTGGAGTTTCTGTTTTGCTATTCCCCTGGGTGTTTTGATAGTCATTTTAATCTCTTTCAATCTGATCTAGTGTTTTCGTTATTTTCCTTTCTTTCTTGTCAACTTTATGTACTACTAATCACCATAATTGACAGTGTGATACTAATTGTGCGTCTGCCAGCGCTCTCCATGCTGTGCGAAATATATATCTCCTCATGTCCACTTTGTGCTCACCTTGCTAGATTTTCTTGTTATCCTGGTCAAAAAAGATACTCTCAGATACATTTAAATTACATTGCTCACCGTGTTGCCAGCAATAATCTAAGCCCAACTTTCTGTGGGTTCACCGCCGTCAAAAAGTACCCATGCCGTTCCCCAAGGTCCTCACACCAGACAGCTTCCAACTGATCAGCACTTTCCGCTGTGGGGGACCCACCTTTACCTTGTGGTACATATTGTATGAGACCATAGGGACCTTGGGAGAGAGTACCTCGATGGCCACGCGTGAGGACATTGTAGAAGATGGCCGGAGGCGGCCTGTGCTGAATATAAAAGGAAAATCCCCCGATATTTCGGGCGTGAACTAGCTGCGCAGACTACACTATTCGAAATCTCACTCTTTTTATATTCTTCTCACCACCAGGATGCACGCAGACAATGGTATACACGATGTCATCATCATAGGTGCTGGGCCATGCGGTCTTGGGGTGGCCGCTCGTCTCCATGAAGAAACTCCATCGGCAATGTTCACGGACGAGGAACATCAAAGATACCACTGGATCAAAAAACACAGCGGTCGAATGAAGTTGGTCCAAGCAGGCCACGGCAAGATCAATGGTGCCCGCGCTGAGAAGTGGAACCGAGGTCAGAAATGTGCGTGCGAAAAGGAACAGGATAAAGAACGGAGAGGATCCACGGATTCAGCATCTTCAGTACCTTCGCTGTCCTCGGCATCTTCAGTCTCTTCGGATGATTCCATCTCAACCCTGGTGTTGGACGGTTCGGGGGATCAATGGATGCAGCGATGGAACAATGCATTCCGGACGCTGGAAATCAAGCAGCTGAGAAGCCCGATGTTCTTTCATGTGGACCCTGGCGATAGAGATGGGATGCTGGCATACACACAAGAAGTGGGAAGAGAAGAAGATTTATGGGAGATCTCTGGTTGTGTGGGAAAGGAAATGAGCAAGCACAAGAAGAAGAAGAGACGACAGGGGGGAAAGGCTCAGTAAGTGATGATTAAACTGTCATGCCGTACGATCAAAGCTGATAATGAATCTCTCCGAAGAACCATTGGCGGTGTCGAAATCGATGAACGGGATCGCAAGGACTACTTTTCTCCATCAACAGACCTTTTCGCCGACTACTGCTCGTCTATTATCGATCGATACGGTCTGAACGAACCGGGCCTCATTCAGAAGCAAGAGGTTGTAGACATCACATACGGCTACCTACCCGAGGATAAAGACACGCCGATATCCAATTCGAAGACCTTCACAGTGACTACCACGACCGGTCAGAAGTTTTATAGCCGAGCAGCTGTGCTCGCTATTGGGGCTGGTGGAGCAGGCGTGGCCAAGATTTTCCCATGGCGCCCAGCAAGCGAAGAAGAAGGTGCTTCAGCATGTTGTCACAGCATGGAGATCAAATCGTTCCCGAGTCCCAACGTCCGTCGCAAGATTCAACTCCGGCAGGAAACCAACGTGGTTGTCGTAGGAGGGGGCCTATCATCGGCACAGATCGTTGATATGGCCGTACGGAAAGGTGTCACCAAAGTGTGGTTTATCATGCGTTCTGAAATGAAAGGTATGTGAACGCGAGCAAGAGGCACGATTCAAGGTAAAATATCTAACGTGTTCATAGTCAAGCACTTCGACATCAGTCTGCCCTGGATGGGCAAATATAAGAACTGGGAGAAAGCGGCATTTTGGTCTGCAGATACCGACGAGGGTAAGTTGTCTACTCCTGCATCAAGGTAAAGAGTATAGCCCAGCTGATGTATGTGAAGAGCGTCTTGAAATGATAAAGGTTGCCCGCAACGGCGGCAGTATCACGCCTCGCTACGTGAAAATCGTCAAAGACCACGCCGCACATAAGCGCGCCTCTATACACCCGCGTACCATCATCACATCCCATAAATACAACCCCGACGCTCAGACGTGGGCACTGACCACCGATCCACCGATCCCAAACCTGCCTCCGATCGACTTTATCTACTTTGCGACTGGCGCACGTGCAGATGTGCGCGAGATGCCACTCCTGAACAACATCAACGAGCAGTACCCCATCGAGATAAAAGAAGGACTTCCCTGCCTAAATAATGACCTAATGTGGCGCGACGACATACCCTTATTCATGACTGGACGGATGGCAGGGTTGAGACTCGGACCTGGTGCGCCGAATCTGGAAGGGGCCCGGCTGGGCGCGGAGCGAATCGCCTGGAGCTTGGAGGAGATTCTGGAGAAGAAAAGGGAGGTTGGGGATCAGTGCGCCGTTGAAGGGTTCTGCGGCCTGGGTAATCGGTATGCTTCGTTGGTTGACAACGGCGACGAGTAGATAGGGCTACGGGTAAACGTCGGTATCTAGTTATAGTTTAAAATATAGTCTCACGGCCATTAAGTGTTTATGTTCCTTGAGACATCTTTCGACATATACACGCGCTACCCTACTTGATTGAGAAAACACCCCAGCTTAGTGACGCAACCTCCATCCAAGAAAAACCTGTAACCCATCCAAGGAAAAACCTGGAATCCATTCCTCCCTTCATTCCAAGGCCTGAGATCATCTCTTAACCACGCCGCTGTGGTGTAGCTCTGGCAAAGAGCTTTTGGAATGTGGATAATCCCTTGTTCGGCGAAATAATTGCAGGAGCTTTTAAAAGCTCGGAAATATAAAACTTTTTGAGCCTTCAATCGGGGATAGTACTCCCTTGTATCTTCTGTTCGATAGTGTGGTGAGCTCGTGGCAGTCACCCAGCATACCATGGATCAAGCGTCGGAACCTAATACGCCAGTCGAAGCACTGAAGATGCTTCCGAACAACACACACAAGAACTGGATAAAGGATCGCGGGTTGCGGAAGCTGAATTTGGGGATCGCGTTCATGTTCACTTCGTCCGCTGGGACAGGATATAACGGAAGTCTCATCAATGGATTGCTCGTGCTACCTGAATGTAAGCGAAGGGTAGGGAGAGAGAAAGAGAGAGAGAGAGAGCGAGATTTACGAAGGATCAATGCTAAGACTTTTCTCCGAATCCAGTCTCGACGGTCATAGGAGGCCTCGAGCCGAGTATCGTCGGCCTCATGATCGCTGCCACTTCCCTAGGGGCTCTCATTTCATTCACACCAGCATCATACATGGCGGACAAATTTGGCAGGAAGTGGTGTGTCGGTATTGGATCTTTGATCGTGATTATCGCCTCTGTCTTTCAAGTCGTGGTCTCAACCCACTGGGCGTTTTTCGCTCTTCGAGTGATGGCTGGCGCAGGAGTCGGTACAGCCCAAACAGCTGCACCGCTGTTGGCGACCGAGATCGCGCATCCTCGTCAGAGGCAAGTAGCCACCGCATTATACAACACCTGCTGGTGTGTGGGCTCGATCACGTCGGCCGCTTTCACATTTGCCACACTGTCTGTGGCTAGTAGCTGGTCATGGAAAATCCCGTGTCTGCTCCAGGCATTTTATCCCACGGCTCAGCTAGTGGGTCTCCTTATTGTTCCTGAGAGTCCCCGCTGGCTCGTATCCAAAAATCGGAAGAAGGAGGCTCTGAAAATACTTGCGCGTTTCCATGCAAATGGCAATGAAGACGACGAGTTGGTTCAGAGTGAGTTCAAAACGATCTGCTGCAGTATCAATGCAGAGACCAGCGAGCCTCAAAAATGGAGCTCGTTCTTCTCGTCCAAGGGAAACCGGCATCGTCTGGCAATCTGCATTATTGTTGGACTCATGCAAGAATGGGCTGGGAACGGTATGAACGGTCTCCGAGTTTCACAACGCAGCAGCTAACGAATTGCAGGCATCGTTTCCTTTTATCTGGCACCGATTCTATCCTCGGTCGGAATCACTCGTGCGTCAGATCAAGCAACAATCAATATAGGCATGCAGGTCTGGAATTTGATCCTTTCTTCGGCTGGAGCAGTCGCCTCTGAGCGATATGGCAGGCGTATTCTGTGGCTACTGGCGACATCGGGAATGCTACTGTTCCTATCAGTCACGACTCTTGTCGCTGGTCTCTTCGCAGAGCTATACATCAAAGCTGCAGGCTTGGCTGTGGTTCCGATGCTTTTTCTCTTCTTCGCCTGTTTCGATCTCGCGTACTCGCCCTTGTTTATTTCGTACCCGGCGGAAATTCTACCCTTCCAGCTTCGGGCGAAGGGTATAGCTGTCACTCTATCGGTTGATGCTATTGCATGCTTCTTCAACCAATACGTCAACCCGGTCGCATTCTCAGCTATCCATTGGAAGTACTACTTTGTGTATGTGGGCTGTCTGATCTTCTTCCTGGCTTCTGTCTATTTCCTGTTCCCAGAGACAAAAGGACGGTCTCTGGAGGAGGGTGCACGCATTTTTGACCGTGGGAATATCCAGGCTATAGAGAGCGAGGATGCCAGCACGAGCACAGATGAGAAGGAAAATGGTGAATATGGCAAGAAAGTGTAAAGATAGAATAGTATTTAGAATAACATTTATCCTCAGCTGTGGCCGGGGTGGCCTAAGGACCCCCGCCATGTGCTTATATGCCGTTGGCCTGTATAAAATGGCCTTGTTGAGCAAGTTTTGAATCAATCTCCATTTCCTCGTGTACTCACCATTTTGCTTCGTATAGTCCACAGCTATATCACAATGCATGGCATCTCTATGTTCACTAACGACCTTGGACATGAAGGTATTATGCCCTTTCAGCAGTCGCCGTCACTATGGATAAAATGTACGTCCCTAGCTTTTTATATCTTTGCTAATCTACATCATGCCAATTACAGGAGAACAATGTCAAAGTCGTCCTAGACATGGTAGCTTGGTGAAAGTGTAGATAAGCGTAAGCATATACTTGCGTGGTGGCCAATCACAGCCAAGATGAAAGTGCTGATGCCACTCCCCGCAATCTATTGCAACCTCCCCGCGCTGCAACATCGTATTCGTTCTCCCAGTCTTAAGTAAGACCTTTGGCGCTCCATGTGTCGCGTCAATTGATTCTCTGTGGAATCACACATCCAAAGGCCAAACTCGAACCAGAGACCAGCACCATGAAAGAACCACAGCTCCCCCCAGCAGACATCCCCGTCAACTCAATCAGCTCCTCGGCCTCTTCCACGCCTCAACAACTCCGCTTCCTCGTCATCGGCGCCGGTTCTCGCGGTAATGCCTACGCCGTCGCCGTGACAAAGGTCACACCGGGAACAATCCACGCCGTCGCCGAGCCACACCCCTTTAAGCGGCGCGAGTTCGGCCGGAACTACATCTGGGGACAGGGATCAGCTCAGGAGGGCCAAGAATTCACCGACTGGCGCGAGTGGATACGATGGGAAACCGAACGGCGACGCGCAGATAAAGGCCAGGATGGCGCCGCAGGGATAACGGGCGCAGGACCCGTTGGAGTCGACGGTGTATTCATCTGCACGCTGGACGAGACACACATCGAGGTGATCAAGGCAATCGCTCCGCTCAATCTACATATCCTATGCGAGAAGCCGCTCGCCCTCTCGCTGAACGACTGCCTTACCGTATACCGCACGCTTCAGCCACCAGAGGGCGCAGACCAACGCCCACGAGCCCAGTCAAAGATCTTCTCCATCGGCCATGTACTACGATACAGTCCACACAACATTCTCCTACGCAAACTCCTCCTTGCGGAACGGGTTATCGGCGACATCGTCTCACTGGAACACACCGAGCCCGTAGGCTGGTGGCACTTCTCGCACAGCTACGTGCGCGGGAACTGGCGGCGTGCCACAGCCGCCGGCGACGGATCCCTCCTAACAAAGTCATGCCATGACATCGACTTCATCCTCTGGCTTCTCTGCTCGCCCCCTTCACTCGAGAACGCCGTTGCATCGGGCCACGAGCCTCACTTCCCGCGCAGCATCTCGTCGGCGGGGTACATGACGCAGTTCAGACGATCGCGCAAACCTGCCGCTGCGAAGGATGCTACGAATTGTCTCTCTTGTCCGGCTGAGCGGGATTGCAGCTACAGTGCCCTGCGCATCTATAATGATCGCCACCTGGCGAAGGGGCATGCGAGTTGGCCTGTTGATATCGTCTGTCCCGATATCGAAGACGTGTATAAGACACAAGGCACGGCAGCGGCAGAGTCGCATCTTCTTTCACGGCTGCGGGAGGATTACGAGGTTGGCAAGGATGCAGATGCGGATATTGCCTCGCGGCCCTGGTACGGCCGGTGTGTCTACGAAGCAGATAACAACGTTTGCGACGACCAAGTCGTGACATTTGCATGGGATGATGAGGAGAGCGAGCCCCGCCGGCTCGCGAAAACGGCTACCTTCCATATGATTGCGCCGACGGAGAAACAGTGCGAGCGGCGCGGCCGTGTGTACGGGACCACGGGAGAGATTGAATACGATAGCCGAACGATCTCGATCTATGATTTTGCTACAGCCAAAACTCATGTTATTGATGTGCCCCCTCCGCCGCCGAATCAAAAGGAGTCTCATGGTGGTGGTGACTATGGTCTGGCGAGACAGTATGTCAGTGCTGTTGATGCGGTGGTGAATGGGGGCTTGGATGTTGAGACGGCGCAGGCGAGATTCGTTGGGTGTACTTTGGAAGAAGCGGTGCGAAGCCATGCGGTTGTGTTTGCGGCCGAGGAGGCTAGGCGCGAGGAGAGGGTTGTGCAGTGGAAGGAATGGTGGAATGAGAAGCTCAAGACTTCGGCTGCGGCTTGGGCTGCGTGATACGGCATTTGCGATGATTTATGATCTGATGAGTTTCATGATACTGGTATTTAATTTGAGAGGGTCGGTTCCCTTATATCGAAATTAAAGTCAACAGGAAGACCGATTACTAGAATAGAACTATATCGAGTTCTATCCAATACGTTATTTTCTGCATTCGTCCATCATAACATGACTTCTTCACTCGGGAAACCATAGCCGTGATCCCCATCCAGCGGGTCACACAATAACACTTATAGACTGCTTAGGTCTTGACATCGGGCTCCTCGCGGCCGACGAACTCCTTAAACTTGAGGAGCGACAAAGCGAGAGAGACGTTGTCGGCCAGGTACTCCTGGGCACTGAGGCCGAACTTGGAGCTATCACTTTCGTAGCGCTCGACGTACAGACGGATGGTGGCGCCACTGCTACCAGTGCCGGACAGACGAACGACAATACGGCTGCCGTCGTCGAACTTGGCATACAGGCCCTGGTTCTTGGAGACACTGCCGTCAAGGTCGGTGTAGGAGAAGTTACCAGCGTCAACGACCTTGCGGCCGGAAATGGTGGAGCCGACGAAGGTGTCGCGCTTGGCGACCAGGTCGGACAGGACACCGACGACCTTGTTGGCACCGTCGCTGTCAACGTTCTCGTAGTCGTAGCGAGTGAAGAAGGTACGGCCGTAGGTCTTCCAGAAGGCGTTCTGGATGGAGGCAATGCTGGGGGTCTCGTTGGGGGTCTGCTTGGCCACACCAGCAATGACATTCAACCAGGCCACGATAGCCCAGACACCGTCCTTCTCACGGATGTGGTTGCTGCCAGTTCCGAAGCTCTCCTCACCACAAATGGAGATCTTCTTGTTGTCAAACAGGTTGCAGAAGAACTTCCAGCCGGTGGGGACCTCGTAGCTCTGCAGACCCTGGGCCTCGGCGACGCGGTCAACGGCACCGGAAGTAGGCATCGAACGGGCCAGGCCATAGACACCCTGCTTCTGGAACCAGGGGATCAGCTTGGCGTGGTGGGCAATGATGGCCAAGCTGTCACCGGGGGAGACGAAAGAGTTGGCACCGTAGATCATATTGCGGTCACCGTCACCGTCACTGGCGGCACCGAAGTGCACGCCGTTCTTGTCAACGGCCTCAACGAGCTCGTGAGCATACACGAGGTTGGGGTCGGGGTGGCCGCCGCCAAAGTCCGGCTTGGGCTCGCAGTTCATGGTGCTGCTGGCGGGCAACCCGAGCTCCTTGACGAAGATGTCGACGCCGTAGGGGCCGGTGACACCGTGCATACCGTCGAAGAGCACCTTGAAGTCCTTGTGGGAGCTAAGGAAGTCCTTGATCAGGTCAAAGTCGAAGATCTCCTTCATCATGGTCACGTAGTCGGCGGTGGAGTGGACCACCTCGACCTCGATGGGGCCGTAGGTCTTGGTGCCAATGTTGGAGGTGTCGACATCGGGCATATCAACGTAGTTGTAGGAGGTGAGGGACTTGGAAGCTTCGTAGATCTTGTTGGTCACGGTCTCGGGGGCAGGGGCACCGTTGGCCAAGTTGTACTTGATGCCGAAGTCGTTGTCGGGGCCTGGTGATGGCGAGTTAGCGGCCAGCGAAAGCAAATACAGCTTCATATTACTTACCACCAGGGTTGTGGCTGGCAGTCAGCAAGATACCACCGGTGGCCTTGCGAACACGGATCAGATTGCTAGCAGCGGGGGTGCTGAGAATGCCATTCTGGCCGACCAGCAGCTTCTTGACACCGTAGGCAGCGCTGATCTTGGCGATCTTGGAGATCACCTCCGGGTTGTAGTAGCGGCCATCACCACCAATGACGAGGAAGGCATCCTTGGCGCCTTCAGGAATGGAGAGGAGGATGCTGGTAATGAAGGACTCGGAGTAGTTGGGCTGCTGGAACACCTTGACCTTCTTGCGAAGACCAGAACTGGGGCAATGTTAGCGGTGGAATTGGAACGACGCAGGCAAATAACATACGTGCCAGGTTTCTGGTCAGTGAAGGGCTGGATGGAAACAGTCTGGACCGACATGATGGAGTGGGTTGGATGATGGAGAGAGAGAAGGGGAAGCTTCACCGACTGAAGGAGGGGCTTGCCGTCATGTGTTGATCATCCCACTTGGCCAGTTCGACAGGGTCTACTACATTTCCAATTGGCTGGTTTCAGTGGATATCTTTTCAATTAAATTCCCCGACTGTCATCCTATTAGGTATCGGATATTCAAGAGCTTCAGACCAGACGTATTCCTAGGGTTACGTTCCTCAGCAGTCCCTGGAGCTGTTTGCCCATTTCCCATGAGGGAAATCAAAATACGCGCCCGCGGGGCAGCTCCGATGTTTTACCAGTGACCAAGAAAAACTGCAATTGCCTTGGTATCAACACGGTTAAACACGGTTAAAAATAGAATTCAACCTTGATGTCATTCCCAGCGGAATCTAGTTTAGGAAAGGTGAAATAAAGGACTTGAACATCGTACAGACAGGTGCATCAAGCTCGGATATTATAATCAACCAAACAGCTTCTCCTTATAAAAGCGCATCTCGGCAATACTCTCAAGAATATCATCCCTGGCCAAATGCACCTCTTTCTTAGGCGGAACCCCCTCCAACAACTCGTCACTCCCCCACCTCCTAGCCGCCTCTTTAATAGTACTCACGTCCAGAATCCGATAATGCAAGTGCTCCATAACCTTCGCATAGGGCCCTTTCACCAAAAACGCCTTATCAGCATGAACACTATTCCCCGCCAGCAGACCCGTCCGCGCGGGTACGTAACGCTGGATGTAGGCAAGGAGCTGATCCGCCGCAGCAGCGGGCGTCGTGGTCGAAGCGCGCACGGCGGCGGTGAGGCCCGTGCGGCCGTGCGTGTCGATGCACCAGGGCGACATTGCGTCGAGGGTGGAGTCGGAGACGTGGACGACTGTTTCGAAGCCTGCAGGTTCCAGCAGGTTGAGTTGGGCGTCTGTGATGAAGCAGCAGATTTGGATGATTTCTTCTTTTTCGGGGTCTAGGCCCGTCATCTGGGCTTGTTAGTTGCTGGTTTCGGGCATGGGTGGCACGGGACGCACTTCGCAGTCGATCCAGACGAGGGGATCAGTGGAGCGTGTGACTGGCATCGTAGTCTTGTAGCGAAGAGCAAGTAGTGGCTTGAGGATGTTAGTCGTGGTGAATGGCACAGGACGGTGCAGGTCCAGGTGTGGGCGGCAGAATCTCTAACCAGGTGGAGAAAGCAGCCGTGTTGGCCCAGAATGCCCTTCCTGAACGGTGGGAGGAATAGCGAACGAAGTGGGCAAATCTGCCGTAGCATATTAGATGCTCGAGTGTATTTTGAAGGTAGTGATCAATGCGTCGCGTCTGCCTTTGTCCGGCTAGAGTAGGCCCCTTGCTAGATTAGAACAATTCTACAAGTTGTATGATGGTTTCCATTCCCCCGGATAAGACAAATGAATAAGCGCTAGAAAGACATGCCTAGGTAAAGCCTAGTCAAAAAAAAAAGAAAAAAGGGAGTACTCGGGTAATACACTCCTACAAGCCTACACAAGGCAGATCCCTATAAACAAGTCGCTCATCTGGCGACATACCTAATGTATTTTCCCTTCCGAATGCTTCCTGTAGTGTAGAGATTGTGGACATAACGGCGTCAAAGAGTCAAGGTATTCAAGGTGGAGGAAATAAAGGGGGAACGATGCAACCGCCCGATATCGACGGAGACAATTCCGCTTGAAACGTCAAACAAGCCATCAACTCCTCAAACGGAGTTTCTATGTATTCAAAACTCTCGCCGGAAATCTGGCATCGGAGCTGTTATCAATTCACAGCTCCTCGTCAATATTATCCGACCCGGCCGGTGCCTGGTCCAGCTTGTCGCCAAGGGACCCGGTGCTGGCGGTCTTGTTCTCGGTCGTGCCCGTTCCCAGCGCTTCGTTAATACGACCGGAGGACTCTGCGATACGACGCCGCAGGGCATTCTCGTCGGCTGTTGAGACGCTCGCGCGCTGCTTCTTCAACGGGCTACCCAGGAAGCCATCAACTGCGTCGGTGCTGGGCTGAGTCTTTTCGGGCGTCTCCGTGTCCGTAGTCGTTTTCGGTGGAGTGATGGAGCGCTCGGCGGCAGGGGGCGTAGTTCCAGAGGCCGGGGTGCTGGCAGAGTTCTCGGCGTTGCTTGAACCCGGCTCTGCAGAGTGTTGTCGCTTGAGCTGTGAGATGGTTAGCGTTTCTTGGTTCAAAACAGTACCGTGGAATCGTACTTACGCGAATCTTGCGAACACCCTCTTCCAGCTCTCCTTCGCGCTTGATGTCGTCGGGAGACAGGAACTTGTTGTCTTCTTTGTCCTCCTCATCATCGGCCTTGCCCAGGATAGGGTTATCGTTGTCATCGTCATCGCTGTCCATTTCATCGTCGCCCTTCTTGCCTTTGCGTCCAGATTCTTGGTCCCGGAAATTCAAGAATCCCACGGTGCCTCCGGGCTTGAGGGGTCCAAGACTGGAAAAGTCCGCCTGTAGTGATTTCCTCTTCGCCGAAGGCGTTTCTTGTACCTTGGGATCCTTCCAGATGCCCATCTTTTGCAGTTGGCCTATACACCGTGTAAGCGGATGTCCAAATATCTCGGAAAGTGCTGTTACTCACGTTCGCCACGATACATAAATGTAAATGTCGCGTAGGGTTTATCAGTCGGGTCGATACCCGTGACAGTTTGTGTGCTGATGGTCTTCGGATCCAACGTCTTGGGCTTCGCGAAGCTCGTCGTATGGTCAACATCGGCATCTCCTCCACTATTGTCACCACCTCCTTCGTCATCGTCGTGTGCGTCGAACTGCGGCGAGTATTCACCGCGCTTGATCTCCCCGGATGCCAACACGCGGAACAGGGCGACCTTGATCTGGCCAGCAGTCTCAGGGATCGGGTCGTCGTCATCGGAGTCCGAAGACAGATCATCGTCGGAGACGTTCTCTAGCGGGTCCTTCTCATCGTTTCCATAGCGCATGATGTTCTTGGGTTTCGAGGAGGCGTTCGCCTCCATGTCCATTGCGCCCTGGCCCTCCTCCTGGCGCTTCGCGCGACGCTTCTCCATCTTCTGTCGCCGCCGCTCAATCTTGGCTGCAGCGTCCTTGCCTTCCAGATCCAACCCATTTAGCCAGCGCTCCAGTCCGACTTCGCGGAACAGGAATTCGCGCTCAGCAATGCCGCCGCCCTCGGAGTCGGGCACGCTGACCCAACGCGAGTTCACCCAGGTCTCCTCCCCTCTTCGCAGCAATGTAGCAACCTCTTCCTTCTGTCTGCCATCAAAGTAAATGTACGCTGCCACCGTTTCATTCGGAGAGTTGGTTAACGCCTGGTATGGCGCGACAGCCCCGGAATACTGGCCGCGCTCGCCGGTCTGGCCTGGCAGGCCTCCGACGACCTTCGGCTTGGGGGACGGGCTATCGGGTGTGGGTTTGGGGGTGGAGTAAGGCACATCCTGGCCGGGATTGAGCAGGGTGATCGAAATGGCGAAGGTGGATTGTTCGGCCTTGCCGTTGGCGGAGTCGGGGACTTTGGGCGGGGGCACCGGGATGAAGCAAGCTATCCGCGAAGCTCGGGACTGGCGCTGAATGGAGTATTCGGAGATGGGACCATCCGGGGTATGGATGCTCACGGCGAGCCCTTTGAAGCACGGCATGGCGGTGCCTCGGAAGGTCGAGGGGCGTGGTCGGCGTGGTCGGTGTTTTGGGTCAAGGTATAAAGAGAGGGGAGAGGGACGGCCCCACGCGCTCGAAAGAGGAGATTGGACCCCCAGGCAAAGATGGGCGAGGAAGGAGGTAAGTTGCAGCGAGTGAGAGCCTCTCTAGTTTTTTTTTTCTGCGTCCCACGAGAAGTGTGAGCTAGCTATAAGGTGAGAGGCGGTCAGGGTAGTGTGTTTTGAACTGGTGCCCCCCAGTAACTGGGTCGGGACCCCACTGTTCGCGGGCTGGTATATAGAGGGGGCTGGTTGAGGTGCAACTTTTGCAACTCCTAGAGGCCAGCGGGAAGGGGAATGTCAGGTAAATAAAGGCGGCGTGTGAGCTTCACGGATAGATGTCACAGGCCTCAGTGAAGTCTCTCAACAACAATTCCGTCTCAACTCAGATCGGCCCAACCCCACGTGATATGAGCCGCGTGCGAGAAAAATAACCCTAAGTGTCACTTGTCACTTGTCACTCATCACTCATCGCCTGCATGGGACTGCATCATCTCCTAACTCCTTACTACTCTTATCTGACCCCTTGAGTCCCTGATCCCCTCGGGTTCATTCCTTTATCTGTATTGACCTCGTCATCCCCATCACCTGACGGTCATAACCATGGATCCGCCACATCCCCGGGACCCGCTACGCCAAGTTTACATTTATGGAGAAAAACACTGGAATCTCATGAGCTCTCATTTCTCATATCAAAAAAATCATAATAGGTATGTGACCAAAAAGGGACCTGGCAAATGGGACCGAGCCCCAATGACCGGTCCCTGCGTCACTACCAGAATTACAGAAGTCATAACATTAGCGCCAATCAACGGGTCTACTTTGCAAGCCCAAGTTACGCCTTGACGGTCTCAGAGACTACACTCGGGACGCGTTCAGCCGCGTCGCCTGTAGCAAACTGATCGAACTTGTACAGAGGCTCCAGCTCCACCTTTCTGCGGAAGATGTACCGGTTAACCCACCACGGAAGGGCCTTGAAGACCTGGTAGTGCATGTGAACCCGCGTGGGGACAGCGAAGATGTAGTCGAGCTCTTCGAGGGTGCGCTGCTTGGTCTCGGGGACAAACAGGAAGATCATGACCAACGCAGTCACGTTCAAAGCCCTAATGCGACTGTGAGTATGTTGTTGAAGCCCATCCGAGTGAGGAAACTTACGCGTAGAAGCCAAATGCTCCGGTGGGGGTCATGGCGTAGAGCATGCGCGGGAAGGTGATGGAAAGCACTGCGGCCCATCCTAAGCAGGTTGCCACGGCCCACGACATACCAACCTCTGCAAAATGATCAGCTCCTATTTTAGATTAAAGTTGGATGAAGACATACCGCGGTGAGAAAGTGGGAAGACTTCGGCAGAGTAGGTGAAAGGCACGGGACCTTCACCCGGCGAGTAGAAAGCGGCGAACAGGAAGATGAAGAGCGCAATGGTGCCCAAGTGGGCACCTCCGTCCCCTGGGACCCAGAAGCAGAATCCGGCTGCGAGTAGGGTCCAAGCCATCTGGGGGAAAGTGAACAGAAGCAAAGCTCGGCGGCCATAGGTATCAATAGTCCAGACTGCTGGGAAGGCGAAGAGGAAGTTCACCAGACCGAATCCCCACGATGCAAACAATGCGCTGGTGGTGCTGGCGCCGGCTTGTTGGAAGACAGTGCTGGAATAGAAAGCAATAATGTTGACTGTTTCAACCCGTTAGAGATCAACAAGATCAGGAGATGGAGAGATGGCCAACTTACTTCCACACATTTGCTGAGCAATCATCACTGTGAACGAGGCAAGGGTAGCGCGGCGGACACGAGGAATAGTAAACAACTCGACGAAACGAGTAACGTAGTTGCTTTCTCCAATGATACTCTGCTCAATTTTGATCTGAGCATGGATGTAGTAAAGATCCCGAGCAGCTTGAAGGGGCGTGTTGCGGAGACGGCAAAGAGACTTGAAAGCCTTGGCCATCTCGCCCCGTCGAATGTACCAACGAGGAGACTCGGGGCAGAAGTAGACACCACACAGAAGAGGCACGGCAGGGATAAAGGCAGATCCAAGTTGTAGACGCCAGGACAGGGCACCGGTGTTCATGACAGCCAAGTTGGCGCTGAAGCCGAGGAAGATTCCAAAGGCCGTCCACAGCTGCCAACACATGACCAGACCGCCACGAATGGGGGCCGGGGTATTCTCAGCACAGAAGATAGGGATTGTGGAGGCTTTCAGACCCATTCCAATTCCGAGGAGCAGACGAGTGATGAACAGCTGGGGCCAGTTCTGGGTGAAGGCGGAGCCGATGGGGGAAAGCACACAGAAGATGGCAGCGATGAAGATTGTACCACGTCGGCCCAGGACCCGGTTCATGGGATCCGAGAGCCAGCATCCAAAGGCGGCACTTGCAATGTACGGAGCAGCATTAACGATACCGACGAGCCACTGGTTTCTCTCGCTCGCGGACTCGGGGATACCAAAGGCGTCAGGGAAAGACAGGTTAGCACCGTTGGAACCAGTCTGATCCCATCCTCTGTTAAACGTTAGCACTATAGTTTCCAGGAAGAGCTTCATGAACATACTGAACTGCCGCACCAATCGAGCAAAGGATGATGGTAAAGTAGAGCGCCTTGGGCTGGCGCCATTTGTGGAGAACTTCGTCGCGCAGAGCAGTGACCTCTCGTTCAGTAAGGTCAGGAACGGATTCGAACTCGGTAGGGTCACGCGCAACAAGCGCTCCCTTCTTCAGTTCCGGTAGGATATCGGTAACATTGTACTCCTGAGCAAACTCTTCCACGTCGCGGAGCACTTGGGACTGGCTCAATTCCGCAAGTGGGTTTTTGATCCTGGGCTGATGTTAGATCATTGCTGCCGCCATGAAGCGTGGTTTGGAACATACTTGGCAGAGACGTTGTTTTGTAGGTTTACTTGCTCGACGTGGCCCTTTTCCGCACCACTGTTGTCATCACTAGTCCCAGTTTTGAATAAGCATGGTGGGCCCAGCAACGTGCAAAGCAACTTACCTAGACGATTCCAGGTGGGTGATTGTATCCTTCGCCATGGCAATGGATGAAGGCTCGAGGTTTGTTTCAGGTAGTGTGGGCTAGATACTGGGGGCTAGACCGTGTGGCGTAGAAGAATAGGAGACAGAGAGAAGGTTGAAAGAGGTTCACCGGGTCAGCGCAATGCCTCAAAGGAAAGGCAAGGATTGAACCGGGGACGACAGTGAATGGAAGAATCAAGAATCCGTCAAAGGGGAGAAACCACGGCCTTTTATGCCTTCAGGGAATTTCCCTCAGGTCGGCCCGTTTGGCAAGAGTGGGCACAGTCATTGGGCATGGAATTAGGTCGACACCCCGGACCAAGCCACGAACAGAGCTAGTTTGATTTCAGAACTACCTTCCAGAAGCGGGGGCTCAATCTGGGGTCTGAACCACGGGGAGACTTGCTACGATCGTCACCTGCCCCGGAGAAAACGCGGACATTCAACGCCGGAAACACGGACTGGACCTGTCCATGGAGTTTTTGTTCCGTTCCCCCTCGGCCACTCACGCATACATTGGCTACAGGCCGACGCCCCCAAGTGAAGGGCCATGTCCGACAGAATGGCGAAACTCACCGGGAGTCTATGAGTCCTACTCCACGATAACCCCGCGTTCAGCAAAACAGAATCGCGGTATTCCGGCCCGGTTAAAGTAAAAAGAAACGACGCATCCAAGATCGCCACGGGATAGCGCCACAATGAACTTCTAAGCGCGACCCGAAACGAGATTGGGTGGAAAGGGACACTAAAACGCCACCTCGTTATTCTCGTACGCGGGACGTGCCCTGGATTCCTGGATGTGATGTGCCTTGTTCTTTTCCGCGGTCGAGATCCCGGCTGTACCGGCTGTGATTGGGTGGCGGTGGCGCACCAAGTCAACTCTCAACCCGTTCACAAAGCTTCGCCCTTGAACCTTAAGTCGGTTGATATTCCATGTGGGCCGAGATCCGGAGTCAAGATCGCATCCGGCGATTTCAGACATGGCCATGTGCTACGGAAGGGAAGGCCACGAGGTCGACGACGTGGAGATTGGGGGAGTCCGGGGATTCCCCAGACCCAGGCCCAGAGCTGGAGAAGACTTTCTACACTGGGGAACGGATTCGGCCCCAGCTGCCAGAGCGATTAAGCTCCCAGATTCATGCGCCCCGATACTAGCGCGTCCGCTTTCCACCTGCCCGCTTGCGACACCCTTCGGGCCAGCTTTCCCTCCCGAAACTCCAGAAATCTGGCCGGTTGGTGGCGGGAAATTCGGAGCGACGCCCCCCTTGGATCTCACCGAGATCCGCGTCGGCTTCGGAGCTTTCGGAATATGTCTTACTGAATTTTCCGGTTATCCTAGCCTGCCGACCAGCATTCTTTCGTTCTGTCCCACGCGTTCGACACCGTACTCTGCAATCACCAAATGGGATTCCCTAGCTGCTCCCGAGTGAAGGGATGCCGAGCCAACCTGGCCAAACGGACGAGTCGCGGAATGATCGTATCACCACCATGAGGTAACTGGCCGTCTCCGGCAAAATACAATAGTCGGAGACTCGAACCCACGGGTCTCGATCCGCGGGGGAGGTGGGGGGTGCAACGCTAGAAACTAGTGGCTGCCGCCATGTGGGGATCGCTGTTTTACCAAATGCGGCCATTTCTCTGGTATGCGGCTATGTTGAGTAGGACCCGTGTGCCTCGAGAGACCCCTGCGAGTCATGACGCATGCTAATGGGATGTCGTCCTGATGAATTGATTCAGAGTCAAGGCCGGAATAAGAAGTAGAATGAATGACGACGCTTGAAGCGGTAATTGCCCTGCCAAGATGCGTACCACTCAAGGTACCGTCCCAAGTAGGTACCACCGTCGAATAAACGATATCGAGAGAAAGATCATATGTCTTTGCGGGCGTGGATAGAGGTCACTAGGAAAAAACTTTAGGCGTACCACTGGAACTTATTAAAAGCTACTTCAGCATAAACTTTTCTCGGCCAAAGTCCTGTGGCATTCACGAGGAAATCAGCAATTCGCAAAGAACGAGGACGACCGCAAGGCAGGAAGCGACAAAGGCCTGCTGCGGACACAGAATCAGAACTGGCATATGTTCGGGGTCGTGATAAGGAGTAAATTGATTACTATATTTCCCCCTGGGTCTCCAGCCATTTTGCTCTTGTGCCATACAACCGTTTCTTCAATAGTATCGGCAAGGGCCTTCGATGCCCTCGATCCCCCGCTTAAACAAAGTCTGCTCCGCTGATCCACCGCGTCATTATATCGAAAGCCACGTCGGGGCGATCTTGTGGCAGCTACCGAGATTGATGTTAGCGTCTGCTTTTTCTTCCGTTCTTCCGTTCTTATACTTGGGTCACTCACAAAGTGGCCAGCATCATTCACAGTCACGATAGCAAACCGCGATTCAATTTCTGCGGTATTGCTCGCCCGAACCCGGACCTCTTTCATCGTTCCGACGATTTCATCCTTGCCCGTTGCCGCAACTACTGACTTCCATGGCTGCAGCGACTTAGAAGCAAATTCAGGTTGCCCGCTCCAGGCAAGCGAGTTCGCCCAGCGAAGGTTTCCAGCTGTGTTGCAGGCAAGATCAAGATTGCCTTGGTAAGCGAGATAATGGACTTGGTTCTGAAGTAGATAAGCCACTTGGTTAGACGTGGAAGTCTCTTCGTCTGAAGTCTGTTCAAATGATCGAGAAATCGCATCAGAAGAAATATTAAAGTGGCCGACCTGTTTTGGGGGCGAAAGTGCGTCCCAAACAGCTCGGGTGTTAAGGTACTTTCCAACATGGGCCGCTTCAATATAGCAGAAATCGTCAAGTTCACAAGGGGCCGTAACTGTTGTTTTATGTGAGATTTTCGAATGCTTTCGTTCAATGTTATCGTATACTTACTGTCGAACCTGTTGCGGCCACCCGCGTATGACTCGTCATCGTACCATCCGATGACGCCCTCGTAGCAAACAGATATCGCTGCGTTGCACACGGCTGGGTCCGGGTTTTGGTTGCAAGTATCCATGACATCCATGCACCGAGGCATGTTAGCAGCCATGATATCACATCTGGTCTTGTTGAACACGGGTTCTGCAACGCCCGGGTTGGTGGTACACAATGTTTCCCAATATCCGAAAATCCGATCCTTCGGAGACATAAACCCGTCTCCCACCAGACACGAGCGAAGCTGCACCTGGGGCTCGTGAGGGTAGAGCTTATTCTGTCTCACTATCTGAGAGCCAAGAGCCGGAATATATTTACCCTGCAAAAGTTAGTCTCTTATACAATGTGAATATCAGAAACGGCTGCTTTACAGCGTATGATTCCCCCGATAGATGGAGCGGGCTATTCAGGTGATGCGGGAACACGCCTGAAACGGATAGCTGCAGAAATCGGTGCATATCGACAGCAGCGCGCGTCGAGTCGCCAGGTAGATCATAGCCTTCGTCGAGATAGGAGAAACCAACCCCGACAGGCTGATCAACGAACAGTAACGATGAGTTCCGCGACCAACCCCATGGGTTATGGTTGGTACCATTTCCGTGCTCGTTGACGAGACAAGGGCCGACCTCTTCGAACAGCCCGATCATACTAGACCCGCCTGGTCCACCCGTCATCCAGAGTGTCAATGGGTCATTGGTAGGGTCATTCTGGCTTTCAAAGTACCAAAAGAAGAGATGGACCGGCCCGACATCAAGCCATCCCGTATATTGAGCTGAACCGGCTGCGCAGATTGATTCATCTTGTTTTCGAATACGGATCGAGTGTTCTGGTGAAGAGTCACTCTGGAATATGCGAAAGCCGTCAGAACTCTCAGGTTGCAGGACCTGCTGGCTTGCAGCGTAGCTGAGGCCTATAAGGCCAGCGATAGACGAAAGCAACATTGGACATACACAGCTCCTGGGATTGCGGTGTAATGACAAAGAAAATGAAAATATTTTGATAAGTCGTAGTTGCAGCCTGCAAGTTTCCCCTCAACCAGCTTACTAAAAGCCCCGACCAAGGGGGTTAGGGGAGTTTGGGGGAGAGTGGCGCTAGACCCAAATGTGCCAAAGACGCATTTTGGTACAGTAGTCTCTTCGATTGATTCTCCAGCCCCAACGACAAGACGCACTAATCTATACTGGGGATTTTCCAAAACGTAAATTCCAAAGCGCATCCCTAGACATTACTCTATCGATCTGAAAGCGCTTCACGTGACACTAGAAGTCCGTTGGAGTACTACTCACATGGGTCGCATAGTTAGTCTAGGAGTAGGATACGACGGTGCTGACAAAGTCTCGAGTCCCCTCACAAGGCTCACAATAATTGACAAAACGGCATTCCTTAGAAACATCAGACTTGACTCGATCGACTATGCACGATATGATGTCCTGTCTCGTTATTCCTTTTCTTCTTCTCAAATTTATCCAAGTTGGCTTTTGTATAGAACCTCGCTTCTCGTTGAGTTCGGACATTTCTTATCCAAGCGCCGATCAGAAAGTGCTGTTCCTTACCAATTCTGATCACGAGCAGTCCAATGCCTTTTTAGCGACATGCCAATCGCTTATTCAATATCCCTTCGTGGATGTTCATTTCGCCTCTTTCCCAGAGCTGAGAGATGAGGTATCAAATTTACATACGGGCCTGTCCCGAGTCAGGTTCCATGCTCTGAATGGAACCCCTTACGCGAAGCGGCTTGAATTGGAAGAGTATCGATTATCAGGTTTATCGCATCCCCCCGGATTCCACGGCGCTGTAGCTTCGCGAAAAGATTTACCGATCTCCCAAGTACCGTGGAATGGCACCGAGTATCTGGAAATGTATCGCAGTATGCTTGACGTGATCAAGGCAGTCGATCCAACATTGGTTGTGATCGATCCAATGTTAAAACAAGCAAATGATGCAGTGCTGCAACTAGGCTATCAATATATGATTCTGTCTGCGAGTAATTTACGCGACGTGCTTGTAACAGAGCAGCCAGCGGGAAAAATGATTCGAGAGTTTCCCGCGTGAGTACCATATACCCATGCACTGAAGCCCTGGTACTAACACGGTTAAAGCATTGGCTCTGGATTCTCATCACCTTTGCCATGGTACCTTGCTCCGTGTAATGCCTACCTATGGCTGCGAAGGGCGTTTACAATGGTGTTCTCGTCGCATTTACGCAAATTGAAATCATGCCGACAACATCATGGCGTGGCCAACCCAGTCAATCTTGTCGAGTGGTACAGAGATGAAGTCACAGTACTCGTCACTTCTTCCCTGGAGATCGAGTATCCTATGTTCGTCCCCCCAAACGTCATAGCATGTGGCCCAATTATACCGCTGGTGCCGTCAATAGTCCGTCGAGACCAATGCTGGCAAGACTGCTTAAAATGCTGGCACGATTCCAGCCAACCTATACTCCTAATCGACCTGCAAAGACTTACAAAAGACGATACAATTGAAATCGTACGCACGCTCTTTTACATTCTACTAGAATACGATGATCTCCAGGTTTTGTGGAATATCAAAAACCAGACGGAAGACTCTCGAACAGATGATATCCATTTGGTGGTTGACACCTTCTCTTCTATATCGTATTGCCGGACGCGCAAGTTACAACTGAATATGGCAGGCATCGCGTCATTATTGACCAGTGAGGCCATATCTTGTGTTCTGCACCGCGGCGAGACTGGCCTCTTCCATGATGCTCTGACGTGAGTATGACGAGAGATAAATTCCTATAAGTCGGTTTACTAACAATACCCACTGCAACAGATCAGGCGTTCCCCAATTACTTTTACCTAAATGGCAAAGAGATTACGACTACGCAGTCCAGGCTGAATGGCTAGGCGTCGGCAAATGGGCAAACAGAGACCATGCTCCGTTCATAGCCAACGGGGAGTTGACAGATGCAATCCGGAGCGTACTGGATCAGGAACGCGATGGGGTTCACATCGCGCAGCAAGCCAAGCAGATTAGTTCAGTGCTTCAAACTGATCCCGGCCAGAATCGTGCCGCACAAGAGATCTTGAAAACGCTGCGTCTTCCTAATAACCGAACAAAAGAACGATGGAGAGCTTCCTCAGATGAGTTATAATGGTGTTAGCCGTGAATTGCAACTAGGACTCGCAGGATCCAGAGGTTCTACACCAACAGCCCTTGACTAGCATGGATCATCAATATTCTGCCGCAATTCCCAAATAGATAGGGTAATCTGGATAATCTGAGTGGCGTCGTTCTCATGTCTCTCAAGAGACTCTATTGGCTGGTAGAATTTCAATTGTATACCAGAATTCTGCACTCATGTCAGAAGACAGGATCCGGAAATCTTGTATTCACTAGAAACACTCTTATCATCTAGGCAAATTGATAATTAGAAGACTGTCCATTCTGTAGAGTGATAACCTCCCTCCCCTCAATCTAATTCTCTCAGAATTAAGTTACGAAGAAACCAGACTAATAAGAATGGCCCTAAGTGCTGGATGCATCGGGAGGGCATAGCGGACCAAGGAGTGCCTTATTCCAGTCACCAATTTACCTAGAGAATCAACATTTGCACTAATTTCATTTTCATTCGGAATATAGGTATATATATACTCTTAGAATCAGTCCAACATGCACTCCAGTGCTCTCCATGTAGCACACGAAAAGCAACGATGGCAAAGCGTATCGCTTTGTACGACTCCGGTTCCATCCTAGATCCCGAACTCGCATGCAACGACCGAAACACTGACTTGAGCCAGGACGGAGGAAACTGAAATAAATTGCAGTGGAGACGCAAGATAGGGAAGGGTTATCTATGGGTCGTCGGGGTTGAACCGACTGAGCACTTCGGGTGGGACGGTTGGGATGTATTTGCGCGCTCGCTCGCGGTTGATGCCGCCTAGCCCGGCGCCGTAGCTGACGAGCATGTCGGTGCTTGTGGGTAGGGAGAATGGAAGGAAGAGGGTTGGGTCGAGGAAGATGCTTTCTTTGCCAGGGCGGTCTTCTCTTGCGGCCATCATGCTTGTTGGGCGTGATGATGCCGCTACTGAGCCGGGGGATGTGGCTAGGTCTGGGGTTGCGGGTGTCCCCGAGGGTTGGTCTTTGGTCGGAGTTTTGGGTCGATCTCCTGCTGCACTTTGTGCAGGTCCGGCAGCTGCTTTTGCTTTTTCGTCTTGGATTTTCTGCTGCTCCCGATATAATATTCCAGGGTCCCGCTGCAGTTCAAGGAGGAATTTCATAGCTTGCTTGGTCAGGCCCTTTTCGCCAACTTCAGGCCGGTAGGACTTGACGGCATGCAGGAGCTGGAGGGGGATGAGCTGTTGCAGCTGAAGCAGAGTCGTCACGAGAGACTCGTGGTCGTCTCCGAGTGAGGAGAAGCACTGCAGCCATTGGAGCAGTTGGATGACGGGCGCTAGATGCCGACGAGCAGAATCAACCGTACTTTCTCCCGTGCTAGACATGGACCCATTTTCGTAATGCTCGGGTTGTCGATTGTTGCTGCGCGCCCAATCTTCCAACGTAGAGACATTCATGCGGATTTGCATGGCCTTTGTCCGCGCCAAATAGCGTCTCGTGCTCATGACCCGGTTAAAGATCTCCGCACTGAGCCAGTAAAGAAGCTGAGAGAGAATTTGAGTAGTGATCACGGAGTGAACGTCATATAGATCAAGTACAAAGAGAGTAGACGATAGAAGGGAGGTGATGTTGCGCGGGGAGATCTGGGCTCGTCGCCGGGGAGAAGGTGGCCGGAATCGCTTCTCTGCAGGCTCGGGGGCTTCGGTCCTCTTCTTTTTGAAAAGCTTCCACTCATTTTGGAAAGCAATATCCTCGAGCCCAGGGATGGTTTCATGGTCCAGCATTGCCGCATCCAGGACTTTGTTCATGCGTCGCTCGGCATCGCGAATGATGAGGACGAAGATCTCGTTGATCAGCTCCGCCAAATGGAGCTGGAATTGCACGGTTGCTTCTACCAACTCGCCGTCTTTCTTCAGATAATGGAGCAGGAGAGTGGCATTGGACAGCCAGAATGCCTGCATGGTCATATCCCATTGGTAACGTTCAACAACGTCGTTGATCTTATCCATCGCTGAAGTGAGAAGAGTATGCAGAAGCTCAGGGCTGGCATGATAGTGTGCGTAGCGCGCACTGAGGAAGAGGAGATTCGCCGGGACAGGTTTTTGGGAGGGAGATCGTTGCGGCGTCATGTTGGTGATGATAATGTCCAGAATCCGCTCCAGCTCATGATCCTGGAATACGAACATCTGGTCATTAAGACATCGGTCCCAGACAAATTCCTGTTGTTCCTGTTCGAGGTCGTCGTCGTCGTCCGAAGGCTTCCCTTTCTGTTAGTTTCATTCTCTGCAGAGGTCTAGATCACAGGACTCACCTCGAACTTCTCATCCAGCCCGAGGCTGGACAGGTCGACCTCCAGATTTAGTGCACTCTCTTCCATCATCATTCGGCGTTTCATCTCGTTCTCGGCAAGTTCTTCCTCAAAGCGACCATGTGCAAGCCCAGCATCATAGAAGTCGTCCTCAACAGCGCTAGGTCCAAAATTGTACCCGTTCTCTTGCAGATATTCGGAAATCTCACTGCCAGGCTGAGCGAAGTCGAAAGCCGTTCCCCCAGACGAAGACTTGATATCTGGCGAGGCGCCGTGGTCGAGGAGGGTTTTCGCGATCGTCTTGTGTCGGTTGGTCATAGCCCACATCAATGCGCTCCATTGGTTGCGATCTTGCTGGTCGACGAAGGCACCTGCCTCGAGAAGTGCCGAAACCACGTCTTGGTGACCCTGCAGTACATCCGTCAGCTTAGTTCTCCACTCCTTGCGCCCGAGGGACCTCATCCCTATCCTAGGGCGCAGTTTAAGGGCCACCCACAAAGCAACTCGCGTAGATCAAGGGCACCGTCCCCTCCTCGTCCTTGATATTCACATCCACAAAGCTCTTAGCTGGCCCCTGGACTAATTTCCGTACGCGCTCCACGTCGCCGTTGCTCGCGGCCATATTGAGGCTCTTCTGCAGGATGTCGCGTTTCTCGGCCACGGTCAGCGTCTCGTCGGCTGCGATACTCTCTTCGTTGGCGCCTAGCGAGTCCACCTCCCGATGAGCGGCCTGTGCTGCGAGCATCTCCATCAGTCGCGCATCGCTATCTTCGAGGTCGCGTCCGTACTGAGCCCGCAGCTCGTGCTCGGAGTCGTGTGAGTGGTCATCGAGGGCGAGGCTGAAAGCCAAGGGTTTCGCGGCGACCGGAGCAGTAAGGAATTGAGACTGTCCTGTTCCGAGGAGTCATGCGTCAGTCTATTGGGTCCAGAATCCAGGCTCCTGTGCAATCCCCCAAGCACAGGGTCCCCGCGGGTTGCCGGAAGAGAGCACTCACCCTGCCAAGCGTCGTACATCTCGGTCTCCTGCTGAAAGACCGGCACCGAGCGGCGATCGTCCAGCGATTTGGGCAGGTCATCGGGGAGCTCTTGTTGGGGTTCTGGGGACGCGGGGTCGTGGTTAGACTCAGGGTCAACGTCCTCTGAAGCCCCGCGCCGTGGCTCGGTCGTGTCCATCGTGGCGGGCCTGCTGTCGAGGACACGGGGAGCGGGACATCAAAGGGTAAGAAGGTGTAGATGGTCCCTGAGGAGAGCAAGTTGAAGAAAAGCTCCGCGGTGAGAATTGGTAGTCGGGCGGGAATTGGACCGGCGCTGAAACTGGTGGCCCGCTACGTAGATCAACCACCGCCAGTGATGCAGCTTTATGACGCACGTTGGAAACCACTGTATACGAAACCACTATTTACTCACCCGTGCTACACATGGAATACAGGACGGACGATCTATTCAGTGCCCATCATTTTGAGTTCAAATATCCTGTTCTACTCTCAGATCTTAATGTGAGATATTTAACAAGCCCTTGGCAAAAGGAATAGAGGAAATAAAAAGTCAAGTATGGACTAAGTATTCGGCCCATAAATCTCCGAGTTCCCAACTCATGCAAATGCTCGCTTCAAACGCAGAGTACAAAGATAAAGAAAAATATAAACGAATGCAGATATAGATACAGGATATATAGCAGAGGACGCCTCTGCGGCAAAAGGGGGTATGTTAATGAAAAAAACAAAAGACAAAGTTTAATCAGAGCTGCAAAATCACTCAAGCCGCTTGCTTCGAGCTTGAATCTCATCCTCGGAAAGGGATGCAATCCACAAACAGCGTTCGATGATACCTTGCACGGGCTCGAATCGGTACTTTGTGCTGGCATCGATCAGACGGAGCAGGCTCTTAACGATGCGGGCAGCAGTGCGGTAGCGTTCAAAGTTAACCAGCATTCCTCCCTCGCTGCTTTGAATCTGTGCGGGTTTCTGGGCATTGTAGGTGAGGTCGTGCACGTACAGACCTGTATTATAAATTAGTACCGAAGCAATAAGTAGCAGAAGCAGAAGCAATACTAACCAATGAAGGGAATGCAGCCTTCCTGCAAGCTGGCTGTCTCCATCTCGATACGAAGGTCATTGAAGTTGCGCACCGGCTGAATCAAGCACTCCATGTCCTTGAATAGACGTTTGTGTTCCAGAGGAACCAGTGCCCAAGTCCGTTCTAACCGGGAGCAATCGGACGAAGACAGGGCAATCACAATTTGAAGCATCGTGGCGTAGTTGCAGAGACGACGGGCATGCGCTGCCGTGTGAATGAATTTGACGACTGTGCGTGTCCGTTCATGGATGTCCCGAGTCAAGACAATCTCGGACACAACCCATTTCACCATAAGATTGAAGCGGCCAACGACGAGATCGATGCCTTTACGTTCCTCGGCATTAAGGAACTGAGCCCAACTAACAACGCGCTGGGGGCCGCTGTTCCACTTCATCTCGACCAGGTCGCGCCAATCCACTTCACTCAAGGCAGCCATCTCAACCAATGTCAGTTGCTGAGCAAGAACTTGGGATTCACACGCAAGGATGAATGGAACATGGTCAGGGCCAGTAGTATCGATTGTGTTCGGGATTTGTCGCTGATTCTCGGAATTAGCAAGTACATTGCTCGAGAAATTCGGGACGTCCCTTGGCCCTGTGCCGGCAGTTTCCGCATCCCGGCGTCTGGGGGAGGTATCAGGAGTAAGAGGGTTTGCCTGGAACAGGACCTTGTCTATCGGCGAGGCACAGGAGCCGAAGGATCCTGGGTGTTGAATGGTCATGGGAGGGGAGGGAGGGTGCGCCAGAGGATGAGGCGGGATATCGACAGTCGACGCAGTCAGACTGCGAGTATCAGTAGATATGCGGCCAGCTATGGCTTCGCGCGGATCTATCATATTAATAGAGATGGCTGACAAGCGCTTGGGGGTATTTTGCCCATCGACCCACTGCGCCGACTCAGGGGCCGTTGCACCTCGAGGAATACGCCGCATGCTTTCGGTCTCATGCACAATATGAATAGAAGGATGTGAGGATGCTAGCTCGGACGTGTCTCGGCTGGAGATGAGACTGAGAGGTGCCCCATAAATACCGGCATTGGGTCCACGGTTCGTTGCCGGTCGCTTCATCGACTCATCGGTTAACCCACGCTCCAGAAGAGGGACGGAATTGTAAGACTCCTCAGATTCCGCAACGGAGTCAGAGTAGGGTCTGGGTGGCGCGAGCCGACCCCCCACGGTGGAGTAAGCCGATTTGTCTGTCTGGTGTCTCCGAGCTAGAACGTCCGGGTTCACATAGTCCTTGGCCTTTTCGGATCCAACTCCAGCAACAGGTATTTCACGATGTGCTCCATATTTCCCGTGAGAATTAGGAGTCTGACGAGATTCTGCCTCTCTATCACCATCAGATGGCCACTTGCCCTCGAGCTTCAGCAGCGTGGATTCAATTCCTCCATCGTCATCATCGGGAATCTGCGCGAAACGAGCAAGAGCGGATTCGAAAGATCGCCTGACATTCCGAATCTGATTTGGTTGAACAAGAGAATAGCGAGGGTTTGGAGGAATCAAGGTGGTCTGGGGTCTCGACGCAGTATCCTCGGTTGTAGTCACAGTCTCTAACAGAGAGTCATCGTATGAAGCGAATGACCCGCGATCGGAGCCCGGTTCAATGTCATCTGCATATTGAATTTGCCGCAGGTTCCCACCAGGGCGTCTGCGCAGTGGTGGACCGGATATTTGTCCCGGTAAGTCTTGCGCGGTCCTCGATCCAGCCACAGATGTTCCTGCCTCGCTTCCCATTGAAAGGCGGTGCCTAGCTATTCCACTCTGGAAAGAGGCATACTTTCGGAGGCGGAGGGAGAGTGAGGCGCTCTTGCGAGGTATTGACTGGCGTTCATTGGAGTATGATCTTCTTGTCGAAGCAGGATGGGGGATGTGCAATAAATTTGGATGCTGGATGGTGGGGTCCGATCCATGGCCATTGTAATATATCGGAAGTAGATATCCTTCTTTTCCTTGAGACGAAGCATGGGAGAGAGGGCCCGAGAGAACGTTGCTGTCAAAATTAGGTCGAGGGTCATGATCCATGGTATTTGGCGGGGGTTCTGACAAACCCCCAGACATCGTTGGCATAAAATCGAACCCTGTATCATCCACGATGACAATGGAGCCACTTCCAGTAGTCAGGCCACTCTTTATCTTTGACTCGGTGGTCCTGGGTGGATGCAGCGATGATGAGTCTATCACATTGGGGGCAGACTCCTCCAAATCTGCCTGGGGCCCGGAGGTACGGACTGGCGGCTGGGTGCTTTGCCCAGTCTCGTTATTGTTCATGGCTTGGCGGTAATGCTTCAAAGCCTCGTCGCAGAGAACATCGATCCGAGCAGGCCGTTTAGGCACAGCGGCCATCTTTCTCTCTCGGTAAAACTCAGATCCCAGAGCAACATTGTTGGGCATGGCAGAGGTCTTTCCGCGGGACGGCAATGAGATAGCCTCAGAGGCATTCGCAATCCGAGCAGAAACACTATGGCCGCCATTTCTGGTGTGAAGTGCACGCTTGATCGAACCAATGATTGTCCTAACGCCTGAATTCGGCGGGGCTGGCTTGGGTCCACCATCCGAGCTACTTCGACGGTCTGGATTTGAGGAGTTCGAGGGTGGGGCCAAAGGAGGCGAGTCGGGGGCCATCATTGTCATATAAGTTTCCGCAGGAGGGTAGAGCGCTCCGCGAATGAAACTGACAGGGTCCAGTATTTCCGGCATTCTAGCACCCCCAGAACCAAGTTCCATACCAAACATGGGCACCCGGTCATCTCGCACCGAATCGGAGAAACTGCCGCTCCTCTTATGTCCGTGACCATGATATGGGTGCCGCGAAAGCTTCGGCGACGTGGGAGGAGGTTCATGTGGAGATGTAGATTTGCTGAGTCCTAGTTGCACCGGCCGCGGTCCCTTGCTCTTGGAATATGGATTGGAATAGCGTTTTGGAGATTTAGGAGGCAGAGAGCAAGACAAGGCCAGCAAGCTTTGATCGCTTTTGGTGGAGAAAGGTATGCTCTGAACAGTCGCAGCAGATTCCTTCCGATCATGTTGCGTGGAACTGGGCAGACTGTCACGGAGATTGGCGTCTGTATGAGGGAGCGTGCCAGCCGGGCTTTGCTGGTTTGTATCCTCTTTAGGCAGTTCAATTTGTACGCTTCCAGGCTCAATGGGACTGTCTGGATCGTTATATGCACGAGCGAGCTCGGGTGACGTCCAATAGACCGAACACTTTCCGTTCCAGCACCGCTTCAAATCGAGCAGAATTTTCAAGTCACTCATGCCACCGTTCTCCCGGGATTTGACGTCTTCATATAGAACGTTGATGGTTTCACAAAAGTGGGACCGGAGATCATAGTTCGTGATAAAATCGTCAACAAAGTAGTTCAGAATCCAATGACGAAGAGCTGCAAACGTTCGAATACGAATGATGCGGCCATCATCCTGTAGCCTATTAATCGCCCACCGTAGGCGTGCAAGAAGCAGGGCTAGCAAATGGCTTGGTGAAAGATAAGAGCGGAAGGTGAGGAAGAAGTCCGACACCAACTCGTAGTCCATGAACGACTCTGAAGATATTTGCGCAACAATCCGCGCGGGCGTAGCAGCACTGACGTCTTTAGTGCCGGGAATATACCGCACGACGGCTTCACGGTCCATGTCCGAAACCAAGCGTTCATAAATAGACGGTTCCACCGGTCCGTTCAGTTCATATACCACGGAGTTTCTGGGTATTGGCGAGGCTCGACTGAGATCAATGGCCGCGGTCCCCGAAAACATGGATACCGCAAAGGACGGCCGGTGACGAGAGAAAGAGTCTCTGCAGTACGGGCTCGCGAGATGGGTCGGAAAAGGGTCTGCCATGCTACCCAGGAAGCTCGAATTGCGGAAATTATCGGACATTGATGTCCGCGTGTAGACGGAACTGTGCAGGGCCGCACTGCCTTCGGTGTTGAATCGCGGTGTACCGAGCCGGTAGTGCGGGATAGGAACCTCCAGCGTGGTGTTACCCGATTTCCCATTTGAGGGCTTGGGCCGGTCCTCAGATCTATCAATCACAATGCGCAGCTCGCCACGTTTCCCCACGCCGGACACCGACTGCTGTTCTGATATCGTCGAGAACGAGTTCGCTCTGTGATGGGTGTTTCTGACGGACTCGGGCCGTATAGAGTCGGAAACAACCGACTCGTACTCTTCGTCGGGACCGTTGCGAGGGCGCAGTTCAGAAAGTTGCGAGCTTGACCAGCGTGAAGGGTCATCTCGGATATGGGCGTGTTTTTGCGGCTGAAGACGGTCACTTGTCACTTGATCAACGGAGGGGAAGGGGACTATTGGGGAGGCTTTCTGCGGCGGATTGGCAATCGGCCTGGCCGTGGCAGTCGTATGTCAGCTGGCTGCAGAGGGTGTACGACACGGGATCACGTCGCAGAGATTATATCTTGATCGCACCTGAGAAAGATCTTGCCATTCTGGCCGACACTTCCAACCGTAAAATGACCTGCTTTGCGCGGGGCCGGACGCGCCTCGAGCGGGCCGCGCTGCGTCTGGGACCGTTGCAACGGGGCTTTCCGTAACAATTCATGGCTATCCTTGGCACGCAGCCCCGTGGTCGCCGTCCTGTCTCGAGTGGCCTTCAATTCCAAATTCCGCTTGATATTGCCTCCTTGTGCTACCGTGTTGGCACGTCGTAGATTGGATGGCGCATGGCCTCCACTTCGGGTTTGATCCAAGGTCGGCAGCTCGTTGATTTGGACTCGAGGCTCGGAGTCATCTTTGGAGTTGACGGACGGTTCAACGGTCACAGGAAACGGCCCCATCGCGGGCGATCGCGAGAGCTACGGTAGCTCAACGCGACGCGAAGAGCGATAAGCTTTGCAAAGCTTTCCTTTTGATTGAAGCCGGTTAGAACGCGAAACGCAGCAGCCCGAGTCGGGATCGGAGATGACGATGGCACGACATTGCCGCCTAAGGGGGGGGGGGGGGGAATAAAGAAAAGATGAGGGTGACAGCTCTTGTTTTTGCCCGAGTGGAGTTGGGGAAAACCGGTACCGGCGCGACGGAACCAGAAACCACACGAACGGGTCCACGGTCCCGAGGGGAAAGCCCCTGACCTCTTATTTGTCTACAGCCTCACCTTTCCTGCGTCTCACAAACATCCATCTTATCTCACACATCTCAAAGGGTCCCCGCAACTGAACTAAATCTGTCCACTCTTCATTCCTGCACCAGAGATGATAGGTCACGACTCCATCCTACAGGGCCCGTTAGCCCATTCGCCCCGGCGAAGCGAGAACTTTGGGGCGACGCTAATTCGCGCGCTGGTTGGCCGATGTGACCGCCGTTATGCCAGCTCCACTTAGTCCCCGGCACCGAGTGACGCGACGCTGGAAACCGGGAGCTGATAGATGGAGCTCGCCTCATGACACGTCCTGTGAGGGTCCATCAGAGCGGCTCTCACTGGCCCTCCCTGGCAAGTGTCTCATGCATGTCCGGGGCTCCCCCTCCAGCATAGGAGCTGTGTATGACTGTTGCTCAGCCCATCTGCGAGGTTCCACCCGTGCCAAGGCCTGTGTTTCGACTAATTCAGTGGTTGGGAACACAAACCGTATTTTTGAGCTTTCACATGATCCTCTTTCCGCACTAAATGTCAAGGATCTTCCCTTTCCTCCGCGCCGAGCCCTCTACAAATGGTATCTCGAGACCGATCCGATCTCATTCTGGGGATCTGCTGTCCCGGCTCTCAGACCGCCTCCACGATCTGCGGGAGGAGTTGCTTTTGCGACGCGGGATCTCTTTTACTGCCTTCGACTAACCTAACTTTAACAGGGATCAACGTGGGAGGGGATGTGCATCTAGCTCAAAAGAGGGACATCTCCTGTCGTATTTGCAGACGACGCTTCGCAAGGCAAACGTTTGCAGATTGAGGCTGTTCCATTCTTTACATCTTCAGACACCGAAAGGACAACCTCGAGGTACTCGGGAGGATTTGACGCATGCAAGGAAAAAAAAGTAAATTAGATATGATGAAGTGCACAAAATACGACGCGCCATAAGCTACCAGAGCTTGCAAACTGGCTTCTTGTCCGGGCACTTGAATGCATCCTTGAACTCTCGAGAGTTCGCCATAGTTTCCTACACGCGAAGTTAGCGGGGTACTTGTAGAAGAACAAAAACAAGGACACGGCTGAACTCACAATGATTCGCGCCGATTTGGGCGCATGTGGGTCGGTATAGATGCCCTTCTCCGCTGCCTCCTTGGTAGTCTTCCCACACCACCAGTTTGCGTATGAGATGAAGAATAACTGCTCTTTGCTGAATGAGTCTAGACCCGGGAGGTGAAGATCAGGCTTAGCCTCATCGTGCTTCTTCCAAGCATGGAATGAAGCGGTCAGGCCACCGGCATCGGCAATGTTTTCGCCGAGCGTCAGACGTCCATTGACGTGGAGAATCTTATCTCCAGGGCCCTCGACAGTGAAATCCGAATACTGGTCAACGAAGCACTGAGCTCGCTCCTCAAAGGCCTCGACAGTCTTCTCATCCCACCAGTTCGTATAATTTCCGGTTTCATCATAGTGGCGACCCGTAGAATCAAAAGCTGCAGGTGGTTAGTATATCGGATCAGAGATCAGCTGTTGTGGGGTAGAAAAATCCATACCGTGAGATAGTTCATGGCCGCTGACTGCACCAAATGCACCATATGCCAGATACAGCGGGGCAGAAGGTCCATAAAACGTCGGCGGCTGCATGATGCCTGCAGGGAATACGATCTCATTTCCTGGAGGGTTATAATAGGCATTGACTGTAGGTGCCGACATGTCCCATTCGTCGCGGTCTGTTGGCTTGCCCAGCTTGGACCATTCGTTGTGAAGGTCAAACTTGGCCACAGCCACTTGGTTCTCGAAGAAAGAATTCTCGGACACATCCAGCTCGCGGTAGTACTTCTCGATGTCCTCTGGATCCATCACATTGGGGCTTTTGGTGGGATATCCAATCTTTTGAATGATGTTCCCCACTTTCTGGATACCCAGCTTCCGGACATCCGGAGACATCCATTCAGTCTGATCCAGTGTGAAGACAAAACGTTCCTTGATGTCCGAAACGATCTGGTCACCGAGCTTCTTCGATGACTCGGGGAACGAGTCCATTACGTAGAACCGACTCAGGCTCCAGCCAAGGCCCTCATCGAGAGTTTGAATGCACTTGCGCCATCGCTCCTGGGTTGCCTGCGGATCTTTGCCTTCGAGCGTGTTCTTGAATCGTCGCAAGGGAGCCACCTTGTCATCCTCAATCTTGTCGGCATATGCCTGAATGGCTTTCCATTGCAGGAAGAAAGATACCGTCTCACGGGATGCATCGTTCAATATTTCAGACAATGCCTTCATGTATGAGGGCGACCCCACAATCAGGCGATCGCCTTTGTAGTCATGAGGTGCCAATTCTGAAAGGATATCCGCAAACGAGATCTCGGGAATCATTGAATCGGTTTCCTTGATGCTGCGTGGGTTATAGTACTTTGTGACATCTTCCTGGGTGGCCGTATCTGGTGTCACGTTCGCAAGCTTTGTTTCAAAAGCCACGATGTTTTCTGCAATCTTATCACTCCCTGAGAACCCTTGAAGCACTTCCTTTAGGACCGTAGTATATTGAGCCACCAGCTCTGTGTTGTTATAGTACTCGATCGCTGGGAGACCAATTTCACGAGGCGGTGTCACCATGATCACCACATTGTCCGGGTCCCGATCATCAGGCTGAAGCTATTAGGAGTGTCGTAAGATAAGGATGCAGCAAGTCAACTTACAGTGACACCCGAGGATACCAAAGCATTAACACCAGATTTCATGAGATAGAGGATCGCACTAGTGAGATGATCCTGAGTACCGGAAACAAGCCCACCTTTGGTAGGATAGATACTCTGCAGCCCAGCTAGCATCTCATCCAAGGGTTTGCTACCGCGACTTCTGACGGTCGATTCGTCCAAACAAGCATCATAAGCGGTCTTGAGCTTCTTGAAGTTCTTAGCATCAGATGGATCAGAAGCGTCCGCTTGCTCAAGAATATGACGGAGTTTGGTCTGGGAGTTCTCTGCCATGATCGTGCCGGCAAATATGGAGCCTTGGTCGGAGCGCATGTCATGCAACTGGCGCCACCCACCGCAGACATACTGATCGAAGTTGGTGCAAGGATCAATGTCTGCGTGGTTAGGATCGAGGTTGTTCAGGATCTCCGATGCTGCATGAATACATTGCGGCGAGTCACAGAAGGCAGGCGCTTGCGGGTGTGGGGTACGTGGTTCGTCCGACTTGTCTGATAGCAAGGCCTCGGTGTTAAAAACGGACTTTCAAGACGAACAAGGAAATACTCACTTTCGACGAATTTGATGAGGCCGTAGCTTATCAGGCCAATCCAGCCAATTGTGGCTACGAGCTTCACGGGATTCCACCTACAGCGGGTTCTTCGAAGTGGGTCCCGTCTCCAAGCAGGATAGGCAATGGGCAGGTTCTCATCGATAAAGCCATTTCCATCGTCCATGAGGCCCTGCTTGCCTTCGATCTCAGTTGGTCCCATGTCGACCAACACCGGTTTGTTGTCACTAGAGACATTCAGTATGTCACCCTTGGGCAGAGAGCCGGCTGACAAGACAGACCTGTGGAATGACTGCGGCATTTTTGATTTGGGGCGTAAACTGGCAACAGCCAGTTCGATTACGATTGTTGAATGAGCCCCTGGTGGATGTTAAGTTCACGAGGGAGCTTCTCCGCATCCCCTCACGGAGGCGGAGGGTAACATTGTGTCACACATTTCGTCATGTGACTGTGTACTATAGCAACTATTCCCCTGGGAATGAGAACAATAAATAGTTCGCCAAATTTTGGAAAATCATTGTAGCGAGCTTGGTCAGGAAGATAATCTTTGCAACTTTCTTCGCCGGGCAAAGAAAGGGACCGCAAAATAGTAGCCAATTTCAAATACTCCAGCGACCATCCTGTACGCAATAACTGCCCAGGTAGGAGCAATTGAAGTGCCGACTCTAGTCCCTTTCTTTCCGAATTTACCAAAATACCGGAGCTGAAGGAGACCCATGGCAGGCTGGAAAAGGATAAGGGATGGAACAACTACCATGTCAATAATTGGATGGTAGGTCTGTATCAACTGCAAGTCTCTTGCTATTGAGATGCCAAGACCTAGTCCAGCGATCGCTAGAGCAAGAGTAAAGAGTTGCAAGAAAGCATGGACATATACTGCTGTAGAAGATGGAAAAACACGAAGTGCTAGTGCAAATGAAAGGAAAAGGATAACAGACACAGTTATCATGATAACAACATGGGTGATTCTTTTCTTTTGAACGGAAGGAGAGTTGTCGGATGAGATAGACTGCCCTGAGCTATTGTCGCGCTCAAGGTTAAAAACGGGTTGTAAGATGTGCCACCGATTGCTTTTTGGAAGTCTATAGCTGCAATGCCTGAAGAATCATGGATGGCGATTGTTTCTGATAAGCTGTTGATGTCAAGTGCGTTTCAGTATTTGAAAGCCCAGACCAATGGACTAGCCGAGCTCGTTATATCCTCATGTCCACCGGGCCAGTTGATGCAGCTATCGCACCGAATGTTATCTGAAACGCGTCATGCAGGACAACATCATTTGTCTTAAAAGATAAAAATTGTAAGAACGATTGGACTGCCAAGCACCCCCAAACACACCAAAATCACTAATTATATCCTTATCCCTACAATGTATGCTGCTCCGACGGGTAGATTCCCTGTCTGACGGATAGAAGCGTGCCAATCATAGTACATATTATGAACTGGGATGGCTTCGGAGCAGTCCCAGCATTGATCCCGTGGGTAAGAAGCTTGCATAAGTCTTGACAAGAGCTCAGAAGTTCTATGGACTCTGTTATCTCGCCTCTCAAAAAGGAGCTGTTCCCGGGTCTGCCTGTATTTCAAATAATGCCAAGGATTCCTTCATCGCCGGGTCCCAATATCGAGTGAAAGCAAACGTTAATTCCAAGAATCAGGATCTCTAAGAGTCTCATGATTCAAGCCACAGCCAGAACTTAGCTATGATTGACTTGAATCAAGTACCTATGTAAGGTACTTTAGACTGACAGGCTAACCACACCCGCGAGTTAGCCGAGATATGGTGTCTAATAAATTTTCCGAAATGCTGCACCAATACTCACCGGGCCAATACCGTCCTCAGTATTGGTATCCCCACCCGGGAGCAAATCCCGAGCAGCCGGTGCCCGGAGGCCCTGAATAGCCAGGATCTGGACTGCTGTCAAATGCTGATCGACAACGTTTACTTTCCTAGGTTCCACTGGCCAACGTCTTTGGATCCTTTGCCCGTTACACGTTTCCCTGATCGTCTACAATGGCTGTCTTTCTTTCCTCCTTTGTGGAAGGACACCGATTAGGAAGCCCTGCAGACACCTTGCCCCTCACAGTCAGGTGGCGATAAACTTCGGGCAAGTGCCGAGCTCTCAACGACAAACTTGCACATCGATTGACGTTTTTAGCTTGGTCAGCCGAAATCAAGGATGGGTGATCGCCGCTGACAGAGAGGGCGTCCATGTGGCTTCCGCGATTCCCCAAAATTAGTTTGAAGGGCTCGACCGCACATGAAAGTCAAGACTTGTCTTCACGGCCGTGACGAACTTGAACCCCTCTTCTGAGGCGCTATCGATCGATTAGGCAAGACTCGTCACCGGAACAACATGGTTCTGGCTCGACACCGTGGAGGCCGGTGGGTCCAAACGACGTGCCATGTGCAGGTCTACGCGGCCACGTTCACGCCCGGAGATAATTCGCCCCCAGATCGGCCTGTGGTCGATCTAACTCGGGTGTCTCCTACGTTAGGGCAATCTGTCTCCACACCCCAGCGTGGGCAGGATGACCCCCTGCCTTAGTTTCCGCGCCGGCATGCGAGCAGCGAAATTGTGAAACCGACAAGGGTGAAACGAACGGACCCTCGTTTCAAGATACGATACTGAGGCCCGGGGAATGAGATACCAGCCATTGTGGGGGGGGGGGGGGGGGGGGGGCAGAGTATACAGGTCATAAAAAAAGAGGATTCCCTCGTGTCACGGCAAGGCTATTTCATTTCGACAGTTTACAGTAGCTCGTGCGGCGTACGAGTCCGAACTCAAAACGACGGCGAGCACGGGCTTCATTGTTTACCGGACACGGGATGGCGGTGTTTTTGGTTGTGGAGTGACTTTGATAAGCTCCACCGAGTATTGCCGAACCGCTCCAATTCCATGGTTCAAATTTGTCAAGTCTGCTAAGAGCGACTCTGGCGTCTCCGGTAAGCGAAATAGCGCTACTAGCGCAATCAAGGTTTGCCTGACGGACGGTGCCTCGTATCATGGAGCGATCCCTACATGGCCTACCGAACAGAGCCTCGGTAGAAGATGAGCAAGTCAGATACGCTTGGTACTTTGGATGGAACAGGGATTTCCAGAGACGGAGAAGATTCTTGGGCTGCGACTGAGCGAACGGAATCCCTAACGTTTCTGAAATTTCCTTGCATCGATACCACCCTGAGTTGGCGGTGATCGCCGCTGCGTGCATTCCGCGTGCTTGGCAGCGAAGAACCATCGAAGAATCCACTCCGTCCACTCCACCCTGGGCCCCGGTTGCCTACGGAGTACGGATTACGGACTACCGGACAAGCGACCGCAACGTAGGCCTTCATCCAGGATAATTTCAGGGGTTGTGTAACGTGAAGAATCGTCGAGATGCACAATGCTTCTTATTGGGGGGCGAGTCCAATAGTCTCCAATGAATGGGTGTGGTTCAGCCAGATTGCCCCTGCAGCAGCCCATGCTCATTTAGCCTTTCGGAGCACCTGGGCCATGATGGTTCGAGAAGCGCGCGGGAATACATGCCTCCCCCTTTGTGTCTCGCGTGGTAAGCACAAGGTACCACCTGTCCTCCGTTACCCCCTCTGGAAATGTCAGGCTCGTGTAGATAGGCGATAGGCCGAGGGAACATGGAATGGGGATCCATTTCAGCAATAATCCCGGTCTATGATCCCACTATATTATTCGGGCAAATCAGACAGGGGGAGTCGGCCCCATCCGGTGGATCGCCCCGGCGCGCCCCTGCTTAAGACTGTACGACCGCTTGGAGTGAAGGGGAAAATAAAATAAAACGCTTGGATGGTCATCGCGTCATGGAGAAATAGTGTGCGGTCCGAGACAACGGTCATTGTGCTCACATTCCGAGTAGGAATTTGGAATTCCAAACGCTAAGCTCAGCTTCGCGGAAGCTGATCAAACTAAGATTAAGTGCCGGCGAACCGGACACGCTCTCCCCGCTTGTGGGATTTCTCTTGGGACGGCAGAGATGTACTACTGATCTGACTATCCTACTCCCGTTTTCTCCTTTCCTTCACCCCTCCGGTTTCGCGATTCCCCTTCGTGAACCAGTGGTCTCAACCTGATCCTTGGTGGCAGGTGTCTCTCTCTCACCCTCTATAGCCGGTTCTGGAAATCCTGGCTGTCCGATTCCCGCGCCCCTCAAGGTTCTCGTTCCCCCGCAAAAGCCTGTAACCAAACTTCACGCGCTCTCGGCTGTCACCGGACTTCCCCCTCGAGTCCCTTCGAATCCCCGAACTGCCAATCCGACGTCGCACCTACCACGTTACGGACTCGGGTTTTGTGTCGGAGGATAACCTGGTCCAATTGGATACCCGGCCGCGCCATTTATCACGGAACGTGGCAGCAGCTCCTGGGTGTGGGGAAAGAACCACTTCGAGCTCGCGGCGTGGTCAGAACAAGCGCCGACGGCCGTTCATTCATCGCGTGGGTCGTTTGAAGGTGGACAAGAATCTCTGTATAGGTAGGGCAACACTGATCACGATCACATCTTGGCGAATTGCCGGTGCCTCGGCCGTATCGAGTCCAGCCGAGTCATTGTCTGTCTCTGATTCTGAACCGGGAGGACTCGCGAGTGGCGCGGGACCATCGCGTCCCCCTGATTCAGATCGAGTTGGCATTGGCACCGTCATTCCGCGACTGTGATTCCCCAGCGCTTAGCTTCGTTCTGTAGCTAACGACTGGCCATTCCTTCCAGAGATACCGCCGTGTTCCCGAATCATGGGTTGCATCAATTCAAAACCCGCCGAGGCGGACAAGGATGCCCTTCAGCGGAATGCCCGCATAGATCGAGCGATCAAAAATGACAAGAAGACAATGGACCGGACGATCAAGATCTTGCTATTGGGTGCGTGATGCTCGGCGATCTCAATTCTGACTGTCTTGGTCCCGTCATGTGTCATATGCTAACAATGATACTAGGCGCTGGAGAGTCTGGCAAGTCGACGATCATAAAGCAAATGCGCATCATTCACAGTCGAGGCTTCCCCGAGGAAGAGCGTCACACAACACGGGCCGTTATCTATTCGAACATCGTCATTGCCTTCAAGGTTCTGTTGGATATCATGAACGCCGAAAACATAGAGTTTGAGCAAGAAAAGACAAAGGTATAATTCACACGAGCTGCTCTGGCTATTCAGGATGTAAACTAACATCCATCAAAGCTGCTGGCCGATCTATTAGACAAGACGGACCCGGACGTGGGCTCGGATGAAGCCTTCTCCGATATGAAGGTCCGGGACGCGATGAGAGAAATGTGGCTTGATGCTGGCGTTCAAAAGGCCGTTGCGCGTGGTCACGAATTCGCCCTGCATGATAATTTGGTTTAGTAAGCCCACCTTCCGAGTCGTGTCTATCATACACACCCGTTCTAACCATGACCTATAGCTTCTACGACTCTCTGGATCGCATTTTCAAGCCCGGCTGGCTTCCTGATAACCAGGACATGTTGCAAGCGCGACTCCGCACAACGGGTATCACCGAAACCTTGTTTGAGCTTGGGCAGATGAACTTCCGCATGATGGATGTCGGTGGACAACGGTCAGAACGGAAGAAGTGGATCCACTGCTTCGAGGGTGTTCAGTGTCTGCTCTTCATGGTTGCTCTGTCTGGATACGACCAATGTCTTGTTGAAGACCAGAACGCGGTAAGTCCACGATTTCATTCGCCATTTCCCGGCCATCGGTCGCTAATTTATGCCACAGAACCAAATGCACGAAGCCATGATGCTCTTTGAATCATTGGTCAATGGCGAGTGGTTTAAGCGGAAACCCATCATCCTTTTCCTCAACAAGATCGATCTCTTCAAAGGGAAACTCGCCATCTCCTCCATCTCCAAGCATTTCCCCGACTACACAGGCTCCAACACGGACTTTGATGCCGCAGCACGGTACTTCTCGGACCGTTTCCGCGGCATCAACCGAATCCCAGACCGCGAGATCTATATCCATTATACCAACGCCACAGACACCACATTGCTGAAAGCGACCATGGATTCCGTCCAGGACATGATCATTCAGAAGAACCTTCATACCCTCATACTATAAGGCAGCGGCATTCAGGTACCGGTGGCCTTTATGATGAACGTCATTGTTGCCACGAAGTTGATTTTCGTTTCTTGTCAAGCTCTCTAGCCTTTTCCTCTGTTGCATTCCTCCGCGGCTCCATTCTCCTTCTATCTTCTCCAACACTATCGGAACCTCTCTTTCCTATTCTCTTTTCATTTTCTTATTTCTTCATGAGGCGTCTTGATATAAAGGAATCGCCGGCTCTCTGCCGCATCCTTGGGTCTATTACGTTGCATCCAAAAGCCCGTTGGATTTCGCTAACCAATGCCCCGCTTCGGTTTCAGCGAAGGTGTCTTTGCTCTCTTTTCCCTTTTATCTTTTCTCTTTTCTCTTATCGATTACGCAGGATGATACCACTTTTTTTGTCGCTTCAGATGTGTGATACCTGACGGCTGTTCCCTGTACTATCACAATTCATTATTGTTCCTTCTCATCAATGAACTCAATTGAATCTCGCAATGTATCATTAATTGTAGGCAATTGCTGCATCTAGAATGAATAATTTCGAGTTGTGCTCAGAGGAACCAGGTGATCGCAAGTGGTGAAAGTGACACCTGAGGCATAAAACTTACATAACGTCCGCATGATCTGAGACGCCGAGTTCCGACCCGATGATTTCGCCTCCGATTCAGACTCACCTCCAACTCTTCCCAATTGTTGGGTCCCTCGTCAACCATGTTGTCAACGTCGTTACGCCGGGCCGCATGGGCGCCTCTGTCCGGCATACCTCGTTCCGCCCAGAATATTCCTTCGACCGGTCTGCTCGGTGCGACCCGACATGTGCACCAGCGCCGATACTCCTCCTCCAAGCCGCCGGTCCCGCCCAGCGATGGCTCCCGTCGCCTGGATACCTCGACCCCGGCAAAGGGGGTGAACTCATCCGGTGAGAAGGGCAAGACGACCCGCCGCCGTGGGAAGGACAACGGTGCCCGCAACGGGTCTTCGAAGGCTAGCCAGCAGGACGCCGCATTTTCGAAGCTTCCCAGTGTCCCCTCGACACAGCACCGACAGCCACATGGTGAGTGCCTCGGCTACAGCTTTATCTCCTATTCAAGTTTCTGTACGGTGCTAACTTTCTTTGTTTATCAAGACGTCCATGTCGCTTCGTTCTTCTCCATTCACCGCCCCATCTCCGTGACCACCACGGTCCCTCCGACCTCGTCCACCGAAGCCTTCGATGCGATCTTCTCGTCAAAGAAGTTCCTCAAGAATGAGCCCGACGATGTCATCTTCACCCTTTCCTCGACAGCTCAGAACATGGAGTCCATGGCCAACGGTATGTCCGAGCCCGAAGACCAGTTCGGCCAGCTCCAGCGGAGCTTCACGAGCGATCCAAATGGAGACCTCCAGATGCTCGATGGTGCCGAGGCCAAGATGTCCGTGGAGGAGTTCGTCCGACGCCTGCGTCCGTTCCACCCTCCTCCGCCTCCGATCCCCATGGACATGAACCCTAGCTCCGACGCCATGGAGTCCCAAGCCCAGAACCAGCACGAGACTTCGACCTACTCGACCGTGTTGACGATTCGGGAAACTCGCAACTCCGATGGTCGCAAGACCTACGAGGCTTCTACCGGTCCCTTTGTCCGCGACATGGAGGACCCTGAGCACGAGGGCATCACCATCGACGCACCCAGCGGCTCGGCCTCGGGCATGACCTATGTTGAACGTCGTCGCCACAACCAGACTATCCACGCCATCAGCACCAAGCGCCGCCGCAAGGTCAAGATGAAGAAGCACAAGTTCAAGAAGCTGATGCGGAGAACGCGCACTCTTAGACGGAAACTCGACAAAGCTTAGACTGCTCTTTCGCTTTTCCATTTTGCTTTTCTCGTTCGGTTTATCGGATGCATCTATGGCCCGCGTCTTTGCATAGTCTTGGGTTGAGGCTTAGTGTTGTCTGACTTTCAGGGCATATATCCTACTTATTATCGTACATTGCGAAATTCTCTTTTTTTTTTCCTTGTTTCGTCTATTCCTTCTACTCTCCCACCCTCCACTAAATATCCAATCATCGCCATATCTTTGAGACGCTTTTATGGTCATTGAACTGTTTTCTTATGTGTGTGCGGCATTTATGGCCCCAATACATTGCGGACTACCCAATAGATTCTGCTCTTTTGATATTTCAGCCCATCTCCGTGATATATTGTTCACGGGTAGCTCGAAGCAATAAGGACCTTGACAGGCATACTTTGCCAAGTCTTTACGTAGGAAAACCCCCTATTGAAACATTTGATAGGTACTTCAAGGTCTTACGACAGCAAGAGACTTGAAATACACAAATCGGGATTGCTATATCATACCGAATACAAAGACCCGACAACCAAAAAAGGACAAGAAAGAGCCAAAACCGAGAGAAAATAAAAAGGGTTTGTAAATCCACAGCTTAGCCAGACCGACAAGAAACAAGTCCAGGGCCCAGTTCAGCGAGACCCATAAAAAGTACAGTATCCAGCGCGCGTTCATGCAATGTAAGCCAGTTCAATATCTACCACACCTGACCAACCAGTCTCGGAAGGTTCCCAGTTCTACATACCACCAAAAAAGAAATCCCTTTCAGAGTTCAAAAAAATGAATTTATCATAGCCAAAATCATCTTTTCCTTGTACCACTGTCCTCGTCGCCCGGCATAATGCGAGAGAAACCGTGAGTTGCTATGTTGGGGTCGGAAGTCGATAATAACACACCGGAAAACGGTATAAGTCACCAGGTACCGTAGAAAGATAGCTGGATTGAGAGTCCGAGTTCCGAGTGCAACGAGACGCTTCTCGTTTAGGTGCAGGAGGCTTTCGAGCGGGAGTTCATGAGAAGAGCGACAATCAACCCGTAAAGACCTAGATGAGGGAAAAGCTGTTAGAATGGACGATATGGATTTGCTCGGACGGATAGACTCACCCAGAACTTCAGCGAAAATGAGAATCAAAATCATTCCGACGTAGAGGCGGGGTTGCTGAGCAGTTCCACGAACACCGGCGTCACCGACAATACCAATAGCGAAACTGTACAGAGTCATTAGTCATGGAAATGTTTGATAAGTCGGGATCAATCAAGTTTGAACATACCCAGCGGCCAGACCGGCCAGACCGACAGAAAGACCAGCGCCGAGCTGAATGAATCCAGTGTACAGAGGGAGCTTCTGGGTCAGGTCGTTGGCGACCAAGACCGACACGACCAGACCATAGATACCAATGATACCAGCCATGACAATGGGGACAATGTCTAAGATTCAAGGTTAGCGAAAAGACCCATGGAAGCTAAGAAAGATATCACCGCGGCGTGATATCGCAACTTTCTGAGCCTGTTTGGAGCTTGACGTACTCTTGACGATCAGGTCGGGACGGAGGACAGCCATGGAGCACACTCCGACACCGGCCTTAGCGGTACCATACGCGGCACCGAAGCAGGTGAAGACGATGGCGGACGTGCAGCCCAGCGCACCGAAGAAGGGCTAGAATCATAGCATCAGTTATCGTTCTCAGGCTAGCGTGACAGGTGTGTGTGGTTGAAGATGTGGAGGGGACGGCTAAAACACGGAGACGTGGACGGGGTGGACTCGGGGAGATCGAGGAAGCTAGACTCACCGCATAGACGGGGCTATCGGAGCATTTCGGTTAGCAAAGATTCATCAATGCTTGGAAACCTCCGGAGAGCGAAGCAGTAGACCGACGATCCATAGCTGTCAAGCACCCAGGGGGGTTGGGAGGCTGCATAGCGACTTACCAAAGCTCTGTGGCCATTTTGATGGTATGGAGGCTCGACGAGCTTCTCTGGAAGAGGATCTTGCTTGAAATGGATGATAGGAGACCCGAGATGTGCAGGCTCAAGCCGTGGATGAGGAGATTGCGGTAATCGGGAGGATGGAGAGTGCTACGAGGTCAGAAGCCACCACGCTGGTCCCGGATCACGTGAATGGCTCTTGGCACGGCAGACGCTCCACATCGATCTCTGGTTTGTATACATGTCTCTTCAATTGGCTTTTTCTTTACCTTTCTATCTTACACATGCCTAAAGTTCGTTATTGTACAGGGTTCATAATCACTCTGCATCCTGGTATATCCAGCTTGGTGCTGGAACTGGATGTCTCTGCTCCATCCATCATTGGCTGCGAGTACGCAATCGCCTTTTCGGACAGCGCTCCAAAAGAACTCGGCACAACGACAAGGTCGTGCTTATTCTCATTCAGAGATTGAACATCCACTTCTTCAGCATCGGCAACGACACCAAACCGGTAGGTGACAGATCCTTTCACCCCATGGTTGCTTGTAACTTCGTCTTGTGAATGTTCCGGTTCTAGCCCGACGAAGAATTGGATGAAATCACCTGTTGTGGCGACCTGTGACAACAGGGAGAGATCATCACCTATCATCCCCTTGGCGAAAAATGCCGGCATCTCTAGAGGCGCATCTGCGCTAGGGTTGAAGATTTGATCCAGGGAGAGTAGTTCATCGGAACGCGTCATCCCTGGGAAGCTAACCTCTGGATCTAGCGAAAGAAGACCTTGTTTCTTTCCCCATCCGCCTCCACCGCTCATGACGCGGTGCAGCTTACCACCCCGGCGCAAGGACTGGACGACTCGATCCTGGGTGGATGAAGATTCCCAATCGGCAACCACCAGGTCAGGCTTCTCAACCAAGGCCCAGACGGAGACCCTTTGGTCGACAATATTATGCTCGTCAATGTATCGGGGAAGCGCCGTCTCCAGTTCGGAGGAAGCGGGCATTGGCTCGGCCGAAGTTGGGTCTGTCGATTTTGAAACCTGCCGCAGGATGTTGCCCATACTCGTAATGACCCGCCTTCTCTCGCCTACGGGGTCGAGCGGAAGAGTTAGACTGGGATTCGTAGTAGTCGAGACAGATGTGACAGAGCAGCTTGTGAGGTCCGCTGATTTATCGATGGTATATGCGCCAGCGGCATCGTTATAATTCCAGCGCATGCCGATAAGTGTCGATTCTTTTCCATTGATAAAGATGGTGTTTGTAAGGCGTAGACCGACTTCATACGCTGGTCCTTCAGAGACGTTTATGCCTTGAATGGAAATCGCAAGGTCGGCTTCCTCGCCAGCGGGCCCTCCAATGCGACGAACAGGTGCTGCTTTTCCTCGTACATTCTCTCTTTGGATTGTTAAGAGAGACAAACCCTCGGACTCTGATGAGAAGGTAGAGTCGGCGCTCCCTTCCGAAGTTGGCATATCAGATTGCGTAGAATTGGGAAGTTTATCAACAACTGCTGCAACGGCGTAGAGAGGAGTGGACTTCGGAACACTGTGATATAATCGGCTTATCAAGGACTCGAGGAATGGATTGGCGGTGTCAATCCAGTGGGCAAAGCTAGGGGTGACGAGAAGGAGGGGCACGGAATCCGAGGCGGCGTCCACGGACGGCGTGGAGGGGAGAGTTGACAAGATATCGTCGGGATTCTTTGCATGCCCGTTAGTGTACGGCGAGGCAATGGTGGAAGGTTGAAAAGCTCACAATAGCTGCCGGCGTCCTCGTGAGCCATGTGTAAGCAAAGGGCGAAAAGTTCTTCGCAGGGACCTTGCGATTGGTCTCTGTCGCAAACAGGCGGTTTGCGACACTCGAGCTCCGAGCTCGGTTTGAGCTGCGCATAAGGCGGAGTGGCGTGGATCGAAGGACCACCCTGGGGGCCATGGCGTTCAGGCCATATCTGGAGGCCATTGACATCTGGGCATCAGCCTCAAACGCGGAATGTCAAACAGAGAGAAAGTTGGAGCGGCGGAGAGTGACCACAGATGCGCGCGATTTAGACGGGAAAAAGTTCTGTAATACTCTGTATACTTTACCGTACTTGCCGTCAATTTTTCTTGAATAAACGTCACAAATTACAAGACGAACTAACCGCTTCTGGCAGTTGATGCCGCGGACATCCGCGGACCTCGCCCATGTCGTCTTACTGTCTTCTCTTAGCCTGTCTGTCTGGTACAGCGTACGCTATTTCATTGGCCTTTGGCAAAATTGAAGGGCCTGAAAGGTTCTGGGCTTCCTGGCTATTTAAAAAGGCAAGCCCCGCGGAGCTCCGCGGCCTGAGATCTGCATACCCGCCGCAGTCGGATCAGTTCAGAACTACATGCTCAGTCATGAAACGAGATAATCAGGGCAACCCAGTCCAGGTGACACACCGATGGAATCGACCACCGCTATCATGTCTGCCCTGTCGTGAAAAGAAGCGCCGATGTGATCGTGCTCAGCCATGCTCAAACTGCGTGCTCCGAGACATTCCATGCAACTATGCTGGGCAAAGCTCGGAGACTCTAGGGCCATCCGGGGCTTCACAGGCATCCACTGCTGGCTCTGGTCAAGTCACTGGAGCACAGCCTGTAAATTCAGCTGAAGTTAACAATCGGTGAGTAACTTGTGTCCCGATTATTAATTTGATGAAGGTGTCAGCTAACATCCCGAAGCAACGTGGATGAGATGATTCTTCATCGTATTCGAAGATTGGAAGGAATCATAGAAAGATCCGTTGTGTCTCCACAGGTCGATGTCAAACACCAGGGGATATTTTCAACCTCAACACCTACTTCAGAACCAGTGGGTATATCCTTGCTCTAAATCATGTAACTAACCTAATTGTTGACATTTGTTATAGGCTTTTGGCTCTCACTATGTCATGTCATTCAACTCGCATCCTCCGGCAGATTCAATTAGCTATAACTACAGCGAATACCCAAGTATCGTCGACCTTACGCGGAAACTTCCTCCTCTACGAGAGGCAAAAAGCCTGTTCGATCATTTTGCAACAACACTGCAGCCGACGTTCGGCATACTTCATATCCCATCTACTCGTGTCCTGATGGAGCGCACCTATCAGTGCTTCCTGGAGGGCGAAGAGGCTCCAGCGGCGGATTTGATGCTACTCTTTGCGGTTTTCGCTGGAGCTGCACTTGTTTGGACACCCCAGCTTCTGGAGAAGTTAAATGCAACTCAATGGGAAACCAAGTCGGCTTTCATGGCATATACTCGCCTTGCACTGGCTATCTTGGATCACCCTCGTCAGATCATACAGTCATCGACCACGGCCCTTGTGGCCACTGGCACCATGGCCCATCTGCTCATGAATACCGACGGCTTTCCTCTCAAGGTCCACGTGCTTCGAAATCGATGCCTGTTGATGTCGAGATATTTGGGAATTCACCGTTTGGATACGGCGAAAGCACGAGAAGAACGAAGGCTCAAGGGATGTGATATGATTGAGGTCGAGGTTCAGAGACGTCTCTGGTGGAACATGGTAGCATCTGACTGGTAAGTTGTGGGTTCTTGAGTACATGCAAAGTATGCTGACAAGTCTCAGGCTTCTTTCGTTTTCCGGCGGGCCTCAAGAAGGTGCATACACTCTTCAACCAAAACACATGAATGTGAACTTGCCGAGTAATACGGATGATGAATTTATTACAAGCACAGAGGTTAAACAAAACCTGCCTCTGTCCGTGCCTACCAGCATTTCTGGGTTCTTCTTCAGAGTCAAGACGGCAGAAGTCTGCCGTGAGGTTATTGACGCCCTACCATCTATCCTGCTGGATTCTCAAGAGCCAGAATACGACACTATCCTCCAGTTGGACAGACGTTTCCACGATCTCATCGATAATCTTCCGATATTCTTCAAATTGGACCAGGAAAGCATCGAACAGAGCCGGGCCATTTGCAAAGAGCGACCTTACATTGCCGGACAACGGCTTGCGGTACATTTCAGCATCCACACTCGTCTGTGTCGACTCCACAGGCCATATCATCTGGAAGGCGTGACGAACCCCAAGTACGCCTACTCGCACGCGATGTGTATCCGTTCTGCCCACACCGTACTAGAACTACGACGTGCGATGGACGAGGTGGACTCTGAGATCCTAGTGAAGCCAGCACGGTTCTGGACTGTCATGCATCATGTGTTCTTCGCGGCTGTGATTCTGGCGATGGACGTGTCGTTCAATCCCGAGGCGCCAGACGCGGAGGCTCGCAAGGCGAAGGTCCTTGCTGCCTACGAAACTCTAGAAAGATCGAAGCAGGATTCGATGCACCTGATGGAAGGAATTCAGAAGAATCTACAGACCCTGATGTCTACACTTCACAAGCAGCGATCACAAGTAACCGGCCCTACCCTAAATGATCCCGCCCATGAGGCGTTGCCAACTAGCCAGCCGGTAAATGGGCTTGGCGGATCACAGGCAGTTCATGAAGGCGAAAGTTCAGACTTTGTGCAACCCTCCTCGACAATAATTGGCGACGGTGCCCTGGGCTTCGGGTTGATCAATGACATTGGCGAGGAAGGTTGGGAGCATCTCTGGTCCGAATTTGTGGCTGTGGCCCCTGATCTCGATGCGCCACAGTGGAACGCACTGCTCGACGATGTTGATTTTACCTCTCAGCTCGATGTATACTAGGATGCTGAATACGAAACGTGAAGCTATCCACGGCCTCTGCCCGTTCACCCCAAGCATGTTCCGAATGAGGGAACGATCCGATCGCCTCGAGATCCTTACTGTAGTACTGTACCTTCGGCTTGCGTCAGGGGCGCCACAGCCATCATGTCCTAGGTGAAACTCGAGCCACTCCGACAAACACCGGCAGAGCACGAACTTGTAAGAATTACTTTTGAATGAGGTCATGCCGAACCAATCCCATAACAAGGCATGCATCGTGGCCTGGCAAGTGGGGGCTACAGGGACGTAGGGCTGGACCGTTGGGCAATAAGCGCCACGACGAGAGTGGGAAGCCAAGAACCAACCATCATGAGACCGCCGCACATCGAGATACATGTTGCCAAGCCAAGTTTCCAGGCAGCCGGCAAACGGGGACTTGGGATAGGCTCGGCCGTGTGTCGTCTCAGGTAGCCCTAGGTAGCCCCGGGCATCATGGAAGGGGGTTGGGACTTGGTCGGAACGTGCAGCAGATCGCAGAGGTACCAAGGCTGGAAACCTTGGCCGGGCGACTATCGCAATTAGAATAATTAAAAACAGCCACAATCAGGCAGAACGGGAAACTCTGCAGCGCTGAGCCACAGGCACTCACCAATCATGCGGTGTTGCGCCACAGGTGGCGGGCCCATGACGCAACCGCCCGCAGCTGCAACTCTCCCTTTTCTTTTAAAGCAAGCTGCTCTCCGCATTCTTCCTCCAAACCCCTTCCCACTTTTGTCTTGATTCACCCGTCAACTCAATCCCACCACCATCATGCCTTTCACTGCCTCGTAAGTCGTCCTCGCTCTGGAACTGGAAGAACAGCTCGACTTCACTGCGCGCTCCAATTTCCGGTTCCGGTTCCGGTTCCGGTCGCACTCGAACGAAAAGCGAACATCATGGCTGACTCCACTGCACAGTGACATCTGCAAGATCTTCTTCGCCATCATCCTGCCTCCTCTGGGTGTCTTCCTGGAGCGCGGATGTGGTGCTGACTTCCTGATCAACATCTGTTTGACCATCCTGGGTTGGATCCCCGGTGTCATCCACGCCTTGTACGTGATCTCTCGCTCTCCTTCTACCCGAGTTCCACCCCGGGTAGCCATTCAAAACAATACTAACGGTCTCTCCAGCTACATCATTTTCAAATACTAGTCAAGCACGCAACGGAACAAGCAACGCCGTGTCGTCCAGGTCTATCCGCCCGGCACTTGAAATGTCCTTGCTCTTTCCAAATGCAGCGATGCAGTTGCCAGCGAGCGCCGGCGCCAGCGCGGTTCCGCCGAAGTCCGGTCGAGTCTAGCCCTCTGCAGCGTCCCCCGCTTGGCATCAGCCTGATGCCCATAATTGCCTAATTTCAGTCTTTGTGCGCGCGTGCACGTCGTCTATTTAACATTTTTTTTCTTATTTCCTTTGTTTTGTGACACGATAATGCCGGTCTTGTTTTTGCTTTTCAAATGATACCACCTCATATCGTCTGGCTGTCGGGCTGTGTGTCCTGGCTCGTGGTCGGTTAGCTTTTACTATTGACGGAATGGCAATTATTTGAAAACCCGAATTCAGTACTTGCTACATGTTAGAGAGATGTAGTATCCCCAAATCTGCAGCATGGGGTGGTGTGACGTTTGATAGGCGGCCCTATCGGATGAGGCGGGTATGACGAACCGCCTGTAAGTTGCACCATACAGGGCAGTAGCAACGCCACCACCGTAGATACAAATCATCGACGTTCGCTAGTCACGCCTTGCGTTGATCACGAGGGAGTTTTCTAGAAGCCTTGATGCTGAATTAAGAATCGAAGACTGGACCGCTTTCGATCGCATCGGGCTTTTCGGGGCTCCTCCCACTTCATGCTCCATTTTCCATCTTCAAAAGGTATGAACGTTGTGTTTGAATCACTCATTTTAATAACTATATCGGAGGCAAAGGCTAATTTGACAAAGCGTCTTCCCAGAATCCACAGTATAAAACAATGAAATAGCACTTGTATATGGCCTCTGGACCTGCAATCCTGCAATAAACTTGGTCCAACCAGGCAGAATTCGCAGTCCAAGCAATCACCCAGGTTGAGAGCACATAGGCTATTCCTAAAGGACTGTCCTGTACACTCTGCGCCATTGACATCAACACTCTCCTCGGCATTCTTATCCAACTTGGTACCAGGCCCACAGGTGGGACCAGCGCTTCTGTATACAGTAAGATCAACTAGTGTATACACGTCGCAAAGAGGGGACTTTGTAAATGGCCTATATGCATGATGATGAGAGACCTTGCTTCATTCTAGCTAACGCTACCCTGAAGCACCGTCAAAAGGTGGACCGAGGACGAACAACTCTCCAGTCCCAAAAACAAACAAGATTTGCATGAGATGAAAACGATCAGTGAAACCAGAGGAACCTGAAACACACCCCGGCACGATGGGTGACTCGCGCTGCACTGTAAGCGCCCACGCTTTGCCCCGGCGCGTATCGCAGGCGCCTACACCGCAGAAACCCAACCACCACCGGACCCAGGGCGCTTTACCACCTCACGGATTCGTCCGCTTGGACGAATTCACAGCCTGCGATGTCATCTGGTTTCACCATAGCGCCTGCATGTGCTCCGCCTCGATGGCCGGGTTTCAGAGTCGCCTCGCACCCTTTTGCTTGGTGAGCGGGCCCCTCATTTGGGCGTCATGGATGCAATCGCTACGCGCCTAATTTCGCGATGCGCTCACTTTTCGTGTTTAACTAAGCCCGAGTCCGTGTTGAGGCTGCGTGGCTTTTTATTCTTTTCGTCCTTGCTGTCTTTGCTTCGATAATCTTACCATTGCAGCTATTCTACTGCTGTCGATGATGATAACCTCAAAGATCTTATGGCCTCGAGGGTAGTCACTCCCATACAATATTGAAATAGGTTAGTTGAGGATACCAAGCTATAGGGGAAGAAACTTTCACTGATGCAATGTACAGAGTCTCCGCAGTATGCTCTTCCATCCTGCATACAGGATATTCGCTGCGGTCCTTCCGTTAGTCTTCATACGCTCGGCCAGCAGCTCGGATACTTCCAACGATGACTCGGGTTCGTCTCTATGGGATATTGTCCCAGAATGCGCGAAGACTTGTGTTGAAAACTTTGCCAAGTCCGAGTACACATCCGAAGAATGCAGCACTACATCGGATGTGGAGTGTTTGTGTCGGACGAAAACACCCAGCGGTCTCACCATTGGCGAGGCGGGGCTAAGCTGTGTCTACGCTCTGTGCTCGAAAACAATTGTACAAAACTCTTCTGTTGCAGTCTATCGAATCTGCGACTCGGTGTCGGGTGCTATCGCGGAGACGCATAAGACAATCACGGCATCGACCTTTCCCAGCGTGTTGTCTACTATTACGACCGAGACAGCGACAACCGACTCCGCTACAACTGCTTCCCAAACTTCAGATACCGCCCCAACGGCTACTACTCAATCCACAACCTCTACAACTTCTACCGCATCTCCCGGAATCACCGTTTACCATCCAACCTCGTCTGAAACTGGAGCGGCGCCACTCGTCAGTACTGAAACACCCTCTCCGACATCGACCAGCTCTTCATCTCCATCAAGCAGTCCGAGTGCTACGAAAAACAAAAACGATCACCACGTCAGCGCTGGTACTGTGATTGGAGTCTCCGTCGTATCGGGTGTGGCGGGCTCCTTCATCATTGGCGTTGCGGTGTTCTTTCTCTGCAAGAGATGGCGGCGAAACAACCGGGTCGAAGACCCTGACTCTGACTTTGAGATTGGAGGTGCAATGGCTGAACCTCCTGGCTTCTCACAATCCTCATCACGGAGCTCAACATCCGGTCCAAGGCCAGGGCCTTCTTCATTTGGTGCTGTAGCCAATCGCCAGGAAATGTCACAGTCATCACACACCTTACAGCCGGGGTCTCAGCGCCCACCGAGATTGGTTACACCTGACATCGAAGGCGATCTCCCAGAGCTCTGCGGGCGGGAGCGCATAGGACTGGCCGCCAGCTCAGATTCAGAGTGGGGGTCATCACCTAGGACATTGTCATCACAAGCCACACTTTCAGAACTCCTGCCAAACCAGGGAGCTGGACTATATCCCAAGCCTCTCAGATGGACCCACCGGCCTATTAGCGGGGAAACGCTCTTTGAAGAGGATGAATTTCAGCAGGGCGTGATAGAGAGAAGACAGAATGCCGCCCAAAGATCAGGGTCTCCAAATGTGATAACAGGGCTGCCAGCCAACCCTCGCGCGCTCAAGAACGGATTTCCAGCACAGAAATTCCTCCGTGCCCCTATTCAACAACGACCAAACCAGAGTCGAAACCTAACACCCGATCCTACCACGGATGGGTCGGCACCACCATTCGTCAGGCCTGCCTTACCCGGATCCGACACATCAAACAGCACCTGGACACCAATAGACAGCTCAGGTTCATCGCACGAGACATCATCCAACACATCCCTCGCAGCCCCCTTCAGTGCCGCTCAAGGCCGCATCCTGAGCGGTACTCATAGTCGAGCCGGCCCTACAGCACCAACTCCCTCGAGCACACTAGGACCACCCGCGGAGATAGTATCCCGGCCACGCATCGTCCGCGGCGACGATATCAAACGCGTCCAAATCCGCAGCAGCCCACATCCACCCAGCGAGGTAGGAGCACCGTGGGGCCCTGATGACTTGTGGCTTGAACGCGGCCGTGGAAGGGATGTACGTGCCTCGTCCTCCGAGGTTCCATATCCCTCAGAAGTGAATCCCGGCACTATTGGATACCCATCAAGTCCCAAGAAGAGACCCGAGGGTGCGCCGAAGAGAGTGTCACCGACGAGTCGCAATTTGACGCCTTCAAGGCGGGGACAGGATATGTTTCTGCGTGTGGATTGATGCACCCACTCTCTTAATGTATTTTTTTTCCTTTGGCATTGGGCTGGGCCTGCAATGCGTTGGTTGTACATATTAGTTTGTATTATGCACATTGATGAGCACAACTGTATCAATAGAATTTTTTTGTGTGGATGAAGGTCTGTCTGTTTATATAACGGGTTGTAGTTCAGGGCACCATCTTGTATAACCCATTCTTTTACCAGCATTATCTTATTCTGATGCATTTTAAAGACTTAGCATGCACCGGAACCGCGTTCTTTCGGCCTATAGTCTCTAGCCACCGTATTTACGATGGCCCCTCTTAATACCGAATAATAGAGAGAAGCTGCGCACGAGCTATTTCCTTCATCGGCGAGGCTTGTATTGTGTTTGGGATGCGGATAACGGAGACCTATGCTCTTGTCAGCAGAACTAGTTCTCTTCGGTGTCTGCATTCACATGTTAATCCCAAGTTACCTTGCATAGGCCGTGCGCACGTAGTGTTCAGGTGAATGATACAGATACGAATCGGGCGCCTCCATGCAAGCCGTCCCGGCTTGCGACTTCCCGCTCAGATCTCGACCAGGATTGGCTGGCAACGGCTGTGATTAGACACGGACGGACAGACATACATGGACCTACAGCATTTTCACTCCCCGCCTTGTAACATGCACTGCCCGTAACCCGGCTTAGGGTCTGGAGGTCACGAGTTTCCCTGCACGCTAACACCAGCTCAAGCCACTCGAACACATTCCCGGAGGGTTCCGCATTTTGGCAATTCTACATTGTAGAAGCATCAAGTTCACGGCGAATTCGAGTAGTTGCCTGTTAGTCCGCTGGGCCTACTTATCTGTCTATCACTTCCGTATGCTTCCTGCAAGTGCTTAGCGACGAGATGGTCCATGGTCCTCTAGCTTCTCTGCAAATTTGCAGCGGTAACTTGTATTTCTAGAAAGTGAGCCGCTCTACAGTAGCGTCCAGTCGACGTCGTATCCGAGGGCCAATTTTGCGCCGCCACATACATACAGTACAGTCCAATGCGCTCCGTTGATTGGATAACCAGCCCGACACCCAGACAAAGGCCACGCGAATGCGGCATAGCCTCGATACCCCAATCGGGATAATGAACGGCCGATTCTCGGTCTGGTTGATGTTATCATAGCCCCAGTAGGACCCATCAACCAGTAACGTAATTCACAAGCGAGTGGCTCACACAAGCGAGTGGCCCACCCCATCCAAAATCGCTCACTCAAACCACCTACCTCAATTCAACTAGCTACAATGCCACCAATTCGCACTGAATCTTCGCAGAAATCGACCAATCAGGAGGGCAGAATCTTATTAGCCCTTTCCGATGTTAAAAGCGGCCGCGTTGAATCGTTGCGCGCAGCAGCGAAGCTATACGATATCCCCGCTAGAACGCTATCGCGGCGGGCAAAAGGCACAATGTCACGCGTCGATACACGCCCAAATTCGCATAAATTGACTCAATTGGAAGAGGATTCGCTTGTCCAATGGATATTCTCTATGGATACGCGTGGTGCAGCGCCTAGACGTGCTACTGTACGAGAAATGGCCGATATTCTTCTTGCAGCGCGTGGAATCACCCCTCCGCCGACCGTTGGCATTAATTGGGTATCTAATTTTGTTAAACGACGTGATGAGCTTCGAACACGCTTCTCTAGGCGATATGACTACCAGCGCGCCCTTAACGAGGATCCAAAGGCTATAAAAGAGTGGTTTTTGATGGTACAACGCGCGATTGATGAGAACGGTATCCAACCGGAGGATATCTACAATTTTGATGAGACTGGATTCGCAATGGGCCTTATATCAGCGCAGAAAGTGGTTACACGAGCAGAATACTACAGTCGGCGATCACTTCTACAGCCAGGAAATCGCCAATGGGTCACTGCGATCGAAACGATATGCGCTGACGGCTATTCGCTGCCGCCCTGTATTATATTCAAAGGCCAGGTTTATATCGCTGGTTGGTTTGAATCAAATCTCCCTAGGGATTGGCGAATCGAAGTATCGAATAATGGCTGGACTACCGATGAAATCGGCCTTCGCTGGCTCCAAAAGATCTTCATTCCGTACACTAATTCGCGTGTACGAGGACGATTTCGCCTATTGATCCTTGACGGGCACGGTAGCCATCTTACACCTCAATTCGATCGAATCTGTGCCGAAAATGATATTATACCACTGTGTATGCCTTCACATTCGTCTCACTTACTTCAACCGCTTGATGTTGGGTGCTTTGCAGTGCTTAAGCGTGCGTACGGTCGCTTCGTGAGCGATTTAGTCCGAACAGGCTATAATCATATCGACAAGCTTGATTTTCTAGCAGATTATCCTCGCGCACGGCTAGAAGCTTTCCAGCCGCATATTATTCAAAGCAGCTTTGCAGCTACTGGTATCGTACCAGTTAGTGCCGAAAGAGTGCTTTCTAAGCTTAATATATCGCTTCGAACGCCTTCACCACCATCAAGCCGACCAAGCAGCAGATCTAGCCAATTCACACCGAAAACGCCTAGAACAGTGTTTCAGCTAGAAAAGCAAGCTTCTATGCTTGAAGAGCTACATAAGCAACTATCGAAAAGCCCTCCTACCCCATCGAAAACTATGATAAATCAAATTATCAAAGGATGCGCAATAACGATGCATAGCGCTGCGCTCCTTGCGAAGGAGAACGCCGATCTACGCGCAGCGAATGAAAAGAAACGTCAAAAGCGCACTCGATCGACTAGGCAGATTGCACACGAAGAGGGCCTATCAATCGAAGAGGGCCTACAGCTAGCTCAGCAGCTAATTCAGCCAGTAGAAGCTAATGAGGTAGTATCGCATGAGCAGGGCGATTTACCTAGTCAGCAGGATCAGCCACGCAGGAGGGCTCCACCAAGGTGTAGTGGATGCGGAACGATTGGGCATAAGATCAATCAATGTAATAAGCGATAGATTAGGATTAATTAATGCGATCCGGTTGATATATTCGCCTTTGAAAAATGGTGATGAGATTGGTGGGCCACTCGCTTGTGTGAGCCACTCGCTTGTGAATTACGTTATCCGGTTCCTGAACCCGGTTGAGTCAGCACTGGGGTCCGTGTGACGTCATTCCCCGTTCTGCCCCGCAGCGCACCGGCGGCTTGATTCAATCATGTCCTGCCGACGACGCCGCTAGAGAACGGGATACTCTAAATCGGATGGTTGACATGGGGTTACCAGTCAGCAGGCCAACAGGCCAAGTGATTCGTCAGTTGGGCGGTATGCGAGGGGTGCGACGGGGGATGGACATCGGTGTAGTAATATCTGGAGGCACCGGCGCCACGCCGAAATAAGGCCTAGAGACACGGAAAGAGCGCAGAACCGGTTCCGAACGAAAAATTGAGTCGGGACTTTCAGACGGGTTACAAAGTGCCGTCATTATCTGGTAAAAACCAGTGTTCATTGAAGCCATCCCCGTGGCAGTGGTCCATTCACAAAATGGCAGCGGGGCCCCTCGGACTCCACTCGGTAAACTCTGGACGTCCCCTGGGCTATCTATGTACACCCTCGCCTTTTTTCCCTGGAACTCGAACAAATCAGCAGTGGCAATGACACTCGTGGTTAAGGCTCAGTGCACCGAGGGCAAAGGGAAGGCCGTTGTGGGTCCGCAGGGACTGACTTCCCTCTGCGAGTGCACTTGCATCGGCGCTACCAGTAAGATGTCAGCCGAGTGACGGAAAAGAATGACGCTTCTGGGGATGAAAGGGTGGGTCCTCGCAACCAGATGTCTTGAGAGTGTGTAGCGCGGGAATGATACTATATTAGGGCCCTCTCCCACGCGTCCCATCACCACGGACTTCCTTTCGACACAACTTGGCACGCTGCCTACTCGAGATCGGATCACTGCAAAGTGCGCATTCCTTCTACATATCCTGCATCTGGGACAGGTTCCACGAGCAAGCATCTAGAATTAGACGCGCATAGACGATCATTGCAAGACCCGCAGTTCAGACCCACAACGTCTTCTCGTCCGCTCATATCTCACGATGGCCACAGCCGATGGGTTCGGGTCTCAGAGGGTCCACAAGGACGCCGATCGGGCCGACCTTTACGGTGGACCTAACGTCGTCATCCCTCCTAGTCATTTAATGGCCTCGTCTCACGATCGGAACTTGTCTTCTTCAAAAATGTCAAACCAGCACATCGAAGAAGAAGTTGTCTCCTCCGAGGAAGAGTCTCCCCAGGTTGACACCCCCTCTTCTACCCCGCCAGTTGTCACCAGCGACGACTTTGCCCTCGCCTTCGATATCGATGGCGTCTTCGTCAAGGGCGGGGAGCCCATTCCAGAGGCTGTGGAGGCCATGAAGTATATCAATGGCGAAAACCCATACGGAATTAAAGTGTGAGTTTCTTCTTTGATCTGGCCCGGTGAGGGGTCAAGTACCTTTGCTGACGGAATCCCTCCACAGACCCTACATCTTCCTTACCAACGGTGGCGGCAAGACCGAAGAGGAACGATGTCGCGATCTCAGTCGTCAACTCGAATACGAAGTTGACCCCGGCCAGTTCATCTGTGGACACACTCCCATGCGAGAAATGGCCGAGCACTACGGCACCGTCCTGGTCGTCGGTGGTGAAGGCGAGAAGTGTCGCATTGTGGCCGAGGGATATGGATTCAAGGATGTCATCACCCCCGGAGACATCATCAAGACACAACACGATGCGACCCCCTTCCGCAAATTAACCGACGAGGAATACAAGAATTCCCGAGAGCTCGACTTGGAGAAAGTTCGAATTGAAGCCGTCTTCGTCTTCGCCGATAGCCGCGACTGGGCTGGTGACCAGCAAATTATTCTGGATGTCCTAATGACCCAACATGGACAACTCAACACACGGTCCGAGACCTTCGACGAGGGCCCACCTGTTTACTTCTCCCACAACGACGTGTTGTGGTCCACCTCACACGAGCACTCGCGTATTGGCATGGGTGCCCTGCGAGCCTCGCTCGAGGCTCTATACAAGGCTGTCACCGGCGGAAAGGAACTCAAAACGGTCGCATTTGGCAAGCCGCAGATGGGCACCTTCGCATTCGCAACGCGACTCCTCCAGGAATGGCGGAGTGAGACCTGTGGCATTGACAAGCCTCCCGCCACGGTCTATTTCTTCGGTGATACTCCCGAGTCCGACATTCGCGGTACCAATGAGTTCAACAGGTCCTCCGAGATCGAGTGGTACTCCGTCCTCGTGGCGACTGGTGTCTGGCAAGAGGGGACCATCCCCCGTTTCCCGCCCAGGAAGATCTGCAAGAACATCTTCGAGGGAGTCAAATTCGCCATTGATCGTGAGGCCCAGAAGCTGCGTGGTCGCGGTGCCTCTTTCAGCATGTTCACGGATGATATCAAGTCGATCCAGCTGAACAAGTAAAATTGTCGCTCGCTGGTACTTCATCACTGCATCTGCCAACTACCCTCTTGACTACCTTCTCCCACCGGCTACACCCATGCCTTCCAATATATTCATCTGCTATGTCTCCCAAGTCATATCCGACCATGATGCCGTCCACGATGTTCAATACCTTCGGAGCTTTTTGCAATTCGTGGTTCTAGTACCTTTATTACCTACCTGTTATTCTTGACTCGATCCGCACCGTCGGATCCATCTATACTACAAATGCAATGAACAATGAAATGATAGACCTTCCAAATTATATTTCCATCTCCCGTCCGCTAGAATACATCTCGCTCAAGGGCCACTCAGTCTCTTCTGCCGTAGAACCTACGCAAAGCCCATGCCAAGTTAACCTTATCCCACTCAGTGTCCCCTACTCCGGATCAACAGTAAATCTTCCGAGTCAGCTTATTCTTCCAAAGAATGATGTCGTCACTTCTTTGAATCAAGATCACAAACTGACTTCTACTGTACTGAGAAGTCCTCGCCACGGGTGTTGAGTACCCAGGTTTTATTGCTCAGAAAAACCATGGAAGTCAAGCGAGTATCAATGCGGGGACCCCGGGAGTGACGGGTTAGGCAACCCGTGGGGCGTTCGTTAGTTCGGGTTTGGAATCCGACATTAACATGGTTGTCCACATGGATTGCCCCGGATCGCACGGATCTGGATGGCGGGGGCGAATCCGCGTTGAGGGCGTCGAGTTAAGGTTTGTTTTTGGGGGCTTGTTATACATGTCATCATTTTGCTGTAACCTGGAAACTTGCATGGAAAAGACTTTTTATGTTGCATCTTTGGTGTACTTTTGTGGTCTTGGTATGTGGTACAGGCTGGTGATGTATCTAGCGAAGGCTTGGAAATAACGGTAACTCTTCAATAACGTCTTCGTAGCCCCGCTTCAAGCCTTGCCACTAGAAAATCGTAATCGCAAGGATTATCTGTATATCTTTCATCTCGCAGGCACATCTACTTCCATCCAGTCGTAGCCTAAGAATCCAGGCGGGTACATCCGCCCTGTCAGTTACAACCAATTCCCCACAGCGGGCGGCGGGGAACGAGTCATACCTGAGTTTTGTGGAAAAGAGGTGGAACGTCTCTCATTAGCAATAAGCACACTGCATGTCACCAAAATGGTAAGCTGCCCTGCTACCTTGGTACGAACGCATTAATTGACTCGGACCAGGCTCAACCCACGGAGGCAGTATACCTCCACGACGCCTCTCTGAGAACACTGGCCACAAAGATCGTGTCCTGCCAACCAGTCTCATCGCTCAGCGAGGAAGAAAAGTTCCTCGCCAAAAATGTCTCGCCAGAAGACTCGGCCATCACTACACGCCAGACTATCCTGTACCCACAGGGTGGCGGACAGCCCAGCGACACGGGCTCAATCGCACCGGTAGACCGAGAGCCTTCATTCACCGTATCTCTAGTGCGCAAGATGCAAGACGGAAGAATTCTCCATTTTGGCAAGTCCAGGACAACCACCACGTTCTCTGCAGGCCAATCCGTTATCCAAAAAGTCGACGACGCCAAACGTGACTACCATTCACGACTGCACACGGGCGGTCACATCGTCGGCCTGGCAATGCAACTCCTCATGCCGCAGATGAAGAAAGTCAAAGCGAATCATTTCCCCGGAGAGGCGTGCATGGAATACGAGGGGTTATTGTACAACGAGCATAAGCCGCAAATCCAGGCGAAGGTGGATGAACTCGTTCAGCGGGACCTGCCCATTCTGCTTTCGTGGGTTGAGGATGCCTCGGATCTGGAGGATGTTGAAGGTCGGGGGAAGGATCGGGATGGACCTGTTCGGGTTGCGAGTATTGGTGGGCTTGATAAGAATCCTTGTGGTGGGACGCACGTTCCGCGGACTGGTTTGGTTGGGTCTATTACGATACGGAAGATTAGTCGGCAGAAGGGGGTTAGTCGGGTTTCGTATGAGGTCGAGCCGAAGTTATGAAGGATTTGGAGTGTAGAGAGGAATCATGTATAGATTAGAGGGTAGACGTTGCGCAGAGTCTATCGAGTCTCCCAAATGATGCACAGGCTAGGAAAGTACAGATGTGCAAACTTCAAATAATGTACAGACTTCCCAAATCCTCTATATTATGCGTTGTTGGACGGGAATGTGTATCATACCACAAACTCATTATCCAACCAGTGTTTCATGACGGTTTTACCCTCCGTAAAGCTTTCCTTGGGCATCCGGACGATGATAGCTGCGTGGCTGTGTCGGTGCTTCTGGATATGCACAGGGTACTTGTGGAACCCCACAGCATTAAGTGAATCGATGATGGCAAATTGTTCAGGCATTAGGGCAAGTGTAGGGAAGTTTGACGAGCCTTCAGCAGATACATCTGAAACGTCATACTCGTCAGCCCCGTCTGATTTTAAGATGCTCGCATGCCGTTTCGATAGCCCAGTCTCTTCGGCTTCACTGCCCGAAAGATAAGCAGGCTCTTGTCGAGCATTGACGTTCTCAAACACTTCTTCCATAGCATGCTGAACGTCCTGCACCAGTAAAGGCACCCGATATCTTCCAAAGAGCTTGCCGTTCTTCCCTTCGCCATGCAAACGAATTCGTTTCCGACTGCGGACTGTCTGCACGACTGAATTCGCAAGGAATATCGTGGAAGCGGGACCAATCAAGATAAGAAGGAGTAGATAGAAAGGTAGTCCAGACACGAATGACTTGCATTGCTTCCAAATTCGAGAAGAACCGCCGTGCGGATCTTCTGATATGAGAGGCAATAAGTAATTGTCACGATCGATGATGACATTGTCGTATCCTTTGACGTAGTTGATATTGATGTTCTCTAGGTCGTGGAAAAGGTCCACCTTGGAGAGGGCCGAGGTGTAGAACACAACAGACCGGTCGTTGACGATATTTGCATAGACACTTCGATGGCGGAACTTCTTGAGTCCCTGGATGAAGATGCTTTCCGGATCCGCCAGAACGCTGAGTAAGGGACGCCCGGTGTCCCGGAATTCGTCAATCAGGAACAGCTGCTGACCGGACATGGAGATAGTCCTCGCTCCCAAGCCATTCCAAATATGACTCCTGAAGCCCTTGAGCGGTGTTCTCACTCCAACATGCGGGGACGCAAATGTGGTGAAGTTCAAGGGCTCGAGCTTATCGAGCACTCCTTGGTTATGAAGCAAGCCAATCGCATATCGCGCGATCAAACCACCCAGTGAATAGCCAACAATGCTCAGCTTCTGGATCTTCTGTCCCTTCTTGTTCAGAACTTCGAGGGTCTCTTCGATCTCATGCGCCAATCGCTCTCCGCCGAGCTCAATCCCATCATACGTCCAATTACCGCTGTTCTCTTTCGCGCATAGGATGTGGATGTCATCTTCATGTCGTTCTCTCAGCGCCGAGGCCACATAGTCCAAATGCGACGGGTTGCCCCAGAGCCTGTCCAGACATGCAGTTAGTTGGGTTCACCCTGATGCCATTTGTGCCAAGGAGGAACACATACCCGTGCACCAAAACACAGAGGTGGTCAGATTCCGTAGACGAGTCAGACATGTTGCTATCAAAATGCAGTCATCATCGAAGAAGAAGGGAGGGTGGCAAGGCAGACGCTTATAAGGTTCCTACCGGAGTTAAGACACCGTCCTTCCCGAATCCCAGTCGGTGATAAGTGCGATAAGGCCTCGCACGCCAGGCTGCATGTTTGCATGGTTTGCAACCAAGCCTTCTCCTTCCATAGCATACGTACACAGGATAAAGTCGGGCAACACTTGGCTTTCCCCTCCGTTTTAGTGCTCACCCCTTGGTGCATTCAAGTGTGCTATGATATGATATGAGTCATGATGAGTGACCGGTGACGGCTGCTCATGATTGGTCAGGCAAATATAGCAAAGAGATAGCACGAACTTTGGAAACATACTTCATCTTGTTGACCATCCGCTTGTCGCAATGGATTCATTGTCGACAACCCCATTCTCGAAGGACTGGTCAAGATGTCAGAAAAAGGCGCAGGTGCAGGGTCTCCTCTTGTGGCGCCCTGTCTGGAGTTAAAGGAAAATGAGAAAGAGATCCTCAGGCGCCAAATCCACACTCCGGAGTCGTAGATGAGTCGCATGGCACTTTTTTATACATATACAACACCCTGTGAATTACTTCTCCTGGTCATCTGCTCAATTGCAGTCATTATTGGTGGAGCTCTTCAACCCGTCTCTTTTGTGAGCTGCTCTCCGCCGGTATTCAATCTCCAAAGCTGATTTCCGTCATATAGCTCCTTTTAGGAGGATTGGCGCAAGCATTCAAAGAATTCTTCATCGGAACGTCCTCGGGATCACACCTTTCATCCCTGGTCGCCAGATTCGCCCTGTATTATGTGTATATCGCCATCGGACAATTTGTGTCGGTCTACATCTCGACAGCCGGCTTCATGGTTGGAGGAGAAAAGATTACCCAACGACTCCGAGAGAAATACCTTGCCGCTATCCTTCGCCAAAACATCGCATTCTTCGATGTCATGGGAGCTGGAGAGATCACAACCAGAATTACCTCGGATATGAATCTGATCCAAGATTCTTTGACCGGCAAGCTTTCTCTGACTCTGTACTCCTGCTCCCATTTGGGGCAGCGCTCATAATCAGTTTCGTGAAAAGCTGGCGTATGGCGCTTATTCTGATATACTTGGTAAGGTTGAGGGCATCCGGATATGGCACCACACGATGCAAACTCGACCTCAGTCTACCTTAAGAAAGAAGGTGCAACGAGTCTCCTACGTTAACAATGGCATGGCCTTCTCGGGGTACTAAGCACTCGCTGAGTATGGACTGAGCGTTAATCATCGGTCACATGCCTGGAGAGGCATGCTACTGTGAGAATGAACGGAGTAATTGATTGTCCTTCCCGGAGAGGGTAGGACTCCAGCTAAATACTATCCTGCTCTTTGCTTATGTAAGGCGTCCGAATCGTACGGACGCAAGGCCGTAAACGGAATATAGTATATCCGTCCTCCTTCGTCCGTCCTCCGTTTGGCCTTGGAGACCACACTACTTGGGTTGGGGAATTGAAACCCCCTAGGTTTCTTTTAATCAACTAATCGATCTACAAGTAGCGACAATGCTACCGGGAGCTTACATCCATATCGCCTGATTAGCTGGTCGAATTCGATACATCATGTTCTGTCGGTATTGCATCACTATCGGCTCGGTCTAACCTGTCAGATACCTATAATATCACCTGTTGATATAATCATTCGTCGGACCTAGGTGATCTTGACCGTGATCGACCGTTGTGGGATCAAACATACATCAGAGTCCTCAAGCCAGGGCACGATGTTCACGACACTTGGTCTGTTCGCAGACGTACCCTGCCCAGAGGGCCAAAAATGTCCTCTTCTTACGTGCATGTTCTCTCACAAGGCTCGCAACTTACCTGCAGCCACGGCTCAACTTTGTCACAACACCAAGATATCAGGAGATGACAATGCCCGTGCTTCAAAAAGGCTCAAAATTGAAGGCGGGTCGTCATCTTTGACGGACTCATCCGGACTGTCTCGTACAAGCCATGGTTCTGAGAGCACAGCAACCGCCTCGGTACCATCAGGGCCAGGATTTCGCAGAGAATCACCTGCCAGTCGTGGCACCCCAAAACTTGTTTCAGCCTCCAGACCAGTCTCTCCGCCACCATCATCCCGCTCGGGATCTAAAGGCACTGGTGGTGAACTTCTTAATGGCATCACTACTGCTTCTCCCAAGGTCGCGTTAACAAAGCTTCCGCCGCGAACGGTGCGTAAGGAAACTCTCAATCCTCGCATGCTGGCCAAGGCTCCCGCTTCGCATGCTGTCCGGACTGCCATTCTGAAAAAGCTGCACGCTGCCATGACTGGTCTCAACGAGAAAATGGCCAAAGAGAAAGATGACAATAACAAGATCTTTGTTTTGAACCAAGACGAGCTTGTGACAATGGCTTTGGACGAAGAAGAAAGAGTGGCCAAGGAGAGCCACGGTGTCTATAACAACATCATCAAGCTTCGCATAGTTAAATTGACGAAAATGGCCTTGGAGGAGTGGACCAAAGAAGTCACGGCTCATCTCAACATGCGATACTACAAAACCAATCCGATTTATCCGGCTCAAGCTCAGGAGGCTCCTATGCCCATCGACACTGGACTCACAGTCAAGGAAGAGATCGTTCTGGCGACTGAGTTGGTCACTCCGTTGAATGGCCTCGAGCAGTTCGGATATGTCACCAAAGCCCCTACGGAGGAAGAGATTGAGATTGCTAGGAAAGGCGCAGCAGAATCCAAAGGTTGGGAGAAGTGCGACCGATGTGCGGGACGTTTCCAAGTCTTCCCTGGTCGCCGGGAGGACGGAGCGCTGACGAGTGGTGGTCAATGTACCTACCATCCTAACCGACCCATTTTCCCTCCCCGCAAGAAGACAGACAACGTAACTGGTTCCTCGGAGCAGTACTTTCCTTGCTGCGGAGAATCTGTCGGGGCCTCGGCTGGCTGTACCAAAGGCACTACACATGTTTTCAAAGTGTCAGAGACCAAACGTCTTGCATCGATTCTCCAGTTCCAGACAACCCGCAGCCAACCCAATAAAGGACACCTGGATCCTGTCTGCTTTGACTGTGAAATGGGCTACACAACCTTGGGCATGGAGCTGATTCGTCTCACAGCCACCAGCTGGCCTGAAGGTCGTGAGCTCCTCGACGTCCTCGTCAAGCCCATGGGCGAGATTCTGGACCTGAATTCGCGTTTCTCAGGCGTGTTCAAGGAGCACTATTTCTCTGCTACTCCTTACGGGACCTCTGCCCCTCCAAAGGGAACCGACAACCAACAACCACTACAAGTGGTCGAGTCACCCGCTGCGGCACGGGATCTACTGTTCAAACTTCTCCAGCCCGAAACACCTCTGATGGGCCATGCGATTGACAACGACCTCAATGTCTGCCGTGTGATCCACCCCACAATCATCGATACAGTCCTTCTCTATCCGCATCCAAGACGTCTTCCCAACCGCATGAGCCTGAAAGCACTTGCCCGGAGATTCCTCGATCGTGAAATCCAAACCGGAGGAGACAAGGGCCACGACTCTAAGGAAGACTCAATCGCCACAGGTGACTTGGTTCGGGTCAAAGTGCGTGAGTTATGGCAGCGCTTGAAAGCCAAAAACTGGAAGATTGAGGACGGTGCACTGATTGCACCGCCCGGTCAAGCATCCGAGAATGTGGATAAAGTTGTGGTGGATCTCGGCTATGAATTCGGACACAAGAGGAAAAATTCAAGTGTTTCATGAAGGCCGCGCTGCCGAATGTGGTTTTGGATTTCGGCATGTTCGTCTTTATATTGATACCAAAGTGTTATGATCTAAAGGTGCATTTCATTTTCCAAATGCAACAGTTTTTCTTTTTCAAGTCTCATTCACAAGGTATTGAAATCATGGCATTCAATCCAGGCCGAGTCATATAGAGAGACAAATCCATAGCGGCGGCTCATGGCTTGGCCAAGAAGCAAGAATCGATCACAAGAACGGCGACATTGCATCCAAGACAAAACACTATGTTTACTGCATGTCAGAAGAGCACGAGGTAGCCCGCATTTGACAAGTCTATTAAAATACAAGGACTGAAGATCTACGTGGAAAAATCATAGACTGAGGGTATAAACTTTTTTTGATTTCATAGCCAGAGGCTAGTCTATCCCCCACATGCCACACGACCAAACCCCCATGGCTCACTCTCCAGTAGGTATAATTCCAACTCAAAAGGCGAGGTACACAGGGTCCGAATCGTCCGACAGTCGGGCCCAAGATTGGTCAAAGATCGAGGGAGCGAATTTACTCCTCATCCTCCTCAGCGTCGTCGTTGACGACGTTGTAGAAGCGGAGCTCGTAGACACCCTTGGAGGTGGAGACGACGCGGAGCCAGTCACGGAGCTGCTGCTTCTTGAGGTACTTCTTGGTCCTGGAGAGCGAACGTGGTCAGCCGATTGCCGCAGGACGGAACTGCGCGGAGTATACTCACAGGTACTTGAGGTAGCGACCGGAGAAGGGGATGTGAGCAACGACCTCGATCTTGCCCTCGCCAGCCTGGGAGATGACAACGTCGTCACCAAGGTTGCCGACACGGCCCTCAACCTTGATGCGGTCGTGCAGGAACTTCTCGAAGGCGGAGACATCGAAGATCTTGTCGCTAGCGGGCTGCGAAGCGTTGATGATGAACTGTAGAGTCTTGTTAGTTGACTGTCTGCAGCTGACGCTCTGAGTATGCAAAAACTTACCTTGTGGGTGACCTTCTGGGCCTTGCGACCACGGGCCTATTAGGGGGAAACAATGAATTAGCCTACTGCTCCATAGTGTTGAGAGCCCCGGTGGCTGTCTCGGTAGACAATGATCTTGCGACGAAGTCACAGGATAGATTTTTGAATATCCGGTGTTCAACGAGATGCATGTGTCCGCCGAGACATTGCCGTTGGGGGGGAACAGCAAAGCGGTTCACAGAGTATTCAACGTACAGCAACGGGAGCCATTTTGAATGATGGGGGGTAGAGTGATGTAGGGGAAAAAGGTCGCAAAGAGGTGAATATCCTGCGCCGGCGAGAGGGATGGTCGAAAGAAGAGCCGCTGTACTGCGGTGGAGCCCGTTTGGCTCGAAAATTCACAGGCGGTGTGTGAGCTAGTCCTGTTTTGGGAATCCAGGGCAGGGGCTGCATAGATCACATGATGAGACCATATGGCGATGTCACGAGACTGGAGAGAGTCTATGAGTCATGTGACTCATACCGTATTCTCGCCTCTGATTGGGTATCTTAGACGAGGCTAGTGAAGCTAGTGGCGCACAGACCGCCCCGGTTTACTTAAATACCCAGGTCCCCAGCCGCCCTTCCTCTTCTTTTTTTTTCTTCTTTAGCTCTCTTTGCCAATTGGCTTAGATCAAGTGTAGTATCTGTTCTTTTCAGTTTAATCTCTGAAAGATGTCTAAGGACATCACATTGATTAATCTCATTTTTGGATCCCGCGACTTGGCCTCTGTGCTTGCGCATGCCTCGTCGCACAGTGTCATCGGGCTTACACTACCCCCGATCGACGCGAACCCCCTTTTTCATCAACCGTGTCGGCATGTCCGATCGTTTGGAGAAGAAGTGCTTGCGCTCTAGAGATTATGATATGGAAGCTGAACCTTACATCACCCCTTCCGTCTCGCCAATGCGTACTACGTACTTGATAGCAGACGCCTTACTCTCTTTGAGATCCTGCAACGCCTCCTCAAGTCCCGCCAGCCCACCCGGGCGCACTTCATACGGGTGTCCCGAGAACCAGCCTTGCGCCAAGCCACGGCCAATAAATTGGAAGAGAGCAGCGCCAAACTCGTTATCCTCAACTGTCTTCCCTGCTGCGGGAGGCATGTGAACCGATCCCGCTATAGTTTGGCCCATAATAATTCCATCGGGAGGCTGGTAGTCACCGCTAGGGAGCATGGTAGTGATCTCCCCAGGCGCGGTTATAACCGCGCCGATATTCTGATGACTTCCATGTTCGCCCACCGCATCAAACGCGTAGTTTATGGATCGCCCACCGGCCGCTTCCTTGATCTTTGCCCGAACGACCTCGTCACCTTCACGATAGTCGATTATCGTGTCACCCTTCTCGCGATCGATGAGAGTTTCGACGAAGGCGCTCCCTCTACCAGCTACTGTGATAAGCGGGTGGATATTAGAAAGCTGGGCAAATTTGATCGCAAAGGCTCCAACGGCGGTCGCGCCGCCGTATATAATCAAAGGCAAAGGCTCAGTGGTCGGATTCCAGGGCAGAGGCAACTTCAAGCGCTGATAAAGACCGAGTGCGGCCGTCATAGCAGCTAGCGGAATAGTGGCCGCCTCTGGCCGCGGCTCTATATTAGCTCCAGTGAAAACATTTGACCAGAGAAACAGGCTCACCTTCAAATCTGGTTTTGGCAGGAATATGGAAGGTCGTATGCTCGGGCGCGATCGCATACTCGGCGTAGCTGCCGTGAGGTTTCATCACTTGATGGAAGGCAGCGACCTTGTCGCCCTTGTGGAATCCCATCACGCCCTCCCCCACTGCCTCGATGTATCCAGCGATATCATCTCCTTGATTGGTTGGGGTCCCGTCTGTTGGCCACACGAGAGGCATCTTCCAGTCCTTAGGATTGGTGCCAGAAACGACCACGCGAATGAGGACCTGGCCAGCTTCAGGGACGGGAATATCAGTGTCTCGGATCGTCAGGGAGATATTCTTGTCTATAAATGCCTCCTTCATGATTGCTGGTGATTCTCTTGAATTGTTGTAAGGTCAAATATATCTCTTGTAGCTTGTGTGTTGTTGATAACATAGAAAATGGAATTACTAGCCCCAGGATGAACGCAAATTATGTATAAGCATGCGTTATTTCTCTCTCTCAACGGAATTAATCGAGCGGCGATTACCTTTATCTCCGTCCCTACCAGGGTCTAGTGTCGTACCGCGTACGGGCCGGGGGGTAATCTGTTTTCGAACTCTACTATAGTTGTAGCTTTGCACGTGGTTCCAAAGTTCGAGGCCTCGCTTGATTTTCAGGCGTCATGCATGGTCCCAGGAACGCCGTGGGGCGCTGGCCGCGGAGCCATATGAGCTCTACGATCAGTTGTTTCCGATATTTGACATCGACCTGAACAGTAACATGGAGTCTGCAGCTGATCTGGGTTCTACGAGTTTGTAGCTAGTGATCGAGCGCATAAACAATTACAACGTAAGGGTGTAAATATACATCAGTGGCTCGGGCCGTGAGTCAAATTATAGCCGCGATATATCATCGCGAGTGGCAAGGCCAAAACTGCATTGTATGATCTCATATTTTCCAGTAAACTTGAAACTTTCCAGGGCTTCAACTGGCCGGTATTAAAAAACCGACCAGCCCACGCCAGAGTCCAAACACAATATCCAAAGAGACCACCGCAGCCAAATCTTCAATAGTCACGTGCACACCGCGGGGCCATCGATAAGCTCGAGCTCTCCAATTTTCCGTCCTGCGCCTCCCGCATCACTCGATAACGCCGCCATGGGTTCGATCGTCTTGCCTCACCTGCGGACAGCCTGGCACGTCGACCAGGCCATCCTTTCCGAGGAGGAACGCCTCGTGGTGATCCGATTCGGTCGCGACCACGATCCCGACTGTGAGTTTGTCTCCCTTGTCGCGCCGTCGCTCGACTAACCACCCGTCTATAGGCATCCGTCAAGATGAGGTCCTCTACAAGATTGCCGAACGGGTGAAGAGTAAGTTCTAGTCTTCCCTGCCAACATGGTTACCTGCTAATGGCTACGTTGCATAGACTTCGCCGTCATCTACCTTTGCGACATCGACGAGGTGCCCGATTTCAACGGCATGTACGAATTATACGATCCAATGACGATCATGTACTTCTACCGCAATAAACATATGATGTGCGATTTCGGAACGGGAAACAACAACAAATTAAATTGGGTGCTGGAGGACAAGCAGGAGCTGATCGACATCATCGAGACCGTCTACAAGGGTGCGAAGAAGGGCCGCGGTCTGGTCGTCAGTCCCAAGGGTAAGCTCTCGATCCTTTGACAGAGACTATAAGCAGTTGCTGACTTTTGCAGATTACTCGACGAGATACCGGTACTAAGCGAGACTTGAGCTGCAGAGTGGTGGCACTGGCGACATTTGATGGATGTCGCCACCTTCATGAAGTTTATGATTACGCTAGATACGAGGAGGCGAACAATAAAAATGGCAATATACCTTTTGAAAGTTCTCGACCAGTCTTGAGAATTTCGGTTGGACCTAGGTAGTTGCTGGAGGGATGGATCTCTCAACGCAAAATGGTGTCTGTCCCGCCGTATACGGAAGAAAGATAGAACCATCGCTTGTTTCACACCCCGAGTGCCTTGAAGTTGATCATTTGGGCATGTGAAAGACCTCTGCAGTCCGTGTAAGCAGCCATGTAAACGGAGCAGTAGATAGCTTGGCAATGGGCACAATGCCTGCTTGTTCAAATAGCAGCAATAATCGTAGTCTTTCATTCCGTACTCAGTATATTTGCACTCACTTCAAATGCATTGAAATTCGAATCTACAACAGTTATTGTGGTCTACAACAGTTATTGTGATTTTCAACCTTCAGTTTTTGACGTAACTTAAGTTCGCATCACCACTTCCGCAGCGCAGCACCAAAATCCCTTCACTCAGCGCTTTACTAGCCGAACACCCCCCACGTCCAACAAAATGATCGACCAGCGCATTTTCGAGGATCTCCAGACTAAGATCGACGAGGAGACTACTGTCCGAGATGTGAGTTGCCCAGCTCCCGGCATGCTGCCCGTACAGTGAATTCTTCGCTTGCCAAGCCTACGCCCAAGCAGAGCCGCCGCGCACACAACGGGGGAACCAGAAGCTGACTTAGCCGGTACAGGAGCTACACGAGATTGTTCAGACCCTTGCACGGAAAGGTATGATTCATTCGATTCCGAGGGACCAACATGCGCCCTTTGCCTAGCTGGCGGGGTTCGCCCGGTCCTATGAGAACCCAAGGGCCAAAGACGTGACTGATGTCGCTTCAACAGGTCGATCTACGACAGCTATTCTTGCACGGGCACACTCGACCCCGTCTGATCAGAGTATGTATCCCTCCTCCATGGTCGAAGATTTTGAGCTTCCATTGCGCCCCGCTTCCAAGCCCATGCCGAAATGATATCCCAATTGCGGGTTGACTAACCTTCTGAAAATAGTCAAGCCCGTCCTGGACGATGCGGCCGCGGAAATAAACGCGCAGAAGCAGGAGGTTTTCCGCCTGAAGGCTGTGGCTGACCAGCACCCATTCTATAAGTACAATGGCTTGTGGACTCGCGAGCTTCAGAACCTCGTCGCTTCAATTGAGCTGTGTGCATGGCTCGGCGGACTGCAGGAGCACAAGACCAGCTCCGCTTCATTCATGACAATCGAAGAGGTGGGCAAGTTCTTGGACAGTAAGTCGATCTTCGCGTTGAACTAGTTTACCTGAATCTGAGCCTGACTATGACACCCTTACAGTCCCTGTCAACCTGAAGGAGCAGGATGCCTTCCACTTGACTATTGAGGAGTATCTCCTGGCGTTGATTGCCATGGTGGAAGAACTGGTACGAACCCCAAGACACCAGTACTGCATTTTCAGGAGCGCGGTTGCTAACACCCTTGCAGTCGCGTCTGGCTGTCAACTCGGTTACCCTTGGTGACTACGATCGCCCTCTTCAGATCAGCAACTTTATCAAAGATCTCTTCTCCGGATTCCAGCTGCTTAACCTGAAGAATGATATTCTGCGGAAGCGCAGCGACGGCGTCAAGTACAGTGTGAGTTTGCCCTGATCCATTGAATAGTTCGCAGGGATGTGTGACACCGGCTGACTCTTCTTCCGCTACAGGTCAAGAAGGTCGAGGACGTCGTCTACGACCTCTCCTTGCGGAACCTGATTCCCAAAGGCGGCGCCGCGGCTTGATTGAAACGATACGGAATCGGCTTGCTTGCTGGCTCTTGATAAGAAAAAACCTCGACTATACAAGAGCTTGCGGATTTTACTTGATACCAATATCGCGAGAATGTTAGGTTGATTCTTGCAAGAACAAAAATTCCTTCCACACTACTCCTTCCATACAATGAATGGATAAGCCGGTTGGTATCACGGTGGAGGGTTCCGACCAACTAACTGAACATTAAGTGGACCTCAGTAGGATCAAGTGTCGTAGAGCACATGGACGAGCGTATGTCGTACAGAGAAAATGCCAGGATATGAATACAGGGAAACAAAGACAGCACAAACAAGCCTATCCACACAGGCTTAGGCTTACAACTCAGCCTTGGTCTTCTTAGCCTTCTCGATCTCCTTGATAATAGGCTCCTCCAGAGCCTCAGGCTTGGTGATAGTAGCCCAGCGCGAGACAACCTTTCCATCGGCGCCAATAAGGAACTTCTCAAAGTTCCACTTGACGTACTTGATGCCCATGATACCAGGCATCTGCTCCTTCATCCAAGCGAAGACAGGGGCGGCATTCTCGCCGTTCACGTCCAGCTTGCCGAGGACGGGGAAGGTAACGCCGTAGTTGAGCTGGCAGAAGGACTGGATCTCGTCGTTGGAGCCAGGGTCCTGACTGTTGAACTGGTTGCAGGGGAAGCCGAGGATGGTGAAGTCGTCCGGGTAGCGCTCCTTCAGTTTCTTGTACAGCTTCTCGAGGCCTTCGAACTGGGGTGTGAAGCCGCACTTAGATGCGGTGTTGACGACGAGCACGACCTTGCCCTTCAGCGAGGTGAGGGGGAAGGGCTCGCCCTTTTCTGTGAGAGAGTGTTTGTTAGTCGCGGGGGTTTTCGCTGAGGCAAAACCGGGGCTTTGGAAGGAGAATGGGTGTTATGGTTGCACGTACTGTCGACGGGCTCGAAGTCATAGAAAGAAGTCGCGGAAGACATGGTGCTAAACTGTGCAGGATATCGCGTGGAGATGGGTGGAGAGAGAGAAAGTTTGGAGCTTCGGAGTAGGGATGACGTCGTAGAGTAGCCGCGGGGAGGACACGGAGTTGCGATTCGGGAAACTTGGCGAACTTGGCGGAGGGCAACAGCGCGCATGGTCTGGTTTTGTACTTATTCTACTAGCCGAGGCGAACAAAGGCTCTTACCAATTGTTCACGGGCCAAGAGACGGATTGGTGAGGTTCCGAGGCTACGTCTTTGCCCCGAGCCTATCGATTGTAAATTCAAAATTCCATACGCTTTTATTGGTGGAGACCCGATCGTCTCTACGGTTCCTTTTCTGCTTCTATGTCTGACATTATTAATCTTACTAGTTCTAGCCTTGCACAACTACCAGGATGTGTATAATTTGAGTATAATCCACAGTTAAGCATATCTTGCTGCTTACAAGATTTTGCGGGCCTGGACTTTTTTTCAGTGACTCCACCTTCCCCATAGTCTCGTCAGGCCACCGGCATCCACGTAGGGTGGGTAGTGCTGTGGCTTGATGCCCTAGTGTATGGTGAAGAACCCCTGGAATCTTTCATCTTCGATGTTACCGCCAATCCATCGTGCGATAGGCGCAGGTGTGGGCTGACGATATGGGCTGGCCTAAGGGTCTCTCCGCAGGCAACAACCAACCACCATCGCTCAACCAAGAAAATTGCTGAGAGGCCAGAGGGAATAGTTTCGAGATGCGACGCCCAAGACCGAGATTGAGAAAGCTTCGCTCACTCCCACGGTTCCAAAGCTGGTGTGCCAGCTTCAGAGACCATCGCAATGTAGACCAAGCCGTACCGCAAGTTCGCGCGCCGCCTGAAAGATCTGTTTCTGAAATAGCAGAGAACCCTCACGGTTCAGCCTTCCATTTCCGCCTTGAGCACGTCAATATCCAACTCCTTCATGACACCGAGAACCACCCCCAAGCTTTCCATGAACCCATTGACAGCGACCCGCAGCATGCGGTTGGTGGTGGCACGGTAGGTGGTCTGAAGTACGCTCTTCGACTCCTCGGGATCCTGCTTCTGCTTCTTTTCCTGCGGTTCGTCACCGTTCTCGGAGGTCGGGGTTGTGAGAGTCATGGTGCGTCGCACGGACGAGGACAGCTCGGTGTCGACTTCGATGGCCTGCAAGGCGGAGGAGGCAAGACGTTGTGTCGGGAAGGGAAGGGAGATAGTTCTAAAGTATTTATGAGCATTCTGTCTTATGTAGAAGTATGCCATACAGGAATTCAAGTTATATCCATGCATGTTGGGAACACTTCGTACATTGAGACAGGGAATTCGCTGTCGGACAGCTGTGGAGCAGCCATGGTGGACGAGATGAATGTAGATACAACGAGAAAGAACCAAAGCAGACCCGAATCTTTTGTCAGGAGCTGACCTCTCGATTGTCGCTAATTTGCGTCTGTGTTCAGTCGAACATTTTGCCCGCCAAACGAGGGGCATGAGTGGCAATGACTAATCATGTATCAGACCCACAGCACTAGACCATAATACAGATCAGGAATAATTCTACATTCGACTTGAGGGGTGAGGACATTGGTTTGATTGAAGAATAAAATACTAAAATACAGAAATCACATTTTCTTCTGATGAAGAGATAGAACTCAAATAGGCATTACCTAGGTATAGTTGAAGAAATTTCTCCGGGAGAATGTCCCTGTCCCAGTCCCAGATACGGGAGTCGTCAAAATATAAAAGCACACTCATCCACTTATTGTACAATGGCTTTTGCAAGAAAAATCCCGAGAGCACAAAGCCCTGGAGGCATCGAAGAAGTGAAGTGAAGAAAAATAAAACAAGCCTCTTTCCGGGTAAAGTCATAACACCTTCCATGCAGAGGAACATCAACCTTTTTCATTCGTGAAAGGTGTTTATGCGGTGGAAAGGTGGGCGATGACGTCTTGGATGGCCTGGGGCATGTTGGTGAGGTTCTCGTGGGAGATATCACCGGCGTTGACGATGGTGCGCAGGTTGTTGAGGGCACCATAGAGGCCGGTTGGGTTGCCAGAGAGACCGATGAGAGCAAACTGGACGGTCTGATCGAGACTGGCGGGAAGGTTTCCAAGCTGGCGCTCATGAAGGACATCGGCAATGGGAAGATCATCCTGGCGACGCTCGAGGGCTGAAAAATAAGTCAGCATACAATTTATCTATAGTGAACCAGTGAACGTACAACCAATAGTGGCTTCAGCAACGGCGAGGGCGTCGGGAGTGTCGAGCTGCTGGCGAGCCTTAACACCTGAGAAATAAGTCAGCACACAATTTATCTAGAGTGAACCAGTTAACGTACCACCAACAGTGTTGGCAACGACGTTCTCAGCAGTGCCAGCAGCGCCGCCAGCGGTGGACTCAGCAGTGCCGACAGCGCTGCCGGTGAGACCAGTAACCCCGTTCATGCTGCTACCAGTGGCGTCGGTGACGGGGCTGAGAGCGTCGAACTGTCGAGCCTTGACATCTGAAGAATAAATCAGCATATAATTGCTCAAGAGATGAACGTGTGGACGTACGGCCAAGTGTACCAGTGGCCACGTCCTCAACAGTGCCAGCGGCACCAGCAACAGTGCTCTCGCTAGTGCCGACAGCGCTCCCGGCGACACCAGTAACACCGTTCAGAGTGCTGCCGGTGCCGTCAGTAAGAGGATAGAGAGCATCAAGCTGGCGTCTCTTCAAGGCTATGAAATAGTCAGGCAAGGAAACACACCATGTGCATATAGGGCTACAAACCTCCAGCAGTGTCGGCAACAGTGTTCTCAGCGGTACCAGCAGCACCGTCGACGGTGGTTCCGGCAGTACCGACGGCGCCACCAACGATACCAGTAGCACCATTCAGAGTACTGCCGGTGCCCTCGGTGACGGGATAGAGACCGCCAAGCTGGCGCTTGGCGGTACTGGTAAGGCCGGCAAGGGTGCCTTCGGCAGCAGCCTCCATACCTGTAACCGCGCCATCGATTCCGCCATTGATTCCGGGAACTTGAGGGAGGGCGGCAGCGGAGACAAGGCCGGCCAAGGCAAGGGAAGCAGCGAATCCGGTAAACTTCATGGCTGCGGCTCAGTAAAAGAGAATGGGGTCGAAAGAGTGACTTAATTGAGACAAGGAGTGTATAGAGAGAACGGACCGAAGCGTCAAAAGAGTGACAGGAAGGAATGAATTGAGTAGTGAAAGAGAAGACCCTGCTAAACGAGACGAGGAGCACCTTATGTACACCGTGCTCAAAGAGTGTTTGTGAGCTCTTACACGCGGTGAGCTCCTCGCATGCGCTGTTATCGGGATCATCGGGGGCATATGGTCCATCCGTCATTATTTACGGCCCCTGAACCCCGCCATTAATCACGATCGACACTATTAAGCTGCCATCCGGAGTTCCGCGAAGGTAGTGCAGTGGATAGCAGTCGGCAGAAAAAAGGGATGTGCCACATGGGTGCCAATGAAAACCCCCCGACGCAGGCTGGCCAAAGTTTCCATGATGGCTGCTTACTCGATTCAGACAAGCTCTGTGGAGGCCGGCAAGGTGCAGGGCTAGCTTGAGTGTATGCGCTAGTGGCGTGGGAAGCGCTTGCTGCTCTTGGAGATTTGTCCAGATTTTAGTTGATATAGAGGTATCATCACGGAGGACAGCGATTCTGCAATGGTGCTGATCTTGCTGGCATTTTCAATTTGTTTGCTGCATTTGGAATGCATTTTCCCATCTCGTGGTCTGATTCTTCGCAAAAGCAATCATCAGTGCTATGACCAGCGGCATTTGCGATTTATCTCATGCTGCATGTGAGGGATGTAGAGCTGACGCACTGACCCCCGCGGTGGAGTGGCCAGGTAAGGGTGACGCATAAACAAGATCGATCAATAGCTTCCGTAGGGCCACGATGATCACTCAAATGTGCCTCTGGAGCCCTGTCAGGGTCCAAACCGTATAGCAGTCCAACCTGAGGAAACTGGCCGACCGTTAATAATCCTTGCGTCAATTCTACATGGCGCCGGCGGAAGTCCCTGACACTCATTTTCCCCCTGGCTTTGAAAACAGGCAAATATGCCAGGGCAAACATTGAGAGAGCGCTCTTTGGCAGGCTGAATCTTCATATTCCCACTGAAGAGCCGGTTTAGATAGTAAGTGTCAAGAGGAATGGTCCCCAGACAGAGATAGATTTAGATAAGACAGACGATAGCCAATTAATCCACATATTGCCGCTCCCGTTGATCGGCCCGATTGCCGCCGCAAAACATAACATCATAACAACGCGTACCAGTGGCAAATGTGCTGTTGCCCAGCCATTCTTGTGTATTTTCCGATTGTTTTGTCTTCCCAACTTGGCCAGTGAGGGTGTCTGCGCTTAGGCCGGGCCTTGCTGTCTGATATCATAGCGGGAGCATCAAGGGATGCAATTGTAGTCAATAGTACGGGTTTCCGCTCAAGATCATCTGGTAGCATGGCCATTGTCTGAAGGCTGTAGCCATAAAGAAAGAGCAAGGCCTCGAAGAAGGGCTGGGGAGATTCGAGCCTTGGAAGCACCTGTGTGGATGATAGACATAGTTGCGGGTAACTCAGCCGCCCCCATAGGCGCGAGGCAAACACTAACATAGCAGATGATATCAGCCATCAAAATGTTCAGCCGGTCACACGGAATGCCGAGCTGATGGGTTGCCGCGTTTAGGCATCTACAATGTGATCAAACAACTTTCGACGTTCAGATACGGGACCAGTGGTTGAATGTTACCAAGGAAACAGAGTGTGTAGGTCCAAAGGTGCAAATTATGGCGGCTGCAGGATTGGAAGCGCGAGCACACCAACACAATGGAGCTGTCATTTGTTTTGGCGGAGCCTTGAACCTGAAACCCGACGTTGTGTTGGCCTCAGGCACCGATGCCGTTGTCGAGTCAACGGGAAACGCTAGTCCCAAAGGGGCCCAGCACAACATAACAGCGGCTTAGCGTGGCATGGCAGTTGCCCCAACATGAGATTTGTTTCCATAACTCTCCCCTCATCTTTATCTTTAACCTCTCTGCTCTGTACAGATCCCCAGGGACTCTATCATTATTTCCACTCTGTTTTGACTGAACATCAATCAGACCATGAGCATTTGAGACCTCACCTTTCGCAATTCTTGACAACCTCCGCGGCGCATCCTGACAATCCGTCCGGCTTGCCACAACATTGACGACAGCCTTACAACACTGCCTGTCAAACTCTCATTGCTTTCCTTTACTCTCTTTCATCCTTTCTAGTCGCGCAATCTACAACGAAGGACACAATGACTACCGATTCTGGCCGCGGCGGCCAGATGATTGAGTACATCCAAGGTAAGTTGCCGCCTTTGCGGATGTCTCATGTCTCGCATTTATGCCAAGATGGGATCTAATCGCAAAACAACAACAGACCGCCTATACCTGGCGTCGTATGACTCCGCCCCAAGCTCGAGGACCCCGTTCCCTTTCCCGCTCGAGGCTTCCAAGTCTCCGAGCAAGCGCCGGGCGCAGCCTACTACACCGACTACCAAGCGGCGATCTCCCGTCTACTTCACGATTGACGATACTCTTCTCTACAACGCCTTCCACGCTGATTTCGGTCCTTTGCACATCGGTCATCTTTACCGCTTTGCTGTCCTCTTCCACGAGATCCTCGGAGATCCGGCCAACAGCGACCGCCCTGTTGTCTTCTACAGCAAGACCGACCCGCGAAGCCGCGCAAATGCTGCCTGCATCGTGGCATGCTATATGGTCCTGATCCAGTCTTGGCCACCCCACCTCGCCCTTGCGCCGATTGCGCAGGCCGATCCGCCTTACATGCCCTTCCGCGATGCGGGGTACAGCCAGGCGGACTTCATCCTGAACATCCAAGATGTCGTCTACGGTGTGTGGAGAGCCAAAGAGCAGGGCCTGTGTGGCCTTCGCGACTTTAATCTCGAAGAGTATGTCGCCAATGTCTGTTGTGGTCGAGTTGAATTCTGGGCGCTAACTGTTGTTTCAGGTATGAGAAATTCGAGAGAGTCGACATGGGTGACTTCAACTGGGTGACACCAAACTTCCTCGCCTTCGCCTCTCCTCAGCAGCAGCCCGTTGCGCCCATTCCTATGAACACCCCCGAATACGATGACCTCCCGACTACCATTTCCGAGGTCTGCTCGACCAAGCTCCCTCTTCCTTTCAAGAATGTCCTCGTCCACTTCGCCTCTCGAAATGTCGGCCTCGTGGTGCGATTGAACTCCGAACTCTACTGTCCCTCTTACTTCACGGCTATGGGAATCTCTCACATCGACATGATCTTTGAGGATGGTACCTGCCCGCCTTTGCAATTGGTACGCAAGTTCATCAAGCTTGCCCACGACATGATCAATGTGAAGAACAAGGGAATTGCTGTCCACTGCAAGGCTGGCTTGGGTCGGACAGGATGTCTAATTGGTGCCTATCTGATCTACCGCTATGGTTTCACCGCGAACGAGGTCATTGCCTTCATGCGCTTCATGCGTCCCGGCATGGTTGTTGGTCCCCAACAGCACTGGTTGCATCTGAACCAGGGCGCTTTCCGGGAATGGTGGTTTGAGGATAGCATGCGCGAGAAGCTGGCCCAGTCCGCCCCGGTCACTCCTCGCGTCTCGACCAAGAAGCGCCCCAGCAATGGCACTGTCTCCACACCTCCCAACAACAGCCACTCCAAGCGCGCCGCCCTCGGTGAGATTGATCACAACGAGGGTGCTGCCCAATACGAGGAAAACCTTCCTGCCCCGACTCCGGGCCAGCCTCGCAAGTCCCATCGCAAAGACTCCCGTCACCACCCATATGCCCGCACCACCTCTGGTTCGTTAGCTGTGGACCGCGATGGTAACAAGAATGAGGAGCAGCAAACCCGCAAGCTCCGGGCTAGCAATGAAAGCAGCGAGAGTGAAGAGGAAATTCAACTACGCATGCTAAAAGCCAAAAAGTCGTCCAAGTCCCCTGTGGCCTCTCCGACCTGCCGTTCCATCAGTTACTCTGCCACTGTCACGGCCAGCTACACTCTGACTGATGATATCCACGAAGACCGAGAGAACTGGGTTGAGACTATGACTCCTAAGACACCCACCAGCCGCAAGAGCGGCGGCCAACCCATCTCCGTGAGCAAAGTTCGCTCCAGCCCCCGGAGGGCAACAGATAGCAACAAGAGCGAGTCGCGAGGAGTTCGCAAGCCCAGTGGTCGAGTCGGCAGCTCCTCCAGCCCGAATCGCATTGCTCGTGCTGTTCAATAAGGGTCTGGATCTTAGCCCCTGGACTTTCATTGTCTTCAAGTGATGACACTTTCTATTCTTCCCGTCCCACGGGACACTTTTTTGCATACCCCCTTTCTGATGCATCTTGAGGCCTTTAATGCCCTTCTCTTCTTTCGTCTCATGGTTTTCTTCGGGGTCTTTTCCGGCGTGCAAATGGTTTTTGGGCATGTTTTGCGTGGCGTTTGGGTTTCTGCTGTCGATAAATGAATGCTTGCATGACTTGAAGTCGTCATGGACCTGGGGTTTCGTGGCTGATTCCGATTGAATTGCATTTCTTTCTGATTCTCCTTGCGCCCATGACATGGTCTTCTTTTGCGGGGCCTTTCTACCTTTCACTTCCTGCGGCGATATGACAATTTGTTTCATGAACTCGTCTATAAATTTTCTATCCCGTTGCCATCACTCGTAATTGTAGAGTATTTATTACTAGATTCATCGCACAGCTAACGCTGTAGGCTGCATTGCTCCGAGCAGCCTTGGTTATCAGATGAGTCCGGGCTCTCACTAGCACAAGTGACTATGTCAAATGCTTCAAGCCCCATTGATGCAGCCACCATATCACACCATTTATCAGCAGACGGGGTATCGTCACTCATGCCGGCTCCCAGCTTGGAGACAATTCGAAACGACAATGGGTCTGAGACTTCCAGAACGTCTTCGGAGAGTTTGCTCTTCATGAGATGAGATTCCGTTCTATCAAGATACTCCAGTAGAATCTGCAGGATAGATATACAGATATCAGAGCCGCGAAGAACACTATTCGCGAATTCCTGAGGAAACGTGGAAGGGATGGGTCCAATGAAGGGCCCCTTGGCACCGTCCCTGAAAGCAGTATCAGCCCAAGAGCTCTGCGCCGCAGCAGCAACACGTAGTTGTGCGGATAATGTATGAAGAGCCTGACGGCAGCGTAGAGACTGGAAAACCAGGCGCTTAGAAGCTTTCTCGCAATCAGGTGTAGTATGAAGCCGACGAGCCTGGAAGAGCAACCCCGGCACCTTTGAAACCACCATAAAGATCCGATCTTGCAAATCGATGAAGAGCGCAATCGGACCATCAACACGCGGATCAGCCATATCCTCAGCCCGGACTTGGTCAATATGAGCCTGCCACTCGGCTCGTTCAAAGATGCACCGCTTTTCATTGATGAAAGCCTCGGCGACAATGAAGCTGCGAAAGGATAGGTACAGACAGCGATCGAAACCAGTTAGATGGGCATTCGGACCCCGGTGCGCCAACAGTAAAGCCGTCCCTCCAGCGTGCCTGGCCCACGAGTCCGGATTCGTTCGCGCGTAAACCTCGAACAAGCTGAGGAGAATGGTTATGCTGACACTTTCGCGCGACTTCATCTTGTCCGGGTCATGGATCCTGTCGCCGAATAGCCGCAGTGCCTTGCTGTACATCTCACGGCTGGAGCGCTGCAGCATGGTATTGGTATGGGAGTGACCCATGAATGTAGCGTTGAGACAGTAGATTGAGGCATCGAAGGCTGGGCTTTGTCCCATCTTGTGCGCGACGTATACTGTCCATGGGACGTGGACGCGGTATTTGTTGAGACCGAACCATCGTTTGAATGCCGTGAGGACGAAGGAGCCGAATATGACTGGTTGTTGTTTGCGCATTGATTGGGCTACTAGGGAGGGCACGATTCGTTCGTCAATGGATTCGGGGGTTATGTTGGATGTCGATTGGGTTCTGCTCTTGCCGAAACGTTGGTGTAGGGTCGGGCCTTCATCCATGAACTTGTGTGAGCGTGTATAGCCGGGACAATCGACGCCATATTTTAAACATCGTGTACACACAGGGCGTAGCCTGTCGCACTAATTTGAGAGGGTATTAGATACTTGCGACAAATCGCCAGGGTTTTATAATGAAAACAGTGCAGAGCATACCTTCACACGCCGCTTGATGCACGTTTGGCACCCTTGACTCTTAGGAACACCAACCATGTCGAGAAGAGTGTTTTGGCTGTTGCGAAGAGCATCTCTGACTCACTTTAACGAAAGAGAAGATCGTCGGGTTTGATCTGGTCCGACCATTGTTAAGGTCGTGCGCAGGTCATGGCGTGCTAGGAAGTATTCTCGGCTGATTTAGCAGCGATTGCTATCTGGGAATATCCGGTTAAGGAATAAGCGGGATCCGCGACTCAATACGCCGATGGACCACTAATATCTCAGATAATCGTCTGACCGTCGAGGTGTTTGACAGGTTCCTATAGATCAGCCCTGCCTTTGTCCTGCGCAGCACAGTATCGGCCAAACATGCAAAGAGCCCAAAATAGACAGCGCGACGGGAAACATAGGCAACGTATAAATAGAACAGCGGGGCAATGGGCGCAGTAGCCTCGACTGGGCATCGCTGAACCCTTAACTCCAAGGTGTCCGATAGCCCGTGGAAGCGAGCCAATAAACAGAGAAGGCATGGATGCCAAGCTGGCTGGGAGCTTAACATGAGTTGTTTTGACAGCTTGTTCCCCGGTGTCTGGGTTTGGGACGGACCGTTGCCCTGTGCGGATGCGGATGGCGTCTGTGAACGTCGGCTGCCTGTTCGTCTTATAATTGGAGTCCCATTTTAGATATCAATACGAATGGTGAAAGCAGCCCGTGTACCTCTTCTACTTCTGCTTCGACTTCTGCTTCTGCTTCTGCTTGGTTGCCGGGGTCGTGAAGGGAAACAGACAGTCGCCCCCAATTAAGCTCGAGACTAAAATGGCCACCCGCGGGTGGACTCGGCCGTGCCTCGAGCCAAGGTGCGCGTCTGATTCCGCAGGCCATTATCTCGCTAGCTTGGGGATGCTCGGGTTTTCTTATTTTAGATTGGAGATTGCGATTGTGGGGGCTTTGGGAATCTGAACTAGCTCGTCTTACTTGGGGCCTGAGCAAACTTGGCTGTAAGACGCATCATCTCCACCTGAATTTGACCCTCATGTCTTAAAATTTGAGATCACACAGTGTCTTTGGAATACCTTCATGACACGATACTGCCCTAGATAACTTATGTGGATCCCAGGATAGCTGTTTGCACGGGAAGGGCAACCGTAGGCCATGGTATCATGGTACGATAGCGGTATATTCGTTCAATCAGCCATCTACATCTTAGCCGTAGGCCTTTTCGAGAACATCTTCATCCTCGTCACTTGGAGACAGGCCTCCGAAGCCTTGATCATATCCGCATCCGACCTCTTGCTCTTATATTCGGCCAAAACCTTCTCATCCGCCAGCCAACCCTGGAACCATCGCCGAATCCAATCCGTCGCCACTTCCGCACACTTGTCGATCTGCTCAAACACTACAACGTGTGAACTATCAAGCACGACCTTCTCAACCATTCCTTTTGCAGCACCGCCACTACCGCCAACGCCTGTCCCCGTTACGCGCATTTTGGCATCCTGGGCCTCGGGCGCCGAGACATAGCTGCGGCTGGCAAACACCCACAGAACACTGGGACGGACAAATGGGAGATTTCGCATTGAAGCAAGGCATTCTGGTCTTGAGAAGCTCAACGGACGCTCCTGTTCAGGATCCCAGTCTGGCAACAATAGCCGATCTAGGCCGGCCGATTCCGGTTCCAGGTTGGGGAGGGTGTAGCTCCAAGACTCTTGGTGTCTGGTTGTTGTTAGTGTTACAGCCGATGAGGAGAGATTAGGATCACTCTGCTGGTTGTAGAGCCGTGTTGGAACGGGCCGTAAGCCGAATTGCAGATACTTCTCCACAACCCGAGGGTCCCATGTGCGTTGAATCTTGCGGAGGGTTGCCTCTGCTTTCTCTCGAGACTCCCAAAGGTCTTGTCTCCTGGCGACGAACTTGGCTGTATTGAAGTCGCCAAAGCTCGTGTCAAAGATGACTGGCTCGAAGAGAATCAGTGTTGAGAGAAGGCGAGGGTGAATGATGGAGAGTTGGACCCTACGAAGGGTTAGGAGGTGGTCCCTTGCGTGAAGGAATATGTACGAACAGTTGGGCACATCCCATGCTATGGCCGACTCCAATGATGGGTCGTGGGAACTCATCACGGAAATGATTGACCATGTGCAAAAGATCACGAGAATGATCATACCAATTTGCTGGTGGGGGTCAGAATGATCTTGAGGTGAAGACTACAGTAGGACATACTAGTGTCTCCCTGGATATCCTCATTCAAGACACCACTTGCACCTTGATTGGAGACGTCTGCAATCCAAATTGCACGCAGTGGAACCGAGCATTTCTTCAGGTACACATAAAGTTGTTCCCACAGCGGCTCGAACAATTCCTGATGGGTCAGTTATATGAATATTAAGCCACGATAGGATCAGTACCTTAGGCGCGCCATTTCCATGAGCCCCAATCACCGTGACTGCATTGTCTGGAATCGGATCCGACTGGTCGACCGGAATGTACTGCTTGATGGCGAGCTGCAGGACCGCCTCTTGGCGTCCCTTGATACTGTGGGGGTGCTCGCGGATGTGCTGGCCCGGGATGTTATGCTCGATGATTTTGAAAACACTCATCGTGGGATTTTCGGTGGTTCAGGGTAGGTTCAAGATTGATCGAGTTCATATTCGAGATGGAAGGTCAGCTCGCTCCCCACCTACTTGGTCATAAATACGACACTTACGCCATGTGATGCCGAGGCTCCTCCAGAGCGTCCTGGAATTAATTAAAGATTGATACTACCAACCCCTCCTTCCTCCTACCAGCCCCCCTCCTACCAGCCCCCTCCTGCCTGATTTCTTAGGCACCCTATATTTCTGCCGAATAAATCATCCGTATTTTTTAAAGTGTCAGTTTTCTTAGCTGTAGAGATTTTTATTATTGGTTTTGATGGTAAAACCCCTTGTTTTTATCCCCTAAAATCTCTATTTTTTTGCTTTTTACATGCATCTCTCTTAACATCCAATCATATGCCTCTATCCTGATTATTCAGCATCCCCTGACCACACTGACTGCTGCGTAATATCCTCCGATCGCCGACCGTGCGTCCACGCCCTCTAGCAACCTGCTCTCCATGGCCTCCCTCATAGAAATACTAAAGGGGAGACTAAGACATAAAGAGATGGTCAGAAGCGGTGAGAAACGCGGTGGGAATTCTTTTAAGCTAATCCTAATTAGGTTATTTTGGGTCGGTAGTATCAATCCTCATTATTTAATGCGGATTTGGGATGTGTAGGGTGATTCCAGTCCTTTACAACAAAATCGGTCGATTCCGATTCGTGCTTCAGGCGACCTAAATTCCCCAGATACGGGTTCGGAGTTTTTCTTCCGTCTATAGTTATCTTCTCCCGCAAAATAGAATCGTCAGATCCAGAAACATGCTTAGAAGGATTCTTGGAAAGAAATCTTTGAAAAATGATTGAAAAGATGTCTGAAAAGCCATGTCGGGTAAAGAAATTGGGTCTTCCCTGCTATGTGGGATTATCGTATCGTTGTAGGCTCTCTTAAGAAGTCCAAGCCCTTCATCGGGTCGAGATCTAAGAATGGACACGCTAAACCATTTCGGGCGGGAATTTTGCCGCGGACCCTTCCATTTCTAGATATCGCAGATATTTTCCATTAGTCTGCAATAATCCCCCGTGGTTCTTTGCGATGACGAACACCGATGACCGCCGCTCGCTGTCCCCGGCTACACGCCGTAATGGCACTCTGCAGTCCTGCGAGCCCTGCCGGCGGTCCAAGCAGCGATGCGACCACGAACGACCTGTCTGCCGCAGATGCGCCGCAAAGCGAATCAACGACCAATGTTTTTATCACCCGGCTCCGATGACTAGAAGAAGGCCTTCAGATCATGCCGTTCCGTCGCGGGCATCGTCGAGCCTGCTCACCAGCCAGCCGGCCTCCAAGTAAGAATGCCCCCAACCCCGCCGTAGAACCCGGGAAAATTAACAGTCAAAAAGTGCTTCAAGCCCTGGATCAATAGGTGGCAGCCGCTTGTATGCACCTTTAGAGCCACCTTCTGCTCTTCCCGGTTATCTGGGCTCGACGAGCTTTACAGCTGTTCTGACCGAACATCGCAATGAGATCCCCCTGGAGCCTGAAGAAACCGCAGACACGTATCCGGCTCCCTCGGTGGATCCGGATCGAGTCCAGTCCGGGGTAGAAGTGTTGCTGCTGCTATACAATCTTAGCTTCCGGCGGCAGTTGATCGATAGATATTACCGAAGCAGCTGGTGTGCGGTTGTGCCCAAGATCATGATGGATGCAATCCTGGACTCGATCTCGGATATTTTCGATAGCTTCAACCCGAATGATCCAAAACCACAGCTGCAAGACCTATCCACGCAGATCTTTCAGAACTCTTCCAGAGCAATGAAGACACATCAGGCGATGACTGTTCAAGAGTACTGCGCCTTGTTCACTGGTCCTAACTTCCGCTGGGAGGCTTTGGGCAACATCTTGACCATGTGTGGACAGCAGCTGGTGATTACGCCGGACAACGATCCCGAATTCTCTCAGGAATCCGATGATCCAGGCGCAAAGGACCGGCTTCTCGAGCAGGTGACTGTGACAAGTAGTGTTTGTCTGAGCTTCTGCGACCAGGCTTCTTCGGCCAATGAATTGCTTGCCTTTCTTCAGTATGCCGACTTTATGCTAAGAACGCAACAATATGGTGATTCAAGTACGTTTGTGTCGTTGGAAAGAGGGTCAAATCGAAGATTTACTGACATTACTTCTAGGCTATCAAGCATGGCGCCGATTGGGCGATTTGGTCGCCACGATCTATGCTTCTGGACTGCATCTGGATGGCGAAGGGCCCGACAACTGCCCCTTCTTCCTGCGCCAATGGCGAAGAGGATGTTTTATCTCGGCTTTCTACATGGATAAAATGATGGCAACATTTGTCGGCCGACCACCGTTAATGAACTATCGATTCTGCACGCTAGCGTCTCCACTAGATCTGAGTGATGAGGTTCTCGTGGAGGGAGGAGATGCCCTGACGAAGGCTATCTCCGAACTTGACAGTGCCGGCTGGAACACCTCCGGTGCTCGGTGGAGAATGAGCTCCGGGAGACTACGATTCCAGCTCTCGGTTTACAGAGAGCAAACGCTGGAGATTGCGTTAGGGACACTTGAGCCGCATGACCTCATTCGCAAATCCAAGTAAGGCAATCTTATCTACTCAACGGCCATTTCCAGAACTGACGCCCCTGTTTCTGAATAGGGAAATCGAGGCAAGTGTGCGCGATGTGTGGAATGCAGCACCGGATCATCTCCGATATGATCGTCGAATGAACGATGACTTCCACGATGGCTGGCTGACCATTGTTTATATTTACCTCAATTATCTCTACACCTGCTTTTTACTGGAGAGATCCTTGATCAAGCATGCCGGTGCCAAGCAGGATGCTCTCTGCGATGTCTCCCGCAGAATATTGGCTATCGTGATCAGCATCACCTCTGTTCGAAACCCGATGGTCGACCTTGACAGACACTACTCGTGGATTGTATGTTCCCTTGCCTCGCTCTCGAGCACCCGCCAAGACGGGCCTTGCTGACAGATACAGGCCCTCACATACGGCCTCCCCACTGCCAGCGTTCTTTTACTCGAGCTCTTGCATCAGTCGCATCAACCGGGTCCACATTCCGTCGTTCTACCCCGAGCAGAGCTAATCCGCAACCTGAGTGTCTTCATCTCGCTCCTCTCTTGGGTATCACGCCCCGGCCATGGCAACTACCGTACATGTCAAGAAGCCGAGAAGAACCTATCTCGCATTCTCGACCGACTGCTCGACCCACGGCCGGTGCACGCAGAGACAGTGAACGATGTGACGTCCGACCTGTCCAGTTTCTTGAACTGGTCGAATTACAACACGTGGGATTTCAACTCAGAGTACTTCCCCGCAGAGGGAGGGTTTGCACCTTGATCTACGCTTGAAACGCACAGTCATCTTGAATCATGGTCTCATAATCATTAACAGCTAAGGAAGTAACATCGTGAGTTCATCTCATCGAGCCGGCCGAGATCATACCGCCCATACATAATCATTCCGCGGCGGGTTGTCTGCTACAAAATAGGCCCTATGACAAAGCGGACAGTTGAAGTGGTCACCCAAAAACCACTTTTCCAAGCACTCCCGGTGGAATACGTGCAAACATCGCAATTCCCGGATTTCCTCCGATCGGTTGACTTGCTCCAGGCAGACGGCACTGGATGCACGTCAGTTTCTGGTCATACGCGAATCAAAAGCAAGGAACCTACCAGACAAATTGGCTATCAACAGCGTCGGAAAGACCCATTTTGTCTTTCGTACTGGTAAACCAGTCTTCCAGCGTGCGAGTCTGCGCAACCACGTCCAGATTACGCAGGCGCTCATCCGGAGATTTCCGAGATTGCAGAAAAGCCTGGCGATCACGTCGGTTGATAACGATGGTGAGACTGGGGATCCACGTTAGTGAGATTCCCGGTCACACAGACCGGAGGATAACCGGAGAGGATTTCCGTGAGCTGGAGGGGAAAGGAAGGTGGGGGAAGATGTAGATCGGGGATAGAAATGAAACTCGCAATGATCTCGAAACGAAAACTCACAGTAAGCTCAGGATAATGAGCAGCACGACACCCAGGCCAATCCCCAAGACGATGGCCATATGGCTCGTCTTGAGGTTATTCTCAGCCATCGCCCCTCGGTCAGATCTGCGATCTGTCACATATGAGGGGAAGAAAGAAACGAAGACCGTTGGATAAAATAAATGGCTGAAAGGTCAAGGTAGGGTCATAAAGTGGTTCAACTCCTTGACAGGGGAGCAGTGATCGACCAAAGCGGGGAGACGCACAGCTCACGGCTCTTTCACCTGCATGATGGGATGGTGGAATCGTGAATGGCCCCCTCCCTGTGCCCGTTGCACCAATCGTTGGCCGTGGCGCTGGAAGGGATGTGCGGGCCAAGTCGCTAGCGGCTGGGAATGTTGATCGCCTGAAGTGTCCTTTCTGGTGGCCTGCTGCGTGGAACGTCGTGCGATGGGATCGGTTGGGTAATCGCTGCCGACGGGGCTGATTCTACACAGTACATCGGTACTCCGTACGCATCTACACAACACACGGGTGAGGCCGTAAAGACGAGTCAACCCGCAACTAAAGTCCCCCGCTCTCCACCCCGCTCTCCACTACTGTCACTCTCCACTACTGTCATACTTTATTTTTCGGTACTGGATCCTAGTGTATTTCAATATTCTCTATCGTCGCCGACATCCCTAAATCCTTCTCCATTCCAAGCTCATCGCTCTCGGATATGATCCCCGGCACTTGGTCGAACAGCAAATCGATCTCCTCAAGCGTTTTCAGTTTGGTCTCCCGAAAGAAGAAGAAGATCACGGGGAACGACACGCAGAGATCTACAGAGGGGAAATAAATCAGCTCGGCTCGGAAATAGGAGGCAAGGAGGAATACGTACTCCACGCCACAAAGACAAAGTAAAACCTCCACTGCAGCCGATCTAGCGCGACGGGCGACACCTGATTCCACAGCGTACTGACCCCCCAGTTTCCGACCGCGACAGCGAAGGCATTGCCCTTGCCGCGAATCTGCATCGGCATGACCTCCGCCATATAGACCCTACCGGACATTAGTCTCGTTTTCACGCTATCGAGAAGGCACGTACCAGCTGCAGGGCCCAAAAGACATGGAAAAAGCGATCGACACGGCAAACAAGAAAAACACACCGCCGATGCTGTACGCGATGCGCTCACCGTTCGGATTCTGTGAGTTCAGTACTGCTTCGCAGATCAGCGCTAGAGAGATGGCGATCGTGCCGATGAGCATGGGTCTGCGTCGTCCGACGCGATCGAGGAAAAAGACTAGGAAGATGAGATTGGCGAGCGGGCCGACGCAGTTGTAGAGGCCCGCAACGAGCGTGTTCCTGCTGCCCGTAAAGCCCAGTGCCCGGTACATGATCGTCTGGTAGTAGCTAATCACGTTAATTCCGGTCATTTGGGTGAAGACCTGAACGGCGAGGCCGTGGCTGCTCGACTCGTCAGTTTCAACGGGCTGAAAGTAGAAGCTTTGCTCTGCACGTACAGCATGCGTGTACGCCACTGCGGGACGGTGAACATGGGAAACCATCCGGGTGAAGCGATGGCCTTCTCGGCCTCGATGGCCCTGCAGATTCCGTTGTACTCTGTCTCGATCCAATCGTCGTTGCTTCCATCCGAGTGCATCTTTCGGAGAACTTGCATCGCCTCCGAGAAACGTTCCTTCTCGATGAGGTACCGTGGGGACTCTGGTAGGAAACCCATGCCTACGACCAGGATTAATGCAGGCACGACTTGGAAAGCCAGTGGGAAGCGCCACTGGAACTGGCTCTCAGCTGATGCATGGAGAGATCCGTATCCAATCCATCTTTCCTTGAGTCAGCTGTGACCGCGAGTATGATAGACCGGAGAACATACGTGCTGACGATAAATCCAATACCAATCATCTGCTGCGACAATCCAACAATCAAGCCTCGAGACCGGGGTGGGGCAAATTCAGCTTGATACACCGGCACCGACATCGACATCAGCCCCACGGCCCAGCCTGCCAGTATACGACCGACCAAGATCATGGATAGATTCTGTGCAGCCGCCTGCAGCGTTGCGCCGATGACACAGATTACCGCGCCCAGTTGAATGGTGAACTTGCGGCCGAAGCGATCCATTGTCAATCCGCCTTGCAGGGAGCCGATCACCGCTGTTGAGATCCATTAACCGTAAGCTTTCCCTTCAATGCCAACCAACAGGGAAACCTACCGCCGCCCGAGTACGTGCTATTGATAGCCCCAATTATAGCCGACGTCTGCGAAGTATTGAAGTAGCGCAAGAAATTCGGCGAGTCAATCACATCCGTCATGACACCGCTATCATATCCAAACAGGAAGGACCCCGTAGCCGCCAGTATGGCCACGGAGATAGAGTAGAACCGGCCCATTGCGAACGGTCAAGTTATGTCGATCTGGGGAAACCGACTACATTACGACATGTGGGGGAGATGGTCTTGCCGATCCTTTAATAGGCCATCCAAGCGGGGGGTGAATGCCGGCGGCTGAAGCACAAACACCGCCGAAAGGGGTTGAAGAAATCCGGGGTGACATGTGCGAATTCCCCACCTCACCAATGCCGGGGCTTGTCAGAACCTATCATAGCGCTCGGCGGACACGGCCACCGGACACCGCTGTCGAGGCCCGATGTGCCCCAATGCGATCCCGGTGTGCCGATGGGTATCCCCGCACGGCTCGTCGTAGCGTCGAGGATAGAGTGCTTTGGCGGGGCATTATGAGCATAACTGTGTCTTGCTGGGAAGTGCATTGGTTGATTTGATCGGCTATGGTGACCGTTTCCTTTTGGCCCCGACCCTTCCAACGTTAGAAGGTATATTCTAGGTCTGGTAGACTCGAACCTCCGTCCCGCCCATATTGAATTCAGAGAACCTCTCATTGAGTTTCTATTTAAACACGAGGTATACCGCGACAAGTCGATTATAATCCCACCCAACATGTTCTGTTCTCCAGAATCAACTGCAACAGCTTGCTGGAATTATCCCAAATTTGACCGCAACACGTTTTAGGTGGACCCAGACGTCACGTGAACACGCGCTTTTCGCGTTGAACAGCTTTGGAGGGTCAGATACAGAAACCTTGGAAATCCGTGGGTTGATGATGACACGCAAAATGCTGGATGCCAGTTATTTAGGTAGGACTTCGGAGAGTTAGGAATCCCTGAGATCTCGCGCATTCCACTCCTGTGACGTGCAACACGCGAGGCGCCCCGTCAGCCATACCCGGTGGAGACGCCCGAATTACTTTCGGCCACCCCAACGGCGCGTCCATGGGACGAAAAGAGGGGTTATGGAGGGCTAGGAGCTTCAATTGAAATCGTAGAGCGTGGTAAAATAATAGAGCAAGTATACGGACAAAAATCGCGTGTACCGCGAAAGTAGCAGGGACCTCGAGGCGCACCGTCTTTACTAGCGCGGCCACGTTCTTCTACCTCCGCGTCCACATCGCGACGCGATTTGATACACTGCCGGCTTCTGCATACTTGGCTCGCTTCTTCTCCAGCCCCGACCTTCTTTTTTACTTCCCCTACGCTTGACCTTTTCCCCTTCCTCTTTTTGAGAGATTCTCTCCATGCTCTATCTCTCCAAGTGATCATGTCCGATCTGGAGCCCTCGGTGGTGGCGGCTTCGTCCTCGCCGTCTCTCCCGGCCACCGACTCCAATGCCCTCCACTACGCCTTTCTGGTTCACTCCCAGAAGACCCTCACTCAGAACCTCCCTCCTCGCATCGATAACAAGCTGCTGGCGCGCCAAAAGCGGCGTCGGACTAGGTACGTCTCGGGTATTGATACCCACAACGCGTCTTTTGTCTAACCAACACGTCGTGAACAGCCCGGAGGACCACGCAATTCTGGAGTCAGAGTACCAGAGGAATCCAAAGCCAGACAAGGTCGCGCGTACAAACATCGTGAACCGCGTTTCGCTCGGCGAGAAAGAGGTGCAGGTACGCGATGCCAAGACTTGCCGGTCTAAAACCCTCCGCCCGTTGTCCGCGCGGCTAACTTCTCGACAGATCTGGTTCCAAAATCGCCGCCAGAACGACCGCCGGAAATCAAAACCCCTTCAGCCGTACGAGCTGCTCGCGCCGAGATCAAGTATGTCGGATGAGTCGGGTCACCCGACCAGTGATGATAACGCGTTCGCGGAGCCCGGGTCTTCAAGTGGGGCGGAGCTGGTTGAGGTCCTGGACCGACCGGAGGATAACAGGCCCAAATCTTGGGGTGGAGATTTGTTGCAGTTGTCTGATGAGTCGGATCCTGTGACGGGAGACAAGGACGAGTTGGAGTTGTTGCAGAGCACGCAGACGAGTGTGGCGACAGAGGCTGTTGAGGATACCCCGCCCACCACCCAAGAGGAATTTCATGGGCATGGGTCAGGACACGCCACGAATGACACCTCGGAAGAGTCATTACTGCAAGCTCCGAAGAGAAAACGGTCGGTATCAGACATTTGGGCCGAAGGCGTGAGCGATGAGCGGGTAGCAGCTGTGAACACCACGCCAGTCAAATCTCCTCCTTCTCTGCGTTTGTCGCTTTCATTCGATGGTGAGGCTATGGTGCGGAAGGAAGACGAGATGACGCCGTCTCCTCCAAAGAGCAGGAACGCGTTGCGGATTGCCATGTCGTCGGATGGAAAGGCTGTGATCCGTGCAGAGAATGAGCCGTCCCCGTCCAAGAACCGCGTGGCCATGTTCTCAGTTCGTCGAACAAAGATGTCTGGTCTGCGCCGCAGTAGTAGTGCCATCTTCCCGGCCACGCCACGAGTGGGAATGACCGAGAATGATAGGGCATTTGGTCGCTCTCGCGATCCTCGCAACTGGGAATCCTTCTTCGACACTGATGCACGAAGTGCTCTGTCCACACCGACCAGCTCTCAAACTGCTCCCAACCTGTCACCCGGCCTTTTCCAATCCCGTTCCCAGCGCTCTCTGTCCCGAACCATGTCAGCACGACAGAATCTTACATCTGTTTACGCCGACTCTATCCGCACGCCCATCTCCCAGTCCATGGGAGATAAGAGGCGAAAGCTCTCCCGCACAGTCTCTTCTCTGGGTAGGTTAGAGACCGAGCGTAACAAAGCCTCCAACCTACCATCGAAACTCTCCAAGTCGATGACATCCAAGTCCAACAAACCCGACCTCGAACTTGACCCTGGTGATTCAGACAAGGAGAACTGGGTTCCTGGTACTCGCTCATCACAAGTACGACGACGAACAACGTCGCACGCTCCTCGACCGGTACTGCGCGATGCCAACACCAACCGCCGAGTCAGCGCCGTGGGTAATGGTAAACGCAATCGGCCATACCCAGCTGGAACACAGGGCAAAGCCCCAACCGACTTGAGCGCAGATGTGTCAGCGTTCATGTCCAGCGGCACTGGGGGAAGTCAAGAAGACGATCTGGACTGCGTCCAGGGACTTCTATCTCTGAGCCAAGGGGCATGGCGATAGCGAGAAAAAAGAACCGGTACAGATTTGTCCTTGCCGACTTGTCATTTAAACTCATTTCCTTTGTTTTCAATTGTGCAGCCGTGATGTATCTTGCTTTTTCATGATTCGCGATGTGTGCCTGCAAGCGGTCTTCGCCACATCTGTCACGTGAACTCTATGACATCCCGTTCTCAAGGTCCGTCTGTCTCCTCCAGTGGCCTTTAATTCATTTTACTGCCCTTTTGCCCAGGGCATGGTGACTTGTTTGATTTCAAGTGTGCTATGTCCGGCTGTTTTGTTATTGGTGGTTGTCGAGACTGGACGGCGGGGCTGAGATCCCGGTATTGATCTACTAATCCTGGAATGAATCTCTGTAACGACCATTGACCTGTTTTCTGCCGTAGAGGCTTTCGATGTTGTAATTGTAAGACATGAACTTAAATGTTTACAATTCATTGCGTCAAAACCAGGATCTAATTGGAACCTTCCCAATGGTTGGTCGCAGGATGGAATGACCCGGTTTACGATGGACAGGGAATGGGCGACTAGATTCAATATGGCAAGAAAGAATGCATATATTGCGGGCAGTAAGGATAAAGACAAAAATGTACAAATACATGGGCGTATTCCTGACGTGAAAGACAATCAAGATGCGAGATTCAATTCGGGATACTCCGGGAGATCCTTCCAATGGTCGTCTTGTTGGGAACGGGGAAAGATGTCACTGATTTTAGACACTGCCCAAAGAATTCTGTTCATAGACCAAATCCCAAGCTGCGAAGATGGAAACAAGAAGCCGAGGGTTGTAGATGAGAATCGCTGACAATCATTTATAAAGGGCCGCATCTTCTCTTCATACGATTTGAGTGCCCCCGCGACGTCACTGCCACGCCGCGCCAATTCTCCTGCAAGGACATACGCACCAACAAGGCAAAGATTGGTTCCCAAGCCCGTAAAAGGACCGGGGCAGTAGCCCGCATCTCCAAGGAGAACGACTCGGCCAGCAGACAGCTGTTTCATCTTGATTTGTCCAATCTCATGGGCATAAAAGTCATCGGAAGTCTTTAACCCAGCCAGCAATCGATCAGTCTGCCAATCGGCATCCTTGAACATCTCGGCAAAAGATTCTTTCTGGTCCTCTAACGACTTCTGGTAAGATGCTTGCAGCCTGGACGATTCTTTCATGGTGAAGAGTAACACCCCGGTGACTGGGCGATCACTCGTTCTGGTCAAAATCATTCTTCTTCCCGGAGCCAAGTGACCTCTTGCGAGAGATCCTTCGCCTTCAATTCGTGGGATGCTATAGTATGCAGCATGGACGCCGAGGGACTTAAAAGCTGCATCGCTAACCTCCTGGCCAAAGGCGAGACGTCTGGTACGTGAACCTTGTCCGTCGGCAGCAACGACGAGGTCATATCGTTTTTTCTGCCCACCAAAGAAAGTGGCATCGACGCCTTCCGTGGTCTCGTCAAGGGCTGTGATCGTTTCACCGAATACATATGTCACTCCCTTGCCATTCCCCGACTCATGCCTTAGCTCTGCATCTTGCTTGATACTGGCATCATATAGCACTTGCACCAAATCACCACGCATGATTTCGTGCTCGCTTGTCAAACCAGGACGACGTTGGCCGGAGGCACTAGCACCAAACAAAGCAATTTGCTTGCCCTTGGAATCCACCATTTCAAGACCAGTCTCGTTAACACAGTTTGACTTGATTTCATCCAGGAGGCCCATCTTTCTCAAAATATGAGGAGCTTGAGTCTTCAGGTCAATTTGCTGTCCCGTCGACCGCAAAGAGGGAGAACGCTCGACGATCGTGATGTTGTGTTTGGGATTAGACTTTTGGAGAAGCATTGCGAGAGCTGGGCCGCAGATGCCGGCCCCTACGATGAGGACGTTGAGGGACATTGTCGGTGATGATTGCAGAGCCGGGAGGCGTGTACAGCTCAGGTTGCGTTTCGACGCCCTGCCAATGTGTTAGTGACTGCCTGTATGAAAGGTATATTTTCTGAAGCCGAGCGAGAATGTCATATGCATCTATCTGTTTCGGCCGCCCAGAAAGGGACGAGTAAAAATGAGAGGGAAAGAGAACCATTTACGTACTGGAGAAACATCGAGGGTTGCCTTGTTGCCGCAGTAAGATTGCAGGCGTCCGAATCCACGAAGATAATTTAGAATTTGGTATCGATGAAAATGACTAGCTGACTATTTATATTTTCCGCCATCATTTGAGAGGTAACCCTGCCAGTAATTATCATTGTTGTCGGCCGGCGGGCGTAATCGGCGCTATCGGTAAATTCCAGCCTTACGGCCGAGCAGCATTTCACTTAAGCGGATGGTATCACAGAACATTTCCGCACCCATGGCATGCTAAAAGTACTTGTATGTAGCGCACCTCTTATTTCTACGTAATTCGATATGATGCACCCATTTTCTCTATTTTTTTTTTTTTTTCCGAGCCGCACGCGGGATGAACGAGAGTATGAACTTCAAAATAGAGACAAAATAGCCGTCGTTCGGGCCAAAGGCCCTGTGCAAAGGGTCAGGAAAAATGATATACATAATGATTACTTGGCCTTGGTGCCTAATAATGATGAATTTCGCTGTTTACACTGGGTAATTTGAAACCCGAGAAGTCGTTCGTCGGTACAAGGTCACTGAAACTGCATGGAGGGAGATAGTTGCAAGTGCTATTTTTATGCAGTTTTCGAAGCATCTTCAAATGCAATGTCGATGAGCGATTTCTCTTCTGATTCTGAATGTTTACAAAAATGTCTAAGCCCTTTCCCCCTACTACCGGTCTCCCACCCCTATGGGAACGAGCAGAAAAAGGACAGCGGTCTTAACTATGCCAGAGTACCTTCTATCCGCTATTATTGGCTAGTTCTCAATTAGAGCCCCACCTACTTTACCACGTCAAATATCCTCTCCTTCTTTTTATATTTTTATATTGCATTCCTACATTTTGACTCTGTTAAATTCTGTATTTGCTTTTAGTTCATCCATTATGACCAGCACGATAATAAACGACAAATCAGTTAATCTTCGGCCGCTGGTTCTTGTGAAATGTAGGTAGATATCACGCAAGTAGGTCTTGGCGTCGGAGATATCGGATTACACACTAAGCACCGAGCCACTTCACTACGCGCATTTCACCGAGCGAGCTCGCGAGTTCTTACCCTAAACTACACTCGAGAAATATCGGTAAATGCGGGGCCAACAGCATCTGCAAGATGCAGTTGTCAACGAAAAGTCCAGAAAGCGGCATCCGAAAACGCCGGCGCCCGGCTCATTCTTGCGTTGAGTGTCGCCGTCGCAAGGTCCGATGCGACCGAGCCAACCCTTGCAGCCAGTGTGTCGCGCATAATGCCCCATCATGCACGTTCACAGACAACAGACGCGCCACATCCGACCATGATTTGCTCGAAATTCAAGTCAATAAGCAGCAGGAACAAAGAACGCCGAGAATCCCTGACGGACCCCTCTCTGGCAATATCTCTCCACCTACTCCTGCTCCGTCTGGCCAAATCCATGGCACCCAATCTAAGACTCGAGTTTTTGGACAGGGCCATTGGATGAGTACAATGCACATGGTAAGTTATGATCTCTTCCTGATCCGTATCGTCGGCCCCTTGTTGACAGCCCACCAAGACCTCCGAATTGTCCATTCTAGGGCAAGCCATGGCATATCAAAGTACACTGTTTCAACACCCGATCGATGCAAATCGGGGGCCTATTTCGCGAAAGATGGCAAAATGTAAAGAGCTGGCCCGAGAAATCAAGAAGCAACGCCCGTACAGACGGAGTCTTCCTGCTGAAATTCACCGCTCATTCCCCGAACGCCAAGTCATAGACGATCTCGTTCAGCTGTACTTTGCAACCTTTGAGTCATGCTATCGTATTCTCCATCGCTCCTCGTTCCAAGCGGACTATGAGCGCTATATCGATAAACTGGAAAGCGCAAAGAGTTCCTTCATTGTGGAGCTTCTTCTCATAATTTCCGCTGCTGGTCCGTTGCACACCCATGGCGATACTCGCCGTGGGCTGGCTGAAAAGAGTATTTCTTGGATCTATATCGCCCAAACATGGCTCTCCGCACCATTGGAGAAAGACCGCTTGACGTTAAAAGGCATTCAGATATATTGCCTATTGCTCCTTTCCCGACAGGTAAACCGAATAGGAGCAGACATAGTCTGGGTCTCCGCGGGATCACTAATGAGGATGGCCATGCAGATGGGCCTGCATCAAGATCCGAATTATCTGGGTGATATGGACTTTCGAGAAAAAGAGATTCGAAGAAGATTATGGTATACCATCCTTGAGATGAATATTCAGGCGGCTTTGGACTCGGGCATGGCCCCGATGATTACGGAGAGCGATTATAACACTATGCCGCCATCTGGAATAGAAGATGCCGACCTAGATTCTGCAGTGAGCGAAGACCGGGAAAATTCATCTTCGAACTCGACTCGGCAGTCAATTCAGGGCGTGTTGGCCTGTTCTTTCTCTCTAAGACTCAGAGCCACCAGAGTCATCAACAGTTTACAGGAAGAACCCTCATATCACTCTGTTTTGGACCTTGGAAATGAGCTAGCGTCGGGCTGTCGCGAGGCTGCGGTCGAGATCTCTCGCAATTCCTCGGACGAGCATATGTCGTTGGGAAGCCAATTTGCATATAGCTTTTGCAGTCATCTCCTGAGTCGGTTCCTTCTTTGTCTTCACTACAAGTACGCGATACAGGCGACACGAAACCCAGTCTATGCGCACTCACATAAAGTGTGTCTTGAGGTTGCCCTGGATTTGATATCGCTCCTCGACGATGATCTCTACAGCCGGCTGCTGGTCAATGGAAGTGGTATGTTTCGGGACATCATCACACGTGGTGCAGTGATGATTTACCTGGAATTGCACAAAAGTCATGAGTCGGATATTTCAATTCTGGCCAAGAGAAGAAATCGCGCCCGACAAGAGCCATTACTTAAAGATGCTCATCGAATTGTTCGATATGCAAAGGAGCG